CCCCCCCCCCCCCCCCCCCCCCCATATCATCATTAAAATGTGGCCCAGAACACCCTCAAGGCCCAATCATCGTAGTGCTCCCTTTCGGAACTGGTTGTGAAATGTTTCGATGTGAGTTCTTCTCGGCCCTAGTCCTGGCGTAGTGTTTGTCCAACACCCTTGCAGCCATATCCTGGATCTCCTTCACGCGCTGCTTTGCCGCAGCCACCTTGGGCGTGTCGCCGGTGTACTTGCCGTAGCGCTTAATGCCCAGCCGCTCGCTCCTGTTGTAGCCGGTTCCAAAGTACCAGCGGCTCTGCTCGTCTTCGTCCAGGTACGCCCCAAGCTTTCCTGCCAGAAGTCTGTGGCCCTGAGCCCATTCAAAAGCTGGGTCGGTCAATAACTCGTCGGTGTAGCAGAAGCTGATGATCTCGGTCAGACAGGTTACCGCATGCGGAAGGCGGAACTGGTCTCTCTTGGGGACGAGAGAAATGAGACCGCCGACCATGAGAAATAACAGGGTGAGCAAGATGGCTAATACAGGAATGTTGGCATACATCCGCACGGTCCCGGAAGGTGGCGTCAGTGCCATGAAGAGCCCGCCGGCTAGAATCGGAATTAGGATAAGAAGCGTCGAAAGTAGTGAGACAGCGGCAACCCTCCAGTGACGGCGTTTGAACGCTTTCCATGTCGACTCTAATGGTAAACACGCCGCGTAATCGAGGAGAATAGAATCCGTGGCCAAAGCCCCTTCTCTCTGAGAAAGCTTGCCCCATGGCGTCAAGATTCGTAGTATAAGATCGAGCGATTGGAACGACAGGAAAATGATCATTCCCAAGAGCGCCGGCACGAATGCGTACAAGAAGTCGGCAGCTGAGAAGGCTCCTTGCACAGGGGCAGCACTCAGGAGTGGGAGGAAGCCATCTTGGATGTGGGTGACGGAATTGAAACACACTGCAAAGAGAGTGATGAGCAGAACGGACGCCGCAACAACCCACATAATGATCTGGGAATCCCGGATAGCCCAGGGCAAGTAACGGCGCCGTACGTCTCCCTCGAAAGGTGCAACATTTGGCGGCTGCCCTCGAGGCCCCTTCTCATGAATGGACGGCCCAGACGGCCTGAGGCGGAGCTTCTCCTCCACCGTCGGAACTCCAATGCCATACCACAAAGGTGGTGCCGCAGGGTCAGGGGAGGTCCAATAACCGAGGCGCTCGATGTTGCGGTACATCATATGCCTCATCTCGTTTCTTCTCGCAGCAGTTTCAGTTCCGGCATACTGGTGCGAGGAGTTGCTCGGTGACAATAAAGCGATGATGTCCGCGAGCGATCGCATATCCCAATGTGGTCCCAGGCCAGTCCGTCTGTTGCGCCAGTATATGATGAGGAGCACCGTTGACAATACCATCGACACGTACATAGCAACCAAGACCCAAGCCACGCCCTGTACCGTCGACCACGTCCAAGCCCCTTCAACATAAACGACAGTGAATAAACAACTTTGCAACGGGATCGTGAAGTTCATTATCCAGGTAACAAAAATGGGTATCCAGACCTGCCACGTGCTAACAAGCTGCGGCCAGAGAAACGACTTGGGATATAGAGGCAGAAAGCCAACATTGCGTCGAGATCGTGAGTCGTCAGAAGCCAACGCCGAAAAAGGCAAAACCCTGAACGCCGCAACGATCACATTTTGGGCATACAAGAGTGTTAATGCAGCCAGAAGCTGCGGGAAGATGCGGAAGAGGAAGTATCTGCCATCGTACATGGAGCCGTAAGCCAAAAGGCCATCGTTGAGGCTGGAAAAGATGGCACTGAACATGAGTGCCGCTGTCATCAGCGTACATAGGGCCGCGAGAATAGACAAAGACTGATTTCCCAGGATCCACGGTCGATAGGTGAGAGGTGGATATATTGCAGCCTTCTCTGCGTCTGAGAATCTGTCCGATTGTGCTTGCCAGTTACTGACCTCTCGGGGTAGCTGTACTGGGAGAGGGGTTGGCGTCGGTGAAAACTGCGGCTCTGGAGTGTCTCCATCATTGCTTGGTGTGTAAGGTAAACGAACAACACCACCGGAAAACGGCCGCAAATAGCTTGGTCGGCGAGTGAGAATCGGAGTGACATACTGTTGTGCCACATCTGAGTTCGCTCGCCGCTGTCGCCTTAGCGCTGCGAGTTCCTCTTCGGGCGACGTCTCAAGCTCTTGGGTCCCTAGGTCTTCTAGAGGAGCTGGGAGGTGAACCGGCTGTGGTTGGAAGAGGCCTGGCAGTGCGTTTGGGAGAAACCGATAGATTGGGTTTGTCTCTTCGCTACTTGATGAATGCACGATCGAGACGCCTCGTTCGTCTTGTCTTGGCCTAGTCATTGCTTCTAAAGCGTACTGGATGTAGGGAGTGCTGTCGATGCCTGGAGTAACGGAAGCCCCTACGTCCCGCACCATCTCACTCTTGAAGTCTGCCGCAGCCCATTGGGAAGTTGGAGCAGCGGATCGAGCCATGGTCGGTTGTCGCTGAGTAGCGCACGGCGCTGGATGGGGGTTCACGGGCGGTTGGGCTACATGTCTTGGAGCTGCTACTTGTTGTTGCTGGGGAAATATCCGATCCGGGCCATCTATCTCGGGCGTCGAGGGAGGAGATGGGACGTAGGGAACAACAGTCGGGGGATCAGATGGTGACGATTCTTCTCGATACGGTCGTTGTTGTACCGGCGCGTGGAGTACAGTCACCTGCGAGGCAGTCGGTGGAGGAGTGGTATGAGCGTTTTGGGTGGAATGAGTCGCATACGTCTGATGAGAACCTGTTAAAATGCCAGTCAGTCAAATCGTCTTCACCACACCGCAGGTTTCCGGGAGTATGACATACGACTTCTGTCGGCATAGTCTCTGTCGTGGCCGTGGGAATTCATGCTGGCACACGTCGGCCTACTGCAGGTCCAACTCCACTTGGAATACTGAGCCAATGACTAGTGCGGCATATAGCTTTTTGCAGATGCAGGAGACTAGAATGCATTATGGGAGACTACAGGATGAAATACGGTGTGAGGATTTTCGCTTCATTGCGGAGAGGCTGGTCGAGCAGCATGGGTATAGAGGCAGAAATGGAAGGTTGGGCGCGGACACCCAACCACCCAACTTGATGTCTGTCAAAGCCATGAAACACCCTGGCGTCAGAGCATGGACGTGACCAGCGACCAAAACTTGCCATACTTATCATATCATCTTGGACCGCATATGCAGGACCACGAGGCCAAAGCATGATCCAATATACGTCGCATACCTAGGTAGCTCCGTTGCATGATGTTTGTTGCTTTTAGTTCCTTGCGACCTTTCTTCATCGTTGTACCTAGGGAGGGTTGCGACAGGGGCGGCCCAGTGGGGGAGGGGTAGCTCCGGGAGCTTGTAGCTCTGAGCTTCAGCTTCAACTCTCGAGCTGCAGTGGGGCTGGCTGAATCCCAGGTTCTAGGCGCGGCCGGATGCCCTGTTAGCACCTGACGTCCCTGGCTTAACCCCCCACCCCCACCACAGTCTGTGGGGTCGGTCCAGGGCAGCAGGGCTACCTAGGTACCTACTGAGCACAGATGCACCACCCACGATCTCTGGAGATCTCTGGGCTTTGCTCGACACCTACCAGCTGTACTACGAGTTACTACTCACTTCAGCCTCTTTTGTTTCATGATTTTCTCGAAGTCTAAAGTTGTATATGACACATCCTACGTTGTAGCTCACAGACTGGCACGACGCATAAGCCTTTAATCCGAGATGTTGGTTGTACTGGAGGAACGCCACCTTCAGGCCCTCCATGTTTCCCTGCCAGGCCAGTGATTAGTTGATATCTCTGTTCTGTTGTCGCCCATCTCAAGACAACTGGATCAGGAAAAACTGTACGCACAAGTCTTGGCTTCATGGCTCGTATGCATTCAGCCCGACGAATCCCAGCTGATGATTCCAAGGATCCGTAACTGGTGACTGCACAACAAGGACACATTCATGCCAGGTGGGGAATCAGGCAGAAGAAACTCACCAGGCCGACTCCGCTTGTGAAGACCAAGCCTGTAGGACTGCGCATAGGACTCTCTACCCAAGGACTTTTCGGTCAAAATTACTTAGCGAGACCCAAGCACTCATATTTTGGCAGAGAACATACTCTGGGTGTAGGGAACATCATATCACAGTCGTTCTATCCCAGCTGCACCCGACCCCTTGCCATGGTGAGACGTCGCCATCAGGCTGGGTACGCTTCAGCCAAGGACTTACGATGGACGCTCAGGCAGTATATAATACACAAGCGCCAGTTACGGACCGATCGAGGAATCCCATTGCGCACTCGAGTGGCAACACTCAATGAGCAATATGGTGACCCTTACGACCGGCGGATGAGGAAGTTGCGCTTGTTGCTGCTGCTCAAAGACTGTCAGGACCCAGCTGAGTCACCATCACGCGAATTGGAGCTGCTAGAACAGCCAAAGAACACCAAACAGCCGCCAATAATGATGCTGCCTACCGAAATACAATTGAAGCTGATTGAGCATCTCGAGTTCCTTGACATACGAAGGTTCCGCCAAACGTGCCACTACTATCATGATCTGTTCAGCCCAGCCGTCATATGCCATCGCTTTGGTGGGCCCCTGGCTTACCGTCAAGTTCTGGATCACTACTGTCGTATTTGCTTCCACTATCCCCTCCCTGGCTCCGATTATACCAGCAAGTTCACAAGCCCAGCAAAAGATGACCTCTTTCCATGCTACTGTAGGTGCTGTGCCCCGGGGGCTACCTTTTGCAAGTGGTGCGGGCTCGACTCGTATGATCAATTCTATATTCGGGATATACATGTTAGCTGTTTTCAGACTTATATACGTGTCCTCTGGGTGTTTATGCTCTTAGGTATTGTTCAGTTTGGCCTCATCGTCGCAGGCTTAGCACTGGCATGGAGGTATTTCAGAACAGTACCTTCGATCGTTGGACCGACCACTGTAAGTGTTTTGCTCGCTTGGATGCAGGTTTCCGGGTTCATACTTTGTTCATAGCCCAGCTGACCATGTGAAGACAAGTTTCGTTGTGGCGGTTCCGCGATACTGGGTTCTCAGGTTTCGGAGAAACTCGTCTTGGAACTATCAACACTCGCTGCGTATTGAGCTTATCATGTCCATTTTATGGGCCCCTCCTGTCTACTACATAACGTATGCTATGGTGTCTTCCCAATATGAGCCAACCATCACCGCATGTGGGGTGGTATTTTGGCTGAATTTGTGAGTATCTTGCAATAGTTCGCCCAAGAGATGCAATATGCTCATTTGTTGCTAGTGTATTCCACGTTACGAACAGCCTCGGGTACTGGTGTCTCTTCTTAGGGTGTGCTATACAGAGTCATTACTTGCCAAAGCGCAATTTTGTGTTGCGCATCATCGACTCTCTAGTCTTGCTATTGATTTGCTGGTCATTTCCACAGTCCATCGAAGTCTACGACCCGCGGCCGTCGCACGTCTGGCTGTCTGGTTCGTTAGGGCGGCTTGTTGTCAAAATGGTTCGGAAGCTTGTGCCTCGACGGGTTTCGGGGCGCGACAATCATTTGAGCCTGGTGTAAATATAACCCATTTGCAGCCGTGATGTTCTAAGTTATATGCATAGCGGATCAACCTAAGCCAGACTGAGCATCAGAGACTCCAGCTTTTCAGTCATAGGATCGACCTAGAGCGCTTGATGAGTCCGTCGGCTTTCTCGGAAGTTGAAAGTCATTGCGATGGTACTTTTACAGCTTGCAAAAGGATTTTGACTATTTACACATTAGCCCTGTTCGACAACGACCAGAGCCACAATGGCGGTACCGACAACTAAGGCTGACTACACCGACACCTGAGCGGAGACACGTATATTTCGGCTCTTCTTAGCCAAAAGTCCTATAGTGACAACTATCTTACTGGTGACATCCGATCCATACAACTCTGGCGCGGTGGCAGTGGTATTGACATCTCTGAAGTGCAAGCCGGATCTTATTTCGGCCCTAATAATTCGCCCACTTATTGTCACACCATGATCGATATTCCGGATGGGCCAATTCGCTTGTCAACATAATCCGGCTACAAGGTCTTTCAGCCAAGTATCTCGTTGGACAATGTGGAGACGTGATGTTGTCACTTGTGCTCATCGACTTCTCGGTTGCTTGCTGTTACTTCTATGCAAACATTCGCCATTCAATGGGCCGCGTATCCTTCTTTTGAATTGTGTTACGATACCCAGAATGTTTACGGAACGGAACAGATCGGAGCCGCTTCCAAGCCCCTTTGCGATTGTTAATACTTAAACCATCCCGGGTTTCTCAGCATTCCAAGGGTCTGGATTCATCTCTTCGTAAACAACATCAAGGCAGTTCCAGTATGAAAGGGTTTAGTTGCATTATCACTGCGCTCTGGCTGGGCAGCTTAGGGACTGCCATCAAGCCACCAACCACTCATGTGGTCCATGAGCAACGTCATCCCGATGCCTCCAGCACTCTCATCAAGCGATGGAAGCCTCACAGTGGACTTCAATTGCCAATGCGCATTGGGTTGAAGCAGAATAACATAGAGAAAGCTCCGCGTTGGCTCATGGATGTGGCACATCCCACGTCGAAGAAATATGGGAAGCATTGGACAGCACAGGAGGTCATTGAAGCCTTTAAACCCTCTGATGAGACTGTCGACTCCGTAAAGCAATGGCTAGAGGACAGTGGTATTGCTGAATGGTAAACCTCATAGTCCTCGTTATTCTGGCAGTGCTAATCGAAATTAAAGGCGCATCACGCATTCTAACAACAAGGCTTGGCTTGCGTTTGAAGCATCTCTGGATGAAGCAGAGACGCTCCTTCACAGCGATTATCTCGTTTACCAGAACACCAATGGCCGAATGATTACCGACTGCGAGAGTTATACCATCCCGCAGCACTTGACCAAGCACATTGATTATATTACCCCAGGTGTAAAAGGTGTTGACATCACATCTAGACTTCGCCATGCTGCTATCAAGGGAGGTGTTTCCTCGGGCCAAGTGCGACCCAGGGGCACCAAGCTTGGTCGTCGCAGATTCAAGCCGCGGAAACGCTTATCGACTGCGCCTATCCCAAAGGACCTCTCCACTTGCGACAAAGCCATCACACCTGTCTGCTTGCAGACATTGTACCAGTTCGAGTCTCTCGATACTACGTCTGTCGTCTCCTCCAATAACTCTTTGGGAATCTTCGAGGAAGCAGACTACTACTCCCAAGTAGACTTGAATCTCTTCTACGCCAAGTACGCCCCTCATATATCCAAAGGCTGGGGGCCTGAACTGAACTCGATTGATGGTGGCGAAGCTCCTGTGCCTTTCACACAAGCTGGCGGGGAGAGCAGCATGGACTTCCAACTGGCCATTCCCATCATCTATCCCCAGAAAACAGTAGTCTATCAGACCGATGACGGATACTACTCGACTTTGGAAAACAAGATGGGAATTTTCAACACATTTCTCGATGCGATCGATGGGTCTTACTGCACGTACTGCTCAGATGGCGAGTGCGGCAACGATCCTGAGCTTGATCCAGTCTACCCTGATTCGCACCATAACGGATACAAAGGCAAACTCATGTGCGGTGTTTACAAGCCCACAGCTGCCATCTCCATCTCGTATGGCAAGCAGGAACAAGATCTCCCCGCATACTACCAGAAACGGCAGTGCAACGAGTTTCTGAAACTTGGTCTCCAGGGAGTAAGCATTTTCGTGGCAAGCGGTGACACAGGTGTCGGCGGCATCCCTGGCGATGGCACCCGAAACGGCTGTCTTCGCAACGGAAAAGTCTTTTCGCCAACTCAGCCGAATTCCTGTCCTTGGCTCACGAACGTTGGAGCCTCTATGATACCCCGAGGAAAGACTGCGAATGATCCAGAGGTTGCTGCTGCATCTGAAGGCTTCTATTCTGGTGGCGGATTCAGCAACATTTTCCCCATTCCCGATTACCAATCCGAAGCAGTCGAAAATTTCTTCGAAATATCCAAGCCCAAATATGCATATTATCATAATGGGAGCTATGGGAGCTCCAATGGTCTATACAATCGGAATGGTCGTGGTATACCTGATGTAGCAGCGAATGGTGTCAATATCGCCGTTTATGTCGGTGGGAGCCTCGTAACGGAAGGCGGCACAAGCGCATCTGCACCCATATTTGCAGCCCTTGTTACACGAATCAATGAGGAGAGGCTCAAGATTGGAAAGAGCGTCGTGGGATTCGTCAACCCAGTACTATATGCACACCCTGAAGTGTTCAATGACATTGTTAACGGCACCAATCCTGGTTGCGACACGCAAGGGTTCAGCTGTGCCCCTGGTTGGGTAAGCCCTTACCTCAAATAGCCCTATTTTCAATCCCAACCCATCAATGTGCGCAATGATTAAAGTGGTGGCTGCTTACAATAACTTAGGACCCTGTCACTGGTCTCGGGACACCCAACTATCCAAAGATGCTGAAACTTTTCCTCAGCTTACCTTGACAACCATTGCCGTGAACACTCGTTTCCTTGGGGTTAAAATGGAAAGAGACTGAGTCGAAGTTGAATATGTAAGGGGATGTATCATCTTAGTGTATGTTTTGTTTTGCATGTCAAGGGATGAGACATTTGGGACAAATGCTGCACTGTCTTCGAGTGTGTGAGGAGATTGAGTCGATCGTTTTTCAGCCATCATAATCTCCTTTTCTAGCTTCCTAGCTATTTTTAAGAACACTCTTTCATTATATTGGTTGCAGAATGTCGTCGGACAACGATGGCTTAAAATCCTTGATGTCGCTCACCAGCGTCACAGAGAGCTGAAAGCGCCGCTGACAATAGCCTGTTCGAAGATTAAATTATACTTCACGATATGTCCCCTCGTTTGACTTTGGTTTGATGATAGCAAGCTTTCAGCTACACTGGAGTGTTTAGGATGGCGTTGTTGCCTTAGGAAGCGCGTACATAACCTTTACACTCTCAACAGTTCTAAGTTCTACTCACTACGCAGCTCTTGGTCGCTTGATCATGGCTACCAACACCACTTTTCCAACTTGATCTCAACATCATCAGAGCTGAGTTCAGTTCGTCCCGGGATCGACAAGAGGCGTTTCTCAATCGTGAGATTATAGTTGCGGCCCGCAGCCTTGTCGGTGCTTAAAAGCTGACAATAACCACGAAGAACACAGCACAGATCTAGGATATGATAATCTAAAGGCATTTCGGATTAAATTGAGTCGAACAACGGTGGGCGCTCAGGGGAGAAGCCAAAATTGATTACCCCAGAAAGTGACGGATCGAGGTCTAGTCAGGCGCCATAGCTAGGTTCTAGTCTATTTGAGAAGTGTCCACGATGCACCCAACATCACGAGGCAGAGTAAATTTCTTTCATTCATCATGCCCCTATGTTTGGCTTATCATGTGGTGTCTGCAACTAAGATATGCAACAACCCAACACATCCGAGCTAGAACGGCAAAATAGAGGGGGATTGCCTGCGAAGCAAAACCATATCAAGTAATCTAATCCGACATCGGTGTCCAGTGTAGATTCCATCATATCTCACACCCTCGATTTCGGCAGCATTCTGTGTAATATGAAATGCTGACGCATGCGAACCTGGTAGGCCACGATGACAAGCTCAATCACTTTTCGAGAGTTGAATATCGAGAACGTACGCAACCGGCAAGAGGACGCACCTGGCCGTGTTTAGTGACAATAACGGGAATGACGGCGCCGGAGTCAATGCGGTAACTATCCGCAGCACATTTCGTACAAACAAATGGCTTGCACTCGGTGCTGCATCGAGTACGATCTTCGTGGTTGTTGGCTTGCCCAACTCATTCGGTGTCTTTCAGAGCTACTACGAGTCCGAGTTATTTCCATCAGTCCGTTCGTCGCAGATCACCCCCATGGGATCAACCTCGTCTAGTTTTTACATGATCCTAGGGGCACTCACGGGAAGATTCGCAGATACAATGGGATACCAGGTTGGCGGGGCCCGCAGATGGGAAAATACTGTCATTACACTAACTCATACAGACGTCGATGGTAGTCGGCAACGTACTCGTGGCCGGCGCCCTCTCCGCTGCTAGCGTATCCGGGGAGCTCTACCAATTGTACCTCTCGCAAGGAGTCATGTCTGGTTTAGGATCGTCCTTCGTGTACCACCCAGCCGTAACCATATCTGGACAGTACTTCGGCCCTCGTCATCATGCCCTGGCAAATGGTGTCATCCTCTCTGGCGGCGCTTGAGGCGGCTGTATATTGCCATACGCGACTAAGGTTCTACTCTCACGGTACGGTCTCTCCCAGACTTTCCGGGCCTTGGCCCTCATGACGGCCGGAATCTTGACCATCAGCTCGCTCCTGCTTCGACCACGAGACATATCTCCACGCAGCCGAGGCCCCCTCTTAGACTTTCATTTGCTTCAAAATTCGCACATTTTATGGTGGTTGCGGCTGGCACTGTGGCCATGACTGGCTTCTTACCACGATACTTCTTCATCACGTCTTCGGCTATTGCCAAGGGCGTCGATAGTACCTACGCAACTTGGCTTCTAGGTATCATGAACGGCCTCTCGGTTTTGGGGCGCATCATGATAGGTCTATTTGCTGACAATATGGCAAATTGACTGCTCTGATCTGCAGTTTCGTGCTATGTGGGATGGGCCACCTTGTTTTCTGGTTACCGAGCGTACTAGTAGACAGTCACGAGGCAACGACAGCACTGGTGACCAGTTTTGTCGTTTTCGTGGGGCTTCTTAGATCCGGGTTGATTAGTCCGATTCCCGTGGTTACGGCTAGTCTCTTTGGGAGTGAGAACCTGGCAAGTAAGGTTGGGTTGTTAAATAGTATCATGGGCTGCGGTGTTCTGGCTAGACCCAGCGCAGTATATGTCGTTGTCTCAAAAGAATGGTGTGCCGGTGTTTTAACCTCGGGATTGCTCATGGTGGTAGGCGGGCTGGCATTGACACGGGCTTACAGATATTCATGAATCTTCCTAGTTGGATAGAACGATGAGGGTATACTGCAAAGTACTACGGCCTGCAGTGATATGGCGTGCCGCTTCAATTGAATAGTCAATTGTGGCAAGTTATTAGCTCTTCCCACAATCAAGGTTTGCTTCGATAATTCATCACCATCTGCGGGAAAGACGTTTCCGTGGCAGCCGCTTCAGAATAAACTTCAACGCATGAGAAACTCTTTGAAGCAAAAACTTTTGGTTTGTATGCATTTGATCAACTCAGAACAGTCATCATAGTACCCGGCTATGTGGCCTTGCGGAGTGCTCTACATGGCAGCATACACTACTGTCTATGACGACACGATTGAAGTAGGATCATTCAGATCAACTACTTCCGCGACGCTCTCCGATAAGAATCTTAAGAATCAAGTTTATTTGATTCCGAAATCAAATGGAATCGAATCTCCAAAGTTGACCTCTGAGACTTCGTAACGAGAGTACCATCTGGGCTGACGACCTGTTCAATAATGGCACTTCTCCGCTCACCAGCTCTGACAAACGCCCTTGGTATTGCCAATCTATCCGCATTAGGTGCGATGACGCTATATTTCAAGAGCCATCATGATTATAACCTGCAGGAGCATGAAGCGCGGATGGACGAACTTGAAGGAACTTTGCGAGGACATATTGGCTTGATCGAAGACTCATTGGAGCGTCTAGAAGGGGGTAGAAAGGTACCAGGGAAGAGCGACAGAGCTGAGAAACTCTACACTTCCAGGGCAAAAGATGAGAAGCAAAGTTAGCAGCACTGACACTTGGAGGTCGGGGTACTCGACTTTTGTCATTGTGTTTTGTGAGCCATGGTAGGCTCAAGTACGTCTCAGGCTACATGAATGCTCCCTGGAGGAAATTAGACAGGAGAGTCGTCGGCCTTAATCTCGAGCCTTACTTTGATTATCGGTTGGGTCTCGGCATGAGGTTCGGTCGTATTCAATCTCTTGATACCTGCGCATCACCGATTGATCGTTCAGAAAACATCGGACTTCTCGGCGAATTATTACGGTGGAATGGATTGGCATCAATAGATAGCTAGAATATGGGGATCAAGCGATATAATAGCTTATCGGGAGGATATCTCAGACAAGTCTCCCTGAGAACCAAGTCAGAATAGACACATGTCTCGGATGCTGTGGTTCATTACCGCAACAGTGCTGAACTTGGCATTCCCTGCCCTTGAATATGATTAGATCGACATCCACAATCTTGGAGGAGGTTGGTGGTGCAATGATTGAAGATTTTGGTCGCTTGTGGCCGTGAACCTGTCTATTAAAGGCTCTAATAGCCCCAAGTTAGGCAGTTACCAAAGCAGGCAGTAGCAGTAACAATAGTAGCTTTGAGGCTACGCAGCTTAGGAAGCAGCAGTTTAAGAGATTTTTTTTAATTCTTTTTTTCTTTTCGCTCAAGATGTTGACCAGCCACATCGTTATTTTGACTCTTGTGTCCGCCATCTTGGGCAAGCCGATCTCGTGAGTGCACTACGTAAGTTTGCAAGAACATTGTTATTGATCTAATAGGCACCATACGGAGAAGACAACTTACATAGCAACTCTTCGAAAGTACATGGACCAATCGGAAGCAATTCCTACCTCTAGGAAGCCATACCTCGATTCTTCGTACACTCGTGTAGCTTCGACCAACTCGCACGAATACTTGCCAAAAGCAACAGAGGTTTATACCGCCCTAACAAATCCGCCTATCACGAAGTGGCACTCCTTGAGTGAAGAAAGCGGCTTGAAAATGGACGGTCCAATGCCCACTCTGATAGGCGAGCTCGATACGCGCGCGCTTGAGAGGAGACACGGAGACAAGGAGAGGCACCGACATCCAACACATCACCATTCGACGCGTCCGTATACGAAAAGCAAGCAAGCAACCGATACACGCCATTCACACCACCCTACTACCACCACCAAGAATGACTATCGTCTGACAACTAGTGAACACAAAATCTCTTCCAGACATACTCACCATCAGCACACTTCTACCAAAGACAACAATCATGACGAGCCAACCAGTGCCAGGACACATGTGCACCACACCAGCGGGCCGGCGTTGACAACCAGCAAGGACTTGCCGCCAAATACGAAGGGATCACCAGATTAGATGACTACCGCACGCAATAAAGAAACTCCCAAGGTCTTGATAATAGTTGCTAGGTTGGGTTTAGGTGGCTTGCTATACCTTGATGTGGGACGTTAAGGTGGTGGCAGGGGCTGTTTTGAATATTAACTACACCCAGACCATGTGCCAATATACTTGTACTGGTTCATTTATAAGAATCACCTGTCTCCCCGTCCGTTGGTTTGCTCGACAGCCAAGTCCGTCGTTCACTTCTGTTCCTCCGCCTCGTCGCCAAGCCTGAGCGCACCAAAGTATGGCATCCTAGCTGTCACCCGCCGCAGGACCATCCGCGCACGGAAGCTCACCTCTGGTAGCCCGCGCCCGCACCGCTTGACATCTTCGTGCCGTCCTTGCCTAACTCTCGACGGGACCGCAACCCCAGCATCCTGGACAGCGGCGCGCGCCACTTCATCTTGGCCACGGAGCACCTTTGCGAGGTCTCCGCCGAGGAGGAAGACGTGGGTTGGATGTACCTGGCCGTGTCTGATTATGTCGAGTGCTGCAACCAGCTGCAGGATGTCGAATTCTGGGACGGCGGGTACTACGTGCGTCCGCCGTTTACGTTTTTAAACCGAAATCTCGCACATGCGCCAGGCTTTTAACAAAGGGCAGGCGGCGTTTATAATTTGAATTAAAAGTTTTAAGCTTTATTAATATTAAAAAAAAAAACTTTTTTAAAGATTTTAATTATAAAATATATATTAATATTTAATATTTAATATATTATTAATTATTAATTATTATATTTGTATTTTTGTTTTAGATTCTTTTCATAGTGCTACTGCACGCCCGCTTATCGATCTATAGACATACGAGGGAGGGTAAGAGGACCGGGGGCCGGCAGCTGAGGGAAACAGAGGTACAAGAGGCCGCTGTGCACGGCGCCGGGCGAGGGAATCGGTCGGGCGGGTCCCAGGCGAGCCCCACAAGGGCCGTCGGCGGTCGGTATCGCAGGATCAGGCGGCTGCGCCACGCCAACACCAAAGGGGCGGTCGTCCGCCCTCCTGTAGACAAGAGTCCGACTGAATTAAACTATGGAACTCCTCGTGCCGTATAGGTAGCACATGTCTTGCAGGGCTCCATGCCTTGAGCCGTAGATCCGAAAACTGTAAGCTGCAATTGTGAGCTGCCGATGTGATCAATGCCACATTCATAAGCTTTGGCTTTCAGATGTACATCGGAAAAGTGCTGCAACGAGGGTTTCGAAACAACAACTGCAGGCGATCCGAACTCTATTTCATCCCAAGTCTGTAACGTCGTTGCCGGCCAAAAAGAACCCTGGGCTAGATAGAAGAGGAATGAAATGAACCATTGCATGCAGGAACCAGGCACAATTTCATGAAAAGCGATCACAGTGTCAACAAAGCCTATGCTTACGCCACGTAGTTGGGCGTCAAGAACTCGTCCTATCATGTACCTCAGTAGAGTTCGTACTCGGTATTGGTCCCTCAGTAATCAGCCAAGAACCTCATGCCAACTCACTGCAGCAAACGGCATTTCTTCTGCGTGCTCATCATTCATCTTGAAACAATTTGAGCTTGCACCATCTGCCTGCAGTCTTCATGCTCCCGGCCGACAGGTGGAAGTGTGTTCTGCATGCCGACGTCTGAATAGGGTTTGACAACGTGCACGGAATGTGTTGGCTCCTCGCTAACAAACCAACATATTCGCGAGCAGCTCTGCGGTGGAATAATAGGCTGCTGGCCCTGCCGGCATGCCACCTTTCTCAAAGATGCTACGCAGTGTGGCAGACGTGGAGACGACGCTGGACGGACTCCCGCCGCGAGCCAGAAGCTCGCTATGAAGTGGCGCCTATAGGGCCGGCCAGTGGAGAGGCTAGGTGTCGGCGACGTCGCATACAGTTTAGGAAACGTCCTGTCGTGAGTTCCATCGCTGGCAGATCGAACAAACGGATTATCCTGGAGCCCGGGCTGTTGGGCAAGCGGCAGAGGTCTACAGGACCCATATTGCAGGCCGATCAAACAAGTGCATACCCTGGATGAACGCGAATCTGTGGTTCGCATAGTCAAGGCAAAACGAAGAAGCAGCGAGAGGCACAGGTGCGTGCGTCCGAAGATCAGGCGGACAACCTGACAAGGTGCTATTGTACGGCCCCAAGGGCCCCAAGGGCCCCATGGCCACGGTCATGCAGTTGGCCGCGGAGGGCCGTGATGATCTTGGAGGTACCGCGGGCTATCTCGGAGGTATCACTACCTGGTAGTGTTGCTCCACCCTTTCTCGAGCTCTCCTCATTCGGAAGTCGCTGGCTAAGATCTTGCTCCCCAACGCGATCGGTAGCTTACCAGCCTCTTGGATACCGCCGTGCAGGTGTATAGTAGAAGCTATATCGCAAGATCCAATGGGAGATTTCTTCAAGATAGATGGACTACAGACCAGCATGTGTGCCAACACGAACGGGGCGGAGAAAGTCATGTCTTGAATTCGCGAGTTTGGGACGTCCTCGGCGGGGTTGATACGATGGCTTGGATGGCAGCAAGCGGCAAAGCGGCGCAAAGCACCACGATCCGTTCGTGTTGGTTCTGGCCCTGTCAGCCCGGACCCTTCCCGAGGCTCGGACCAGGGAAAGATCCGCGCAGCAGTTGCGGCTGATAGAGGGCCGAGAGACCTTCTGCTCTGGACCGGTCTCCCCAGGAATTCTAGACTGGTGATGATTCGTGGCAGCTGAAGAGAATTTGCGTGCTAGACCTCGGTGAGAGCGGCTGCCGGCTCATGACAAGGACAAGTCAGGTTGCACCCCGGGTCTTTTTGGCAAAAATTTGCGGTCGCATCTGCGCGCAATCTTGCCGTGGTGAGGTGAGATCAATGTCATCACCGAAGCGCGGTCGCTTTCGGTTAGGCATGGAGGCCGACCGGGGTCCAGGAATACGATGGCCTGGATGGGTGAGAAATCCTTGGAACCCCTCGGCGGCAAGGGAACGATGACGACAGGGAAATGACCACCGGCTTGTTATCGACGAGTTGGGACATCCAAAGCAACCGGTAAAATGAATGTTTGAAACACACAATGTGGCTAGGTGTGTTTGCGCGCTGAAGAAAATGCAGTCTGGGTAGACAGAGCTTCTTTGTTCGCTCGCTCGCTCGCTCGGTGAGGCGCGACGGGAGGGAATCCGGGCAAGCCTGGAAATGCAGGGCCTGGAGGAGTTAGTTGCGGGCAATTATTAGTGACCTCCAGGTCAGTCAACTGTGCAGAAGGGGCCTGAGGGCCTCTGTTCCGATTGATCCTATTGCTGCAAAACCGCGCAGACAGTGCACCGCAGGCGAGTCAGTCGGCCGTGATTCGCTGTCTGCCATCGGGCGGGAAGCGCAACGGACCACTCAGCTGAGATGGCCACCCGCCACTATCGAGTCGAGCCAACAAAGTCGACCCCAGCCCACGTTTTCCCTCGTCCGCGGTCCCTGTCCGCAGTCCCTGTCCAGAGCCCCTGTCCAGTGACGAGTTGCTGATAGCCACGGTGCCCACGGTGGCCCACGGCCGCCCACCTGGCGACGCCTCCGTAGCGGTACCTGGGCCTCTAGCGCGGTACCTGATACCCCCCGGCGCCCTGACCCCATGTCCGCCCGTCAAGCCAGGCCTATCATCGAAGCGACCTTCTCCGCAAACCCAGCCAAGGACATGCGGGATTGCAGCTTTCCCGTCCCAGTCCTGGTTTTCTGCTATGTACTTGAAGCCTCCCGCATCATTCCACATCGTCACCTCACCACTCCACACCTCACCTCACCTCCAGAGCTGCAGTACATACATGTCAACGCCCGCAGACTGTGTGAGCAAATAGCTTGTGAAGCGGCAGCCCATCAGTGGACTCGTGGGCCCGATTGATCGACTCAACACCTGCTACGCGGCCCCCCTTAAATCTCGAGCTATCATATCGCGCGCCGTGTTTTCCCCGTAGCCGCCGACGACGACCATCGACTTTTGGCTTGCCATTCTGCGACACGGGTCTCACTCACCGAAATCCGTCAACACGAAAGAAAAAAAACGCCGCCAGCTGGAGCGACCTCGCGAGTTTTGACTCTGAACCTACGCGGACGTCTGCGCGTTCCTCCTGGATCACTGAGCTTAAAAAGTCATTTCCACCAACCCAGCTCAGAGTGCTTGGAGTGCCCAGCGAACCGGACCTCGAGGTCCACCAGCCGTCAAGCTGGATTCGTAAGTGCTGCGGCTCCCTCCATTTGCCCCATACAATAAGCTGTCGGCTGCACCTCAGGGCATGGACGAGGTCTGCACCCGTTGTGTATACCACGACCAGACTATATCCTGTGCCGGAGCCCTGTCGCTCCTTTCATTTCCCAGGCCTTGTGTGTGGCCACACTCGCTAACATGCCCGGCGACAGCTTCATTCACGTGGCGGCCTGGCCCCAGCACCAGCACCAGAGTCCCAGCCCGAAGCCGCAGCGATCCTTTGGCCATTTCCGCTCTCTCTCGAGTTTCTCACAAACATCTGTCTCCAGTAGAGCGAAGTCGCCTGCGAGGCCCCCTTCCATGTCCCAGTTGCCAGACATGGCCTCGACGCCCGAGTCACCCTCTTTGGACGTGCCGCAGCCCAAGCGGATGCCGTCGAACCAGTCACTGATGGAGGACATGGACTACAGCACCAATCTGGACCTCAGGAAAAGTTCGGCTGATGGCACCGCAACGCCTGCGCACCATCCCGATTTGAATGACGAGGTGGCTACGCTGAGCACGAAACTGATCAACGCCATCAACCACCAGACTGCGCTGGATGATACTCTCGCCTCAACCCGGCATGAGCTAGAGGACGAGAGGACAAAAGTTCGGGAGCTCGAAGAGAAAGTGGCACGGCAACAGGAGCTACTGGCCGGCGACGTTTGGGTGAGACGGTCGACGGTCGAGAGCGAGAAGAATAGGCTTCTTCTACGCGTCGCTGAAGAGAAGCGGCAACGTTTTGAGGTCGAGAAGGAGAAGAAGAAGATCGAGCAGGAGTTGGAGAACCTGACCACGGCCTTGTTCGAAGAAGCCAACAAGATGGTCATCTCCGCCAAGGAAGAGGCACAGAAAGAGCACGACGCCATCCAGCGCAAGAACGACTTGCTTAAATCCCAACTGGCCGACACAGAAGGGCTCCTAAGGTCTCAGCAGGAGCAGCTGGCCGAGCTGAAGCTGGTCATGGAGCACATGACCGCTGAACACGACGACCACAGCGGAACCACGCCTTCATCGCCTGGGTTTAGCAAGTTTGATTCAAGGGATGACGATACGCACGTTACCGACAGCGTATCTCAGTCTGGCATCACGGAGCCTTCCTCGCCGACCTATCCTACGAGCCTGACACATCTGCTCCAACCCGTGCTTCGGACCGACCTGGCTGCCTATGAAGACTTTCTGGCTCTGGTCAAAACTTCCAAGCGGACTTCCAGCCGAATATCATCTGGCTCCTACAGCGGGCTCAACCCGTTGCTTAGCCTTGCCAGCGCCGGTTCAGCTCCGTCCAACGCTTCCACAACTTCACTGACCACGGCGGGGACGGCGTCCTCGAATGTATCACCACAAACCCCAAACACGCCCGCATCGGCCATAAGCGCCGGCTCAGTTGCTACCCCACTGCCCCCCTTGAAAGAAACAAAGTTCTACAAGAGGGCCCTCGCTGAGGATGTCGAGCCGACCTTGCGTCTAGATATTGCACCCGGCCTATCCTGGCTAGCACGGAGATCCGTCTTGACTTCCATGACTGAAGGATCCCTCGTTGTGGAGCCGGTTCCCACGAACAACCCTTTTGCTGCCATTAGCAAGCCTCAGTTCTACCCATGCTCGCTCTGCGGCGAAAGTCGTAAGGAGACTCCTCACCTGCGTATGCATCGGTTCCGAACGAGCGAGGCCGACTCTGCCCAACGGTACCCGCTCTGCAAGTACTGCCTTAACCGTGTGCGATCCACCTGCGATTTTCTGGGTTTCTTGCGCATTGTCAAGGATGGTCATTGGCGCGCCGAAGACGCTGACGCTGAACGGGCAGCGTGGGAGGAGAGTGTCAGACTGCGAGAGCAGATGTTCTGGAGCCGCATCGGTGGAGGCGTAATCCCTGCGACACAAGCACTCCTTCACCCACCTAGTATAGGGGAGAAAAGCCCCCGCAGCAGCCACGAAGGGCAGACGACTCCTGCTCCAGCTGACCTGAAGAGGACATCGTCATCTGACAGTACTGTGGCGCCTGTCTCCGTCACGACGCCTGCCGACCAAGAGCACGACGTCGAGCAGCAGCCGGACAAATCGCCTGATGCAGCCGACCGGGAAGAAGCCGAGGTGAAGCCTGACACAGCTTCTCCCACCGTTGACCAGGCAAACCAATCTCTTGGAGCTGAAAACGCAGACCCCAACGAAGACGGGGTGAAGCGTCTTTCGATCACGATACCCGGCTCTTTCGACAACGCGTAGAGCACATCGATTCGATTCAATTCGTCCCACCCGTTTTATCAATACCCATTTTAGTATCCAAAATCGTTCATTAGAAGGGGTTGCTTGCGAGCAAACGTCATCATTCACTTAGACCTTCGTGTATAATACTAGTCCTTAGAGCATAATCTGCCGGGGTCATTTAGAGTCCCGGTATTCAGCATTGGCGATGGCGTTGGAAGGTTTTCGGATTTGGGTGGCTAGGACTGCTTATCGGTATTACTGGGCTGCTGGTGGATAGCCAGGTGGAACGTCACCCTACGGATTTTTTGGGGCACAGGGGTTGTGCCAACTGGGCGTGCTGGGTGGTATCATTTCTTACTGCAAGGCAGCTGGAAATGGCAACGGGCTATTTTAAGACGGTTTCTGCCCATAGCCGAATATAATGCTGCACATCCCGATCCTCGATCGTTCACTATCTGCATCTGCTTTCCAAGTGTGCCGGCACCAACTCATCATAGCAACCGCTGCCAACCCCCCTATCCGCTGCACTATTATGCGGCATGATATAGCCTATAGACTTTCGAGTCAAATAGCCTGATAAAGACAGCCAATCAAGGTCTACAATTGAACCCAAACGACTGGTATACAACCTCAGTTTCGAGTATTTGTCACCTCGGATTGGTGGGTGTATTCTCCAATAGACCCCAATGCTACCAGTAGTATTGAGAACCGCGGTACGGTGCACATCACCGCCCGGAACCCCTCGATCTCACGGCCCGGCTCGTTTACAACGCTACTGCCTCTCCTTCAGCTGCGTGGGCAGATAACGGGTCAATCAGAACAGGTGTTACAGCAGCATGAGGCCCGTACGATAGCAATATTGGGTTGCATGGTCAGAATGTTCTGGCCCCGACATAACTATGCTTGGTTCCCTGCACGCAGCTCGTCATGGCATGACTATTCAAGTTAGAGAGCCGCAAGGTATATAAGACGGAATGCAATTGGGGGCACATCGATACCAGACCGAGCGCTCATGATCTCCCTCGGCATTTCACTCTGAAAATCTCACCATGGCAGGCCTCAGCGTACTCCTATCCGTACTCTACAGCCTAGCTCTGGCCGCCGACTCGCCAAATAAGACAACCGTATCGCCTCCCTTCAATTACACCCGCATCGACGCCGACCTGCGGTTCCTGCCCCCGCCTGACAGCACGTTCCTTCGTCGAGAATGGATCAGTGGCATCATGCCTCAGGCCTGCCGCGACTTTGCCATCCTGAAGAACTTGACACTCGGTGACTTCAGCGTGTACGAGTTTGTCTTTGCGGATTGTGCTAGGCCGTGGGTCATGTGCCAGCACAAGGAATCGTCTGTCAAGATTAACGATCTTGCCTATGTGGGTATTGCACTTTCCCTTCTGGATCAGATTTGGTAAAGTCAAATGGCACTTAAAGATCACCAACCATTTATGACGTGGACCTGGTTGTAGTATCACTGAATTACAGTGTCCTACTATGTTAAAACCTTCAGCATTTAGGGTCCTTGTCAGGCATTCTGGGTTATGTTCAGCGACAATGCCATTCCCATACTCATGAATAGCCCATAACACTGACTGACTTATACTACAACAGACAATCTCCACAACCCCGGTTCTGATGCGCCAGCGCGTCCGCCACTACATGGCCGTGGGCAACACGCACGACGGGGCGGCGGCGACGTGGAGCAAGGGCGACATCGCGTTCCGCCTGGACTTCACCCAGCCCAGCATCGTGCTGCACGAGACGTCGCACGGCATGGACCACCTAGCGCTCAACGACTTTGGCAGCCCCTTCAGCGCGACCGACGCCTGGCGCAAGAACATCGCCGCCGACGCCGCCGTCGTCTCCGACTACAGCAACGTCAACTGGAAGGAGAACTTTGCCGAGAGTACCGTCATCGCCATCTACGACCGCGCCATGAAGATGAGCGGCGGTGGCGGCGTCGAGGCGATTCAGGGGAGCTGGCGACAGGTAAGTTGGTCCCGGAACCTGGCGGGTTGGGATTGCCATTATTGAGATGTGTTGCTGATGATCCCTCAGGTGTATCACGCCTATACCGTCGTCCAGGCCTTTCTGGGTGACCAAATCTGGAGGAACTCGGAGAAGAAGAAATGCTGGATGCGGTACGTGGACTCAGACGTCGTCTTCGCCGTGAACGGCTCAAAGTTCGACACTCAGCAGCTGCTGCTGCCCACCTCGGACGTGCAGGTGATGGAACTCCCCGACCATATCCAAGAAATTGAAGAGCTGCTGGACGAGGCGACGAGTTTCGACGCTGCCGGCGGCACGCATGAGATGCCCACCTTCGTGGAGGAGGAGCCAGAGCGATGTGAGCTAATTCAGTCCTCGCCTGCCTTCTTCTCGTCAGAATGTGTCTTCAGGGTCAAAGGCAGTGTACTTTCAATGTGAATCTGAAAGCTGCTCGGGCTAGAGGAGCACGTCGGCTACATCTTTTTCAGAAATTCAGGGTTCAATTATGCGGACAATACCGATCTAAGTGAGAATCATGATTCAGTGTATGACGTTGGAACTCAAAGTCGAATATATTGGCTTCATGAAGCGTGAGTCATCTTGCCAAGTTTGACTGTATCAGAGCCTTTCAATCCCGTGAGTTGTATTTTCCTATGGTTAAGCATAAATACATGTTATGGCAAGGGCTTCTAATAGTGACAAATATGAAACGGCGGTTTCATGGACCTCAAGGAACTTGGTATATTCGGGCATACTGTCCTCCGGGATTTAGTAGCAACAAAGGACGGCAGGTCTTGAATCTCAAACAAGAATGTCGACTGCTCAAGCCATGTTGGATATACGCAATGCGCAATGGAACAAAAGAAGCCTTCCGTGAATGGCCGCTGTAGCATGAGCTGAAGGTTACATTGACTCTCGGCACCGCAACACTGCCCAAGGGGTTAGAGAAGAGTGTATCGAAATCATGTAATCTTACGTATCACAATTGCTTTGATAGACCAGAGGTATCACGAGAATGCACATATGATCAAGACATGGTATAAATAGACCGGTTGAGTAAGTCTAAGACTTCAGACGTGCCGTGACTCTCAACGACTGCCTTCTTCCCAAGATTCATGGCACCGAAACTAGATACAAACAAATTGACCAAGCTAAGAATACTATGAAGCCTTGATATATCGAAGCTTATCGTGCAAAAGGATAAGGTTCGAAAGACTCGGGCTGGACCAAAAATAGGCACCCAACACCATCTTGAACGAATCCAGAAATCTAAGCATCATATGGAGCTACGTTCATCTCGGAAAACAACGCCTACGTCGCCCAGCCCAGCAAGCTTTCCCGTCGAGAAACGTGAAGGCAGTCCTTCAAATGAGGATCGACCCAAGACGCCTGTCAGAGGCAAAGTCCAGCATCACTGCCCGCGGTATGAACATTCCAAACAGACACAGTGCTTGAGGAAAGGTTGCATTATAAATAGGTCCAAGAGCTTGTAAAACAAGGGCAACATTCCTTGAAGAGCTTGTGTAAGTAACCTTGCTTGTCCTGGTCATTGCGGTATTGAACTACGCTACACACCCTCAATGGAATAATAGCCAAGCGAATCTGTTGCCTGTCCAGATACGCGAGGCCCGATACAGGTCAAACCCCACTGGTGCCGATATGCACAAATCCCTAATACGTCGGATATCGATCAATGACAGACGAACAGTGTCGCGCTTCGTACAGTGCCTGGACAGGTGCTGCTGGCGCTGTGGTCCTGACCGAAAGATGCCCATTCTTAGAAAGCAGACCGACTTGAGCTGGAGTAACGGCCAAGACCGTAACTCAAGTGCAACAAGTAAATTCGCGGAACTGTGGCAAAAAGCTCAAATTCTATGAATTGATATTGTATGTTCTTCTTTTCTATGGGTTTATACAGCTTCTAGTCCTCTCTCCGTAGACGCATTACGTCCTGGCTCAGCAGCATGTACGGGCCCTCCTCCCAAGCGGGAAGGAGCCACCGTGTGGGCAGGAGCAGTCCTCAACAACTGGCATTTAAAAAACGATTCTTGCCAGTGAAAATTCAAATGATCTTGAAGGGTGTCAATCATTCGGCATGGAATGGAACATGGTTGACAGCGAGGGAAACCTCGTCCCTCTGTACCGTTTTGCTCCCGTCGATACGACACCGCCTCCGCCGCCGCCCCCTCCCGTCACGTTCAGTAAGTGCGAATTCGAGTTCATTGATCGCATTCTTACCCCGTTTGTGGCCTGAACACCGAGATCTGGCCCATGGGACATCATGGCCCTGGTCACCCATTTGCTAGCCATTATCAATCTATCTACTATGACCCTCGTACACCGATCTGAAACTGCGGATACAACGGCTGACATGTACGGTTATGTAGCCTGGGCGGAGCTTGAAGCCTTACCGGAAGTAGAACTAGAATCAGAGCCAGAGCCAGAGCCAGAGCCAGAGCCAGAACCAGAACAAGAACCAGAACCAGAACCAGAACCAGAACCAGAGCCAGAGCCAGAGCCACTCGCCCCGAGGGGCAAGAAGAGGAAGAGGGGAGAGGAGGAAGGCGAAGACGAAGATGAGAGGGAATAGGAAGGAGGAGAAGAACGAGAGGAAGTAGCCAAGCTCAATGAAGTCGACATATTCTTTTATCTGATACACTGCAAACCTGCGTAAACGGCGAGCCTTCCATTGTCGCCAAAAATACAGATGTGTTGGGCCTCCCAATATCGATAAAAAACTCATGTTCCCTTCGAATTGTTTGAAAATTAATACTATCTAGAGTCACTTAAAACTACTCGATATTTGAGAAACTTGCTGATCACAGGTGTAGGAATATTGACCTGAGTTGTCGGATGTCTTGAAACCCGGGTTTGTCCGTATTGATAATTATTTTCGCAGCTAGAACCTGGACCGATACTTAACTACTTAATCTTGGAATATTCAGAGCGAGTTGAATGCTCAATTCTTATTATCCTTCCGCCAAATACTTCAGGCTATGTTACTCATGTATGTCATCTGGTCGGGGCAGAAGCTGGATTCACTGGGCTCAAGACCTAGTGAGGTTGGAGACTGGGTCGACTTGGATTCAACACCTAGCCAATTGCCCAGAACACTATTCGCCTCGTGATCTTTGGCCCCACTAGCAGCTTGATTGACGTACTAAAGATTGGCATACGTGCTATGACTGATCAGCCTGGAAGCTATCAATGTATTCATAAGGTCTGGGCAACAAAGGCTGAACTGATCTGACGTAGGCCTTGACCAGCCTCCAAGCGGCATTAGGTCATGATCAAACCAGAGGTTGGCTTTTACTATGTCCAGCGTCTCACCAAGCTATGAACTAGCCATGCTAGTCAAATCTCGAGAGTTGTCGGCCTGCTACTGCCTTATCACTATTCCGTTGCGATATCTGTGCCTTTGAGTCGACCCGAAACAGTGGGACGGAGCCGGGCGCTTCTCATCGATCAATGCACCAGGGCTCAAGGCGATGCCCGGTAGTCAAGGGTATAATTGTTACATGAAAGAAAGTTCAGTCACGCTTGGATTGCTCGTGTCATCTCCTATGTGTCTAACATGAGTAAATCAGTAATATAATGATACGTTGTGGGTTGTATTATCAATATTACTCATCCCTCACGATAGCTTTGAATCATATATCGCCAACATCCCTTCCATCGTGGCATGCTCAAAGTACAATGTTTAAGATCGCATTTAATCGAACTTATACATATCCTGCTCAGCTCGGGGCCTTCACTTGAAAAGCTTTGCCTACCATCAGCTGCCGACTCTGATTGGCTGAGCGAGGATATGACCAGGATGTGATTAAGGTTTTGTTGGAACGGAAGGCATACTGCATTTGCTCGAACGACTATTATGTTGGATGTAAAACAGAAAGACACCATAGGACGAGTCAGTCCTCTCAATTTCTTGCAACATTGAACGGATTTGCTTGCTAGGTCTGAAGAAGAGGTGCTGGGCTATGACGTGGGCTCACGCTTGCTCTGGCTACGATTATGACATTTTTCGTTCTAGTCGATGCTTTCGAATCCTTCAAATCGGCCACTCAAGACATTGTTCGAACTGCCGTGTATTATTTGCATAAATATGTGCACTCAGCAGACTCCACTTCCAGTTGACGCGTGCTTTATTGCTTCCCATTTCGAGATCCCAGCCTGACCAACAAGATGGCGCTATCTGAGACCTTCCCTGCAGCCTCCTGACGGGACTAAGGGTGCGACGTGAAGATCTTGCAGCGCCTTGCCCAACATTGCTGCCTCATCTGTTCCGAGAAAGTCCCCGCATCCATGGAGCTTCACAACACCATATGAGGCTTTGCAATATCTGCTTCAGGCCTCCTGCATCAACAGCTCAGCTATGTCGGGCCGTCTTACTTTCAAAGTGCATTCAAATGGAGCCGGATGCCTTCCAGGAATGTCAGCAAATAGTCACGAAGCAACAGGCGGTAAGCTTACCCGCCAAGACCAATGGAAACCCCAGGCTCAGGTACCTTGGGTTTACCGTCTTCACCTATCACCTGCTCCAGCTCGAACGCAGCTAGGAAGGTCGCCAGGAACATATAAACACTTGCAAGGGCAAGGAAATTACCAGGACATTTGCGACGACCAAAGCCAAAGTTGCCGCTGGGGTAAGGCTCACCCCTAGTGTAACGCTCGGGATCGAACTTGTCCGGCTCCTGATAAGTGTCGGGGTCTGTGGTCATAGCGGTCGTGTTCGCGAACACGGTCGTCCCTGCTGGGATGAACATGCCCTCGTACACGTCATCTTCCAGGCTCTTGTGCGGGATTACCAACGGATTGAGAGGTAGGCATCGCATGGTTTCCATCATAAAGTTATCAAGACGCTTCAACCTCTCGCGGTCCTCAAAGGTTGGCAGCCGTGGCTGCTCACCGGCGTCCAGCAAGGAGTCGATCTCTTCTTGAACTTTCCTCTGTCTCTCCGGGTACTTGGTTAGGAAGAGCAGGTTGGAAAGGATTGTGCCCCACGTGCTGTTACCTCCGGCGATAAAGACGGCGCCAGTCGCGCCTTTGATATCTGCCATGGTCATCTCTTGTTGTTTCCCAGCCTTTTCGTTCTCTTTATACTTCTGCCAATGCATCTGCATGAAAGACGGCGCCGCATTACCTGCCTCGATATCCTTGATGTTGGCTTCCCATGGTTCATTGTGTATGGTTTGGATGGCTGTCCGACTTGCTCGAGCATGTCTCAACGGCGCTGAAGGGTTAAACCAGTTTGGAATGAAGCGAGCCAACGGAAATATATCAACAAGTGTTGAGCCAGCGATACCACCGTTCGTTGTCGCATTGTTGGCAGCCTTCGACATGTCGCAATATGGAGATTCCTTGTCCGTGATCTCCTGGCCAAAGGCTATGCGAAATATGATACTGGTGGTAAGAAGCAGAGTAATCTCCTGCCAGTCTGTTGGGTCGTGGACGAGAGACCTCACAGCTTTTCTCGACTCATGAAGCTGGATGGACCGGAATGTCTTGACGTTGGACTGCGTGAATGTGTTTTGAAAGAGGCGGCGATGCAGCTTGAATTGGGGACCCCATCTCAGGAAAGTCAATGTAAGCCCCCATCCCATACTTGGTCACGTTAGAACAAGGAACTAATGAGGCCGAGCAGAGATACATACACCTCAAACAGAGTAAACCGTGGTCGGTCACAGTAGTTGGCCCCTCGGCGATCAAGGAGGTCTGTTGCGGCCTTGGCGCTGTTTAGACATATCATGTGCTGTCCAAGCACATTGGTATAAATGACATCAGATCCTGCAAATGTTAGTATTTGGCGCGCTATAAGTCCGCAGATCGGTTTGCCTACCATATTGCTTGCCCCATCGAATATAGTCTTGCTCAGGGTGGTCAATACTAAGCTGGCCTAGGTTTCCGACTAAGAATTTCCCAGGCGGCCCTGGAGGTAACGGATACGGGCTATTTCTGCGTAGGCGCCGAGGATATACCAGGCACAGGGCAGAAGCCAACAGCGCCGTCCCGACAAGCACCAGGACGGGATCTACAGGAGGCCAGGCCATGTTAGTCTGTACAGTGATGGACTTGACGTCCTCAAGCACCGACTTGGTGAGACACCAGCTGCTTGGATCAGCCAGCATGGCCGTCAGCCGCACACGAAAGGCAAGGAGCACAGTCGATGACTTGCAGTAGACCCGATCCAATGGCATCAAGAGAATTCGTCACTGTCATCACTGAGCGAACTCCCCACAATTTGCCGGCATCCTCCGCTAGCAGTCTTGGGAATCCGCCGAGCTTTATAGTACAATGGTGAGCTATCAGATGTCTGCTGGCAGTTAAGGGACTCTGGTCAACAGGCGGAGCGGCTGTATGACAGTCGAGACTATTCCGGTGACTCACAGTCATCTCCCAGCCCTCAAATCCAGATCAGGGAGCAGAATCCGTGCCAAGAATGCTGCCAGTATACAAACTGGTGAGCTGGCCGAGCTACGGCCGTCAGATGCCCGCTCCGCAGCCCAGAAGGATAGATGGTCTGTCACAGGCCAATTACATTGCTGCAGAAACTTATGATGATCGTGGAGCAATGACATGTGGCGGCCGCCAACCCGTGCTGCCACACCACACACTTTGAGGCGAGGGGCACACCATGCCAGCTCGCCTATCTGTGCAATGAATTAGGGTGGGAATTCAAATTTTGCAGGCTAGTAACGAGCATCCACGCAGCAAGATCTACCACCGGTGCCGGCCGGTCCAGTTGCTAGCGGATGGGTCTGAAGTTCAAGTCCCGAAAGCCGAGCGCCGCCGTGATCCTAGCCCCAGCTTCACTAGACGGCCGTTTGCTTGACTCGACCGATGCGAAAAAGTGGGACGGCACGTGGGATTTGCCTCTAAAGGCTGCTGTAACCCAGAACGCTTTGGGAGTTGCCAGCATGTTGACTTGCATAGACGAAAAGCGTTATTCCCGAGGCTTCTAGAGACACCCGGACCAGAATTCCATGTTTTCATGCCAAGGGAAATGTTCATGATGCCATCGTGCGGCGCTTGTGCAAAGCCGGCCGCAGCCGCCTGAAACATTGGATTTGATCATTAAACGCGTGAACTCTGATCAGTAACTCGACTATATCCTTAGTGGGCCAACGGTCAGGTTTTCATCAAACTTGACAGCAGTTGTCGGACTGTCCGCCGCTTTGCCGTGGGTAATTCCTCGATCTTGCTCCGTTCGCCCATGGGCCATGGCAGGCACAGGAGATCTGACAGCGACGTTGCACAAGCACGGCATCCGTGACCACGTGTTGCATAGTGATATGCGAGCCATCACTTCGGCTGATCCGTGCTTATATTCCAACACTTTCCTAAAATCTCTTTGGGCGGTCTTGGGAGGGTGATCAAAGTAGACGTCGAGACTGGCATGGTATCATGCGTCACAACCTCACTGAGGGTCTTGGGTCGGAAACTCACCAGGTCGATAGCGCCGGTTCAGTATTGATGCGCCAAGATGCTTCTTCCTGTTTGTATGCAAGATGGCCAGGCGCATGTTGGTTTCCGAATGGCCTATGAGGTCTTCGCAAGCCCCTAAAAGTGTGGGTCGACATCTGTCAATTTATGGTCTTGGGCGCTGGCTTTTTCACTCGATTACACGTTCGCTGCAAGGTTTCACGCCCAGGTACATAGACGTTCCGAGAAGGGGTGTAGTGCAGAGACATATATGAATACGCATGAAAACGACATAGCTCTCCATGTCTAATTACAGAGGTCTAAACCTTACGCGCCGCGGGATGTCTGTCCACTCGAGCTGTCCCTGGTGTGGCGTGACAGCATGGACGAGTGATCGGCCGTTATGACACCCTGTAGCGGTCGGTAGGCCTGAGGCCATGTCCTCACGGGCCGAGGGTCCCTGCTGGCCCTTGCTTTTACCGCCCGACTTAGCTTGTCCTCCAGGGTCTGTTTCTCATATATCCCCCGCTGCCCAGAGCCTGGGGGACTAGGCTTTTCGCTCGTGCGCCCCGTCATCCGCAAAACCAACGAGCCTTTGAGTATCGCAGCGATAAACTAGTTCTTGCAGAGCGTCGCACTGCCCTCTACGCATGCACCGGCGGCCTGGCCATTGACCCCTGCCGGCCCAAGGTTTGCTGAGCCGGCGCTGAAGTCCGCAACGGCTGGTCGCCGCGAGGTTGATTGGTTGGGTCACCTACCAAATTGCCAGAAACCTTGCGGCAGGCAAGCTTCACGGCAACTCTAAAAAAGTCTCCGCTATATCCAAGCGACCCAAGATCTGTCGTGCAACTACCTGCCCCCGCTTGGTCACGATGGACAATCCTCATCCATCCGGCAACACACCGAATAGTCTTGGGTCTCCACAGTCCCCGGCGTCGGGCAGCGGTAAATTCCCACCGTCTGGAGGCCCCATCAAGCGCCGAGCCCCTATCGCGTGCCGGAGGTAAGCAAGCCTTGTATACATGAGGACTCTCGGCAATCGCTCCCGACATTGACCGCTACCAACACAGATGTCGGCGTATGCGCAGCAAGTGCCTGCATGAGAAAGATCCTCCCTGCAAATCATGCCTCGAGGCTGGGGTGCCCGAGGAGTGGTGAGTGATGATTCCCACCACAGTCTCCGTCGGTCCTAGGATACTCATGTCTATGCCTGTGCAGCGAGTTCCCAAGTCGTGGAGACCCTGACGAGGATCGGTCTTTTCGTCATCCCCGCCAAAGGGCTGATAGGAGGTCCAAAGTCGACACCACCGGAGTGAAAAGGGAATCGGTGTCCGCTCCAGGGTTTCAGGATACACTCACGAACGCAAAGCTTCCCAAATGGGAAGACGAGTGGTCACTACTTCCTGAAATCGACATCGTAAAAGAAGGTGTTATTGCCTTCACCCTCCACTTTTTCCAGTTGGGGTTTATACCGAAGGAGAGGTTCCCTCTGCAGATCGAGCAAAACCCAAGCTCTGTCAGCGTGTTCTTGCTTTTGAGCATCCTCAGTATCTCTGCAAAGTTCAACAAGAAGATTCAGATGCGCTACGGGGCAAGTCAACGAGCAGTTGAGTGGTTCATGAGGAGCGCAGAAAGGTTGGCTCTCAATGAGTTGTATCAACAACCGACGCTGGAAAGATGTCAAGCGTTCTTGCTGTTGAGCATCGCCCAACAAGGCAACGGGATGACGAACTCCAGCTATGTAAGATACTCCACCTATGCTACGTACGCATTGTCTTTACTGACAGCTTAGATCAACATGGGGGTGGCCACAAGAATGGCTGCGCTAATGAGACTTCATCGTGAAGAGACATATGAGCGAGTAACATCAAAGTCATCGCCCGAAGAGATTATACGTGCCGAGTCGGCCAGGCGCACCTTTGTAAGTTACGCCCGCGCATCGCTTCCGTCAAACGCATATAAATAACATGCTGTCAGTGGGTATTACACAGCCAGGACAATCTACATAGCGGCCCGTACAAACCCGTGTCGCTCGCTTCTAGCGATATCACCGCTCTTTTGCCGTGTGACGAGGAAGATTTCAAGAACGCGGTAGTTCCGCATAGCCGGGCAGCATTAGAAGGAACAATACCCGCTACACATCACCCACACCTGACCACACTCCGTCCAAGATCACTGTTCGCAACACTCATCCAGACTCACCATTTATGGGGTATCGTTGCGCGAAGGGCTGTCGCAAATGAAAAGAGCTCAAAGCCAGGAAATGACAGTAGCGACTACTCGAGGATGGCTGCACGACTGCGGTATTTTGAGGACAACCTCTTCCAGGACCACAAGTTTGGCATCAAATCATTGAAAGGACACAGGCAGGACAACGAGGATCTTGTGAGCATCCAGCGCCGAGATTTGACCTCAAATGCATGAGCTGACCATTACGAGGCATTCTTAAGTTGTACGGCTGGCTTACGACTTTGCAACATCGTCTTGAGAAAGGCCTACATGGATGAGTGAGTGATGGGGCAGCGGCGAGAATTCAATGATAATTTAAAGTCTAATCAACGTGTTCAGGATGATTCAGGCAGTACGAAGCAACCCCAGAGATCCTAGTGCCCAGGTTTATCGCAAGATGGCGGAAGAGCTTGTGGACAACGTCAGGATGTTGTACGAGCAAGTCGACGCTCAATACAGCGATGACCGATTATCCGAGGAAAGGGTTGGGTCACAGATGGCTGTAAGTGACACCAAGCGTCGACCTTGTGACAGGATGACTAATTCAGGTGGTAGACGTTCACTATATACGGCTGCGGTCTACTAGCCGCTTACATGGTGAAGTTTCCTCAGCGTAAGGTCTACCCTTTACAGTTTCCTCCGTTTCCTCAGCACGTCTTATTAAATTTTCTGTAGTTGATATCCACAGACGTCCTGATGAAGTTCGTGTGGAAGGAAAGATGATGTACGACCGTACCGTCACTATCTTGGAGGAGGCTCAAGCCATGTGGCCACTTGCCTCAAGTTGGCTCAGAGGTTTGAAGAAATGGTTTGAGGATCCAAACACCAATAGGGTTCCTTTCGAGAGCGGAACCATGACAGATGGGGTAAGGATTCATGTGGACTCTGTTTGTTATATTTTTGTAACTGACTCCATCCACAGCAAGATCCACAACCACACGCACTACTACACCCCCCAACATCGACTTCTTCCTGGCAGAACAAGATGTCTACACTATACCGCACAAAGTCTACGCCCCCACGCACGCTGGACACACGTCACAGTCCTATGGTACCAGACCAAGAACCCACGACTCTACCGCCGTTACAGCATACATCCATGACACCGAGCCACGCAGAACCACTCTCCCTGCCTCCAATCTCCCCATACGCACATCATCAACCGACCCCACCACCCCAGTACCAGGTGTCACACCAACCCATGGGGCATCCCGGTCAGCACGAGGGTTTCTACGCCCTGTATCAGGCTGCCCACCACCCAGCGCCACCACAACACCATCCACCGGGAGTTTACCCCAATGCCTATGTGGCGGACTACCAGTCAATATCGATACCGGACGACGGGTTCGGATTCAATCTACAGCAAATGCTGGACCCCTCGTGGTCTGCCCCCAATGCGCCGGCCGCCCTCTACAATTACCAACAGCCTAATATGCAGCAGTACCCTCCGTAATCACTGCGTCTCTGTTGAGCATGGCACATCAGCCAGAGGAAAAGTCAGACATATAATCTTAAACCTCGCCTTATAATCATGAGTCCAGAGCGTGCACGTATACTTGTTTGGTTGGAAAATTGAATTACTGGGGAGTCATGTATAGTGAGATCTATCTGACCGAAGATTTGACATTGTATATGCTCCTCCAACAAAGCCGATCCACGAGATCTAACATACCCACGACAATTAGAGGCGTTTGCAAATTACGGCTCGAAGCAGTAGAATTTTCCCCAATGGCAGCCTCACATTTGATGGGTAGACGTGGGAAAGCACTTACACATTGGCATCAGAGGCGGATAAGAAGCAGGACGCTCTTCGAAGCAGTTATCTATAATATAACACACCGTCAAATCTATGCAAATTGCTTATGCCAGTGGATGTGACTGTCCCATTGTTTTCATGCTAGACAACACATGTGTAATCCTTCTGTTAGTCGCATTATCGCTTTGTTATTTGGATTCAAGCCATCTGATCATGCCGGTTCGGTCGGATGGCAACAAGGTCCTACATATCAGCTCTCGTCCCATAATTCAGCCTTTTCGCCTTTTATTCAACTATTCCTACAGTTGCTCCTCTATAAGTTTCTTGTGTATTGCAACGTTTTCAAACTGCCTCATGAAACCTGATTGAGAACCTGGAGTCTCATCATAATTGAGGCTATTATAAGTCAAGATGCCTTTAAAAACAGAGTTCATCACAGGAACCACTGCGGAACCGCTGCTCGAGGCCGAATCCAGGGAGGCGGTGTTGCAAATGTGCCGCTGCCTAAATCTTCGCCTGGCATAGTCCCCGACGAAGCACCATACGGAGTTGCGCTAAGCCCGACCATATATCAGTGGAGGACGATGCCTCTGCGGATGACTCATAGAGGAAGGCGGTGATTCAGTCAACTGCCTCGCCACAATGGGCATCTTCTGGTCGACCGAAATGATCAGATCACGCCTCTAGCCAAGGTGGACTCCCTGGTGTTTGATTTCCTAACTATTATCAGGAAGGTGGCATCGTTTGGAGGAGGTTGCTCGGTGTTGTTAGGTACGTATATTACAGGTTGTTATCCGATACGCGTCCGAATTATCAGGGGGGTGCCCCCCAGGCGAGACGCCAGCCTGCATGGCAATAATCACTCTGAAGCATCTGTCTCAACGTCAGGTGATCTACCTAACATCCCAGTAAACCATACGACAAGCCACATGCGAGGAGCCCACCATGGTACCAATGTTTCGACCACTGGAGCCTGTTCAAGGGCCTTGATCGCCGCGGTGTTATGGAAAAGGTAAAGGGATACCTCAACGGAGATGATAGGGCGCTGAACCTCCCGGCAGCGAAGGATGAGAGTGATGACATGGTCAAACTCTGAGGTAGCGGCGGCAATTGTATTTGCCCAGACTCTCTAATTGCCTAGATATCACGGGACGAGGCAAAACGCATATCTCTGGGCACCTTTGCCTGAGATAAAGATCAAACCACCACTAATCGTTATGATTGTTTGGTTGGTAGTATAACACTTAGTAACTGCATAATCCTACGCCTTAGAATATTTAATTTCCTTCTTAAAGATGAATGGCCATGCTATTCAATATTTGTTTTAGGTGACTTCAACAGCCTATTGCCTCTCCTCTTGATCCAGGACTACATCTCGGTGGCGGTGCATTTGAGCTTGTACTTTAACATAGACCCTAGATCCCCCTATCGCATGTCTGACTGGGCTGTGCCTCTACGTCGCACTGCACCAGCTATCGTGGATCTGACAGCCAGGACGAAATAACTCCGGCCTAGGAAGAGGCTACTCAGAAGGGAATTGCATATTAACCCAGTGCACTTGCAAAGGAGGCGCTTGCTCAGACAGTTGCGCCATCTCAAAGATGTGCTCCCGTGCCCCAGAGACTGAGCAAATGCAGGAGCCCATAAATGCGTCGTACATGCTGCAGTTTCTCACAAGTGTCTCAAGCCCAAGCGGGATTGAGGCGCCTCGCAACGTGGCCAAGAACGAAGACATATACGACTTTAAGGTGTACTGGTATGTGAAAGTAAGACACAGAATCCTCCTGCCTATTTGTAGGATAGAGGTTGTAGGGTTTGTAGGTTTGCTTGTCCAGGATAACAGAGCCCTGTGGTGCCAGCCAGTCGCAGTGTCCGCTGGCCACTTCGTGTCGTATCAGAGACTAGACGTACCATACCAGACATGCGAAACCCGCATACCGGAAGACTCGCCGGATGATACATCTTCGATAACAAGCCAAGAGGCGCATTCATGGCACTACAAAGATTGCTATTTTTGGCGTGACGACGTAGCTGGTGCAGCGCAACGTGGAGGTACAGCCCAGTCAGACATGCGATAGGGGGATCTAGGGTCTATGTTAAAGTACAAGCTCAAATGCACCGCCACCGAGATGTAGTCCTGGATCAAGAGGAGAGGCAGTAGGCCTGTGAGACTGTTACAACACAGGATGCATTGTTACCCCGTGGGCACGCTTGCTCTTGAAAAAAGAGTACGTCCCATATATCATCTGTGAAGTGGATACGCCATAACTTAGGGACTCACGCCGTGCCCGAGCCTGATTATCTGAAATCCCTGTGGTGGCACTAAGAAATGGCCGCACGGGTAAGGCCAGGGCGCTTTTTTAGTGGGCACTGCATGGATTGTGCTTCCCAGTCGAGCTTAGACCGATGTACGAAATAATGCATCAACCAGGCAACGAGGCACCAGTTTCATGTGCTGAGAGAAGAAAAAATATTCAGATGGTGAGGGGTAAAAACAAGGCTCAAGTGTGACGTCGCCCGATACCTAGTCTGATGGCGACTTAGCTACCTCTTGTGTACCTAAGTGCAATATTGAGAATAGCAAACTTGATCGAAAGGGTAGATTGACGCCGCGGAATTGTCGAATTTGGCAGTGGAATCACATTAGAATAATTGTTTATTCCATGAGGAGTTGGGTGGTATACTGTTGCTTGTCTAAATAGTCCTATTAGGGTAATGAGGGGCAAATGCCAGAGACCACTGTGGTGCATACATCCGAAAGTGACGTCGCCCGATAACCCAGTGGCGACTCGGGATTACCTGCGGTTATGCCAGTAGCAGGCTGAGCGGATGAATGAATTCATGCCATGGGATTGCCATGTTGACAGTGGGATCACACTGGGATATCGGATTATTCCATGGATAGTCGTATGGTAATACCGCCAGAAGAGAGTTGCTTGACAACGGATCCCAGTAGGATGTTGAGGTGCATCGATGGATACTTGGCTGCGTTTCGACTTAGGTAGAGGTACCTAAGGGATCCAGCGCATGAGGCGCAAGTGAGGTCGGGCTGTTGAGTCACTCCGGGATTTTCACTGATGCCCAAGCAACGGACCCACAAGTGGCTATCAAAGGCGAAAAAATATTCACACAAGAATTTTTTAGCTGGATCTGCCGCTGCTGACCGCCTAGTGCGGGGTTCTGACAGACTTTGCCCTCCCATTTGGTTTAAGAACAGAGCCCTCGCTCCTCCATTTGCATCGTTTGGACTTGGAACCTCGTCTGGCCTACCAAGATTCGAAGCAATCTTTCCTGCCAAAAGTGAGTCGCCATCCTCGCCTCGAACATCATCTTCGTCTTCATCTTCATCCTTTTGATGCTAACATCACCCACTCGCAGTTTCACCTTCAGAACACTTCACCACACCGAGAACCTGACATACCGCAACCATGGGGTACGGACGCGCCCACCACCCGACCGATATGAACGCATCGCTGACATCCAACGCAGTAAGGAGAAGGCTCACATCAACATCGTCGTTATCGGCCACGTCGATTCCGGCAAGTCCACCACTACCGGTCACTTGTAAGCTCCCCGTCGCCTCGCGTTGCTGCCCCACCTCAGACTAACTTGCATCTAGGATCTACAAGGTTCGCCCATCACTCCTCACCTCCAACATCTCTCAATACTGACAAGAATTCGTTTTCCAGTGCGGCGGAATTGATAAGAGAACTATCGAGAAGTTCGAGAAGGTCAGTTCATTTCCGCGTTCAGAATTATCACGATGGCTTCATTGCGAAGTTTGGCGGCGATCCGAGGTGAAACGGGCGAGTTTCGCTATGCTGCGTGGCCCCGCGACCCTCGGACCCCACCAAAACTCGTACCCCGCTAAGCGCGTGAGAAAAATTTTAAACTTGGGCTGCAAGACTGACACATGCATCACAGGAAGCCGCTGAGCTCGGAAAGGGTTCCTTCAAGTACGCATGGGTTCTTGACAAGCTCAAGGCCGAGCGTGAGCGTGGTATCACCATCGATATTGCTCTGTGGAAGTTCGAGACCAACGAGTACAATGTCACCGTCATTGGTTAGTACCCCTCCTCATCCCTGTAACGGAACCCATGTCGTCGTAGCGATGCGCTAACTCTGGCGATAGATGCTCCCGGTCACCGTGACTTCATCAAGAACATGATTACTGGTACCTCGCAGGCTGACTGCGCCATTCTCATCATTGCCGCCGGTACTGGTGAGTTCGAGGCTGGTATCTCCAAGGATGGCCAGACTCGTGAGCACGCTCTGCTCGCTTTCACCCTCGGTGTCAAGCAGCTCATTGTCGCCATCAACAAGATGGACACCACCAAGTGGTCTGAGGCCCGTTACAAGGAGATCATCAAGGAGACCTCGTCCTTCATCAAGAAGGTCGGCTACAACCCCAAGGAGGTCCCCTTCGTCCCCATCTCCGGTTTCAACGGTGACAACATGATCGAGGAGACCACCAACGCTCCTTGGTACAAGGGTTGGGAGAAGGAGGTCAAGGGCGTCAAGAAGGACGGCAAGACCCTCTTCCAGGCCATCGATGCCATCAACCCCCCCAGCCGTCCCACCGACAAGCCCCTGCGTCTTCCCCTCCAGGATGTCTACAAGATTGGCGGTATTGGCACGGTGCCCGTCGGCCGTATCGAGACCGGTACTCTGAAGCCCGGTATGGTCGTTACCTTCGCCCCCGCCAACGTCACCACCGAGGTCAAGTCCGTCGAGATGCACCACCAGCAGCTCCCCGAGGGTTTCCCCGGTGACAACGTTGGTTTCAACGTCAAGAACGTCTCCGTCAAGGAGATCCGTCGTGGCAACGTTGCCGGTGACTCCAAGAACGACCCTCCCCAGGGTGCCGCTTCCTTCAACGCCCAGGTCATCGTCCTGAACCACCCCGGTCAGATCGGTGCCGGTTACGCTCCCGTCCTGGACTGCCACACCGCCCACATTGCCTGCAAGTTCTCTGAGCTCCTCGAGAAGATTGACCGACGTACTGGTAAGTCCGTCGAGGCTTCGCCCAAGTTCGTCAAGTCTGGTGATGCCGCCATCGTCAAGATGGTTCCCTCCAAGCCCATGTGCGTTGAGGCCTTCACCGACTACCCTCCCCTCGGTCGTTTCGCCGTCCGTGACATGCGTCAGACCGTCGCCGTCGGTGTCATCAAGTCCGTCGACAAGTCCGCCGCTGCCGGTGGCAAGGTCACCAAGTCCGCCGCCAAGGCTGCCAAGAAATAAGCGCTTTCCAGCATGGAATCCATTCCTTGCGCGATGGGTCACGCAACATTGGCTCATCGACTGCGTGTACCACTTGTCATGACATGTCTACGCCTTACGACCTTGCACTGTTGATGACTCGGAATCGGGTGGGCACAATATGAGAGGAAGGGTTATGGACTTTTCTGCGACAGCTTTTCTCATGTTGTGCTTGTAGTACGAAAAATAGAGTCTAGAAAAGTGTCTCCTGAACTAAATGCCTGCTTCTTCCTGTTCTACGTGACCTGGTGACTTGCTGTCTTGGTAATGTAACGTGCATCATGATGTCTCGCCAGTAATGGTCCTTGCGCCACCTTCTCACGGCCAAACCCGAGTTTTGATGTCTCCGTCGGGAACATGACTCAGCAGGGGCGCCAGCCGAGTCCAATACTTCCTTGCCTTTGCTAACTGGCCGGGAGGTTTTCAAGGCGATTGGCTGCCAATTAGCTTTCGTGTAAGATCAAAGTGATACGTGAGAGCATCGCTATGTGTAATATATGTATTGAACAGTAATTTACATCTGTCTATGGTGATATTTCGCCGAATATTCTACAACCGCCTATATGTACATGAGGTCTTCATATCGTTACAAACTTTCACTTGGCCGAGTTTCCAGCCCAGGAGTCTGCTTTCCGGGCAAATGCCAAGCATGCACGCAGGTAGTCGTCGTGCAGTTCCCGGCCAGAGGCTTCACCATTTTCGCCCAGCTCATCCGCAGGGGTGGTTGTCTCGTGTGAGGAGGCCGTGTCACTATCCTCAGAAGGTACCGAAGAGGCGATGGTGGGGGTAGGCAATACGGACACTGGCCTTAGGCTCAGTTCGCCTCTCCTTCCTCCGCCCTGCCCGGCTTCAATCGAGGTGTACGTGACGCTGAAGCGCTGATCCTCGGGGTACGCCACGCTGACACTGCGGTGCAGCTCCAGGCCGACAAAGTCGTAGAGCGTGCTCCACAGGTCGGACTGGGACTCGTCAGCGTCGGCGGTAGGCTGCTCTTCAGCGCTCTTGGCCTTCTTCGGTTGCTGCTTCGGCCACGCCGGCTGCTCTTGCGTCTTTGCGAACAGCCGGACGGGGATCTGGAACCGCTGCTGCGGCGGCATCTCGAGCTTGCCAGCGCGCAGGTCGAGGCGCGCCCGGCGCAGGAAGTCGGTCAATGGCTGCCATTGCTCGATCGCCTCGGGTCCGCCCTCTAGCGCTACAGCTTCGGTCTGTGATATGCGTAGATCGACAGGTTCGGCCGGCTGCATTACGTCGTGGTGGTGTGTATCGACGACGGCGCGCAGGGAGTGCACGCCTGTGATCATGGGCTCTTTTGAGACGGAGTTTGGTTCGGAAAGGGTTAGCCGGAGCTCGAGGGCGGGCGCACGGAGGGTCTCGGCCGGGGCTGACCCGCCAGGGGAGGGGAGGAATCGGATCAAGATCGTCGAGGAGATGGGATACATAGTGTCCTCGCGTGTCTCGAAGTCGGCAAGGATCTCGGGGTGCGGGACGAGCGGAGAGAATATTCGCTGGCGATCGGGTGCTCGGAGGAGCGTTGTGACGCTCGGCGCCTCCACCGTATCGGCATGAAGGACATGGCCAAAGACAGCACTCGTTGAAGTAGACGATCTCGGAGACCATCGTACCGGTTGGTAGGGAAATCGAGTCAGCTCTTGAACTTCGGGGGCGGAAGCGGCCTCTAGGAGGCGTGCCGACAATGAGCCCAGGTCCTCGACAGTAGTATCCGCTAGTTTAGATGCGAGCAGGGTTTCTTCAAGTGGTAGAGCGAGGGTGAGCGGGACCTTGGCGACCTCAACAGCGTCGTCGACAGGTGCTGCCAACATCTCAGGCTCTGAAACCGTTGCTGGTAAAACGTAGCGTGCCCATGGCTCAAGCTTATTCTTCCAAGCCCATTTTTCCTTGTTGGTATGATCAATCAAGTATCGCCCGTGAGTTGTATCGTCGAGCGATGTCGGAAGGTGAAGCTTTCGGGTGGCGGTATCGGGTTGGAGGGCGGTCAGGAGCAGTCGGAAAACGGTATGAGATAGATCCTCGACCTCGTACTGATCGCGACTCGCAATCTGGAGCCAAGTAACGTGTATCTGTTGAGCAAGCAATTTAGACAGTGTCACAAGCGAGTAGGGGCGGTACATGCTCATAGAAAGGCCAAAGATCACTTACCCGTTTCCCTGTGTCGCTAAACCTCACGTGTGTGTTTGTTATACGCCCAAGCTCCTCAAGCAAAGCATCAGTGAGATCCTCGGGTCGTGAAGTGACCTGGGATACAGGAAAGGTGCTCTGCCTAATCCTTTGTAGGGTGGCATCGAGTTCCTTGATGATGGTTTGGGACTTGACCCGTGTTGCGACGATACGGAGTGTCTTCTGGTTATTGAAGGCTTCAATGTTCTCGCCCGGGTCCAGGTACATGTTACTGAGTAGTCGCAAGAAACGCCGTGTGCCACGCATCAGCAGGACAAACTGGTGAGCATGCAGCGTGATCTTGATCTCCCCAAGCCCGTTCATCAGCTCCTGGATATGCAAGCCCCAGCATTCTCGCATGATCCGAACGGCTGCTCGGGCCTTGTCGCTCATCTTTGGTGTGACATAGCCATACAGATCTCGGTTCGAGCCATCACCGCCGCTCAAGGGCCGCCGATTGGAGCCCAGGGGAACCCAGGGCGTACACTGACGGATCCATTTGAACTGAGAGGCATAGACGTCGAGCTCTTGCGGTCCGTTCCCCAGGGGTGTAGCTGCCGACTCCGTGGTTTTCTTTTCTGCCTTGAAGGACTCGAGGTACCAACTCAGCTGAGACTTCAGGAAGCCTTCTTCCAACTCATTGCGTATCCTTCGAAACCTTTTCTGTGACAGGTAGATCTCGGACTTGGGTCGTAGCTCGTTGATATTGTCGCGCACTTCGGTTTCGGTAGCAGGAACGAGCTGGCTGTCGAGGAGGGCCTCGATATCGACTCGCTCTTTAGAGCTCTCGTCGGCGTTGTCGCTGCTGACCGCTCGTTTCTTCGGCCTGTACAGACCACCATCCCTCATGACAATTGCATAAGCAGGCTTTCCCAGCATGTCAGAGCCCAGGCTTTCTGACGTTTCTGTCAAGATCTTCTTTCCAGAAAGATGCCGCTTCCGTATATTGAGCCTCTTCATGGATCTGAAATTCTTTTCCCGTGGTATTCGGGGCGGCCTGGAAAGATCTGGGTACGGTTCCCCATCGTCGAATGGTTCGTTCCGGCCGAGGTCGCGGTTTGTATCTTCTTCCCACAGCCGGTTGTCGTCATGTTTCGCATCTGGCTCGCCATCCCGAGCAAACGCCTCGTTGGCGAACCATCGCCGCGTGGTTTGGCTGTGGTCAACTAAGACACGGCCGGCACGGAGCGGGAGTATACGACGCGGCAGGGCGGATTGGCGAAGGAGGAGCAGGCGGCACCCGAGACAGACGGCGCCACTGGAGGCAGTCCTCGAGATCATGAAGATAGTGGGCCAGAACGACGGGATCGTTCTCGTACTCCGATAGACACCGACATGGAATTGCTCCCAAGACAAGACGTAGAAGGCATTCAACGGGACTTTTTTGCGACTATAGTCCCGATTAGGCAAGGACCTAGGAGCTGCGGGCCCTGCGTTCTTCCGGCCCGGGACGCGACTCAATTAAGCAAAAGACGCGTCGGGTTCCGTCCCGTCTCGCTGGAAGTTTGGAGGCGGACTTGCGGCCAAATTCAGTGGTGTACGTCCCTACCGTAGCCACCTAGCTTAGAGTATTCTAGTTCATGTAATCCATCGTAGCGGGCACCTGAGAAGCGAGGGACAGGTCCCGGGAACTAACTTAGACCCCACGTTCTGACAGGGTCTTCCAAGTGTGCCTGTTTGTCACGGATTTGCTGCGAGACATCATTGACAGACAAATCTGTTGCAATCCGCGACCGCTTCCTGCGGTCATCCGTCTATACCTACCTCAGGTATCTACCCGTCCGCTACAATGCCGCCGCAAACCCAGAGAAAGCGGCGAGCTGGCGACTATGAAGATGAAGATGTACCACGCCAGCGCCAGCCCAAAAGACAGGGCGACTCCGAAGAAGACGAAGAATCAGAGCCCGAAGAGGACGGCGACGTAGATATGTCAGGCGCCGGATCCAGCGACGACGCGCAATCGGTCAAGAAGTTGGTGCGGTATGCCCTCGCGTGCGAATACGCCAGGGTACCCATCAGACGAGACGGCATACGAGACAAGGTGCTGGCAAGCAATCCTCGCTCCTTCAAGAAGGTCTTTGACGGTGCCCAGTTGCAGTTGCGCCAGGTCTTCGGCATGGAGATGGCTGAGCTGCCGGCGAAGGAGAAACGGACCATTAAGGAGAAGCAGAGTAAGTCCATTCTCTCTCTAGCAGCTCGACAACTTTACTCACAGGCATTGTGAACAGAGGCAAATGCCGCGCAGAGAAACAAGTCAGCGTCCCAGAGCACAGCCTCGTCGAGAACGTATATCCTTGTCTCTATCCTACCGAGAATTTACAAAACGCAAGCCATCATTGGTCCCTCGCGGGTGCCGAGCTCTTCCGAGGAAGCCGAGTTTGTTGGGTTCTACACCTTCGTGCTCGCTCTCATTTGCTTGAGTGGCGGCGACATCAGCGACGCCAAACTAAAGGACTATCTCCAACGCATGAACGCAGACGAGAACCTGCCCTTCGACAAGACAAACAACGTCCTGGCCAAACTCGTCCGGCAGGGCTACCTGGATAAGGTGGTGGAGCGGTCAGACGACGGAGAGGACGCTATCACATGGTGCGTGGGAACGAGAGCGAAAGTCGAGGTGCCGCCTGAGACTATTGCTGCTATTGTCCGCCAGGTTTGGCAGGATCCGCCGAATGATCTTCATAAGCGAATCAACAAGAGTCTTGGACTGCAGGGAAGCGCCGAGCTTCAGGCTGACGAGGCCGAAGATGACGAGGAAGGGGACGGAGAGGAATAAAGGCCATTTGTTAGTTGCAAGGAGGGCGAGTTCACGGCTATGCATTGGCTCGGTGTTCAGGACAGGTTTTAGTTGGACGTGTGCTTGATTTGAATCATTTGGTAGCGATCTGCTTGATCGAGCGCAGAAATGTTGGGGTAGATGCCCGACAAGTATTACTGCAGCAGTATGATTTCCATGAGGAATGAATCTTTGACGATTACGAAAGAGTCCGTCGCCTGTTGACCTCCTCTGCTCTGCGCTCCTTTCTGCGCTCCTCTCATCCCCAAGTGTCGCTGGTACGTGACCGAAGCGCGTGGCAGCTATTGGCAGCCGCTCGACGGCACCCAAATTCGACCCAGCAATGTTCCGTGTCCCCGCGCCGACGGTACTCGTATTGTGTGTTATGCTTGTGTTTGGTCGATGGCTTCTCCCAGCGGCGGACAGTATGGGCACGGGCGGGTAAATCTGGGCCGAGTTCCTCCTATTCCAGTGAGCCCCTTCTCTGAGAACCGTTTATCCGATATTCATGGTATGCTGGCCAGCCCATCACTCTTCCCTGGGCGGCGGCGGACCGCACGGCTGAACCATCTTTCGAAGGAGCTGCGCGCGCACCTTGGCGCTTGGCTCGCCCTGCGCCAGGCTGATGTAGGCCAGCTGCGGCGGGTGGCCCACGATGCTGCTGTACGTGTCGCGTGCGATGTTCGTCCGCCACTCCCACGACGAGGTGTCTGGGTGGCCGGTTCCGATGTACTTGGCCTGCAGGCGCTCGAGTTCTTGTTGGGTGCGCAGTTTGTCAGCCTGGGATAGCAGTTAGTAAAGAGCCTCGGCGCGGTCTAGAGAGGAGCTGGAGCAAGAAAACCACGCACCATGTTGAATCCTGTGTGGTAGATCGGTCCTTGAGGTTCGAGGCGATGTCATGTACGTGTGGTGGTAGTGGTGGTAGTGAAGGCTGTGGAGGATGGAATGATGGGCTTAGCGTTGGCCGTCGCTGCGAAATGTGAACGGTGACTAAGGAGCTTGGACCCTCAGCCACGACTCTGCCTTGGATGACTCCAACCTCACAATAAAAGACATGACACATCTCTAATTTTGCACAGTACATACCATGGCCAGCAAAATCCTGCACAGGCTTCCATTATGACTCGTTAGTGGCATAGTATCTTCGGAGTGCGCGCCATGCGCCATGTCTTGGACTTTTGGCGACTGTCGTACTCAGGGGCCTGACTTGGATATCTAGATGTTTGACTCTATACTGCAAACATTGTGGTAAGAATATATGGAGGTATCTGGGCACCACGAGGCAACGTTATCGGAAGTCTACTACCAGTAACATAGCCAAGGGCGTACCATGGAAACCAGCTTGCCTTTGCGTTTCGCTATGGTACTGTACGTCGCCGTTGCGCGGTGCGGTCTTGAGCTTCCATTCCTGCGCAAGGCCACGCGAGAGCTGTGTCTTTATGCATTCCATGAAATCGCGTCCAACAATTCAGGTTGCACCATTTATTAAGAGCTTCGGCCTCGTTGAAATGCTACAATCGTCTCATCACCAGGTCCTACTCTAGGATGTGCCGCCCGGAACTAGTTTAATGTCACGATCAAGACTATTATGAATCAAGAAGGCCCAGTGAAAACGCAAGACATGCTAGCTGTGCAAGATGGAACATTTCCCATGGACGAGGCTGTGATCGAAGGTATGCTAGATATAGGTGACTCATGCTTCCCGCTATTACACTGCAGCCCACTATACAGAGCATTTGGATGCTGGTAGCGCATCTAAATTCGGAGAGTCGGGGGAAACTTGTTACCGGGAGATGGTACCCGGTGTATGAGGGTTTGGGATGTTTTATAACGTCGTTTATTCTAACATTGGACTCAATCACAGCTTTGCCCTGTGTCTTCACTTCCGTGTCGATCGATCCTTTCGGAATAAGCGCCTGGACAAATACTGGCCGGCTTGTAGCAGAACAAGACGATGGTTGCAAAAGACATTTCTTTTTGAAGGTGAGTGTCGTCGGCATACGTGATATATCAAAATCGGTAATTATTCACAGTTTTGAACACAGGTTGCTTACGGGGAGCATGGTGGAGTCATGCTCCGGGGCGAGTTCGAATCAGCCAAGGAGATCTATAAGGTTGCGCCCGGCTTCATTCCCAAGCCGTATAGCTACGGGCGTTACAAGTCAGCGCATCCCATCACCTATTTCTACATGTCTGAGTTTATCGACATGGATATTACCACGGCGACAGATCCGGTAGAGCTTGGCTCTAGGCTTTCTGAGATACACAAGAGGAGTGCGTCACCTACTGGTAAGTTTGGCTTTCACGTTGTCACATGTGACGGCAAGATGCCACAGACTGTGGGCTGGCAGAGTAGCTGGGCCGACTTCTTCGGAAGGCTACTCCAGGGAATCTGCAAGCTCGAACTCGAAACCAATGGGCCGTGGCCGGAGATGGAGCGAGCGACACAACAGCTTGTTGACAACGTCATACCTCGCTTACTCGGTGACCTCCGACACAACGGCGAGCCGATCAAGCCCTGCATCATCCACGGGGATCTTTGGGAGCAGAACTTGGGCGTCAATATGAATACTGGAGATCTCGTTATGTATGACGTAGGTTCATACTATGCTCATAATGATATGGATCTTGGGCTATGGGGAGCCGACTTCTGTTCCCACTTCCGCTCGAAGGTTTATACCACTCATTATCTTCGGTTCTACCCTGCAGCCGAACCATTGGAGGAATTTGACGATCGAAACCGCCTGTACAGCTTGAAAGGTACCATCAACTACTCGGCGGGACATTCTGGATCCGTTGTACGGCAATCATATGTATTGATGCTCGTTAGCTAGCAATTACGACTGACTCTCCTTTCAACCAGGGCGTATAACAACATGTGCTATCTGTGCGAGAAATATGCACCTATCGATGGAATTGACAAATATGACCCTCTGAAGGACCCATCAGTCACTGGAGCTCGGCTTGTACCAACACTCACCAAACCAGATCATAACTAAACGTGTGTTTATCTACAGTGCTCCGTTGCTAGCGTATTCGTTTTCGGGGGAAATTTTTTCTTAATCCGTACTGTTTAATCCCTGGGATATTAGATCCGCGCCGGTAAAATGGTCTGAAGATCTCTTCCAAGTAGAATGTGTTCCACAAACGAACGTTCTTGTCAGCTACCACTGCTCCCTCTGGGCTGGATCGGCTGCACGAGTCCGCCTCGTTCATCCGATAGCAGCTAAATGATACTTAGCTTTTCTCAAGCCCTTGAACTATGGTAGATTGCTATTCTACTGCCAGGGAAGTAAATCCCTTCGTACACACATACCTAGGTATATACGGAGTAGTGAGGGCATGATTATTAACGGCAGTCGACATCGTAGGCCATCGGGTGGATACGATGGGGCTCTTAAAACCAGCAGGGGTCAGTTTAGGTAGTGGGGTAGATGCACGGGCCCCATCGACCATTCAGAAACCGCAATCCCAATCGCGACGACCTCGAGAGTCCGACGACAAAAGTAACTTGTACCTATGGCAGGTATACTTACGTACTCGGCTGAGCGGACTCAAAACTTCGAAAGTTCTTCCAGCACTGGTTGACAGGTCCCATTTTACACGCTACACTATCCGTGCAGCCGGGTCTTCGACATCCAAATTCAACCTCTGAAGATCCAGCGCTCGCAGCCTTGGTTGGGGCCTGCTGGCAGGATGGGGGATTTGTGGGACGACCTCGCTGTAACGCAGAAAGAGAGACAGCAACTCACAGACTCTGTCCAGGCAATTAAAGACTCGTGTGCCAAGGAACATAATAAGAAGCATTTTGGCGAGTGCCCAGAATGCTGGCCTCGATTGATCAACACAATCAGGGATCGCTACCTCAACTCATCGACTAAGGAGTGGTTTTCAGGGAGACGATTATTCCTCCAGGAGCTCGACACTTTGTTCACCCAGGCCCTGGCCCAGAAAGTCGGCATTGCGGCCATTGAGCAGCGGATAGAGGATGAGAAGAAGGAGTGGTACCGCGACAAGCTGAAGAGTTTGGGCTTGGTGTCGGCGGCCAAGAACTCAGAGCAAACCAAAGCCCTGCAGAATCTACTGAGCGATCGAGATATGCCCGTGGACGACCTTATCCCAGCTCTGAGGAGCACCATTAGCGATGGCTCCATTGCAAATCAAGAGGCGTTCGATGTCTTCGCAGATCGGCTAAAGGCTGCTAAAACACCACAGGACAAAACCGACGTGTACGTCGACATGTTCTTTCAACCACAGCACGATCCGGAGGGTGCTGCAAAGTCTCAGAAGTATATTGAGATGCTGCGCAACGGAGCACCTTTGTCCGATGTAATCAACACCATGCTGCGGGATCGGCAGGCCAACAAAGGGGTCCAGGAACAGAAACTAGCCCTTCAGAAGCAGATCGAGGAGCTGCGAAGGGCAAAGGCTGCCCATGAGTCTGACAAGGCGAAGAAGGCGAAGATCAGGCAGGACAAGGCGGACGCTGCAGCCGCCGCCGAGCAGCAATACAAGCTTCCACCCTGCGACTCCTGCGGCAGACCAGGAAACGACCAGGGCTACAGTGCTTGCAACTACTGCCTAGCGCTCTCCGAGGTGTATCACATCCCGGATCGTCCTATGACGATATTCTGTTCGGACGAATGCTGGGATAATGGTGCAGTATGTTACATTCCTCCGGGCGGAGATGTGTGGTAGCTGACCGGAAGCAGGTGAAGCACGACCGGGAGGCACACAGTTGCGCTTCTGGTTCCGGTTGCATACTCTTACAAGAGGGAGAGGATGTTGACATGGACCAGCACAACCGTACTCGTGGCTTTTGCCAGGAGTGCGTCTTGGACCACCAGATCGAGTCGATCTTCTGCAGCCTGCAGTGCCTTGATGCAAACTTTCAGAAGCACAGGGAAGATGTACACATTCCTAAGAGGGATGGAGCAGGACAGATAGGCGAAGACGAGGTGGACCTCGAATATGCGTCGGAGGACAAGACAAAGTACCGTGCACGGAAGATCGAAAGCCACTGGACCCCACTGGATGACGCCCTCAAGGAGTTCACGCAGAAGACGGGAGCCCGTCGCAAAGACGACCCAGAGGCCAAGCCCTCGGATATTTAGGAAGCTACAGAATATGCACCGCCTCCGACGACGGATACGAGGCTGAATAAGACAAGAGAGCACAGCCGGAGGGGTCGCAGGGGTGGGAAACAGGAAAAGAAGAGCAAGCCGCGAAAGAAGCGCGCATACCGACGCAAGAGTCTCGGAGAGGTATGTGAGCCGGATGTGAGTGGACCATAGATTTTTCTGTGTTGTGAACTATTACCTTGAGTTGTGTATTGGTTGGACGGGCATGATACCTGAACAATACAACTGTCTTTGGGCATGGCTAAGTCAGAACTAAATGCGAGGAGCCGTGGGAGTTGTCTAAGGCCAGATCGAGAGGACCTGAGTCCCACTACTCCAAGCAAATCATCATGCATACCGGATATGGAAGTTTTGCACATTCAGCGGTGTGCCAATGACTTGCTGGTCGCGGACCAGGCGTGCGTGGCATAGAATCGTACGATGATTGCGCCATTCCTCCCCAGATCAGCAAGAAGGATGTGCAAGCACCCGTTGGCCCTTGATAACTAGTTCCCGAAAAGCGTGGAACGAACATCTTCAGAAATCTTCTTCTCGCATTGTGGCTCTGCATGACATTCATCTTCCTATGGGCCACGCCAGCCATGTCCGCACCGAGCTGTCGGTCGTGGTGGTTATCCCCGCGACCGGCGACCGCTAGTGCTCAGTCCGAACCGGCCCTTCAGCGAAAGCTCGGGGCGTCGGAATTTACTGTGGTACCATCGCCTTCAGTTGCATCATCTCGTCAAAATTTCGAGAGCTCCAACTCAGCCAACCACCAACCAACAACGCGATCCCGCCCCTGCGAGCCTGCGACATAACACCCAGTGGGATTTCACGGCGACACACATACGCGCGGATTTTCGCCCTCTCTCCCTTTCCCACCGAAAACCACGCTCCTCGCCCTGAATACAGCACAGCGCGGCAAAGGAGCAGCAACATGTCGATTACAACGGCCCTGAAGGGCGAATCGCCCCAGCAGGCAAGGTCGCTGGTGAGTCTCTTGCGCTTGCTCGTCGATTTCGCGGTCTTTGCCGCCCCGCTGAGACCGCATGGCTCGGTGCCTGCCTGAAGGCCTCTGGGTAGCTGCTCTGCGTGCGGCCGAGGGGCGCTGCATCTCGAGACATGCGCATCTGACTGTCCCCAATGAGACATGGAGCTAACGTCTGCTTTCCTCTGCCACAGTTCCGACAGCTACTGCGCCAGAGCTCCCAGTTCAGCTCATACAACTTCAGAGAGTACGCGCGGCGGAGAACGAGGGACGCCTTCCGCGAGCACCAGGCCGAGCAGGACCCCAGGCAGGTGCAGGAGCTTCTTCAGAAGGGGTTGAAAGAGCTGCAGATGATGAAGGTATGGGATCACCTCCCTCGGTGCCGCGATTGCCCTGCATAGTGTGGTGCAGAAAGAGGAGGACAACCCCAGTTTACGGGGCTGCATTGCACGGGGCATTCGCGGGCCTCGGCCCGAAAGAAACACCATGAAGAAGAAGAAGAAGAAGCTGACCATATCAATAGCGCCAAACGGTCCTTGGCCAATTCTACCATATGGATCGGTTAGTCGTAGAGACAGGCATGGCGGTATGTTGATCATGGTTCGGGAGTATGAATGTCGGGCCCTAACACAGATGTAGGGGAAGGAAACAGGGAAATCAGGAGACATTTCGAGGCAGAAGGACACTGGGTATGTGCCGCCTACCATGAGATTCACATACTGAACGAACGCATGCTAACAAGTTGTAGCTGGGACTAGTGGCCTGATGGTGGTTAACTCGGAAGAATATCACGAATCAGGTATAGGAGACGGAGGGACTTTGGGGCACGGGAAGATGTACTATAGGGCGGTAATTGTACAGTACGCTGTTGGCCTGGACAGGTTTATAGACGGCTAGCGCACCTCTCAGTTACAACATCGGGGGGCTTGATATCCGACAGTAGTCAGTCAGGAGTCCAAACTACTGGGAAAACAATATATACATAATCGAGCAACACTCGGCTCCCTCCAAGATCCGGGTTGTCACGGCGAAAAAGATGCTCCAGAGCGGCAGAACCTCTGACTGCCCTCACTTCTCTCACCTTTTTCATACCACCGACTTGTATATGCTCATGGGAGACGTCACAACCATGGTCTCAGATTCTTGTGCACCATGTCGGTTCGTTGCAAAGAGACATGATGCCCCGAGCGATGAGCCATATCGAGTTGAGCGTCTTTACGCGGTGCGTATAGAGAACAGAGCGCCATTTTGGGGAGGCCCGTGCACACTTTGGGACTTGGCGCGGTTTCGCGACTCGTCCAACCAGCCAATCCAGACCAGCATCATCACTGAGCTGACACCAGGCGCGACGAGGCTGGCGATTGACTCTGCTCTCCTTGCGACAAGTCCAATAACGGCATCAGAATTCAGCATACAAGCAACAGATACCCCTGAATTCGTGGCGCCCCATCTGCCCGAGTCGCCGCGGGATCTTCTCGCCACCAATTCATTCATCGCGGTCGCGCACAATTAGTCAATCGTGCATCCCAAGCCGACCGTAGATTTCGAACGTCAAAGACGTAGCCGAGGCAGCAGCAGACAGTCGCTACAATGGCACCAACTGTGAGTCGCATTCTCCCTCCTGTGCTGAGGCGCCCTAGACGGGTTGATGACTGACTGATGCGCCACCCGTAGGTTCGCACCCACACGCAGACGAGACGCGGCAACCGTGCTGGATACCAGGAGCACGATGACTTCGAGGGTCTCCCGGTTCGACAATGGCGTCAGGAGTGGGTGAGCATCGCACCTCCACCCCCGGTCGAGACGACGCAGAAGAACGATGTTTGGGCCATTGAGCTACCTCACGGCATGCCCAAGGACTCGAACCTGCTCCCCACGCACACCCAGGAGCTCCTCAGGGCCGCCCGCTCTGGCCGACTCTATAAGCGGCCTGCCCCCGCCGAGGAGGAAGAAGCCGAGGCCGACGCCGCCCCCGAGAAGCCTGACAAGAAAGAGGAGGACCCCGCCGCCCAGGGCTTCATGGTCAAGGTCTGGAAACAGATCCCCCGCAACGCTGAGGGCCCGACCATCTCCCACCTAGCCAAGAGGAGGAAAGGCACCGTGACTCTGTCCTCCGACCTGCCCGCCGGCGCCCCGTCTGGCCCAACCGTGACCAAGGCGACCGTGCGCCGCATCGACGCTGCCGGGAACCCGTACACCCAGACCGTCACTCTGGCCGAAGGTCAATCTGTGGACGGCGAGATCATATCGACCACCGTTGTGGCCGCTCCCAACGTCCATGCAAATCCCGAGAATGCTGCCGCGACCCCGGTTCGGAGACGGCCTCCTCCGCCCAAGAGGAAAGCAAAGGGCCCAGGAAGGGGTCGCAAGAAGAAGCTGCCTTTGCCCCTGCCTGCGCGGCCCGATGGCGCCGGTGTCTCTGGTGCTGAGGGAGCTGAGGGTGGTGTGAAACCGGAAGGAGCAGCTGATGTAAGTGATTGTCCTTGTCATACCGGATCTGTCATCCTGACCAGAACTAGGGCATCAAACAAGAAGGTGACAATGACGATTCAAAGAACCAAGACAGCGAGATGGCTGATGGCGATGACGACGAGGAGGGCGACGACGACGGGGATGACGGAGATGAGGGCGAGGAGGGCGATGAAGACGAGGGTGACGTCCCTGATAGCGAGAAGGGAACGCCGGCCGGCAAGGAAAGCAGCGTTGACCAGGAGATTAAGGATTCTCCCTCGGTTGAGCCATTCGCAATTACAGCACCAGCTGTTGACCCGGATGCCATGGATATCTCCACCGACGAGTCTCCGTCAGGGGCCGACCAGGTGCAGCCCCTGAACACCAGCATCCCTCCTATTCAACCACCTCCACACCTGACCCCATCTCGGATAGAAGGAAGTCCTCTGAAGGTTGTTTCGATGCCCTCGCCTACCGAAATAGCAGCTACGCACATACCACCAGTGCCCGCTACCGAAGATCCGGAGCCCAGTGTTCCTGACGTACAATCGGCGATGGTATCTGACGCAATGCCAGCCCCTGCTGAACCCGTCGAGGAGACACTGCCTCCTGTCCCAGCAGAGCCTGCGCCCCAGAAACCGCAGGAAGCACAGGCAATACTGGAGACACAGGAAGTCCAACCCGCTCCGGAGACAGCCGTCATTGAAACCGAAGCACCAGCCGATGTTGAGATGGCAGACAGTACCCCAACACAAGATGCCCCGGTACACGAGGAATCTATCGTGGAAACCAAGATATTGTCGAGCACAGAAACAGATGCAGGCCGCGCCGTCGTAGAAGAGATCGTCGAAACAACAACGATCCCGCTGAAGGATGAAGTCCCAGCTGCCGAGGTTCCTCTAGTCGAAGAGACCACTGTTGTTTCAGAAACGCAAGCACCCCCTACTATTGAGGAAGCACCCAAGGCACCATCTCCGATTGTCGAAGAGCCTGAACAGCCTGTCAGTATCGTTGAGGACCTGGCTCCACAGACCACATCCGACCAGATCATGGAGGAGACTTCCGAGCCGGCTCCTGAAACAGCTCCTGAGCAGCCACCACCGACTGTGGCCCAAATTACCGAGCTGACAGAGCATTCTACCCTGCCTGCTCTCGATGCGCCTGCGCCAGTAGATAAGCCTGCCCTGTCATTACCTCCCTTGAACCCCGTTCAGACCGGAGCGGCGGCTTCTTTGTTGATCGCTGAAGAACGTGAGCCAGAGAGCCCTGATCTGCTGGGGGGCTTGGAGGCTGCGCTGGATCGACACAGCGAATCGAAAACCGAACCTGGCCCGGCTGAATCTGTTGCGGAATCTACGGCTGACCCTATTGTTGAGCCTGCCGCCGAGCGTGCTGCCGAGTCTGCTGCTGAGCCTGCTGCCGAGCCTATTGTCGAGCCTGCTGCTGAACCTACTGTCGAGCCTACTGCTGAAGCTGCTTCTGAGCCTGCTGTTGAGCCTGCTGGCGTATCAGCTGCTGAGCCTTCTACAGAGGCTGCCGCTGAGCCAACCACGGTTCCCGCAGCATCTGTGCCTGATGTCGAGGCAACCTCACTACAGGAAGAGGAGAAGGTCCCTGAAGCGAAGCCGGAAGAAACGACCGGATAGAACATGCTTCGTATGTATTGTACGTGGGCAACGCACCCGGCAAGTCAAGGAACCAAAATGAAGTTTTCGAAGCAAATCAACTGGAATCTGGCTGGGGCTTTAAGAGTAGCGAGGCAATGGGTCGGGAACCAATCCTGTTCTTCTTCTGACAGATTCCCAGCTTGGAGTAGGGAGTTTAGGGGAGGGGTCTTTGAAGACTCAGCTCCCAGATTGGCTGAACAGGCGGTCTTCACGGGGCGTAACTGGATAATGGATTTGGAAATGTACTATTGAACGTATACATAAATATACAAGACATGATCAAGCTCAACCGCCTTGCTTTGTGGAACAAATATCGTGGCATCGTCAACAAGCGAGTCCAAAAAGTCTGCTCAGAGCAAAGGTCGGACTCCTGTCCCTATTCACTTTGCATATCGTCGGCGGAAACGTGGAACTAGGTACTATGGTCAGGAAAGATTGCCGTCTCATTGCGCGAGAACTAGTCGGTAGGTATCTACGCTATCTACACTTTTGTCCAGCAAAACAATGACAGCCTCTCTCGAGTCCACGAGAAACAGTATATACCAGGACTGCCTCCTGATTGGACCAGTACATACCAGAACAGAAGCCAAAAATTTGGTTGTTCTCCATTTCTCGTCCATATACATCAATCCATATCCTGGGCACACAGGATCGGTCAGCTACAGCCCAAAAGACACGTTCCATGCATCTGTCCAACACGGAAAATTGATATACCAGATCCTTGAACATGCCAACAACTAAGCCAAGGCCCTCCGCCTTTTCTCAATGGAAAAGGCCATGCTAGTCCCCACGCGGTGTTGCCTAGAACTTGAATCCGCCAAACAGATCCTCATCAGGCTTCCAGTTGAGCAGCTCGTCGAGGATAGCTCGGTCTGCCGCGTCGTCGATGCCCAGCGTGAGGTCCAGGTTGTTGCCGCGCGGGATATCGGACGCCGTGGGGGGCATGGGGAAGTCGAACTCCGAGAGGTCGAGCTCTGTGGGCTCGCTGGCTACGGCCGTGGTTAAGGTGCTGGGAACAGACTGGTCGCTGATGGAGGTATCGGCAGTGGAGCCGGCAGTGGTCTGTGAGGCGGTGTTCGAGACATCAGTGTCCGAGCTGGCGGAATTGCCATCCTTGACTACCTCACTGGCGGAGTGGCAATCAGTGACCATGGTCTGGGTGGATGTAGAAGTGCCTTGCACTCTGACAGATGTGCCGGCTGTGTTCTGCTCATTCAGGGTGACGGCAGCGTCGGAGAGTGCCTGGCCTCCAGGCACGGCCTCGGCGTCTCTCTCTGCACCGGCCGTGCTAACTTCACCCTGCTCCTCCTCGACGGTAGGGCTGAGCAACGCCTCCAGCATGGCCTGGAGCTCCTCTTCAGTAGTGTCGATAGCTTCCTCACCGGTCTCCTGAACTGCAACATTGCTGGGGCCACCCATGGCAGGGTCGATGGGCATCTCTTCAGGGGCGGGGGCAGTGTTTGTGCCCGGGGAATAGGTGAATCTGGCCAAGGCCTCCAGGCCAGGATCGCACAAAACACTCAGATTGCCGGGCTGCTGGTTCATCTGCTGAGCCAGGTTCATGGTCGCTGCCTGGCTGGGCTGGAAGTGCTTCATCGACTGGGGTATCTGCTGCTGCGGAGCTCGGGAAGGGGTAGTGACCTGACCAGCACGCTGCAGGCTGGAGTTCGATTTGGTCAGACCGTTGATTCCACCGAGAGCAGAGGGAGTGTACATGGGCGTCAGCATAGAGGGTGCTTTGAGCCCATTGACGATGCGCTTGGAAGGGGTAGACGTGTTGGGAGCCTGCTCCTCGTCCTCGTTCTCGTCCCCCTCCTTCTTCTCCCGGGGCTGCTTGGGATCATACTTGTAACCTGGGAACAGCATCTGGTGCTCTCTCTTGGCGCGCTGCTGGCGCTTCTTCCAGATCTGCTTCTCGGCGCCGGTGAGGTTGCTCCACATTTTGCCAATCAGCTTGGAGACGCCCTTGTTGTCGACGCCGGGGTTGCTGGCCCGGATTTCCTTACACATGGCAGAGCGGTACAGGATGAAGGCGTTCTGGGGGCGAGGCGCGCCGGATCGGTACTCGGGCTTGTGGTACTTGGACTCATGGTTGATCTTGAAGTCATCATCATCGTCGTCGTCGTCGTCATCGTCGTCGTAGTCACCGTTCGCGGGCGAGGAGCTCTAGTCCCCGGCGTTGGCGCCGTCGATTGCGCGACCAAAGTCCGGCTGGGGCAGACGAGCCAAGTTGACGTCGATGCCGCCCGTGCCAGGTCCGTCTTTCTTGTTGTTCCGGGCGCTGCCGGTGCCGCGCTTGTTGGAACCAGGCGTCTTGGTCGTGGCCGCCTTGCGCTTGCGGGCCGAGCTTCGCTTCGTGGGCGTCTCGTGCTCAGGGGCCACGGCGTCCTCGCTCTGGCCGGGCATGGGGAACGGCGGCGGCGCGCCATACTGAAGAGCAGGCTGCTGCTGCTGCTGCTGATTGTCGGCGTTCCAGAGGTTGCTTCGCAACAGAGTGACTGGAAGATCGTAGCCGGGCATCTCGACGACAGTGATGTTGGCGTTGGTAAGGTGCTCGACAGCTCCAAGAAAGACTCGCGGGCCGCCGGAGTCGCGGACAAAACGGACATCCTGGTAGCCAGTAGTCTCCCTGTGTGATGATCAGCACATGACATACAATATTTATTTCAAGGGCCCATTTATTGTAAATATGGATTTTGACTTGGATTGAGTTGTAAATCAAACGTGTAGAGAGGCTGAGTGAGATGATCTTCATGAAGTGGCAGGAAAGTGGGCGAATGGAGTAGAGTAAAACCTACATCATAATCTGAAGCAGGGCAATCTTGAAATCGTGGGGCCAGTTATCGTACTCGATTGCGGCAATGGCAATGACATTGTTGTAGGCACTGAGCTGGAGGCTGAGACGCTCCCAGCACTCCTGCGCGGAGGCGCCAGCAAGGTCGGTGAAGCCCACGTCAGGGAGCGGACCAGGCATGTCCGCGTCGTTCGAATCGAAGGACATCGTGAAGAGCTATGACTGCTGGCAGAAAAAATAAATATCAGCACAATCTCACAGCTTCAAGCAGCCGGGCTTCCTAACTGTTGTGGGAGGGAGTGAAATGTGAACTGCAGCGGTGAATGAGGATGGCTGATGACCTCGAGATTGCTTGCAATTCACGACGAAGTAGAGTTGAGGCACCTCCAATCGCAGTGTTTGATACGAATTATCAAAGCTGGGTAGGGAGCGATGGGTGGTGAGAAATGGATTTATTGTAGGAGTGAGAGTTTTGTTTACCCCGTTACTTGGTGAACGATCCAGTCGACGTAGGCAGCGATAAGTGGGTAGGGAAAGTTCACTGAGCTCGACAAAGCTCCCAAATCGAATTTCATTATGGCACATACAAGGTACCACGGACGGCCATCTCAGGGCTTGTCAACTCCCACGTCGTCATGCATTTGATATACGTTGATGCTGTTCAGAGCGATCTCCCACGAACGACCTCACTTAAGATATCGACCTTGTGTGCAATTTTGCAGCAATTTTGCACCTTGAAGCGAATCAATTGAATTGAGGGGCTTGACTTCACAAAATTTGAACTATCTATGTGTTTGTGATCATGTCACTTCTGCTTTTGGACCGCCCCCTTGGCTGGTCGCTTGGTCGCTGTGAGTGAATATCAAGGACATTCTCGCTTTTATGGCCAGGTCTTTTCCAAGGCGCTAATTGAATATGCATCATGAATTCTTGAAATAGCAAAATACTGCTATGTCAAACTTAGTAGCTGCTTTGTGGGTTACTTTCGAGGCCGACGAAGTTGCCGTGTCGATGAGAACAATGGACTTGACGATGTCGTCCAAGTCACGATGGTGTCGTTGATTGTTCCTGCTCGGTGGCCCAGGAGCCAGAGATATGACAATAGAGATATGTGGTTACTACCACATTGATTGGGCTACTTGCCATCATCAACAATTTGCGCCTGGACACTTTTCTCATCAGATCTCGTTGATTCGATATCCCCTTGGACTAACAAGATCGCATCAGATACCCGATCTGGGCCGTACACAGCAGGAAGCGCGTGTCTGACCCTCACCATGGCTCCTATTGAGGACCTCTTGCTGGATTTGGGGGCCAAAATTGCCCACGAGCACAACCTCGGAGTCTCTGCTTTGGAACATTTGGCTGATGCTCTTGACGGTAATGGCCTGTGCCTGAATGACGTGGCTGTCCCTGGTCTGTTGAATGCCTACAAGTTTGAAAAGGAAGAGAACTGATCGTGACAACAGCCGTTGACTTCCCAACCCTTGTCCAGCTTCTTTTGGACATAACTTATGACGTCCCTGAGTGGCTTGCCGTTTCCGACGAGAGGCTGAAGAGATATACCGAAGACGAGTTCAAGATTGTCATTAAGCTGATTGAAACTCGCTTCTGGCTCGGCGATGCAGAGCGAACCTTGGACCAACTTTGGAGCTGGCAGGTTGTGTTTGGCCGCTCTCGACAGGAGCACCGTCAATTGATCAGCAAATCTGATATTGACGGTATTGACAAGATGAAGGGCCCCGCGGGTTACTACACCTTCTTGTCGTCAATCACCAACGTCTTCTATGATGATTATCCTGACAGCTACAGGCTACTTCGAGAAAAGTTTTTTCCGCGAGGCATCGATGATGCTATTCCTGCATTCATCAAGCACTACCGCCAGGCCAAGACAGCCGTTCGCAAGCTCCGCAAGCGCTACCTGTATCTTGGCATGGTGGGAGTCGACAAGGGCGGTTCGCTTTACATGCGATCGCGTGATCTACTTCTCCATGGTGAGATGTTTCTTGAGCAGGTGATGGGATCAGCCCAGCTCTGGCGAGAGACGACAAAGAAACAGAACGAATATTACCAACTGCCGGGCGTCAACATGGGTCTTCCCTATGGCACAACCGCATTCACAGACTATTCTCTGGGCAAGACCTATGTCATCCACCAAGGAGGAATCAAGAACCACTGGGATGGCCACGGCGACGAATACACGCCACTTCGGTATCAGCAAGGCAGCCCGTGGGGCGATTGGTTCCGTAACGTCATGCACGCTCGTGGTACCATGACACGAATTGAGGCTACCGACTTGAAGAATAAGGGTATAGACGCGTACAAGACGGCACCTGGCCCCTACGAGCTCAGACTACCCCAAGCCATCTGCCCCATCTGGATGCATTTCGGACGGATGTACAGCAACTACGAAGCCATCTACAGCGGTTTCACCATCGTCCACCCTAGATCTAGCATGCTCGAGGGACCAGTGAAGACCGAGGAAGAGTTGGCGGTAAGTGTACATTTCACTACGAGAACCTTGTCGATCACTGACGCAAAGTAGGAACAGGCGGAACGACTATCTGATGGCACTAGTGAGCCATACTGGCATGTGCGCAAGATCAAGGTACCACATAGTTAACTCCTCAGACGAGGAAGAACCCCTAATTAATTGATCAACAGTTCCAGTACGCGAAATTGGAAATGTTGTTCGCCCGCAACCCTTTACTTGTACGTGTCACCAGGCCGCTATTTGGCGATACTAGGCTGCTAACATTCTACCCAGGCCGGACGTCCTCGTTTCGACGGCATGGGTAATCTCCGCTTCGACTACATGGGAGTCATTCTCAGGGAGTTGACCACGGGACACCGATTCATGGACTATCGTGTCAAGCAGTCATGCATCTTGATCGTGGGCGATGACGAGGGCAAAGAAACGAATCCCTGAGGAGTGGCAAAGAAATAGAAGGTCTTCCACGGTTCTGTGGTAATGTCGATGATACGCGATACGGCTAGGACTGTGAGACAGAAGGTCTATGACTTCGCACGAGTTTTCTGTAGCTTTCGTTGCTCAGACATGTAGATAGCTTCTAGGTATGTGGATCAAGTCAACGTATTGACCGAATAGGCTCATCTTCATGATTCCTGCGCATAACAGGTAAGGACGCATTCTACATGAGTATCGCGCCTATTATATGTAAGATAGGAAGGAATCGAGCGAGGGCCGGGCGGTTTCAAGTGTTTGTCGCCCAGCCAATGCAGGTGTCGTTAAAATAAGATTTCCGGGCGGTGCTGAATTATGCATATAACGGGTGAGAGCAGGCCTGTTTGTTGCATTGACCACGCGACTAGGCACGGATACGCGATCTCTGGAAAGCATGGCCATACATACGTCTACACCAAACCCCTGCCGATATTATTGATCACGTGTTTGCTGGTTCTCGAGTTCGAGAAAGAGCCAACTTGGAGTGCATTCAAGTTTTCAAGGTCGGATCGTTGGACTTACTGCTGGCATTTGTGGATGTGCACAGGACGGGCACCTACCGGCGTGTCTGGAGCAATATGGTTGCCCAGCTGCTCTCGGTGACCTCGTTTATCTGAACAGCCATGACACCGGAAATCCTGTGGAATATTGACCTTTGACATAAGCCCAGCCATTTCTACGGGAGGTGAGAGATGTCGCGTTTCCTCACGCCGGCCAAGATCGGCCTGCTGGCCCTGATCGAGCTCTACGCAGACAAAGCCGTCCCCACTTCCTCCATAGTCGAAGTGCTTTCCTTCATTACCTCACACCTGATCGACAGCGATATCTCGGGGCCTGCAGGCGCAAGCAGAGGGCACTGGAAACGGGCTGAAAGCACTGTCAGCTTGGTGATATCGATCGCGGACTTTGAAAAGATCCTCAGTCCGCACACGGCTGCTTCTGGCATGCCCGGCAGGAGTCTGTGGTATGTTTTCCTGGACAGACTATGGAAGATCAACTCGTTGGATGCCCTGCATGAGTTCTTCGACCGCCGCTCAGATCTTCTGGCCAAGACAAAAGATGAGCTCCGACGCGAAGCGGAGATGGGGGTCGAACCGCCGCCGGCGGATGCTATCCTCCTTTCGCGAAACTCGCCTTTCGGGGCATTCGTGCGGAGGGCACAGCTCGAGTTCACAAGGTTGCGTTTCCATGATGCCTTCGAGCTTTGGAAGGATTTTGTAAGATACCGCCAGACGACTGCGGCCTACTACCGCAAGAAGACACCTGCTTTCCAGCGGCTGAGCTTCGATAATGTCCTCCTGGAGGGCGAGCATGCATGGGGCGAGGGTGTAGAAGCTGTTGCTTCAGTAGCATACGGGGACATGCTGCGAGATGATCCCAACTCGACATTGCCAGTGAGCACCGATGACATCGAGAAGCTCTTGGAGTTTCAGATTGAGCAAATGCAGAGTGAGTGGCTGCACGTCCTCTGATACGCCGGGAAAATTCTAATCAGCAACAGAATATGGGAACAGAATACCTCTGGAAATTCGTCACCAGTTCCAGGACTTGCTCCATGATAGTTTCATGATACCTAGCCTGTCCCACTACCTGAGGTAAATCATAGCGTAGCGTAATTGGCTGGTCTAGTGATTGCTAACTCGTGATAGCTATCTCGATGCCTGGAGGGCAGGAGACTATTCAACGTCTTTCGACTATCTGCACAGATACTTCGACTACACCATGCAGAACAGAGACCGCCTCTTCTACCAATACGCACTCCTAAACTTGGCGGTATTACATGCCGACTTTGGTTGCTACAAAGAAGCTCTGTCCGCAATGCTCGAGACAGTGTCAACCGCCCGAGAGAACCGAGATATGACATGCTTGAATTTTGCCCTGAACTGGTTGTTCCATTTTGGCAGGGCGCACCCAGAAGTTACCCGCGACCTAGAATCAAACAGCATGCTAGGGACGAAAAAGGAGTCCCTTGCTTTCCTGCGCAGCAAGGCCAAGGATACTGGCATGTGGACACTTTGGACGTCAGCCCTAGCCAGTGAGGCCAAGATGAATCTCTCCAACGGCGAAAGCATCTCGACCGCGCTCGAGCACATGGTGCGAAGCTCCCAGATCCTGGTGGAAAGAAATATGACCGGCGTCATGGGCTCGCAGATATCACTCAACATTGCTCTGTGGGATCGGCTTGGGGTAGCCTATCTTTCGTCCACCTTCTGTGAGGTATTCCTCCGCTGCCATGCCAAGCACTCCGTCTTCGATGACGAGCTGAAGGTCACAAGTCGGATAGCTTCCATGCTGGCCATGAGAGGGAAATACGACGAGGCTCTGGACAGACTAGAAAGCATGGACCCCAACTCGCTGCGCTCTTGGAAGCCAAGCCAGTATTGGCACAAATTCAGGGGTATCATCAAGCTGCGTCGCGATTTGCACCACAACAATCTCGACGGGGCCGAGCACCTGCTGTCGCAGCTCCTTCAAAACAAACAAGAAGATCTCGAGCCCGACCTGGCTTTTGCCATTGACAGTCTACATATCGACTGCCTCGTCCGGCGCGGCAACCTCGAGAGGGCGTTCGCCAAGGTCGAGGCACTGGTTTCCGAACTACGTGACGAGAACAAAGACATCGCGCTCCGCGTGCGACTCCTTCTCATCAAAGCTGAATTGCTGGATCGATGCGGGCGGCCCCAGAAGGGCTTCACCATTGCCGTGCGTGCCGCCAACGTCGCATGGCGGGCGCGTCTCATTCCGTACCTATGGCCGGCCATTGGCGCTGTCTCCAACATCCTCATATCGCTCGGAGACTTTGAGCCGGCCCTCCAGCTGCTGAGAGCTATTCTCCCCCGCAGCCTCGAGTGCGAAAACGCTGCCATGACCGCGAAGCTGTACTCCATACTGGGCGATGCGAACATGGGCATGGCTGGCAAGATGGCGCCCAGGTCGAACAAGAGACGGGAGTACATGACGAAGGCGGTCGAGGCCATTGAGAAGGCGTTCAACCACTACTCGAGCGTGGAAGACATCAGCAAGCAGTGCGAGATGATGGCTAAGAAAGCTACCATAATGAGGGTCTCGGGCGAACATGTGCTGGCAAATGATTACGCAGCGGCGTACCTTGCTCTACGGAAAGATGCCGCGCAAGCTGAGACGTGATGGAAAGAGCAGGGGTAGATGGTTGATTCAAGTGGTATATGCCACAAACTTGTCTTTCTATACAAGTACAAGCTCCGTGTAGAGCTTCCCAGCCGTGCGAGCTGGCTATGATAAGATCAATGATACCATGATCCAAAATACATGTTGGAACTGCAATGCAGCAGTTCTCATTCTGAGTTATATACAACGCCGACTTTGCCCTTGCTTGATTCAGGCTTTCCCGTCTGATACCGGGCCTCGGATAGATCATTCACTCCACTTTACTTTCTTGCCTGACTTGCTCTTGAGCTGACCCTCTTTGCTTGTGGCTGCCGCCTCCGCCAAAGCCTCCGCATCTGCGTGCTCGTGCTCGTCCTCGTGCTCATGCTCAGGGCTGTCTGCTTCGCGAGCGTCGTTCGTAGCCCACATGCTCTCTATGCACAGCTCGAAAGGACCGGGAACCCGGTCCGTCAGGCCGATGCCCAAGCTCTTGACCTTTTGGCGCAGGATCTCGGTCTGGGGCTCAACGACAAAGCCGTGGTTGGTGCGGACGAAGTCGTTCCACTTGATCAAGACCGTCTCCCACTCGCCGGGCCGCTTGGCGAAGAGGCGGTGCTGGTGCAGGTCGGTGGGCACGACGGACTCGGTCTGGACGTTGACGAAGTAGGCGCGGCCGTCGCTCTTGACGCGCAGGGCCAGGTAGCGGTACATGTCGATGTCCCACAGGGCGCGGCCGAACAGGGTCGGGGGCCGGTCGAGGGTGCGCCAGGCGGCGAAGCCGGAGCGCTGGATGTCCGGGCGGTGCGGGGGCAGGGCGGTCGAGATGCTGCCGGCGAAGCGGGCGTGGGCGGGCTCGTGTGCGGTGGCGGGCTCCCAGTCCAGCGAGGCCTTGGAGTAGCCGCCGATGTCGACGTCGCACATGAGCTTGGTGTCGGCGATGGAGGCGGCGTCGCGGAACGAGTGCAGGGGCTTGGGGCCCGAGGGGCCCTTGATGCCCTCGAGGGTCAGGGCGATGTTGGACAGGCGCTTGAACTCGTCCATGCTCCGGCCCCAGAAGCCCTTGCCGCAGAGGGCGGCGGTGGTGCGCATCTTGGCTGGCAGGAGGGCAGCTCCAGTCTGGGTGCTGGATGTTTTGCAGGCGGCTTCTGGGAAGACGCCCGTCGACGTTGAGCTGTCACGGTTCGGCTTGGTGCTGGCTATGGGACGGCTGGTCTTGGTGAGCCAAGCGGCTCTCGCTCAAGACTTGACATGAGCTCCCGGGAGCTTTGTTCGAGTGGTCCTTGATTGAGCAGCTGGGGGCGGGCGGATGGAGGCTCGCTCGTGGTGGCTCTCGTACGAGCGGTCGCATTGGGAAATTCACGAGCCAGCGATAAACTGATAAGCCTGAGCTTGCACCCCGGACGACGCTGGCGAGGAGCTGCCCAGGTGGCTCTTAAGTCCGAACCAGGCGGCGATGCCAACCCCCTGTAAACTGTTCAGTACGACGTTAGCGGTCCAGCCGTCCAGCCGTCCATCGGCCACCCCCCCAGACAGCCCAGGTCGTCCCCCCATTTGCCCCCCATGTGGAAGGGTTCCAGAGGTTCCAGTGCGTCCAGAGTCAGTCGGGGCCCAAGGGCCCAAGCCTCGCAGCATGCGCAATCCCATCGCATTGGCCAACCAATCTTGGGCTTCGATAGACTCTTGGAGCTTCCGCCGGCTTCAGAAGGCTGACGTTGCTTCACACCTCCATCATCTTGGCTTTTGCGATGTGAAAAAAACCTGTCGCCTAAATAATTCCAGGGTATACTTTATCCCTCGCTCAAGACTCACGGCCTTCTCTTTCGTTCCCTGACCCAAGCCTGCAAGCCTGGCAGACACTGGACTTTTCCTCCTCTGGCACAGGCATCTGGCTGTTGGTACATTGTCCAAGTGTGAATCCACCCTGAGGTCATTTGGTGGGCTGTCGCAAGTCGTACAGTAGCTCCCGCCGCCCAAAGCTCCCAGTTTCACCCCTGATACCTCCCTCGCCCGCCCAACCTCCGCCGACTTATTAATTGCTTTCCTCTCTGTACCCGTTGCGCGACTGCGGATACGGCCCAAGTACACCATCTTCTGGGTGCGAGTCAAGAGCAGCAGCAGTCGCCCGAGCAACTGCGACCGCCCAGCATGGCTACGAATCGAAGTGACCACACCAAGTGCGTGCTCCCCGTGCCTCCTCCAGCATCCCCGAAGCCATGAACACCCTCCCGGGCCCGTCGTCGACGCACGTCCGGGCACCACCTTGTCCGCCGCGGATGGCCACACCGAGGCGCGGCTGGCTGGGGATTTCTGCTACACATACATACCCGGCTCCCTACACGCTGTGCCAAATAGAAGAGACCAAACTGACCGTCCCGCCTCCCCTAGGTCCGAGGCCGAGCTGGCCATCAACATTCGAAAAGCCACCAGCAACGACGAGACGGCCCCCAAGCGGAAACATGTGCGCAGCTGCATCGTCTACACATGGGATCACAAGTCCTCCCAGTCCTTCTGGGCTGGCATGAAGGTGTACGTACACACGCAAGAGCCCAGGGCACGCCTCCAGGAAACGACTGACAGCAGCGCGATGCGACTAGGCAACCCATCCTCGCCGACGAGGTCCAGACCTTCAAGGCCTTGATCACGGTGCACAAGGTCCTCCAGGAAGGCCACCCCGTGACCCTGCGGGAGGCCATGGCCAACCGTGGCTGGGTCGACAGTCTGAACCGAGGCATGGCAGGCGAGGGCGTGCGCGGATATGGGCCCCTGATCCGGGAATACGTCTACTTCTTGCTGGCCAAGCTGTCCTTCCACCAGCAGCACCCCGAGTTCAACGGGACCTTCGAATACGAGGAATACGTCAGCTTGAAGGTCATCAATGACCCCAACGAGGGCTACGAGGCCATCACCGACCTGATGGCCCTGCAGGACAAGATCGAGCAGTTCCAGAAGCTCATCTTCTCCCATTTCCGTCACGTTGGCAATAACGAGTGCAGGATCTCGGCATTGGTTCCCCTGGTCCAGGAGAGCTATGGTATCTACAAGTTCATCACCAGCATGTTGCGCGCTATGCACTCTACCACCGGGGACAATGACGCCTTAGAACCCCTGCGCCAGCGCTACAATGCCCAGCACTACCGCCTCGTCAAGTTTTACTACGAATGCTCCAACCTACGATATCTGACCAGCCTCATCACCATCCCGAAGCTGCCCCAAGACCCGCCGAATCTGCTGGCCGAGGACGAAGACGCCGCGAAGCTGCCAGCTCGACCAAAGCAGGAGATCGAGCGCCAGCCGACGCCGCCCCCCGCGCCCAAGACGGACGAGCCCGACGAGATCGCCGAGTTCTGGCAGGGCGAGCTGGACCGGCAGAACCAACAGTACGAGGAGCAGCAGCGAGTACTGCAGGAGCGCCAGCAACAGGCGCTCATGGCGCAGCAGCAGGCTCAAATGCAAGCCCAGAGGGACTTTGAGGAACAGCAAAGGCGCCTTGCAGAGCAGCAGCAGAGGGAGCAGGAGGCGCTGTTGGCGCAGCAGGCTCAATGGCAGACCCAGGGACGCCTGGCAGAACTAGAGCAGGAGAACCTAAATGCGCGCGCTCAATATGAACGGGACCAGCTCATGCTCCAGCAGTACGACCAGAGAGTGAAGGCTCTAGAGGGAGAGTTGTCACAGATCCAAGGTAGCTTTGGCCAGCAGCTCTCGAGCAGGGACGATCAGATCCGCGCGCTTCAGGAGCAGGTGAACACGTGGAGGACAAAGTACGAGGCCCTGGCCAAGCTGTACTCCCAGCTGCGTCATGAGCATCTGGATCTCCTCCAGAAGTTCAAGTCCGTCCAGCTGAAGGCTGCATCTGCCCAGGAGGCCATCGACAGGCGCGAGAAGCTGGAGCGCGAGATCAAGACCAAGAACCTGGAACTGGCAGACATGATCCGCGAACGCGACCGAGCCCTTCACGACAAGGACCGTCTCTCGGGCAGCAACAAGGATGAGCTCGAGAAGCTCAAGCGCGAGCTGCGCATGGCCAACGACAGGGCTGACAACCTGGAGCGTAGCAAGGGCAACGAATTGTCTGTTATGCTGTCCAAGTACAACCGGGAGATGTCCGATCTCGAAGAAGCCTTGCGCGCCAAGTCTCGTGCTCTGGATGATGCCCACTCCAAGCTCCGAGATGGAAGTTCTGATCTTGAGGCACTGCTTCGCGAAAAGGAAGAAGAACTCGAAGTCTACAAGGCCGGCATGGATGAGACTCTGCTCAAGCTCAACGAGCTGCAGCTCAGCCAGGGCGGCGATGACTCCGTCACGGACGAGATGGTGAAGCACCTGGTCGAGGCCAACCTGGACAAGATCAAGGAGATCATCGATTCAGTACTTCAGGCTGGAGTGGCGCGTGTCGACGATGCCCTGTACGAGCTTGATTCGACCATGCAGGCCGGTAACCAGAACGCATCGCCTGCGTATGTCTTGTCGCAGATCGAGAAGGCTATGGCCAGCGCCATGGAATTTGCTACCTCGTTCAACAACTTCATCGCGGACGGCCCCAACGCTGCATATGCCGACCTCATCAAGGCCATCAATGTCTTTTCTGGCTCTGCGGCCGATGTGTGCAGCAACACCAAGGGTCTCACGCGATTGGCACCTGAAGAGAAGAAGGGCGATGCGCTCATGAACGGTGCCCGCCAGGCTGCGTCGTCGGCTGTGAAGTTCTTCCGAAGCCTCCAAAGCTTCAGGTTGGAGGGCATGGATGACATGCAGAAGTTGGATGTTGTTATCAACAATAATAACGATGTCCAGATGAACCTACAGAAACTAAACAAGTTGGTTGAACAGTTTGCTCCTGTAGCTCGGCTGTCCAACCAAAAGGGAGATATCGGTGACCTCGTCGATGCTGAACTCAGCAAAGCTGCAGATGCCATTGCTGCTGCTGCTGCGCGCCTGGCCAAGCTCAAGAACAAGCCCCGAGATGGGTACTCGACCTATGAGCTCAAGGTCAACGATTCGATTCTTGATGCTGCTTTGGCTATCACCACTGCCATCGGCCAGCTGATCAAGGCAGCCACTGTCACACAACAGGAGATTGTCCAGGCTGGACGAGGAACGTCGTCTAGGACAGCTTTCTACAAGAAGAACAACAGGTGGACCGAGGGCCTCATCTCTGCCGCCAAGGCGGTTGCTACATCTACCAACACCCTCATCGAGACGGCAGACGGCGTCATCTCTGGCCGCGCAACCCCTGAACAGTTGATTGTTGCATCAAACGACGTTGCAGCTTCCACTGCACAGCTCGTGGCTGCTAGCCGTGTCAAGGCAGGCTTCATGAGCAAGAGCCAGGAGAACCTGGAGCAGGCAAGCAAGGCCGTTGGTGCCGCATGCAGAGCGCTGGTCAGACAGGTGCAGGCCATGATCAAGGAGCGGTCGTCAGAGGAAGACCAGGAGGATTATGGCAAACTTGACCCCCACACTTTCAAGGTCAGGGAGATGGAACAGCAGGTACGTGACACTACAAGATACGAAGGATTCTTACATGAACTATGTTACTGACACAAATACCAACAGGTTGAGATTCTGCAATTGGAGAATGCCCTGTCGTCTGCGAGACAGCGGTTGGGCGAGATGAGAAAGATCTCGTACCGGGAGGATTAAATTGGGTTCCCTGTGACTGCCACATGTTTCAGCGTCCGCGGGAGAAGGGCCTCACTTCAATAGTGTCCATATCCACAAACTATACCAAATGAATGTAGTTACTGCATTCTGCTCAATCGCCCTCTTGCATTTTGTATAAGATTTACTGCATGTGATAATCAACATGCCTGCCTACTGCGACAGACACATTTTTGGTATCTTCCTTCTTCGTTTCCGCGTGACCAACCATTTGCAAATATATCCAGTGAGGCTTGTTTGGATATAGCAACAGGGATAACTCGAGAAGGGTTGGCTGGATCTCAGATGCGAGATCGAGCGATGTGAGCAGCACTTTCCTACCTTGCATCATGATAAGCTATGCAGTTTGACGTATGTAGTGCTTGGCCACCTGCTTGGCCACCTGCCATGTGAGCATTCCACGTTACAGCACAGGCGGTGATATTGGAAATCTGCGACGCTGCTTCCTCCCATTGCCCGCAACTCCGACAAGATTCGGTCGGCGTGAAGTGGAGGGCAAATCCTGACCGTGATCGGGGAGTTAGGGCAAGTTTTCCGGACTCGGCTACCTCTCTACAAATCGTCGATTTGCTGCCCAGGAAAGGGCATGGGATTTCGCCATGGTCTACGAGCCTGCATGGCAAAGGCTTATACAAAATCATACTCGGGGTTTTTGCGCGTGATATGCACTACATCATAGCCAACCAGAATCCTAAGACTCTAGTAAACGATTCGGACGTTCTCGATACATACCGCGATGAGATGTGAAAGACTAGTTGATTAGTGAGACGACATCACGCCGCTATAGCGGTGACAACGCAGCCATTGCTGTCGCCTGAAATCCCACCAGGAGTGATCTCAAGCGTGGTTACGCCCTAGAGAATATTGCCAGTACCAAGATACGCAACGGGGGCACCGGCACCGAACCACTTTCACTAGACACATCATGCGCCTAAGCTCTTGGGTACAGTTGGCTTACATTGTAAACCTGTATTGCATACATTGGTAGCTTGTCAATGCGTAGACACAATGCGGCATCCATGCCAGGCTGGTGAGAGTCTACACCCGACTTCACAGGCTACTTGGTCGCTCCATACGGCGGGTGGATGGCAACAGAAGAAGATGGTGGTGTACACCAGGCAGGGCCGCGGATTTCTGGATCAAAACATCATCAACGTTACCCACTTGTGACAACGCAACGAATATCGTGAAGGCAACACGAAGCTACTTCTAGCACAGCTCTCGGTGCCCCAGCGCCGATGTAACGGCAATGGTGAATTCCTGCATCGATTCGGCAGAGCTTGGCTGCAGCTGATAGGCCGCCTCAGATCTTCCGCTGCCAAGCGAGCAGCTAGAAGGTCAAGACCTGCGAGATCAAGACCACCAGGCCCGTCTTCCCGCTTCTGGGAACAAACTGCCTACTGAAAGCAGAAGAAACGTGAATGTAGTCGAGCAGTGTCCTGATAGCCTGCAATTCCGCGCGGAGGAACTGCCGATACTGCAAACATTGCCGAGTGGCTATTCCGCAACTACTATGGTAGGACAATGTCAAGACATATAGAGTACGAGATCGTGACGACCTGGTGAGAAGAATTGAGATTGGGTTCGGGGTAGACTGTAATATACGGCTGACCTTGGCTGAGTTCCCCATTGCCAACAAACCAGATGATCGACGGGAGGCGTCCAATAACGTTGCGGGGAGATATTACGCGCTTGTATAAAGCTCACTTATAAGAGCCGGAGGCTGAAATACGCCCGACTGTTGGCTTCGAACATGTCAAGAAATGTCGGCAAGTTTGACAGGCAGCAATGAGGACCAAGAGCCGTCTGTGTGGTGCACATGCTCTTTGGCCGGGCGTGAGGATCGTTAGATTTAGGGGGGGGAGGAGGAGCTTGGCTGCAAGATTTAGTCTATACACACAGGAGTACAACATGGAGCCACGATGTTATCGACAGTGTGCACAGACGCAACGTGGTAATAAGTTAATCTTGAAGCCAATGCAGATGGGAAATCAGGACCACTTGCACAACAGAAGACGAAAAGAAAAACATGCTCACGCCAATGCGTCGACGGCACACAGCACCCGCATTGCATGTCGCTTCCGAGGGATTGCGCAGAGTCGAACGCAGAGGTAATCCCAAGCGGGATCAGACCTGGGGTAGCGGGAGCATGTCGAGCCCGAGGGTTTGGATAAAGAGCACATGGCACGATATGGACCGACACCAGGATGGCTGCCCAGGTGCAGATAGCAGATACTGCAAGTTACCCAGGACAGACAGGATCCGGAGTTGAGGCATGCTTGTTCCGCGTTCTAGACCACGTTGGGATTGACTCGGCGGCGGCTGGGTGCTACCTGTTACCGAGTTTGCCGAGCTAGTCGCTTTTTGGAGTCTTGGTAATGTGAGCGTTTCCGCAGATTAATAGGAATATAGTCCTGAAATTTACGTCATCCGGTTGCGACCCGCTTTAGAGTGTTTTTGTAAGGATAAATCAGACGAAGCCACAGCTTGGCCCAGCGCCCGTAACACGCTGGGGATTTGGCACACGGAGAAGACTGCCAGAAAAGATCGAACGGTGGAGGTCTCTGTGGGAAGCGACTGCTCTCGAGGCGCTAGAGGGGGTCGGATGGTAGCCGAGCAGGATCACAGCAGACGGCAGAGGAGGGTCGTTGATGAGGCTCAATGACTCGTCTTCTGCAAGCGACATGAGGTGGGGGGAAGGGGGGTTTTCCTTTCGTGGTACGTACGGTACACAGCAGAACACACGCACACACACATACAACCAACCAAGTAGTGAGCTGCTGTGGTTGACAACGGGCTGGCGGGCAGAGTTTTGCCTAGGTAAACGTCTAGACTCGCGACTCCCACCCGGCACGCTGCCCGGACCCAAAGCTTGTTTCCGTCATGAATCGACAGAGAGAGGGCCAAGGAGGAAGGAATGGTGGTGTGCCCGCCGGGCGGTAGCCTTAATCTATGGCTCTCATGACTCTCAGGCGTTCCTGTCGGGATTCCGTCAGACGTCGTACGGTGCACTCCGCAGGCATCGGGCGAGGTGTTCAGGTGACGGTGTATGCAGTGGTTGCGAGATGACCTCGATTACCAACTCCATGCAGCACATGCAGTTCTCAGCTGGTAGTGGGGTCTCTTCGTTTTTGCTAGATTGATGCGCCGGGATGCACGACCCCTTGGGTGGCGGTGACGAATGAGAAGAGAGACAGCCGTGATCCCAGCCCAAGGCGGCCTGCCCTGCCTGCTCGGTCATGCCAGGGCATGGGCGACAGGGAGGCAGCTGGGAGGCCGGTTGGCCGGGGTGGGAGGAAGGGAGGGAGCATCCCAAGGGAGGCCTGGGAGGAGAGAGGCCCAGAGGCGCGGCGTGGAGGCGGTTTCCGAAACGCACCAAACAGCGGTCCAGTCATCTTCCAGCAGTCTTGGGCTGCAGGGGTGCCGCTGAGGTGCGCGCCGCCCACGGGCCCAGCTCAGCCTATCACAATTCGCCCGTGGACTTCTCCTGAATCTTCGCTGGCCAGGAACGACGCTACCTGCTCCATTGTGGCTCGCTCGAGCGACGATTATCACGCCGTGGTAGGCTCCTTGCTTTGTTCGCCGCCGTCCGGCGGATCTGATGCCCGTGTCTTCTTGGCCTCGTACCTGCCCTAGACTGGACTAGAATGCCCTTGACAAGACCTGACAGGCCCTGACCCCTGCATGGGTCGCCGTTGAGGCTCGGGACGGGGGGGCTTACGAGTTAGACGGTGAAAGCCAGAGGACGGGCACGGGAGCGCGGTGCTGCTTTTTCTCATAAAACTGCCCTCCCGCCGACTACTCGGTGATCGACGTGCTTTCTTTCCTGTGCTTGACCCGTCGAGTCGTCCATTTGATTGTGGCCTGTGCCGCTCTTCTCTTCCCTGTGATTTCATTCAGTTCGTCCCCTTCCATTCATCCACCGGCGCCGTCCTAGCTCATCGACGAGCTTATTCACTCTGGGGAAGATCGGCCATATCGCCTGCCGTTCCCACTTTCACTTCGTCGTGATTCCAAGTTGAATCAATATTGCCATTTCCTGTTTGAGAACCCCAGGCCGCCGTGCGCCCTCGTTCGTCCTCAAGGTACAAGACTACCTACATACCGCCACTACTTTCTCCTACCGGGCCTTTCCTTGGCTCCGCCAATAAACACCACTGCCGGCAGATCAACCACCCACCACCAGGGACAACATCAATCACATCGTGATATCTCCCGGAAAGCCCCGATTCGTACTTTCAGCTTCCATTCAAAGACAGCTTGGTTGCCGGCCGTTTTGGACAGCCCACCTATCCCAGTCCGCTTACCTTGATCGGGTAGCACCTCTCTTCGCCATCAACATCTGGGGCCGAACAAACGGACAAAGGAAACATCGTCGTCTCGCAACCAGGAAATCCCAGGCACCCTCTTTTTGTCTCCCATTATCAGTCACGATTTCTGGATAAGGAACAGGGTCACTCACGTCACTCAATCCGCACAAGGGCTACCCTGGCGTGACAAAGCAGGCGTCTTCTCACCAAAAGTCTCCAGGGCCATTGTTCTCGCATAATGCCCTTGTAACTGGACCTTTCACTTCTTCTCAATCAAGGGCCAGGGGTCTATAGGCAAGCCCAAACCCCTATAGATTTGCGCAACCACCCGTTTTCACCAGTGGCCGCTTCTCTTTCCCCCCAAAGAACGCCAAGATCACAATCTTCACTCGTTCATAACACTACCACCAAGACAAAATGTCGGTACTGCGGCGCAGGGTCGCCGCTCTTGATACCCTTTCACCCTCGCCGGTCCTCATCATCCGGGAGACTGCCGCCATGGCGACAGCAACAGAACACTCCGATCCTAGCTCGACAATCGACCCTTATACCCATTCCTTGAATGGCGTGAACCAGCCAGTGAATATGCTCTTCAAAGACATGCTTTGGTGGAGCATGGGCATATTGGCCCTCATCGTCTTGTCGATTCGTCTCTTGGAGATAGCATGGAGTAAGCTTCGTCAGGTCTCGGCCATGTCGGCGCCGGCCGACAGGCAGGCTTACTGGAAACACTCTCAATGGAGCTGGATGCCAAGCCTGAAGAAGAACCTCATCTATGCTCCCTTCTGGAGAAAGCGACACAACCGTGAGATCAGACTCTCCAACGCTATCAGCATTGGTACACTGCCCTCTCGACTTCACAGCACTCTCCTGTTCCTGTACCTCGTCAGCAATTTTGTCTACATGTTCTTCCTCAACTGGCAGAACGAGAATAAATACGCCTTCTTTGCCGAGGTTCGTGGTCGGTCTGGTACACTGGCCGCTGTCAACATGGTGCCGCTTATTATTCTCGCTGGTCGCAACAACCCTCTCATCGGCATGCTGAAGGTCAGCTTCGATACGTATAACCTCATTCATCGATGGACCGGGCGCATGGTGGTACTAGAGTCTGTCATCCATACCGTTGCATGGCTGATTGTTCAGTTGGCGGATGGCGGCTGGGAGGCCGTCAGCCATAGGCTCATCAACGAGAGCTTCATTGCGTCTGGGTTCTGCGGCACAATCGCTCTCGTCATCCTGTTGCTCCTGTCGTTCGGTCCAGTCAGGCACGCTTTCTACGAGACCTTCTTGAACCTCCACATCATTCTGGCTGCCATCATCTTCGCGTGTACCTGGGTTCACTGCGCCACAGCCAGCATTGGTGTCCTTCCCCAGCTCCCGTGGGTTGTCGCCATCTTCCTCCTGTGGCTTGCTGAGCGCCTCGCGCGCATGTTCCGCCTCGTCTACCTCAACTGGTCTGGAAGAGGGTTCACCGAGGCTATCGTGAGCCCCATGCCCGGCGAGGCGTGCCGCGTCACGATGCATCTGCCTCGCCATGTTGATGTCAAGCCTGGAACCCACGCCTACCTCCGCTTCAAGGAGGTCAACCCTTGGGAAAACCACCCGTTCTCGGTCGCGTGGGTTGAGCATTTCCCCAACCTTGACGGGAAGGACATCAAGGAGCAGGTGACAGCGGCCGACATCAAACGCGGTACAACATCGGTGTCTTTTGTCATCGGCGCGCAAACTGGCCTCACCCGCGCTCTTTTCAACAAGGCCAGCCGGTCGGGTCTGGCGTCGATCTCTATGAGAGCAGCATTGGAGGGTCCTTACGCCGGGCATCACTCTCTAGACTCCTACGGCCATGCTGTCCTCTTTGCCGGGTCGACGGGTATCACGCACCAACTCTCGTATCTCCGGCCCGTCATCGAGGGGTTCAACGCCGGAACCATTGCGACCCGCCGCCTCACCCTCGTGTGGATCATTCGAGACTATGAATCGCTCGAGTGGATCCGCCCGTGGGTTGATGAGGTACTTCGAATGCCACGTCGTAAGGAGATCCTGAACATTCGATTATTCATCACACGGCCGAAGAACCCCAAGGAGATCCAGAGCCAGAGCGCAACGGTGCAGATGTTCCCTGGCCGGCCGAATATCAAGACTATCCTGCAAAAGGAGGTTGACGAGCAATGCGGTGCCATGATGGTCAGCGTCTGTGGTCCTGGTGGACTGCAAGACGACGTGAGGGAAGCCGTTCGGGCGGTCCAGGACGAGCACTCGGTTGTAGACTTTGTCGAGGAGAGCTTCACCTGGTAACCTTGCCCTCCATCCTGCTCGGCGGAGTTGATCGGGATCCAGCGTGAACCTAGCGCGGTGAACGAGAAGGAAGCGACGATTAATTGGGTCGCGTCTGCAGTGTGTGTATATGAGCGAGAATCAAGCGTTGGCGTATGGGGACTGAGCCATGGGGCCAAAATCAGCAGCGGGCTGACACAGGATAAGGCGTTTTACGGAAGTTGACCATTTGCATTTCCACAAGGAGGGGGACTATAGAGGCCCGATGTGTTATTTAGAATATTCTGCTTTGTACATAATCATTTTTCCCATAGAGGTTTCTCGATCAACAGAAACCCTACGGTCTCATCTGTATATAAAGTCACTTTGGAACTCTGCAACACCGTCAGTGCCTCACTCAGCCTGTTGTGTCTTGCTGTTGTGTCTTGTTTCTTAGTGCCTGGAAACTCAGTGCGATCGACGTATATGAGGTACGCAAGGCGGCACGCAGGCCTTTGGGGAACTTGTGCGTGAACGATGAAGGCTTTGGTAGCCAAGGTATGAGGCCGCAATCATGTACAGACGCCTCCCGCCCAAGTATGATCCGCTCGTCTTCGCACAGCTATATCGGGAATGCCACCTACGTATGCAATGGCCAGCCACAATGAAGGGATTTACAAGAGGGCGCGAACCCACGCGCAGCAGCCCATGCAGGGTCCGCTCCCCCTTAGGTCCATCCGGTGTGGTGTGTGTGTGTCAATGACTGGGGCCGTCGCTCCCCCCGCAATCGGCCAGAGTCGGCCTGCAGTGGAGGGATTCCACATTGGAATCGGCGCAAGGCGTGAGTGACCTACGTAGTTTTAAAAAAGTTTTGGGCCGACTCTCAACCTGAAGATGACTCAATCCGCAGTCGATTGCTAGATTTAATACCTCCCTCGACTTTTGACTTCAGTGTTATTCCCCGGTTTGCAATTGGCAAAGCACATTCGTCTGCCACTGCGAGCTAGCCGAGCTCCCTGCTATCCCCTCGAGTACCGTATTCACAGGCCGTCCTTGTACGTGAGACCTGCAGACTGAGGCCCAACTGCCCCTCCATCGCATCACTTCTCCGATAAAGCTGAACCCCGCCAAAACTTCCACGACCGCTTTCAAGATGGGTGGCATGTAAGTGCAAATGCTCCAAGTTGCCTGCCAGCACACGTCGCCTATGGATACAAGACTGACATGAGGTTTCTTACCACCGCAGGTTGAAGGATCCGTCCAAGAAATACAAAAAGTTCACCCCCGTGAACCTGCCCAACCGCCAATGGCCGTCCAAGACTCTGGACAAGCCGCCGAGATGGCTCGCCACCGATCTGAGAGACGGCAACCAGAGCTTGGTTGACCCCATGGTCAGTCCTCAACTCGCTACTGCCTGCCGGCCCCCAAACCCCAACTGACTGACTGGTGTCCAGAATGGCGAGGAGAAGTGGAAGTACTTCAAGATGCTGGTGGATCTCGGCTACAAGGAGATCGAGGTCTCCTTCCCTTCTGCGTCGCAAACCGACTTCGACTTCACCCGGCGCTTGATCGAGACCCCCGGCGTAGTCCCCGACGATGTGTGGATCCAGGTCCTCTCGCCGTGCCGTGAGGACCTCATCCGTCGCACCGTCGACTCCCTCAAGGGCGCCAAGAAGGCCCTCCTGCACATCTACCTTGCCACCAGCGAATGCTTCCGGCGCATAGTCTTTGGCTTCACCGAGGAGGAGAGTATCGAGCTGGCCGTCAAGTGCACCAAGTACGCAAGATCCATCACGAAAGACGACCCGTCGCAGGCCGGCACCGAGTGGGCCTTCGAGTTCAGCCCCGAGACCTTCTCCGACACCAGCCCGGACTTTGCCATCCGCGTCTGCGAGGCTGTCAAGGCTGCGTGGGAGCCCACGGTCGAGAACCCCATCATCTTCAACCTCCCTGCCACAGTCGAGATGTCCACGCCCAACGTGTACGCAGACCAGATTGAGTACTTCTGCACCAACATTTCGGAGCGCGAGAAGATCTGCGTCTCCCTTCACCCGCACAACGACCGAGGCTGCGCCGTCGCCGCCGCTGAGTTGGCCCAGATGGCTGGCGCAGATCGGGTGGAAGGCTGCCTTTTTGGCAACGGCGAGAGAACCGGCAACGTCGACTTGGTCACCCTCGCTTTAAATTTGTACACGCAGGGCGTCCACCCCAACGTGGACTTCTCTGATCTCGGCCGAGTTATCGACACGGTAGAGATTTGCAACAAGATCCCTATCCACCCCCGAGCACCCTACGGAGGTTCCCTTGTCGTGTGTGCCTTCAGTGGCTCCCACCAGGATGCCATCAAGAAGGGTTTCAACTTGCGCGAGAAGACCGATGCTTCCTACGACGACCGCTGGGAGGTGCCGTATCTTCCTCTTGACCCGCAAGACATTGGCCGAACATATGAAGCCGTGATCCGCGTCAACTCACAAAGTGGAAAGGGCGGGGCGGCATGGATCATCCTCCGTAAGCTCGAGCTCGATCTTCCCCGTGGCCTGCAAGTCGCCTTCAGCAAGGTCGTGCAGAAGCGCGCGGACCAGCTGGGCCGTGAGCTCTTGTCGGAGGAGATTTCCGATCTCTTTGAGCAGACGTACTTCCTGAAGGAGCACCCCCGCTTCAACATCATCGACTATTCGATCTCGGTCGACCGCTCCGCCTCTCCCGCTCCCCCAGTCGACGGCAAGACACAGGATACCAAGAACTTGGCTCGTGTCTTCGAAGGTGTTATCGCCATTGATGGCAAGGAATACAAACTTCGCGGACGCGGCAACGGACCCATCTCGTCCTTGGCGAATGCTCTCAAGAGCATTGGCATCGATCTGGATGTTGCGGACTACAAGGAGCATGCCGTGGGCAAGGGTCGCGATGTCAAGGCTGCCACCTACATCGAATGTACCGCGTCTGGCACTCCCCAGAAGGTATGGGGCGTCGGCATCCACGAGGATGTGGTCCAGAGCTCTCTTGTCGCCCTCCTGAGCGCGGCAAGTAATGTAAGTTCTCAACATTCAGGGTCGCAGACATGGTTTCCTAACTAATATTACGCAGTTCATTCTCAGCCGTCCTAGCAGCCCCATCACGGCCAAGGCCCTGCCGCGCCGAAGTCTCAGCCAGGAGCTGGACCTCAATGGTGAACTGAAGGTGCCGAACGGCTCAGCCACGACCAAGGAGGTCGAGGGCGGCGCCCCATCGGCGGTCGTCAACGTGTTGGAGAGCAAAGCCAATGGCTTGTAAAACCGCACCAGGTGATCAAACCAACAAAAGTCAAGAGTGTGCATAGTGAGCAAGGTATTTCGTTGCGCATACCCTTAGTTATTCTTGAGTGATTCGCAATGTCATGAAGGGTCAAAATGAATCTGCAGGGGCATTGTATTTGGATATGGTTGGTTAGGATAGCATACCAGGTAGCCAAAAATTGAGCATCAAAAAAGCGAAGGGCCAATGGTCAACCCGTTATCTACTAACAACTACATGGCATATGCCGTGGACCATCTTTTCTTCCTGTGCTCTACCATTGGCAGGTCATCTACCGCAGAGGCTGACTTATTTCATGTACTCGATAGAAGACTTGCTGTATATAAACAATCCGCATTTCTTATAGGTGAGGATTTTCTATCATGGCGCCCTATTATAAAGAAGTCATCAAATAAGATCTGGCCATGCTTGCCACCTTATGAACAACCAAAAGCATCGGCACGGGGACTATGTGGACCGTGTCAAGAGTATACAACACTTGGTGGTGGTAGGGCTGGGTGGCCCGTGCAAAATAAAGGGGGAGGGGTAACTCGTGAAGAGTCAAGGTAGGGCTGGCGCGCGGGCATGGAAAGTCAGTGCTGATGGCTTAGGTATGTAGTTCCCAGGTTAATGAAAGGTTCAGCAGGGTCTACTGGAAAAATGATAGACCGGGCCGGCATGTGGCGACATGAGGCTCCCGTGCAAGTTGTATCCAGGGCTTTGCTCGCGGTACCAGACTGTAACGACTTGGCATGTCAAATTGAAATTTGGGCGTTGCTCGATTCTGCAAGCGGGCTATGAAGGGGGGAATAACCGCTCTAGTGCCTGGCAGGCGTGGTGCAGCGCCCTTTTTGGAGCGAGGGGGGAAAAATAAGCTGGTCGTGACAAGTCTGGGTTTGCCATTGGTCCCGCAGGCATGTGCCACAGACAGGTGTGAACCTTGTCTCTCTCTCACACCTGGCCTCACCGTCTGTTTGCCCATTTCCGTGCCTGGACGGATAGCTGTCTCTGTATGCATGGGTTTCACCTGGACGTAGCGTGTGCCGTCCGAAGGGAGAGACCAGGCAACCTCTGACAGACACAGTTCTTGAGACGCCTTGTTGTTTATAATAATTAGTCAACGTACAGCTCGTTAGCCCACCTAGCAAGCTGGAAGGTGCTCGCTAGCCTGGGGATTATCGTGTTTTTTGATTGGCCCCCACTCCGCTACGACGGGGCCCAGGGCACCCTTGGAGAGTGGAAGGGAAGAAGAAGAAGAAGAAGTTGAGCCCCTCCACCGCTCACCACCCACCACCACCAAGCCCACCTGTGGCCCAGCTTCCCACCTGCAGTGACTAAGTCCCCAGCTTCCATTGCCAGTGGCACTGGCAGTGGCAGCCGTAGTAGCAGCCGCAGCAGCAGCAGCAGCAGCAGCAGTTGGCAGTGGCCACCCACCCCAATCCAAGGCTTTCCAGTGGTTGAATGGGCGGCTCGCGAGGTGCGTCCACCGCCCGCCGCCCACCGCCCACTTTCGACCTGGACGCCCGGCAACAAGAAAAACAAGCCACAAGCTCCAGGGCACATGCTGCACTAACTAAACAACGACGCATCACAATTCTACACTGTTCTACTGCTGCCCCTTCGCCTTCGGAACAGTTTCTCTTCACCTCATTACTTACGACAGCATTTCACCTGTCCCCTTGTCCCGGTCCACCATCTTCACGAGAGGCCCTCACCCTTCCGCAGGCGCCCCGGACACTGGCAACTTCCCCTTCTTCTTCTACTTCGATCCACTCCTTGGCGACCTGAGCCACAAAACATTCCCGGCGCTGGACTCTGCCCCCCCCCTCCGACGACGTACCACCACACACATAAACACCACAAAAGACGCGGATAGAGTAGGCTGCCGCTCCTGCTGCCGCCCACCGAAGACACCACCAATATGGCTGAAAACGGTGATATCAACATCGTGCTCAGCAACTCGCTGTCGCCCGGTAAGCTCCTCGTGTCCCCCCATCTTCGTCCCCGTCCCCATCCCCCCTCCTCCGTCCAGCGGCCCCTGCCAGATGCGCCCCTCCCCGTCGCATGCTGCTATCGACGTCGCTGACTCCTCTCCCCCCTTACAGATGCGGCGACGCGAAATGCCGCCGAGCAGCAGCTCACCCAGGCTGCCGAGAACAACTTTGTAAGCATCCTCGCCCATGCATAGCCATCCCTTCGTCCCTCCGACCAAGCACGCCGCGTCAGGATTTTTGCTAACCCATCTCGTCTCCCGTCAGCCCCTCTATCTGGCCACACTAGTGCAGGCTCTAGCAGACGAGAACGCCGAGGGCCAAATCCGAGTTGCGGCCGGTCTTGCCCTGAAGAACGCCTTCTCGGCTCGCGAATTCGCCAGACAACACGAGCTCCAAGCAAAATGGCTACAAGGGACAGACCAAGAGACCAAGGACCGCGTCAAGTCGCTGGCCCTCGGCACCCTCTCCTCCAGCAATGCCCAGGCTGGCCAGGCCGCCGCCCAGGTCATCGCCTCCATTGCCGCCATCGAGCTGCCCCGGAACCAGTGGACTGACCTGATGGCCACCCTGGTGCAGAACGTGAGCAGCGGCGCCCCGCACCAGAAGCAGGCCTCGCTCACGTGTATCGGCTACATCTGCGAGACCCAAGACGCCGAGCTCCGCGCTGCCCTGATCAGTCAGTCCAACGCCATCCTGACTGCCGTCGTCCAGGGCGCCCGCAAGGAGGAGACCAACAACGAGATCCGTCTCTCGGCCATCTCGGCCCTCGGCGACTCGCTCGAGTTTGTCGGCAACAACTTCAAGCACGAGGGCGAGCGCAACTACATCATGCAGGTCGTCTGCGAGGCCACACAAGCCGACGACTCGCGGATACAGCAGGGTGCCTTTGGCTGCCTGAACCGCATCATGGGTCTCTACTACGAGAACATGCGCTTCTACATGGAGAAGGCCCTCTTCGGCCTCACCATCCTGGGCATGAAGAACGAGGACGAGGACGTCGCCAAGCTCGCCGTCGAATTCTGGAGCACCGTCTGCGAGGAGGAGATCAACATCGAGGAAGACAACGCCCAGGTGGAGAGCTCCGACCAGATGCGGCCCTTCTACAACTTTGCCCGCGTCGCCACCAACGAGGTTGTCCCCACCCTCCTGATGCTCCTGACCAAGCAGGATGAGGATGCTGCTGATGACGAGTACAACCTGTCCCGCGCCGCATACCAGTGTCTCCAGCTCTACTCCCAGGCCGTCAACGCCAACATCATCCCGCCCGTCATTCAGTTCGTCGAGGGCAACCTGCGTTCCGAGGACTGGCACTTCCGTGAGGCTGCTGTCGCCGCCTTCGGTGCCATCATGGAGGGACCTGAGGAGAAGGTGCTCGAACCCATTGTGAAGCAGGCCCTGCCTGTCCTCATCACCATGATGGAGGACAGCTCGACCCACGTCAAGGACTCGACGGCATATGCCCTGGGTCGTATCACCGAGGCCTGCTCCGAGGCCATCGACCCCAACACTCACCTGGATCCCTTGATCCGATCGCTCTTTGCCGGTGTTCACGATGTGAAGATGGCAAGCTCCTGCTGCTGGGCCCTCATGAACTTGGCCGAGCGCTTCTCGGGCGACTTGGACGCTGCATCCAACGCCATCACACCGCACTTCAATGCTAGCGTCACAAACCTGTTGAATGTGACCTCGAGGCCTGAGGCCGAGACAACTGTGCGCACCACGGCTTACGAAGTCCTCAGCGCTTTCGTGCAGCATGCTGCTACCGAGAGTTTCCCATCCATCGCATCCCTCTCAGATGTCATCATCAAGCGCCTCGAGGAGACCATCCCGCTTCAGAGCCAGGTCGTCAGCATTGAGGACAAGATTGCTCTGGAGGAGATGAAGACCAGTCTCAACACCGTCCTTCAGGCGATTATCCAGCGTCTCGACAAGGAGATCGCTCCTCAGGGTGACCGCATTATGCAGGTTGCCCTCCAGCTCCTGAGCACTGTCTCCGGCAAGTCCGCCGTGCCCGAGGCCATCTTCGCCACCATTAGCGGCCTGGCCAACGCCATGGAAGAGGACTTTGCCAAGTACATGGATGCCTTCAAGCCTTTCCTGTACAATGCTCTCGGTAACTCTGAGGAGCCCAGTCTGTGCTCGATGGCTATTGGCCTCGTCAGCGACGTTACCCGATCCCTGAACGAGCGCAGCCAGCCATACTGCGACGACTTCATGAACTACCTCCTCAACAACCTTAGGGTACGTGCACCTACCAGTCCTCTTATCGCTATGCATGACACTAACTTGGAACAGAGCGCTGCATTGGGTAACCAGTTTAAGCCTGCCATCCTGCAGTGCTTCGGTGACATTGCCAACGCTATAGGTGGTCACTTCGAGACTTATTTGTCCGTCGTTGCTCAAGTCTTGCAGCAAGCCGCTACCGTCACCGCGAGCCCTGACGGCAGCTACGAGATGTACGACTACGTCATCTCTTTGAGAGAAGGAATCATGGATGCTTGGAGCGGCATCATTGGCGCCATGAGATACAGCAATAAGAGTGAGTCGACCACCATGCAGTCTGTAACTATTGTAGCTAACATCGATACAGCTCAAGCACTTCAGCCCTATGTGCAGTCTGTTTTCCAGCTGCTTAACCTCATTTCGCAAGATATGAACCGTAGCGAGGCTTTGATGCGATCATCTATGGGAGTTATCGGGTAGGTTTTACGCAACACTATGTTTGAGAAGCCGTTTCTAACAATTTTGCCAGTGACCTTGCTGAGGCGTTCCCCGGTGGTGAGCTTGTCGATGCTTTCCGACAAGATTGGTTGACTGCTATGATCAAGGAGACCAAGACCAACCGGGAGTTCCAGTCACGCACCATCGAGACCGCACGATGGGCACGCGAGCAGGTTAAGAGGCAGCTTGGCGGCCAGCAGGCTGTCATGCAGCAGACCTGAGAGCCAGCAATCTCCGCCTCACGATCTCCCTCTCCCCGCTGAGCTGGAGAGTCATGGGCAATTGTGCGACAATTCCCCCAACCAACGCGTTGCCGAGCCCTCCGTGTCGACGAGTACTTGAATTCCATCTCAGTCTCGCGCCGGTCGGAAGCGACCTGGAGCAAACACTTGCAAACCATCCCCTACGTCATTCTTGCCCCTCCCTGAACGAGCCACGTGTATATAGACCCCTTTCCCACTGCCTTAATGCAATACCCTGAGCATCCCATACCCAAGACACCACACAGCATACACCTACCCTTGAATTCACCCTGATGTATCCCCCTTTGATGGAGTTTCGGTTGTGACTGCAAAGCCTCCGAAAAGATTTACCATTACCAGGTTTAGAGAAGACCACATCATGTACGCCCATCTTGCTTGAGCAACGGGGCCACGAAGTCATGTATGGAGATGAAGAGAAGATAAAAGAGAGATGTGAGGCCTGCTCGCTCGGGCGCGTTCAAGTGAACAGCCGATGATCCTTTGCTTAGCCACAGGTTCATTTCTCGGCGCCGGACGATGGAGCAGAGGAAAAGCACGATGCGTCTTGGGGGGACAAGCATGGTGACTTGGTTGTCACGTGAACCTCCAAAGATGATTGCTCTAACAGAGATCACCGTTTGGGTCGGATGGCCACACCTTGCGTGTCCCGGCCCGGACTGACGCATGGGGTCTGTGCTGGTAGGACAGCGCTGATGCGCGAAGACAAATAAAGCCCTTTCTACCCCAACTCTTGTGTACTTTGCTGGTGATGTCTGTACAATGATCCAATGGTCCTGTGGTTCCAGCCTTTGAAGGTCTGAAAGTGCAAGAATCTACGATGCATCTCAGAAGATCTCTGGAGGTGGGTCATGTCTAATCTCTGGTGGGTTATGTATAATCTCTATAATCCATCAAGCTGTAGACACTTGTACGCGCCTCTCATTGCTTGAACATACTACCCAAGCCATGCCTGTGGTGGTTAGAGGGAAAACCCAGCAAATGCCTGCGGCCTAATAAAGGAAAAGTAGAATGAGAATAGGCAAAAAAATATGTACAGATTTTAGCGCACGTCAGGTACGAGCCACCTGGCTCAGGGGGTATCTCAGGTCCCGCTATGTTGATCAGATCTATATACAATGAACTGCCGACTTTCGGTTATCTTCGCCACCGAAAACGGCTGTAGGAGGGCTACATGTTTGCCATGACAGCCGCGGCGCCGAGGGCTCCCATTAGTGCGGCCGTCGGCATGGCCGCGAAGCCGCCAGCTCGCGCGATGGTCACCGGCACAAGCGTCGCCGTGGGGGAGACGCCCGACGTGAAGGGAGCCTGGCTGACAGAGCTGGCGCCGGCAAAGTCCACGGCTTGTTTCTCCCTCGAAGCATCAGGGAGCGAGGTCGTTGACAAGGGGTTCATGACACTTTTTCACAAGGGGTTAGCAGGGCTACGCAATGGTAATACTAGGAAAGTAGGGAGAGGGAGAAAGAATGCTTACTTGTCAATGATGTGGACAACCCCGTTACTCGTCAACATATCCGCCAGGATGACTTTGGCATTGTTGACGTACAAGTCGCCATTTTCCTCCCGGACGGTCAGCATGCCTCCCTGCGCGGTGAGGAGCTTTGCGCTGCCCCCGCTCGCGCCGACCATCTGCATGAGCTCCGTGCTGTGGGCCGCCGTCCCCATGACGACGTGGTAGTCCAGCACGGAGGAGAGGAACTCCATATCGGCCGACTCGACGACGTTGCCGACCTCGCGGAAGGCCTCGTTGGACGGCGCGAAGACGGTCGCCTGCCGCAGGGCGTCGACACCCGCGACCATGCCGGTCCGAGCCAGCGCGCCGGCCAGCGACGTCAGCCCCGTGTCCAGCGCCGTGGCCGACGTCGTATCGGGCACCGTTAGGACCGTGTCGATGATGTGCAGCACGCCGCCGTCGAACAGGTCCGCCTTGCTGACCCGCGACACCTGCCGGAAGCCCGAGACGACCAGGGCGTCGGCGTTGGACTTGACCAACTCGACCATCTGGGTCCGGATGGTGCCCGAGGCCGTCGAGGGCAGCGTGAGCGCCGTCGAGGCGAACTGGGGAGTATTTGTGAACATGGCGGCTGTCATCACGCCGCTTGCTATATGGTATTCGAGTAGGTTGGTGAGGAATGTGGTGTTCTTGGCCATGGTGGCCAGGTCTGGCATCGCAGCCATGGCCTTGGTGAATGCTTGGTTGCTGGGTGCGAAGATGGTGATATTAGATGCCGTGGCGAGGGCAGTGGTCAGCTGTGGTACGGTACCTAGGAGACCTATGAGTGTGTTAGTAGCTTAGATCCCGCCTGAGCATATGGCAACTGACTAGTCAAGGTACTCAGCTCATTACTATTAGCTGCTAGAACATTGGCAATCGGCTCGGCCGCTGCCGTGGCCAAGATCCAGGGTATTAGAGTGGGAATATGCATATTCGTATATTGGGGAACGGGGTTGCTTGACGAACCCCAACCAGTAAATCATCTTCTAGCTTCTGCATGGCGTCAGATGCGGGCTTTTATACAGCTCTACGAGGGTGGACGGCCAACGGGTAGTCATGAACCCGGAACGGAGCTGGCCGCGAGCTGAGGCTCGTCATGGCAGCTTGAGGTTCAAGGCAGCCGGCTTCGTATCCGAATGTTTAGGCCTCACGGCCAATCGCAACTCTCAAAACATTCCCCCGACCCCTGAGTAGATCACGGAATGGTGTAAGACTGTATCCAGTGGCCTGGCTTGGTGGTGGGAAACAAATGTGTGACGAATGGCGAGATTGGACGAATGCAAAACGAGGGCCTCAAACGTGAACACAATCTGCCAAGTGTTTTGATCCAGCGCGGAAATCCCTGGGAAATCTGAGCCGAGCGACTAAACCCCGATATCGATCCCCTTCAGGAGCCACTGTTTGCCGTCGAAGTATCCTAGGATTGATGCATGCGTGGTTGAATCAAGGCGTCGTCACAGTTGCCATCATTTCACCGTTCCGCCTGGGAACAATTCCTGTTTAGTGGCCATCTTGCTGCCAGTACAGAAGTGTCTGGACGGTGAACACGGAAAGGGTCTTGAGAATATGTCGAAAGCTGTCGAACGGCAAGTTTGAGTCCAGGAGACACAGTCAGCACCCTGCTCGATCATACAAGAGCTCACCTTGATGTCGTCGAATGCCGTGATCGACGCCGGGAGCCCCGCCCTAGCTACCCACGACCAATCAGGATTCCCCACGCGACGCAACTATGCTTCCCCTCGGTGCATCACCACGTTTTTGGATTAGATCCTGCGGTGCGGCTCATGTCCTTCACGACGTTTGTTTCAACGTCAGGAGAGGCTCATGGCAGAGTCATTCGACACTGAACCCAGACTTTCTACTCCTGACCGAGCCAAAGGATAAGGTGACCGGACGGGTGCCGTAAGCCGTCTGGCGAGCCTGGCTATCACCACGATTGCGAAGCCCAATATCGCCCCGAGGCGGGTTGACAACCACCGCCGCTCGGCCAACATTGTGTCCAGGTCCGTGTCACAGTCGAGTCTGCACAGGCAGCGTTGGTTCAAACTCTTCTTTGTATTTCGTGGGGGTACTATGCTAAATGGCGCAATGCTATATCGTGATATATCTCATCCCTTTTTGGGATCGCTGAAACGCCAGAACTCCGTCGCCAATGGACTTGCCCCGAATGACCAAAACCCGATAACTCAATGCAGGATGCCTGAACTCCGACCCCATGCCCATTTTTGCTGATTCTCTATCATGCAGTCCGTCTATGCAGATGCCTCCACGGGCGTTTGAAGCTTTTGCTGCTCGAGCTCGACCTTCTCCAGAGCTGCGGCCAGCTTCTCCTGCTCCTGGCGATCTTGCTCTGCCTTCTCCTTGCGCTGCTGCTCCTCGAGGAACATGGCGTAGCGCGACTTCTTGTTGTGGATGCCGCACTCGGTCTTGGCCTGGCCCTTCCAACGGCCCGCGCGCTCGTCCTCGCCCTCGCCGACGGGGCTGGTCGAGTGCCAATCGCCGACCGACTTGTACCCCTGGTCGAGCAGGATGTTGTAGGGGACGTTGTGCTCGTCGATGTATTCCTTCACTTGCTTGAAGGACCAGTCGACCAAGGGGTTGATCTTGATGATTCCGGTATCCTCCTCAACCTCGAGAACAGGGATCTTGTCTCGCTGGCCTCCTTGCGATCTCCGACGGCCCGTCAGCATGGCTGCGACGTGGAGCTCTGAGTAGGCACGCTGCTGCGGCTCGACCTTGGCAATCCAGTCGTATAGCTCAGATGCTGTGTCATACAGGTTCTCTCCGTATTGCTCCTCGAACTCGGCGACGGTGTTGACGCCGTTGGGTCGGAAGGTGTGCAGTTTGATGTTAGGGTATCTGGCCTTGACTCGCTCCACCAGGTCGAGGGTCTCCTGGAAGTGGTATAGGGTGTCCAAGAAGATGAGGTCAATTGCCGGCGACTCCGGGTCTTCGGTTTGAATCTTGGACAACATGTCGATGGTAACCAGTCCGCTCAGACCGAAAGCAGTCGATTGAAACAGGTTGGGGAACAGGACCTTTACGGTACGGAGTCTGTCGATGGCCGGCAACCGCTCCAGCTGCTGGTTGAGGAAGTCAAGGTGAGGCTTGGTGAGGGTGATCAACGGCAGGACGCTCGTGGACCCATCTACCGACGACGATGCCGAGCCATAGCCCGACTCCAAGTCGAGACCAGCATCCATTTTCGAGTTGGGGGCCGGTTTGACCTGCGGCGACGACGAATAGGACATGGTTGTGGATTGTATGGGTGATATTATGGCTTCACTGTCCCGCGTGGGATGAATCTAGAATCGACGTGGGAGACTCGTTCACGAAAGAAGCACGGATGCGGGAACACGCGAGAGAACGTCGTCAGAAGGGATTATTGCGAACGATGAACTAAGATGACGTGCGCGGGGGGAAAGTAAAGTGTGATCAAGTCAAGGAGGAGTATTCCGGGGAAAGTTACAAGGGAAGGGAGACGGTTTGTTTAAGAGGGATCCGGACTTCCTTTCTACGGTAGGGTACGTAGGAAAGGCCTGGCACCGTGTTTGGCCTCCTGGTTTGTAAGTGGACTTACACAAGGGTGAATTAGTAATTGCGTGCTCGACGCCTAGGTCAGAAACGCACAGAAAACCGTGCGTGCTTCCGCTTCTCCTTGGGAGATTGGGAGACAACTCCAGCCTAGCATGGCAATGCGTTCCGGGTGGTCCTCTTCGCCCACGCCAGCCCGACTGTGCGATTTGGCCGGGCTCGGTGAGTCCAACCATGAAAAACGATGCTCAGTGAAATTTAGAAGCGATCACGACATCCGCGCTAAGCTATTCGCGATCTGAGAGACTATGCTGATTGGCTGGCAGGTGAGAATCTTGCACTTGGATCTAAGCCGCCCGAGTACCGAAACCTGGGTTTCCATGACGGCTTCCGCACATTTGGACAGGGGTCTTGGAACTGATACTCGCAGCCGGATCCGGCCCTTTGTTCAGCCTCTCAGACCGCACACGACCACAGCTAACGTCAGGACTTTGCCTCGAGAGGCCCACATAAGGCGATCCCACCGACCTCATCGCACACGACTGTCCGCAACGTACCTCTTCCACGGGGATTGATCGGCCTGTCTGATCGCAGAGGAACGATGATGTAAGGTGCGCACGCAACTTTGAGCAGGATCACGTTTCGTGGCGCAGACGCAGAGGTTCCGAGGCCAGGTTGGTTAGTATGCATTCCTCACAACCTCGGACTGGCGCCCAGCAAAGGCCCAGCCCGCAACAGCCATGGCCAGTGGTTGAGTGGGAAATCATGGGGCCGCAGCACCATAATGCTGAGATGGTGGGGTCTATTGCCCCGTATGTGATCCATATGCACAGACTGGTAGACTGGCTGGCCGGCTGGCAGGCTGCAATGCACGATGCCTCATATTTTCTGATGCTACACTGTAATGCATCCTCATAACTCCTCGGTTGTGGAAATCGACACAGGCAGTATCTGCATTCCAGTTATCCGAGACCTTGTAGAATGTCACTGGAGGGGTGTATGAAGGCCTGTCCCAGGAAACGTTCCCGCTGCAGTGAGTTTCAGTGACCGGGGAATTTCGAGCAACGCCCAGGACGTCGAGATCCATGAATGTCTGTCCGTGTGAAAGGCTTCACCCTCTGCCTAGCCAGGACGGGACGATCTCTAGGCCTACACGTCAGAGACCGTTGGCACTAGTGATCTGCCACAGTACTCGGGGCTCCATCTAGGCGAGCACGTCTTTGCTCCTGACAATCACGCAATCGCAACCATGTCGAGCTAAAATATAAAAATCTCAGCGAAGGCCGTGCCGGCGTCGATGTCGCGATTTAAAGCCGGCGATCGTCAGCTGAGCCGCCTCCGACAGCCTGGCCTTACCGCCCCCGATATCCACTTCAGCCGCACACCGACACCCTGGCTTTGTCAGTTCCGACAACCATTTGCGAGCTGACACAGCAGCAACGTCAACTCCCACCGTTAATAATACATACTCTTTGTCGCAAGTGAGTCTATATTGGATGTAACATCATGGTTAAATTCGCCATACTCCAAGAAACGGAAAACATAGTCCCGAAATCTTGCGCAGTCCGCCCATACTCTACGAATGCCTGACAACCAATTACAAATGCCCCCAAGTCCTATTTACCGTCGAGGGTTAAGCAAATTCGCGAGAAATGGATGGACGATTCACTATGGCGACAAACGCCTTTATAAACTACTTTGTCGGAGTTACCGGAAACGCTAAAGGCTAGCCTATCGAGGCTGCCAAGCATTGGAGTACTTTCTTCTCAGCCAAGTAGGAGCAGTACTATTATCCCTTGGATTGAGTGTAACTTCAGTCTTCACTCACCCACTGCCCCGGAACTCTGGCTGAAAGTCGACTCTCTGCCCTGGCATCACTCGGTGGTCTCTCGGCCTCTTCGGCCCATTCCAAGTCCCACTCTTCTATTTTTGAGCTGTAGCGGATGTTCACCAGCCTGACTTTGAGTGACAGTTTCTTGCTTATTCGCGACAGGTCGAATAAGTACGACCCGTTCAAAGTGGCGCTCTCGTGCTGTAGGAACTCTTGTTCTACCTTGCCATACTCGTGGAGATCAAATCCACATTCGCTGATAATGAACAGCCAACTGCGGACAGCAGGCTGGAGATGGTAAAGCCAAAGGTCACGAAATGTCGCATAAGCTTTGCGACTGATCGACCAATGTAGAGCGGCCCAAATCAAAACCAAGAATGGAGTGCCCAGCGGGCCAGCCTGCTCATTCCACAGTTTGGTCGACATCCCTTCATGTGCAGTCGAATGCAAAGTCCTAGGTTCAAATAGCAACCGCAGGATATCTTTCCACCCTCGTAGTTCCTTCTCTTCCATCGGCCATCTACGATTGCCAAGGCAAAGAGCAATGTAGATAAGAGCCGAATCCCCAGACTCGACAAGGCTCGTCCGTAGTGACAGGTCGTCCATCATGATCGTAACAGACTCGAGTGGAATACTCACCCACATATCGAAGACATATTCTAGGGGTGCATTACCAACCATTTGCGAACAAGATGGGAAACGCTGTCGCTTGACGAAGTCCACTGCTTCCTGGATATCTCGGATTACCATGGTGTTGAGGTACACCGGGAGAAATACGACTCCGAGGCGGGTATTTTCGAGGTCGTCGAAGACGTCATTAAACGTAAGAAGGGCATGAAAGTTGGAGTACTCCATGCCACTCGGAATACCTCGACTCGACTCTGTGTGCCGTGAAGCCTTCAGACTGAAGATATCAAGGGCTGTGAGACCATGGTCATCAGTCTCGAAAAAGTCAATCCCAGCGTTTGCCAATATTCGTGCGCAATCAAAGCTTTGGACACTCAATGCAACCTATCATGCGTGTCAGCCTGGTCCTGATGGGAAAGACCGAATCGCCACTTACATGAAGCAAGTTCTCCCCGGACTCATTCCTGTCAAAAAGAGTAGAGGGTCCTCTTTCGAGACACTGTCTCAACGACTGAGAGTCGTGGTTCTTGACAGCTCTGAAAGCGGCCGAGTCATCTTCGATTACTACGCGCCAAGCTCGGAGGCTGGTTGTCCATCCTGCGGTTGCCATGGTTATCCTTAATTCGATCGCCCTCCTTAGCAAAATGGCTGGCAGATGAATTAAAACTCGATAGTCTGGACAGGCAAATGTGATATCAGCCCATGGGATCCAACAAGAAACCAGACGCGAATCAAGGGCTTACCTGTACTATACTGTCGAGCCAAACCCAGCTGTGTCCTCTTCCATTCCATGGTTACGAATCCAAAGACTGTCGTTACGGATGAAGATACCGGGCCTACTCTCATCTTACACTTGTGTGATCTAGGACGCAGACCTGATGGCCGAGAGCCGTACTCATCCCCCAAATCCAATTGAGTACAAGCCTTCTCCATCCGGCGAGGCTGCAAAGTCTCCTGATTCAGAAATGCGCCGTCCTCTTTGTAAAAGCCAAATAGCTGGCCTCTTGAGCCTAACTTCTCAGCAAGAATAGAAGGTTGGGCTTTGATCAATTCCCTGTGTAGTATCAGTGCTCTGATTATTATACGATGGGAAGAGGGAGCTGACATGAGGTAAACCTGTTGCGCAAACATTAGCATCGTCACAGAATTGTGTAGTCGCTTCTCGTATGCGAGGAGAGTCTGCTTCTTCATAATCACTTTCACCTTGGCCACAGCGCGTGAGACTTTCCTCTGGGCGCTGACCTGCGATTGCATATCGTTGACGAGGCTCTTGAGGTCCATCGTAGATTGCTGGCAGTACTCTAGACTCTTTTGCATCACGTGGCTTTGCTTCAAATCCGAGCTGGCAGAGCCATAGCGTGTCTTGGTGTCGTGTTCCATCTCCACGATCAGGGGATCCAAGAGCTCGACCTGTTTCATGAGATGCTCGATACTCTCCGGAACATTCTGTATCTCGTCCCAAACCTTCCTCAGGGTGTGTACAACACTGACAACCCCCATGGCGGCTTCCGCCACAGTGAAAGCGCTTGCTACGACTCCGATTGCCTCGGCCATGATGAGCACCTACGAACTCGGTATAATCTGGATAAGTGGGGTTTGCGGGGTGATGCCATAGAGAATAGTATATTCAGAACAGCCTGTGGTTTCATTTCATTTTATTATTTCGCCTTGTCATCCTCTGTCCTTGGGCGTCACACCCTTGTGGCTGTGAGCCACCTCGTGCTGTGCCACTTGACGACTTGTTGCCCACAGAGGCAGGAATCCATCTTGATGGCCGCTCTCCGCCATACTGGCCTTTTCGTGTTACAATAAGCATGAGGTCCATTGAAACCGGTACCCAGAAGTCGCAAAGACTTTTGGTACATCTGAGTCGTAGCTCTGCCTTGGGAGTGAATATGCCAGTTCTACAGGAGTAGAATGATGGCGAACACTCGTATCGCAAACTTGTCTGCAAGCCGGAGTGAGGGACACTCATTTCAAAAGGAGCAGTGTATCAGTATACAATCGTCAACTTACGCAGACACATTCAAGCGTCAATGAACGTCACGACAAGGCTTTTCGGGGGCCTTAAAGGGGTCTTGTTTTTCAGAAAGAACTCCTGCGGGCGTTGCGATTGCGCCCCGGATGTGAAGACAAGGCGGATTCAGAGAAGTAAGGCTTCGGATAGGCTGCCGTCGCATTGGGAACAACACCCACTCGATGGGTTTAGCCCCAGCCCTCAGGCTCGGTGAGCCCAGGTACACACCAGGCCTTGAATAGGCTCTTGCAGATAGATACGGACTCGTCACCAAGATTCTGGACCAGTGTACCATAGTGTATGTCGGCAACCTAACCTGTAGTGTTGTGGTTGTTATTGGACACCGTTCCACACATGCCGATGCTGCGGCGGAGCAAAGTCCCCGTGGTGATTGGGCGCTACGGACGCGCAAGCAACTGGATGCGTCAAGCGTCTGGCAGCAGGACCCTGATAAAGCTGCCAGGCCTTCCAGGTTGGGACCCCTATGTTACCTTGTCACATGCAGCCCTGCTAGTGGTCTGGTCAGTGGTTTGTCACAAGTGGAGGCTGCGGTTACGACGGCGGAACGTGGCGCTCCCCAAGAGATCCGACAAGACAACTTCCAGAGGGCTTCTTGCGGGTTTCCATGCGCGCATCAACATCTTGGCACTGGAGATTGAGTTTTGGGCATTCAGCGCGCAGACCGTCCGCCTGGAAATACCGTTGCGCTCGGCGCGGGCACGACGGGTTCGGCTGGTGCTGCCGAGTGGTTGACCATACTGAATATGACAAGACCCCTGACGATTGATGGGCCCCGCTTGCGTCAGGTGGCCTGATCAGTGGGCAGTGGACACTCTTTTAGGTGGATGGTGGATGGTGGGTAGTGGATGGAGGGGCAGAAGGGGTCGCTGGTACCCTGGACGGCGGGTGGGCGGGTGGGTTGCTCGCTGGACGGTGTGCCCTTGACAGCCTCGTTTTTGCGATGCGCCGCCTTCGACCACTACCTAGACCATAGTACTACGCTACACCACCGACTACTGCCACTACTCACCTCTGCCCGCCTTGACGATCCTCTCTCCTCCTCTACGCAGCTTGGTTCTCTTTCGGTCCGCCGCGTACACGTCCGGATTTCTTGGTCGGCCGTGCCAGTCGAGCTTGTCAATCCCTCCCCTCTCTCTTCTCCGGACCTCGTCCTCTTGGTGCTTCTTCCAAACCTCGGCGGAACCCCAGCCAGCTGCCCAACATGGTTGACACGACTCCTCCGACCCGGCCGCAACTGGGCGGCATGCGAAGCAGCTCCTATCTGCAGGAGCATCAGCAGTACCGGGGCCCCAACAAGCCCGACAGCCACTTTGGCATCGACACGGTGGTCGAGGGCATTTCCAACACCAGCATCTCGCCGCCCGCCTCCTTCAGCCCGTTCAATGGCGTGCCCTCCAAGGACGAGCCTCCCCGCATAGTAGACGGCGGCAGCCATGACTTTACGCACCCGAACTGTGCTCCTCCTAGGGGACAGAATAGCAATCGCTTGATCGCGACCCTTACGTACAAATCCGCCGTCAAGTCTGCCGACGCGCACACCGCCAATGCCATTCCATCCCCGCGGCTGGCCGCTTCAGACTCGGATATCCCCGCCAACCTGGCGCCGACGACAAACATTGACACTTTCCCCCTCGAGCCCCCCGCCGCCGCCGAGCCGGAGCCCCTCGACCGCATCTACGGGTCCTATGTCTCGCCCATGTGCATTACCTCGTTCCTCCACCTGATGTCCACCTTCCCCCTCCCTCCCGGTGTGTCCGAGATCACCTCCGCACACAGGTGCTTGGACGACCCGGAACACCCAAACGTCGTGGAACTTACACTCTCGCCGGCGCCACGGTCCGACTACCTGGGCCTGGAGGACCTGCGGAGACACGAGCTCATCTACCGCTTCGAGCGCGAGTGGAACATCGATGTTGCCCTGCAGCCAGATACCCTCTGGAGGCGGCATCCCAGGCTCGTGGTCTTCGACATGGACTCCACCTTGATCACACAAGAGGTCATCGATCTGATGGCCGCGACGCTCAAGGACCCCCCGGATCTGGCCCAGCGGATCGCCGACATCACCCACCGCGCAATGCTTGGTGAGCTGGAATTCGATGCCGCCTTCAGGGAACGGGTGGCTCTCCTCAAGGGCCTTCCCGCCACCGTCTTTGAGCAATTACGCCCCATCTTGGACGTGACCAAGGGCGTGCCGCAGCTGTTGAAGGCCTTGAAGAGACTGGGCGTCAAGACTGCCGTGCTCTCCGGCGGGTTCCTGCCCCTGACCAGCTGGCTTGCCTCGGAGCTCGGGATCGACTACGCACATGCTAATGAGGTTGTGATCGACGACTCGGGCAGGCTGACGGGCGAGGTCAAGGGCACCATCGTGGGTAAGGAGCAGAAGCAGAAGCTGCTGCGCGAGATTGCCGCCAAGGAAGGTGTCGCCTTGGAGCAGGTCGTGGCTGTCGGTGACGGCGCCAATGACCTGCTGATGCTGGCGACTGCTGGCCTGGGCGTCGCCTGGAACGCGAAGCCCCGCGTGCAGATGGAGGCGAGCGCGCGCTTGAACGGCGAGTCCCTGGCCGACCTTCTCTACCTTTTCGGTTTCACCAGGGAGGAGATCGAGATGCTCACTGCTTAATAGTAGACACACGCCCGGTCCCCGCAGTAAACCAAGTGAAAAGTGAAGAAAGAAGAAAAAAAGAAAGAAAAAGTCAGTAGATTCATAGCTGCTAGCCCTAAGCTTCAGTATTGCGTAGAGATCAGTAACGCCAGGCTCCTCAGCTTGCTCTGATAGCCTCAAAGAGAATATCCCAATCTACCCCAACTACCGGTCTCTTTGACACGGGACCTAATAAGGACTCCGGCGGCCTGCAAAGGGCATTTTGCGAGTTCTGAATCGTTGTCAGGTTACCTTTTGAATGCAGCCATTGAGTCCGGCCAAATCTTCACGACCGAGAGAAAATCTCGAACCGTGGTTGGATGACAACATGGGTTTCAGAAGGCGTAGCTGTGTAGGGAATCTGGTGTAGGTGCCCAGTGTGAGAAGAACCCATCCTCGGTTGCTTTTTTTTTTTTTTTTTCTGTTCTGGCGCAGGCCCTTGATTCCTTGGCCAGGATCAACGCCAGTTGTATAGGGATGATACCAGGTGGGTGTTGGTGTCCATAAAGTCATCTGCCCTCAGACGAGGCAGGAAGCCAATCTCAGTATCCTTTACAGATTGAAGTGGGCAAAATAGGCGCCTCTCATGGCATTTATCCACAGCACCATGATGGATTAGGTGAGAGTCTGCGCTCTCTCAGCATCCCTTGCGTTCGCAACAGTGTAGACAGTCTGCTGAGCACCCACGCTGTTCAGCATACACCACGCGGACATGGTATCGAGGCTGCTCCTCGGTTCGTCAGACTCGGAGACTCAATGACCTAGTTCACATCAAAGCCTTCAGATGAACAGCTGCAAAGGTCCGGCACATGTAGTAGAAATTCTAGTAATGATCCAATGCTCGATCCGGCTTATGTACACAGCGACAAAGGAGACACGCCCTCTAGCAGTCCGACATCTGCAAATAGTCTTCGCACAACCAATTGTCCCTCTGCGTCTAGTAGCCGTCCTTGCCCCACTTGTTGTACTTCTCGTGCAGGTGCTGCGGCATCATGTTAGCATGATCCATCTCATCGTCATCAATCCCCCCCTCCCAGGACGCGTGGGACGGTCTGCGGGTTGGGAAGGGCGTTCTGTTTACCTTGGGGAGGTTGACGTCGGGGATGACGGTGACGTTGATGGCGCTGGGAGCGTTCCTGGGCTCGGCGCTGCGGTCGCCGCCGGGGTGGTACTGGTACTTGCCCTCGGTAGCGCCAGTCTCCCAGGGCATGCCGGACTTGGCCATGCCGACGGAGGACTCGGAAGTCGAGGAGGTAGGGGTTCGGCCTGGCGTGGTGCGTCGCGGTTAGCAAAGAGGTGCGGCCCCAATGGCGGCGTGCAGATGGTGGGCATACCGAAGTAGAGACCGGCACCGCCCAGAGCGAGGACCATGACACCTCCGAGGATCTGTTGGTTTCCCACCACAAGTCAGCTCAATGGTTCCCAGCGGCGAGCGAGGGACCTCCGGCCGGCAGCTCGGTGCTTGGGGCTGCCCGGGGCCGCAAGCGGGAGAAGGGGATGGGGGAATTCGGATTATGACGCACGAAAAGCTCGGGGTTGCGCTTGGTCTCGTCCTTGAGGGCAGGGTCGGCGGCGAGGCGGCGGGCCGAGGTAGAGAAGGCCCTGCTCGAGAGAGCGGCTCTGCGTGCGATCATGGAAGCCATGGCGTCGGCGGTGTGTGGGCGTTGGGGTGGACTCGGTGGTCGTGAGGTTCTGCAGATGGATCTTTTGAGGTCGTGATGGTACGATCGGTCGGTCCAACCAAACTTGCAGCTAGCCGTGAGCTCCCGGCCGGGTTGGGGGTTGAGGCTGAGGCGGGCTTGAGCATGGTCAGCGGCGGGGTGTCATTGGTCAATTGGCTGCCAGCTGCGTCCCACGTGACCTTGGCCTGGGGGCTGCAAGCCACATAAACTTGTGGCTGGTGATTGCTGAACTGCACCTAACTCCCGGTACAGTGCGGTACCGTACGAGAACGGACAGGCACATCTGCCAAGGGGCCCGTGCCAAAGGCGTCCCCGTGCTTCGCATTAGCCCGCTGTCATCACTTTGGTTCCATCACTCTCAATTCGGGTTGTCTGGTTGTAGGAGATGACGGACAGACGGGGGGTTTGTCCCCAGTTTGTTGGTCGCCCAGTGCCCAGGTGCCTCGGATCCCAGATGCAGCCTGGACAAATGACAACTCGGCCAACACGTCCACATCGGAAATTGCGTCACGGAAGCAGTCTGCGATTAGTCTGCGGTTCGGCTCATGCCAAAGCCCTTGGTTGTACGGTAGAATCTTGCAGCAGTAATTGAGTTGCATGTCACAGTACAGTAGCATCTGCCTGGCACAGATCTGTCCAATGACAGCGTGCAGCGATGAATGCAGGAGACGCGATCAGAGGGCAAGATGAAATTAGAGCCCGTGCCCCCCTGGGGCCCCTTACACAGTAGATGAGATTTGCCCAGCGACGAATGGGTCGCCGCCGTGTTTCCCATATGCAATGCAGCTCCTCCCGCACCTCTGGCCCTGCCCTGCGCTGCTTCTGCCGGACGAGAAAGATTCTCACGAGACAGCGGGCAGACGAGCGAGCGGCTTCATCTTACTCTGACCCCTCAGAACCCCAAGTTTTCTTTTTCTCTCCATGCGAGCACTCTGCTGTGCAGAATAGGCAAAAGCAAAGTTCCACACGCTCTTTTTTAGCCCCCTTGATTGCATCATCTGGTTGTCCTGAGACCATCAGCCGATTACCTGCCCACGATCCTTCCGACTTGCGACCAACCGTCCCGGACTCGAGCCACCTTGCCCGAATACCCCGTTGTCCACCGTTGATCGACCGCCTTTCCTTTGACGCCCGCCTGTCCTGCAGCGACTTGCGCGACTAGCATACCCTATCCCATCAGTTCACGGTACATCTGCGGACTTGCGACGATCCTTGGAGGCTTGCTTGGCACTTGACAGGCGGCATGGTGCTTGCAAACCGTTAGCCGCAAAGCCTATATCACAAAGTGAGACAACATCATTTCGCCGTTGGACGTCGGGACCATGGCCACAAGTCAGCCCGGAGGCGGGGGTCAGACCTCGCCGGTCGACAACAACTTCCCGCGCTCCCAGTTCCCTGCCGGCCCGCCCAGCATCATCTCCTCGCGGATGACTGATATCGCGTCCGAGAATGGAGACGCCTATGCCGAAGCCCCAACAGTCACCACCGGAAACCCGAACCGAAGAAGTCTCTTGGCCTCGGAATCCCGCCCGGGCACCGCGAGGACCGGCCTGTCGTCGTCGCGCGGCGCATGGTCGCAAGCAACCCCCTTACGCCGTGGATACCAGAGAGGGAGCCTGAGCGGCAGTATTTCTGGCTCTGCTTCCGTCTCTGGACGACCGCCGAGCTCGACGAGCCGTAGTCATGTGCCTTCGCTGACCTCACACGCCTTCTTTCACCCCATGAGTTCGCAAAAGTTGCAGGCCCAGCGAGGCGCATCGCGGCCTCTCACCTCGAGCCATCAGCCGGGCATTTCCATGGACGAGGCCGGTGCCGACGACCCGGCACAGATTGCACAGCAGCGGGCGAACGCATCAAGCCCGGTCCACCGCATAGCCCGGCAACTCACAGATGACGGTGACGGCCCACCACCGCCATCCAGAGGCACTGAGATGACGGAACAGGAGACGTACGATAGGATCACCGCCAACACCAGCCCCACACACGGCCACACGGCCGGCAGCCTCACCGACAGCGTGAGGCCACTGCAGAGCAAGAAGCCTGAGACTCGAGAGCTTACCATCAATGTGGACAAGAGCAAGGGCTACAAGACCGGTGGCAACATGCCAACTCCCGCCAAGTCGCCACGCTCCTTCAGGTCCAGTTTCCTGCTTCCTAAGGGGGAGTCAGCGAACAACGGATCCCACCGCAGCAACCGCAGCATGCCTGGCGCAGAGAAGCTCTCCTCCGGCGCTTCTTCTCCCCAGCTGACCCCAACCGGGACTGCATCTGGTCGCGACAAGGTCAAGGTTGCCAAGGCTCCCAATCTGGGGCGAAATTACGAATACTTCGAGGGCAACACGTTTTTCTGCATCGGCGGTCGGCTCCAGAACACCCGGCATCGCCCTATCAACGTTGCCACGGGCTCGTTCGTTGTCATACCAGCCATCCTCTTCTTCGTCTTCTCAGCACCCTGGCTGTGGCACAACGTCTCTCCAGCCGTGCCCATCGTCTTTGCATATTTATTCTACATCTGTATATCTTCCTTTCTCCATGCGTCCGGTTCCGATCCGGGAGTAAGTATTTGCCCACTCATCTTACTCAGATCCAGATACCTAACAGATACCTAGATTTTACCACGCAACTTGCACCAGTTTCCCCCGCCTGGTGAGGACGAGGACCCTCTGCGCCTAGCACCTCCTATGAATGACTGGACTCTCATCAAGTCCGCCGAGTCTAGCACGGCCGCCATGGAAGTTCCAGTCAAGTATTGCAAGACTTGCAACATCTGGCGCCCTCCCCGCGTTCACCACTGCCGACTGTGCGACAACTGCGTCGAGAACCAAGACCATCACTGTGTCTGGTTGAACAACTGCGTCGGCCGCCGCAATTACCGCTACTTCTTCGCCTTTGTCACATCGGCTACTTTCCTAGCCATGTTTCTGTTCGGCGCCTCGCTCGGCCATGTCCTAGCCTATGCGCATCAAGAGAACATCTCTGTCGGAAAATCGATAGATATCAACCGTGTGCCCTTTGCGATGGTCATCTTCAGCATCCTCGCCTTCACATACCCTGCTGCGTTGATGGGCTACCATCTGTTCTTGGTGGCACGGGGTGAGACCACTAGAGAGTTCTTGAACTCTCAGAAGTTCTTGAAGAAGGATCGGTATCGACCCTTCACCCAGGGGAGCATGTGGAAGAATTGGGCCGTTGTGCTTTGCCGCCCTCGTCCCCCCACTTATTATCGCTTCAAGAATCGATTTGAGGAAGGAGATCAACGATTCGGAGACCGACGAAGTCAGCGCGACCCCAAGGTATCCGGCAACGGGCAGGACATGGAGATGCAGAGCGTTCCGCCGTCATCTGGCTTCCAGGGTCCTGTCTCTTTGCACAGCGCCCGGAACCAGTCTTCTTGATTCGCCATCGCTTTTCTTTCTGTTGGAGAAGTTCAACCCTGCGACTGTTCGACACGTACTTAATTGTGTAATGTTTTTCACCTGTATACCCCATCAAGACTTTATGTACAACATCCTTGAAATACCTAGAAACTGGTGTCCAAGGAGGAGGCAATTCTATGACAGCGAAAATGATTCTGAGATTTCATTCACTGAAATGCCCCTATTCTTCTAGTTTATCTCCGTGACTCTAATGGACTTATGTGGAAAGGCATTTGTTTCCACATGACGGAAGTGTAGTGACTCGACAGGTTCAAAGTCGGTCGATCTGATTTTAGCCACGCCCGACATGATAAACATACTAAGACCTCGATCCTACGCCCCCCAGTTGGGGATGGCTGCGAAAGGTGACAAACAAACCTGCATTCGAGAACTCGCTATGTCAGATCTTCCACGGCCAAGCCCCGGCCTGCAATACCCCGAGTCTGGGGTACCCAGGGGTATGGTGCCCCACATACCCCAAGATATCTACGTTCGTGTCGAAGCCATCCCTTTTTTCCACATATCAGGTACTGCTTCCACGAGATTAGCCTTATGCGGGGAAACGGACCGGGTTGTCCTCTCTCCTTGGAGATATCGAGGTTCAACATGACGTGTGCATGCTCATGCGCCCGAATATGTTTGACTGGCCCTGCCAAGCCCTGCAGGGAATAATAGTCGTCGCCAATGGGCATCATTCCGGTGTTTTTGGGGACCCAACTACGATTGACGCGACTATATATATATAGGATGCGGTCGGTTCATTGATGCAGTCAGACCCGAGGAACCCTGGGCCCGATATTAGATTCTCCAAGACTTGTTGCTCTTGAGATCTCTCTGGGCTTTTGGTGTTTTTCACTTGTCACCATGAAGGCCTCGATTGCCTCGTTGACAGCTCTGCTGGTCACATCGATCACAGCGTTACGTCCAGTATTCAGGCCTCGAGCGGCTGCCACTGGCCCATTCTTGACTCAGGTTGATAACGAGACTTGGGTGATTGGTAACGAGCTATGGAACGTGACCCAGGGGCGGACGTACGGGGTCAAATTGTACTACAAAGACCATGACTGTGTTGGTGATGCCGTAGGCCACTATGTCAGCTACAGTGAGGCAGTTAAAACATCTGTATGGGAATCACAATCCTAACTCTGACTTCTTCAGATGGCGCGGCAAGCAACCTGAATTGGACTTCAGCTTCGATTGTGACCGAGGGCACTATCGATGGCTCCAGCTACATCGATGTCAAGTTCACAGCCGCCGAAGGCGACATGCACTGGATAATCCTGTCGGGTCTCACTGGCGCCTACCAGTACTTTGTCAACCACAACTTGCCCACTCTGGGGGAATTCCGGACGCTCTGGCGGCTCGACAACACCACATTCCCCAATGGAAAGACCGACGTCAGGGACGAGGCACTTCCGCCCCTGAGCGAGTACATCAGCACCCTGAAAGTCCAGGATGAGACGTGGCTCAAACCCGACGGCTCGGGCTACATTACCAAGTACGACTTCTCGAGTTGGATCAGGACGCAGACATACTACGGTGTTTACGGTGAGAATTTTGGCAGCTGGTACATCAATGCCGGCAAAGACTACTACAACGGCAATCACCTCAAGCAAGAGTTGATGGTGCATCGCGAATCTGCCACCGGTGATGCCGTCCAGCTCAACATGATCCACGGCACTCACTTCCAAGTCTCAGCCACGGATGTCTTCCCAGATGGTAAGATGTGGGGCCCATGGCTCTGGTACCTGAACGACGGCTCCAAGGAAGATGCCGAGCTCCGGGCGAAGCAGGAATTCGCTTCCTGGCCGTATGCCTGGTTCGAAGACGAAGCATACCAGACCCGAGGGTCTGTGAAGGGCCAGCTGGTGCTCTCCGACGGCCGCCCTGCAACGAACGCCGCTGTCTTTCTCGGTGATAGTAGTCCCAACAAAACCGCGCTTGACCAGGGCTCGGACTATTACTATACGGGATACGCAGACGAGCAGGGCAATTTCGAGTTCAAGGATGTCCGGGTTGGCACTTACGGCCTCCAAGCCTGGTCAAATGGCAGCAAGATCGCCGATGTTACGACTAGCTTCCTACAGAACAACGTCAAAGTCGAGAAGGACCATCTCACAGACCTGGCCTCACTGGAGTGGCAAGTCTCGGCAAAGACCAAGCTCTTCCAGGTCGGCGACTTTGATCGCTACAGCTACGGGTTCCAGTACGGCGGCTCGCCCTACGAGCACGGCGTCGTCGACAAGTGTCCCGCGGACCTCACCTTCACCGTCGGTTCCTCACGCACCGAGGACTGGTGCATGGGGCAATCCAAGCTGGGCAACTGGACCATCGCCTTCGACGTGCCCAAAGCGGCGGCGCAGTGCTCCTCCTCCAAGAAGAACGCGACGCTGCTTGTCTCGCTGGCCGGCTACTCGACCGGCGTCAGCTCCAACGTCTACGCCAACGACGTGCTGCTCGGCAACCTGACCAGCGGCGGTGGCATCGGCACGAACTATACGGCAACGCTGCTCAACGACCCCAGCCTGTACCGCTCCGGCACCGCGGCCGGCGAGTGGCGGTACTTTGAGTTCCCGTTCGACGCGGCGGTGCTGCGGCCCGGTGCTGCCAACGAGGTCCGGTTCCAGGTCACGCGGAACTCGACGTGGCATGGCTTCATGTGGGACAGCATCGTGCTCGAGTGGTGAGCTAGGTGCTGCTGTAGGGTAAGGGGAGGTGTAATTCATAATGATATTTACATAATACCCAATATATGCGCCGGGAGATACTATAAAAAATGCTTCGATCAAAAGAAATCCCAGTACATTTCTGGCTTCTTAAGTTTTTATGAATAGTATACATGTACGTAAGTCGTAAGATGTGCCGCAGTGATCATCTCGCTACTGCGACGCTCTGGAGGAGGCTAATTCTGCAGTGAATCAGAGCCTCACGTTCGTGCACGACGGCTGTCTGTGTGGGGTGTAAGCTGCCAAGTATCTTGAGATCCTATCGGGCGAATCAAGATTAGAAGCAGGGATATATTGCCCCGATGAATGATGACTAGACCGACGACATGCCCCGTTATGTCGACTGTCGAATTGTCCTTGACGCTGGAAAAATGGAACTACTTCTTATTGATTAAATATCTTGTGCTGTCTGTCCTCTCTGGATTAGCCCAATTTGCATGTGGCGTATAAGTGAGCGACCAGGTATGAGCAGTGTTGTTCAAGCTACGGGTCTCACGTGACGCCCGACTATGGAGATTTTCGCCAATCGTCAACCTCCCCGGGTCCAGCAGCAAGCAGGCTGCACACAGACGACTTGAGGATCGGAGCTGCAGATTATTCCCTTTCTGGCTCCATCCCGCCGGGACCGCGCCTTGCCCGTGATGCGCAGCCTACCACAACCCCCACCAAGCTTCGTTCAGAGGAAGCGCAAAATCCTGGAACAGCTCGCAATCCCAGACGCCGAGTACACGGATGCGTCACCCAAGGGATCGGTGGACGCCGGGATTAGGGACCTGATCGGTGAGATCAATTCTCTGGACGGCTTCGTCACAACGAGCAGCTGCGCGGGCCGTGTGAGCGTTTTTGTGGAGGGCAGGAAGTCGGCCGTCGAGGAGGATGCAAGACTGGCCACCGTCGCTGGCGTTGGTGGCAAAGGAGGTGGTGGGAACTGGCTTTTCGTGTCTCATGATCCGGTCAACGTCGGCGATGAGCAAGACCTCGTGGATGTGTTCGGGTTGAGGAGCGAGCAACCGGAGAGCACTGCGGGTGGTCCAGATGAACGCCTGATTCATTTCAAGTTTGAGCCCATGGTATGTGGAATGGATTTGATCTTGCGTGGATATCTAGTCCTGAACTTCAGTTCATGATGTAAAAAATGTCTGGTTGCTAATTCACACCAGATACTCCATGTTCTCACTGCCTCGCCAGAGCACGCGCAACTACTCCTGAGATGCGGGCTTCAAGCAGGCTTCCGAGAGAGCGGTGCTATAAACTTGACGGCTACAGCAACGGAAGCAGTAACCCCCATCGTGGCGATCAGATGCATGGGTCTCACTTTTGAATCACTGGTTGGCATACAGAAGGCCAACGGCATTTCGTGCACCGTTTCAGCGGATTATCTCCAGACGCTCCTCAAGATAAGCAATGAGAGGTTTTCTGAGAACACGAAGAGGATCCAGAGGTTCCGGACGGCAGTGTTGGAGGCCACGCAGCCTCCTAAGAAGAAAGACGGCACTGAGTGGGAAGACGCAGCAGCCCGACGCGAGAGAAAGAAAGCAGAGGGTCTCCGGAGAAAAGCAGAGCTGGAGGCCTCGAGGGATCAGCAATGTCCGTCAGACGAAGGTATAGCCGCAGATCTGTCCCTGAATGCAGGCTTGACATGACCAACAACTCGTAGTGAAACAGCAATATTAGTGACGCAGTAGTTTGTATCGTCTACAAGCCCCTTTCCGGGCCTCTATGCCGTAATTGTACACATCCACAGCAGGGCATCATCTGCCTCGTCTGGCCGATATTCGTCCCGTTGCTGTCATCTGCTCCCCATCGATCAGTCTATCGCACAACCCTCTCGACCCACTCCTTCTCCAGCCTCCGGACTTCCTCCTTGAAGTTCTCGACCTCCTTCCAGCAGTTCAGCGGCCGGCGGTCGTTGGCGATCAGGCACTGGACCACCTCGCTCCGGGACTTCTCGACGCTCTCGGGCAGCTCGCGCAGCTGCTTGCGCTTCTCGAGCCGCGCCCGCAGCGCCTCGACCTCCTTGGACACCCGCTGCCTGCTGTTGCCAGCCTCCTTCTGCGCCTCGGCATCCGTGATCTCCGAGGCCTTCTTGTGCGCGGCCTTCAGCGCTTCGGACTCTTGTGAGGTGAGCTTTTTGAGCTCTTCGGCCACGCGGGCCTGCACTGCCAGCTCGATCGTCTGGGCTCGGGATCTGTCGGTCTGCATCATCGACGGGTTAGCATGGGCAGTGAGAAGGGCCCAATTGGGCGGCGCAATCAGAGGCATCGTGCGGGAGTGCAACGAACCTCGGTGCTACCCTGTAGCGATTCGACGACATCTTGTGAGACGCCTACGGGTCCGGAACTGTAGTGTCGTAGTGCTGTCAGTACATAGAACGAAGCCAAGCTCGCGAGTAGTCGGGCGGCGGGAAAGGGCTCCAAAAGGGCGCACGTACGCTTTCCAGACGTGCGAGGTCTGGCCATCGGCCGGCTTGGAGGAGCTCGCGCCCATGGTGCTGGTCGTCAATGGGCTGGGGTTTGGGAGTTGTCCGTGATGGAGCTTTCCTTTGCTCTGCTGCTTGCTGGGCGCGAATATTTCCGAGGTTTGCCAGCCGGGCACGCACCCGCGAAAATGACGTACCGTGCTGATTTGTGGAGCGGCCGGCACAAGACACGGTGCGCGCACGGTACCTCTCCAGCATCCGTCCTGAATTCACCTGAACATGTGATAACTAAGTGGCATCAAACATTTTATAACATTTTTATTACATCATGTGTTCATTACATTGAGTGCAATTCAATTCTTTCTGTCCTCCTCAATTACAGTTTTCTCCTGTGTGATTTGAAGAGACATGTGTAACTGATATGAAGTCGTAGGAAATGATACCATCATATTCCTTCAGACTTAGCATCGTTAGAAGATCATGGACTATCTGTTGGAGGCTCTAGAAAGGCAATGCTCTCCAGAGTTACTTCGGCTGCTAAGATATGACTGAACTGTCTGCAATGGATACCCAACGGCCCTCACTGCACTACATAGGGTTGCAGCTAATATTAACACCGCCGCCGCCCGGCACTCCAGCTGGCCTGAGCAGGAAGTGCTTTGCCATTGTGGCTTTGTTACGGCGAATGAAGCCGTTTTCATTATTTACCATAGTTTACATGTAGGTCGTATCTGCGTCCATATAGCGTATGGACCATCTGACATCAGGTGTGAATCGATTGTTAATAGTGAATACATTGCAATAATGAACTTGACGCCGGTTTGAGAACTCACTCTCAAGAGCGAATTCAATGTCGATTGTATGTCTGACCTCAGGTTTTAACCTGACGACGATTGTGAATACGAAGACAATCACGTATGCAACAGCAATGGTGAATCGAAAGCCGATTGTGAATTACTGACGCCTCTACATGTGACTTTTCTCGGTTTTTTGTATTTATACCTGACCCCCTACCGTCGCCGATCTCTTCCTCCCCATTCATTCATTCTTGAGCATTACTTCTCGGCTACACGCTGCATCGGCGACGGTCTCTTCTTTATACAAATCCTCGTTACCGACCTATCTGCGTCCGTCATCGATCTGGTGATCTAAGTACAAGTCACTTGATCTCTTTAATGGCTGATCTATTCTTTTCGGTCTCTTTACTGGCGACACCAACCGAACCAGATTGATCGGTGACGATGTAGCACAGACTTTTTATGGTCCAACAAATGCTTCAATCAGACAAGTGTCCACGCGAGGCCTGCGGCGCGTGTCAAGTGATCCACATTCCCGAGTTGATCCGCAACGAGATCCTCACGCGAAGACTCGATCGAGGTCATCGTACTACCAGGACGGTTCCAAGAGGGGGAGAAATTCTGTTGTTTCTCTCTCAAGTCGGAGGGGCCCCCGAGTGATGGTATCCTCCAATACCAGTCAAACGGATCTGTTCAGCGCCAAGGTTCTTCTCGTTTACACCTCATCTTCATTTTCAATATTCAAAACATAGTCGGCGACGCGTGTCGTTCGGTTACTTTTCTTTACAGAACACACGACGAGACTGTTCATCACATCTTGCCATGTCACAAAGACACCATGAACAAAGAGTTCCGGGAAAGTAGACCATGGAAGCGCGTATTCATGTGATCGCGTGTTGGACGTTTACGGGACAGCCCCAGTCCTCCTATCTGTACTGGTTCTGGTCTTAAGCAGGGTATCTGGCAGAACGACGCCCGGTTGTTATCCCAAGAGAAGAGTAGTTCAAGTGCTGTCATCACCTCATACTCGGGATGAAGGTCATCTCACTCTCCAAACGTGCGGGTTACGTTTCGTACAGTCGAAATATCCTGGTTGTCGACTTCCAACCTGAAGTATTGCGGCTTCTTGAAGGGCCTACCCCTGAGATATCACGATTGCTTTTGGCCTCTAGGCTTGAGCATCTAGCTCTTATGGAGTTGAGACACATGATTCGCTATTGGTGCCTTGCCATGTGTTGGCTTACGGATCTGGCCGAATCTTATCGACCTCGTGTCTCCCCTTCGAGTTCTAGATCGTATCTACATTACCTACCGGGCCCCATTGGGCAGGAGATGCCAGTACCATACAGGCTAAGTGTCATATCTATCGTCCAAAGACCGAGCGAAGGGTCAGGAGTGGTGTTCCATACGTCGCAACTGCTTGTTGGGTCGTGGTCGAATACTCCCCCTTAGCACCCCGCAGTTGCCTGTTGCTGCTCTCCCCTATTTCCACTACATCCGTGCTCGCCATCGATTGTTTTCTGAGCTCACCCACCATCATCAATCATCTGGTCAATCTACTGAGAGGTCAAATAATCGGATGAATCCCCCGGAGGGCAGAAAACCGCCGTTCTCGCACGGCAGTATTGGTTACATTCACCTGCGCCGGATCCCTGGATTTGTATTTAATTCCTCGCCCTTCTCGCGAGATTCGAACCTGTTCTTGAGATCTATTTATTCAACAGCATTCGGAATCTCCTTTGGACGCTTCTGACACTCACTCAACTTTGTTCCCTCCACCTGCCCCAGACCAACCATCAAGCTTCACAACCTGGGCTTAACTTGACACCCGTCAACGGGTAAGAACCTCAGCGGACCAAACAAGGATTTCTGCATCATTGCGGCTAGAAGTCGGCGTCACCCCTCACCCAGCACAACCACTCGACAATTTTCACCTCTTGAACTTGCGATCCTCAGCAGTTTCGTCGCTACACCCAGCGCAAATCAGTTCGTAAGCTTCATCATGGCTGAGCATCGGCGCTTCGTCAGGCCTGCGAGCACTGGAGAGCCGACCCGGCAGGGCGAGACTCATGTTCCCCGTCGTGGAGGCGTCACCTCGCCCAGTGCTACCAGCAGCTCATCATCTGACGATGATGAAGGTAAGCAGTATCTCATTTTATTCTTACCTCCAGACCTGCGCGGAGATCAGAAAATTCGGTCTTCTTCACCACGTCAAAATACCCTCCTCGTACCTTCATGTCGTGCCTTCCTTACCTATTTGAGAGCAATGGACCCCCTACTGAAGGCCGGCTTACTTCAAGCCGGTTTGGCACCATTTCTTGATCTCACTTCTTTTTTCCCTTCTGTTTGACTGGCAGACTGGGCCGAGAACCCACATCTCGAGGTTTTTTTTCAGTCTCCATTTTGACAAGATAATACTGACTCTGTTCTCAAGGTGGCGTCTTGCTTCGCCCTCGTCTAGCATCCATGACCATTGGTGGCACTTCTTCTGCTACGACTGGGTGAGTCCAAGGCGAGAACCGATGAGATAACAACAGTCTAATCTTTTGTCCAGATTCACACCTCCTCATACTGCACAAGGTCACAATATGCCCGCCACCCAGGACGCGCGAGCCATGAGGTGAGTTTTTCCTCCCAATAATCGTCTCAAGTTATTTTCGTCCCATATTTCGTCCCGTATTTCGTCCCGTCTTTTGTCTTTATTCTATACCTCGTCCCATATTCTCTCGTCTCATATCTCGTCCCATGTTCCTACAACCCTCGAATTAGTCTCATGTTGAGTACTGATGTATATTTAATAAGCTCTACCTCTGGCTTTCGGGGTGACAGTGCTACCGACGACGATGATGGTGATGTCTTCAAGTCGACTCGCCCCTCGACTGGTGCTGCAACTGCTCACATGCGTTTGCCCACTCGACGTGATGCAGCTGACCGAGGCTCTGACAACTTCGGCCCCCAGGCCTACCCCCGCCGTACCCAGGTCGATGAATCGCCCTTCCCGGGTGAGCGTCAGCAGCGATATACCCGCAACGAGCATGGCTTTCTTGCCAGCCCGGAGTATCGAAGCTTTGGATCAGCTACTCGCCATTCCAGCACTGCGGTTGTCACATCGTCGCCAGCCATGGTCCCTCGCTCAGGAGGTTCAGATCTTGCTTCTAGACACCACGTCGGCAGCGTCGATGCGCAGGCATTCTATTCGCCGAGAGCATGTGTTTTCGTTGCTAAGTAAGTTGAATCATACAATACATCATAACGCTCCAAAATGTACTGACCCTTATCAAGCCTACCTGAGGGCGTCGAAGATGTGCGCCTTGAGGCTGAAGTGACCAAGCACTTCAGCCACTTCGGTACCGTCTTTGTCAAGATTCGACGCGATGGCCGAAACATGCCCTTCGCATTTTGCCAGTACACCAACAGCAGCGACGCTCAGGAGGCTCTGACTCACGGCAAGGGTGTCATTATCCATGGCCGCACCTGCCGCACCGAGATGGTGCGTGCCAACCGCACTTACATCCTGCACCGTGCCAATGGCGACCATCTCTATGTCGAGGAGGCCCGAGATGCCATGGAGGCAGCTGGATTTGGTTCTCTCGAGCGCTGTGAGCCCCTCCCTCAGGAGGTCAGAGATGCCATGGGAATGAGCGATTCTGTCTTGGTCGAGCTCAAGAAGTTCGACCCGTCCAAGGAGCTACAGAGTGTAAGTCGTTTCACGGTTGTGACTGGGAACCAAGATTACTGATCTGATGATCTCAAAGGCATTCCGACACCACCCGCTCTATCGCATTTCGCCTTACGATCCCAAGAAGCTCACTTCGGCGACCAAACCCAACCCCGACGAAGTTTGGCTTCAGCGCTATGAGATTGACAGACGCTCCATCTTCATTGGCGATCTCCCTAACAACATCGATCACCTGGATGCCGCTCTTCGAGAGGTACTGGATGAAGTTGGCGACGTAGTTGACATTCAGGTAGTCAGAAAGGATTCTCGAGATGGTCGCCCTTTCGTCTTCGCATTTGCCGAGTTTGCTCGCCCGGATATGGCAGATATTGCTGTCGAGCGTTTGGTAAGTTTTCTCCTCGTGTCATGCTTTTGTCGATACCATCATTGACACATCATTCCAGAGTGGTCGTCCCCTCTTCGGCCGCCGAGCCCGTGTTGAGCGCAAGGCATGCCGCGAAGTCCATCACAGCCGCAGCACTCGACAGATGCAGTCCACCTATACTGCCCGAGAGTCCTACCAGAGCCCGCTCCCTGAGCGTCGACAGCGCCAACAGAGCTATGCCTACCACTCGCGTGTCCCTGCCACACCCTTGCGAGAGAACGCCCATTCTAAGGATACTTCAGCCCTTACAAGTCCTGTTGCAGGTTCCTCATCGCAGCACACAGCCTCGCACGAGTGGAGTACCTATGGCCATGACGCATACACCAGCCCCGAGCACTACACTACTTCGCCCTACGCCCATCAGCTCGGCTCTGTGGAGTACAACGCCGCAACACCCCAGATGCCTCTTGGCTTGCCCGCACCGGCGGTGGCCACACCGTATGGCTACTATCCTGCATCCAACCTGGCTTGGCTGTCGCCTTACTTGACCGACCCCAACCTGGCCTCCTATGCTTATGCTCAAGCCTATGGCCATCCGTCGCATGGTTCACTCCGTCGTGCTGGCACCGGATCCCAGATCGACACGCCCACGAAGGGTGCCGGCGGTGAGAGGAATGAGGGTTCTGGTCCTCGAGGTGGCGATTCCGCCTAATCCCCTCAACACCAGGCACAATTTCCTATGGCAACAGCGTTTGGGATGCATACTGTTCGTCAAGAAGGGAAAAACACACAGCATCCCAACTCTATCACGACCAATTTATTTTCGTCATCTCTGCACTGTCCCGAGACAGGATACTGCAAACACGGCACAGCTGGTCGAGGACCAGCAACATGCTTGGGCCAATTTTCATTACATCCACGCATCACTCGCTGCGAGAATTCTTGTGATGAATCCTCATCTATCAACGAGGATAGATATGAAGCCGTGAAACGAACTCCATTCTCGATACGAATTCATTGAGAATCTAGAGTTTTTCACAGTGCACGGATTTTTCGTGCTTCTCCATTAGCGACCAGGAGTTCATCCCCCAAAACTGGACTTCGTTCACACGAACGCAGCCTCTATCGCCGTATGCGACCGAAAGCGGCACTTATGGTAAGCCTCACTCGAACTTAGTGTACTCCCCTATATCCATCCTCGCTAACAGTTTCCCCATAGGAGAATCAAGTCCCTTCACCAGCCGACGTCGCCTTGCCCCTATGTCAGGGAAATGCAAGTATTCGGCGACCCGAGAACTCTCCGTCAACAGTTTCCGGTCCTCAATTTGAGTACCCGAAGGACACCGCACATCCCCATCAAGTTTTCATCAGATTGCCAAATTGCTTTGCGAGGTGAATTCTCCTCTCCGACCAGACATCTCGATCGCCATACCGATGACCCACAGACGTTCGTCCAAGTCGGTCTTACTCACTCCCCGCCAGCCTGGCATTGTCTTGCTGGAGGGTTCCCGTATCTATCTTGAGAGATCCGAGGCGTCATCGCACGGTCCGAAGGAAAAAGCAGATGCGGAGGTGAAAAGTCATATGATGCGGCTGAAGAGAAGCTTCAGCACTGAACCTGCAGAGCGAAGAAGGGAGGATGTCACTCTTCCTGGTACAGCGCTGCAAATTTCACAACATGGCCGCCAAGGTATGCTGCTGGTAAATAACACGACAACTTGGGTCGGCGTACATTTACCCTAGGTAATAACATGCGAGACTCGGTTTGCAGACAGCACCTTTCCATAGAAACATGGCAGTTTCATCAATTGCCCCTTCCTTGTGTGACTATGTTGTAGCGTATCGTGATCACGTGGCGCACTGAGTGCAATGCTTCGTAGGGCTGATATTGATTCCTGGCAATAGTCGAAGGCTGGAACAAGACAGCTATCGCAACTACATCAATCTACATGACAGGTAACAGGAATAATATTGGGGTCTTCACACTTCATCGCTCGTCAAATACACGCCCGACGTTTGCAATATGGGCCAGGATACTGTTCTGCTTCACTGTGGCCCTTGACAGTCGACATCTCAGACATATAATTATTAATGACTGCCCAAAGACCAGCTGTTCTAGGCACAATCCATTAATCTAGTCAATAATAGGCATCGTCAACACCATCCTACAAGACCAAGGGCAATGCCAAGTTTTCCCTCCATCAATCAATGCCCGAGGCAATGACTTCGCCTCCCGTTCTTTGGTGAAGAAGGATGATGTTGCTCCGTTACTGGCCTGAGATTGCAATGTACGGACATGAATGGAACTGCTGCTATTCATTGGCATCAAGCACTTCAGTGTGGAGTCTTGTATCTATTAAGTTCGTTCCAGTAAATCCAAGGCAAGAAATCGAGCAGGAATCCAGCTTGGGGTTGACCCAGTACTCTCGCCATTATCTCCAAAAAAGGGTTTGGGAAGGAGTTCGTACGCCATGGGTATTTCCAAGGCCAGAGCTCGACTGACAGGCGCTTGACAAGCACTAGACCGTATCATGTCATAGTCGGGTGAAGTTGACACTATCTCCCCAAAAGAGTTCTCAGTAGTCTTTGTAATGGAACTTAGGGAGGGTTGAGAATTGAGCAAACTCGGGGTGATTGATCAGGGTCTGGAAGACCATACTCAGCAAAGGTGCGGCATGGTCGCTGGCAGGTCTGGCAATGGCATCCTCGATAGAAAGCTTCGGGTTGGCGGGTCTGGCCTTTCGTTTTGATCCCTCGTCATTGGTAGTATCGATGCCCATAGTGTTCTGAAAATCCCTGTGATTCTTTTCGGTGATGGCTTGATCGATTGTCTTGTAGAGCATGCTATTTCCGGCATGGAAAAGCTCATCAATGCGAGCACGGTGCGTCAGTAGATCTTCCTGAGGACGCTTCTCCCAGAGCCCCGACTCTTCAAGGTAGGACTCATCAGGGGCGACCTTGGAATAGTTGGTCGTGTAGTCGAAATTGCTGGGCAAGCCGTTTGGGAAATACTGTAGGGCTTCGTCAGCTGTCAAGGTATCTGACATCTTGGATTGATTGCTCATGGCAGCTTTGACAGATGTGGATGAAGGCGCGGGCTCGGGAGGTGGCTCTCGAGTGGCCGCGTACTGCGACTGTGCAGATGCCGTGCGGAAGATGTTCACCTGAGCGGCAGACATATCTGTATGAACAGTCGTTCTCTGGCGATCGGTCGAAGAGGGTCCGATGGTGAGAGACTTCTGTTGGCGAAGACCTGGAGGACCGGCAGTCAGTGGCAGAAGTTGTGGTGCTGCCATTCTTGGGTCGTGTTTCTGTGGGAATGACTCGAATGACAAATTGACGGGCTGGGACTGATCAGGGAGCGGGAGGGTACGTGCTCTCTGCAGCATCTTCTGAGCGTTCTTCTGCTCAGGATTCGGGTAAGATGCCAGGTTGGTGAGAGTCTTGACCGACATCTGCCTCAGCGTGTCATTCTCATTGGGAGTGCCGTTGTCGTCGACTTGTACATCGGTCGATATGTTTGCATCGTCGTGTTTGCCGGCGTTTGCTGCATCAGCAGAGAGCAGGCTGGTACGCGACATGTCGTCAGGCCCAGCACTGGCATGACTAACGGCCGGACTGACAGCACGATCGTAGTTCTGCTGCAAAGGGGAGTAGTGCAGAGGCTGGCCTGCCGAAGGCGGCGGGGAGCGAGACTGTACGGCCAGACCAAAGGACCAAGCAGACGAGGGTCCCTGGAAAGTGACAATGTCGGAGTGCAGCGGCGCCTTGACCGTCCGACCTCGACGGGCAGGGGCCTGGAGCGGAGCGGTGTTTGTCTTGCAAATAGAACCTACGGTCGTGTACTTGGGTGCGGCCTTGGGTGTGTCCATGATGCCGGCGCCGTCAGTTGGACAGAGTGGATTGGAAGGGACAGAAAGCAGGGCCTGCCACGAGGGAATGGAAGCTCTGGAAGCGGGCCTCGGTGTCTGCAGACTCAAAGATGTTCTAAGAGTGACGTCGTATGGGTGCTGATTCCATTAGCGAGCGCAACAACCCTGAGCGGCCGGTGGGCGGATGGATAGGTCATATGGGCGCCGTGGATAGGGGGAGGGCAACTCACGGCGCAGAGGGTCCGGGCACGAGAACAAACAGAAAAAAAAAAAAAAAAAAAGAGTGACGATGAAGGTGCGTTGGCATGGGATGGCAGAAGGAGAGGCGAGCAGTTCTTGAGGAAGCTCGAGGAGTACTCCAGGAATCGGTGGGGGGTTTGGTGGTTCTCGAGAAAGCTCCTTCTGCTCCGCCTTGATATGGCCGGCCAACGAAAGATACCTCAAGCTACCCACGTACCTTCAGGTAGGTAGGACCCGGTAGGTACATACGTTAGGTAAGTAGGCAAGGAGCGACCCCAACGACATTAGACGTAGTTGAGTAGATGCGCATGCGTGGCAGGCAAGAGCGTCTGTCGTCTGATCATCACTCAAAACCAAACCCGCAGGCCTGGAGGAAAGAGCCAGGCCATCCTGCCCTCGCCCTCTCTAGTTTCAAGGCCTTTTCTGTCCTCACGTCCACAGCAACCGGTTGGCCCAACTCACCCGCGGCGACATCATATTGCTATACGCAACAAACTGCCACCTGCCATCACGTGGGGTTTCACTGTGGCGGTCGAACACTGCACACGTCTTGTTTTCCACAAAATGGCCTCAAGCGAAGGTGCTGCCAGCATCAGAACGGATATCCGAGGGGAAGTGGTGCCTTCAGGACTAATCGTCGTGTACTCGAATTCCATGTTCTCCGTCTCCTACACGCCACTCTCGGGAGCAGAGGCGCCGTGACGACTTGCTGGACCGTTCTGGCAGCTAATATGCCACCTTTGACAGAGGCGCCTTGCTGAACTGAAAGGAAGAGTCGACCAGGGGTGCCGATCGAAGTCGCCTATCCTCTTACTAGATCCCCAGGCAAGGTCGCCAGCTCCCAAGCCGACTGACTTCCCCCCAGTGCAACAGAATTGATTGTCCAGCCTGTTCTGTTTATGAGGTCGAAGACTGCTACATGCCCAGAACCTCAAGAGAGAGAACGTCTTGGTCTGCCACTGGCACTATATAACATAGCCATGCAATCAGAGCTGAATTGTACTTTCCTGGTTGAAAAATGTGTGAGGCGATATGACAGGACGTGTGATGCCAACGAAGGGCAATTGGGTCAGCTCTGCTAAGTGCTGGGTATCAGCCAAGACACTTCAGTGCATCGTCAATATTGCTCGATCCAATGAAACAAGGTATCTGCTCCGGGAAATATAGAAGAAGCTGTGGAAAGGCCCCCAATCACCTACGCGGACTGACCACTTGTAGATGGAAGCTACCCCTGGGTGTCTTGGCCCGGGGACGACACACGACACTGTGATATGGTGTGAACAATGGCTGTAACTGCTCGCTTTATAACGCAAATGTCTGAAGTCTACACCACGTCTGAGAATGCACCGCGGACTCCGTTGGAAATCCAAGTGGGCGAAATATGCGTTCACTCCTGACCCTGGTAGAAGTCGGCGCGTCAGGTCGACCAGCGGCTATGCAAAAGGGCCGCTCCCTACAACACTCCGCTCTCTACAATACTGGAATCCATTGCTACACGCACTCATGTCTATCATCCGCCTAGGTACGCCTTGAAAACCGAGCCATTGCTACTGGGCTTGTGCCATTTCGAACCACTGCGCCGGCGGCTTGGTGATGCGTACCAAATTCAAGGATGGTCAAAATTTCTCAGCTCTGCATCTTTTGGCGAGCTGATTCCTCATCGAACCGACCCAGTGGTGACAGCATGCTCGGTATCAAGGTACCAAATGCACGTTCTGTCCAATCCAAGATGTCAGTCTGATATACCGGTATACACAATGTCGCCGGTGGGGCCGGTTCATTGCTGTTATCCTCTTTTAACGGGCTGGCAACAGCTTCGGAGAGCGACGAGGCTTTTGGTGATCGTGGCACTATTGAGCATGAGTCAAGCGGCAATGTACTCAAAGACTGAGCTGCGCGTAGCGCACATCGCGAAGGAAGTTTACGCAGCGTAGAGGCTCTGGGAGTTTGAAGACGACCTATAGAGCAGGGTTTAGCGATCGACGTGATGACAGAGGCTTACAAACATGTAGCGAGAGGCCAAGTGTGGAAGGCGTTGCCGCAGCCAGCAACGGGGAGATCTGGCCGGGCGATCACTGCAGGCACTGGTATTTCTTGGCATGGATCTGCCGCGTGGCGTTGGATCTCTTCGAATAGCTGATCAAGGCAATCAGCAAAGTTATACTGTTGCGACGGGGATGCACGGACTGACCCGCTATCGACATGTGTATCAGGTTCGTCGCAGGGAGCCGCCAAGATCGATGTCGCCCGGAACGAAACACCCGCTCTTCTATCACAACACCACTCTGATCGCTCTTCAACTTGAAGAGGCGATTTCAGAACAATCCAGCGATACCATTGTACTCGGACGAGGTCGGACTGAATACATCTAGCAAGAGCCGCCGAAACCTTAAAGTCCATGGAGTTTACAGTGCCAAGCCCAGCTCGTATTGTACAATGGCGTGGCCTCCTGCCAAAGAAGCGTAACTAGTCATGCTCCTTTTGCAATCATCACCAGCCTGACGCAACGCTCCGACTGGGCGCGGCTCGCCAATGCTTGTATTGGATGTATGTTGCGGATGCTCGGGCCCTCCATTGGAGAGGTTTCCTCCTATCAAACCGCCTTGACTAGAGTTCGTCCGGGTGGCAGATGGACGCTAGTTGACCACCCTGGTGACCCGTTCGGCGTGGAATCCGAGTGAACGAAACTGCAAGGCGATCTTGAATACGGACCAACACCCGCTTCCCCCTCCCTCTTAGGCAAGGTCTGGTCATCTGCCGCCGCCGAGAAGACTGCCATTTGTTGTATGTAGCTCCTGGAGGTGGCCGTGACGCCGTCTCCCTCACATCGAGGCAGGGTCTTGTCCGGCCGAAGATAGTCACTTGCGCCTCGTAGCTACATACCTACTTTACCCCTAGGTACACATACGTGGTTCAAGTGGTAACTTCGCAGCGTCTTGGGTAGCATTATTAATCCACGGGAAGAAGGCCAGGGTCCAGCTAGAGCAGCGCCGCAATCTGCTACCCAGCCGTAGGGTCAGAACGCCAGATCAGCCCCCCGGTCTTCCCACTGCTGCTGCCCATCTGCTCGCTCTCGTCCCATCCTCTCGCTCCGCTTTTTCGCCTGCTTCCAGCCTGCGAAACAGAACCCACTGCCGGTACTTGGTCCATCATCCCCACTAAGCTACAACCTCGCGCCCGCTCGCCGGCCGTACATCTATCTGCTTGTCGTCCAGGGCCGACTGATCGCAATCGCAATCGCCGTAGACTCTCTCGCAAAGACGATGGACTTCTCGCAGCATTACTACAGCGGCGCCCAGCCCTACCAGTTCCTGGGGATTCCCCCGCCCACCCCATCACACTCGCACTCGGCACCCTCGGAAGAGTTCAACCAGCAGTCTCCGACGGTTCGTTCTGTCTCAGACCCTCGTGGTGCTTGTCTTAAACGCTAACAGCGCGTCGCGTGGTAGGATGTCTACGACCACTTCCAGAACTTTGACAACTATGCCCAGTTCAATCAGAATCACAGCCAGAGCCAGGGGCAGCCCCATGGCTTCCACGACCGCCAGAACCCCCCGACCCCGCCTACCGGACCGGTACGGCCCATCCAGAATCTCAAGAACCAACAGGCCGATATTCTCCCCTTGACCAAGGCCGATCCTGAGCAGGGCGCCCGGCAAGGCTCGGCTTCCGACGATGATGATATGACGCCAGCCCAGTCTCGCAGGAAAGCCCAAAACCGTGCAGCGTAAGCCGAAGCAGTCCTGTGCTCGGATACCGAAGTAGCTGAAAGTGACTGACATTTTGTTATGCGTATAATAGTCAGCGCGCCTTTCGAGAACGGAAGGAACGCCATGTCAAGGAGCTAGAGGCCAAGGTTGCTTCACTGGAGGCGGCACAGCAGCAGACAAGCACCGAGAACCAGAAACTGAAGCGCGATCTCCAGAAGATGAGCACCGAGAACGAGATTCTTCGAGCCACATCTACTATGAGTCAGAATGGCTCGGCGTCGCCCGCCAGCAACCCACCCACGACGACAGGTCCTATGCGTTTCAACCCGACCGACTTCTACTCGGATCTGCTGGCGAATCATACCAACAAGACCCCCAGCCACCGTGTTGTCGAGTCCGAGGGCGGAGAGAAACTCTACGCGGCGGGGGCCACTTGGGATTTGATCATCAACCACGACCTGTTCAAGAAAGGGCTCGTGGACGTGGGAGACGTCAGCGAGCGCCTGAAGTCAAAAGCCAGATGCGACGGGCAAGGGCCCGTGTTTGAGGAGTCGGCAATCTTCCAGGCCATCGAGGAAAGCGTGGCGAGTGGAAGTGACGAGCTGCTGTGAACACTGCAGCGGAAGTTTCGTCGATCCTGAAGTGCCCGGTAACCTCATTGACGTGTCGTGACTGTGGTTTTAACCCCTGATGTGAGCATGTTACGATGCCACGGAGCGATGACTTGCAGATGAGACGATTACTGGTTATATTCAATACGCTGGCGTTTGTTGGAGTTTATGGGTGCATTGGGCCAACTACAGGGTGGATGGTCCCAAGTGACAGTATTCAGGCATGATACAGCAAATAGGGACTGAGATTCAGGAGTTCGAAGTTCCCTGGCCCAAGGGACTTCGGGGGTGGTAGCATTTGGTTCGTCTGGTGTTCTATAGGTACCGGGTCGGTGTTCAATTTGAACTTTTCACACAACTTGTAGCCAAGTGTTCCAGACTTCTCCGATCTGTGACCCAAAGTGCTTGATATTGTAGAGCCTCTCATTACCGACAGGTGAAGTCCAGCTTCTGGCATCTTGTACTAAGCGTAACCGTTAGGATACTATACTGTACTGCCGGCCGTTTATTTTCTACTGCGTTTGTAAGCTCTCCGTCATCTACAAAACCCACGCTACCGGCGACTGCCGGCGTCAAACAAGCCACTTGGAGGACAGGGCAGACTGTGCATGGCGAAGCCTTCCTCCTTCAGGAAGCTTGTCCGCGTTCAGGCGAAACCCCTGCCGCGGTCTAGTATACTCAGTGTCGCGGCGTACTGTGGCTATATATACGCTGAGCCTCAGCGCGGTAGTGGTTGCCAGTGCCTTCAATCGATCCCGTGAAACGATGCATATGAAGCACGCCATCAGAGATGCAGGACAGCCATGACGACTTGCATACACAAGCAATATTACTGCTATAGTGTCTTTTAGCTATATACCAAAACAACTCGTCATTCATCCATCTTATATGCTAAGGTCTATTCTGCCGGAAAAAGTGGTATCTCAAATTTGTCCTGAAAACCTCAGACCCCAAAAGCGGAAGGGGGTCTCCATTAGAGATGCCCAACACTGAGAGAGAGATTCCTACAGGACGCCGAAGATAAAACGCCCGGTTGCCTTGACAGCGTCAGACCAAAAACAATACGATACTAATCCTCGCGGCTCCCTGGTGTTTGGGCTGTGAAAGTCCCTTTGTGCTCCAACGGCTCTTTCCCTGTCTATCTCTCCCTGACCGAAGTCGTTTCATTACCACCACCGCCTCCTGATATCAACGTTTGCCCCCCTTTCTCATCATCACAGCTTGCCATACAGTCGTTGATCAAGTCTTGAAATTATTCGTATGCTCAAAATCCGTACAGAGCCGCATGCGAGCCGCATGCTCGTGATAAAGTCGTAACTCGTAGTCGTCATTTGCCGGATTAGTTCGTCTTCTTGCCGTTGGCGGCCGGGTTGTGGACCTGCTGGCTCTGGGCCTGGTCGTCCTCGCCCTCGACGTACGGGTGCTTGATAGTCAGGCACCAGATGTCGAGGTAGTCGCAGATGGTGACAATGACGTCGACGACGAAGCTGCCGTAGACGCCGATGGCCATGCCGAGCATGGAGAACATGAAGGCGACCTGGTAGACGTCGTCACCCAGAGCGCTGGGCCAGCCAAACGTCCAACCGAGCTTGGACTGCAGCAGCGGGCCCAGCGAGTCGATGACGCCCCATGTCAAAGGCACGGTGAGCACGTTCCAGTAGGGGAAGTCGAGCTTGACGAGGTGGGCCGTGATCATCTGGCCGACGGAGTAGGCGTTGACGAGGCCGGCGAAGACGACGAAGGGGATCAGATGGCCGGTGCGGATCAGGGGCTGCAGCCACAGGTAGGCGACGATGAGGACCCAGGTGCCGAAGAAGGGGACGAGGCCGAGCAGGGCGCCGCGGCTACGGTCGCCGCGGGCGCGGCGGGCCTTGATGACGTTGCGGGCGCTCTCGACGGTGTTGAAGACGAGCACGACGGTGCCCTGGACCATGTACCACTGGGTGAAGTTGAGGCGGTACAGGAACTCGGGAATGCCCCAGGAGCTGGGGACACCAAAGGTGGCCAGCATGCTCTGCTGCCAGAAGGAGGCGCCGCCCATGTAGCCGGTCAGGGCGTAGACGAAGACGAGGATCAGCACGCCCTCGACGGGCCCGTTCACTATGCCGAGCGTCAACGTCTTGGTGTGGTACTCGTCCCAGGTCTGGACGTAGAAGGTGCACAGCGAGGCGAAGAGCACGGCGACCGTGTACCAGCTCTGGCCCATGTTCTGGCTGCCGGCGAAGAGCAGCACCTCGAGCGACGTGTTGAGGGCGTCGACGCCGTGGTCGAAGAGCTCGCCCAGGGGGCCGCTCTGGCGGGTGCGTCGGCTGCAGAGGGGTCGTCATGTCAGTCGGGACTGCGCACTATCCGGAGGGGGCCTTGAGGGAATGGAGAGGGAAAATACGTACGCCTGTGTGCCATCGACGGCATCAAAGGTCTGGTACAGGAACAGGCCGGCGGCCCACGTGTAGTAGACCCAGGGCGGGCAGTTCTGGTCGAGGGTCGGGTTGTACCAGAGCAGGGTGAAGAAGTTGGCGACGACAAAGGCGAACCCGGTGAGGGTGATCAGGTTCGGGGCCATGGACATGGGGAAGCAGTGGATGACGACATTGGTGTAGAAGGGCTTGAGGATGTACTTTGACGTGAGCGAGCGGTCGACGGACGAGTACTTGTACTGCTTGAGGTTCGGCAGGTATTCCTGGCGCACGTACACCATGATGGGCGAGATGTGCGAGTCCGCGACGACGGACTGCGGTGTGGTGTCTTGGTGGTGGGGTTGTGAAAGGGGAAGGGCGGGCGGGTTGCTGCCGGCGGTATTGTATAGTAGTAGTAGGTAGACAGACGTTGGACCGTTCTATGACACAAAGGACCAGCGCATTGAGTGCAAGCGTCTGTCTGGTCTGGCTGAAGACGGGGCCGGGGGCTGGAAGTAGTTGCTGTGTACAGGGACTACAGACAGTACGGTCTAGGTCTATATCTTTATCTTGCGAGGGCGACTTGAGCTTAGATGTCGGATGCAACCTGTCGACCGGACGGAGGACGGACACGCGGTTGTTCTGGGCCAGGGCAGAAAAATTGTGCGCGTGTCAGGCTTTTGGAGCATTTCAACGTCATCAGCAGACCCCTGCCGCTCCCCTTAGCGCGTGGAGCCCGCGTGGAGCCCGTTGCCCTCCAGATTCCTGGCCAGGGGGCCAGGTGTGCTGGTGCTGGGTGCACATCGAGCTTTTAGCTGGCTTATTAGCGGCCCACCACGACGGCTGGCCTGTCTGACGTCTCGTCTCGTTGACGACGCCCACGGGTCCTGGGAATGTTGCTTGCTAGCCGGTGCCTACAGGTGTTTCTCGTCGATGCCTGTCCGTGCATTCCGCATGCAGGTCCCTAGAACCCCGGAATAGACACAGCACCGGCGCAGCTAGTTACGTTCTTGTCGTGATTGCACATACTGCTATTCCCGTCGTGCGAGCCAGGGAGAGGTTCATGTGATTCATTTCATTGCCATTTCTGACCTTCTACCAGCCGTCTCTGGAAACATCCCCACAACCGCCCTTTTCCTGGCTGCTTTTATGGGGACTATAACCAGTCAAGCCTCTGTCTTCCCCTTCCCCCCTTTCTCCCACCGGGTCCACCTCCACGGAGGCCACCCGGCCCGTGTATCTAAGATGCAAGCCCCCTCCAATGCCCAGAGGGTCCTCGCTTCGTCTTGGTTTAATGCAGCAAAACGCCTTTTGATCAAACTTTCCATCGTCATTAAGCAACCGACGCAATCACCATGGCCGCCACGTTCTCCTCCTCGGCCCGCACCGTGATCTTGGTCGTCACGCCGGATTTCGACGAGTACGCCATCCTGATGTTGGCCACAACCCGTCCCCCGCTCACCGTCTTGCCCAGGAGCTTGAGCTGGTGTGTTGTCTGGTTGACCGGCACATCGGTGCCTTCCAGCGGCTGTAACGAGAGCGTCTTGGCCAGTTGCTCCGTAGCATCTGTAGTATCACACGACCGTTAGCCTCGTCTTCTTGCATATCCCCTACTGCCGACTCCGCCCCAGCACACTTACCTGCAATGCTGTTGATACCAGACAACTGCAGCGTCTCCTCCGCTTCCTCGCCCGCCGCGCCAACCTGCTCCCAGATGTGCGCAAAGTTGCCTGCAAATGCAGGAACCACGTAGTCACTGCCGGCCAGGTCCAGGTCGCCAATCTCGTACTCGTCATCGTAGCCCGTGTCCTCGGGTTCGTTCGTCGACGGGTCGATCTCCTTGACGGTGAACTTGAGCACGTTCGTGAATGAGCTGGTCGGCATGGATCCCTCGCCGTTCACCTTCTTGAAGGCCACGTAGACCTTGCCGGGCTGATCCGTCTCCAGCTTCTCGGCTTGGAGAATAAACACCTCCTCGAGCTCTTCCTCCTCGGCTGGCATGGCGACCACGGACACGTTCTCCAGAACCGTCGAAGGCAGCGTGTTCTTGACCTCATACTGCAATACAATGTGCTCCTTGAAGATGTGCTTGACCACGCTGACAACGTACTCGGTCTCGGCCTCGGTGAGCTCAACGACAGGCGACGACTTGAGCACAGCGCCAAACTCCTTGAGCTCGGGAATGCCCATAAGCTCTTGCGAGTACTTTTGCGCCGCGGCGGCAGCTGAGGCTTGGGCGTCTGCACCAGTAGCGGCAGCCTTGGTAGGGCCGGCCTTGGGCGGCTTGAGCGACGGGGTGGTGGCCGTCAGCTTCTTGGTCCTGTCCTCGGCGTCTGCCTGCTCCCGCGTGACGACCGGGATCTTGCTGATATCGAACGACGACTGGAAAACATCCTTGTCGTCTGAGGTGACATACATGACGAGCTGGTGCTCAAAGTATGGCAGGGAGAACATGTTTTCTGTTGTCTGTTAGTGTGCGTAGACTGTATCTAGGATCAAGACGGTGCCTACCATTCTTGATGAACCGCTCAGCCATCTCGTCCTCGTCGTGCATCAATCTTAGGTTGAGCGCGGCACGGTCTCGGACCTCGTCATCAACATCGTCCAAGCAGCGGGTCAGCAGCACGTCAACGCTGCGCTTGACCTCGGGATCCTTCTGGCCGACTCCGAACTTGGCCAGGGCAGTGACAGCAGCTGCTCTGACAATGGCGTTCTCCAGCACCACTCGGTTGTAGATGTAGCGGATGTACTTTGTAGGTTGGGATGTCTTGGGGCCCTCGAGACCGAGCAGGTGCAGGATGCGTACAGCCAGCTTCGTGAACTCGCAATCCTCGATAAACTCGCAAAGATGGGCCAGGGCGTCCTCCTTCGAGTCGGGCACGAACTTGATCAGGTCGAACATGCTCTCGACAACAGCACGCTTGAACTCGTAGCCTCCTTCGTCGCGCAGGATGCCACTGAGGAATGCGAGCATGCCAGCTTGCTTGCTGGGAAACTTGAGGCAAAGCGTGCGGATGGCCTCGACAATAGTAATCTTGAACTCGTCGGTAATCTCGGACATGAAACCAGTAATCTGCTTCATCAACCGATCCACACTGGCCTCGTTACCGGTCTTGAGTAGGGTGGTGATGGCAAATGTGGCAATTGACCTGTTGCTGTTCGAAATCAGGAGCTCGATATCCGGGTTGCAGACATTGACGGCCTGTGGCTTGAACGAGGCAAAGTTGTGCAGGATACGGAGCGCAGCAAACTTGGTGACATGGCGCGGCGAGGACAGGAACAGCTGGAGGACGTGGACAGCCTGAGTGACCTCAGCGTCGGTAACATCGCGCATATCGCAGATCGCCTTGGCGGCCTCAAAGTTGACCATCTCGCTCTTGTGTCTCAACCAGTTGTCCAACAACGTCATCATGGGCTTCCTGAGGGACGGGTCGTCTTCCGCCAGCTGGGCTGCTAACCGGACCAACATGACTGTGGCGGCGGGGCTCTTGACGGTCCCGGCCTGGCTGAACTGTTGAACCATCTTCACCAGAGCCATTCTGTCGTGCGAGCGCATCTGGTACAGCAGACCAATGGCGTGGTACTGGGTCATGGTGGAGTTGTTGACGGGCAACGAGCCCGACGAGGACGAGAATCCAAGCGAAAAGCCGCCAGAGGACTTTGTCGAAGCTGCGGCTTCCTGGGTCTCTGATTGCCACCGGCGCACGACATCCTTGGCGATAGGAAGCAGGTGGTACGACGAAACGAGGGCGGCCGACGAGACGGAGGGGTTCTTGTCGACGATGGCGGTCTTCATGACACGCTCGATGGATTGCACGGTCGTGGCCTGTCGGCGGTGCGTGTTAGCATGGTGTGCGAGCTGCAGAGAGAGGGCAATGGGTGCAGGGCGTGGCTAGCATACGTCAATGATGCGGCACAGAGCCCGGATAGCATTGGGTCGGTAGATGGCGTCTGTGCTGCCACCGGTATCCTTCATGATGGTGCTGGTGACCATGATGATATCCTCGGCAGACGAGGCAATCTCCTTGATGACCAGGTGCACCATCTGGCGTAGGCTGGCATCTTTGTTCTGGAAGAGCTTTGAGATGCCGAAGAAGAGGTCGGTAGCTTCGCGGGTCGGGAACTTCTCGCCGGTGTAGAGAAGCAGGGCAATCTTGGTCAGGAGGATGCGACATCTCCGGGGCTGGATGGGGGAGCTGTTGAATAGGCGAGCTGCATCGCTCATCAGCCATCGTGACCTCGACTCGAGTTGCGGTGGGGGGAGGGTCTGCCCACGGGGCGAGGACGGGGAGATGGGGAGGGAGAGCAGCGCTGCGGCCACGCACCTTCTTGGAATACCTGCACTCGGTCGACCTTGACCAAGCCGAGGTCGGCATCTTCGTCTTTCTTGCCGTAACTCATGGTGGGCGGATCGCTGGTTACGGTCGTGGTGGCGGACGAGGATGCTGGTGACCGTGGTGAGCTTTGGCTCTTACAGGCAGCTTTGGGGGGGATTTCGTTGTCGCGACGTTGTCCAAATGTCGATTCCAGCCTGGCACTTCCAGACCGTGGGTCCTGGCGCCCCACTTAATCCGCCCAATCGCATGCCAAGGTCAACCCCCTATTCCGCCCACTTGCATGTTACAACTGGCAGGACTGGGCTGAGCCGCTTCTTCGTCACCTTTTCTCACCGTACTGCGATGTACCTGTGTATTTTATTCATACGCGACCGGGCGATTGATGATGAATGCAGCTCACTACCATATGGCACCAGCCCTGTTTTCTAGAATCACGGTAGACACCGTTCTGGGCGAAGAAAATCATGTGAGAGTTTGGCAACCCTTGTACGATGATTTGGGACTTTTCGCAATATCGCCCTGTGCCTTCTATAGACGAATCCGTCACGAAGAGGCGGCAGCAGCGCACTCGATTATAAAATGGAAAGGGCGAGCCCTAATGTTGAGATGGGATATTGTCATTCCATCACTCTCTCAGCCCCAAAAGCGTGAAATTCATGTCAAGCAAGACAGGACCCGTGAGAAGAATATCTATCGGTATTTGACCGGTAGTACTTTGACTTTCCCATACAAAGACGGAGTATGGAATGAGTAGTTGAAAAGGCTCGCTACAGTGATTTCCTATAAACCCCCTGGCGCCGTATGATAGCAAACCGATTATATGAGCATTGTCTCAGCTCAGTAGGGGCGGTAGCTAGCAATGAGACCTGCTCTCTCTGCTAGGTTCATATTCAATGCTGATCTCGCAGTTCAAAGGTGCAAGCCGAGCAGGTCCATGATCTATTTGATTCATCTTCCGTGCTCAGTGGCCTCGCGGAGTCTGCTTCACTAACTTCATGACGTTCTCCGCATACCCTGCTGTCCCTCCATACCTGGCCATGATGTCCTCTAGGTTGATCGAAGAGAAATCCTTTGTCCTCCGTCTTCCCAGCAAGCCCGTGTTCCTCGTACTGGGTATCCGAAGCATCTCCGTCTCCACCTCCCATCCGCAGTCTGCAGCGATTTGTGATACCCACGAGACCAGGGACGAGTATGCTGAGACGGACTTATCTTGCTTCTTTGGTGCGGGTGCCCGGAACTTGGCCCCGGAGAGCGCATGACTGCAACAGGGGATCATGATGAACGGACAAACTGACGCGGTGGCGAGCAAGGGTGTCCACGGGGTAAGCTCATCCGCGTGGTTGGAGATGATGAAGGTGCCCTGGGGAAACACTCCGTCGTGAATGAGACCCTCAGTACCTTCACCGCCAGCTTGCGGCTCCTCTCCAGATGTGGCGACGGACGGCAAGAGGACATGCTGCCGCAGGCTCGGGTGGCCTGCGAGGCTCGATGTTGCATCTGCATCAGAGTTATAGTTCTCCCACGACTTGCGCGTCCTCGCGTCGAATCCCCAGCCGGCGTAGCCCTCCTGCCGAAGCAGATGGACCAGAAGCCCGTTGCCACAACCGATATCGACGAAACCCGGAAACGGCTTCTCATGGTACATCTCGCGCCATAGTTCGATGAGGAAGGCAGCAATGCCGAGATCTTCAAAGACGTGCTTCGAAGGATCCGTCTGTTCAGCCCAGCTGTGGATGATTTTCCGGGCATACTTCTGCTTCAGTCTGGCAAACGTGTTCTGCACCGTCGCCTGAGGTATGATGGTGTCGTGGTTTACGCGCTTGACGTAGCCAGCGTCCGAGCCCTGGCCGTGCTTGTGAAGAACCATCAACAAGTTGATGGCGGTCCTGATCAACTTCTGCTCGCGGACCTTTTCATCAAAGAAGCAATAGTGAATAGAGACAACGCCTGAGCCTGCATTGGCGTCCCACTCGTGCAGAAAGATGAGGCCTCGAACCCTGGGGTGGTAGAAGGGCACCTCGGATTCTGAGGAGTAATGCGGGTTGTAGACAACCATGGTCTTCTCGGCTACACCTGGCTGGCCGCCATGGTAGACCAGGCACGTCTGATCCAAGGGATTATCTCGTAGAGCATTACGGGGAATAAGCTTCCTGACCAGGCACTTGTCTAGGTGAAAATCCTGGAAATGCACGTATCTTGGCTGCACTCCCCCGGCTTTGGGGGCGCCGATTGCCTCGCCGTCTTCTTCCAACAGTATGTCTGCACGAAAAAGCCAGGACGAGTTGAGGTTGGGGTTGCGAATCATATTCAGCATGACCTGCACAAAGATGGCCGGGCTGAAGCTGCAGTCATGGTGGAACAAGGGTACCCATTCGGCCCCCGAGAGGTCCTCAACGATGTGGGGAGAGCCAGGGGCATACTCAGTCGGTGTGAAGCCCATGGTGAAGTTTTGGGGCGACTTGACAATACCGACGGGCCTGGAAACTTGGATAACACGGACCTCACGCCAGGGTTCAGGCGTCCTACAGTGGTACTGGTAGTGGTACCTAGGTAGGAGGCACAGGCAGGCAGGTACCACGGCAAAAGTGACGGCTGTGGGCGAGGAAGAGAGAGGAGAATTCAAGTCATGGTGCTCTGTATAAGGTTGTATAGGCAAACAAGATGGAAATTGAAGAGGGCGTTGGATCGCCGTAGGAACGGCCTATCAGACGACACAGAGAGAGTATAGAATTTGTGTGGTGGATCCAGAATCTCGTTTTCTGCGGAAGGTCTCGTTAGATGCATAGCGGATGTGCAACACGACCTTCGCCTCCAGGTAGGTACTTAGTTGGGCCTACGAAGCGTAGGTACCTTGGGAAGCAGGAGGCCTGACTCTGAACCGCGTGGGCAGCTGTGTGGCAGGGGCCTGGTGTGCGTTACAGTGCCCAGGTGTGTGTGACAGGCCAGGCCCAGGGCCCGAGATCTGGGGGCCAGACCAGCCGGGCAGACAGCCAGGCGACTGGTCAAGTGCCAGCGCCGGGTGTCGATGGTGCACTTGCACGACAAAGAGACAGGGTCCATGTTACCTAGTTATGCATCAAGGTATCGACGGGGGAAGGAGCTGGCTGCTTCCTTTCTGTCTGTCAGTGACGGGGGCTGTCCAGAGAGTCATAACCCAAGGTTTTCCGTTGCCCTTTAGCTCAGCACGGCCCCGCCTGAAGACAGTCGGGACTCGGGACCTCAGGCGCATGTGCCTGCCAGGCCTGCCTACCCTGCCCTGCCAGCCTGCCTGCCTAGCCTGATCAAGATAACCTGGAGGAAACCGAAGAGAACGTCCAGGACGCGGCTGGCGTGTGGGCAGTTGCGTGGGGAGTCACACCTGCGCGTCACCTGGCAAAAAGCTTTTGGGGCCTTGCCTCTTTCGCCCTTTGCCTTTGGCCTCTGGACCTTTGCCCCCCCTCCACCCGCCCAACCGCTGGAAATCCCGAGCCCATGCCACCCATCCAGCAAACCCACCCCCCTTGGCCCCAATCCCATTCACCCACACCACACCCAAAAGGCCACCCCGTCATCCCACCAACACCGCCTGAGCCAAAGTCTACTTAAGTCCATCACAGCAACTTTCCATCGTCCTCGTTGCACTTCACACACCGCACGCTTCTCAGCCTCACCCCCTCACCCGACCGCAAACCCGCCCATCGTCAATCCAGAGAACCACTGCGAGACCCAGCCGTCCGTCGCACCCATCCGAGCCACATTCCATAAACCCTTTTCCCCCGGTTACCCAGGAAAACTCGAGTTTATGTCCATCGAAAACCTCAAGACCTACGGTACGTTGTGTCGCCCACCGCCATCGTCACGCCCGCCTGGCCATTTGCATTCCCCCTCTCCTCTCTGCCCGCGCCGGCTTCGAGGTCGATGCCTTTGTGCTGCCAAACATTTCTCGTGCCAGCCCTGCTCTGCTGTTGAATTCGACTCACCACACACCTGACCTACCCCTCCACCGCCCCCGCCCCTCCCCCCTGGCTCGCACCCCGACGCCGGCTGTAGTGAGGCTGAATAAGAAGCTGACTTTGCCATGACGCAGACCCCTTCGCCGAAGCCGACGAGGATACAGGCGAATCCAAGCAGGCTCAGAATTACATCCATATTCGTATCCAGCGTATGTATCCCCACTCTCCTCGCACGACGCGACCGACCTCGACTCGACGCGAGCTCTGTTTGTGGCCTCACGTGCTCCTTTCCTCGTGGGCCACGCCGCGGTTCGCGCACCGTCGATCGGGTCCCCGTCACGTCTAGACGTCCTTCTGAACTTGACCCCGCTGACCGTGTTGATGACGACAGAGCGAAATGGACGTAAGACCCTAACTACCGTTCAGGGACTTCCCAAGAAATTCGACCAGAAGAAGATCTTGAAGGTCATCAAGAAGAAGTTCGGTAAGTTGATGCTCGCCCCTTGCTCTGCGCGCGCGCGCGACATACCAGAGTGAACACGGCTGACCCTGCTCCGGCTAGCCTGCAATGGCACCATTGTCAACGACACCGAGATGGGTGAGGTGATCCAGCTCCAGGGAGACCAGCGCAAGGATGTGCAGGAATTCCTCGTCGACAAGAAGGAAGGCCTAGAGCTTGACCCCAAGACCATCAAGGTCCACGGTTTCTAAGCTGGCAGGGAGCGCCTCGTCGCCTTGGCCACACGTAGCCTCATCCCGATCACGACCCGGCCCTCCTCGATGCTTGCCAGGCAGTCGCATCCCGCTCTAGCCCGACGGCGGCGGATGCCTCTGGCTGGCTGAGCATGCAGCAAGGTCTTTTTGGGTCACGGTTTGAGGCGTTTACGGACAGGCACGATCATAGGCAGATACCCCTTCATTGGCACTCGGCGACTTTGGCATGGATTTTATGGGGCTGTCGGCACCTACTGCTGCTGCCCCGGAATGTTACTTTCTTGCCCACCATTGGCAACTCACAGGTTTTTGTGATTTGATACTGGGCCGTTGTCTTGCAAGACTCTCGTTCCAGGTTCTGCAGGCATGGCTCTAGGTAGACAATGGAGAAGAATGAATCAAGAAACTGACGGATCCCATAATGTCGTAGCTACAAATATTCGGTGACTACACAAACTAACATGGGCGCTGAAGAAGACAAGGAAGGAAGATCAAGGTAAATGCTGCTTGTATGTAACGGAACGCAAGAATGCTACTTGTCATCATGCTGGGGTATACTCGACCAGATCCCACACAGATACACGCACAAACGCCGGACTCCCCTGACCCCAGGACTGAAAGTGCTCCAACGCCAAAAGAAAACAACTTCCGCGACAACAAAGAGTAGTAGCGGACATCCACGACCAGAGGACAAGCATGCCCCACCAAAATCGAAGCCCCTGACTCTGAACGTTTTCAGAGACCATCCCTCTCGCGGTTCACCCCCAGCACCGTGACCACGATCTTGCCGCCAATCTCGGCGGCTCTGCGCAGGATGGCGGCGAGCGGTATGTCGGGGTACTCGCGGCGGACGCCGAGGGTGCCGAAGTGCAGGTTGGCGAGCAGGGCGACCATGCTGATGAAGCTGGCGATGGAGAAGACGGAGATGCTGGCGCTGGTCTCCTTGCGGATGTTGATCTGGCGCTGCGAGACGTGGTAGCAGGCCGTCAGGGTGGTGGCGATGCCGATCCAGGCGGGCAGCAGCAGCGAGGGCGAGCGGTCGCCGCCCAGCAGGTGGATCAGCTGCGACGACACGGTGCCGAAGATGCAGCACAGCGTCAGCAGCCGCACCATGGTCGCCTGCGGCGTGTAGTTGAGCAGCCAGCGCGACATCAGGCTGTCGGTGAAGATGAAGGACAGGTTGGCCGCGGCGCCGCACTATAAGATGGGAGGACACCAAGAGTCAGCAGCTCATCTGGGTTATATGTGTTTACGTCCATGGATGTGTGTCGTGTCTGTCATGTCATGTCACGCAAGGGTTCACTGAGGTCGGAGCGGTCGAATGCAACAGCAACACTACCGTCCTCCGGATCGAGACATACCCAGACAATGGAGAGCGCCGTCTCGGTCAGCCGTAGCATCCACTCCCCTCTATCGACCACGAGCTTGCTGGCGGCGGCGGCCTCCTCGGGGCGCAACCCGCCCACGCGGCTGTAGCTGTACCCATAGGCCTTGAGCAGGTCGGTGATGACGAAGCGCAGGGCGCAGCGCACCCCCCACCAGATGGCGGGGGCGATGGAGAGCAGGCGGCAGGCGAACAGGAAGGGGTGCCAGAACTTGGGGACGCCGAGCAGGACGGCGACACGGGGCTGCAGCAGCGACGAGGTCACGACGGGCGGCTTCCTCCTCGGGGCCCTGTGCTGGTGGTGGTACTGGTGCTCCTTCTCGTCGGCGGCGTCATCGTCGCTGGTAGTGGAGGGGCCGCCCATCAATCAGAAGCTCGGCTGCGGTATAGGGGGGTGTTGCAAGGCCCCTGTCGCTGTCGCTGTCGCTGTCGCTGTCGAGTGTCCAGAGAGCACACGACGATGCATCAACCGTGGCAGTTCGGCGGGGGAGGAGAAGTTGCGTGCACTCGTGGGTCGCCTGTCGGTCGTGGGGGAGGCGTGCGGCACAGCACGGCGCGAGGAGGACGAGCAGAGAGAGGGGGCAAGGCGAGAAGGGCAGGCAATCGATTGACTCTTCCCGGAGTATCTATCATCAGGTGGAAGAGAAGGTTCCGTTGCTGTCAAAAGTGGGATGCCACCGTCCAGTACTGCCCAGCTGCAGGTGGTTTCTGGGTTCGTCCGATCAGTGCAGCGTGTTCAGTCCCAGTGACAGGCTGTCCTACAGTACAGTGAGGTCATTGGGCGACCCCTGCATGGTCCAATAGGGGGGGCTACAGGCCACGAGGGGCCTACAACGGGGGCCTGCCGGGGCCCAGCCCAAGGCCGTTCCAGAGCTTAGCGCAACGCTGTGCACGCGAGCACCGCTAATTGGCCCCTGTCATTGGCCAGCCTTGCCCCAGATCCCCGGCTGCCGGGCTGCTGGCCTTGTCGTCCCGTCCGCGGCTCTGGAAATTTTTCTGGGAGCGTGGGAGCTCTCGGATGAGGCTGCGACTGGCCGCGATAGTTCGATCCCTGATATCAGGCCGGGAAACCCAACGACCATAGCTCCGAGTCGAGCCGCCGAGTACCTACTTCGACCGCCCGGCCCACCCCGCAGTGGACGGCCTCGTATCGGCACCCGTCTCACGCTGCTAGCCAGAGCCGTCGTGCTTTCGGACTGAGCCTCCTGAAAGCTCATCCCGGACGACCAGCCGGCAGACGTACAGCAGCACTCCGTATCCATCATGGCCGAGAGGCAAGCTGCCCGGCTCCTGCGCCCGTGGCTTCTGTCGTCGACGGCCTCCCTGCGACCACTCATGACGCCTGCGCGCATTCTCTCACAGAAGACCCAGCCGGCCGCCTCGGTCTGCCGCCACTTCAGCGTCCAGACCCCTGCCAGGAGGAAATACGACACGACGGTCAAGCGCCGCGGTGCCGGCGGCGGCGACAAGCCACTACCCATCGACCTGGACAACGTGTCGATCCTGATCCCCATGACCTTCGTCGCCCCGCCGCTGCGCCGCTGGCCGCGCGACTCGCCCGTCAAGTTCGCCCAGATGGCCTACGCCGTCGCCAAGAACAAGCTCATGAACTGGCTCTACATGAAGCTGCACAAGATCTACAGCAAGCCCTCGTGGCGGACGCGCGCCCTGTTCAAGCCCAAGAAGGCCGCCATCGTGCCCACCGCCCGCGACCTGCACGCCCGCATGAACGCCGCCATCGCTCGCGGAGACAAGGACGAGCTACGCCGCGTCTGCACCCAGGAGCTGTACCAGAAGCTGGCCGGCGTCGTCGACGCCCGCCCCCGCGGCCAGAGCATGCGCTGGGAGCTGGTCAGCCCGCCCCGCGCCCGCCTGACCGACGACAAGATCGCCATGATGCCCCTGACCCAGGCCGAGAGCCGCACCATCCGCCAGGCCATCGTCACCATCTCCAGCACCCAGCGCGTCTCCAAGGTCGACAACGCCCACGGCGGCCTCGAGGTCCCCGGCTCCGTCAAGACCAAGGACATGGTTGAACACCTGGTCCTGACCGCCTTCCTGGATGACAAGACCTGGCAGTCGGCCCCCTGGAAGATCTGGGGTACCCTGCCCGAGACCACGCTGGAGGGCTACCAAGAGGAGGTGCAGGCCTATGAAGCCATGTCGACCGAGCAAAATTCGAAATAGAGATGAGGAGGGGAGAGATGCGCGACAGCCCAAGGAATGAGATGGGCAGTGAGGCTGTCCAGTTGTAAACATAGTGTACTTCATGTGTATATTCGAACATGTAGAGTTCACCGTCTCCGGATAAAGACGTGGCCATATTGTTAATACACTCGGCTCTAGGAAGTCTCGGCAGGCTACAAATCGAATCAGTGATTATGCGACTCTGTAATGAAGGTATGTTAGCTGGCAGAGGCACAGGTGGCAGCAGAACCCGATCTTAAATTGTGACTGGAACCATATTGATGCTCATTAATGGAGCTCATTAATGGAAGTGGCGTGCACAGGGAAGCTACCTATTGCCGGTTTTCTGGACGGGCTGTCCTTATGTACCCGGACATACTACATGCTCTGTGATATGGTACCACTTATAAGCAAAATCAGAGCAGTGCAGCTCCTGTCATATACTTGATTAATAGACTTAATCAAATTCCTGACATGAGCCGGAACGGTCTCAGTAGCAAGCATCATACTCTATAGTTGACAACAGGCGCAGTACAGTGAAACAAACAGGTTGAATTGTTGCTTGATCTTGAAGAAAGTCTCTGGTGCCTCCCACGCTCATGTAGTGGTGCGCCCATAGACGTTGAAGTATGGAGGCGCTGGAACTAGGTTGGCTTTGTTCTGTTACTGAGCTATACAAGCCTCGGAGTATAGAACACGCCGCAAGGTCGGGTTGGAAATCTCTCTTCCCCTCCTCGTATCACCCACAGCCCACTCTCCCATCTCCTAACTGAACTCCTACGTGTCAGGGGTGCAAAGTCCTGAGACACACGCGTGGTATCCTTCGGATTGCAACCCCCCTTCCCCTCCGTCTTTACTTAGTCGACTAGAAGAACTTGCCGGATATCTTCGAGTTGATGCCGACATCTCCTCGCCCGGCGCCAACCGGTACGGTGTCCTCTTCGTACTCCTCCTCGCGGGCAGTGGCAGTGGGCCAGGGGCGATCCAATGCGTCAAAGCGCTGGCCCGTCATCTTGGCCCGCGCAAACTGGAACCCGAGTCGCAGGGTCAGGGCCCCGAAGCCCCAGAGGATACCGCCGACGGGGGCAGCAACAAACGCACCAAACGCACCCCAGTCGCCGCTGTACAGGCCCTGCTCAAGCAGGATCAGGTTGCCACCCTGCTGGGCGTCGCCGTAGTAGATGGTGCCGAAGATGAAGACGGTCAGGATGCCACCGAGGCCGCCGACCAGGACCTCGAAGCCGCGCCACCAGTAGATGCGGTCACTGAGGCCGAGGACGAGGACGGGGAGGGTGGCAGCCGAGAGCAGGTCCGAGATGAGGTAGATCTGCAGGATGCTGGGGGCCTTGAGCGCGAGCACGACGACGGGCACGATGATGAGCACGACGCCGGCGCGGATCCACCAGACGTTGAGCCGGTTGCGGAACAGGTCGTTGCTGGCGCTCGACACCATGGCGCTCTGCAGCGAGTCGAACGACGCCGTGCTGAGCGAGATGGCCATGACCAGCACGATGCCCACGACCCAGTTGGGCAGCTGCTCCAGCAGCAGGAAGAAGGCGACCGACCCGTCCTGCGCCGGGTCGCCGGGCCAGACGCCCGACCATGCGGCGATCAGCCCCGTACATCCCACCAGCGTCAGCGTGATCAGGATGACCACCATGGCGGTCGAAACCCCAATCCAGAGGTCCTTGTCCGTCTTGGAGGCGAAGGTGCGCAGCCAGAAGTTGGACAAGAAGAAATCGTTGGTCAATATGGCCACCGGCAGGATATAGATCAGCTGCCATCCGATGAGGTTGGGTTCGAGGAGCCCCGACTCGGCGATCAGCTCGGGTTTGATCTCGGTCTTGGCACCGATCGTGATGGTGGCAATAATGATGAGACCGACGATCATGGCTCCTTGGACATTGTCCGTGAGGAAGGAGATCTGGAAGCCTCCGAGTGCTGGATCAGGCACCTGTCAGTATTTGAGAGCTTCGATGGCCGCTTCGCAATCAACTCACAGGTATATACGGTTGTGATCACACATTCCACAATCACCACGGGCAGGCCGTCCAGGCCAGTAAGGGCCGTCACGACCTGGCCGATGGCCGACAGCTCAGCCACCATGTACAAGAAGAGCGTCAGGAGCGTCAAGGCACTCAGGTACAGAGAAGTGACCGCCCCGTATCGCTGTCTGGTCCACTCAGTAAGGACAAAGCCCTCGGGACACTTCTTGCGGATGATGGGGCCGAGGGCGGCGAAAATCAGCAACGGCAGAGCCGAGGAGAGCGCATAGACAAGCACTCCCTGGAGACCAGCAAGTGTGGCCAGTTGGGGGTATGAGAACAGGATACCCGATCCCATGGCTGGAAAGTTTGAATATTCATGTCAGTATGACTGCACACAAGGGGGGAAGGGGTTTGATCGGAGCGGCAGCACGTTTCCCACGCAAGCATTAACTTGATCGAGTAATTACGGTACAATCTCAGCTTCATTTCCACAAGCCCTTGCCCGATCTCCCCGTAGACGGGGTGGGATCGTAGGACAAGGCTGCTTCAAATCGGCGCCCGTAGTGAGCCGCAGTCCCGCCCCTCCCCCGAGTTTGGCACAAAATGTAGTGAGCTACATCGGGGGAGAGACGACACTTCGTTGATCTTGGGTACGAACCTAGGTGTCAGTTGCGAACTCATACTCTAATCTCATACCACGCTGCTCACTGTCCTGAGCTCGTATCCGGAGGACAAGACAGGCAGACGCTTTCCTCGTCGAAAGTTGAATCGTTTCTCGCAAGATAGTGCTACCGCTCGGGATCTCGAAAAGAGACATGCTTTCAGGTAAGCACAATGGCCGTCGGAAACTCACCAGCGGCGATGAAGTTCAGGGCCAGCGGGAAAGCTATATCAACAAATCAGTAAATATCCCGCCAGTGGAGGTTGTGGAACCATGATTGGATGTATGGTAGCTCGGGCAAGAAAGATTGCCCGAGCTTCCCTGGTTCCGCTGTGTGCTTTCTGACCCGACTGTGTTCTGTTTCCAGCAAGGAAGTCGGCCTTGGGCTGATTCCTCATTCTCCAAGCGAGCGCTGTTCCCAGGATTCTGTAAAGCGTTAGATGAGCGGCTAGAGACTATATCTCGGCAAGCCCAGTGTCAGAGGGGACGTACAGGAACGCGCCATAAGTGACGTAGATGATGGCATTAGATGCCTCAAAGGATGGTTGGCCCATGTTTGCGGTGTTCCCCAGCTGCAAGGCAGGGTTTGCGGCGTTATGATTGTATCCTTGGACTAAATATGTTTGTCGCTGCGGGCTTTTGGCGTGGAAAGGAAGTTTTTGAGAAACATAAAATTTTCCTACAACTATTTGGCGACTAGATGGCGCGTTTATATTGGAACTAGCTAACTACGCCGATAGCGCGGGGAACTGGTGATACCCATGTCCTCGGGGCGCTACTCCGTTCGTGCAAGTAAGTGTGGGGACCTCCATCTCTCAGTCCAGACTTCGTAGAAACTTCGGAGACGAGATGCGCTGGGCGCACCAGAATACCTTATCTGCCATTCGTGTCAGTCTTCCAAATAGTAAATACTAATAATGGGAATGGGCTTGAGGCTAGTAAAAATTTCTACCCCCCATACAAATGACAAGGAGCGGGAAGGGCTGGTTAGGTGAAGTGTAGAATAACCTGGCGTGGGTGGTTTCGATATAATCTTGAGGATAGGAATGCTTTTCAGACACGAACCAACAAGCAACATGCTCGTTTCGATTCAATGGACTTTGAAAGATAATTTTCAAGAAGCTATCGATACTGGAGTGTTGCTATGCTTTGCTGTGATACATCTAAAGACGTTCTCAGAGGGGTATCTCCTAGGGAAGTAATTGGATTCGTGAGATCAGGTCGCTATGGTCGACCAATGAATAATCATAAGACTTGCTTCGACCCTTGCAAAAACCTTATTGTAGTTAGTAATTGTTGAAAAACTCACATCGTTTGATTTGAGGAGAATGTATCAGGTTGTGCAAAGTCTGGCAAGCGTCAACCGCTGCGGAAGCAGCATCTGGCTACTGGAGTAGTGTTCCGCCCATTATGTTATCTCAAGGAGTACACAGTCTTGCATTCAGCTCCATGCCGACTGACATTGCGTCCTCGACGTGCCATTCCGACGACCTCCTCAAGAACAGCCTTCAAGTTCAGTATTACGTACGCTGCAAGGACCTGGCCGCGGACCTGCATGGTTATTGCAAACCGGGCCACTGCAGTCGATATGCTTGACCCAGCCTCACCTGCAGTCAAGTGTAAATTCTCATTACTTTTTCCTTGTTACACAAACAGCACCCCGTCACCCCGCTTCGAACATGATATCTATGCAGCTACGTTCCCGACGCCAATCCAAAAGCCTCCTCATCTCGTAAGACTGGCGCAGAGCGTGGCTATCCAAGCTGCGGGGATCCACGGTAGCAACATTTCGCGGCCTGGATGGTACTTGACTCAAAATGCGCAATGGAAGACGAGTATATATACGCTCGAGGATCATAGCTGGCTTGAAAAAGCTGGTCCTTATGATTCCACGCAGAAACCGAAAACGCGGAAGGGACAGCGTCTCGACCGCGGCCTCGACCACCCCCCCGAGAGAGAATGACATAGAAACCAAACAAATAGGACGAGAAGACTCGCCGCCAACGGCACCATCCTCCTACACAAATACAATCTCCCAGGATTTCAACCACATCTTGACCCAAACCCCTCAGCGTTTCGAGCCGACCATACTGGCACGCAGAAACCGAAAACACGGAAGGGACAGCGTCTCGACCGCGGCCTCAACCACCGCCCCGAGAGAGAATAATATGGAAGCCAAACAAATAGGACGAAAAGACTCGCCGCCAACGGCACCATCCTCCTACACAAATACAATCTCCCAGGATTTCAACCACAATTTAACCCAAACCCCTCAGCGTTTCGAGCCGACCATACTAGAGCACCCGGTGTGTAACTCTTCACCGTGGCTTTACAAGCAATCAAACTGATACAACACTGTAGACAAACTCCTACTCTGACTCCGACAATACAGACGACCTTTTCTTTGAAAGCAAATTGTGGGATCGGCCAGATATGTGCAAATTGGAAGATCTTGATCACGGTTTGTAGCCTACTCTCATGACCAGTTACCATAATTTACTAATAACCATAATGATAAGGCGAGTTGGTAGTGGACGAAGATGAATTCCATTCTATCTCATATACTACCGCCAGGCATCCAGGACTCGATGTCTTGCGACTGACTGAGCGACTAGCTGGTGGTGGTTCTCGTGACCCTAGCATGCCTTTCGTGCAGGTGAGGTCATGGCGAGACAGCCTACCTCCTGAGATGCGTCTACCCATTGCGCAACGCAAAGCAGCGTCGCACACCGCAGATTCTGAACCGGTACTGCGTTATCCACAACCACCAACAGTGTCATCGAAGACACCGACTGCTCCGCCCATACTTGAATTTGACTAAAAGATCAAGTCGTAAACGAGGCACTTCACTTGGTCCAGGGCGGTTACGAGACACATAGCAGCTACGGACGCAACATAACACCTATGAGTCAGGGGATGGGCTATCCGGCCGTGCTCCCTGTTTATTTGTAGATATCCAAGCAGGATTCATCTTTCTATGATCTGTATAGCCGGAAGCAACGGCCAGAATGACGTTTTTCATCGTTGTCTTATAAGCTGTTCACGACAAGCGTTATTCTGGTACTCGTCTAGATGGTTTATTCAACCAGACAACAAGGTCGTTACATTAACATGGGCTGAAAGCACTTCCTACACCTCACAATATTGTAACATGCATCAAGCGAAATGGGAATAAGATTCCGAAAATGGAAAGAAAAGTCTCTCTGATGTTACATACAAGGTGGTGGATATTCATTGCTCATAGCAAGACTTAGTTTAGTCATCTGCCACTGGCTCATTCCTGGTTTTTCACACCGACCGACTCTTAAAAAAAGACAGTGATCCAGTCTGTCCAAAGATACACCCCAAGAATGGCAATTTCCATCTACCTATGACTGCGCTTCTGTCGAAATAGGGGGTTGAGTATGCTGGCAGCCTGGGAGCCACTACCGGGTCCAGTGGCCTATGGAATATTCGACAGAATCCTGGCATCCATGTTGAATGCAAAGGTGACAGTGTCCTTTTGAACGAACTGGGGCAAGCCTTGGTCAATTGAGTTCCTGCCCCTGGAGACTTTGTGGCTCCTTTGCGTCGTCCATAGCGATGGCAAGATGAAACTATTAAAATGCCGTAGGGCCACATACCGATGTGATCACCCTGGCCGAATTTTGAGAATGAAAATGGATCTGAAATCCGAAGGAAAATCGTCATGCCTGCGTCCATTGACGTTGAGCCTCCAATTTTGACTGCCGGGGAGAATACATGGAACATGGGGAAAAAAAAACAATCGGGGTATGCTGCGTAGACTAGAAACAACGACCAAGAAAATCGCTAGGCATGCGGTGTGGTGGTGTACGTCCAGCCGGGGAGCGGCTGAAACGGTATGTTGCAATCACAGGAACAGTCAGAACTCCTCCAGGCGTCTCTAACGGCGTCGACCTGTCGGCTCCCGGTGCTTGAGACGGCTGGTTCTCCAGCCTTCGTACCACTGTTCTCTGCTTGCTTCGCGGAGGTCACCGCGCCACTCGCTGAAGACCGCGTCCTTAAGCCTAGTAAAGTCGCAGTGCGTTTCGTCGAGAGGGTTGGCGAAGCCCCAAGGGAACTGGCGGCCGATGATTTCGGGCTCATACAGGTCAGGGCTGATGATCGACATGGGAAGCAAGGGAAGCTCGTCACCGTCCTCCTCCCCTGGCTGCTTGACTCGTCGGGCCGAGTTGGTCGAACGTCTCTTGGACTGAGGTGAACTCTGTCCCTGGATTGGCAAGTTGTCACCATCGGCACTATCTTCAGCCGCATCCTCATCGCCCTGATCCGAGGCATCCTCATCGTCCTCGTCGATTCTGGAATCGTCGTCTTCGTCTAGGCCAAGCGGCTCAAGAGGATCAAAATTGGCCTTCTTCAACGTAGCCCATACGGTCTTCTTCAACGCAGTCATGTGCTTGGTGGTAATAGTGTCTGCTTTGGAGATGACAGGGATCACGGTGGTTTTCCCCTGGAGCGTACGCATGACCTGTAAGTCGAGGTCATCATCCAGACCCCCAATGAAGTGTGGCGTGCTTTGGTGCTTCCCGTTGTAGCTAGTCGTAGCGGCTCGCTTTGCAGCAGCGATGTTGCGGTCCAGACGCGCTGGATCAAGAATGAGGAGTACTGCATGGATGTGCGTGTCCTGAACACCCGGTGATCTTATCACTTTCATCTCTTCGGCAAATGTCTCCTCAAACTTGCTCTCCAGGAAAGCCGACATCTCCCTCAGCTGGAGATCAACGACGTTCTTCTCAAGACCTTCGGAGTCCCACAGAGTCAGGCCGACGCGCTCGCCGTCGATCTCGCTTTCTAGGTAGTGAGGAATGAAGTTTCCAGAAGGCTTCATGGTAACCTCCTCGCCGATCTCGTTTGCCCGCTGGGAGCGCTTTTTCTCGGGGAGTGCCAGAGCCTTTTTCAGAAACTCGAGGAAAGATGTCTTTCCAGAGCCGCTGGTGCCCATGATCAAGATGCTAATTGATAACTTGTCAGTACCCGAACCAACCACGATACAAAGCCCGACGCAAATCTACGAAACGAGAGGAATACGGGAACGTACTTGAAGGGGGTGGGGTCCTTGCGTCTGCGGACTCTCCTGGGACTGTTGATGGTGCTGATTGCACTGCTGGCATAACTGTATCGGCCACGATGGGTCATGCTCTCGGTGCGGGCGTAGGGGTCGGCCCACGCACCGTTGGGAATGGGCGGCATCGGAGGATTGGAGGAGACCGAGGGATGGCCCGGGTCCATAGACTGTCTGGAAGCAGATGGAGGGTTCGGGGGTTGGTATTGCTGGTGGTGTGCCTGGCCGGATACTATTGCGAGAGAATCTGGGCGGACGTCTCCTCCGAAAGACTGGAGCTCGGGAGGCTGCGCACCATTGTAGAGGGCGGGCAGGCGTGGAGGAGATTTGGGAACTGCTTCCCGCTGGCGTTGGAGTTCTTGTTCTCTCTGCTTCCTTCCCCCCTTGCCAAGATCGCCGGATTTGCGTCGAAGTAACATCCCGAAGCTGGAGCGACGCGTGGGTTCTTGACTCATATTATAATAGTCGATTAGGCGTAAATTGATTGTTTCAGCCAGCAGTTACGCACGGTACTGTCTGACTGGCGCTTGCGACTGCTGCAACCCAAATTTTGGAGAACAGAGACACGGCTCGAAAGAGGTGGTGGTGGGGGGTAAAGGTCCTTCGGTGGCCGATGACGACAGAGGACTGACTTGGTCGCAGACGGGGCTTGACTCTTGCCCTGAATCCTGATGATCCGGCCGACAATGCGCAAGCTTTAGAACAGGTGCGGGAGCAGCAGGTGCGAACGGATCGTCCGATGCGCTTCTGGGGATCCTCGTTTGCCGAGACCCTGGAAAGGGGAGCCAAGGGTGAGAATTCGCGGAAGGTCTGATATGCGGTCCCAACTGCGAGCATGCGCAACTGTCGATTGCCGATGCGTAGCTCAAGGTCGGTCCTTGCGCTTTCGAAGTAAACTACGTCTGGGTGACGGAGAAGGGTAGCAAGCTATCCGGTCTTGCTTTCAACGTGTGGGGAGAACAAAGGGTCGCAGACAACCGAGAAGTGACTGTCTGTCGAAGAGCGCGAATCTAGATGACACAAAGACACTCAGAGTCAGCCTCCTGCAACGTGCAAGCGTTCACTTCCGCAACAGCAACAGCAACAGAATGTCTAAGCGGCGGCCATCCGCACCGACAGATCAGTGCTGGCGGCCTCAATGGTGATGAAGGCTGGAGTTGTAGTCTCCTGGGCCTCGTTACAAGAACGAGAGTTTCCTGCGCGCACAGGAGGGAAGGGACTTCTGCAAGAAGACTCCAACGGGAACAGTGGCTGCAGCAGACGCAGTGCCGGCACAGCGCCAAGGGGACTCTCAGGGACTCTCAGGGACTCTCCTCTCCAACCGGTGCGCTCTTGAACCGCTCCTGGTTGGGGGCTTCCTCCAGACCCGGAGCACGTAGCGAAAGCTGGAGGCGCCGGCTGCCACTGGACCAATGGGCTTCTCTAGCAGGCTGCGGCTAACGCGATCGTTGCGCGTAGCTCCCTCCTTTCTTTCTGTCAAGTTGGCCCTGGAAGGCCGCTACCCGAGATGCAGAATTCCCCTAGACGACTAGATCTATCGCTAGATGTGACTGAGCACCCGGGTATATGCCAGTTGTGCTAGCTTCACAGAACCGACACGAAGACCGGCGCCAGGTAGGAGGCTAGGGTCCAGATAGTGAAATGCAGAGTACGTACCGGAACTTCAGCGAAAGGATCGACTCTAATATAACCCGGCCTCGGGGTCGGTCTGGGTCTGGCGTCGCGGATTGAGCGGCTCGTTTATTCGTTTGCGACTGCGCAGTGTGTCTCAGAGAGATCTCTCTTGGGGGAAGAATGGGAGACGGGTGAGAGCTGCTGCAGGCGATATGCAGATTTCAGTCGCCTGAGAGACGCGGCGTGTTGCCCAATGAGACGTAAGCCCGGGGGGTCGGTTTGATTGCGAAGGAGATGGAGTCGAAGGCTCGACTGGAGGGAAAACACGAATAGAGAAGGATCAAAGGATTGGGATATGCCTTATGCCTCCAGTGCGGGCAACTTGGACATTCCTTCAAAGTAGAAAAAGGCACCACAGGTGGTTGTGAGGGTGAACCAAGAGAGGGACGACAGACTGGCGGCTTGACGTGCCCTCCAAGTTTCTTCTGATGGGCAATCGGCATTCGCAACACACAACCAACCAACCAGGCCCGAAAAGGGGACGCACTCCCAACCTGGTCTGGTCACTTGGCGCTCATCCGAGCTGAGAGTGGGAAGGTCGCATGCATTCAATTGGTGCAGAAGACTGAAATCTCCCGACGAACCACGGCCAGGGTCTCACGCAGGTACAGAGTCCCAGAGGAAAATGTGTGCCGCAGACCAGCATCGCCTGGAGATATGCTAACCTTACCAGTTGACTCGCCCGCTGACTGGCGTTCGGTCTCTCCATGATGCAATTCCTAGCCTGCGCAATGTACTCTTCCAGCGCCGGCCTCACAGATCATCTTCCAACGGTGCCGCCTCAGCTGCAGAGCCTGGACGTTCCAACAGGCTACAAACTGGTATGCATGTAGAGTGTACGGAAGCGCATGCAGCCGATCCCCACGCAGAGCTGATCAGTCCCACGTGTGAAAAGCGGCCTTGATGTGGGACAGAAACGATAAAGTGGCTGCCATGCCCCATGCTAACGTCGACCCGCGCAAGCTGCGATACTCCGATCAGATCAAATAGTATACTCGCCATAATCTAGTCACTATCGCAGCCTCTTGTCCAGTCTCACACACCGCTGCAAGTGGTCCCCTATTTGTACTGCTTCATGCCATGCATTTTTGGGACGTCCTGCATCCTGCTGCAGCTGCAAGAGACAACCATCATCCCCTTTTTAATTGCAGTCAAGGTGGAATCCACCCGGACCCTGGATAGCCACATCCGAACGCGGCCAATCAACGTCAGGGTCACCCAACGCGCTGCAGACACAGGGGCTCCAGTCCCGGGACCGTTGCCAGACCTTGCTTCCATGCCATGTAACAGCAAACCCTAAGTTTCGCGCTTCGTCCGTACTCATGGGCAGATCTTGGTGACACAAAGACCATCCAATCTTGGAAGTTTCCGACGAGCTGGTGGGCTGCCAACCAGAAATAGATGAGCCTGCTCCCTTGCTCCCCTTCTGCTCGCGGTTATTGAGAGCCCTGGAGGCAGATCACGCTGCCCTCGCATCCCTCAAAGAATCCTTACGGAGATGCTAGGCTTGAATTAGTCTTCAAAACAAAATGCTTCCTTGAATGCTTGAAACATATATCAGATCAAGGCTTGTTAATAAGCAAGACGTGGACCGGCTGTCCGCGACAGGGAATGGCCCACGGGGAACCCAGAGCCGCACTGTTTCAAGTGAGATTGCTCGCATATGCGCCCAGCATTCTTCTCCAGGGCATGTGCAGCATTCAGCCTTGCTTATACAGCCCGGTAACTGAACGGTGAACTCCCGCTCTGGATGTAGGGCGTTGTTCGAAATCTTTCAGTAACTGACGCAAATGGTAATTTTTGAGATTATGCTGAGTGGTATCTCTCTAATGGTGGGGATATCTCCAGGTGTCGTCTACACGACCACCGCACAAACACTGCGCTCTATGCGGGATCATTACCTATTCTGACTGAATCGTGATCCGTCTACTCTAACCCTCAAAGATCTCATGTTGAAGCTCTACGCCAAAGTCTTTCGCCATAGCTCGCATCCTCGCTTCGACCTCGTCTTCCATGCCTCCTCCCAGACCGAGCCACTGTCTGAGCTTGAATGTGTAGAATGCAACATCCGACGCCAGCAGTACCGTCTTGAACAGGAGGTGCCGCCAGAGGTATGCTACACGCTCCGTCAATGGTAGGTTCGGGTCCTGGAACAGGCTGCGACTCGCCCAATTGCCCATTATCTTGATACGGTTGACCGGCGAGCCCATGAACTGGTTGTTGCCTTGAACAATGCGCATGTTGCGTCCTATAAAGACGAGTTCCTTCGGCCATTTGTCCTCGTCGGCAAGGACATCGCGAATTCCCTGCTTCATGCGCTGCTGCGCCTCGAAGCTGCGCTCAGCCTGCGTCTTGCCCTCCATCTCCCGGAGAATTTCGCTCTTGGTGCGGCCGTCGCCTCCCTCATAGGGGCGCATCAGTGTTGCGCTGGCAAAGATATCAGGCGCCTTGATGCCCCACTCCTCCGAGATCTCACCGATCGTCTTATTATCGAATGTCATGAGCGACTTCCAGAACAGACTGTACTGATGTCGGAACTTGGGCGTCATATAGACATAGAGACCGTGGTCGATGAGGACAACTTCTGCTTTGCCCGAGGGCAAACGGCGAATGAAGATGTTGCCAGGGTGGGGATCGCAGTGTACAATGCCCCATTTGAAGATCTGAGCCGAGAAGAGGTCGACGATGGTTGTCATGACCTCCTTACTCGACAAGCCTAGGCCACCTTTCCCGTTGCGGCCCTTCCAAGTTTCGCGGTTAGGCTTCAACCTCTCCATCCTAGGATTCTCTCGCAGCTGTCTCCTGACCTCGCTCATGTCGGGCTGACTGAGTTTCGCGCCATGTACACCAGGTGAGCCGGCGCCATATCCTCCTATCCAGCGCCCTGTCGTTGCGGACTTGTCCCACAGCCGCACGCCTTCGATCCACTCTGTGACCAAGATCCGCTTCGTTGTGAATTCAGGGTATATAGTCGGAATGTACACTCGTCCCTTTAAGCTCGGCTCGGAGTTGACTAGCTTCCTCATCGTCTCCGAGTTATGCGCTTCAGACTCAAAGTCTGTTTCAAGAAACAAACGCTCTGTGATGAAAGGCACTATAGAATACAACGGCAGATCAAACCAGTACGTGTAGACCTTCATGACCACCCTGAAGCGTACGTTAGCGCAAAATTTTGGCCCATTACAGTGCTTTAACTCACTTGAAAGCCCACAGATCCCACCCGACCTGCTTGGCAATCTCGGGCTTTTGGATCTTGATGGCCACCTCTCTGCCGTCCGGCAGCCTCGCCCAGTGAACCTGAGCCACGCTTGCGCTCGCCCTTGCCGTCCGTTCCATGAGCCCTTTGCCCTCCTCGCCAGAAAAACTGACACCGAAGACCTCCTCGGGGCTCTTGCCGCCGAAATCCTGCCTTATGACCTTCTCGATGTCCTTCCACTCATCCTGTGGCGCATCGTCGAACATTCTTGCAAACATCTTCTGGAACTCGGGCGGCAAGACAGCGCTCTGCATAGCGATGGCTTGGCCGATCTTGAGATACAGACCGCCGTTCGAACGGAGGATATCGAAGAGACGCTCGGCGCTGCGTCGGTGGAGATCGCCCACGGTGCCACCTAGTAGCGGCTTTTCTCGGAAGTTCAACTTGTAGTCCACCGCGACGTAGAGGCCGTTACCGAAGGTGCGCAGAGAGCGCCCGACCCCGGACGCGAAGACCTGCCGGTCGACCAGGTAAAGCGTGCCGCCCACGACCGAGAGGACAAGAATGCGCCGAATCCATTTGCGGCTGCGCTTGAAGTCGCGGGCCGCCTTGGGCTGGCCCAGGGAGTCTGGAGACGGTGGTCGGAGTGGTTGAAACTGGCTTGATGTCTGGACGAGACGGCGCTGGGTCCGTGACGGCGGTGACGGTGTCGCGTGCGAGGGGATCGGCGCATCACGAGACAGTTTGCGCCATGCTGACGATGGGCGCTGTAGCGAGCTCCTGCAGAGGCCGGCTACGCGAGGACGAAACATGGCCACCCGCTTGGCGTGAGAACAAGCGAAAATCAATCGCGAGGAGAAGACAAAAACTCTACCCTCATTATGGCTCGTAGAAGGGAGCAGAATGAACTGAGGCTGCGGAAAGAAAAAAAGCCTGGTCGATGACGATGTCATGTACGTGTGGATAAGAGACGCTAGCTATCGCCGACAGACACCGGGGCCCCCGGACTCGGCGTGGCTTTGGGCCGATCTCATTCTTCTATGAATTGCCGATGTCTCCGAGTCCGAACGGGATATATCCATCAGCCGCTACTCAATGCTACTGGCTTGCTGTTGAGCTCATTGTCCATTGTATAAGTGCCCTTGCTCCTGGTTTTGATTGGCCATTCAAGAGTGCTTGGGTGCAATATCAGTCTTGACGTTATGGCAATGGTTTCTGCTGGGCTACTGGTGTAGGTAGACTTGAAAGCAATACATGGAGTCCACCGGTACCTATGCGATGCACGTGACCATCTTGGTTCTCGCATTTTGTTTTGGGACTTGAAGTTGTTTCTTGGTAGGAGAGAGAAGTTCTCTTCTGCGTTACATCCTTGTAGCTTTGGCCAGTTGCTGGTCCGTAGCACTGGGTACTGTTAATGACCAGGCTCCAAAGACCGAGAAGGCCCAGTCGTCTGATACTCAATAGGCCAGGTTCTGGAACTCGCAGTCGCAGATCATGCTTAATATATCATTGCCCCTCTGGTTGCTGGCAAAACTTGAGACAAACCGCTATATTATTACTGACAATGTAATAGTACTCGAGATTAAATACTTGATACATCGGGGTCATGTTAGCTGTTACTTACTGGCTTCTACGATTGCCAGACCAATACAGCGTGCCAGCTGGTGAAGGCGCTTCGAAGACCTCATGAGACGACATGACATCAGAATTAATTGCTTCTTCTGTCGCGGTCTTGTGATGGTCTGATGCAGATATGAGTTCTGCCCGGGCATCGAATGCTCATTCGTCATAAAACCGAGGCGCAGAGTTTCAGTTTTACTCATGATCGCCGGGCGGCGCTAATCACAGATCGTATGCCGCTCCCGCTTTCGACTACTTGATGACGACGATACCTTCTTGAACGCCTAGTCCGTCGAACCATCAGACGAGGGGATACGGTTGTGTGCTTTGGACAAGTTGAGGTCAAGTTCAAAACGACCTAGCATCAGTCCAAGTGGATTGGTCGATTATTAGCTCCACAATACTCACTTCTGGAGGACTGCAACGGATCTCAAAAAGGGACGGTGTTGACCCAGCTCCCAAACCATGTAGTCCGTGACGAGTTTGTCATATTGTTCGAAACCTACGGGCCGAGTCAATGCGGGATAAGTTAATGAACACGTTGTGACTGCTGTGATACATAGATGCTGGCTAGCCAAGGCTTGTCACCAAACTTCCACAGAGCGCTCTGGCGCAGCATCCTGAAATCATCACCCAGGCTTGAGACAAAAGCACAAAACAAGCAGCCAGTAGTGAACGCGATGCAATTCTTTTTTAATGTGAGATGGATGTAAAACCAAACTGCATGTGGAAGCGCCTCAACTTTCGGCCACTCTGGGAAATAATCCAGGTGCGCAATACTGGGCACCCTTGTCTGCCGTGTGCAATGATAAGCAGCGGACTGGTCCACCTTAGTCTCAATCTCAAACGCACTCTGATTTGGCTTGTTATAAAACATGTGAGGTCACAGGACATTTGCACAGCCATACTCTCCAAGACGTTGTCAGTCAGCAAAACAGCATCGAAGTTCAAATGTCACATCAGTTGGGCAGGGAATTGACAAACACACGTCTGACCTGGCACTGGTAAGCGGCCCCCTTTGCTTGTATGTAGGTATATGGCGCAGAGGGGCCAGTGACTCCAGCCAATGCAGGCGTGAGATTGGATAGATGGAAGACGCATGAAATCAGTTAGTGAGCCGAGGGGAGCCAGCATCTTGATTGGCGGGTTCGTGGATCTTTGATGAACTACACCACATCCGACTTGCGTCCCGTTCTCGATTCTGCAGCCGCACTTGGACCTACTGTATTGAGTGTGTGGAGGATTACTAGCCCACCGCCTTTGAAGACAGCTTCTTGTGCCACAATTGCAGTCCGCCGGACAGGAGGGTTGCATATTGCCAGAGCCCTAACAAGAACAAGCCGAGCTGGGGGAGGCGGAGGGATAGGGGACTCGGGCATCTGATAGAGGGATGTCGGTGCTTTAAATTACCTCCGCATGTTTGTCACGGACGGATGACCCCGACGGTCGTAATGGTGGCTTGCGCTATAGGAAATGTTGGAGTTGAGTGAAGGCAATGGGCCACTTACAGCACGATAGGTATCCGACCTGCCGTGACGCAATACAAAAAAGGTTGGGGGCTCTTGTCTGTATTACGCGACGACGAGCAGACTATAAGACGACCGTGAGCGCACTAGGCGTGTCCGGAGACGGTAGTCCGGGTGGATGCGAAGAGTTGGGTGAGTACTAGGAATGCCCGATCTTGTGCTCAACTGCATAGGTAGAGGCTGTACTGAACAGCTAAGCACTGTTTGAAGTCTGATTGAGGGTTGCTTTGCTCAAGACACGAGCTCAGCGATAAAGGGAAATGTTACTTTCATCTTTATCAAGACCGTTGGTGCACTGGCGCAAGGTTGGGTGACGGAGAGTGGCTGCCGTGTAACTGGGTGTGATGCAGCAGCCGGTCGTCTGTCAGCCACATGACTTAGGTAGACGAAAACCAGTTTAAAGGAGAGCGCCTGCAGCATCCTTGACGCCGCAACTTGGGAGCCAGCCAATCTCGTCGGGTGTGCCTATGTAGGAAGCATGTACAAGTTACAGTAGTAACAGTAGTCTGCACTTAACAGCGCACAACAAGCTCCTCCTAGGTTGAGCGAGTCACGATGATTCTCAGCATGCGCGATCCCCAAGTGCAGTCAGGACTCGCTAGCACAGCGGGCAGACGAACCTGTAGCAGCGGTACAAATTAGCTGTGTTCCAAGGTTCTTAGTCGGTGGTTGCGCTGTCGTAGGCTGGTGGGCTGTGCAATGCTGGGACGCGTAGCGCCTGTCGAAGCTCAGGTCGCGGTGCATGGTGGTGCGAGTTACGAAGGTTACGATGGTACCATAGTACAAGCTGGCTGGCTGAGGTCCTGTCCTGGACGGCGGCTTCTCGCAGGCAAAGCAGGGCTCCTTGGGAACCCCTTCCCCCAATCCCTATCAGTGGGCCCCGTTGGAATTGGCAATGCTTGAAACCCACCCCGACGGCAGGGAAGGCCGCAACGCTTGCAACGCATTTGCATCCGCTGGGATTAGAAACTGTGGGGCTCTGGCCAGGCCCTGCGCTGCGGGCTCCACCACCCAGACGGTCGCCCGTCTCCCAAGGTCCGCCGTCGCCCAAGGTCCCCCAGGCCCCAGGTCCTCGAGCTGGTGCTGCTGCAGGTCATGGGCAGGTCGACGCTTCGACGCTTCGACACTCAGGTGTCCGTCTGTCTGGCTGTCTGTCTCCAGGTCTATCTGGCTGGCCCTCGCTATCCACCCGCTTGCCCGCTTACGTTCTATTCCAACCATCCAACCATCCACCATCCGTCCTCTGCTTGGGGTGTGACTGCGCATCCGGCGATTTCTCCTCCCTTCTCCTTCTTCTCACCTTGGAGTAGTCGCCGCCGCCCTTGGACAAGTTCTGGCACTGCCACCAGCCAAACGTCACGAGCGCGCCACCCCATACACCATCGATCGATTGATTTCGCATCGCACCTCGCTCGTTACCTACTCTCGACACACATACACACAGACACAGGCCCTCACCACCACCAACCCGCTCCATTCCAAGATACGCGAGCCGCGACTGTTCTGGACGTGCAGGATCACACCAACTTTTCTCTCCCGCAGAGCGTAGCCGGCCGGTTGCATCTGATATCCGCTCCGATTATTTGGCCCTGAAGGCGAAGGAGCAGAAGGCATTGACGAAATCAACACTTGGCTTTGGAAGGCGGTTCGACATCAATTTGACCGACGATCCAACTGGTTATCATATTGCCTCATATGCCGCGACTGCCAGAAGACGATCGCCTCGCTCACTTTCTTTGTCTCAAAACTCATTATTGAGACAAAACTGGCCCCCGAACGCTTTATTCTTCGACTTCTAAAGTGCTGTCTCATCCGCCCCGCGACGCGACTCTATTGAGTCGGCGCGCACTTGATTGTCGCCATCATGTTGCGCCCGGCGACCCCCCTGGCGATATTGCTGTTCGCAGCCTTCGCCTTGCTTCTGCTCTCCGTGCTATCTACGCCCATCATCAAGGCCATACCCCTGGGCTCTTTCGAGGGTGTCACCTTTGGTGTTTTTGGTCTATGCCGACGTAACGGAGAATGCTCTCCGATAGAGATAGGCTACGATACGAGTAGGTTCATTAACTGCCATTGGCACCCGTTCTACCGTGCACTATCTGCTCACATTTCGATTATAGGCGATGTCTTGTCCAGCTCATTTGACCTGCCCGCCGCGGCACGGACTACTCTGTCAGCCATCTTGGTTATCCACCCGGTAGCATGTCTGTTCACCTTGATTATGCTGGTCATGGCGATTGCTGCCCATTTCCATGGACCTTCGCATTCCTCACGGTATCTGCTGGTTCTTTTCATTTTCGGCATACTCACCTTCATAGTCTGCCTCCTCTCCTTCTTGATTGATGTTCTACTCTTCGTACCTCACATGGCCTGGGGATCGTACATTGTCTGTGCCGCCACCATCCTCGTTGCCTTGAGTGGTCTGGTCTCGTGCGCAATGCGACGTACCGTCGTCAGCAGGAAGGCGAGGAAGAAGCGGATCGCCGAGAACGCCGAGATGAGCGGTGAAAACTACTTCAACCGCAACGCTGTTCAAGATGTCAACGTTGCTTCCTCCACTACCATGCAGCCTACGGTGCCTATCGTTAGCGGAGGCAGTGGGCCCGCTGACAACAAACTCCCCAGCTTTGCCACCTATGAGAAACAGGAAGACCGCAGCAGCGATGAGCGGGTGCCCCTAACTGCCGTGAGCCCTTCGCAGAGGTCCGCCAACGCCGACATGAGTTCTGCCGAGGCCACATATGTCAACCGGAACAACTCAGCCCACTCGTTGCCGAGGGACCAGTATGGAAACCCTATCCAGCCACCACAAGACGCGTACGGCGTCCGCCGGGGGCCTTCGACAGAGCGCATGAACTCTCGAGGGAGGGGAGGTCTACCGCCCGGTGGTTACCGCGGACGCGGAGGATACGGGCGAGGAGGTTACGGTTCGGATTACGGCCCCCCTGTCAATGGGAGAGGTGGGTACGGCGCCCCGGGCCGAGGCGGATATGGTCCTCCTCCAAATAGAGGAAGAGGAGGCTACGGCCCTCCGAGGGGTGCGTATGGCCAAGCTGGAATGAGAGGTGGTCGGCCACCGCCCCCCGGCTATGGCAACAATGGCTATGACCGCCGGCCCCCGCCGCCGGACATGCAAGGAAACTACGGCCCCCCCAGAAATGGGTCTCCCGCTCCAGCGGTGCCGTATGGCGCGAACCCCTCGATGCCTGGCATGGCAACTGGAGCAGCGGCCACTGGTGGTTATGAGGCGTACAACCCTGACCGTGTCAGTGACCTACCGAGAGCTGAATCTCCTCCACCGTTATCCGCCACTGATGTTATACAACCAGCAGCAGTGGGACAGGCTGTAGAGATGAATGCCGCAACTGGCAGCCCGGCTCACCCGCCTCAAGGCTTCGGCCAATTCCCCAATCAGCAGCTGAGGGACAGTGATGCTGATGTGGCAGGAATGCTCGCCCTGCAACAAGCCAGAGTGGGCTCACCTCGACGCCATGATACTTATATGAGCGAGGCGAGCAAGTATAGTCAGGACGAGTAAGTGTGTTCCTGGAGGAGAGCAGAGGAGCAATCAAGCTAATCAAATATCAGAAGCTCGTATGTTCCACCCCGGCAAGCATGGAATCAAGGACCTGGCCGCAACTCGCCAAGGATGCCATCACCGTTACAGCTTCCGTCTCGCGGCGCTGAAGCCTCATCAAGCACACCGTCGCCACAACCAGCTCCTGCCCCCACCGGCAACTACTACGAAGATGTCGATCCCCGATTCACCGAGTCAGCCACGCGGCTTCCACTACCAGGTGTAGATCCTGCAAATTTTGAGGAACCCCATCAAGCAGGAGCTAGGAGCCCTGCCGTCTCAGAGAAATCAACTTTCACCTCGGTGTCACAGAGGCCCGTAAATCCTCGATGGAACCCGCCGGGGGGCCCGGTCCCTCGGAGGCCAGTTAACCGGAATGAAGTGAATGTTCTTAATAGCAACCCCGACTTTCAGTTACCGACCGGCCGCAACGGAAACAGTCCACCAGGCAGAGGCCCAGGGCCCTATCCCGGCGTGTAGAGAGTCTTTGCTTTTTCTTTGGCGCATTTGACACTTCTCCATCTCTGTGGTCCATACCAGTTCCATTGCGACCTTATTATTCTCTATTCTTGATATAGACAGAGGGAGGTAGGACATCTCCGGGCTCTGACCACTGTCATTGCACACGACGAAATCTTCCAGCATCCTTTCATTCTCCACACCAAATCTGTTCTCGACACTTTCCTTCACCTTTGACAACGACAAACCATTTCACCATTGATTTCGATACCCCCGTCACACGACTTCCTCATACCTTGACATATCCTGTCACCACACAACTATTCCCGATCATTCGATCTTCCTCGGGAACAGCATTTGTTTCTTAACGACTTTGAATATATTCTCAGGTACATCACGCCTGTGCAACCAGGGCTCGCTTGGCTTACTGGATGGCTTTTGCATAATGCATTGGCCAAGGAAGTGGTAAAGGGCCCGGCGTCTACTTGCTTCCTCTATTTTTGGACTTAATGAGTGGAAAAATTCGGCCCTCCCTTCGAGATGGGTAGAGGCGAAGGGACCTGGCTAGTCCACAGCCACTCGGCGTGCTGTACGTGTATATATGAATGGGGACTGGTACATATTTCCAGCAGCGGTGAGCCGGCGTGTGGATGGTAGCCTAGATGGACACAGGACAATGTCCTCAACACACAAAAAGAGTTCATCAAGTATTTTTCTGTCCGTCTGTTGGTTCCAATTCAATACATGCACACCGTGATCTTGGCGATGAAAGGCTTCCGGGCAGAGCGAAACCAACCGATCCATCACCTCTCAGAACGCAGCTCTCTACATTCTTTGGCCCCGATGAAACTTGCGCAAGCATGAGACACAAGGACTGACTCACCTCATCGACGTTCCGAAGCCGCCTAGCTTGCTGATCGCAAGATGGTTGTGTTTATACATACACAATCTTGGCTCCGACTTTTAGCCCTCTATTGCTCAAAAATCCCAAGACTGAGAACTGGGGATCTGTCTTCAGCACTTTCGCCCATAAAGGCAAGACCGGGGTAGTTGACGCGGCAATTTCTATCGAAAAGGCCGCCATCTGCCATATGACATTTCGAAGGCGCGCGTGGTTGCTCCCACCTCGCACCGTAACTTCTTTCACCCTTTCCTTGGCCATACATAGAAGGTAACCCCAAGTATGAGATGCCTCCAAGTATCACGGAAACGAAAAAGCCAGCATAGAGCAACAAAGAGATAGCCGCTGGAGCTGTGTACAGCTTGCCTACATGTGATCGAAAACGCTGACACAGGTGGCAGACCTGCGGCATACAACTGCGCAAGCAGCTGCTCAAGAGCCATGCTCAGCCATGCTTCTCGAACAGATGCGGCACAGAGTTGCCAACAGTGAAAAGCGATTGCGAATAAAACAAATGCGAGCCCAGCAGCTTAGTTAGCTGGACGCCATGTCCCCAGATGTCATTGGCCGATCCGTCTGTGGCGGCGTGTATGTGCGCTAGCTAGACGAATGCGAGCCGGAAGCTGGCACATATCTCTGGAAGAGAGATCTGCACGAACCGCTGGCCGGCCAGACTTCATGCCGCGCCCATTCCAATCCGAGGAAACTCTCACTGCGCATTCGCATTTCGGGTTTTTGCTGTGTTAGGTGTGTACGTATGACGACAATGATGCAAATGATGATCGCGCCGTCTGTGTATATAAATATATATGTAAATGAATGAAGATGAGTACACTGAGGCGTTGAGAAACTGTAAGAGTTCATTCTCATCACCCGCATAGTCAAGCAATAATCACTTTGCAGACGTTCAACATACAGCACCCAGAGCCTCCCAACGACTCTTGAATCCAAGTACCCTGAATCTGTTGGCGATTGCCCCCAGACCAGACAACAACAATAAAATGTGCTGCCGCAAGAAGCGCAACGCCGCTTATTACACCGCCCCGGCAGCGACTTATTCACCCACAGCGCTCCCGGGTCCGTATGGAACCGTCTGCGGTCAGTCTCCCCCCTCGCATCGCCGGGGCTGCCGCCGGGGCTGCAGACGTCGCCGGGGCGGTCCTATCACAATGCTATTCCGAGCAATCAAGGAACACCTCGAAGCCAGACAGAGCCAAGTGATTGCGAGCGGCCCGGCGGCCAACGTAGACCCGAGATCCCCGTTTCAATACGTGAGAAATGACCATGGATCTGATTTTGATGAGAACAAGGAGAAGTTTGTGGAAGAAGATGCGCGCAGGGGATCATTGAATGGCGCTGAGGAGGATGGGCTCCCGATCAGTGAGCCTCCGCCCAGTTATGATATGGTTCAACAGAGCGAGAAGGGACAGTAGATAGGGATCTGGCCCAGATTGTTTGGTTGGACAGTCGAGGGGAGTCGGAGTGGTAACGGACGGGGAGAGACATGGATGCCCAGTGCTTAGATGCTTCTGGTTAGGGGGATTGAGACGCTCGCTCTGGGATGTGTGTACACGCATCCGCAGAACTATTGCAAATTATCATTTTACACTTATGGATATCGAATGGGTTCTGAATCTGCAGCAATGTTTCTCAGCGCCTGGGTCTAACACGGTATGGACATGCCTGGCTTCGCTCAGCTTCGGATCTGGACTCCTGGTTCCTGCAACGGCCGCCACTCGGATGTAGCATTCCATTTTCAAATCACCTTTGGGGACCTCACGATAACCCATGCTCATCACCGGAAAAGAGGAAGTGCGTTTTTGTTTGGCATCACAATCATTTTTCCTTAATGATCCTACTGGCATCGGCTATGTCCATCGCCCTGCCGTGCTCAAAGAGGATTTTCAAGTCCTGACCAGACCACACATGAACCCCATGCAATGATGAAAAACAACCGAGACCCAGGGAAAGACGCACGCAACACCACCTGCCGGGACCGCTCTCGTTTAGATGGTAGTCTCGTAGGCAATCGGAACCACCGTCTCGGGCTTGTTGTCCTTCATGGAGACGACGTGTGCCTCGCGGGGCTGGGTGGCTAATCTCTTGACCTGGACGGTGGTGCCGTCGGCCTTGGCCTGCTTCTTGAGCTCGGCGTTCTTCTTGACGCGCTTGATGAAGTCCTCGCGGGATCTCGACAGGCGGACGTGCTCGAGGCGGAGGTTGATGCGCTTCTCGATGTACCGGTGCTTGACCTTCTTGTAGATGATGACACCGACGGCGCTCTTGGTGACGTTGTAGATGACACCGGTCTTGCCGTGGTAGACCTTGTGAGGCATACCCTTCTGGACGGCACCGTTGGCCTTGATGTCCACAATGTCGCCGACCCTGTTAGAAATCGTCAGAACCGCCCGTCTCTCGCTCTGGCGCGCCTCGGTTCTCGAGCCGGTTGACTGCGCAACAAACGTACTTGTACTGTCTAAGGTAGGTGGACAGGGCGATCATGCCCTTCTTGCGGAAATCCCGAGAGAAGGCATACTACAACACGCAGAAATCTCGTTAGCCCTCCCATTCGCATCGATGCAGCAGCAGCAGCCTCAGGTCCCGGGTGGGATTGAGGATCTGGGATCTGGAGGTTGACGTACTCTCGTTCCGGCGCGGAGACCTGCAGCGTGACCCATCTTGACGGTGTTGTGGTGTCGTGACTGAAGGGGGAGTTGGGTGTTGTCGGTGGTGCTGGGTTCAAGATCGTAACTTTTTCGCTTCCCTCACCAGAGGACGGAATTTTGCCTAGGGATGGTGGGAATTTTGTGTGGCAGCCAGCAAACCCGGGCAGCCCGCCAAGTCCCGCTTGCCCAGCACGGGCCAACCAACCAGAAAGAGCTGGGTCTCTTCTGCGGGTACAGCGTCCAGCAGCAGCACGGCAGCAGCGCGGCAGCAGCCCACAGCGCGCTGCAGCAGGCGGCCAGCGGGCAACTGGCAGCCCGGCAGCCCCCCCAAAGACGCAGCCAATCAAAAATTCGGCTGGCCTGCTTTGCCCTAGCCCCCCACTTTTCCCGAACTTCACGCAGCCCACCAGAACCAGAACCCCAGCGCCCAAGCCCCAGCCAGGCCACTCATGCCCATTTTTGCGGGCTGGCATTCGAACGTTGGTGATCTTTTTTTCCCGAACTTCCTCTCCTCAGCCAATTCCCCATCACCACCCACCAACCCAACGAGCAGGACCGAGTTCTTGAGTCGCGATCATGGCTCCTCTGTCTTACTCCAAGACCGCCAAGGTCCCCCGTCGCCCCTTCGAGGCTGCCCGACTGTCAGTATTCACCGGCCACTGAGCACGAGCTTGTTCTCTGCTCACGTCGTATGTGATCCCCGAAAACTGACAATGCTGGATTCTGTAGTGACTCCGAGTTGAAGCTCGTCGGAGAGTACGGTCTGCGCAACAAGCGTGAGGTCTGGCGTGTCCAGCTCACCCTGTCCAAGATCCGTCGTGCTGCCCGGTAAATTCTCACCCGCCCGCTCCCACCGTCTGGTCTTTCGGATATCATGAACCCGAGTACTGACAAGCCTCCCCCCCGAATACAGTCAGCTTCTTACCCTCGACGAGAAGGACCCCAAGCGTCTCTTCGAAGGCAATGCCCTCATTCGCCGTCTCGTGCGTGTCGGTGTCCTCGACGAGTCCCGCATGAAGCTCGATTACGTCCTGGCCCTCAAGGTCGAGGATTTCTTGGAGCGCCGCCTGCAGACCTGTGTCTACAAGCTCGGTCTCGCCAAGTCCATCCACCACGCCCGTGTCCTGATCCGCCAGCGCCACATCCGCGTCGGCAAGCAGATCGTCAACGTCCCCTCCTTCATCGTCCGTCTCGACTCCCAGAAGCACATCGACTTCGCCCTGACCTCGCCCTTCGGTGGTGGCCGCCCCGGCCGTGTCCGAAGAAAGAAGGCCAAGGCCGCCGAGAAGGGTGACGGCGACGAGGAGGAAGAGGAGGAGTAAATTCTTCGCTCTATGTGATATCATCATGTGGTGGACCACGATCCGCCGGTTGAGGGATCTGATTACACTATGGGCATATGGAGTCAAAATCATTTCATAGCTCACGGCGTTAGGCCAAGGGAAATCAGGAATGCATGAAAAAGAATTTACGTCACCAATCATGATCATCAATATGCCTCGTTCTTATGCACAGTTTCAATGCTCCATCGTGCCACGCCAGACAGGCGTGAGGGACCGCTTGCCACCCATTTGTAGTCCAACATAAGATACGATCATTTCGCTGGTTATTATTAAAGTGAACTCGCGCTACGTAACAAGATCGTCCTTCCCTAGGAACTTGGCCATGGGATCGTCTGCTGCTGTCCGTTTCCTCCTGTACTCTTCAAGCTCTTCCTCCATCATCTCCTCTGCCGTCCGCTTTTTGGCGGCCGGTTTCGGCGGCTCAGCGTTTTCTACAGGGACTTGTCTGGGCTCTTCCTCATGTGCTCCTTCTGTTATCAAATTCGCGCCAGTCCTCTGCTTCTCAGCCTCTTCCCATGCTTGTTTGCCTTCATCACCGGTACAGTAGCTGTTCTTGATAGAAGAATGACAGCACGCGTATCCCCACTTGAAGTTGGACCACCAACTGCCCCAGACCGAGGTATGGTTGTTGATGAAGACGTCTTCGGCGTATTTCGACTTGGCCACGGCCCGCGGAGCCCCCTTGATCAGCCCGGCCTCGTCGTACTCGACGAAGGACTCGGATTCCGTGACAGCCATGTCCCTCAGGCCGGCGGGCAGCGCATGCTCGCCGCCGCCGTACTTGTCCTGCAGGGCCTTCAGACGCTCTGCCCGCTTCTTCTCGCTCTCCTCCTGCTCCTTCTTGCGGTAGAACTCTCCGGCCGTCGGGTTGGCCTGTAGATGCTGCCGCGTATCGCCCGTCTTCTCCTGTGCCTCCCATGCATATTTCGTGGCCTTCTCGAACTCGGCGGCGTCTCCCGAGCCCCTCAGGAACCCTTCCTCTGCGTAGAGCTGTGCGGCCTTGTCTGCCGTCGCGCCGGCGTCCACCATCGTTCGGGTCTTGGGATCGTATTTGGCCGACTCGAGGTCCAGGTTGAGGAGGTACTTGGCTGTGTCCTCTCGTATCCTGAGTTGCCTCGTCGCCGTGCTTTGATGCTTGCCCATGTCGATCTCCTCGGCATACCGCTCGCCGTCGTCCTTGCCCGCGCCGTCCTCGCCCTCGCCGTCCTTGTCCTGGTCGCCCGCCTGCAGCTGGCTGCGCAGCTCCTCCATCTGGTTGTAGCGCTCCATGACGTGCTTGTACTCGCGCGGGTCGTAGCCGTTCCAGCGGTCGCGCTTGGCGTCCCAGCCCATCTGCACGTCCTGGATGACCTCGTCGGCCTGGATGTCCTTGCCGGTCCAGCGGGCGCCCTTGGCCCGCGGCCGCGACAGGCAGTCCTTGGCCTTGTGGGTCATGGCGCCGCAGTTCTCGCAGGCGCCCTTGCGGTACTTGGTGGCGGCGGGGCCCAGCTTCTTGCCGCGGTCGTACCATTTGGACTGCGCGAGGTCGTCCTTGGCCTTTTGTGACAGGCGCTGATGCTCGAGGTAGTCCTGCGACGAGTCGTCACCCTCGCCGGCGTAGAAGGGCCGCTTGCTGATGAAGGATGGGATGTAGACGTTCTCTTCCTTGGAGGCGGCCGAGACCTTGCCCGACGCATCATGCCTCCGCGAGGGGGGTGGAGGCGGCGGAGGCATTTTGGGTGTTGTGCTGAGGGGTCCGAGAAGGGGCCTATGGGTGTTCTCGAGATCGGAAACTGCCTGGATGCTGGGTATCAGGTAAGGTCGTCTGTTCAGATGTCGGCGTCGCGAAAAGTTACCGTCGATAGGCGCAGTGGCTGGTGCTATCGGAGGTTTACTTAAGCTTGAAAGGTGTGGCGGCGCCCAATCCCTGCCCCAGGCGGGTTCCAGCACCTGATAGCGCGCGATCACGCCAATCGGCAGGGGTCGACCACCAGCTCTAACATGCCCCAGATCGCGTCTCTGCCTAATAGCACAAGGCACACGAGACGCGGTGCGTGTGTGCATGATATGTAAACCGTCTCTCGCCCCCTGCACCATCGTCGAGTTTTGCTTTTGACGACTTCTCTTTTCTCTCATTTGCCAGCTCCTTGATTCCCCCCTCGACTCAATGTTGCCTCTATTCCCCATTCGCACATGACATATCCATGTCATGATGCATAGCACGTCATGGATGTCTTCCGGGTGCGGTTGAATTGTATCGACCACTATCAGGCTGCCCAGACGAGATATGACCCCCAACTTCGCAACGATGTCCGTCCTTCGCAGCTCCGAAAGGAGCCTAGAGTCCCGGTCGTGCGCGTCTTTGGGTCGACCGAGACTGGCCAGAAGGTCTGCGCTCACATACATGGCGCTTTCCCGTACCTGTACATCGAGTACAAGGGCAGCTTGGAGCCCGATGATGGTAATTAATGCTGAGTCGAACGTCCCCAATTCCACCTGGCTAATGCCATCGATTAGTTGGTGCCTACATATACCGGCTGCATCTGTCCATTGATCACGCCCTCGCAGTGAGCTACCGCCGCAACGCCTACACAGAGAATCCCAAATTCGTGGCGCGCATCACACTCTGCAAGGGTGTTCCGTTCTATGGATATTATGTCGGATACCGTTTCTATCTCAAGATCTACATGCTCAACCCCCTGGTCATGACCCGCTTGGCCGAGCTTCTGCAACAAGGGGTTATCATGAAGCGGGCATTTCAGCCCTACGAAGCCCATTTGCAATATCTACTGCAGTTCATGACCGACTACAACCTCTACGGGTGCGATTACATCTCCGTCCGCCACGCTCATTTCCGAGCTCCCGTTCCTCGTCATGGTGATGGGGAGGTGAGCTCTCACCATTGGCATAGCCAGTCAGTTCCGCATGATTTGATCACCGATGACGCCGAACTCCCCCGTGTTAGCCATTGCTCTATTGAGGTAGACATTTGTGTTCAAGACATCCTCAATAGGCACGAGATCAGAGAACGCCCGCTGCACCAAGACTTTACCGACATGCACGACCCGCTTCCTGCGGATATGAAGCTTGTTGCCAGTATGGCCGGGTTGTGGAAAGATGAGACCAAACGTCGGAAAAGACGCATGGTCAACCCGGCCTCAGGGAGCAGCCCTTTCCCGCCAGAGGTCCTGGTATCGATGTCTGCAGACCCACGCAACTCCTCCATGCCGGGCTGGATCCATGAAGACGAACACCGTGAACAGATTGATGAGCTCGTTCAGGAAGAGAATCGGCAAAGCGATGGGAAGGAGTTGAGCTTCGATAATTTTGTCACGCCGATCTCTCTGGAATCCGGGGTGAACACCATGTTACAGGCTGTAGAAGACCTCTACCCCGAGAATTTGGGTCTTGTATTAGATCCAGCGGACAGTTTATCTGAAGAAGAGGTACACCCAACAAGCAGCATCGAGGTCGACGAACAACGAATTCTTGATATCAATGCGGACAACGATGGGATGTTCCCTGACGACTCGGATGAGGAGGGCCTTAGGCAACCAGAACCAGGTAAATCTACTTCGACGCGAGTCGATCTGTCGCCAAACAAGGTCGGCCAAAAGGGATCTGACAATCAGATTGCGAGCAAAGAAGCCATGCCTGTGGGTGAGCCTTCTAAGGGATCAACCGAGTCGACGGAGTCAAGCACGAAAACGGGGGACAACAGTTTGTCGGCCTCATCGGCAGACGGCCTTTACGCCAGCTCCTTGCGCAGTGGGAAGATTCCGCACATCCCTATCGCTGATGAGCTGAGATCTGCAGCGCTGACACGCGGCCTGGTGACCAAGGTTGCTCGGGACTCCAATGTCCACGAATATGAGGAGTCCATCGCGAAGCGTCCTGGAACACCTACTGACGAGGACCATGAGATCAAGCGACGACGAGTTGAATTTGCCTTCGATGTCTTCGACGCCAACCACAGCAATTCCAGTCCCACAACCCCTGTGGCACCAGACAAAGTCGATGACAATATATCGACTGAGTCTCTACCCTCCTCTCAAGGAACAAAGACGAAGACGAAGGGCGATAATGTCAAAGGCTCCGGTAATCAGATGCTCAAGTTCCCGGTGGTCAAGAATCCAAATGATCCAAATACGCAATTACGGTTGAGTCAGCAGGGAAGCTCTCAGCCAAGCCAGGAGAGCACTGTCAAGAAGCATGTCTCTTTCGAGCCTGTAATTACGGAAACCGACAGCCCGGAGACTACGAGGTCTGGTTCTACTAAGAGAGACTCCGTCGGCTCCTCTTCTAGCTCCATCAAAGGCACAATAATCCGTAGACTTCTCGATGTAGGCTGCGCGCCAAGGCCAAATGCTCATTTTTTCGTATTCGCACAACCACCACCTGCGGCGACAGAGGTGTTCTCTACCATAGGTGTTGATGGCCGCCCAGAGGTCATTTACCAAGATGCATACTACAGCAACGACAAGGACGTACCACCCCGGCTACGGGAATATGCAGGCCAGGATTTCCGGCTCACAAGTAATACACTTCCATACCTGCCCGACTTTGACGGCACTGGATCATCGCCAGCATCCTTTGGTATAAAGCCCGATAACCCGACACCTAGGCCCTCTGATGAACAGCTCTATTCCAAAATGCGGCGCGAATGCACCTTCCAAAGCTGGGAATTTGCCGAGCCACCTCCCTCGTTGGAGGAAGTTGAGACGTGGTGGAATGAGACCCAGAGAAATAATGTTGATGAGACGGTGCCCGCAATGAATATTCAGGACCCAGAGATGAAGCCCTACCTTTCCCAAATTGAAGGTGCTACACCGAAGAAGTTCAAGTACTCACAGAAGAAGAAGTCAACCAGCGTGCAGTTTGAGGCCCAGTACATGAGCACAATGAGCCTGGAAATACACATCAACAGCAGAGGAAAACTAGTTCCAAATCCAGAGGAGGATGAAGTTCAATGCATCTTCTGGTGCTCCAAATCCGATGAGAACTTTACTACCGGCGACAACGCCTCCTTGGAAGTGCAATCTGGCATCATTGTCCTCTCAGAGGACGGACTGATGACGAAAAGACTGCAACGTCAAACTTCAGTCGAGGTGATCGAGGAGAACTCCGAGCTGGACCTCATGGTTAGGATGGTGGAGATTGTTCGTACACATGATCCAGATATACTTACAGGTTACGAAGTTCATGGGAGCTCCTGGGGCTATCTCATCGAACGAGCCAGATTCAAGTACGACTACAATTTGTGTGACGAGTTTTCGCGAATGAAGTCCCAGTCATTTGGACGATTTGGGAAAGAAGCTGATCGCTGGGGTTTCAACACAACGTCGACTATCCGTGTCACTGGTCGTCATATGATCAACATCTGGAGAGCGATGCGCAGCGAGCTCAACCTCCTTCAGTATACCATGGAAAATGTTACGTGGCATCTGTTACACCAGCGTGTCCCCCATTACTCATGGCAAACACTGAGCGACTGGTATTTGAGTGGGAAGTCGAGAGACTTGGGCAAGATTCTTCGCTACTATTTGAGGCGGACCAAGCTTGACATTGATATTCTTGAAGTCAATGAGCTAATACCTCGAACCAGCGAGCAAGCGCGATTGCTTGGTGTTGACTTCTTCTCGGTCTTCTCCCGAGGTTCTCAGTTCAAGGTCGAGTCGATCATGTTTCGGATCGCCAAGCCCGAGAATTTTGTCTTGGTCTCGCCGAATCGGAAGCAAGTTGGTGGTCAGAACGCCCTTGAGTGCCTGCCTCTGGTCATGGAGCCACAGAGCTCGTTCTACAGTAGTCCGGTACTAGTCCTGGACTTCCAAAGTCTGTATCCGAGTGTCATGATAGCGTACAATTACTGCTATTCGACGTTTCTGGGGCGGATTGTTAACTGGAGAGGTGCCAACAAGATGGGCTTCACGGATTACAAGAGACAGGAACGACTCTTGGAGCTTTTGAAGAACTATATCAACATCGCCCCCAACGGAATGATGTACTGCAAGACTGAGGTGCGAAAGTCATTGTTGGCAAAGATGCTCACAGAAATCTTGGAGACTCGAGTCATGGTCAAGAGTGGCATGAAACAAGACAGAGATGATAAAACGCTCCAGCAACTGCTGAACAACAGACAGCTGGCTCTGAAGCTACTTGCCAACGTAACCTACGGTTACACCTCGGCCTCTTTCTCTGGCCGTATGCCGTGCTCAGAGATAGCGGACAGCATTGTTCAGACGGGACGGGAGACACTTGAGAGGGCTATTGCACTCATCCATTCGGTTCAGAAATGGAAAGCGGAGGTCGTGTACGGAGACACGGACAGTTTGTTTGTCCACCTACCAGGCCGAACGAGAGATCAAGCATTCGACATTGGTAACGACATCGTTAAGACGATCACGGATATGAATCCCCGGCCAGTGAAGCTCAAGTTTGAGAAAGTATATCACCCCTGTGTCCTCCTCGCAAAGAAGCGCTACGTGGGTTACAAATACGAGTCTCGAGAGCAAGCCAAACCCGAATTCGAAGCCAAGGGCATTGAGACTGTCCGAAGGGATGGCACACCTGCCGAGCAGATGATCGAGGAGAAGGCCTTGAAGATCCTCTTCGAGACCGCCGACCTCAGCCAGGTCAAGTCGTACTTCCAGAAGCAATGCGAGAAGATCATGCGTGGGGCTATTTCGATCCAGGACTTCTGTTACGCGAGAGAGGTCAAACTAGGCACCTACAGCGACAAGGGCCCTCCTCCGCCAGGTGCCCTGATCAGTACCAAGAGAATGCTCGAAGACGCGCGGGCCGAGCCTCAATACGGCGAGCGTGTGCCTTACGTCGTGGTGACGGGCGCTCCTGGGGCTCGCCTCATCGACCGCTGCGTCGCCCCGGAGGACCTTCTGGCGAACCCGCACCTCCAGCTCGACGCCGAGTACTACATCTCCAAGAACCTGATCCCGCCGCTCGAACGCATCTTCAACCTGGTTGGCGCCAACGTCCGCCAGTGGTACGACGAGATGCCCAAAGTGCAACGCATTCACCGCGTCGAGCAAGGCGGTGTGCTCACGAAGAAAACGCTAGAGTCGTACATGAAGGCGGCGGCGTGTCTCGTCTGCAACGGCAAAACCGGCACCGAGGGCGGGGCCATCTGCGAGCGGTGTCTGACGAACGCGCCCGCCAGCCTGCTGAAGCTTCGCGCCCAGCTGGGCAGGGAGGAGAAGAAACTGCTGGATGTGAACAAGGTATGCCAGAGCTGCGCGGGGCTGGCACCCCTGGATGATGTACCATGTGATAGCAAGGACTGCCCTGTGTTCTACACGCGGATGAAGCAGTTGTCCAGGTATAGGACTGAGAAGGGGTTGGTGGAGCCAGCTGTCACGCAGCTGGTCGAAGAGGTTGATCGAAGGGACTTGGAATGGTGATCATGAGAGCATCGTTGGAGTTTCGGACTGTCTACAGAGGTATGCACGGCGAGTGCGGTACGTTTTGGAGTAGGGGTTTGACTGAGTGCAAAGAGAGCACACCAGGACGTGGTTGCATAGCATCAGCGAGGCGTTGTTTTGAACATCGAGAGGCCCCGCGTTGGATAAAACAGCACAACGGCCGGGGGAGGTTTGACTCATTTACATAGAAATTCAGCATCGAAATTCGCAAATGCTCCAGTACAGCACTCCCTTTTGGGTCATTTGGAGGTCCGGCAGTTCAGAACCCCAATTGTGGATATCTTCCATGGTGTGGAATAAGTGCCAGGGTCCCTGCAACGAACACACATCCCAGAGGCATGCGCAATGGTTCTGATGTGAACTTCGCCCAGTTGCACCAGCATACGTTATAGGCCGATCACAAGTTCGCAAAACCACCATTCCAGTCGTCGAATCCTACTATAACGGACGATTGACTGAGACAGGTAGCATGCGAACCTAGTAACCTAGCTGGCGAGATGCTGGCTGGGCTTTATACCCCACAATACAGACCACTAACCCTGGCACGTGGAGACGCCGGCAGCCGGCTTAGTGCTTGGTGCTTGGTGCTTGCTCTGACGTGGGACGTGGGACATGGGACGGGGGACACCACCAGCTGTAACTCTCAACTCGACTCGACACGACACGGCCGTTTTTCGCGAGGCCGACCTTCTCAGCAATTCAGCCGGGACACTTGTTCGAACCCGCCTTGCAGCGCCGCTCAGAGATGCTTCAAGCCGGATGCTGGAGAACAATGTAATATCTGTAATTCCTGCCTCACCGATAAGACCGAGACTTTGCTATCCGACATCGATGACCTCCCGAACTCTATCCATCTCCAGCTTAGCAGTCTCGCATCCTGCTAGCTGTCTCACGCCGCAGCTATGGGCAGCTGGACCGCTTTCCTCCTGACCTACCTGCTCGGTGGCGTCACCTTCATACCCATCGTCCTTGTCACCGCCTGGTTCGCCCTGCCCCAGGTCCGCGAGCTGCTCGCCGAGAAGGAGGTCGACGGCGGCAGCATCGTCCGCCCCGGCGATCTCACCAAGGACCTCGAGGCGGCGCAGAAGGCTGAGAAGGGCGAGTCAAAACCCCAGTATGTCCAGGCCGCCGACGTGGCCGCCGGCTACTTCGCCGTATGTCGAGACTACACCCCCATGGGGATCAACGCCAAGCCCATCGAACGATCGACCCCCGTCGGATCGGCCACCGTGGCCGCCCCGAGCCAGAGCGTATACCAGGCCATGTACCGGACCATATTCGACAGAAAACAAGGCCCAAATCCCCTGGAAAACACTAGCGGCAACAGTGTTCGACCCAAGAGGGCGGGTAACGTGTTCTACGTTGTGCTCCGGTTCGTGCCAGCGTCGCCCTGTTCTACCACAATAGGGTATAACTGACTGTTGGTGTTATAGACATGGGCATCTCATGCTCTTCGACGACGACGAACAACTCGAGGTGCGCCACGTCATCTCTTTGGCACACCATGATGTCAGCATATACTCGGGGGGAGACAGCACGCCAGAGGGTGAGCTGTTTATAAAAAGGAACGCTTTGTGTTTATCCAGAAAGCTGGACTCAAACGAGCTGGCACCGGATAGCCAGATATCGAGACCTTTTTACCTGTTCTGTGAAAACTGCTCGGCAAAGGAGGACTTCTATTTCGCCTTGATTCGGAATCAAGAGCAGGTGTTTGGGGCAACCAACCGGGCGCCGCAGCCCTTGCAATTCGAAGTCAAGAATATCATCTCGCTTGTCCAGAGACTTCATTCGAGCGAGGAGCACATGCAGACGAGGTGGCTCAACGCCATGATCGGGCGCATCTTCTTGGGTATCCATAGGACCAAGGATATAGAGAATCTCATACGGGAAAAGATCACCAAGAAGATATCGCGTGTCAAAAGACCGACGATTCTCTCGCGGATCGCAATACAGAACATCGACACCGGAGATTCTGCCCCCTACATCACGAACCCGCGGCTTAAGGATCTGACGGTGGAGGGTGAGTTCGGTATGGAGGCCGATGTTAAGTACACAGGAAACTTCAGATTGGAGGTCGCCGCAACGGCCAGGATCGACCTCGGTACTCGCTTCAAGGTGAGAGAGGTGAACCTTGTCCTTGCGGTGGTGCTCAAGAAGCTTGAGGGCCACGTCTTCTTCAAGATCAAGCCGCCTCCGAGCAATCGTATATGGTTCTCCTTTCAAACCATGCCCAAGATGGAAATGACAATAGAGCCAATTGTCAGCACAAGACAAATCACTTATACGGTCATCCTTCGCCAGATCGAGAATCGAATCAAGGAGGTGGTTGCGGAAACCCTGGTGCAGCCATTCTGGGACGATATGCCCTTCTTCAAAACGGAGCACAAGGAGTGGCGTGGAGGTATCTTTGAAGGGGATGATGCCGTGGAGCACTCTGAGGACCATGAGGAGATTGCGGCCATGCTTGGTGACGTGGATGAGGTCTCCCACATCGAGGAGACGGGCATTCCGACATCCCCTGGTTCGCCCGAACTGCGACCAATCGAGAAGAGCCACAGTGTCCCAGCCTTGGAGAACGCCAATCCATCGGGATTCTGGGCCCGCAAGATGAATGCAAAGAAGACAGCACTGCAAAACCAGACGAGTTCGAGCGCCTCAGCGTCCACAACCGCACTCGATACGAAGAACTCTCCATCGCCTATTCCCATCGAGACGCCCCGTCCGATTCGCAGTGGCTCGTATTCCGCCTCCAGCCCGACCATCAGTGCCGATGCGGCACACGCAGAATTGTTCAAGCCTTCGTCCTCTCCTCCTGACAAGGACGATGCAGCGAGCGTCATGGCCAGCGTGGCGGCTAGAAGCCGGAAAGGATCTAATGCCCCGACTCCCGTAGGCACACCCACACGTCCGACGTCAGTCAAGCAGGTTTCCAACGAGTCTTCTTCTTCTGAGTCCTTGGAACCTGTGATCCACGAGGACCAGACACCAACCGCTCCAGGACGTCGGGATACAACATCGTCTGTTGATAGCGGTGCAAGCGAGAGCGACCGAACTGACTCACCCGCACCATCAACTAGGGCATCAGTCAGAAGTGCGACAGGATCCATCGGAAGAGGCCTTTTTTCCAGGAAAGACACCTCGGGTTCGACGACGCCCAACGGTACGCCAGATCAGAAGCGAAACACCCTGGCGGCGGTATCGAATGCGGCAGCTACGGCAAAGCGCTGGGGTTGGAATGCCATGCAGCGCCGTTCTGAGCAGGGTCCGGATGGACGGAAGCTGTCCGACCCTCCGGCAGTTGATCTGAATCAACCAATGGGCCGAGGTCAACCGTTGCCGCCCCCAGGCATGCCGCTCCCGGGGCCAGATAGGAGGTCTAAGGTCACTCCCATACCGATGCCAAAACGGAAGCCGATTCCTCCACCAGAACTGGCGGGTCGGAACAGCACGACAAGCGTGAACGATCCAAAGCCTGAGCGGCGGGCGGTGCCGCCCCCTCCTTTGCCGAGAAGGAGACGTGTGTCTGAGGTGCATCAAGACGAGGGGGACGAGGAGAACTTGTTGGTGGTCGAGGCGCCAGCTGATTCGGAGCCCACGTCGCCCTTGTACGAGGACCACGAGCACGAAAACAGCCCCGCGTACGTCCAGCCGTCGGTAGAAGACCTAGCGGAAGGGGAGAGCGGCGGCCCCTCCACGCCGAGCGAAAGCATCACGGAGCAAATGGACACGCAAGACGTACCTCAGTCTACTGTGCAGCACGAGGACGGCAGCAACGATATGAAAGACGAGGACGAGGATGACTATGCGAACTGGCTAGATAACAACCCAGAGTTCGCAGGAGAGGAACACGAGCCCATAGCTGCTCGCTAGGTGGTTGAAGGGGTGGTTCGTAGAAGGGAATCAATGCATATACGGAGTTGGCAAGGGCAAGGGCATGGGTATACCAGCAAACACTACTCTAGCGCCTAGGGAATTTTTATAGGAGTCAGGGGTTGACACCAAGGTCAGGAAGAACCCATTATTGGGGGTTACTAGGGCCTTGCACATCCAGGCACAGCGGAGTACATTTGATAACAGCTGGCACAAGGTAGTCCAAGCCAGGATTTAGTGAGGAACATAATACAAAGTCACATACAAGCAGCAATTGTGCTTACGACACACTGGGTCGAACGTGCTGGACAAGCTTAACATAGGGTCAAGAGACCGACGCACAGCCATATTTGATGTTTTAAGGCTTGATTGATGTCTGAAACAAAGGGAAGGTATTTACAGCTCACGCAGAGACGTCGGGTCTCGTCCTCCGTCCCCCATGCCACGGGCATCCAACGCTCTATTGGTGTTTTCTCCCTGTACGTACGTCTTGACGCAATTCCCCTTTGCCAAGAACGCTGCTGGCACGTCGTCTACTACACACAAAGAACCTCTCTATTCCCGCCTATCGAAGTTGGAAGGGGGGGGAAGAAGAAGAAGCGAGGGGCAGGATAAGACTTAGGTGGTCTTGTCCTTGTTGTGGTAGTTGACCGACTCGTTCCAGAACAGGGTCTGGTCGCCGTTGCCCCAGGGGAAGTTCTTGGTGCGGATGTTCTGGTAGGGGTACTCGACGCGCTCCTCCAACGGGGGCATGTGCGACCAGTGCTCCCAGTGCTCGTTCCAGAGGTTGTAGGCGTTGACGCCGGCCAGGATGAGGAAGGGGGCGACGCCGCTGTTACGTGGGGCCGTCTCGTTAGCAAGAACAAAGAAGCACATATCTCCGTCACCCAACCAAAACAGCGAAGGAATTGATCCGGGCCAGCGGTCAGCGGCGAGTCTCGAGCAGGTGTGCGGGCGGGTGTGGTCGGGGGGTCGTGTCGTCGAAATCGCTCAAGCTCAGGGCCGCGGACCGGGGCGGAGGAAGAAGTCAAGAGGGGTGGGCTTACTAGATGGAGATCTTGCGCCAGAGCTCTGTCGACGGATAGATGAGTTAGCAACTCTTCCAATTGGGCACCCCTCTCCCACAAAGTAGGGTCATCTCTCACCAGTGGTGGCCTGGGCGTGCTCCTTGACGGCCTGGCGCTCCTTGATGAAGGCGTTCTCGGTCGAGGCGAAGCGGCGCTGGACGGCGGAGCGGACGGCCGGGTTGCGCAGCTGGGCGGCGGCGCGCAGCATCTGGCGCTGGGGGAACATGATGGGCGTTTCGGGGTCGCTGTCGCGGGCTTCAATTGAGTGGAGAGTGTGTCGGGTTGCTTGGAGGTTCGAGGAGGTCGAAGTGGTGCGATGTCGAATCGGATGAGGTCAGTTTGGGAGCTTCGGCTAGTGCGCTTTTTGCCCGTCTGGCGGCCTGAGGCATGAAAACTGCCGGGCCCACGGCTAGGACCTGGAGGTGCTGTGGGAGGTGCTGTGCTTGCCCACTGCTTGCCCACTGCTTGCCCCTGCTTGCTTCTTCTGGTCAGCTGGTTTCGTGGGGAAGCCGTGTCGTGAAAAGTGGGGCCCCATCGCTGGTTCGAGGACCTCAGACGCTCAGTGGCGTCAAAGACCAAGAGAAGGCGAGGAGCGAGAGCGTGACACCCGCGACCCGTTGACTTTTCTCATTTCAAGAATTACCCAGATTAGAAGTCTGCATCGGTTTGCAGTGTCTGGGCTGTCTGGGCTCTCTGGGCTGTCTGAGTTCCTGCCCATCGCTCGTAGAAGGGTGATCCCGTCCTGGTACCGGGCCATGATTCCGGAACATCGACAATTCGATTTTACGGACAGCCACACATCTCTTGCTGATGCAACCCGAACTCTCCACTCGCCATTGTCTCTAGAAGCCCTGAGTTGACGTCGGGGCACGTTGGGGGACACATTACATGAGCGGCACCTGCCTGTGATACCGATGACCCGTCAAAGCACCAACACTCAACCATAAAGCCACGCGCAGCCGGGTTCGAGAAATTCAGCAACATGGTTGTCCGTATTACTTCCTGGAACGTCAACGGGATCAGGAACCCCTTCAGCTACCAGCCGTGGAACGAAAACCGCACCTTCAAGGCCATGTTTGACATCCTCGAGGCAGACATAGTTGTGCTCCAAGAGGCCAAAATCCAGCGGAAGGACCTGAGGGACGATATGGTGCTTGTGCCCGGCTGGGACGTCTACTTCAGCTTGCCGAAACACAAGAAAGGCTATTCCGGCGTTGCCATATACACCCGCAACTCTGTCTGCGCACCTATCCGAGCTGAGGAGGGCATCACGGGGGCCCTGTGTCCTCCGAATACGACCACGCCGTTTTGCGAGCTGCCAGAGGACCAGCAGATTGGAGGCTACCCACAGCCGAGCCAGCTCTCGGGCGTCGTTGATGTCACCACACTTGACTCTGAGGGCCGCTGCGTCATCCTGGAGTTCCCTGCCTTCGTCCTCATCGGAACATACAGTCCGGCAACACGTGACGAGTCTCGAGACGATTTTCGACTCGGCTACCTAGAAGCCTTGGATATTCGTGTGCGAAACCTCGTCCGCATGGGTAAGCGCGTGATACTGACCGGCGATCTGAATGTCATACGCGCCGGCATCGACACAGCCAATCTTGCCGAGCGACTGAAGAAGGAGGCCATGACCACGGAAGATTTCTTTTCGGCTCCTTCTCGCCGGCTGTTCAATCAGCTGGTCTACGGCGGGAACGTCTATGGACAGCGAGATGACGGCCGAGAGGAGCCAGCACTATGGGACCTGGGAAGACTCTTCAATCCTGCCCGTGAGGGCATGTTCACCTGCTGGGAAACCAAGAAGAACGCCCGGCCTGGCAACTTTGGCAGCCGCATTGATTATGTTCTATGCAGCGACAACATGAAAGAATGGGTCATCGACTCTAATATACAGGAAGGCCTCATGGGTTCGGACCATTGCCCGGTCTTTGCTACTTTAAGTGACCAGGTCACCTTGGATGGGGCAGCTGTACACCTCCGTGACCTATTAAATCCAACAGGCGTCTTTCAGGACGGCGACCGAATAAGGGAGTGGACCGTGAAAGATCTGTTGCCCATGTCAGCAAAGTTGATACCGGAATTTGATCGACGCCAAAACATTAAGGACATGTTTTTCAAAAAACCGAGCACCACCCCAAAAGTACCTTCAACGCCAGCGAGTGAGCCGTGCTCAGAACCAGCAGCAGAAGCAATAGAAAATCTACAAACTGTAGAACCTCAGACTCTACAACAATTCGAAGCGATTAATCCTCTCCCCTCTCAGGAAAATGGCAGTCCCTCGATATCGGCTCCATCGCCTTCAAAGTCACCTCGGGCAGGTCTGAAGCGAACGCCATCTGCCTCGGCATCTACTAAGCCACAGAAAAAGCAGAAGGCCATGTCGAATAAGGAGTCTTCACTGGGAAAGGGACAGAGCAGTCTGATGGGCTTCTTCAAACCAAAGACCACAGCGACTCCGAAGAAGGTCCCCGAAGCAGAAGAAGGTTTAGGGCCCAAACTCGGCTTCGACGGAACTGCGGATCCTGATGACCTCAGAGGGACGACGCCAGCCCATATTACGCCGGAAAAGAGTGCGGTGCCTGCGACTTCCGAAAAGGTCTTTGATCCTATTGAAAACAAAGAATCATGGTCAAAGCTGTTAGGGAAGAGGATCCTTCCAAAGTGTGAGCATGGCGAGGAGTGCGTCAGCATGCTTACCAAGAAACCAGGCATCAACTGCGGTATGTATTGGCATGTGCGCTATGTCGTTATTTCAATCTTGAGAATACCCAGAGTTCCACCCAGACTGCTAATGCCATTCGCAGGAAGGTCGTTTTACATGTGCCGTCGGCCGCTTGGCCCGTCAGGAGACAAGGAAAGGAACACTGAGTGGCGTTGCAAGACGTTCATATGGAGTAGCGATTGGAATGGATCACAATCTCAGCCACCATGATTCAAATTTACTTGGACAAGCCGAGAGGCCCGTAAAGATATCGTTGCTCACCGCTCGAAGGTTTAGCGTACGAATTTGCTAGCCACATATACCCAATGCCATAAAGCCGTTTGTGTCTACATCACCGTACGATGCCGTCCACGATTTGAACATGTAACATTTGTGATACAGGAATTGCGTTTATTTTCAAACCGAAAGCTGCCCAGCCGACGCTGAATGAATTATTGTTCCAAACACGAACGGCTGTATCGCTCATGCTCCTTGAGTCAAGCCACGCCGACTGCATTAAAACAGAAAGACCATGGTCCGTAACAGGTACCATTTCAGGGTTTGGATATACGTCACAGATCATCGTGGTCGATATCTCCTGACCACTCTAAGATTTTGACCCCTATGTCAATGTCTCTTTCGTTTCTAGAACCCTCCCAGCCGGAACATCGCCAAGGTGTCAAATATTCTTCAAAGTCGACGCAGCCGAAGGAGGGCAAAAGTTCGTGCACGATATCGGCCATATCCAACAGCTCATTATGTTTTGCGCTTGACACCGGGAGTGCCTGCAGAAACTCTGATGGCACATCTGGGGTCGGCGTGCGGCCCTTGGTGAACAAACCTCCACCCCAGTTGAGGTAGCTGCAGCCTTCCACCCTCTGCGCTGACTCGCCGTAGATATGCTCCATCCGCATCCCATCCTCGTAAAGGTATAGCTCTCCAGACTGGTGCATTGAATCCGGGTTCAGCGTAGTGCGCCACCTGCCCAGTATGTAGGCCGCCGGACATTGCTGTACTAGCATGCGTCTCCTTCATTATTCACAAGTCAGTCAATCCTCTCTGTCAGGGCGTTTTGGTCTACCGCTCAGCCGTAAGATACAATTGCACCGCGTCCCATATGTGTCTGAATGCGTGAGGAATGTCCTGATCGTGCTTACCACGAAGCGTTGGGGCGCGTGAAGATATCAACCTTTGAGGCAGATGGCAAGTTCCCCGAGTCTTCGGGCGCTGGCGCTGTTATGCCATCCTCCTCCCGTAGAGACGGGAACAAGTCGACTAGGAAAGGGTTCCGGGTCGGCCGGCTGCCCAACCCCGGGCGGTCATCGCGCCGGAGGAACAGCGCCGTCTGCAGCGCCGGCGACCTGGTGATCAAATCATGCCACGAGCGGCTGACCCGCTGCGCAGAGGTGAGGATTGTCCGCAAGTCCACGAGGAGAAGGATGGACTCGAGCAGCTCCGAGATATGGAGCACTGCCCTCATCGAGTCGCACTTGGCGGCCGAGCGCCTTAGGTACCTCAGCTCCCGCTGTGAGAGGCCGCGTGCGGTCCTTGTCGACGCGACTGGCGCCATCGAGTCTTCCAAAACTAGGGTGGCCCGGCAACGCTAAGGGTGTCGCAGGATCCTGCAATTCGTCCGATTCTTTCGTGGAATCCCAGGAAGAAGATGTTTGTCGTACTTAGAATCGGATCTGGTAAGTTATTGCTTCAACGCAGTCGCATATAAGTATAGTGCGATTCCCTTGTTAATGGATCCTCGAACGCGACAGGCATCCGCAACTGCCCCAAGGGCAGCGTTCTGATTGGCCGAGAACAAATCCAAGTACTTGCCTGGGTCCCGCTCTAAGACGCTGATTGGTGGACGTGTAGCTAAGAAGAGTTGAGTGAGTATAAGCTTTGGTTTTGCCGTCCAGTAGCCATTAACTTATTCCCTTCGGTGTGTCACGAGGGCACTGTTTTGCCCCGATATCTTCACACCTATGGGAGCAGAACTGTACCGCCATTTAGAACGTTCAACACTGACCGGCTCAAGTATGTAACCATAGAGATTGTCCTGCACTGAGTACAACTGGTCACAATTTACACGTTTACTTCCTTACAGCCTAGATAATTTCCTAGTTTATCAGTGTAAGGGTGAAATCATTGAAAGCAAGGCTTGGGATTGTTCGGCTCAAAAGGTCGCCCGCTACAGCTTAATACTCAATGATTCGTATTATATACAGATAGAAATCTAATGACACGCTTAGGATCTGCACAAGCTAATGTTGGTTTTTCTCCCCGGGTAGCACTGGATCACGTCCTCTCATCCTATGACCTGGCTTAGAAGGTGGTAACCTTGGCCGAGAGCCAAGGCCCAATGGCATTGTTCTGGCAGGCTCCCGGCACGTTGGCAGTGGTGCCACGCTTGAGGTCGGCACAACCACTGTCGGTGTAGAACGAGACTATGAAGCGGACCATGTCGTCAGCATATGCGCAACTCATCCGCGTCCATTTGACACAATAGCCTCAAATATAGCAGAGGGAGAAGGCGGGATAAACTCACCCTGGTATGGGCCGTCCACGATGGCGCCCAGCTGAACCGTGGAGACGGCGTACGGGAACGTAATGCAGTGGTCCACGGTGCCGTTGCCGACGTTGAAGTCCAGGTCGCTCTGGGTGCTGCAGTCGGACGGCGCGGCCCAGCCCTTGATGTTGGCAAGGAACGGGGCCTGGCGGGGCTGGACCGCGGCAGCAGAGGCAACGGCTGCGCAGCCGGATGCAGCGATGGCGGCGAGGGTTGAGAAGCGCATCTTGTAAGTTTGTGCGGCAAAGTGCTAAGGGGCGTGGCCTAAACGAGTGGATGTGCCTTGTGTGTACTATTATACAAAACGAGAGACTGGAAAGGCGGCTGATGCAAGCTAGGTGAGGGATTGCGAATTATAGAAAACTGAGAGGACTTCTCTCTCTTATATGACGATGAGTCCTCCTAAGTCGGGACCGACGCTCATCTTGCAGGCACCAACGAGACCATGAAGATCTGCCGCAATGAGGTCTCCATGGTCATGCTATGGAAGGATACGAAGAGATCGGCCTCTGTAAAATAAAATGCAGCTCAGGTTTGAGGCGACGACTGATGTATTACGCACGCTATTTGGTGTGAGTGAGTACCTTCTTCTTTACCGTCCACCCAGCGCCCCTGACTTGGTGACCATCAGGGAACCCGATCCCTCGCGGCGCGGGAACCCCACAAACGGGAACTTCGGCGCTGCCGGTTTGCTTTGTCCAATATGAACGCCTCCTGCGGAGGTTTGGGAGACTAGCTCGGCGCGGATCATCACGGTAGAAGCGACGGGAAGGATCCGAGGCGGTGCTTCTTGGTGTTGAACAAGGTTCAAGCAGTGGGTTTTCTGACTGCATACTCGCCTGAAACTGGTCTTCTTGGATTACATCTTCAAGCCCTTGTTAGGCGGCTTGCTGGCATGTTTAGGGGTAAGCAAGGGTCGGAGGGATACAGTTACCTGATGCCTCGCAGTTCAGTATAGCTCAGCCACGGGCTAGCATTTGCTGGACCCACGTCGCGAAACAAGGATCGACAGAGGTGGAGAGTTGTCAACCACAGAAGAACTGCTTGGCGAACAGTGACGCGAGTAGGGTGTAGCAAAGTAGTATTGGTTATTTACTCATCTGGCATGGCTCACGCTGAACTTCAGTGTGCTGTGTTCCTGTGAGGGGAGTAGCGTAAATAGTAAATGATATAGGAGGCTCAATCACGCTGTACCGCAGAATCCGATTACCCAAGCACCAGGATCAGTATGAACCCGTCGTACAGGGCCCAATGCTTGCCACGACGCTTTGCCAGTCTGGCATTGTAAATTATAATATATGTGTAGTTCAATCGTAAGTGAAACCACAAAGATGTAGCGGACTGGCGGATTATCAACGCTCTCGATAGAAAGGACGTACATGACTCTAGAATGAACCTTTCCTCATGGCAATCAACCTGTTCAATAACGCTCTGGGTATCTGGGCAATCTAACCTTGTAACAACATGCAAAACCAACGTGCAAAACCGATAATAGACTTTGAATACCCCCCTAGACGCCTTTGTAGCAACAAACTCAGGCAAGGTGTTAGAAGTCTGACCACTAATCTTCATCTTCCTGGCGGTGCGCCTGGTTGTACTCCATCTCCGGAAACCATTGGTTGTTGACCACATTTCCGTCATCATCAATATCTTGCTCCATACGGTCAGGATTCTTTCCAGCCTTCTTGACGGCATCCCTTTCCTTTTTGCCCAGCGCCACTGCGTCAAACCCCGCCAAAAGCGGCACATCGGTTTTGAGAAGATCAACCTTCAGATTGCGTGCCTTGTCTCGGATAGCCTGTTGACTACGAAAGGTGGAGAAGAGAGCTTGTTCCTCGAGGAAACTCCACTGACAACCATATTTTCGAATGGCGTCTATGAGCGTTGCCGTGTCATCGTCGGACCAGAAAACTCGCCTTTGAGGCGCACTCGGCTGGCGCGCGTGACGAGCGGCTGCCCTGGCCTGGGTTGAGAGCAGACTAATATCACTCGCTCGTACATTTTCGGTCCTGTCGCGATCGAATTCCCTGGAAGAGTTGGCCAAGGAGGCAGAGCGTCGGCCATCGCCCGTAGCACGTGTATCAGAAATACGAACTCTTTTTGACGACGAGGGACCGGTAATTGGTCGCTCCTTCACTATTCTCCTACTTTCGTCCAAAGGTCTTGTGTTTGTCTCATACTCGTCTTCGTCGCCGTCTTCCTCTTCGTCGGCTTCCAACGGTCTCTTTCGCCCGTCTGGCAGACCACTGCCAGATTTCGCTGCAGCGGGACTGCGAAATGGATTCGAGGATGCCTGCTCTCGAGAGCTATTCACCACATCCTCGGCATTCAGGGCTGCCAATGGGTTTCGGACTTGCTGTTGATTAGAAGGCGGTGTGGCACGGGATCTTCGTCTCGCCACCCTATCGTCTCGTTCAATATTGGCACTGCCGTCCAGATAGCTACCACTGAATAGTGTCAGTCAATGATGCTTGCCTCTCCTTCTATAGAGAATGGAGCTTGTCCACTTACGTCCGCGCTCCAGTTCGAACTATAGGCTCATCTGGTTCAAAATCGGACTCATCATCGTGCTCGCTCATGCCAGCGTCATCATCTGCCACGAACAGGCTTTCTTCTTCGTCTACTGCAGATCTGTCTCGTCGTTGCTCTGCCGTGGATGTTTTACGGGCAGGTCCCTTGGTAGGCTCCAAAGGTGCCGGCTCTGGGGGATCTCTTGGGGGTTGAGCGTCCTGCGCGGAACGGGCAGGTGCTTTGCCCTTCTCAATCTTTGGCTGTTGTTTCAGAGCCTTGTAAGTCTTGAGGGCCCAAGTTCCTAGTTCGGTGAGAAGCTCTCCCATAGGATATGCTTCTTCCAGGATTTTCAGAATTTCGCCACGCTCCCTCTGAGATAACCGATCGCAGAGGTCCTGCATGCGGCGCGAATGCTCTTCTGAGACGTCATCATCTTGGTTGACGGGAACCGCACCTACAGGTTCGTAAGGACCATTCAAGAGCATATCCCTGGCTTGCTTGACAAGTCTCGGAGGTTCATCGCTGCAGAATGATTGCACTGCCAAGATCGCAGGGCTTTGGCTACTTTGAGGCTGCCTGATCTGCTCAGTCAACAAGCAACACCGGATACGGAAAGCCATGTCGTAGAGATCATTGTTTTCATAGGGAGCCTGAGGCATTGCGAACAACATTGGAAAGCTCTCGTTGAGTTCTTCCAAGACAGGTTCTGCTTGGGTCTTGCGGTCTCCAATCTGCGCCGCATACATGGCAAGAAGGATGAGATTGGTCGACAACATCGCCTGGCTCGCATTGTCGAACTCTTCCTCATGATCGATGCCCGGAAATGACCCTATGATATCTGATGGGTCGATGAACGGCTTGGCTGGGCCGAGCCTGTTATGCTGTTCCTTGAAGAGGTTTTCGAGGAACCGGAGTCTGTTCCACCAGCTCCTGTCTCTGGATGGTGCGGCCTCCTTCTGAAGATGATCATAGAGCCTGGCAGAATAGTTTTCTATGCTTGGAATTACTATTTCCAATATGTCTTGCCACGAAACAGCCTCGGCTTCATCCTCATCCTCAGGTTCAGGGACAGCCGACAGGCCTAGGAGAAAGTCAGCAAGGATGCCGGTTGATAGGATGAATAGCAGAGAGTTCGCGGGACAGACCTCGTTCCTGAGGAGAAGGAGGACTACTCCCGCCGTCGGGCACATTCTGGGAACTTTCGGGGAAATCAAAACTTTCTACACTCTGCCCGCGGGTTCGCTCGGGGGCAAAGCGGCGTGGAAAGGTCGACTGTTGTAGCTTGCCTTCAGGTTTCTCTTCTCCGTCGCCGTGAGGAGTCTCGCCCTCGACGGCTGCTGTGGAGCGCGTCTGTCTGGTCTCTCTTGTTGGCCGGGAAGCTGCTGAAGACGCCGGGTCCTTTGCTGAGGCCTGGCCTCGTTTTCGGGGCATCTTGGAATTACGCGCCAGGAACACAACGGGGACCTGCAGAAAAGTTGATGGGCTCGCGCCTGCTAGGCTCTTGTTCAAATGATGGGAGACAAACAGTACGGCCAGAGAATGCGCGTGATGTTTGCTGGCTGTCTCGTCAATGGGGACGATGGCGTTCTCACGGGTTTAGGGTTTGAGGGTAGGGTAAGTTGAAGTTTGTTTATTTGCTGCCGTTTGACCGCACACGATTGGCCAGGAGCGACGCGCACGGCCACTGCATCCTTCTGTGCCAGCGCTTCTGAAGAAGGCAACAGCACTCAAGTCATAAGAGAGCATAAAACCAGGCTTTCATTTCCCCGAGGGGGAAAAGGAAGATAAGAAAAAAAAGACATCACAAAAGAGATTCGAATGAACTTGTCGGCTAAGCTATTCGGACGGATACCAGTCATTGATACAGCCCGTCTGTTATATTCTGTGGTTAGTTTCGTTACCATGTGTAATCTTTTCTTTTCTCCCCTCTGAGGAAAACTCGAGCGGATGAAAGCTCTTGAAATTGTGCTTGAAATGAGCCTTTCTCCTCTGTAAAGTTGAAAGCTCTAGTTATCCGATGAATCATTTCATTTTCCACAAGTTGCAAAGATAGGCAAGGCATCTATTTAGGTATTTCGTGGCGGGGATCAGGTTCTAGAAGCAGTAGCCTTGGCCAACATCAGGCCTGGGAACCGCGGGACTGGGACGCTGTCCAGGGGTAGAGAGCGGGCGCTCTAGCGTCTAGTTCCCTGATGTGCCGCGTCTAAAGAGCCCGGGGCGCGGCCTCCACCAAGGGCACGACATGGGTACCGGCAGCCGGACCCGGCCAGGCTTCCAGCCAGAGCCACTTGCCACCGACTCGACATGCTGAAAAGAGCATAGCTGACTGCCAGTAGCCTGCTTGAGTGCATTGCTCCTCCTTTTCAGTGCATTAAAGGGCGAATCTTGCTTTCGGCCTGGTAAGCCATAGAGTCCAGTAGGTGCCTAGCTGTAGAAGGCCCAACACGCGCCTAGAAACAGCCCAGCGGAATCCGGACCAAGTTCTTCGGTCTGCACATATTCACGCCAAGCAGATTCCATTGGGTGCAGAGTGAGCAGATGAGCGAGGAAGGACTTTGCTGTCGATAATTGTACTGGGATGGCCATAAGCCAATGCAGGTGGGCCGTCACGCTTGCTACCTAGGTAGTACTGCAACTGGTTGCGTGTGCTATTCTAAGAACAGCTGGTAGGTGCACCACATTGATTAACCAAAGGCGTTCAGTACCTTTTACTTTCTGTTAGTCGTGTGACGACAGCGACACGTCCTCGCCTCGCCTGACTTTTCCTCTGAACCCCTTAACTGAACCACGCCCAAGCCCGGATCAGAGTGCAGCGCTCTGTCTTGTTTTCTATTACCTGCTGTACCTTTTTTTGTGTTCTAGCTACTTAGCGACGGCTTCACAGTTGTTGGTGTTTGCACACGCCCCTCGAGCTTCGCCTAGCACGTTTGAAAGTCCGTCTCGTTTTAGGGGGGGAGGCTCTACCGCATTTGTCTGCAGCATTGTCATCATTTCCTCTGCCATTCGTGACACGTTCTGAACCACAGCCGGGTTCGCAAATCTTTTCTTCTCGAGCAACGACCTCTTATCCAGCCGAACCGTACCGAATCCCTCTCTTTGCCAACCCCAGTCTTCGCCGCGAATCCGACAATTTTTCGCAATGAGGCTGCGACAGGGACATGCGCCGCTTCTCCTCCTGCTCCTTCCGGCGCTCGCCCTTGCCTCTTCCGCCCCTGACGTCGACACGAGGTCGCTGGACGATTCCATCTCTGGCTCGACAAAGGCAAAGTCAGATGTCGGCACGAAAGATGCCCCGGTAGATGGCAAAGATGGCAAACCGCATAGCGGGCCCTTCGTCGACACCAGCAAATCGTCCGACTCTACAGCCTCCAGGAAGGAAAAGTCCATCATCGAGGATATAGTGCCCGACAAGGCCGGCTTGACTTCGGCCCACGGCAAGAGCAAGGACAACCCCGATGCCGACAGTGTCATGGACGATCCTCACCACCAGCCTCCCAAGAAGGGCACCACCGGTACCGAGGGGGGTGTGAGCGAGAAGGACAAGGCACGCAAAGAACAGGAGGTCAAGACCGGTGAGAAGGCCGAAAAGGTACCAGACTCGCCCAAGGAGGCGCCGCCTCTGCCCCAGAGCGAGCAGCAGAAGATCGCCGGCGACAAGAGCAGCAACAAAGACAAAGTCAAGGGCACCAAGAACACCAAAGGTGACAAGCTCTCGGACGATTTTACCGGCCTCGAGAAACCAGAGGACCTGCCCGACAAGCTTCGAGACAGCCCCAACCCCCTCCCCAACTCGGCCGCCAAAGATCATCTCGAGGTCACCAAGCCCAAGCCCAAGAAGGACTGGAAGGAAGACGCCGACGATGGCGGTGATGGCATAGTTCAGCCCTTTCACTCGTTCGTCTTGTCTCTGACCATGATCTTGGTCTCCGAGATTGGTGACAAGACCTTCCTGGTCGCTGCTCTGATGGCTATGAAGCACGATCGGATGCTGGTCTTCTCGGCTGCATTTGGGGCTCTGCTCGTCATGACAGTCCTCTCCGCTGTTCTGGGCCACACGGTGCCTACGCTCATTCCCAAGAAGTTCACTGCGTTCCTAGCTGCCGGCCTCTTCCTGGTCTTCGGACTCAAGATGCTGCGCGAGGGCATGGCCATGGACCCGAACGAGGGCGTATCAGCCGAGATGCAGGAGGTTGAGATGGAGATTCAGGAGAAGGAGCATGAAGCCCGGAAGCTGGGTCGCCGCCGATCCTCGGTCACCCCCTACGCGATGGAGTCGGGCTTCGGACGCAGCCGTAAGTCGAGGTCGCAGTCCCGCTTCCCGACGCCTCCAAGAAGTCCCTCTACATCCCCGGCTCGGAGCCCGTCTCCTCGCGGCGGGTTTATTGGCGGTGTCAGCCAAGGCGTCTCGAACCTGGCTTCTCTGCTACTGAGCCCGGCGTGGGTGCAGACATTCGTCATGACGTTCTTGGGCGAATGGGGCGACCGCAGTCAGATTGCCACAATTGCGATGGCCGCCGGTCAGGACTACTGGTGGGTTACTCTGGGTGCCATGGTAGGCCATGCTTGCTGTACCAGTGTCGCCGTCCTTGGCGGTAAAGCCATTGCCGGAAAGGTCAGCTTGAAAGTTGGTAAGTATTCATGGTCCACCCCGTCGTGCTGCTTAAACTAACCATCCTTACAGTCACTGTTGGTGGCGCCGTGGCATTCTTGGTCTTTGCTTTTATCTACTTCATCGAGGCATTCTATGCATAATCAGTCACGACGACATTTGTATTCGATTTCGACACGACTAGCTGTTGCATCCAATCCTGGACGGCCATATCCTTTGTAGGTTTCATTTCAGTGGGTCTTGGGCAATAAGGGTCTCTATAATGCTCAAATGACAATGGGCTTTCCTATGTAATATACTACGCAAAAGGGGATCCGGAACCGGCAACAACAGGGAAGGAAAGCGGAAGCGTCCTATCGATTTGCATGGGAGGAGTTCGGAAATAAACAGGCTTAGAGCAAGAGGGCGTCACCATATGCTCACATTTTGTACGAGTAGCCAGCAAAAATAATCAGGCCCAGAGGGGTCCAGGGCATGTCCTAAATGTCGATAGAGAGAAGAAAGGGTCAATTCAGTCATACTACGACATCGCAGATAAAGCTGCAACGATCAGGGTCTAATCACACAATCGCCAAAGGCTCAGAGCAAGACTCAGTGTCTAGGTGCTAAGTCGTGGCTATGCTTACCTCCGGAGCGAATTGCCCGAAGTTATTCGGAGAACCATGAGGTGAACACGCAAAGACGGCCCGATAGATCTCAAAGCACCAAAACCTACCGTTTGCCTAGCACCACGCGCGGGCCGTGCCACCCGCAGTTGCAGTCTCAAGTCTGACGACCAGGCCAAAAGGAGAACTAGCACAACGTTGCGGTCTGGAAGACACGGCTTGGCTGCCCGTAATAAGAAGCAAAAAACCGGATGCGTTGGGGATGTGCGTGGTGTAAGGCGAAAGCAGCGACGCGTGCTGTTTTGCCGTCTTCCTGATATCGTGGGTGTGTCCATCTTCCACTTATTCTCCCTGCCAAGTGGACTCCGCTACTGAGCTAATGGGTACGTTTGCGGGCCGTGGGATGGCCTCGAGGTGCAGTTTCCCTATTGCATTCAGGCCCAGTAAGCACCAAGCCAGCAGAGATGCATGGCGGACCTCCTGTGCCCTGGACTCCTTTTCAATCGTCTGAGCTGATCTGATGTTCGGAGTCCGGACACGCTAACTTGGGAGGAGGCACCAAGGGACCTGGCGGACCATGCTGCCAGACCTGCATAAGCTTTTTTTGCTCAGCGTGGTATTGACCATGGACAGCCTCGAAGGTTTGGAAGTGCTGCATTAGATGTAGCATTCCCGTAAACGTCAAAACTACACACAGGCGGTCCTTCGTCCTTGTATCTGGTCTGTAGTCCTCGCATGTCCGTACGGACGTAAAACGTATATCAGCCGGTCTCAAGGACTTTCAAGCGGGGGCTAATAGTTGGATCGTCTATACATGTACTGTATGTATGTACCCCGCTCCTCCGTCCTCGCGTCCGACTATCCCGAGCAGGCCCACCAAACTGTTCTCGGGACCCTGACGTGTACATCATGTCTGACGGAGCTTCTCCATAGTTATTGAAAACCGGAGGAAGAAAAAGGCCAATATTCATAAATTGCTTCGTGGCATCGTCCTAGCTCCGTGCGACCTTGATACTCACCTCCGTTGTATCTATAAGTCCAGGATATTCACCACACAGTCGGCACCATGTCACAGCTCTGGACCAAACCAACATCCCCCATCACGGAGACTGGACCCCCGAGTCCACCGCGGGCAGAGTCCCCCAAGGACTCGGGGCGACAAAAGAACCCAGGCCGGCGTATCGCACAGATCGTCAAGTTAAAGCCGGAGCACGTCGCCGAGTACAAGAAGTGCCATGCGAAGGTATGGCCGGAGGTATTACAGCAAATCAAGGCCTGTAACATAGCCGATTGTACGTCTAAATGCTATCGCAACTGCCTTCCCTCCCCCTTGTTTCTCTGGGTCGCCCGGACAGCCAGGAGCTCGTGTCGCTAACCGGCTTCCGAGGAACATAGACAGTATCTTCTGGGACGATGCCAGCGGCATCCTCTTCGCAACTTTCAAGTATGTCGGATACGACTATGCGGGCGATATGGAGCGCATGAAAGAGAACCCCAAGGTGCGAGAATGGTGGGCCATGACGGACGCCTACCAGGAGGTAAGAATATCCATCAGACATTGTATGCCGACTAGCCAGGCTAATGGTGTTTCCAGAGCTTGGTGCCAGGCGCGAAAAGCAGCGAATCCGGGGAACCGAGCTGGTGGAAGGGCCTGGAAGAGGTGTTCTACTTGCCATGACGAACGTCACGTCGGACTGACGATGGAGCCGGCCGCAGCTTGCCCATAGCTAGACGAGCCACGAACAATATTTGGCCCCGCCCCTGTGTCCCTCCGTGATTTAATTCATTCGTTTTGTGTATCATTTGAAGCTTCCAAACAAGCCGCCGAAGAGACCTTTCCCGCCGCCACCGCCTCCGCGTCCGCCGTGTCTCTTTGCCTCGTTGCGCACCCACTCCTCCAGGAACCGGCGGTCGGCGAGCTTGCGTGCGTCCATGACCTTGGTCTCGACCTGTGCCTCCTGCGCGTCAAAGCTCAGCAGCGTCGGGATCGAGGTGATCATGTAGGTCATGCCGAGGCCGTCGGCCATGATGTCCGGGGAGTCGAACTCGACGGTGCAGTAGCCGACGCCGCCCTCGGCCTCGCCGGTGCCCGACTCGATGACATCCTTCAGCAGCGGGGCGACGACGCGGCAGGTCGAGCACCAGTTGGTCGTCCACAGCGTGATGAGCGGCGTGCGGCTCGAGGACGAGAGCAGGAGGTACGTGTGTAGGTCTTCGGGGCGGCGGACACTGGATCGCCAGGGTGCCATTAGCAATCGGTAATCCACAGTAACAGAATAGATTTCTCTGGACTTGGAGCCAGAGCTTGGACTCACGTGTTGTAGATCTGATTGCTGGCCTTCCAGGGTCGCGACGATGCAAAAGTCCTCCTGCTGGTAGCTACGCCTGCACCCTTCAGAAAGGGCCGCAGCGTTGTCTGGACCTGAATTGATCGCATGCTGGAATAAAAATTGAAAATGAATGGGGCGAGAAGAGTGTGTGCTGGGAGCGCTGGTTTCTTCAATCGCAACTTGTGATCCTTTGATTATCGATCGGATCACTCAGGTCGAGCTCTGAAGCTTGGAAGACCGGAATGACGTCTCTTCGAGCTTGCTTCCCGAGACCCGCTGTTTTGACAGGGGTGGCCCCTTATACCGATTACTCTGCCCGTGGCTAAGTTGAGCACCCCGCGGGTGATAACGCATACTTCACATACTGTTGCCTTTCCTCTACTTATAGTTCTAATTCGGTTCATTCTTGTCTTGATTTCCTATGAGATGGTCTGAATTTCACCATGCAAGACTATGTGGTTCGTCGTGAGTGTATCCTGTACTTTGCTAAGTATTCAACTAGACGTAATGCTGAAACCTGAGACAAAATGTATCGTTGTATGCAATTCGCTGTGTCCAAAGTCCAATGCCCGAACCCCAATGTTCGTATCTACTGCGTCTTCCCGAGAGAACATTGATAAACCTAAAGATCCTCCGACGCCAATCTAATGCAGCGATCCAATGCAGTGCTAGTTACAGCGCTCAAAGCCGGAAGAACCAGCCGTCTTAGAACTTCTCCATCAAATTCTTCCTCACCGTCCACACTAGATGATTCACAAGTCAGCAATCGAGACTCTACTGGGGGTCTAATGGATAAGCAGCAGGCTGCGGCGTTACTTACTGCGAGCTCGCTTCCCGTAAATGTACATGGGAATCGAGAAAAGACAGAGGATCAGCTGTATGATACCGATCCAGATGAAGACCGACTTCGATCCCTCGTGTGTCAGCCACTCCGTTACGAAGAGACTAAACACCAAACCGTGGAAGATATTCTTGCTGAAGTTCAGCGTCACCAGGGCCTCACCAGCGTACTGGCGGTAGCTGTCCACACAGAACGTGATCGACGTGGTGGATCCGAGTGAGCAGCCGAACGAGGTGACTCCGAAGAAGACGGTCGGGACTATCCAGTGGTCGTTCTCGTGCGCCGACCAGCCGAATCCCATGAGCCCTATCACCGTGGTGATCGCGACCGGGCCGGCCATGACGAGCCGGAATTCGGGCTCGTACAAGCCGCCGTTTCTGCGTGCCATCGCCTTCACAATGACGTCGCTGACTTTGCCTGCGACCGCCGTGCCGAGGACACCTCCGATAAAAGGGGAAAGATACACGAGACCTGTGGCCAGGGCGCCGAAATGATAGCTGCCCTCGCGGTAGATGATCGCCACCGACTCCGAAATGACAATGAGCCAGCCGATCGAGCAAGAGTAGATTGCAGCCGACCAGAGGACTGACGGATACGCAAACAAGATGAAGGGCCGGATCGCCGCCTTCCACCATTTATCATTGTTGAGTCGGCCATGGTAAATCTTAAGCTGTTGGCTGAACGACTTTGGAGGCGCCTCGCGCAGGGCATGAGTATACTGCTGACCCCTGGATGCGGCTTGAGAGATGGAAAATTTCTCGCTCTCAGTGTCGGGGCTGACGGGACCGGCAGCTGGCCGTATATCGTAAGCATGCTGTCCCTCGATGTCCCGCTGTTCTCGGAAATGGTCCTGGGTTGTAGCCAACGGGGAAGCGGGGGGCATAGAAGCATGCGGAGATACAGCGCTGCTAGCGGACTGTCTGGACATTAGAATGGGACGCCCAGGCGACCTGGGCGTGCTAGCACCCGAAGGAACACCTTCCGGTTTCACAACCTCGACAGCCGGGGCCGCGTTGTCACTGACAGCTCCCGAACCGCCGATAGCAGGCCCAGCCGCAACATCTGCGCTATGTTCGTGTTCAACACTGGGTGCGAATCCCACATGAGCGCCCCTATGGCGATGGTGATGCGTTGATGAAGTTGGGTCTTCAGGTGCAGCTTCCGGTCCATGGGCGAGCTCAGCTCCTTCGGTTGTTGGGTGGTGGCTGTCTGGATGCTTGATCATGGTGGGGATAACGTTCCTTGAAGATCTCCGGCTGAAGAAGCTAGGTCTCTTGGTAGGTTTCCGAGATTTTGGGAGGGGAGTCCTGTCCCAAAATGTCTCTGGAACAAGCAGGTACAGCAGGATACCCGAGAATCCAACGATGATGGCAACGATCCTATTTGCAAACTATATTAGAAATCGGAGGGAAAATTAGAGGTGACTCCATGCTTTCTTACCAAAAGACCCATCGCCACCCAAGACTGGAGATAACTACCGCACTGACGAGCGGAACAAGGTTCTTGCCGCCCAAAAGCAACAGTGTATATATTCCAATTCTGAAGGCCCTTTCGTGCAAAAAGAAAATCTCGGCTATGGTAGCGGACGGTAAACACTCAACAGGACTGACAGCGATGCCCTGGAAAACTCGAGCCACGAGCAGGGACGTAAAATTTGGTGATAGCGCACACCAAACATCCGTCAAGATCCATAGGATAGCACTGGCCAAGTACACTGGACGTTTACCGTAAAGGATGGCAGTGGGACTGAATATCACTGAGCCAATTCCCAATCCCATCATGTATAGGCCTGTTGTCAAGGACACCTGAGAGACTGGGATATCGTAGTCTGTGAACGGTCAGATATTGGTTTGAATTCCACATTGAAAGGCAAGACCGACCTTCGGCAACGTCTGTGAACCCTGCTGCGATCAAGGGCGTAATGCCACCTCCAATCATACAGTAGAGGCCAAGGGATAGCAATGCCATATCTCTACGCCATGCCGCCCAATTCAAAGGGTCGTTGTGCGAGTCATCAGGCTGGGGATCGAGAATGATTTGGCGATCCTTGGTCATCTTCTTCTCAAGGTCAGGAGGTGGCGGTTCTGGCATGCCTGTCGGCAGCGATGAATGGGAAGTCCTGGCCGGAGCATTCCGGAGTCCCAAAGGCTCATTGCGTCCCTGGGCGAGTAACAAGACAGAACCTGGTGCATCTTTTAGCATACAGAGTGACAAACCATAAGACCACAGTGACGGCGCATACCTGGAACTTCAATGGTCTCCTTATCGTTAAGCATCCCCATATTCCATGTTGCCCTGCTCTGCTTCTCGTTTACGTTCTCAGTCGAAGAATCCCCATGGTTAGTACTTTTCTTGGCGAAAAGTCCCTTCCACCCGCGCCGAGGCTGCGATGCTTCTTCCGCCATCTTGCCGTACAATTCCTCTGAGTCAGAAGACTGGGCTTTATGACGGGCGCACTGGACGATCGGACAACTTGATTGCAACCAATTTAATAACAAACCGCTCAGTGAAAGCAGAAGCTATAGGGGGAAGAATAGGCACATAGGGGTGAGGTACTGAAAGGGATCGTTAGATCGTAAATCGTCCTTTTGGATCTTTGTGTTGTCGTCAAATCCAAGGACTAAGTCAGTGGCCAATGGCGAGTCAGGCTAGTGCACGCTGCCAACCGGTATCTTGGGTTGCAGGTTCCCAGCAGATTCCAACGTCCAGAGCCTTCCCAGCCGTGCCTGCAGAACCGATGACTTTGAAACTGAGCGAGTCTCTTGACAGTCGTGTTGGCAAAACAAAAGATAGTGGCAGAGTCACCAAATTGTGGTGGAGTCGACGGGCACTAGAAGAAGCTCGGGCTCCAACAGCGAACGATGAACCTTGCGTGATCAATCTCGCTGTTGGCTCAGACGATAGTCTAGATCGTAGAAGTGTCCCGAATACTCGTCAGAATCAACAACAGCGCCAGGGAGGAATAAATGGCAGAAATAGGCGATAGGTGATCGAAAAGGTCTGCGTCTCAGTCGGCAACTGTTGGCACAGCAAGATAGAGAAAGTTGACCACACCAGCTTGGACTGTGCCTTGACTCCGCCTCAAGGGAAGCAGGATCGAAGAAGAGGGATGAACCTTAAGATATACAACGAAACAGAAAAGCCACCATGCCCCATGTTCGAGCTGACTACTCTACTGCACACTTGTATGTCTGATAAAGGGACCTGGGGAAGCCTAGTTGCCCAGCCAGATCGACGTGGAGAATGGGTTGGCCATCACCCTGATAGACCGCCGCGCTCCAGAAATTCTCCACATGGGATGGGTTCAACGCAAGATAATCAGCACGTCCATCGTATCCAGGCCAGGATTCCCGTTAGACTCAGGCCAATAGGCATGCATGATACATGGGGATGTGTGGGTGCCAACATGAACGACACAATGCAGTCGTGGTCAGGCGGCCCTGTTCACATGATGGATGACCTCCGCGTTGAAGTGATGGCGGCTGGGTTGCTTCTAGTCACCCGCCAGTGGGCATCGTGAAACGCGCAGGCCTGCCTATGCTGTGGCACTAAGAAGTGGCAGGAGGGAGAGAGCCCAGGTGCACACCTTGGAACTGCTCGCCTTGGCAGTAGAAACATGTCATGGCCGTACATGATGCGTGAAGGCCAACGGTCGGCTCATCACAGTATCCCGCCATCCAGCGCTGTCCAGGGGGGTCCCGAGGCCTAAGATCTGACTTGCGACAGCATGCCACCCTGACCCCGAGCGATGCACTATGACGCTGAGCTCCACCCGCCTTAGCAGTCGCACACACAGAATTAGGCGGCTGATTCGCTAAAGTAATGCGCCAGGGTCCCGCTGCTGGGCGAGCTGGCTGGGCGCTGCAACGTCCAAAATAACTATCACCCGAACAAAAGGCAGCGTGCATTAACGCTCCGCCACTGGACTCCATGCTATTGAGTATCGATCGATTGTGTGTTTCGCGCGCCAATCCCGCCATATACACATCGCGAACCGCTAATTAAAAAAAACCCCCAGGCCCTCGGGTGGAGACTTGAGCATACATGCGTCGGTGAGAAGGAAGAGCAGAGGGGACTCGCGGATACCTACCTAGGTAGATGGGCAAGCTAGTTGGGCACAAAAGGGCAATACCCTCGTCGTCGTGCAGGGAGGGACTTGACTAGCCGTTGGGTTGATCACCAACGCTCCGCAACGAGGGGGACTCTCGAGTCAAGCAACTTTGACCGCCGCATTAGCCAAGGAGAGCCACCATGGCCATGCGCATACCGCCCCTGTTGGAGCCTTACTTGCGCCTCCCTCCGGAATCGTCCCTCATTGTCCTCACACACGTGCTAGGGGCCAGCACGAACTGGCTCGTCCAGCGCTACCTATGCTCGCTACTAGGCAATCCTGGACGTGGTGTGGCTAATGAGAACGACCAACATGCCACCGCCGACAAGGAATGCAGCGTGGTCCTGGTGAGCTTCATGCGGGACTATGCCTTCTGGAAGGAGGGTGCCGGGCGGCTCGGGCTGGATCTGGATGCGCTGTCACAGAAGCGCAGATTCTCTTTCGTCGATGGGCTGAGCCAACTCTTTACTGGCGCCTCAGGCGATGGATCCAGGGCAAAGTCGAGAGACGCTTCAGGTCAAAGGGTTCTGCAAAGCAGTACATTACAGGACCTGCGCAGCGTTGTGAGTCAGGCCTTGGCAGAACGAACAACACGAGATGTTGTCTTGATCTTGGATAATCCAGACTTGCTTCTATCCGCCGCTGGGAGCGAGATGACTGCACAGGCTGTGAGAGAGACCCTTTTGGATCTAAGAGAGGTAAGGACCATAGTGGGCATTTCGTCCGGGGAGTTCATTCTGACAGTCTATTCAACGGGCTCGAAAAGGGCTAATGCATGACTTTATAGACCGTTTCTTCGACAATAGTAACATTAGCTGTTGATGAACCACTGGTTTCTGCGCAAACAACATCACTGGAAAAAGAGCAGGCGTCGTTGGTATTATCACTGGCCCACGAGGCTGAGCTGCTCCTCAGTTTGAGGCTACTGGACACTGGCACCGCAAGGGACGTGAGCGGCGTGCTGAGGGTGACGCACGGAGGGGCTTCTACTGGGCTTGCGTCAGAAGAACGCGAGTTACTGTACTTCGTAGGCGGCGATGGAGGGACTCGTGTATTCGAAAGAGGGCAATGAACTGCAGCAGATACAGCAGCCGCGAACCAACAGAACACAACGAATAGCCCCATCCAACACTCGTCCGCTCGACCGCGGGATAGGTCATCGATAGGGGCAACATGTGATGAAGATGAACGCCGCAGATCCAGTGTACCATATCGTGATTCATCACCCTGCATTCCATTGATTCGTAACGAGGTAGAAAACCGCGTGGTCTCGTCGTGTGAGAAAAGCAACCTTGATCGAATTGCTACAGTAACATTCCCGTAAACGGTCGAGATGCCATTTCATTCCCTGGACCAGTACCGAAAGATGCAATCCATTTTCACGCCGAACCGCCAATTTATTTGGCCATGCCTATCGTCTCGCAAAATGCCACGTCACGTTCCAACCCCTTATGCCTTCAGCGAGCCAGGGCCTCGCGAGTCCTTGGGCACACCAGTCTGGAATCCGTTCTTGAAGCGGCGGGAGACGTCCTTGAGGTATCGCATGCGGCCAGTACCGACGGTCTTTCTGCGCTTGGCCTTCTCGCCCCAGTTGTCTGTTAGGAAACAGCACCGTCAGCATCATGATCTGTGTGGGCGTATCCTGTTTCACTTTTCTCATGCCGCCAGTATCGGGAACCGGGCAGGTCGAGAGCATGGGGCGAACGTACACTTTCGGGTCTTAGCAGCGGGGTATCCGCAAGAAGCGCAGGTGTGCTTCTGGATGTGAAGAGAGCGGCGGCCTGTAGTTCAAGTCCAAGTCAGCCCACCATTGTCCTTGCCCCAACACGTCCTCGGCGAGGATCGGGTGTCGCTACTGACCACATCGTCGGCACAGGGTGTGCGTCTTGTTGTGGCGCTTGCCGAAGCTGGAAGTTCCCTTGGCTGTTCCTCGCGGTCAGTTGATTGTTCCTCAAGTCGGCCGACTCAGATCGAGCGTGTCGTGTATCGTCGTCTTCGTCGGCGGGTAGCAGGGTACGAACTCATCTTGAGACTGCGGGCACACGGTTAGGTCAGCTGGGAACAAGTGGTTTCGACAGAGGGCAAAAAATCGCGGGAGCAACAGTTGCGCAGGGTCGGGGGCGGATGAGGCGACTCACCTTCAATTGGGGACTCGGTACTGGGCGTTGGGCGTTGGGTGGTGATGTTGCGAAATTGGTCCGGGTCTGGCTTCACTTCAAAATCCGACGTCGAATAATTTTCCTCGCACACAGAAACTTTGGGGAGGTTGCGCTTTGGGGTTTGTGGATCAGCTGACGAGTGGGGCGTTGCGAAGTTTTGCCGTCTGCCACGCTCGGCTTAGTCCGCCTCGGCCGCCGAACTGCATAAGAGCTGGTAGCTGGGCGGGGGGATGCACCTCGGACGGGGCTATTTATCAAACCGGGGGCGGGCTGATCAATCGGACATAAGATAAGATAAGGCTCCAGGCTCCCCATCTCCCATCCATTCCTCTGGTTATCGGCTTCACTGTGCAGCGAGCGAGGCACGGTCTCGTTGTACTGTGCAGTCGGCTGGTAGGGGGAGTACTGTCCAGTACCTACAGCAGGTCGTTGATTGCCCCTCCTCTCTACCTATGTACTGTAGTTACACGCTTGCCATGGCGTCACGGCGACGAGAGCAATCGATTGATAGTGAGAAATGAGGGATCACATCGTATCTAATATATTCAAACATATCTCGCACACTCTGCAGGATTGGATGCAATGAGTTGTCATCATTCACTTTGAGCAGTCATCCGTTTTCTGGACTGGGCAAACATCCATCGAAACCCGTCCCACCACCCCCCTTGCCTCTCTCTCTGTCTCTCTCCCCAGGTCTTCCGAGAGCTACTAATGAGTTGAGCTAAGAAGCTCATGGGAGAGAGCTGCCCCGCTGACCTGCTGCCCCCCCCGTGCCGTCACCCGTCCATTGTCTGAGAGCTGCCTCGCCCATGTGACGAAACCGTTGACTGGGAGCCTTGGTCCAACGCATCAGCTTTAGTCAGGGCGAAGCTCGCAACGACTTACAGCTTGTCACTATTGCCAAGGCATCCGTCAGTAGGATAGCCTTTTATCCACCGTAGCCATATGATACAGCTTGCCTGAGTATCTTCCGTCCAACGCCGGCCTAGCCCATCTTCATCTTCATCTTCATCTTCATCTTCAGTGAACCACATCCTACTTATCTACGTGCGCTGCCTGTCTTGTTCTGCACGGCAACCAACAAGCAGCACCCTTTGATATTCCTTTGTGTATCGACACTCAGCGCACGGCTCGAGTCTCAAACACCTCCCCCGACACACGCATAACAACGCGCCCACCGTCAGCCGTCGCCCACGATGAACTACCTCTACTCGACCGTCAACACGATACGGGATAAGTACACGCCTGTAACCCACACGTCGACCTTTCGCAAGACGGGTCAGATCACGCCCGAGGAGTTTGTTGCTGCGGGTGACTACCTCGTCTTCAAGTTCCCGACGTGGCAATGGGCTGCTGCCGACAATGAATCCAAGCGCTACCCCCACCTCCCCGCCGACAAGCAGTATCTGGTTACACGGAACGTCCCGTGCCATCGCAGACTCGACGATGACTTTGCCGGCGATGCCGGCCACGAGGAAGCTGTCGTAGGGGATGGCGACGACTTCAAGCAGAAGGGTCAGGGTGACGACGATGACGGCTGGTTGCGCACCGGCGGCCTCAGCAGTTCGCAGCCGCTGAAGGCCAGGGAGGTTCGCACCGTCGACGATGCGGGAAACGTTGGCGACATAGAGGACGAGGACGAGATCCCAGACATGGAGGATGAGGATGACGACGACGAGGCTATCATCAGAGATACCGACGCGCACAAGAGGACCGGGTGAGTATTCCCTGCCAACAACATCGCATCGCAGCGCGCAGCTGATACTCATTCTCGCAGGGCTCGCCGGACGTACAACCTTTACATCATGTATTCGCCTTACTACCGCACTCCGCGACTCTATCTGTCAGGTTACTCGGAAGGTCTGCCACTGGCCCCGCAAGCTATGATGGAGGACATTGTTGGCGATTACAAGGACAAGACCGTCACTCTAGAGGACTTTCCCTTCTTCGCTCAGAACGTTAAGATGGCCAGTGTCCACCCTTGCAAGCACGCTTCCGTCATGAAGACGCTGCTGGATCGCGCTGATGCTGCGCTAAAGATCAGGAGGGACAAGCTCAAGGCGGGCAAGAACGTCGGGCATGATTCTGGTATGGAAGGTTTGGTCGACGAAATCAACAAGCTGGACGTGAAGAGCGCAGAAGCTGCGGCAGACTCCCAAAGCAACGACGAGTGGGAGGAGGTCGAGGCAGAGGACCAAGACGTCGCTATCCGGGTTGATCAATACCTGGTCGTCTTTCTCAAGGTTGGTGTCTCACAACACGTCTTGCTGCAGTCCAAGCGCCCATCCACTAACACATCTGCAGTTCATGGCCAGCGTCACCCCTGGCATCGAGCACGATTTCACAATGGGCGTATGAACAATTCTGTCTTTCTGCTCGACGGACTGCGTATAAAGGTATTGAGTGCCAGGAAGCGGATCGATCTTCTGCAAGCACGGTAGCGGCGTTTGGGGATTTGGATGCACGGAGTTCTTGTCAGGTATAGAGTAGTGATTACAGTCTTCTAGAGTGCACAATTGCAGAGTGTCCAGACAAAGCCCAGTAATACGTAACGCATATTGGCTTTTCATGTTTTCGCTACGCCTGCTTTAGATGGGAGAATCTTGAAGAGGCAAGAACGTGAGACAAGCGAAGACTCGCGGGCGCGCATCAGCTGAGACCTGTTGCCATTGGATAACCGGGCACAACTTCGTTCTTGACAGACTTAAAGACTGCCACGATGACGAAGTACAGCTTAGCTACTAATTGTGATCACTTGTGTCACCTTTGTTTTCGCGGGTGGTCAAAATAAGCTTAGATGGATAATGGTTGTTTGAACGAGGGTAAATTATTTTTTCCAAAAACGGCTATTCAAGAGTTCTTTTGGGTATCTCACAGACTTTCCCCCACGTTGTACAATATGCAACAAACAGATGTCTATAAATGCGAGTCTCGTATACAGACATGGACATCATCATATCAAACCGGAAAAAAATCCAACTGCTCTTCTACAACGACGATCCTTGGACCTTCTCAGGGTTGCCTTCCGATGAGTCGGCCTTCGTCTTCGGGGTCTCGGACACGTCGAGGGTCTTGGCGCCGTCCTCGCCGTCACGGCTGCGTCGCTCCGACACGGACTCGGCGACAGGCAGGTCGTCCTCGCGCCAGAAGTCCTTCTTGCCCTTCGACAGGCGCACGACCCAGCCCGGCAGGAATCCGCCAGGGATCCTCCAGGTCCAGGGGTCCTTCTCGGCCTTGTTGGCCGGCACGATGCGGCCGCCCGAGGCCTTCTCGATGATCCAGACGACCGTGTTGATCAGGATGTACGAGCACACACCGGCGATCAGGCCGTCGGCGATCGAGTATGAGAAGGGCATCAGAGCGATGGTGAGGAAGGCCGGAATGGCGTCGCCCATGTACGTCCAGTTGATTTCGGTGACGTGCTTCATCATCATCGAGCCCACCAGGATCAGGACGCAGCCGGTGGCCCAGGGAGGAATCGAGGCGAAGATCGGCGCGAAGAAGATGGAAATGAAGAAGCAGATACCGGTCACCATGGCGGTCAGACCAGTCTTGCCTCCTTCCGAGATACCGGCACCGGACTCGATGAAGGCAGTAATTGGGGGCGTGCCCAGGATGGCACCAATCGAGATACCGATGGCATCAACCATGTAAGCGACGGAGGAGCCCTCAAAGTCCTGGGTAACGGGGTCCATGAGGTCGGCAAAGCGGGCCATCGAGTACAGAGTACCAGTACAGTCGAGAATATCGACGTAGAGGAAGGTGATCAGAGCAAGACCAAACTGGCCGCCGTAGCCTGAGATATCCCACTGCTGGACGTTCAGTGTCCTGGAGATCTGGTGGAAATCCACAACCTTTCTGAAGAAATCGAACGAATCGTCACCCACGGTGGTGTACGGGAAGTAGGTGAACGAGGTGGTTCGGGGCCACGAGATGATGCTGACAAGAATGATACCAGCGATGATAGCACCCTTGACACGGTACATCATGAGCATGACGGTGAAGATACCACCACAGAAAATACCAATCCACATGGCAGGGTTACGCATCTTGCCGCCGTCGGGGCAAAGGCCAGTATCCGGGTCGCGCAGGGCTGATTCACAGCCTGCAAGCTCGAGGGGAGTCGAGGTAGCGCCAACGATCAGGCCGAGACCCTCGCTGTAGGTCAGACCAATAAGGGTCAAGAACAGACCGATACCGACACTGGTGGCCAGCTTGATCGACCTCGGGATAGCACGGGCGAGCCACTGACGCATGCCGAAGAGGGCCAGCGCGAAGAAAATCCATCCCTCAACGAAGATGGCAGTGAGTGCCACCGAGTAGGGGACAGTGCCAGTGCCGTGGAAACCGACGACGGTATAGGCGAAGTATGCGTTCAAGCCCATGCCGGGCGCTAGGGAAACGGGCCTATCCAGTATGAGTCGAGAATTGGAACCTCGGTCAGAGCGCATCGAGACTTACAGGTTGGCGAAGAGTCCCATGCAGAAAGAGGACAAAGCCGAGATAGCAGCAGTAGCCGTGACCAGGTCGCGCTTGATTTCAGCAGAGCAAAGGGCATATTCGACGTTGTTGTTGCAAATCGGGTCATCGGCGCCTCCATTGCAGACACATGTGCCACCGGTATCAGCGACGATCGAAGAGTTGACAGCGAGGATATAGGCCATGGCGAAGAAGGCAGCTATACCAGCACGGATTTCAGTAAAGAAATACGAGCCCTTGCGCTCTTTTTTCTATAAGTTGCATGCCATGGTCAGCCTCTTGATTCCCATTGGGCTTCTGTATAATAGGGGCGCTCCCTCCGCTTCGACAACTTACATGGCCTGAACCCTCCAGCCGGAACCATCGTCCGACTGGACTGGCCGCAACCTTGGCATTGGCCTTGTGCACCCACGCCGGCATGATGTGGATTCCTGGTGATGAGTATTCTGGGGTGTCGTGGGGATAGTAATACCCAGTCCAGACGAGGGCACAGGGTCTCGAAATCCAAAGGACTCAGTAAGGTTTTGATGGGCAAGTGGCGACAGCCACAGTCGGATTGAGTTTCGTTACCGAGGAGTAAAGGTCGAGTGTTCACGCGAGCACATGTTTTCACATAAAAGTTTCTCGAGGGTGTGCCAACTTTTAAGTACGTACAAGGGCATTCCGAGCTCAACCATGTCAAGCCCTGCAGTGACCAGCCCCAGGGTCCAGGCCAGTGTCTTGGCCGCAGCTATTCCCCATCCTGGTGAAGGGCGAGGCTACTGCGGCAGGCAAGGTTCGGAGGACTCGCTGGAAGGCCAGCAGATAACCATGTCGTAAATGGATTGGTGACAGACAAATCGGATGTGATAATAATAGATAGGGCACCTCCTTATCTGCCCGGGCCTTGGCAAAGACGCAAGTCAAGCAACCGTTCCCGCAAGCCGAGTCGCGCTTGAGGACACGCAGTGGGAACTTTTGGATTACACGGGAGAACGCCTCAATTCAGCCAAGCACCGAGATATCTGCAGCCTACCGTTCAAGCTGCTGTACGTCGCAGCCTGACCGCAGAAGTCATACATGACTGTTCTGAGCAGAAGTCTGCGGCATCCCAGTACCTAAGGACTGTGGCCGTTGAGCAGCTCTTGAGATCGTCGAAGAGGGAGAAATTTCTGCTCCGGTCTTGAGCCAGTGGCTTGGCAATGTGGGAGCGAAGTTGCCTCCGCCGCACCATTTCCCCCGACTAGCCGTGACTCTGAATCTGAAATTTCGCCGAATGGCCGTCTTGCGGCGAGATTGGTTCTAGCTGCCAGGCTGACGCACTCAGTGTGTGCTTCAAAGACTATGGGCTTGGCGAGTCGCTGCCGGCGACACACATACATGCGAGACGGTCCGCGCAGGCAGGCCTCGATCCCCCGAATTTCCAGAACTTTGGACTAAAACTCTTATTCGCGGGGGATTAACCAATCTACCCCACCCCCTGTACCGTTGTATGCGCCCCTTGACCCCCTTGTGAGCCAGGTCGCGCGATGACGGTTTTCTATGTGTCTCGTCCCATTGATCTTGAGCGTGTATCAAGCGCCTGAGATCAACACTACCGTGGTGTCCTATGACCTGTGCGGCACTGAGAAGCCACTAGAGCCGAAGAGGTATGTTCGCCTATCTCGCCAAGAGCTCACACCCTGCCTTGCCGACCCAATCCCACGAGGGCGCGGCGACTTCCTGGCTTACGACTGTCAGTTCAACCCGCCGATGACCGATGACTAGGCCGGCTGCTTGCGAGCATGAATTGGGGTGCTTTTCTGTCCATCACATCGGCCAAATGCTATCAGCTGAGGGAAGAAACGCCTCCAGGTATGCAAGGAGGGCAGTCCATCTTCAGCTGGATGATGATGTTGCTTTAAAGCCTCGGAGAGTGGAGCTGGACGGTACCACGGATGGTCGGACCAGCTTAGGGCTACTCCACCAGCCGGCCGCCATCCGTATCCGGTCAGAGACATCAGCAACTTTGTCCAACATCAGAAATTTGTAGGTAACACAAACTGAACCGATTGGACCGAGGACGACATGGGCAGAATTGCTTGTTTTCCTCAGCAGTATGGATATGGGGTTGACCCAAAACCATGGCACTTGCCTAATATGTGAGTATCGCATCCGGGGTATATACGGGGCTTGAAAGGGGCCACTAGGACAAGCCAGCAAAAGGCCAACGCTATATATAATAAGCTGGCAGGCCTGGTAGGAAAGAGGCAGGAAAATGTCACGGGTCTACAGACGGCTGTGCACAGAACGGACGAGTGCATTGTTAATGGCGGGGGATATTAAATTGAAACTGAAATTGAAAATGACTTACCCATCTAAGAGGAGAGAGTTTTAGAAGCCCGATACTCAGCTAGCAAATCCGCTCTTTGACGCTGAATTGGTAAGTAATAAGTACCGAAGCTCAAGGTTTCATGAAGCGATATATGCCCATGCCTCTGCGTTGTCTGTCCTGTGCTATTGGAGGTCTGCCGATAATGCCATATGGATTGCCGTTGTGTTGACTTGATTTGACTTCAGCTCTATATTGAAGCTTGGCAGTATTTCGCACCGCTGCTCCGCACTGACTTCCGGCGACTGGCAATAGCGGCCACCATGTCGGGCTTCTTCGTGTGTAGTGGTCTGGCAGTTGGTAGGCTGGTGAATACTTTTGCACTCGTGGTCGATGTATCTGATTTTCGAAATGATTTTGTAAACATGATGCGGCTCTTGTTGACCTAATCTACCAGGGATTGCCTGATCCTCCTGGCTCAGCATTGCATCCTATAAACAAATGCTCTTAACTTCAATTAACTACACTGACAGCGGCAGCAAATGCATACAGTTCTCCTTTGAGTGATGTTCCTGCAACTCATATGTTGTGCAATCCGACATTTTGCCATGTTTCCGTTGTCGTATTGCATGATGCAGCACGAGGAACCGTGTCATGTATCACCACATCTCTGGTGGACTTCAAACCAGCCTCAGCAAACCTGCCAGTCCAAGTCAGAGCCAAGAGATATGCACGTTACAGTCCCCTCATTTAGCTTGCACGCGCTTGCAGTGGAAAAGGGTTGATGCTGACGCCAGCAACTGCCGAAGGCAATGCTGACTTGGTGAAGAACTAGGCCAAGGACTGAGTCTATCTTGGCATGAAACCGTGGCATAACTGTATGCGCAGTCATCAGAGAATTAGGGCATAGTAAGTTTTTGAACGCGCTGTCGGTCAAGAGGCGGCCGCGCGCACCGCATGCTGTAGACTTGGGTAAAGAAAGTCGGAGTATCCCTTGCGGGACGTCACAACGCTTGCATGCTGGGTATGCGGTCGGAACTCCGCACCTAAATATCTCATTCTCGAGCCTACTATAATCTATATACCTCTGTCACACTCTTGTTTCTTCCACTTGCGTACTCTAACTCTTGCCTTCAGTCAAAATCGAGACTATGGAAGAAAAGACTAGGCCTCGCGAAGATGTCGAGACTTCGAGGTTAGATGCTATAAATGTGGCTCAAGATGGCTTGGCTGCTACGGACAAGTGGGTGACGAGCTCCTAAGCTACTACATATTTTTCTTTCTACTTACCTGATCTCAGATACGGCTCAGCGCTCGTGGAATTCGATTCTCATGCCGAAGCACGCCTCAGAACAAAGATCGACTTCGCAGTAGTGCCTCTAGCCGCGCTCATGTTCCTGTTCTGCTCCATTGATCGGGCTAACATAGGTTTGTCCGAATCATGACGTAGAAAACTGCACATTCAATGGCTGATCTTCCTAGGCAATGCCAGGCTAGCTGGGCTGGAGAAGGATCTGGGTATGAGGGGCAATGACTATAACGCTGTCAACAGTATCTTATTCGTGGCCTATCTTCTCTTTGAGTTTCCACATAATTTTCTGTGCAAGCTCATAGGACCCGGATGGTATCTACCTGGACTTACGATGGGTTTCGGATTAGCCTCTATTGGTACCGCGTATGTCCACAACTTCTCTGAGTTAGCCGGTGTACGGTTTGTGCTGGGCATGTTTGAGGCTGGCGTCATGCCTGGGACAGCATATTATGTGGTGAGTGTATGGCCATTTGCAACTGCCACCTAATCCTTGCCCCGAAATCTATTTCTCGTGTTAGCACAAATAAGACCCAGCTGACCTTCGTCTAGAGAACCCCCAAGTATTTACAACAATATGAAGTCTTTGGAAGTTGGCCACTAGATAGACATAGCTGCTGACCCTCATAGTTGTCTCGATGGTACCGGCGTTCAGAATTAACTTTCCGGCTTTCGCTATGTGAGTAATGATGTTGCTGCAGTGCACACTATAAGCTACGCAGTCTATATAAGGCGACTAACATTGATCGATAATGCAGATATTGTAATGGCACCCTTAGCTGGGGCTTTCGGCGGCCTGTTGGCGTCGGGCATCCTCAACGTAAAAGGCTTCGGGGGGTTTGCCGATGGGTCGTGGCGCATGATTTTTATTATCGAAGGCGTCCTCACAGTCTTTGTCGCTATACTGTCGTTCCTGTTCCTCACAGACCGACCGGAAACAGCGCGTTGGCTTTCAAATGAGGAGAAGGATCTTGCGATTGCTCGCGTAAAGTCCGAACGCGTGGCCGTCACATCTGTGTTGGACAGGCCTGATTGGAGAAAGCTTTGGAAAGGCCTGGCCAACCCTGTCACGATCGTGACTGGGCTTTGCTTCCTACTGGAAACAGTGACTGTTCAAGGACTATCTTTTTTTGCACCCACAATCGTCAGGTCGATCTACCCCCGGGCATCAGTTACTTCGCAACAACTGTATACAGTACCCCCTTATGTCGTCGGAGCAGTCTGTCTACTCGTGATGAGTCTCTTCAGCTGGAAGACAGACAGGAGATGCATATATATTGTTCTCTGCGCACCCACCGTGATGATCGGCTATATCATGTTCCTGTCGACCGTGGACTCGACAGCTCGATATGTGGCTTTATTCCTCATAGCCAGCACGGTGTTTACACCAGGAGCGTTGACCCACGCACAAGTAAGTGCCAACGTCGTAAGTGATTCGGCGCGCACTATGTCGATTGCCTCGAACATGTTCTTCGCCAATATTGGAAGCCTCATCTCAACGGTATGTAACATTTACGAAAGTAAATCACTCCGAGCATTTTGAGCCACCTTACACCGTGGAAACACGTTTAACCCTAGACACTTGCTAACCCAAGGTCTAGTGGTCATTCCTCAGTTGGGACGGCCCGGACTATCGTATCGGAAATGGTCTCAATCTTGCAACCTCTGGGGCGATGCTGATATTGGCAAGTGGATTACTTTATTGGATGAAAAAGGACAACGAGAGAAGAGCGCGCAAAGACATCGACGAGGAGCTTTCAGGTTTAGACCAGCATCATATTGAGGATCTCGACTGGAAGCACCCTGCATTCAGATGGAAACCATGAGCACGGCAATGGGAGAAGTGGGAGATGAATTGCGCGGGGTGAACATCTTGTATTGGGATTGATGCATTGGGTATAGATCTGCCAGCAGATGGGTAGACATCAGTTCCCTCTATCGCCTAAACAAGGCGGCGTTCCCGCTCATCAGATGGGATCCACCAAAGGACCACCGAGTCATCATCACACCAGATCGTCTCCTCTCGGGTCTAGTACAATCCGATACAGATATCTCCACGGACCCTTGCAGTCAAGTGTACCTCGGCCTCGAGATCCAGCTTGATTCCGACGAGCAAAGCCGCAGCCTTCTGCTTTCCTTCGTCATCTACAGCACCACGGAGCAATTGACCTAGCACAGTATCGTTAGATGCTGACACAATATCAATTACACCTAAGTGAAATAACTTACCAGCAGGCTGGGAAAGACCCGAGGATGTCGGAAGTTGAGGTAGAGGTAGAACTTGTTGGTTCTGCTGGTTAACCTGAGCCAGGGCTCGACGTCCGCCCCGGGCTTGTCCGTCTGAATCGGAGTCGCTGTTGAAAGCGGCATCGTTTCTCAAGGGATTGCTGGAGCTATGACGTTATGAGCTTCATGCGTTGCTACTCGCTGGGGACTTGACTTACACTGTGGTCGACATCTTGTCAAAAGGGTTTGGTTTTTGCTCAAGGAGTGTTGTTTTGTCGGTTATTGCTGCTTTCCTAGTCTGGAGTGGAAATGGCGAGTTGTGATGTTGATGATGAGTGTTCGTTTGTGAGGACTAGACAGTTGGATTGATCACTTCCTTTATACTAGATGATTGTCATCTTGAAGCCCATGGCGAGCCATCCACTGGTCCATGTCTCCATATCTCCGGAGTTTCAGACTGGAACCGCTCGTAGTATCATCAATTGTCCCTTCGCGAGAAAGTATCTGCCGATTTTCCGTGCCTCCAAGATATGGTACAGGATCCTTTGCCCATGGCAATGTTTCAACGTTGCAGTCTTTGGTATAAGCGCAGATGGAGAATTTGGGTTAGCGCATGAACGCTAGGACTTGTGACGGTGGTGCCACGGCCCGAGTTGAAACACCCACCAGTCTCGCGCCGCAATTCGCCCAGGGTCAGATCTGAAGTGTAAAGTCAACATGGTTCGATGGATCCTCGACTTATCGCATGACTGTGGCCCCATTCAAAATGCCCAGGCTCTAGACCCTACGTAGAACATTTGATCGACGCTCATAGGCCCATTCCCCAGTATACATTCTGACAACTAACCCTTGCAAATAGGGAACAACAGTATTGCTTCTAGAACTAACTGCAAAACCTTACGTTCCTGAAGCTTGCAGAGGTCCCCATCATCTGATAGTTGGGATCATCTAAGAGTCGAAGATGGCGCTGTCCCTGTTACTGGCGCTCAACACAGCTCCCGCACTCTTGGGAACGCAAGAAGGCATACGGCAGAGTCAATCCAAGAATCGTCGAGAAGAACATCGTGCTCGACGATGTAATCTGGTAGTCACATGCTCGGCTCTGTCAACTCGGAGCCTCGAACTCAATAATCGTCTGGTAATCCTCCGGAACTCCAAGGTAAGTTGTCTACCTATCTATGGACACAGACGCACATTTATTAGCCGCCCTATGAATGACAGAGAATAACCCGGGCCTTCTTTAAACAGTTATATATCGGAACTGGTACTGCACCACAAGATTTCCCTGATACGATACCATCCGTTATAGGGCATCCATTCTGTGGGTATTTCTTGCCTTATCCGGACTCCAATTATGAAGGAGTAGTCAGCACGATCACGGACGTCGCGCCAATATTGAACTGGATCTATGTCGATAAAAACACGTATGAAGTCAAGTATGGTGTCCGAGACTTCGCTCAGCCAAATCTCACCGGACCTTTCGACTGCACGCGGGAGGACAGGCGAATGACCTTCGAAGGCTGGGAAGGCTTCGTGGTTGTTGAAGAGGCCCCCTACGTATGGGCACTATACTTCGATCGAGACGACGATGGCTTGAAGAGCAAATTACCTCCAAGGACTAGGATCCTAGAGGTTGAGCTGTCGAGGAGAGAGCAGAGGGTTGGCAAGCCAGTTGGACACGAACCTCAAACATTAGACGAGAAGATGCAACAGCAAAAACAGCAGGACGAAGAGACTCCACAACAGCCTCCAGATGCAACACAAACTGCCGATAAGATGGAACAACAGAAGCAGGATGAAGAGGGAAAACCATCGTAACCGGGACCAGGACAGTTGCGTAACGATAACGCTAGCAACAAATAGCTTGTTACCCAATAACCGGGCTTATTGAAATCTCAGCATAGACTTAATGGGCAACCTTTACTGAAGCACATCCTGCAATAGTAACCCTTAGCATGTATTAGGTGTGATTGAAAATGATAGCGGATTTGTGAGGCATGAAGTACCTATCTTCAGTGCTGAAGTCTCAACGATGTTCTAACATTTGGATTACACGGAGCGACGAATTGAGGATTGCCAAGCTAACATCTGAGCCTAAAACCCTGTCTTTGAAGTAAGCTTTACCTTGGATACTTACTTACTGAACTGTTCTATTGCATGTGTTCCAATCGGTGTAGCCTCCGTGGAGCCAGGTGGAGCCAGAATCAGCCTCAGTGGGAGATGCTGAAACCATCCCACCTACCCCTGTCCGCGATGCATCAGTCAGTTCCGACACTGCCTACGCGTTTCGGTCTCGTACGAGAACAACTCAGATCAGATGAGAATATCCCGCCCTCGAACACAGGAGCTCCTGGGGCCAACGACACCTCAGCTCATTCATCCAACAGGGCTTATCCTCGTCCCACTTCTAGGAACTGCGTCTCAGCGCGGTGCGAGTACCGCCAGTCCTACTATTATGCAAGCTCAGACTTATTATCCATCCGGAGCCATCCCGGAAGGAGACGGATCTAGCAATAATCTTCCTCCTCTTTGCTCGTTCTAGAATGCTACACTTTTACAGAAGATAGTGTTTTATTTCGAAAGTCCCAAGAATTGGGCAGGCAGTGCTGGACTAGACATCGCAATGACGTTCTCATTCGACACTTAGAATGATTTTTAAACGGCTCGAGGAACTAAGCAAAGACCCAAACGATCCGAATGGCATCGCTGAGCTGGTCGTTACGGCGCTGGGTTCGCACGGTAGCTACTATATATGCTGGAAGACTCCTCTAGGGCGCTTTGCACAAGGTACGCCCGCTCGGGAGAACCCATTCGTTAATGACGAGCCCCTACTAATAAACACGATTTCAGATAGCCATGGAATTCCAACAGAATTACATCAATGGCTGTTCCCGGGTGATGGTTCAATGAGAGATTGTGCAACCCTGCAGGTCATCCTTGGGCCTGGCGACGGTGATTTCCTAGCTTCGGACTGCAATGGGCGAGTCGAACGAAAGCCAGTCGAAAGGCATGAGCCTGCTATACGGCCTCTTGAAAGAGCTCGAACTTTTAGGTCATATGATGGCTCGTCCAGCACAAGGCCATTGTCGATGATGGTGGATTCTGAAGAGGCACCCAATCGAATGAGATCACGCCGGTCAGCTACCATCAGCACCTTGGGTTGGTCTGCTAGGAGAGCAAGTTCCATTTCCGATCGTTCGTCTATCGCATCAGACTCCCAAGGGGAGCAGCCACGCCAAAGCGTACCATACATACCGATCGGCATCCGACCAAATAGACCTAGAAGGCGACCGATGAGCGTGTATCATGTAGATGTTTTCGAGGAAACCAAACCTACACCGCCGCAGGAGAACGATCAGAATCACGAACAGCGCTTGGATTCTCAGGAAGATAACCAGGGTAGTCTGCGTCGGGCTGGTTCATACCGAACGTCAGGGACTCTTCCCCTTCAAGTGTCTAGACGCAAGCTGCCCAGCGCCTACGTCGATGCATGTGTACAGACAGAGGCTCCGCCGACACCTCCGCCAGAGGAAATACCAGAATACCACTCCTTCCAACGAAGGCATACACGTGATTCTTCGGCTTCGACAGCCTCCTCTATATTCTCATCCTATTCGTCCGGCTTCTCTACCAGAAGGTCAAGCGTGGGAGAGGACACCAGCATGCAGCCAGAATGTTATCCATCATACAGCCAATTCTCCAATCCGATCCTAATGGGAAGGATGCAGGACTATTTCAGAGCCTCTGGGTATCGTCTAGGTGACGCATTGCAACCTGGAGCAATTGCGCTGTGAAGTACTAAACTATGAAGCCGCAATTGTATTGTAAATACTAAGGACATGGAGTCTGGAGTTCTAGATATTGGGTTTACGTGCTATCTTCAATTACGGGAAAGGGTGGGCCCAAGGCAAATGCGACCTCATATCGCGCTTCATTTGTATTTGTATAACTTTTTGAAGGGGAGTCTAGCATAGATGAGGCCATGGGTACCTAAGATCCGTTGGCCGAACTATGTAAGGCGTGATGGTGTCCTAATGGTCTACCATTCAATAAGATATCAACATATTGACACCAGAATTTGTCAACCATATCGGCGCCATTGGGTCTCCGAAGTGCTCGACGCCGGCTCGGGGGGCCCGGGCCATATTTCTCTCAGCAAGTCATTGATATCCATGCCCCGTGTCCTGGCCGATTCCCACTGCCTGGGATATCCGAGAGAGCATTCTTCGAATCGAACACCGTCTTTCCAGTCTGTGCGTGGAACATGCAGGTGCCCGCTAACAACCACTTTCGTATTCTCAAATTTCGTATGCCATAACTCTGTCTTTTTCGTGCCACACCATAGAATGAAGCGGGGAACCCGGGGAATATAAACGAGATCTTCCCGTAAAGGCCAGTGGTTTACCTATTGCGAAATCATGGTTAGGAACCGTATATATGTAATTTCCGGAGTGGCCCTTCTCCATGTGCGGTCAACGGAGATAGAGCCTTGAAGAAAAATCCGCTAGCCGCAAAGCTGTAACTTGTAGCCTAGCATCAACAACAACGAAGTGAATGAGAACTTACAATGATCATTGGCAGGTCCTTGTTGTTAGCTTCTCCTAGCTTCTGTTCTGCTTTGGCGACCAGGGCGTGACACCATTCCTCACGGGATGGGAAGGGATCTGGATGCAAGAGAAACTCATCTGTAGCAACGGTGTCGGCTTCCTGAGCCCACGCGAGGGCGCCCTCTTTGCTCACGTGAGGAGGACGGAAGCTGTAGTCATAGAGCGTGAAGATAGGGGCAACAATAACCGCTTCACCATCACCCTCCCACAAGGTAAACTCGTCTTCGGGCGTCGTTACACCGTACTTGCGTGCGATTCTGACACACTCGGCATACTTCGCCTCGCCCCTCAACTCGGTGTGTAATGTCATCGTGTACAACTCGTGGTTTCCCGGACACCACCAAACATCTTTGAAGTTCTTGGTAGCAGCGTCAAAAGCTAACTCAAGGTGCGCATTGGTCTCCCCAATGTCGCCGCATAAGATGAGCCCGTCATCAGGATGTGGTCTGAGTTGCTTCAGGGCCTCGGCATTGAACGAGTGGCCCACATGAAGGTCACCAATGGCGTAGAGTTTCATGGTGTCGCAAGGTATCGTATTTGCCAGCGGAAAGCGGTTCCGAGCGGATGTCCATGGAGCAGTTTTCCTGTAACCCAAAGCGTGCCTGCCCTTGACTGCGCGCACAGTTGTGATGCCAGTCTGAATCAACTTGAGTGAATGAGACTGCGAACTTCGAAAGACTGGAAGCCAGGTGCCCTGATAATCAAGCTGCGTCACCTTTCGGCTATTGACACAAGCTGTGACTCAAGCGATTCCCATGTAGGCACACCTATCCATATCAGAATAGACAACTCAATTGGGAAAGGCCCGTCCGGCGTGACGTGAGGTATATACCAGTTATAGTGTACAGTGAGGGGTCCTGGTTAGGTTTTGCGTATATGAGCATATAGGTAGGCTTTCTCAACGCTGCAAGAGGGAAGAACGGCCGGATTTTCTTCTCATAAAATACGGTCGTCAACGGCTGCTCTCGGGTGCTCGGTGCTGATTACACACGTAACGTTGAGAAGAGGCAATCCTGCACGAGATCCCATTGCTTGCTTATGCATGACGTGCAGGGAAGCCCGTACGCCAGCTGCCGCGTGGAGACCCAGCTGTCAGCCCAAAGCACCTTAACATTTCATGCCCAAAGTTCTTGCAGCTATCCCTTTCAGTTCATAATATGCACACCTGGATATGAAAGAGAGTCAAATACCGAACCGTCATCAGCCCAAAAATGGACTTCCTACTTCCCTTTCATAGTCAACCTACGTGGGGGCCTAGATCCAATCCCCCCACTTCACCGACTGACGTAGTAGGCGCCAGGAAAACAACTAATAAGCTCTAGATATTGCAGGGCTCTTCGATAGTTGTCTCGCTCCAGAGTGCGCGCCAACTGGTGCCAGGCGGCCGAGACGGGCAGCTGTCGACCTCTCTGACTTGCCCCACGGCCTCGGCTCAACCCCATGACAGCTACACGCCAACACATGCGGTCAACATCACGAAGAATGGAACCGTCTCAACTTGATCTCCGCTCGGCCTCTCCAATACCAAGTTCGATGGACGCTTTCTCAAAGCCAAGGCCTAGAGTACCCAGAGGCCCGGCTCAGGCTGCTCAAGTCCGAAAGCAGAATCGACGGCAGGCGTATTTGGAACGCCATCCCACGTACTTCAAATCCATGGAACACGAGCTTGCGGGTATGTGATCGCCAACTATCATTAATTGCACATATGATATAGGTTATGTGAGAGCCTTTGGCCGCGTTTTGGCAACGGGAAGCCTGCTGGGCGTGATTATTATCCGGCTCGTTTCCTTCAGCCACCACCTACGTTCATCATGCGCAGTAGTATCCTTTACTCATTCTTCCAGATCCGCTACTTTATGATAGTCTGGTCCGTCGCTTCCAAACACCGGAGGAACGAGAGAAGGAAGGGAGAAGGAAGGGATATTCGCGAGTCCTAGAAGTAGACCTACTTCGTGGTGAAGCTAAGCTCTCGCAGCTTGCCGAATCTTCTTCGACCGCAGACAGTGCTGTCAATATTCCAGCCCTAGAGAAGCCTACCAGTGTGCCTTTGCGAAGTTCAGGTCAAACACCCAATACGAAGGAAGAGGGACAGGAGATGTGGGATAACTTTCTCAAAGATAGGTTTATCCTCGGCCAGGACGAGGATTTCGACTACGGCCCTGTCGATGCTGATGACTCTCTGGACACACTGGAGTTACGAGACGAGGAGGAAGCTTGGTTCAACGACGAACAGCCTGGATGGGCCAGTGACACTGGCGCAAGCAATGTTGGCAACGGCAGTGGTACGCAACTCAAAGGGGAGACAGGCGTTCAAGATTTCTAATGTCTTCATGCTCTCGAAAACAAAAGCAACGGACACCGGTTGTGCACCCAAAGACCGGGATCAGACTGATCTGTATGGTCAAGGAAATCTAGGTGCAATTGCACTGTTCCGAAGCACATTTCGTATCCGAATGTCGCGCTCTCTGCGAATCCCCGACTTCCCCAGAACGACCCGCTTCTATGTTTTGAAATATTCCTAATTTTCTCGAGTGGTTAGGATATTTTCATTCAATACCATTCACAAGTTTAGCTGCGATATTGGGTCGAAAGAAATCGGCCAATATTTTGGAAGCGTCGTTCTTGGGATTACATCCCAAGTCAGTCGCTATGCCCAATGAGGGATGCTCCTCACTACTTTCCAGTCGTGGACATGTGGAAAATGGACCTGCTGCATGGGATTCGCGGGGCCATGGTAAGCAATGAACTTGTTATGAGTTCTGGCCTGCGCTTCTTGCTCACAGGGTCTCAAACCCAGCATGCATCTCTCATCGCAATCCCGTGATCGAGGGTGTACAAGCTGATTCGTCTGGTCCTTACGAAGCTGGACATCCAGACCGTCGTCCTCTCGAAGGTATCTAGACAATGGTTTAGCACGTAAGCGCCATCGCCCATCATGGCTGATGCCAATCCTTCGCTTCTTTGAAGGGCTGTGTCTGTGGAGACTGCTGGTACAGATCCAGCATAGCCTCTGCCAATTTAATACCCTTTTCGTCCGCGATATATCTGAGTGTTGATGCAAGGTAACTCCGCTCGCGCTCATTTGAAAAGGGTGATTCAAGAGCACTGAAGAGGGGAACGACGATATGTGGCCACATAAACTCCCTGGTATCTTCGATTTCTGCTTCGTGGCTGTCGAGAGCTCCCGCCGCTTCTCTGCCCCATCCGCACAGGTATGAAACACTTCCCACGATAGTTGACAATGCATTTCGGGCCTGCTCTTCCATTCCCTGATATTCAATCGTCTTCTTGAAATCGAAAAGTCCTTCCAACTTTGCCGCAAACTTTGCAGCGACGTTGCAGCCGTGCAGTTGCGAGGTGCACATCGACAAACTCAGACTTGCGTGTTCCATACTCTTCCATGTATACTGTGGAATGCCGTCACTCGGGATGGTGTAGAGAGAGGCTTCAGATTTGCACAGTCTCGGCTTGAAATCTTGCACCGAGTGACCGGGAATGTGGATGTTCGACGAGAAAGCATCTCTTGCTTCCCGCAGATATTCTTTAAATGGTTCAACCACATCGACACCCCTGGTGGTCATAGTATCCATGACTCCATCGGTTGTGAACGCACTCGGAAGTCCCAAGGGTGCCAATGGTCCGCCTTCGTACGGGTTGTCAGCCAGCAAGTTGTCGATACTGGAGTGGATGACTGCGTCGAGCCGACCACGTCTGCTAGGCTCAAGCATTCGATGTGCCATCGGGAGACATGGGTCATCCACCAATTTCATGATCGACATCACCCAGTCATACGGATACTTGTCTGGAGGTTCGACGAATCGCATGATTGCTGTTTTGAACTGTCGAAGCAGTGTTAGCTAAGCACGCATTGTACCACGGACGACAACACAGAGAACTCACCAACTCAAAGCGCAATAGCATGAACAGCTCTGCTCCGAGTTCATCATGGAATTTCTTCTTCCCTCTAGACTGTATTATTGCTACAGCCCCGGAAAGATGGTTGCGGAAGCCGGCAATATTGTTCGAGATGAGATTCTCGGATGAGTAAGCGCTCGTGCCCTTCCTTACCGGCGGGGTTTGCTTACCTCCACCATAGCTAGCACAAGTATGGATGACAGTAGCTCATCATCGAATACTGACCCAGAAGCTCCAATGGATTCATTCACTGCCTTTAACGCGGTGGAATACAATGCCTGTGCCTTCACCGTAGCTGCTCGAGAGTTGGGGCGCCGCGAGAAGGTTGCCATAGCCAGCGTCGCCATGCATGTTTCCAGGCAGCTCCCCATATCCTGCCGCCGGATAAGAAGTCGCAGAACATTGAGGTATCCCGGATCCAAGGATTGGGGCTGGATAGCAAGGTACTGATTGCGGAAGTACGCAAATGCGAGGGCTTCTGTCGACGTCGTTGGAGACACTCGTAGTCTTGGCGTTTGCATCGACCTTGTCACAGTGAAGCCATTCCAAGTCTTTTCCTGTTCCTCAACGGATCTTTCACGAATTGGGTGATTGGGTAGGTGGTGATTCGACTGCCAGTCGCCGCTATGAAAATATCTCTGATCCTCCAATGCTGGTCGAGCATCAAGAGTCAAAGGAATCGAAGTAGACTGTCCCTCGACGACCGGTATAAGACTATCATGGAAAATTCCGAGTGCTTCGGGCGACACTTTGTCTGTCTCAAAGCGGTTAATTGTTGTCGCTGTCATATCTCTGATTTTTATTTTCGATGGATCTCGATAGCCAGGGCAATCTCGACCGGCTTTCGTGCACCTGTGACATTTTGGCTTCCCTTCGTCACACTTCTCACTGCAGTGAGCAATCCACGTTCACGACTAGGCACTGGGGCGTACAGAGAACACACCTTGACGCGGCGCTTCAAACATGCGAGACACCCCTTGGAAGGACCGGTATAAACCATGTTGGGTATGGGGGGACCAAAAGAAGAAGAAAAGCGCGTCAGTGTTGCGAGGTCATGATCAAAGCGGTGCCTAGGCAAAGGCAAAGCTTAGAAGATACCGTCTGACAACCAAGTTGAGGGGATACGCAATGAAAAAGCCACGATTGTAATCGCGTCTTACTGGGTCTTCAGATGATAGGTGTCATTGTGGCCTCTCAATGCTGTGACTATACCGGGAATGCTGAGGCCAACCCGAACGGTGAAACGAAAGCCCACAATGAAACCATTATCTTGAAAAAGGTCCAAGGGGACGAACGACTCTTGCACGCCAGGAATCAGGATGGATTATCTTCAAGATCCAGTCATCATAGCTCCGGAGGAAGTGGCGCACAGCCGCCAGCCCGCGTGGCCAACCCCTAGAAGAGCATTTAGACTGCCGCTAGGCACCTCATAGGGCGCCAGTCTTTGGACAAGGGATTTACCACAATATGAGCCGGCTAAGGCCGACTTTCCAGACTAGCACTCGTGATTAAATCAGCTGCGAACCGAGGCATATTTAGCTGTGCTGTGGGCTCCCTATGTTCTGGCCCACTTGGACCCTTCATGCCCAGGGTCAGAGGCGTTGAAAGTGCAGGTGGCCCATGGGCAGTGGAGTTCAGGTATATACAACCTTGGTAGATCATCAGTGGGATCATCGAGGCCGCAAGGCCGGCGTAGCAGGGTCAGCCCTGGCGACGATCACTGCATGGGTTTCCGGCTATGCGAGATCGGTAGACATCACCGCATGCACGAGGTTGGGCTACGTTGGTTCGTCGGCCGAGTGTTTTGGCCCTATCTAGACTAACTTTAAAGTGAATCTGACTGGTTATGTGGAACAAGACCAAGCTAGTACGAGTCGTACTCTGCATGAATACGGCGCCTCATCAGGCCATGTTAGCGAGGCCGATGTTGGTACTATGGTGGTCCCCCCACGGGCCACGAACGATCGGATTGACAAGTTCAGTTGAACGTTGCCAATCCCACTTCGGCTTCTGGAATACTTCCTAATGCGGTCATCTAGTGGAGTGGATCAGTTCACATGACTCGTCACAGTCAACAGTGGGCAACTCGTTCGGCATCTGTGTAAAGCTGAGATCGGAGTAGCAGCCATCCTCGGGGTGTCTAGCTTCGGTTACTATCCGCAGCGCTGCTAGACAGGGAAAGCAATATCGATGACATCCCTAGCGCTCCAAATTACTGGTCTAGACCAAAAAGGAAAAAGATATACCCGCTAACATTTCAGCGTTATGTACTGATTTACTTGGGGTGCCTTAAATTGTACGCTCAAGACTTTTTGCAATCCTCGAGGATGAGTCCTTTCCTGGAAAATATCCTCGAGCTACTCGTAAGCAATTAGACTTCCATGTTTACGAAAATCTCTTAAGTTATTGTCAAGGAGTTGCGATTTCGTGCATCTCGGATTTACCATGATGGACCTTAAGTATGCTGGAGCGGCATCCACCTCCGCTCCGTTGAATCTAAATTGGACAGACCCCGTTGACAACTTTCGACGCCAATCTCGGGATATGTTACATAAAGGTTTACGACTTGTGTCTACAGGAGCTCTGGGTCCGGTCACGGATCTATTGGTGTCCTATGGCGCAAGGGTTTGTGTGTCCGCTCCATATCCTGGTCACGTTAGAACGTGGGCCTTCGGTAGCCCAACCGAACAAGGGTCTTTGGGACCAAGCACCATCTTAATTCAGAGAAAAGGCTTGACACTGGCGTTCAGGAAGAGCCACAATTTCGAGTGATTTGTGAACCATCTTCTACGATTTTAAAGGTGCTGCCACCTAAGTCCTGTGCTATTGATCTCCATCCTTCGGCCTACACAAGCTGAAGAGGGTCAAGGCAGAGTCGAGGCTGTCATAGCGCGGAAGCTGTCTATTGCTTGAAAAGGTTCAAGGGTTTGCAGTTCATGGTGTACACGACATCTGATAAATCTACAAATATATCCACCAGTGTCTATTGGGGGCCGCTCAGGCGTAGCTTCACCATATCGCCTAAAACCTAAGACCCAGTCTCGACTCTCCTTGTCCACACCGTATAGAGTCTCAAGCCGACGCCTGTTGAACTTCAAACTTGGACAATGATAGTATATTTCTCTGTATGAGATATACTCAGCCTCTTGGCTTGACGCTCTAAACGTGAATCATCCGAGCTCTAATTACCAATGACTCGTCGGCGACCAGGTCACGATTGAGACTATTTTGGCGTTGTGATCGTACTTCAGGGCAAATAATGATACCCCTGTTCTTTTGACGTATCAACGCCCTACGATAGGAGTCTCGGGCAATTTAGAACGAAGTATCACATGCATCTGCTGTGAAAGAAGTACCGAAACGCACTTGCAATGCCCCAAGCCTTACATGAATCTCCATCCACAGACCGGGGAAAGTCTTGTTTTCCCTCTACACACAGACCTTGAGGACCCTACTGCGTTTAAGACAGGTGGGGACCTGTCAATCTCGCATGGATGACTTCTACAGGTTTAACGCAAGCAGATGTACTGCCTACTGCCGCCAAAATGCCAGCCACCTGCGAAAGCCTTGCTGATCTTTGCGTTGTGCAGAATGACAAGCTTCCCGTAGTCACTACTGCAGGCCCGCCTTATTTCCTTTCCACATGAACGTGTCTAAGCTGAGCTCCATAGACTACAGAGCAGTCGCATACAAGATGGCGATGAACCAGTGGAGTTGCTTCCGGTCAGTGTATTAACGACCACCTACGAATCTGTATCTGGTGCTGGCTCGTGAGATCGAGAAGTCCGTATTAGGTGCTGCAACAAAAGCATGTCAGGAACGGTTCTCGGCAAGGGCCACCGGAAAAGCTCTGCGACATGCTCCTTCTTGGAGGCGCGATGAGGTCAGTCGGGTGAGACTAGTTAGACCCATCATGTCTTCAGAGCATCCGTCGTGATCCCGGTAGGTCCTGTGGTTATTGTTATTCAGCAACCGGACTCCGCCCCGCACCCAGCATGGCTCGTGAACCCTTGCTTCAGGCCAGGCGACGATCGTCCACGAAAGAGGCCCAAACGCAAATCTGCAGCGATCAAGCCGAGGCGACTGCCGGAGCAGGGCGGTAACCGGCCCCCACCAACATTCCATCACCAGTTGGTCCTCCGACACTGGTGGGCTATGCAGTCATGGGCCCAAACACATGCATCACTTCAATGTTAACGAAGGGATTGGCTGAGATAAGAGGCAGTATCAGACATGTTACGTGGAGAAAACAAGCGTAGAGATACCCTCTCGCGACTCTTACCGATAATGCCTACAGTAGCGATGATCTTTTTTTTCTTTATAATACGGTAGCCACTGGGATAGTTTTAGGTCTTGGTGCTGCCGGATCTAGTCCCTGGTCTGGAACACTGTTGACATTGCGGCCTTGGTACGCCTGAATTGGGGTGCTCCACACGGAAGATTTAGGTTGGACATAGATATATATATACGAAAACAGGGACATGTCAAGCACATGGATTTTCAGCCTTGAAATTCGACAGATCGCCAGTCAAACAGATCTCAGGATTGACTTGAATCTAGGCCCAGTGCAGACAGCAGTGGCATGTCACGTAGCCTGTGAAGCCTTCCAACCCCATTCCCTGGCAACTCAAATCCATGGGGTTTGGTGCTGGGTATTGGCTCATGCTGGTGTCAACGATATCATTGAGCTGTGCCATCGCGCTAGGGGCGAGCGGCCTGGCCTCATCTGCATTGCTTTAGTCCGTATATCTGACACAACGCGCGGCATATCCACGGGCTCGCTTTGTTGTGCTACTGAATGTTCGCGTGCTTGCCAGGTCTGCATGACGAATCGAGAGCAGATAATGACGAAAGCATCCGCTGATTATCGTGTCGTGAGGTGGGCCTTATAATTTTCGCTTAGAGCAGCCCACGCTGCCAGAGGCAAATCCCTTTCAGGGTTTTCTCGTAGATATAGACGAACATGATCTTATGCCAACATTGGGCTGTGCAACTGAATGAACTACAGATATCCTTTGTTGAGAGGAATTCCGGAACTTGATATCACACTCAAGCATGCTTAGTGCAGACGCAAAAGCGGCTTCGCGTTGCGCGTCTGTCTCCTGCATGTCCGAAGAAGCGTGTATCGAGTAGTGCTCCAACAGTCGGCTCCTGGCAAGAAATCCACGGGCGGACTGCAAAGTCATAAAGTGCAGCGGGTTCGCTGGATTGGAAGACATGAGATACTTGTCCTCCACTGTCCTCTCTGGAGCGACTAAGTCTCCATGATTTGGCTGGGCAATGAGGGTAAGACATGAATTAACAAAATTGAGGTGGAAGATGCTACGGCGAGGGCGTCGGCAGGTTCCTTACACAGAAGTATGTCGCGCAAATATATATGTCAATCGATCTATAACTGAGCACATACGACCACAGACGCTAGAAAACTCGGGATCCCGTCCGCTCTCCCATAGATAAACTGGCGATCGCTGGACTAGTAGCCAGGTGGGTGACCACTGGCGAATCCCCGGTGTTGTATGTTTTTGCATTTAGTTTTTGCTCATATTCACCGCCTCCTGGGTCAATCTTTTTGGTCTATTTTCCTTCTTACTCCTCTGGTTGTGCACCATACTGCCCCTGACTGCGACGCTGCCCTGGTAGGGGAGGTAGTCAAAGGTAGGCATGGAACAAAAGTCTTTAGTGGAAGCCCTGCATCTTGCCACAAAACGTAGTATTAGGTTGGAAAGATATCTCTAATACTGATGTGAAAGTTTCCGGGCATCTTTTCCAACTGATGATAATCCTTCAAGTTAGATCAAACAAGTACTGATCGTTTATAGTCGTGAACGAATCAAACCCTAAATTCCACAAGGCATTGGTCCCTTGGAGTTCGGGCATGCTCATCGTAGCGAAATTGCCAGTCAAGGATTCAATATCTGTTAGCATGTTATCAAAGTCTTTCGCAGCCGGGTTCCCAGAAGTTGCCATATCTAGTAAAATTGATCTTGCTTTGTTGTACATCTCAAGGTCGTGCTCATAATTGTTGTAATGTGGACATTCGGTCGCGGCAAAGTCACCTTGCCATTGCGCTATGATCTTTGCTAGGCAAAGCACAGCCAGGCTGGAAAACAGGTGAAGGGATTCCCAGAATCCATATTTCGCTTCACGGTTATTAGTGAACGTGTATTATAGTAAGAATTCGGACGAGTGGGTGGCAATGACGAACCTAATCTTCCACACCACGACAAGCCGATGAGGATCTTCGCGTTACAATTTGCCGTCTTAACACATTCGATCTTTATTTGCTCCATATCATTACAGACACCTGGTGGGCTGCCCACACCCGCATTTGTTGAGCAGTGTTGCGGCGTTTCTCGCTCTCGTATGACTTTCGACAGATCTCGCAGAAATATGGGCCTTATTAATATGATCAAGCGCTTCTGGTGTTAGCTCGATAGTGTAGTCATGCGATCGATTTACATTACCTGATGGTACCGGAGGTACATTGACGCAAGGCTCCTCAGTAAGGGTGACTCTGCCATCGCGACTGGAATCCCTTGTTCAAACGTATACGAGAGTTCTGGCGGCAGCGTGGACCTCCAGTACTGGATTTTCTCTAAACATGGTCCAAAAAGGTCGTACGGCCGTTCAAGTTCATTGCTCTGAAGCCGATGCGTTACCGTTTCAACTACGTAGTTGCGTATCAGACATAACTCGGCCTGTGCTTTCAGCAACCGAGCGTCAAAGAACTGGTCGCGCGCTGTTTGAACTGTTTGATCAGAGGGGTAATCCCGGCCGTTCATATCCGATTTAAGGCTCGGAGGAAGACCAATCTCTGTGCTAACCATAAGATCTATACAGTATGTGGTCCACAATACCCTTTTCTTGTGCTCATTGATGACTTGATCCTCGGCTGTGTTCCCGCGGGCACTCTGTGTAGACGAGATACCGAGTCGGAGTAGACTCAACAGTCTCAGGCTCTGCCCAACATAGATGTACGCTGTATTGCGACGGTTCAGACTAAAGCAGTAAAATGCCTGAAATACTATGTCAGAGTTCGCTCCAGGCCAGCACAAGTTAACAGGTAAGAAGATATCTCACAATCAAGTTGAGTGCCTCCACTTGCTCAATGCATGGTTCCTCGTACGAAACTTTCAGCAACTGGAGACCCTGTTCGAATAGTTCTGCACCTGGCGGAGAGCAGGATGACACGGTTTGAATTAGTCGTTGATTGACTCCCTGTGCACCGAATAAAACTTGACTTTCCGTAGAGTAATGGCCGTTCAGTTGTAAAGCATCTCCGTAGCTGCTACTGAGCGACTCTGCTAAGGCCAAGACTACCGAAAATTGGCAAAGCCAATTGCGGTCGTGAGTTACTGCCGTTGGGCAGTTGTACATCATCTCGATTCGATCGCGGAAAGATCGCCGCAGAAACCATTGGTATTCCTCGAAGCTAGAGCAGAAAGTCTCAAATAAGTGCATCGCACATGGCAACGGAGGGAAGCTGATCGTAACCGACGGCGCTAAGGCGAAGCTTTCAGTGATACGTCGTTGTAAATAGTGAACGGCAGCTTACAGGCGGAGTCAAGTTTGAGAGGGGTGTAAGTATGACTCGATTGCTTTGTGTCGTTGAGGTCTTGCGTGGTGTACGTATCGGCTCGAAATACAGGAGAGAGGGCATTGGTAGACCTGGCGCCAGATAGTGACTTTACTTTCGATACGAAATGCTCGGCTGTGCAGTCTTCTACGAGCTGTTCATATTTAGCAGTATGCCCATCCCTAGTTTGTTGCGGAGGCGTCGTGTCCCTGGGCTGCGACAATGCGGTCCTCAACAACACTATCTCATCATGGAGCCGCCGGAGATGACTCTCTGTTACTGTGACAAGTGGGTCTCGCACGGGATAAACACATGCTTGCCCTCGGGCTGAACATCTTCTGCATGGTGATTCTATGTATCATCAGCATCTGCCCAGCGAATGGACCGCCGATCCGTAGCGATCGTGAGGTTGACCCACCACCGGAGCATTTAACCTTGAGTGAGTGACAACGACTACAGGCCACGAATGGATGCCTTCTTTGTCCATCCATCGTTCGAAGGGTGGCTAAACTGTGTGGAAGGTTGAGGGGAAATTATTTCCGCCGATAACGCTGAACTTTGGGCCAGGAGTTACATGGTCGTGTGCCAAGCGCCTCTTGTCCTGGCTTTACGGGGCTAGCCCAATACAGGCCAACTTAGATGGAGCCACCAAAACCAACGGCATGAACTCTCCCATTCCTTGAGAAGCATTACTAGACTTGACCGTAAGGTAAAATGGAAGATACTGAAACACAAGGGTGCAGAAAAGTACTCCGCCTTCAAATTACAATGCTTGATGATTAACGAGGACCGCTGGATTGTAGGGTATTTGAAATGCATCATCAGAGGAGCTAGTTCGCCAACGCACATCATCGTACACAGCGGGGGGGCCATTTGGTTCGACGTATTACTATGAGGATCGTGGTCGTTAATTACTCTCTTCTGTTTGCCTATTACAACCATAAAAAGTGAGAATTTGTAGTTGTTGTGCCTCACACGAGGTACCTGAACCCGTTTCCTGAGCCACGGTGTTGACCGGCTGTTTCCAACTCCTGCTCTCTTAGTTCGAGCTTCCGATTCTCGCGCTTCAAGACAATCTTAAGTACTATGCTAGCACAGATAGCGAGAACAGCCATGGCGCCATTCACACAGAACGCAAGAATGAACCTTGGCGCTGAATTGTTGGGATAAAGGTAAGAGCCATAGATGCTGCATATTGTCCCAATGGAGTTGTTGAATGCAACTGCAGCAGCGCGCTTGGCAGCAGGTCGGTGGATTGTGTTAGCTGTCCATAACATGCTCATATTGAACCCAGTATAGATGCCTGGCAGCATGATCATGGCGCCGAAGTACCGGGGGCCAATGCCTTCGGCAGCACATGAGATAATAAAACCTGCCAGTGAACAGAGAAGGGGTCCTACAGTATGCCAGAAACGCTCGCCGGTCCTGTCCGCGTTCCAAGATACTGCCAAGCAGACAATGCATGCTAAAAGATAGGGAGGGGATGTTAGGAGGAGAGTTGTGTTCCTATCTTTGCCGAAGCTGGCGACAACAGTGGGGAAGAAACTGTTGATTGCGATGGCCGAGGCGGCGCCAAAGACGACGACGGTTAGAATCCAGTTCTTCGGGTCCCGGACCAACATTTTGAACCCTTCAAACATGGATTGATCAGAAGAAGAAGTCCAGTCATCTTCGCCAGCAGCATCAATTTGCAGACGCCATACAGCAAGTGCCCGCTCCTGGTCGCTCAGCCACTTGGTATTTGCTGGGAAGTCCGGTAGAATGAAGCAAGTGAACATAGCGACAACAACAGTTATGCTGCCTTCAATTATGAATAGCCCTACATCGAAGAAGTTCAATCAGAATTCATTTGACTGGCATCTTTACCAATAATAGGGACGCATGTCTTTAGACTTACATCTCCAGGAGAGTAACCCTCCCACACCATCCATGTTCTGTGTGATTCCAGCTGCTATCAGGCCGGAAAATGCGCCTGACAACATCGAGCCGCTATAGAACAAGCCAGTACGCACTCCGAGTTCCTTACGTGGATACCAAGCGCTTAACATTGCCAAGCAGCCTAACAATCATCAGCTCAAGAAGGATGACACTCGCAGCTAGACCGCCAAGGGACAGAGAGGACTAATAACGTACCTGGATAAAATGCTGCTTCCACAAATCCTAGGAGGAATCTCGTCGTCAAGAGGCCGCCGAAATTGTGAGTTGCACCGCTGCAAGCACATAAAACTCCCTGAACACGCCAGTATCTTAGTCAAGTCAACATTACACCATACAGGGACGTCAAACCTACCCAGACCATCATACAGACCGACAAGTAAATGCCGGGACGTCCGATTTTATTCAAAAGCATGTTTGAGGGTACCTGCATCAGGATGTATCCAACAAACAAGACTGACACGCAAGTCTAAATATGGTCAGTAATATTCGGGATCAGAACAAGAGACAGCCTCCGGATAACTGTCGGTCTGGAATTGATATACCTGGAATTCATTTGCCTTCAATTTCAGATCTGCTTCTAACCCACCCAGTCTGGCAGACCCTATTGCGTTCCTGTCAAGATAGTTCAGGATATCTATTCTCAACATTAATATTGGCTTCCGGAGGTTTTCTTCTCGGCCACATCTTGAGAACAAGTGGCAGACTTACAGACTAAGATGAGAGTTGGCAACATGCGTGCATCAACTTTTCGAACAAGCTTTTTCTCCATGAGCTTGAGCTCCTCTTCGGAAAGGCCGTTCAGGATTTCTGGACGGACAGCTCCGTTGCGCAGGGTCTCAGTGGCACACTCTCCTACCGAAGGAGTAAGAGTCACCATCTCATTGGACTTTTTCGCATCCAATGGCAGATGTGCCTCTTCCTTAGGAGAATGCATTTGGAAGACAAGTCAGAAGGGATGATCCAAATTCTTCACGGGCAATATGCAGGTGCGAGGAAGGGGGGCGGGCTGCTATGTCGACCGTGGGCTGTCGGTCATCGCAGCACCCTCTACTATAAATATACACAGGCAACAACCGAGTGGTTGCAAGACGATGCCCAGAGAAGGACTAAATTCGGCATCTTTTATCGATGGGTACTTGGTTAATCGGATGGTTCTCCGAGAAGGAAGCCTTATCTTGGTCTCGACCAAGTTTGACTCGTGGACATCCGCCCCCTCGGTAGAGCCCCAAGCATCGCGGTTGGTCTGGGGTAAAGGGGAACCGTGCGGTCATCGGCTTTGTCCACCCCTCCCATGGTTTCTAGCGTGGCTGGAGTCGAGCGACTAGTCAGTACAATCTAGTATGAAGAACGCAGTCAGGATGCACTATCTCTACTGTACAATGCTCACTTTGTTCTGGAATGTTGACAGGGGCCCAAGGAGAACCGCCGGCGACTAGTCTCTAGCGCCCGACCTCCTCCTGACAGAGGGGTGCGTTGCGCTAATGCAGCAACGGTCACTAGACGTTAGCGGCCGATGATGTGCAACTCATGGCTTGCTCACGGTTGTCGATAACCTCCTAGTACTTGCATGAAGGTATTATATCCGATGCCGACTTCGCTGAGCGTGCGTCGCTTCTGCAGCTTGCCTGGGTATTATAAAAAACCGCCAGGTCAACAGAGCAGAGTGCGCCGAAACAAACAAAAGACAAGGCATCTGTGCTTCATTTTGTGCTGTTCGGGCCTGTGCCAACTACACTATTTTCAACCCGCACTTACAGGCTTTCACAATGTCAAAACCTTCTGTTCTGATAGTTGGCGGTGGTGCTTTTGGTACATCCACTGCTTTCCATCTCTCTCATCGTGGGTATGCGTCAGTCACGGTTTTGGACCGCTTCAATGCACCATCAACAGACGCCGCTGCTACCGATCTCAACAAAGTCATCCGGTTTGACTATCCCAATCCCTTGTATACAAAACTGGGGCGAGAGGCAATGGAAGCGTGGGTTTCGCCAACTTCCATCTTCACTGGACTGTTCCGGAAGACAGGTTGGATCATGTCTGGGCATGAAATGACAACGGGTTGGCTGAGCAAAGCCTATGACTTGGCGAAGAAGGAGAAGCGGGAAGGCGTTCGTTACCTGACTGCAGCTGATATTAAGCAGCAGTGGCCAGCGTTCACTGGTGAGTTTCCGGGCTGGACCAACCTGTGGAGTCCGAACGCCGGATGGGTATGTTTTATCGAAACCCTGGTGCAAACCCTACGGGAATTCGAAACTAATTGTCATTACCAGGCTGCATCAGGCCAGGCCCTATTGCGCATGGCTAAAGCAGCGGAAAATAATGGCGTCAAGTACATTTGCGGTACAGCTGGGCAGGTCATTAAGCTCGTGTACGAAGAGGGTGGGAAATGCATCGGCGCGATAACAGCCGATGGCAGCTTGCACCGAGCTGATATTGTCATACTGTCTGCTGGCGCACAAACAGCTGCGCTGGTGGAAGCAAAGGACGAGGTAGAAGCATCGGCTTCGGCTGTGACAGTAATTGCACTTACCCCACAGGAGGCTGAGAAGTACAAAGACATTCCGATCATTGATGACTTCGAGCAAGGTGAGTTCCAATGGGTGGTTCGCTTTGATTGCCGTCAGAATGGCCTTCTAACGCCTGCTAGGAATTATTTTCCCACCAGATGAGAACGGACTGTTGAAGTTGTGCAGCTGTCGATTTGTTACCAACTATAAAAACAAGCGATCGCCGGGGGCATCAATTGGCCAGTCACACGCAGACTATCCCCATGATGGAATTCCAATGGAGATTGACCAGGAGTTACGGGTCTTCCTGCGTGAAATGATCCCAGAACTAGCAGACAAACCTTGGTTAACGACGCGGATGTGTTGGTAAGTGCTCTATTTCATAAACCTTTGATCCAGTCCTTCTCGCTAATAAATTGACTCTGAAATTCAGGGACGGAATGTCGAAAGACCTGAACTTCCGCATTTGCCCCTATCCACGCACGAAAAACCTGTACCTAGCTTCGGTCGGTGCGAACCATGGATTCAAATTTCTGCCAGTGATTGGCAAATACGTCGTTGATATGCTGGAGGGAAAGTTGTCTCCCGAGTACTCTGAGCTATGGAGCTGGAAGAATGGTGAAACGCCTGAGCAGGCCAACAACCCTCATCCATATCCGGTGAGGGAGCTATCAGATCTCCAAGGCTGGTCCCAGAGACATCTTGCAGGAAGTGGCAAACTGCCATGGACTTGGAGCAAGCTTTAGACAACTCTAACTGAGATAAGTTCTCATCTTACTTCATTACTTCTTTGAAGATAATCGATTCTTTTTCAGATGTATCCTAATCTGATATATGAAGTAAAATCAGCAAAAGCTTGGATTATACTGAAAATAGACTGTTTGAAATTCTCAAAGTAAAATCATGGTTAGATCACGACCTCAATACATACATCAGTACTTACACTGACAGCGCACCAGTGGCCAAGCTGATAAAGAAGAACGCTCTCGCAGCCCAGTATGACATCCCAGTAGTCTAGCGAAAGAGCTGACAGCGCAACTTGAGTGAGATAGCAGACTTCCAAAGCGTCAATATAAGCAAGTGTTTAGAGTAGCGTCTAGTAGCCTAGACCTACTACGATGGCCAGCATGTTACAGTCTTCGGTGAGAGCCCCTTTTCATCGCTACCACTTTATCGAATGTAGGAAGAAGTACATAGTCTTTGATTCCTTGAAGTACGGCCAGCTCACCGGGAACGAGAAAGGAAGGCAGTACTACGCGAATCAGCCCATAAACCACATAAAGTCCACAGAAACTGAATCTCCATTCGTAAAAGGTAATGACGTCAAATAAATTTCGCCAAGACTGAGATTTGAAGATAAGCCCCAACGGGTCGGAAACGAGAGGCGCTACTTCCAAAATGTTTGCCATTTTAAGTAGTATGCAGTACATCAGCGCGGCATGTGACCACTTTATAAAAACGTCGCGTCATTTGATTTTGGTAGGTTGTGAGACTGCTGCTCAGAAACTGAAGAATTTGACGGCCTAGTTTTTGAGGTTGGCAAAACAATTGCGGCATGCAAGCTGCCCCAGCAGCAGTAAGCCATTGAGAGAGGATGAGGAACCATCGAGGATGACCCTTCAGGCCTTCGCGGACTAATACGTCGGGCCAGGTCTCCGCTTTGGGAACACCATCTAAATGTTGAAGTACGCGTCATAGGAAGCTTCTTGTTCACTTTTGACTGCCATTCATCTCAAGGATAACGTCCTGGAACGCTGGATTAGTAATTGGATGAGTGAACGATGTCCCATGTTCTTACTCGACGGATTTATTGAGTTCCTTTTCATTATTCTGCCCACTCTAGTCACTGTGTGACTAAGAGCTGTCTTCCATCTCGGTGCGCATCGCTAGCTTGTTAGGCTGGATATGAATCTCGAGGAGAAACACGTAGATCCTGAGCGCTTCCATCGCTGTCACTTCAGGGGCAGGCGCGCAATGACTGGGTTGTATGGTTTCTCTTGATTCTCGGAGATGTATCGCCATCGTACAAAGTCTGGCTACCTCTGTGCCAGATGCCCAACGCATTCTGGCCGAACGCGATGTATTGAATGCTTTTCCCACCTGCTCCCCTGAACGCCGCCGACGTATGCCAGATCAATATAGGAGATCAGAACCATCGACCTCCGTCCCCAAGTCTATCCTAGATTCTATGCTACATTTTGTACATGAGATGGGTATGTATACGTCCAACGTCAAAACTGGAGAAATGGGACTTTCTGCCGCCGAGATTCTTGTCACCATGCTTCCTTGCCTTCGGATGGTCATTAGTAGTATTACAAGCGTTATGTTCGCTGATGCTGATTGTGGTGGGCCGCTGCTGCTGCTACTGCTGCTGCCATCATCTAACTCTTGCTGCCAAAGAGCTTGAGGATGCCTTCGTACATGCCAAACATGATGGCGGCCGAGGGAATAGTTCTCAGCAAATGCGGCGTCAGACCTCCGTAGAGGCCAATGAAGCCCTCTTCCTTCCAGACGAGTTTAAAGCAGTGCACGAGGCCGGTGTATTTCGGTCTGCCGTCTGCCATTGGCGCCTGTCGTAATCTTGTTCTCGCCACCTGGAAGCAATCTATGTTAGTATTGCGAAAACCTTGGGCTCGGATTCTCCGTCGTATCTTACCTCATGGGGATACGTCAAGACGGATGCCAGACCCTTTGCGGCACCAGCGCCCATGAAATTCCCGGTCCAGTCAACAGTGTGGTCCCACCAGGTTCTCGGCCGACCACTCTGCACAAGCTTCTCCTCCCTCACCCTGAGACGGCGCTTGATCTCCTCGTACATCATCCACTGCAAGGTGCTCTCCGAGACACCCAGGTAGCTGGCGCTTAGGCCCTTGAAGAAGCCAGCAGGACCTTCGTTCCGCATAACCTGTCGGATGCAGTCCCAGCTGTTCCGGTATCGTCTGGCGGCCACGTCACCCTTGCGCGCGGCGTTGTTCTTGTCCAACTGCAGCCTGGTCTTGATCAGCCAGATGGGGTTGGTGACGGTGCCGGTGGCAATTCCGGCGGTCACGGCACTGGCGAGGTGCACGAACGGGCTCGAGGCATCGAGGCCGGTCCAATTCGAGTAGACGCGCTTGCTGGTCGGGTAGACGTAGAAGTTGATACTCCGGGCGGGGACGACGCCGACGAGGTTAGGCCCGAGGCCCTTGAAAAGCGCGCGCGAGCCCTCGAGGCGGTGGACGTCGCGCAGGATCTGGACGGTCTCGGCGACGTGGTACGAGACGGATCGCAGGGGGCCCAATCTCGCCTGGCCGGCGGCCTCTCGGGCGGCGCGCAGCTGGGCTTGGTAGAAGTCGGACTGGAGGCGGGTTTTCAGGACGTCGAGGGGCGCCGTGAGGATGGCTGCTGTCATGCCTCCGATACTAGATGCGTCACACGTTAGGCCGGGGGCTCGGAGCAGGTCTGGGGATGCGCAACGGCGGCGCTGGGGATGGGCGCATACCCTCCGGCCACCAAATGATGCCATGACTTCGAGAATGGCGACGCCTTCTCTGTTTTCTCGGGCAGGACAACTCCTAGCTCCCGCGACTGCGACAAGGGCGACTGCTTGGGTATCGGCACACCCTCGCGGTGTTCTTTCGAAGAGGAGGCCATGCTCGAGTAGGGCTGGGCCATGGTAACCGGCTCGGCCGGTGGGAGCAGTCTCACAACGGGTGGCGCTTCTGGGTATATGCTACCTATGTTCCATGGGCTGCACTAGAGATTCGAGAGCCTCTGGGTGTTTGGGGCCGTGGAGGCAGGGTTTGCGAAGTGTCAGGCGCTGGTGAATATGTAGTAGGAAAAAGGGTGATGACATTGGTATGTTCCCTTCATAGAGACTAGGGGTCCCGATAAGAGCTTCCAGCTTTTTTTTTTCCTGCTGCGATTCGTAGGCGCGCTAATCCGCCTCGCGTCCACGCATGTGCTTTCCGCTCCCGCCCCTAGACCGTTTTGATCACGTTAAGTGGATGCCAGTGGGGCGGATTGCTGCATACCGCATCTGCTGCACGGAGTATGTCATATGTCATAGATGTGCATAGACAGTCGAGTTCACCGTGACGGTGCGCGGTAGGCCAGGCCAGCTGTTTCTTTTCTGTTGTGCTCAAGACTACATACATTGGTAGGCGGGCACTCAAGTACTCAAGCTGCAGTTGCTACGCACAGGGCAAGACGACCACCGATTCAATGCCAACGTTGTATGGTGTCTGTCTCGAAGGACCGGGTTTAACACCCTCATGCCTGATCACATGTCCGCTTCTGGAAATCCATCTACAGTCATTTTCAGTCACTCATCAACATGAAGGGACGACGGCCTACTTCGGGAGGTATAGCAGGGCCTTGTGGCACGCGCATTGACAGCATTGATGTGCAGTTCTGAGCACGCGCACAAATTGTTTGGGAAGATAGTTGCATGCATTGGGAACGCAAAAAGACGGAACCCCTGCCTAACGCCCCCAGGCCGTGAGTATACTGCCCTATGGGTCCGGAATCTCCAAGTCGGTGAAAAAAAATGAAAGACAAGAAACAAGTCTGGAAACATGGCGAGTGCCGATGTGACCGAATTATTGTGTCCGGGAATCAACCATTCGCTATAGCCCTAGAGCCTTTCCCGACAGACACGCGTATGCTTAGGCACTTGCTACGCTCTCCCAGTCTGCCTTGACCGCCGAGACCTTGCCCAACCGTGTTTCCGTAAGAAGTTGGGTTGGTGGTCGTTTCCGTAATTTCCTTGGCGTGCGTCCGGAGTCTGATACTCCGGCCCATGAGTCGAAAAGACGCAGTCACCAAGCATTGCGGTCCCAGTTCGGATCTGCGAAATTACATGTTAGCCCTCTGCTGCAAGTCTCTGGGTGCGCCCGAACCAGGCACGTCTTGCCGAGGCACGGCCTCCTACCGCTCCAGGACAGACACTCACCCTGCACAAAAGCTGCCAGCACCTTGCTGCCCGTCTGTAGAAGCGGGTGGCCCACCACGATCTTCATGAACTTCTCCAGGCCCTCGCGTCGCTTCTCGATAATCTCGTCGTTGAAGCGGTTCGTAAAGACCTTCCCTGGCAGGGGCGGGATGGTGACGCGGGCGCTCTCGCGCTCGAGAATGTCGCGGAAGTACTCAAAGTCGCTGTAGCGGCGGCGCACCGTCGACTGGCGCAGCTTGAAGGCCGGGATGTTGGTCTTGCAGATGATCTCGTAGTCCGTGTACATGCTGCGGCCCATGCCATGTGTGCGCGGGTGCTTGACCTGCGACGGGGTTCACCAACACGTTAGCGATCATGATGGAGCGCGCATGCCACTGGGGTGGGAACTCGTCACCAGGGAGACGCACCTCGATCTCCAGGAAGTTCTCGGGCGGGCCGTAGATCTCCTCGAACGACTGCTGCCGCGTGTCGGGCATCGACTGCATGATGGGGCGCGACATGCTGGCCATGCCACGGGGCGATGCCGGCGAGGTTGGCGAGGTCGAGGTGGGCTTCGCTGCCGGCTGCGGCGCCGCGCCGCTGGCGGGGTCGGGGCCGGAGGACGCCGTTTTGACGGATGTTGCTGAAGCTCCTGGGGGTGTTCGAGCGCTTCTTCTGCACGTCGGCCCGCTGCAGACCGGAACGTTGAATCGTCGCTCGCCGGGGGCTTTGGCACGGCTGTTTGCTCGTGAACGTGAGGGAGGTTTATGGGCCGTTGAGCACGGGGAGAGGCTGGTCGGGCCCAGACTCGCTGGCTTGGGGTGAGCGATAACCAGGCGGCGGTGGAGCTGAGGGGAAGTGGGTGGGTGGGACAGATGATGCAGGGCGGGATGCATTTATTCGCATGGCCAGCCTGCTACTCTTGTATCGGGGCCTCTTCCTCGTTTTCGAGATCCGCCAATCATACACGGTTCATTCATTTACCACAGTCATAGAGCGCCTTACGGGCACTTGACTTCGTCGTCAACTGGATCAAGTTCCTGCTGGCACTGATTTGGCCATCTGGTTGCCTTACAAGGGGTCTACCCTTATATCTTGTACGCCTCTCAGCTGCCTCTAGACGCAGACGGCAAAGCGTATGATCACGGACTGGCCGACCAGCACAGCTACTGCCAAGCCCCACCGGCTTTCCCCGTTAGATGTGACATCTGATGCATTCATCAAGGAGCACGTGCTATGCCTATAGCACGAACCATCACTGCACAATTATGACTAGGAAATCTATTAGTGCTATCTGTTTTCTGTCTGGCCTAAGTTGACGGAGGCTTCTGCCCGGCCTAAGTTGACGGAGGCTTCTGCCCGAAGGGTGGCCTGACGAAATGGTATCCGTGTCCGTCGTTGGCAGGTCTGCCAAAGCCCAAGTCAAAAACCACCTTGCACGATGAAAGACCTAAGACCTCCAGGATGTCAACACCGTCACGAGCTGCCATCTCTGCAGGGAAATAGCAGAGCCTCTGTCCTTGGTCAAATTCCCGGTGCAAACAAGCCCCAGGTTCTTCCTTGCCCATCAAGGAAGACCAGGGGAAACCATACCACGATGTACAAAGTTTCCGGATCAAGACACACCTCCGGTTCGTCAAACCGGCATCCCATTTTCCTACGCCAGTTTTGCCGAATTGCCGTCTTCATGTCCACAGAGACACCGATTTGGTGTCGTAATGTCCTCGTCAAGGACACATGTGCTTGTCTTTGTGCCCATAACAAGGGAAATCGCCCAGTTGGCCAACCGCAGGCGTGGCTTCCCGTGAACACAGGTTAACCGTGCAATACAGTCGATACATGAGCAACTGTCATGATCAACGAAGCCTGCGTGAGCCTCCTTTCCGTAGAGGCGAAAATAGGAAATAGCAAAGGAAATAAGTGTACAGCTGCCCATGTCCTTGATGTGGTGGACTAGGCAGAGCCGAGCAATCATGGGAGAGCTCTCAGTTAGCGAGCAAACCGGCGGGTATGCAGCCAGCGAGCTGGCGAGGCTGGTCCTCATAGCCATCCTCGTCGGTACCGTCGTCAGAGCTGTCGTTCGCGCCCTTGCGAAGGGCACGGCGGAGAATTCGATCCATGGTAGTCCACTCGATCTCAGCAGCTTGCGCAAGAGTGAGGTCGTCGAAGTCGTGTCCCTCAGGGTAGTTCAGCTCGTACCAGAAGTAGCCCCAGTAGCCATCAGTCTCACCGGCGAGGGCTGCGAGTCGAGCCTTCTGGTGGATCGGGAGCTCGGCCACGGTGCGGTTGGTCTCTTCACGAATGATGGCAATGTAGTACTGGAGGCACGTCAGGATTAGTCTTGTCTCTTCGCGTCGTTTGTCGCGGAAATTCAGAGCTATCGCTTACCTCAAGGAAATCAATTCGCACGCCTGGCTTGGGACCTAGTGTGAGCTGATGAACCCACGACTGGCTAAAGCGAGGCATGTTGAACTTGTTCATGTCGTCTGGGAGCATTCCCACAAGGTCAGCAATGCCGTCTTTCTGGCACACAGTGAAACCGGGGCAGAGCATCACAGCGTTGGTGAATCGGCGGAGGAGCTGCACCGTCAGTCGCTCCCTGCCAGCCCGGCTACTCTTGTCACCAAGAGCAAGCGCCTCGAGAAGAAGGTTGATCAACTTAACGCAGGCTTCATAGATGTAGTGGCGCTGCTTGATGGTGATGTACTGGGTCATGTACCACGGCAGCTTCTTGAGAGTGGAGATCATGCTCTCGAACGCTCGCTCGGGGCAGTCGCGGGAGAAAGGAGACTGTGAATAGACGTGGTCAGCTTCGTGAATACTCGAAGAAGGTCTTGATGGCGGTTTCATTTAGTACTTCTGGGCTATGAGAAACCGCGTCGCCGACATTTCTTAGCAGCAGCAAGTCAATTAAGACAAAGGGCCAATATGCTGTCGCCGACCAGGAAATAAACGACAGAAACCAGCTGAAGGAGTGTGAAAAGTCCTCTTGAAACACGTCGAGGAACGGGCGGCGGATGGGGATTTGGTTGACTTACGCGCATGGGGAACTCAACATGCTTGACCAGCATGGCCATTTCCTCCTCAGTGACGAAAGCCTTAAAGTTCTCAAAACTGTAAGGGCTGTCCGACTGGATCATAGGGTGTGTGCCATGCCAGACGACCCCAGTGGCAATTGGGAACAGTTGTTTCATCAGCTCCGTCTGGCTGGAAACCTCGACCTCGACGGGCCGATCGCCAAGGCGGGTCACACGACCCGCATCAGAGTGGCGCTTGAACCGCTCGTAAGCGTTGGCGGCGTCGTCGTAGCTGCGGAACTCGACAAATGCATCATGCGTCTTGGACGTGACCTTACACATGATGATGTGCACAGGCTCCTCGACGTCCCTAATGAGCTTGGCGTTGCTACCGAACAGGGCGAAGATGTGAGCTCGCGGGACACTGAACGGGATCTGTATACATGTAAACCATGTTAGTGAGAATACTTGACAGTGATTCAAAGGGGGGGAAGGGGGGAGACGAGAATATAGCACGCCACCAATTGCAACCCAGAATTGATGATAGTCGATCTGATGTAAGCGCGAGAACAATACAGGAGAACAAGGCGACGGGACAAGATTCACCTGGCTGGAAGTGCACAGGAGATGTACCATCACGGATCAATCATTGTGAGATAGGTACGAAAGAAAGGAGTCAGGCGGGTACACCCGGAAAGTCATACTGGAGCTTTGAGGGCCGGAAGACAAGGACCAAGTTGGGTACTTACGTTCTTGATGTGAAGAACACCGTTCTGCGGCAACGGGCCGTCGGAGGTCGCCATCTCAACGAAAGGGAAGACGTTAGGATGCATCATATGAGAGGCATCAGGGAGGCCATCGCCTACAAGCTGGTTCAATGCATCAGATCGGCGGGCGCGGATCAAACCAGTCGGAGGCTGGAACATTGCAGGCGGCTGAGCGATGCTCGTGAGACTGAGTGCCGGTGCTTCCTCGGTACGCAGATACTCAGGGTTCAACCGGACGACCGCATTCCCACCCGGGCCGCTGGCATTGGAGTTGCGGCCTTGGGCAGTGCCCTGGTGGTGGCCAGGGTTGCCGTAGGCCAGACCAGTCTGCATTGGAACATTGTGGGGTGTCGGGAAGACGATGGGAGTCTGACCTTGGAGCTGTGAAGGGTTGACGCCAGTGCAGTGCGAAGTGCTGTAGGCGGTGCGGCTCTTGCTATAAACAGGACGACCAGGGTTCGGGGTTGGAGCACCTGTGGTAGTGGTATAGGCAGCGCTGCCCGTCATGTAATTGGTGGGCTGGGCTGCGTAGTTTCCGGGGCCAACCTTGTGGTTGGTGGGGCCAGTCGCATAGTCCATTTGGCCAACCTGACGGCCAGCTCCAGTACTGTCGAGCGATGAGATCATGGCGTAGTATGCTTTGAGCACCTCCTCGGGACTCATGTCTGGGGTGATCTCCTGAGTAGCGACATCATTTCGATGATGATTCAATACGCCCGTGACTGTGTAACGGTTGCCAGCACTATTCTGCTCGTTGGCATGCTGGGCCGCGCGAGAATTGATTTGGGTCTGTTCAAGGGCAATTTTGGCTTTGTGATGAGCCTCCTCGACGTCGTCTGTACTGCGGCTGCCGGGAGCCACAGTCGAAGCCGTCCTGGCCTGTCGCGAGACGTTCCCCGTCTGGTTGCTGCCATTGACGCCAGAAGCACCAAGAGCGCTATACATAGTCTGGCTGCGAGGAATTCCGACACCCTTCATGCTGCTGCTGACTTCATTCTGTGTTGGAGTTGGGGTTGTCTTGGGGTAGCGCGCGTTGACAAGGTCCATGATGTTCACCTGGCCAGACGCAATGTCATTGTCGGGCTTGGGCATCATGTTGGAAGCAGTGAAATGCTACGACAGGCAAGAAGTTAGTGACTTGTGAATGGAATTCAGAATGGAAATATGGAAAGTTCAAGGCATGTGAAGATAGTATTACCTTGGGTGTACTCTGCTCGACGGACTGAGGGCTAAAAGGCGTGGTGCTGGGATCGAGCTGGCCGGTTGTGCTTGCGCGCGGAAGCGCAGCTCTGTGCTGAGCAGCAGCAATTGTCTTGAAATCACCAGTAATGCTAGCTGTGGTGTTCTGCTTTTGCTCAAGCCCGTCGTAAGCATCGCCGCGAATGCGAGCCTTATGGCCAGCGTCCTCAGCGACAGTGTTAGCGGTGAGTAGCACATCGCCGGCACTTTGGGCAGTGCCAGGATCAGGCAGCTTGTCGTCATTGCGACCAGCGGCCTTGGTATCACTTAAGGCAGGAGCGTCAACGTTCTTGCTGACGGGACTGTAGAGAGGCGCGCCGCCCTCGGGATTGTCGGACACAGGGCTGAGGGCTGGGGGAGGAACACGTCCCTTCAGGGAGGGGCCATTGGCACGTCCTCTGGTGCGCCAGTTAGGTTGACTGGTTCGCTTCGAAAAGCCGGAGAAAGCCATCATTGATGTACTACTTGACTCTGTCGGCGAGAGAAGACAGCGAGTACTCTGGTCGCGAGAAGGGTTAGCTCAGGAACGGAGGTGCGGGACAAATGAGGTGTGATCAAGCTGAATGAGGCGACGTGGGAGAGTGAAGATGGGATCGGCTGGCAGTAGCGTGAAGTGAACGGGATAGCATACCACAGTAATCAAGATGAGAGTGAAGATGGTGAGGAGGATGAGGAGGGGAGGAGGAGGACTGAGGATTAAATACCTGAATGTGATATCAATGTAGAATGCGTTCCGGCCGTCAAGTAATATCAATCACGGAAATGATGATATTGACAGGTAGCGTGGGTGGTCAGGATGTTTGCCAAAAACAAAGAACTGAGAAGGATTGTGAAGGACTTGTTGATACGCAACTCGTGTGTGCACCTGGAAGATTGGTAAGGTGACAAGAATAGAATGAAGCCCGTCCGTTGTCCGGGTGAAATTCAACGCAGAAACGCATCCACGGACATGCGAAAGTGAGAGGCGTTCTAGGGACTGGATTGTCAAATGTGCAATCTCGATGAAATGGATTTGATTTTTATGTCAAAGCAGGAATCGATTTGGGCAGCTTTCAAACAAAACGAACCTGACTGGTTGCTGCGGTGAATTTTCCTTAGATGACGAAGTGAATAAGTTGATGAGAAACAGGCAGTCGCTGAAGAATGACAATAAGAATAATCAAATGGATATCACCCAGCAACGGATAGGCGGCTTATCAATGACAAAACCATTTGGTCCCAGTATGTGCCAGCAAGGTCAAGGTAGTAATCGCCAAAATTACTTGGTAATACACACACATTGAAAAGGGGTAGATGGCTACAGTGAACGGTGGAAATAGGGGTCCAGAAGCTCCCGACGATTTGACAAACGCAACCCAGTCCGCTTCTATCTCTTCATAGTAGCAAACTTTTGACGTCTGCATAATATTTACGCTATCGCTAGGTATGTACTTGAAGCGGTTTACCTGGCCTCTTTGTTGGATTACTTGACGAAGGAAACAACTGGACAGCATAGGTGTGGGTATTCAGAAATGTAAATGAATCAAACAACCTGCAACGAGTGATACAGCGATCTCTATATTGAACTTGGGCATTTGGATCCTCCATGGACAAACTCGAAATGCAAAGCATAGCTCTAGAAGACTCGTCAGAGGCAGTGGATGTTCTTGACGTTGCCTAGTACAAACATGGCTGCGAAGAAATTACTGTTGCAACGGTTGAGATTTTCATCAATTCAAGACCAGCTCTAGATTAGATTAATAAGATAATTAGCGTGAGAAATGGGATAAACATAGGTCCAGAGCGAAGTTCGCGAGGACTGACGCAGCTACCAGTGATCCGACTCTCTGAGGCAGCTCAAGTCCACTGACTAGAGCGTGAATCAAGTGAATGGCCGACTCCATACGGAAGTGCGGATCCCCGAAACAATTAAGAACTGCTTGGTGCCCAGAGAGTTGAGGTCGAAATGATAGCCCATCCGAAGATTGTGGGTATGGAAGCCCAGTCTACCTTGAGAGGATACTACGTAGAATACGAAACATTAAGCTGTCCGGATTTGATCGTCCAGTTAGGTCGTCAGATTGACCAAGTTCAGGCGAACGTGCTCATCTAACAAAGCAGGCTTAGACGGCGTCCGTCGTCAACCCGAGTCAGAAATGAATCCGAATATGATATTTTCAAAGATTGATTCTCACACAGTCGGAAGGAGGAGTTAGTGTATGGTCGAACGGCGATAGGCGTGAAGACGTGCCTACATGGAGTTGTCACATCTGCCCGCATCAAGGTTTGGATCGCGGACTCGCAACAGCCAAACAACATGCAACTGCAGCAATTAAATGATGTTCTTGGGCGGTCGGGTACTTCGACAACCTAGTCATGGGTGTTGGGCTCCATATACGACTTACAGATATAAAGCGTGAGTGTTGCGTGATGGAACTTATTGCATGGAGGTCACTACGCAATACCAACCCAGAATTTTTCTCACATAGCTACCAGCGACTTCGATATAGAGGTTATGGATAATGAAGGTTTGCTACTTCGTAGGCGCGCAGCAATCAAGGGTAATTGCGGTGTATGATCCATTCATATCTGAAAGTGGTGTCTGTAGCCGCCTTGGAGCAATTACAATCTAGACGGGGAGATACCGGGTCATAATACGTCATTATCAAGAGCTATCTCTACGTGTGCGTGTCTTGAGAGTCTCCAGGATATGTAGAGATCAAGGCGTGCGCTTCCGGGTCATTAAGTGGTCATATTTATACACCACGCATCAAGGTGCAGGTAGGGATGAACGAGCCGTGTCATTCTGGCGTAATATTAATCCGTATCAGTACTCGTAAGACAGCAAAGGAATCCTAATGATTTTCATATTGCACACGAGAGAGGACATGTGGACTCGGTGGAGTCTGCTGGCCGGAGGGTTGTGCTACAAAGTTATCTATTCAATCGTCTCTTGGTACAAATCCCGAAGTGTGCAAGACTCACATTACCGAGTTGGAAAATTTCCTACCGAGTCATCGTTCACAGGCCTTCTGGTTTGAGGAGTAAGTGACCCCTTGAATCCTGCCAGCCTCGACTCCAGGGGTAAGTATGCAGGATTCACTCCTCGAGAACACCGGACCTGCAATGAATCAATCAAAGCCAACTGTTTATGTCACTGTGATGAAGGGCAAATTATGGCAAATATTGGAGGCCTTATTAGCAGAACGATCCAAAGGTCACATCGAGGTGGTTTCTGAAGACTTCAGGGTGTATGTGAAATAAACTGTATCCGACTTGATTCGGGCTCTATTATGTATGTACTATTTACATTTAATATTTACAGGTGTAATCTAACCAACTTAGCACCCCAATCTGACAATTCTTGTGGGATGCTAGACCGGATCGAAGGTGGCGATATTCTCCGCTTCCTCAACTTAGTTGGGGAGGTGGCCGGTGCAGGAGGAGTAGGTAGCAACGCAGGTAGAGAGATTGGCGCCAGGGGCAACGCGGCAGCTATCGTAAGCTGCCTGGCAGCTGCTGTCGCAAGTGGCCTGGTTGGAGACGCAGGTAGAGATGTTGGCGTCAGGGGCAGTGACACACTGGCCGTACTGCTTCTCGCAAGAGTCAGGGACGTTGCGCTTGGTGGGCATGTGGCCACTGCAGGTCGAGTAGTTGGAGACGCAGGTGGACAGGTTGGCGCCAGGAGCAGCACGGCAGCTGTCGTAGGAAGCCTGGCAAGCGCTGTCGCAAGTGTCCTGGCGGGAGACGCAAGTAGAGATGTTGGCGTCAGGGGCGGTGACACACTGGCCGTACTGGACCTCGCAAGAGTCGGGGACGTTGCGCTTGGTGGGGAGGTGGCCAGTGCAAGAAGCGAAGGTGGCAACGCAGGTAGACAGGTTGGCGTTGTCACCACCGCGGCAGCTATCGTAGCCAGCCTGGCAGGCGCTGTCGCAGGTAGCCTGGCGGGAGACGCAGGTGGAGATGTTGGCGTCAGGAGCAGTGACACATTGCTCGTACTGCTTCTCGCAAGAGTCCGAGACGTTGCGAGTCAGAGGGCTGGCAACAGCAGTGTAGGAGAGGATGGCGACAACGGCGGCGTAAGAGAGCTGCATTTTGACGGTATTGTTGATGTGAGTTAGGTATGAAAGTGAACGAGAGTGACTTAAGGTGAGATGAAGAAGAAAAGATGGAGTTGTTTGGTTGGTTAGATTGAATGATGTTGTGATAGTTGATTGATATTACGACAACCCAGAGGACAAAAGGAACTGTATATATAGTTGTTAAGACATATGGGATCGCTACGGAGTACGGAGTACGTAGGATTTAGTTGCACTTCGCAAGGATCTCGAGGCTTGGTGTGTCGTCATTGGACGAGCCGCGGGCGCCGCGACTTTCTCCACATTGTTGAATTCCCCTAGCCGTCTTTCGTGTTGTCGGGTCGGGCTGTCAGAGCTTTCTCGTATTGAAAGTGGGTATACGCAGATCACTACTAATTATAAGTTGTCGACCTGGCAGCCGTTGTGTGACGTATGCTGATCGCTAATAATACTATGGTGGTATGTTACGTGACATAACTCAACCAACGCCTTTAGTGGGCTCTTTCACACCCAGCGAGGCTGTGACAGGTCTGTCGCCCAAGTCAGTCGTATTATACTCAGCCCTGCCCGGGAAAGGTGCGAAAACCAGAGCGGGTAACTACGTCATGGTGCCGGCAGCGATGCAAGCACGGTGTGGCATTCGTATTCAATTACACCGGCCTGCTGAGACTGCGCTTTGTACTCAGGTTTGCGAATCTCTATCCAGGCGGCGGCACCAACGTGTTCACCATAGACGTTGGTGATAGCTACATGTCTCCATAAAGTTCAAAGGGTCTGCTCTCTGAGCTGCACCAACAGTGTTTGAGTGTGATCTGCGTCGGTCTGCTGGACACCCAGTGGATCCAAGGCTGTCGGGAGGCGTAAATAACGCCCTGCCCACCCGCAACCCCACGCACCCCAATCAGTTCTTCTCAATGCGAGCCAGCCCGGGGTCGACTTCAGATGAACGAACATGAAACAGTACCACAGTACAAAGCATACGGGGTTTGCATGATAGAAAAGGGACTGCAAGGACTGCACATGTGAGTTTCATTTGACATAGCCCCGGTCCACCTCTCAATCACCCACGTCCACATCTGAAAATTGCACTCCGAAATTGGACTTGCCCTCCAGGCCCTGGCATACTGAGTTCAATCATCCAAAAGTGCCAGATGAATTCTGTGGAGAAATGGATTTAGCAAGAGTTTTCGCCGTCCACTTTGCCAATGGCGATACTCCTGATACAAGTCTTCATGCACGGTTCGAGTTGTCAGCACACCGATCCGTTGCTTGTTAAGAAGGGCGGCCTCCACGTGTGGCCGAATCTAACTCGTAATGCTTCCCGACTTGGTGACCCGGTTTGCCAGGTGGGCCAGGGACCTCAAGTGCCGGACCAGATTACATGGCTACGCGGCACCGGAGCATCCCCTTCACCCTTGTGGATTTCTCCTTGCCCCGTAGCGGCCGGCCCTTCGGTGAACTGTGCACAACCCCATCACGGAAACTTACGTGGCTTTTATAGGTAGCTTGGGTTCGGAAGTATCGATCGCCAACAGCAGGTTGGCAGGGTTCATGAAAGAAGCGACATCTGGAAATGCCATTATGGAATCGCAATGGTTGACAAGCTTTTGGATAGTTATAATTAGAGTGTTTTGCAAACACCCTACCAACATGCATAAATTCAAGGGCCTATTCACAGCACGCGGCTGTGCAATCACCAGCCCGGACATGAACCTGGCAAAGTCAGGGTTCACCACAGGCAGGACAGGCTCAAAACATGGCGATATTGTTGGCCAGCGAAATCATTTCAACCTGGGGGTCGCTTCTTCTCTTGATACGGGCAGATATGTCGCTACAGCTGGTTTCAATGGTTGATAATGCAGATCCATCCCAAAGCCTTTCGCCTTAGGCAAGCAATCCGTCTTTTGAGTGTCGTATACTCTTCTTAGTAATCATGCATAGTCCGCCGTGCTTTCATTTGTACAGTCCATTCGAGCACGCCAAGACTGATAACCACTCATTATTCGCTGCGGAGCCAACTTGTACAGATCCCTGTCGGCCGACTCCCGCCAGGTCGCCTCCGCAAGTCCGCCATGCTGTTCTCTATACGTAATTGCCATTTGCCAGCAGAACACAGTAGAGGGAGGCCCACTAACTGCTTAACCCGCCTTGGTGGAGGGGCATACTGATGATTGGATACTATGCCTCTTGTCCCCACTAGCTGAGAGTGTTTGCGGAGAACATCGTTGACAGCTTCGTCCACGGGTTCAGCCCTGTTGCCCTGTTGCCCTGTTGCCCTGTTGCCCTGTTGCCCTGTTGCCCTGTTGCCCTGTTGCCCTGTTGCCCTGTTGCCCTGTTGCCCTGTTGCCCTGTTGCCCTGTTGTCCTGCTGTCTGACTGCGGCTCGAGCTTGTAGAGCTTGTTGAGACTTCGTCTTCGGGAACAGATTCGAGTATCCCCTGCTAAGAAGCCTTGGGCCACAGCAACGCTCCATCCACTGATTATGGCTAATACCAAGACCATCAAGGTCCCGCACCTTGGCACAACTGCCGGCTACGCGTTCGCCAACGACAGCTACGATGCATCCAAGCCAACGTGCGTGCTCATCAACTCGATGTGTATGACGGCAGCATTGTTCAAGCATCAGTTCGACGATGTTGAACTGTCCGATGCCGTAAATCTCCTCGCCATCGAGCCCCTTGGCCATGGCGCAACTATCTGTACTTCAGAGCACTTCACGTATTGGGATAGTGCCATCATGGCGGTTCAGGTCCTGGATGCTCTCAATATCGACAAGTTCTTTGCTCTCGGCACGAGCCAGGGAGGATGGGTTGTAGCTCGCCTAGGGTTGCTTGCTCCCTCTCGAGTGAGTCCTAATTACAAGAAGCTCCATCTACAACTGGGTCTTGGGGTACGCGGTATGGGGCATAGCTGACGATCTTCTTTAGGTTCAAGGGTTGATTCTGCTCGGTACTTCCATGGACTGCGAGTCGGCCGGCTCGCGCGGCCAGGGCAGCTGGGATCCCGTCCCCTTCTTCAAGCCCTTTCTGCAGAAGTGGACAAGCGAGGGGGCGACTCCCGACTTCGTTCCCGACGAAGACTGGCGGGGAGCGTGCACTGGCCTAGGATTCGGGGCTGCCGGTTCCGCTGAGAACACCGCCTTTTGGAACGGGGTTATCGGGGACGTGTACAAGGGAGATGAAGGGCGGAGAAAGCTGAAGATGGCTACAATATGCCTGTCCGAGAGGGACGGCCTACTGCTCAGGTTGGAGTACATCAAGTGTCCCGTCCACTGGCTGCAGGTAAGTCGTTTTTGCTACTCACGGGACTTGCCCCTGAGCGACATTACTTCTCCCGGTACGAAGATTACATCCGGCTCCCGTTACTAATACTCAAATCAGGGTACCGACGACGCCGTTTTCCCGGTCAAGCTTGCTGAGGAACAAATCAAGCTCTTCACCGCCTCAAAAGACGCCAAATTTGATGCTGTTGAAGGTGGTGCGCACTACTTGAGTGCGTCGAACCCAAAGCAAGTCAATACAGCCCTGTTGGCCATGGTCAAAACTTATGCTTGAGAATATTCTGAGAACGGTCGAAGGTGCATCTAGAAAGCGGAAGTACAGTACGTTCTGTGTTCGTAGGTTAAAGGCAAGTATCAACTCAGTATGCACTCGAGCAGCACAACCGATTTTCCCATGCATGATCAGAACAGCGACGTGGTCGGTGAGATCGTACTTCAGCCTGAGTAGCCAGAGTGCGTTAGATACGTGGTAATGAAGTAGATACAGAACTCACAGTCTGGCCCGACAAGTGACAACCGCGTCCTGAATGCAACAGGCGTAGCTGTGAGGAGGGTATGGTGCCCCTCTCTCGCAAAGACTGGCTCCCGAACACACCGTAGATGCCCTCAAACTATTTACGCTGCGGCTTGGCAGCGTCAGGCAACTTGTTCGCTAACAACGAAGTACTCAATGCACGTCTTGCAACCTGTCATGTGCTTCCATGAACCCAAGCGCAACTCAAGGGCACAATAAAACAGTGTAGAGCCCTTAAGTGAGGAAGAGAAACAGGCTAGCAAGTCCAGCTCGAGTAGATACGACTGACCTAGACCTGTTCTGCCATAAAAGTCATACAAGGCATCAAGCACTCGGCAGTTTTGGTCGCCGATTGCTGCAGGAAAGGAAGAAACAGACCGCTACATTGATCCGCCATATACACATGGGACAGCAAGCCTTGCACGAGTGGCACTTCTTGTATGATGAGCTTGTTAATTCTAGATTTTCCTTCATCCCACTCGCCTCTCGTCTGACACGTGCTTGAGTTCCGAGCCCCCGACTGTTGACCCGATCTTATGGCGACCGAGAATCTACGCCATAAGCGATGTTTTCTATCGCTCCCAACGCCGAAGGAATATAAGCCCCTTCCTGGTTCCATGACCAACGAAATGTTTCGACCCAGCTGAGCTCCAGCTGCGCCCTTAATCAAACTGGTACTGCTGTGAGCGACAGAACCGAGGTGGGTTATATCATAATTCACTTACCGGTGTGAGGAAGGACTCGGCCACGAAACGTGCTCTCGCATTCAACTAAAGACGGGGGAGAGTCAGGAGCTGTTGGCGCCCATTGGGGTAAACGTAACAGGGGAACCTACAAATAGCTTCATCTCGGAGATCTCCTTGTCGACCTCTTCCATAAACTGGATGATGAAGTCTACTAGCTTGTGCTTCAACATCTCCTCGGTGTGGAAGTTGGTGATGAGGAACGAAATGTCGTAGCCCTGGGAACAGTTAGCACCAATGACTGAGGGGTGGCGCTGGGGCAAGACGTGCCTTGATGGGCTTCCTCCTGAGGATGAAGAAGGCCTCGGCTCTCTGGGTCAGGAAACGGGTGAACTTGTGGACGAGGATGTTCTCGATCTCGTCTGCCTGCTTGATCTTGATGCTTATGCGCACGCTGTTGACGCTGGGCTCGATGAGGACACGCTCGTTCTCGTTTCGCGAGACGACCAGGGGGTTCAGCAGGACCTCCGGGGAGGTCTGGGCCTCGATCTCGGGGACATTGTGACGTTCGGAGGTCTGGGATGCGAAGTTGTTCAAGCAGAGGGCGGCCGTCAGACTACTCCGCACGCATTGCAGGTAGGGGCGGAGGGATTGGGACTGTAGGCAGGCGGCATTAGCAGATTGGCCGGGGCGGGTTGCCGGACAGAGAGAGGGCGCACCATGATGGAGGATCTTGGTCGTCAAGACCCGGGTCTATGCTACCATGTAGGTCGTCGTCGTCGTCGAGGTCGTCTGGCTGGCAGAGTAGATGTGGGGTGAAGCCGTCCCGCGATGTCGCCTGCGCCGCTGCATGCAATACAGTGGACAGCAGTACTGCGCCTACGACGTCGTTGGTGGGGCGGGTCGATGGCTCGTCCTTCGCTGCAGGTGCGCTTCCAGTGTGGCACAAGCTGAGCTACAGCTGTAGTTGGTGCCGACGGGGGGGCCGCCTCGGCTGCTGGTCTGGCTGGAACTCCTTTGATCGTGGCGCAAGATTAGGGAGCGCAGTGAGCAACCAGGGCACCCAGGGGCAATGACGGACAATGATGGGCGGGCACCCCGATAGCTGCATCGACCCAAGCTTCAGGCTGGTGGCTTCAGGCTCCAGGACCCCAAATTCCCCCACCACCGCCCGGCCAATCAGGTGCCCCGCCCCGCCACTACATCATGGCCGTGTGTCCATATGGATGGAATCTGGTAGATTTCGGACTTTGGAGTTGACGTACCCTTGAGTTTGCCTGGCCTCACGACCTCCTCTTGACCTGCAGTCTGCCATCACGGCTGTCTCTTCTGCCCACCTCTCCCCCTGTTCTTCTGATTACTGCTCGCGTTGCTGGAGGAGCATCATCAACAAGCAATATGGCGTCGATACCCGGTAAGCTACCACAACAGATCCACTCCATCCATCCATCCCTCCGGGCGGCTTGTCGCCTTCTCCAGCCATTCGTCATTGCCTTAGTTTCTGACCCCTCCCGCAGTTGTGGTGAAGCACCAGGGCAAGAAGTACGATGTCGAGGTTGATCCCGAGTCGACCGGCGAGACCTTCAAGTTTCAGCTCTACAGCTTGACCGGCGTCGAGCCAGAGCGCCAGAAGGTGCTCATGAAGGGCGGGCCCTTGAAGGACGATGCAGACATGGGCAAGTTTGGCCTGAAGCCCGGCCAGGCCATCATGATGATGGGCACACCTGGTGACAGCGGCGCTGTCCTGGAGCGTCCCAAGGATGCCGTCAAGTTTGTCGAAGATATGACCGAGGCCGAGGCCGCCCGGCTGGAGGGCGCCACCCCGGCCGGCCTTCAGAACCTGGGCAACACTTGCTACATGAACTCGACACTGCAGACCCTCAGGGCCATCCCCGAGCTGCAGAACGCCCTGACCAAGTACGAGCCGGCCCCCGCAAACTCCATCACCGGCACGCTGCCCCAGCTCGACCTGACCAGACAGCTGCGCGATCTCTGGAAATACATGTCCGAAACCCAAGAGCCCGTCGTCCCCCACGCCTTTCTGAGCGCCCTTCGCACCGCATACCCCCAGTTCGCCGAACGCTCACGAAGCGGTCCCGGCTTTGCTCAACAAGACGCCGAGGAGGCTTGGTCGCAGATCATCAGCCAGATTCGACAGAAGGTCAAGACGCAGGACTCTCCCGAGGCTGCCGAGGCTTCTTTCATCGACCGCTACATGGGGGGAGAGTTCTCGAGCGTCTTGGAGTGTGATGATCCCGCTGCCAAGGAGGCCGGAGAACAGCCAGTGAGCACCAAGGACGCTTTCCTGAAGCTGAACTGCCACATCGACACCTCTACAAACCACCTGACCGACGGCATTAAGAATGGCCTAGTTGAGAAGATTGAGAAGAAGTCAGATGCTCTTGGCAGAGAATCTACTTACACCAGAACCTCCCGCATCTCGCGGTTACCCAAGTATCTGACCGTCCACTTCGTTCGTTTCTTCTGGAAAAGGGACACCCAGAAGAAGGCCAAGATCATGCGCAAGGTTACCTTCCCTCACGAGTTGGACGTTGTCGAGTTTTGTGATGACAACCTGAAGAAGATGCTCGTTCCGGTTCGGGACAAGGTTCGCGAGATCCGCAAAGACGAGGAGGACATTGAGCGTGCCCGTAAGCGCCGCAAGCGCAACAACGAAGGAGGCGACTTGGGCGACATTCCCGGCGGCATGGGTGCCAAATTGGACAAGAAGGATGCCGAGCCGGACAAGAAGGACAAGAAGACGACTGCCGACGGCGATGTTGAGATGACTGAGACCTTCAAGACGGACGCCGAGATCGACGCCGAGAAGGATGCTGCGCTTCTCGCTGCAAAGAAGGAGCTCAACGGGCTCATCGACCCGGGCTTGGCGAAGGATGACGGTGCCAACCAGTCAGGTCTGTATGAGCTGCGCGGTGTTGTCACGCACCAGGGCGCCAGTGCAGACAGCGGTCACTACACTGCATACGTCAAGAAGCAGGCCCCCATAGACCCCAAGACCGGGAAGAAGAAGGATGAGGACGACAAGTGGTGGTGGTTCAACGATGACAAGGTCTCAGAGGTCACTGCCGACAAGATTGAGGCCCTGGCTGGCGGTGGTGAGTCCCATTCGGCTCTGATCCTGCTCTACAAGGCCATCCCGCTGCCGTCGGCCGAGGGCGTCGTTGAGTAAGGGAGCAGCAAAAGCTTGAGCTTCAGCATCGCAGGCGTTGTGTGCATGGAGAACCATGGCGTGCGTAAACGATAGACTCACTCATTGGGGTTTGGAGGACAAAGACAAGCAGAATAGATCGGATTGCATGCCACGGATGTTTTGTCTTCCCCAGGTGCTCGTCCACCCCTTCCTTGTTCAAGGGCTTGCCATGGAAAAATTTCTATCATCATGATAATGAACAAATAACTCTATTCTCAACCATTTTGAGTACATCTTAACTTGATACCGCGAATGATTAATTTTCGAAAAGCGCATGTGACATCTTCAAGCAAATGATCTCTGAAGCATTGACGACCTTTTGCCTCAAAGGCGCGACAGACTGGGTAGGCCACAGCTAGTACGAGCATAATCTTTACGTGGATGCTAATGGGGAATAGCGAAGACTTCGTTCTTGGGGGTTAGCGATTCCACAGAGGAAATTTGCGACCTGAGATAGGGCCGGTGAGTTTTGCAAATTCACACAAAATCCAGACCCAATGACACTAGACTTGCTGTAGAAGATGTGATGTACTTTTATTATATGTTTCAAGACGATCATGTTGGATGCCGGTACTACCGCGTTCATGCCATGTAGTGGTACACGCGAGATATCCTGGCAGGTCCTATCCTAGGTGCACATGGTATCCTCGGTCCGGGTAGAATATTTCTGGCGGTATAACCCCCGTCAAGTTGCGAACGCTGTTCGCCAACCCTCTGAAAGGGCCTGCGTCACCCATGTGCCAGTGCTCTGCGGGTCCCAATTGCAATCCCCTTGTCACTAAGAGCATTGTCTTTTTGGACAGAGGCGAATCTGAGCGGCCGAGTGATCGGGATTAGCAGCCAACGTGCCTCTCGCCTCTGAGGCTGCGACGGCGTCTGTGAGAGCGTGCTGAACGCGCATTGATCTCGTATGAACGTGAAAAGTATTCATTTGGGCTTGTTGTCAGAAGAAGCTGTGGCTTTCAGCTGTTCCTCGGCCTCCTTCGCTCTCATTCTAGCCTGCAGGTCATGCAGCTTCCTGTCCAGGGGGATCTTCTGCGCCATGAGCGCGCCCCGTCGCTTTTCCAAGTCCTTTATTCTCTGCTCCGGGGTAGCTTCCACAATCTGCTGCCTCTCCTGTGACACGAATAATCCTTGTTCAGCGATAGTTCTTCAGAGTGCACGCGGTTCAGGGGTTTTGGCACTTACGGCTTTGTACTCCTGCTGCGTCTTCAGGCCGGCACCGTACAAGGCACCTACAATGGTGACGGCGGCGAAAGCGCCGGTCCAGATGACGCGCTTCAGTGTTGATCCAGACTTGGGCGGCGTTGCCAGCGGCGCCCGAGCTGCCGCTGCGGCTGCCGGGGATCCCCTCGGTCTAGACCCTCTCGGGGGCCTTGGTGATTGTGATGCCATGGTGACGATGATATATATATTCACAGACTCAATCCCAGTAGTCTCTCCAGCAGGTTTCGCTCTGGCGCTGCAGACTAATGGACTCCTTCCTCGCTACCTCATCACATCGAACGCGTCTGTTGGCAAAACGGTTTCGGCTGCTACTCTGGCTGCGCGTGCTGGACACGCTGCTCTCCGTGGTAGTGCTGTCGAACGAATCGGTGCGCTTGACGGATCGCGTTCGGCGCTCGCGGGATCGAAAGAGGTCGCCCAAGTCCGTCAATTGGCCACCGTATCGAGTGCCAAAATCCGGCGCCGTCGTGATTGTCGGTGAGACTGGGCGTGAGGAGGCCGGGGTGGTGGCGGCGGTGGTGGTGATGGATGAAGCCGACGGCCAAGGTTGAAGCTCGAGGTCGACGGTAAATTCGGTGCCAAGGTCCCCGGAATTAGTTCCGGGGTTGGCGGGGCGGGCCATGGATAGCGTCCTTATTAAGCGAAGTGCAGTATGCACCGGCGGCATTACGACCATCGTGGAATCGCTGACGTAGGAATGCGGCGTGCGCCTTTTCTCTTGACGTGTTCAGATTTCTTGGTATTTCTAGTCGACGACAGGACACCGCCTACGTTGGCCGCCAACTTGTTCTTATTCCCAAAGATCTCGGGAGGATCTGCAGCAACTGGCTCCTTCTTTGCAGCGCCTTCTGAAACGGCCCTGTTTGCGACGGTTTCGTGTGAGGGGTTCTAGCTTCATCTTGCCAAGGTTGCGCATCTGCGTGTAAGTCAGATACTGGAATCACAACAACTCTTATTCGCAACCCAGCAGCTGATCATTATGCGCAGCCAAGGTCTACGCATCGAGCTGCTGTATCGCCTTCATTACGAAAAACTACCGTGGAGATCGAGAAGCACTTGCTGTGCGAAATTAGTTTCCGTACGTCCCGGCAAAAGGTGCCACCCTTGATTCTTGCGACTGGGGTGCTGAAGGTGTCAGCGCAGGGGCTGTTACACCCCACGCCGTCTCGCGTCTCACAACGAGCTTCCAACCTACCCTTTTTTTGGAACTGATCGTAGGAGAAGTCCAGGGCAAAATCAGTATCAGCGGAAACAGGACGCTGAAAGCCAGCCATGACTACGCCCAGGGTCTTTATCGTCCGCCACGGTGAGACGGAATGGTCCCTAGACGGCAGGCATACAGGTTCAACCGACATTCCGCTGACTTCCAATGGCGAGAAGAGAGTCAAAGCCACGGGCAAGGCACTTGTCGGCGACGACCGTTTAATTGTGCCTAAGCAACTCGCACATATGTGAGTAGGCCCATCTCCTCTAGCTGCTTCACTTTGTCGCCATATCCTTTCGCGTTCTCATGAGAGCACGACGGGATGAGATTCATACGCAGCTGCGCTCCGATGTATGAGCACGAGGGCTCAGTTGTCTGTTCTGTCCCAATCGGTGACCCCCAATGCGCAAGGTTGTCATCGGCTCGAGCTTCCCCTGATTATTCTTATGAGCTTAACCCTCCTCAGATCAGCGGAGCCTGATCATTGGATGGCATGAGTGAAACGACATGCGTTATCGATATCTATGGTGTTACGGCAACGGGAAGCTTACTATAACCGGACAGATACGTTTCACCGCGCAAACGCGCTCAGCGAACTTTCGAGTTGCTCAACCTTGGCATCAAAGACCCCTTGCCGTGGAAGGCACATGGGCTTCGACCTGAAGAACTATCACCAAATGATTGCACAGCTCGGGTTGAAGTCGCGGAAGATATTCGTGAATGGGACTGTAAGTCAATGTTGCAATCCACGCACCTCCCGATACCAGAGCCGAACACACTCCCGTTCCTCCATCACCGATCTTACGGCCCCCGACTCTTGCTCCTTGGCCTTTCTTGGCTTTCCTTAACTGTGCTTGGAATTAGATCAAGACTTACGTTACTACGTACATACTGGTTACTAATTAAGTTGGGTTTGTAGATGGCAACTATGAGGGTATCACCAGCGCTCAGATTAGAGACGAGCGGGAGAATCAGGGGCTGAACCGTGACTGGGATATCTGGCGCGACGGTTGCGTCGGCGGAGAGTGAGTAAAGCGGTGTCGCGTGGAGCATCGGGTCTGCTGGTTTCTTTGCAGAATGCCTAGCACTAACGGTATTCAACAGGAGTCCTGAAGATGTTACCGAAAGAGTTGATAGGCTGATCAAGGAGATTCGGGATCGCTGGCAGGCGCCTGTGATAGGAAAGCCAAAGGGCAACGCGCCCCAGGGCGATGTTCTAGTCGTTGCCCACGGGCACATCCTCCGGGCTTTTGCGATGAGATGGGTCGGTAAGGAGTTGCCGGATGGACCTGCATTCTTGCTGGAGGCTGGTGGCGTCGGTACCCTGAGGTAAGCTTCCTTCGAGTCCATGGCGCATTGGGGGAAGTGCTAACGTTCTTCATGGTAGCTACGAGCACCACAGCATTGACGAGCCGGCTATCTTACTGGGTGGCGCTTTCATCGTGTCCTAGTCATACGAAGTAATGCGTCTTGTAACTACTAGGCACTGGCTCTATTGGGTCAACATATATTCCGGTGACATGAACCATTTTGAACCTGGCCGCAGTACCGACACGTCTCAAACAACCAACACATATTGTTGGTGAATGGTTCTGCGGTCGACGGACAGATATAATTGCGATTGATACGTCATTTACCATTCAAGTCTCTTGTCAACCGGATCCGCCTGCTACTCAGTAGTATCATGTGAAGTTAATAGTTAAGGCTGTGGGTTTCAATTCAAAGAACCAAAGCTGCGCTATATCTGCTGTACTGTTTGCGAGATCTCAACTTCCTACACTTTACACCTTTGACCGATAATAATAACAATAATACATGTTGCATTGAATTCATCTAACGTTTTGGTACTCGCAAAGCCAACTCCGACTTCACTTAGGATTCGATCAGCAGTACATAGAATTCCAGGAATACGGTGTTGACGTCGCTCGTCTATCCAACACAATATTACCCGTTTCAGCAGGTGAACCGTCAAAAACGTTATGTAATAGTTGGAGGAAATTGGCGAATTCGTTTACAGCCGGGTGACTGTACATTGAGTCCGCCTTCAGGGAGGCGATAGATACACTGCCACTTGAGCTGGCAACGGCATATAATGCAAGGTACTTTGCCCGGTCATAAGACCTAACAAGTGGAAGACTGTTTGGCTTATAAAGGCTTCACCGCTCTCTCCGATAATCACATGGCTTTAGAAGGGGCTGACACTGTTCCTGCTTTGGCGATTGGCCAGCTAGCTTGCCGTTTCACCAGAGCACACAGAACCTGACGATTGTTTAGTGATCCACGCCACGGGCGGGTGTCGATACATGTATATCACTCTCCCCGGGTTTCGCGTCTCCATCCCGACATATTACCTATCATTACCTCTGGAGGCAGTTCCGGCGGTCCTTCGGGCGTACTTGAGGCCCGAGCCAGGTACCGTGTGTCTATGCCGGGGCACCTCCTGGGCCTTAAACGTAGGATTTGCCCTCGATGCCATGTCAGACCGATGCACATTCCGTAAGGTTTATTAGGATTTTCGGGTGCAAGCGCTGCTGTCTGTGGTCAGAAGTTGGGGCGAGCCAGTCTGCCGGGTCAGACCACAGCAGCTGAGGGTCTTCTTAGTTGTAATGGAGAGAAGTTTCAGGATTATTAAGGGTGGATTTGTTGATTCCAAGGCTTCACAAAGAACCAATGTGGATGGAATAGACCGCTTAGAGGCCGCATACCGAAATCCTGAATCACGGTATCGTCCCACGCAAGACCGCAGTAAGCAGAAAGCGTCTGATTGTCGGCAAGGTCATCAGACCGAACCACAGACGCACGTTATTATTCTACGATGCAGAGATAGTGCTGACCACATTGAACAGGCGACAGCAATTCCACTACAGCATCCCACTGTTGTCATTATTGCGTGTCGTATCACTACGTGCTTGACCTGATGAGTCCAACGAATTGCCCCGAGTATCAAAATTTCTTACAGCTCACTCCGAGTACAGATCCTCCGAGTAGCATTAGAGCTCATGTTAAGAACAAGAGATTCTCTTCCAGTACGCCTGCCTCATTTAACGTCTTGGGTAATACCGCGTCGCATGTAAAGTAGGATTGCGCTTTCCCATTACTTGCTCAGCAAATGTGAATATGAAAAATTCCTGTTCGGAAGATTACTTCAACTACCGATGCGGTATGTCGTTGACAATGAAGGCAAGTTGTGGCAACAGCAACAAGTACACCAGGTATATCTCAAAGTTTCTCCCCCCGAGCGAGGAACACCTGACGCTTCCTGGGCTGTGTTCCTTCGCCATGATGGCCGTGGCTGTGGCTATTCCCACCATGATGGTGACCCCCAACAATGATACCGCTACCGAGGTCTTCTAACGCAAAGTTCTTGCCGGCACCTATGAATATCACGGTCAGCGGAACCTGCACGTATGGATGGCATCCACCAGGAAGAATCTTGGCTTCTTACCAGCTGACTCAAACATTTCCCGAACCTGAGCTTCAGAAAACCCATGGTGCGTGACCGTGTGAGAGGCCTGGTGGTTGTCGGGCTCATGGGTGAGGAAATCCCAGATGAAGAGGACACCGCCAGGACGCAGGCGCTCAACCAAGCGTGTCGCTGTAAGCTTGGGGTTTTCAAAATGGTGAAAGCCGCCGCCCACTGCAGCCAAGTCAAAATTGAATAGCTCAGGGCTAGATAGCGACGTCGGCTCTGGGTCGTTGGGGTCGGCAATGTCGCCAACAACAGCAAACATATCCTCCTTCGCCAAGCCCTGATCCATCGTCAGTAAATCCCTTTTTCTACATATTGGGCAGAATCACGGAGAAAATGATGTCTGAATTACATAAGGGGGGAATGCTCACCTGATTTTCAGCTCGGGCGTTGTAAGTCGCTACCATATTCTCTGATATGTCGATCCCAACGCATTGTGTGGTATATGGTGCCAAGGCCTGCAGTTCAGTCAGCTCCTTAAGCTAGCAAAACACCATTGGCGAGGCTGAACGAACCCTGGAGACCATTCCGGTACCACAGGCATAGTCCAACAGTCTTAGTTGCCGTCCGTCGCCGCCTGCTGCGTCGTCGTCCTCATCGTCGTCTACCCAGTCTGCACCGATGAAATCTAGCCTTGCCTGAATGGCTTGCGTAAGCTGCTGAAGGCCCTTCTCATTCTTGCTGTCGTATTTTGCTGCTTCATCACTTGAATTCGGTTAGCCGTACTATCGCCGCGAAGGGGCATGTGGGAGTATCATAGCCGCGACTACGCATCAAGCGCGCTGTAGACCTTGCAAGGGTCACGCAGCAGCGAGGCTGGGCGAGCTGCCAACTTACTTGAAGTAGGATTTGTTTAGCTGCGCTGTAGCCATGCTGCTTAGTCCCTTTCCGGGGTAAGATGTGATTGACAGCAGGCTTGATCTCCTTGTGATGTCAAGACTGCACGGGTACCAGTGTGGTTACGGCGATCCGCTCGGACTATTTGAGCAAGGACCGTACACTTCTCGTACACTTTCCGTACACTTCACCTACAACCCCTCTACGCGGTGACTTCTCGGTGACTTGTTGGGGTTACCGCTACGCCTACCCCGGCGTGCGTATGTTGATCATGTGATTGTTGTTCATGGATTAAGTCAATTGTTCACCGCCTCGAACTTCGAAGATCCGGGATAGTAAGATTGATGGATGGATGTGTAAGGATGCGACCAGACTGCATCATTATCAACAAGCTGGCCGCTTGCAATAGGCTGATCTACTGTTGTAGTCGGGAGCGTCTTGCCGCAAGTGCATCTTCGGGTCTTGTTCTAGTGTTAACAACGGGGGCAGGGTACTATGGCAGAGCACTACTGGTAGATCGAGCCTGCAGACTCGCGTCGGACCGTAATCACAGGAGACAGCAGACCTGCAGCTGGGACGGGTAGGCAAGCCTGCCTAGACCCAGTGGCTAGAACTAGTCGATCCCTAGGGCTCATGCAAGAAGCCAAAAGCAATCATACAGATGCAATGGCCCTTTGGCAACGCCGGTGGGACCATGCGCGCGCATCGTCAGAGTTTGTAGGCGTCTGCAGGGCGAAGAAAGCGGAAGTCGACTCGTCATGATGGTGGAGAGGGAGAGCGACAGTCACAATGCGATGCGACGACACTTGTGCAAGCAGGGGAGACGGCAAGGCAAGATGCTGCAGACGGAAGCTGGTATGGCCCGTCATCGACGGCGATCACAGCCGGTGCGTTGGGCATCCAAGAACATTTGCCGGGCATTTACTATAACTCATGTATGCAGTATCCCCAAATGCACCCTTGCCAGGACCCGTCGCCCGGGCTTGGAAGGGGTCGAGGGACGGAAGGGCAATGCGAGTTTCGCGCCAAGTTACGCGGAGGAGCCAGTAGAAGGATTGCAATAGTGAGGTGATCTGATGTTTTGGACAAGTAACGGCTGGGCTATCGGGCCAAGACTCCCAGCGCTACTGCAAGAAGCCCTGTAAATAGCGAGGAAAACATGGCGGCAGGCAGCTTCGAAGGAGGACGACGAGGATGACAAAAATGACAGCTCACCGCTGGTCGGCGGCTGAGGGGCCAACCATCCATCTTGGTCGTCCTTGTCTCGTGTCGTCTCCAGAATCTCAGCCCGGAGGGTTGATCAGGTCTGAGCGCTTCCTATGCACATGGAGCCAGCCGATCGTTACGGAACGCCCAGGTACGCCCAGGCGTCTTCGAACGAGTCGCCCAAAATCGACATACGCCCGAGGGGTGCCAACTCACGCCCGCAAGCCCAGCGTATCCTTCTTATCATTCCTCCTCAACCGTACGACTTCTGCAGTCGTATCCATGACCCCAAGCCAGGCCCGGAGCAAGGGAAAGCGCCACAATATCGGTGCTGATTTGCAGCGGACTCGAAGAGCCGGCTTGCAGTCTGGAGAGCCGGATTTGGGAACGGGAAGCCCGTTGGAAAGTGGGGAAGTCAGCACCCGAGAAACCAGGAATTCGAGCCGAAGTTGGTGAAACCAGAAGCACCCTCGTGCAGGATTCTCTTGAAATGCGAAACGTGCCTTGGGGTCTGTTCTACGGGGCCGCAAGGAGGTGATTGGTGACGCAATGCCCAATAGCCCGGTCAAAATGGTCAGCTGTGTGTGATCTTGGGGAGTGAGACCACTTGTCGCTGGTGGATTGATGGACTGAACGCGGGCGGCGTCGTGCGCCACGTACCAACGGGCGCAAGTTGCGTTGCGCTTGTCACTGGGAGGACCAAGGGGGCCGAGGATCAGTGGGTGCTTCTTCTGAACAAGGTGCGCGACTCGTACACCACCGCCGCGACCGGGACCAGCTCCGAATCAACTCCACGAACGGGTGGATATGGCCAATGTCCAAAGGTACCTAACAGGAGGCGGGCGGGCGGGCAGGCGGGCAGGCAAGATTCGCTTGGACGAACAACCTGGCGCTATAGGAGATGACATGCATCGTTAGGCTGAACGGGCAACGGAACGGAGCGCGGTGGTCTGCACACAGTGGACAAAGCAGCCCACGGACCGTTTTTTGCAACCACTGGACGAAGGTTTGTGACCGCACCGCAGCGTTGCCTGATGCACGTTGATGAAAGCGGAATCCTGCTGTAGGGCTGTGGCCTGGACCGGCCTCACGAACTGGCTGGCCATGGCCTGGATGCATACGCTCAATATAACTCTTGCGCACGATTCGTCTGGTAGTAGATCGCAGAGAAAGCTGAGGGTGTCTTCGTCTTCGACTGGTCACAAGGATCTCACGATGCACACACACACACACACGCGCGCGCACACATGGGGGGAGGGGGGGGGAGATCCGAGTCACTTTTTCATTTCTTTTGGTTTTCGCGTGTCGCCGGCTTTCGAGCAACAGCCACTAGGGACGCCCATCCATCAGCTGCGTACTGCGTAGCGACCCCGCCAGCCCGTCTTGGAGACTCCGACTCCCCCGAACCCCAAATTCAACACATTGCAGGCTACAACACGTTTTCCTGCCACTTTGCCCTGTCCCATGGCGGTACTTCAGTGCGGAGGGCTGGCCCCCTAAATCAACATCCACGCCCCCTCGGGCCCCTCCCCTCCCCTGTGCCACCCTCGCTCCATTGGCCCTCGACGCCAGGAAAATCGCTGGAGAAGCAACTGGGGTCAATCGTGGGCGGGAGCGGCTACGGCCCTCCTGCATGCATATTCGGTCACGTGATTGAAGATCCACCGCTGCTCCCGGGTCTGATTGGCGTTCCAGAACTACAGATCTTGGGTCGCCCAATTATAGGGCCCGTCTTAGATAGTTGCCCGCGATGGTCGAGCCCCAAGAAGCCGGCTTCCTTCTCATCGTGGTCTGATATTCTCCACACACACACACTCTCTCTCTCCCCAAAGCAATAGTCGGTGTGCCCAAGACTGGCGAGACTGGGTGATGTTGGCCCAATACCGCTGCTGGCAGCTTCTCAGGAGCACACTCCTCACCCCTTTCGCAGTTCTTGGGGGTTCAGAGATGAATAGTGAGTGGCGCGCGCAGATCGCCGACTGCGTATGATTTAGGGAGGAGCGTCCTTGAAACACTGCTTGAAGATCTTGGGGTCCGGGAGGGATGTCGTAGGTCTACAGGGTTCTGCTTCCCGAAGCTGTCCCAAAGTCACGTCACCCTGTCCACCCCCAAGAGGCACTTCACAACCAACCCCATCAATGCCGGACACCATCACATCAGCGAGAGCCGGCCCCGAGCCATACCACACCAACTGTCCAAATGAGTCGCTAATGCTATCGTAAGACGGTATGCTGGGCCACGCTGGTTGGGAGGCTGCACATTCGATTGATGGTATGTCAACTCCCTTTCCTGGAAAGATGTCAGTTGAGAGTTTTGGCGCCGACATGACCTACGCTCGCCAAGCTTATGCCTGCTAACATCGCGACTGGGAGTCCATCACAGGCATCATAGGATTATCAACAAATCCAGACTCCTATGCCAGGACGCTACATTCGCATAAGTCACGCGCATCCTGCTGGCCCAATCGTGGCCTGCCTTCCCCCAATCATGCCCAATGTGCTGGCTATCATGATGCCTATGCTGCGCCGTGACAAGGTTGTTTGCTTATGGCGAGTTATGATTGATTGCCTAGGCGCGTTCATGAGGGTAAGTTATCAGAAATGGCGACATCGATTGGCTCCCGGCCTGCCAGCACAGAATACTGTTCCCTCTCATCAGGGTAGCTTATTGAAACCTGCTTGAGCGGATAGGGGAGCAGGCATGGCTAGATCTGTTTCTATGCCACGCATCTTTAGACCTTAGTAAAGAGCTGGTATAATGCAACCCATCATGCAACCCATCATGCAACGGGCTTCCAGCACTATCCAATCTTGCCAGTTCAGGCTTTATTTTGGCGTCTGACTAATCTCTAGTTGCGCGTGAGCTACGGTAGGTGCATATCTAGCGCCACTACCACAGTAGGTTCCAAGGGGGCGGGAGCTGGGGTACCAAGACCCTGAACCCAGAATGAAGACGGAATGGCCTCAAATTCTCCGTATAGATTCAGTAAAGAGGAAAGTCTACTTGGTCCATGATAAACAAAGTTTCGAATATAGCATCTTAGAATGTTCTTGTAAGCCGGTTACTTAAGAACGAGGACTATTCTGCTCAGATGGTACGGAAACTCTGTGATGTAATCTCAAGTTGATTGGTGATTTCTAGACCACACGATAAGTCCGGGGTTGGGGAAATAGATTGGCGGAAGACATCCCGGATGGAGCCCGGCGGGCCTCGCTACCAACCTCATATCCTGCCGATCATGAACCTCGATCGATAGTATTGCAATATGAAACCTTTGGATTGAATATCGTGAAATGTTGGTTGGTCATTGGATTATTGTCTCAGGTTCCCAACGAGCTGAATATGGTACTAGCAGTCAATAGCGGGGGTCACTACATAAGTCACTTGCTTCCCAGCGCAGCTGACTTTAGCGGGCAACACTAAAGTAGCGGGCGTGATCACGAATGTGGAAGGATACAATGATTGCCGCAACATCTCAACGGATCAGTGCGAAGCATGGCTTTTGCGAATAGAATGAGTTAGTGGGAGACGTGGTGCTGTTGAGCCGGGAAAACCAATCTTGAAATGACTGGACGATGTAACGTGAGGCAGTAAGACAGCTTTGTTAAAGTTTCACCCAGGTGATCTTGTTATATCAAAGCTACGTTGACAACGTATGGGGTTACATCAACAACAAACTTCACCTTATCCCAGGCCAAGGACTCTTAGCTGGATTCGTCACCGCAGTGAGCTCACTTCTCAAGTGATAAATGAACCTTTGTCATTGCATCATTGCAACGAAAGGCAAAATTGCAACCTGGAAATGCAAAGCTGCGGTGAATTTGGCACTTTGGGTGAGTTTGGATGGAAGGTGGGATCGTAGAAAATGGATCTGGTATAGTACCTGTTGAGTATTCGTGGTTTGGGGTCGGTTGCGATTTAAGAGCTACTTCTCAATGTGGACAATTGATATATACAAATATTCACTCGAGTGTTCCTTGCTATAAGTGCAGTCGACTTCGTTGATAGCAGCTGAAGGAGCTTGTTTTCGATATACTGGCTTAACGTGACTGCGTGTGTGAAAGTAGGTGGAGCGCTCTTGGCAAACACGAAAACTAGCTCACCACATTAGGTGTGGGGATTGAAACCTCTGAGGATTCACCCCCTGTATGTGCAGCAGCCACGTCAGTTATACCCTAGCCGAAAGGGCGGTACAAAGGGGCGGTATACAAGTTTGCTCGTAATAGAAGCGCGATTAACCTTCCTAAGCACTTGGCCCAGACAAGTATACGACTGACGCGAATGTGACTTGTCAGCACAATATACTGCGACATGGCCGAAAAGAGACAGAGCTGCAGATACGCGAGATACCCTAACCTACCCGAGGCAGGTGACCATTTGTTCTCCCAACCAATGAATCCCAGTACATAACTACACGTCTTTGTTTACGGTGCGATTGTAGAAGACGGCCGGGTTGTCTCCTCCAAAATGCATGTTGGACTGCAAATGCGCCGAAGGCTTGCACAGGAGCTCGACGGCGCAATCCTCAACCCGGACATCTTTGGGTGCCTGCCCTTACTATCGCACGGTTGGAGCTTCGTAGGCGTTGAGCCATCAGGCAGAAAAGCGGGCAAACATAGAGTTCTAATACCAGTCCAGGCGCAAAATTGTCTACTTGCCAAGGCGACGTGAGACGACGCATATTGGCTGGGGGATGGCCATATCAATCAAGGGCTTGCCGCAAGTTGCACCTCCTAGACTGGTTGGATGAGAACTCGATATCGCCGGTCTCGAGCAACTGCCCGTGAGCAAGTAAAAAGGAAGGTCTGCGCGACATCTGTTGTGTTGGAGGTCGTATGGCCCCAGGCCGACGAGTCCCAGAAATGCTTCGAGGTGTAGCATTGCATGAGCAATTCTCCGTCGCAGCTCCAATCATGTGGCCAGCATCCCGGCGTGGAAGGATCTGTCGCGCAGTAGCGGTGCGGATATGCAAGTTGCGCCGAGATGCTGTACCACGTCTCCGGCTCTATGGGCCAGGATGAGCAACAAAGGGTGGGTTTGAAAGAGGGGTGGATGGCCAACACCCAACGATAAGAGGTACACAGGCTGAAAACGCATCATGGCTATGACCAAGGTTTGTCTGCAAAGCTGACACTTTCCACGACAAAGCCCGGACGTTCATCATCCATTACCTACTGTAGCCTAGCGAGTTAATAACTAGTTCAAGGGGTGTACTAGGATCAACGTGCAAGGGGCTTTGGTGACTGCTATGTACACACTATGGTAGTACTGTAGTGACGTGCTGGCTGCATCGTCAGATAACGAATACATTGAGATACGAGCCAGAGACACGGCATCGCGTGAGCACCTTCTTCTACTTGTTCTTCTTCTTCCTCACCGTAGTCCCCATGATCTGAAGACCTCTCGGATCCCCGGTGATGGATGGAAATCCGGTGGCTGCTGAGAAGGGGTATTCCTGGCCTTGCGACTTGCAAATAGGCGGCAGCACCGCAGATCAAGTCGGCCCTGGATACCCATCCTGGCCATGCTGACACGCTGGGCTGGGGTTCCCAGACTTCCCACGCCTGCCACGCTTCCGCCCTTGCGCGCGTTGCCGTCAGTCCTCCTGACGCCCTAAACTAGATCCGAGGGGCTAGGGATTTTGATGGGACCAATGATATGACTCAATGCCCGTCAACCTCTCCAGGCGAAGTGGGCGGATGGAGAAGTTCATTGCCCCAGGCTGCTAGACTGGTAAGACTGGCAGCTTGGAACGAGAATTGGGGCGGAGTCCAAGGCAAGTAGCACGATGCATAGTACGATCTGTCCTCCGAGCCCACTTGTCGTTGAGACTAAGAGCCCCCTGATGACTCGGTTCGTGCCAAGGTCGGGCTTGAGCAAAGACGATGAAATTTCAGTAGGACGGGAATGGTCACGTCGGTCGGCTTGTCCCGACTCATACTATCTGTCTAGCATCCCCTGTCATCGCATGGCAATTGGAGTTTACCAGGGATACCACTACCTGATTCGCACGAAGGCAGGTGACACACTTTCAAGTTGCCGAACTCATGAGGTTAGAGTTCTAGACTCGAAGTCCGATGTAACCCAAAGGCCCTGCAATTACTTCCGTCATAGCACTCAATTACGGGTGGCTCAAAGCAAACGTGCAATCTCACGGATAGAGAGAGCCGATGTCAATTGCAGCAGATACATGCACTTGGATACAGACTGAAGGCCGGGCACCTCTGGCAAGGGGGGTGTGTGTATCCTCGCACATTGCTGCCCTAGACAGTTGAACCGTGTTGCGGGTACTAACGTGGTGTGCCGGGGCACAGCTGCATGAGCGCATCTCCTAACCCTGCAAACCCGCTCGAAACTCTTCGAGAAGGGTGGCTGTGGGTAAGATGGGCGATGAAATGAGAGGGGGGTAGCCGGGTGGTTTTTACCTTAATCCCACGTGAGAAATTGTAACACCGCCGGCCACACCGCGACCCGCTGTGCAACGGCGTGTGGGAAACAACAGATGAAAGTAGTGGGCGCTGTACCCGGACATAGGGCCTTGTACCACCTCTGCGGAGTATAGTCCGAACCCACACGACAGACGTTCGATGCTGTTTCCAACGACGCACGTTTGAGAATACGCATTCAGCCCAACTGCGCAGTAGAAGAACCGTGGGCAGGACCTTCCACTTCAGATAATGGGGAAATGGGGTGTCCGCCTGCCTGCACCGCATGTTGTAAAAGTGTGGCGCACTGCCAAATGACGGGAACTACGTTCACCACATGCCTGTATAGCAGCTGCGTTATACTCCTGTAGTCAGCCAGACTCGTCCGATAAAGGCAGCAGCGTCAACAGGGACCGACGGAAACTTTTTCGGCAATCCGAAAAGGCTCACAGAGCCAGGTTGCTGCATGGCTGCGTCACACGACTCCCACGCACGCTCTCGTTCCTTCTTCCCTGGCCGTTCTTCACTGCAATTGGACTTGGGGTGGGCGGCGGCGATAGTGCTCACGGCCGGCTTGCTGAATCGGGCCAACGCATCACCTTCGTCTTGGTGAGGAGGCCAAATCAACGGGCACACACGCCATCTGAGCAGAAAGCCAGGACCCGAACGCCCGTCGGGCCCTGCATAGCCCTGGCTAGCGTCTGCGGGCCATCCCTCGGAGGAGCCTAACGTCTTGAAAACCAGCCAATCCAAAGTCATACTTCCAGGGCCACAGCTATCGACACCCTCGCACTCCCTGGCGCCATCCAGGCCTGCACCCCACAGAAGGACCAGGCCGAGGCTGACGTGCGTCCTGGGTACCCTACCGTAGCGGTTGCGGCAGCAGCCTCCCTTCCCTTCGCTGGAACACAAGACGGGAGACAGTGTGCGACGGGTGGTGGGGTCTCCAGGGTTGCCATTTGTGCTACCCATGTTGTCGAACGGCACGTTGATGCGCGCACTATAGCAATCAGCACCAAGCGACAGGCCGAGTTACATCTATATTCCCCAGTTCACACGGAGCCAGCCCATCTCGCGACGTTCCGCCCGTAGTTGCAGTCATGCCCGGGGGCTCCCGTGCCCTTTTCTGCGACCACTGGCCCAATCTGAGAACGAGAGGCATTATCGTAGCCAGGAGATCCCGTCCGCCTGCCCGCCATGGATTCGAAGTCGTGCCCTCCGCTGTGCTCAGCTGACAGCTCTCGAATTGCTGTCGTATTGTCGGCGACCTCGGAGATCGATGGTTATGGATTAGTCACAAAAGTACCTCTACGCCAACGCTTCTCTCTGGGGCAGGGGTCTTATAGAGCCTGTAGCAGCCAGCCACTGCCCTGACTGCACCCGTCGAAATCCCTTGATCCCAGCAAGATGAAATCTTCAAGGTAACTTCGCCTTCCGAAACAAAGCTTCTGTTCGGCGAGGAGGCAGTGAGCCACCACCGAGATAAGATTCAGCACCGCAGTTGAGCTTCCCAAGTGGTCACCGCCATGATCCCCTTCCATGCTGCGTTGCGACTCTGATTGCCTTGGTCAGGCGCACAGTACATTGCCTGATTGCAAGTGACTGATTGTCACCGCGGCTGCGTCGGAAGCACCGAACTGGGGAACGCTCTTCGCCGTGGACACGGCCCATCGCCGAAGTGTCTTTTGTGATGAGATTGATCTTGGGCATAACTCGCGGGACCGCGATAGCATGCCCTCTACTCTTGCCGGCGGGATTCTGGATATAATCAGGCATTATTATGGTGGTGCATCCTGGTTACCTTTGCCCATCCGTTTCACGTAGTACCTAACCCCCCAACACAGTGGTTGGTTTTTCTTACTGGTAGGGGTCTGTTGCCCTGGTAGGCCGTATTTAGCCTCTTGCTGAACCGTGGACTGGACCCCATCCCATCCAACCTAACGGCCCCCTCATCAGCTGCCAAGGGGGACTGCAGCAGTTCATCACAGGTTGCAAGGCTCGGCCACGGGAACCCCCGTCCAGTGCGAGCCATCCCCCTGGGATTTGCGCCTTTGGTTGCCTAACCCAATCCGTCAGCTGCCGCTACGCGAGGTTGTTCGATCGAAGGGAATGTAGGTCGACGGCGTTTGAAGGTTGAAAATTGAATACGTATCCAGACAGATAGGGTTGGCATCCAAATAAAACAAAAGTACCGAGCTGCCAACAAGCCGCCCAACCAACACAGCCATTGGGTGACTCGAGGCGGGGAGACAGGCCAGACCAGCGGTGTGGGTGAGCGACGAATGCGCACGGGGTGTGGTGCGGCAAGGAAAAAGAAAGCTGGGTGCCAGAGCACTGGGACCGGCTCGAACAAGCCACCTGCACTCTCTAAACTGATCCGTCATCTGAGCCCGAAGTTGCACGCGCAGCCGAATGTGGGTTGCAGCCCCTGTGTTGCGTACTTGCTACCTCATCCGTCACCACCGCCCACAGCGGCCGTAGCCAGTCTAACCTAGGGAGGCGCGTACCTCGCGATACCCCTTCTACTGAGAGTACTACAGTACTGTGTCTGCAGGTGGGCTGCCCCTTGCACGGCAAGCAAGCACTCTGACACACTCACTCACTCACACACACATACACACACACACACCACACGGCCAAGATTCAGTTCGCGCGGTAGTTCGGGTCAAGCCTCCTCACAGTCGCACGCAGGTTGTCGATGGCGATCTTGTGGTGGAAAGCCGTGGCTTTCGTCATGCAATCGAATACGGCAGATAGCCTAGAATAGAGAGAAGCGAGGCACCATTCCAAAGCGCATGTTGGACGAGCATTTTCTTGATCCCTCTCGACGTAGCTAGCTACTTAATACTGTATGACAGCGAAGCAACGCAGCTGGCAGCAATAGAGCAGCTCGCCCCGCGCCAACGGGTCCCTTGTCAGACGTCGACCAAAAAGCACTACGTCTGCCACCCCATTCGAAACGCCGACTCTCACCAGCAAATTCTCACATTTACACGATCACATTCATGGGCAGAGCTGTCACGGTACACAGCCGACGACGACCTTGACCCGATATTCGTCCGACGTTGGTCAGCATAACGGCGACTAAAGCAAGGCATTCCTCCTGCGGTCACTCGTGCTCTAGCGCCCGTGGAAATAAGATATTAGCTACACCTTGATCGCTGCAACCCCGTGGGCGAATTGCCACTTTTAAGGCCTGGCAGCAAGAGGCACGCATCACCTAAATCAGCAGGGCCGTAACTACGCGCCCCATCACTCGGACGGACCTCTGGGAGATTACCACCCTCTTCCGGGGTAACTGACAGAACGGCAAGGTCTCAGTACGTCGAGTCTAGATCCGCCCTCTGCTCAGCCCTGCAGCCGAGGAACTGGATTTCCGACCTGGGCCGACTCAGTACGTACGTACGTCACGTCGGCATCCTGCCTGTGCAGAACACCAACACATCGAGACGCAGTGCATCCTGACCTGTGCCTCTTCGTTCAGTGGACGCACGTCTGGCGTGGCCTGAACCAGCGACAGGAAGAAGATCGGTGTGGCAGAAGGTGTCGAATCGACGAGCGCCCGACTGCCTGGCCAGGATTGATAGCTGCAAGGTTGCGGACGGAGCTGCTTTCTTGGATCAAATCATCTTGGGTCATTCAGCTGCGGCCCGTCCTGCGGCCTCAAAGGCCCGTTCTGACGGGTTCCGGGATTAGACGCGAGAGCCCAAAGCTAAAGCTTGACTTGATTGGAACAAGATCCGCCCAGCAGCCCGCCCTCGCGAAATTCCCTGGGCGTCCCGCATTTCTGGGGCCACATGCTGCAACTGCACCAACCCCTACAACCGCTTGTACGACACACCCCTTCTGACATCTCCCATCTTTCCCTTCTCGTTTCAACCGAGTTCTCGCATTGGCCCTCGTCGGCCTCGAGAGAGAGAGAGTGTGTGTGTGTGTGAGAAGTGAGAGACTGCTCACTGCACCGCTGGCTTGGGCGAATCACCCAGCCGCCCATTGCGGCCCTGTCCAGAACCTACCCAACTGCCTTAAGGTGGTCGTCTATTTCCACTCTTACCCGCACCGCCCGAGGTTCCAGTATCCAATCTCTCTGCTCCCCCTCTACCCTTCTGAAATCCCACGACTCCGGGACCAAAAGGGGAAAGACACGAGAAACGACTGCTCGAAGCATCTGCTAGTAACCTGAAGTCCAAAAGATTGGCGACTGGCTAGCCGATCTAGCGGTCCCAGACAGACGTCTTAGTCCATAGGCCTCCGCCGTCGGATCAGCCATCGGCCAGTCCATCGCGGCCCATAGACGCGAACCTGAGCGCCAACTCCACTCGGCAACGCTGCTGCTAGTCAGTTCCAAAGGTGCGTACTATTTGACTAACGAACACCATTAGCCCCCCGACTCATAGGTGCGGATTCAGGAACCTGAGAGGTCCGTTACATCCCCAGAAATCGGCCGTGGCAAGTGCCATTCTCGGGATACGGCCCACACAGCCTCAGTAGCCGTTCTCTTTTCCTGACCAACGTCCTCGCCCTCGTCCTTACAACGGACCAATCCTGCTCCCTCCTGTACCACCTCGTATCATTCCGCACCTGAAACCCATATTCCTCGTCTCTTTTTGCCTTCACTGTACGCCAAGCTTGGCGACGGCATAGTATCGCCGTTGCTGTTGTTCTGAGACGGTTCAGTATGTATACCCACTCTTCCGCCCCCTCAGGCTGGCTTGCTTGTGGTCCTTGGCTGGCGCCTTGACACTCGACCTGCGCGCGCAATAGTATCTCTCGTTTCCTTGTTTGCAGCAACAGCTGGTCTGGTTTCGGTCTACTGCTTTTATGCCCGGCACAAATCGCATCACGTCACATTTGCCTCTCCCCAAATCTGCTCGACCTAAATCCCACTCAGACGCAACGCACTAACTTTGGCTCTCTAGAGGCTCCTGCAGCAGGGCTCCCCCCAAGGGACCTCCCGCACATTATAGACTCAAGGCCCTCCCCGGCACTTCAGTCTCCGCCCGTGTGTCCTTGTACGGTTGGCCCCGCTAGTCCAACCAAAATTCTCGTTCCACAGCCGGGACCCTCTCCACCACTACTTGACACCCTCCTTTCCTTACTCTCTGGGCATTTAATTACTGCGCATCCCCCTTCCACCCCTTCCCCCGAGATCTTGGGCTTGCTCGACCGGACGTTGGGCGCGCCGTTCCATTGGTCTAAGATCGGCGGCCATCCCAAGACATTCCACGCTGCGTCCTCCTGACTATCTTGCTTGTTCATCTGGAGTTGCGACTTCTGGTTTGCGAAAAGTGCATATGTCTGGTATCAGACTTGACCAGCCCTGGGATTTCGTGGAAAATTAACTTTTGCTTGAGCCAAAGAGAGAGCTCTCGCAAGGCGCCTGGGACGGCCCGAAGCCATACGAGTCGTTCTAAATTCCGAGTTGTTCGTCTTTGGACAAATCTGGGACTACTATTACTTTTGATCTACCGTGGGTTGGAAAACCTGCATCAGTCATACTGGCGCCCCTCAGCGTTCATCGTATTATGGCAGAAGACCATCGGGATCGGGGACCGCCAAGACACGACCAATCCAGCGAGTCCCAGTACCCGCCGCCTCCAGGAGAAGAAGACGATCGTTCAAGAGGGATACCGTATCATCCTCGACCCCAGATGGCATCCGGTACAGTGACTTTGCCGTCCATCCAGGACCCGCAAGGTCCGTATGGGCCTCCCGCAGGCAGAGCGTGGGACCCGCGCGCCAGCAGTTATGGACATTCACCAAATTCTTCAAATGGGTATGCATCGCCTCCTGGCAATGCGCCAAGCCATCAGAGTAGCTACTCTCCTTCGAGTGGCGGGAGCGCCTATCCTCCTCCTGCGGGACATCCGTATCTACCCCCAGTCCAGCCTCATCCGAATGACGCTAGGGCACCTTATCCTCCTCCAGATCCTCGGGGTGCGCCTTACTATTCTTCCCAGAGGCAGCCGCCACCTTACAACCCAAACGGGTATGACTACGCTTACAGACCAGAGCGTGGCCCGCCGGGCAGCTATCCACCAGATTATGCAAGAGCTGGTCCTGGGCAGGCTGTGATGCAACAGACCGCTCCCAGACAGAGAACTTCGATAGCCTGCAGGTATTGCAGAAGACGGAAGGTAAGCTTGCCCGGAAATGAAGGATCTGTCGATTGCAAATCTTATACTAACGATCTACAGATAAGATGTAGCGGCTATCAAAATTCACCGGGAGGCAAATGCACGAACTGCATCAAGATGAACCAGGATTGCATTTTCCAGCCAGTCTCTTCTTCCGCATCTACAGCATTCGTCCCAGTATCTGCATTACAGAACGGCATTCCCCCTGGAACCCCCCTTTATGGAGCCTACGGACAGCCACTGAGTGGTCCTTCGAATGTTCCACCGGGAGGTCCGTATCAGGCGAGCCCGCCTCAGTATGATCAACCATTGCCGTCTCCTACTGGATCATTTGGTGGTTATCCGGACGAAAGGGCAGAAGCTGGCAGGAGAAGGCAAAGACCGCCTGAGGAGGATCATGCGATGCGTTTGCCGCCACCAAATTCTTTTCCTGAAGATGGTTCAAGGCGGCGTTCTCCTTCCTCGAGCAACAGTCCAAACCATCTTCCGCCGTATCAGACTCTTCCAAACCAACCTGGACAGCAGCAATCTGGACAACAACCTGGGTTTGACAACAGAACACCGCCGCCTCGAGGCAGTCCGTCGGGCCCTTCTAGTGGAGGCACCTCGGTTATGAGTTTGGGCAACATCATGGATTCTAACGACATCGATCGCGGCATGTTGGGGAGGTTAAATCGACAGAACAAGTAGGCGTACTGTCTTCTCGCTGACGGTATTAACAAACTTTTCCCTTTGGACAAGGATCGTCGAGAGGACAGAAAGATACTGCCGGACAGTCGCCTTCTGCAATCACGATGTGTAGCCGGCGAGGCTTTTCGACATCGCCTAATGATTTTCCTAATTTTGCGACTCGACCGGTCGGGGTCTGCAAACTGTTATCGCAAAGATTTTTCTGCCACGGATAGGGAGGAAAAAGAGACAGCCAAGGCGCACAATCGGTTTCTAGAAGACTGGTGCGAACGCTTTAGATCATTCTAGTTTGGCAACGAACAACAGTCAGCGCGATATCCCTTTTTGGTTTCTGGCAGTATGGGTTGGGTTTCTCCTTTCCGACAGTGCTTTTATGGAATGGAGAATAGGAAAGATGGGCTTGCCTCGCGGCACAATTCGAAAAACGTCATTTATTTTTGGTGTTCCCCAGCATGTTTGCTTGTTGGTAGGCTGGCTGGTTTGATTCCACATGCGTTGCATTGATCAAAAGTTCGATCGGCCATGTACAATGAGACTGCGGGAATTTGATTATTTCCGGAGCAAGGGACAAAAGGCACCCAAGCGCGATCGAAGAGCCATTTGATTTTGGTAATAAGGTACAAAACATGCTCAAATTGTTCAATTCAGTAGCAACGAAGCTCGTGGGGATTGTACCTGCCGCAAAATGCAGAAAGTGTACCGATTCCATGGACAACAAAAATCTAGGTTGGCTGTTTCGGTGTGCTACCCAGGGTAGCTGACCACCGCGCGCCTTCGGGTGTGTGTGGTAACGCGAATTGCATCAACAGTGGGCCCGGTAACTAGCGGGTGTCAATATTCGATAAGCTCGAGAAATTATGTTGATGATGTGCAGACTTTACGGTCCTGATCTCGGATGTTCTGTCATTAATCTGGCAATGACCACGGTATCCCGGTCGCCAGTGCGCTGTTGGGCCTCATGACGCGCAAAGTGAGCAGAACTCGTGGCGTCGTGACAATGTCCCTGTGCTCCCGCGACCCCCTTTCCAGGATAGCTTGCGTGGAGAAGGGGGTGTGGTTCTGACTGTGTCCCAAGTTCTGCGCGCCGATGAGCCACAGCCATCATCTCATTCCGCTGCCCACGGTCCTGTCAACCCACGCTGGAGGCAGGGCACCTGGGAACGGCCCCCCTCTTGACATCGGCTAATGCCCGCAACTTCGAATCTCACTCGATACAAGCGCAGCCAGTGGGAGCCGCGGGATTGCATATGAATTGGATGGGAAGACTTCGAGGACCCAGGCTACTGCTACTAGCCCTTCCTTCATAGTTGGTGAGCTGAATCACGGCCAGGCCCGAGGAACATTGAGGATCGTAAGGGATCCTGGGTGCACTATGTGATAGGCTCTGTTAGTATGGCACTGGTGGCAGCTGCCTCTGTCCAACCAGACACGCGTATCGATCTAGAGCAGTTCAGATCATTGCCACAAGCTGCACTTCCGATAGTTTACGTAGACCGGCCGGATCAATGCAAAGCATCCAGGGATATTGGAGCCAGCTTCCTTGGCCACCCGTGCGCCAGAAACCTCGATCGAAGCGAGGGAACCGTACACCTTGGTTCTAGGTTGGGTGGCTAAAACCTAGAGACACCGGCGCACACTGATGCTTACGGCCAATTCTGACACCTACCTGCGTAGCCCCTGTTTCGTTTGAGCATGCCTCTACTTGACACTCGCTGCGTAGTTTGACTACTGAAAGAATTATGGTGCAAAAACTTCTGTCCAATCCGTTTTACCAGCAGTCGGTATCTTTGAATGCCATGTCTTTCCGGCTTCTAATCGTGCACCGAACAAGGTCGGAGGTATTTTCTTTATCACGGAGCATGAGGGCCGCTTGGTTGGTGTTGTTTGTGCATTGAATTCTACCAGTGGGCCAAACCAATGGGCGGGAGCTGACCCATCGATCAGGTTGTGTGTACCTCGGCATGCTTGCTTACGGAGAGACTATCAAGTGCTTGGAAGCTTTTAAAAGCACAGCGTTCCATTTACTCCTTTGCTTCCGACGTGGACCTTCAGCTCTCGCTGTGCTGTTCTTTCGTCCACCTGTCAAGCGACGTTTCCATCATCGATATCAACTAACAGCTCAGACTCTATCGGCCTTCCTGTTCCTTACCACCGGGTCAATTGTGTTGACATCGGCTTCCGGCTCCGGACAATCTATAACTTGACAATCCAGGTGTTTCAAAACGTTTTGTCCAGAAGCCAGAATGCGACTTTCAATCCACGCGACGACCGCACCCTCCCAAGACAAAAGCAACCCCCGGCCGAGACGACGGTTCTCCCACGTCTGCACCGAATCTCGAGGCCGAACCGGTTCCGAATCTCCGTCATACTCTCTGGCAATGATGGCTAGCTGCGCGGACATAATGCCCAATTGTTCTATAGGACAGTTCGCTGCCGGTACCTGTCGGTAGTTTCAATTATCAATCACTTGACGCAATCCGGGATATCAAACGAAGTCATCGATTGACGGACCGAGCGATGTTCTTTGCGGGCAAGTCATGGTTTACTCACCCAAATCCTTCCAGGAATGTTGGCTTTTGAAGTCTTGGCCTACACTCGAGCAATATGAGGAAGGATTATTAAGAAGCAATACTTCTTTCAAAAATCGCACGAACCAATCGAACCCAGATCTACTAAATACCCTGCGTCAACTCTGCGGTGGATGGTGTCACCAGTATAGTTCCTCCAAGTTCTTCCGTGTTTCTGCCTCGGCGGATAAAGCCTCACAGTACTTTTGTCCACACATGATAAACCATGTTGGCCAGGTCTTGTACATAATCGAGGACCACACACAATTCATTTTCGTCAATACTTTGGCTGGACAGCCATTGGAGACAGCAGTTGACCACTGAGCAGAATTCTCGACAGATTGAATGGCACAGTCCATGTGTCGACGGCGATAGGTCTGTACGTTATTTTCATACGTCCCTACATGACTTCTCGTTTGTATGCGGGTTTGGATTTCTTTCCACTTGAAAGACGTTTTCCCTCCGTCCTTGTGAGGAATACTGAATTCTGGACAAGTTAGCATGGCCAACAGGGAGTGGTGACGTTCCAACAAGAGACCCCCGACGACAGCTGTTGACCTATTCGTCCCCCAAAGTTAGTGCTTTGTCTCCGTTGATTCTCTCGTTAAACCCATCTCTACAAGCCATATATCTAGCCTACTGAACACCGTGTGTGCGAACCCTGTCAAGCATACTGAAAGAGTGAATGGCACAGACCGTCTACATGGGAGAGACACGTCTCGTACGTCTCACTGCACACCGGTCATCTTTTTGTAACCTCCAACCCGACTTATCCACGTAACTTCACATTTAGCCTTCCACCTTCCATAGAAGAGCTGGGGCAATTATGTGGGAAGAGGGCAATTTCTAACCCCGAACCGGCGGGACGGATACCTTGAGTGGGGATGCGGGCGCTACTGACCCAGACCTACTACATATACGGAATATAGCCTCCAGAGAACAAATTTCCTGCCGCACTCGGTCACTTCAGCGCAGAGATATCAATGCTATAGTATTGTTGCGTTCGCGAGTATAGAATTTGGGGGCTCCACCAAGACAACCAATCAGAGCACCGAACGCAAGACACCGCCCCATCGATCAGCCCCAGCCCAATTGGGCCTATACTGCACTTGTACGCACGACAAGGCTGGAACACATCCTGCAACCAGCACACAACGCATCGTTGGCAACAGACTGGATGGGGCCTCCTTGTCCTCCGCTTCACCTGCACAGTATCGCACGCGGCGAAGTCGGTCCCTGCACGACTTCCAGCAAATTTGCCGTGTTTTGAAGAAGGATAAAAATACAAGTGTGTAGGTAGGGGTATAGCCCTGTGTTTCTGTGGCGGCCTTCAATTCGGTACGCAATCGCACGGTACTTACGAACAGCATTGACTGCCATATCGCGATATCTCTCCGGACGCTGCACCTGTCATGGAGATGTTGGGTTGACCGGATGTGCGCCGGACCATTCTGAACGTTACAGGGTCAGCTGGTTTCACGAGGAAGCGCTCTTGCGTCGAACAAACAAAGTTTGTAATACAAATACGTTATTATTTCATTCGATGCATCGCTCAAGCACGCCAGAGAACACAGGCTTTGACAGTGCTAGGGATTTACCAGGGCAAACAATTGTTTGGAACCCTGATGAGACATGTGGCTGTATCCTCCTGTTGACTGAGACCATACCTTCTAGCAGCAGTGGAGCTAGTGAATGGCTATTGGTGGTATCTGGCTATCAGGTACATCATCTCACTCATGGTTCTCGAGCAGTTTGTACAGTAGAGAGAGTCAAGGCGGTATGAGCCCATGAGCGACTGTTTTTCCTTCGAAAGAAGCCTCTGCGTCGCTGGCCTGATGGTGTCGTGGGTGTCGTTGCTCCTTTCTTTTAAGACTGTGAGGAATCTTTCTTCCATTTATATTCCTGAATTCCAGTATAACAACACCTGAAAATGCGAACTCTGCCAAATATGCGCCCTGTCGAATGCGTTTATTATCTTTCCCCTCCCATCTCTTCTCGGACCGTCATACCTCCGGTCGGATTCCGTTCCAACACGAAGCATCTCTCGGCGTAGACGCCTCGCTCGTTCTGCGCCCTCCAGGCCTCACCCAGTCTTCGTACCATGTGCCGTCTCCAGCCGCCGACGTTGATCGTTATGCACCGCCAGGGTGAGCCCGCCTTCCCCCGAACCAAGGTGCCAAATGTCCTCATCGCCGCCTCGTAATCACGATCTACCTCGGGATGCACGACCTCGAAGGCGCGCAGGACCGTCTGGACGTGGAGAGTCAAGGTGTGCAGCCGGGGGAACTGGCAGAGCGCGCGCAAGAAGAGGGACGGGTCACAGAGTGCCACGTCCATGTCCATCTCCAGCGTGTGCAGATTGACCAGACCCTGCGCGAGCGCAACGAGGTCGTCAATCCATATAGTTGGACAACGGCGGTCGTCTTCAGAGAACCCGACATAATCACAGAACTTGAGGACCTGGAGCGTCTTCGAGTGGCGAAGCAAGCCGTCCATCGGGAAGAGTTGTGTATGGCACGTGATTTTCAGGGTGGTGAGTGCCTTGATCTGCTTTATCAACGCATACAGGCCGTACGTGGCCTCCCGGCGTCGATCGGGCAGGTGGGCGCTGAAGTCTTCGCAATGGAGAGTGTGGAGGTCGACGAGGTCCCCGAACGGCACTGATGTGAGGAATTCAAAGATGGGCACATCTATGAGCTTCAGCGATGCAATAAGCGAGAAATCCCAGTGTGCCTCCACGTCGGCCGCTGTATGATTCCAGTCGTACGATCGTAAGGTTAGCTCTTTGAAGGCGGGTAGCTCTTCGCCTTCCGAGAAGGTGAACCGAGTACCTTGGCCCCTATCCTGGTAGTGGAACGTTTCCAGATGCCTGGACCTCAGAATAAGTTGCTTCAGTGATTCGAGTCTATTCGTCAGGGGAGGCGTCGGGCTGGCCAGTTTCAGTGAAGCAAGTAGGTCTGATGGAATGGTCCTGAGGTAGAGATCTTGCTGATCTGCAGTGAAGTCTCTGAGAGGTAGATCTTCGATATAAATCTTTGTGTTGTTCACGTTGGCTTGTTGGGGATTTAGAACATCTGACGGAATCCAAAACTCCCCCGAGCGGAAGTGTGCCCCTTTATATTTCCACCTGAATACAGTCAGTTAAATGGGCCGTTTGGGTTCCTGGTAGCCTATACTGACCTCACGGTCAACAGCCTCCGTATACGACTCAACAGTCGCTGAATGCCTTGGGGGTCTAGATCACTCCTGATCTCAACGTGTCGTGTTAAGGTATGTATCCTTCCCAAAGCTTCAGGAAAGTATGTCGCCGCCTCTGGGGCGATAATCTGCTCGGTGAGCGTCAAGTGTTCGTATCTGATAGGTGTGATAATAGCATTGAACCTCTTTGATAGAAGACGTGCAGAGGCTAGCGACCTAGTGTTGATTTCCCGTAGCTAGAGGGTTGATAAGCAAAGTTACGAGAGAAATGATCGCCATATTAGTTATCCTTTGGAAAGCTTACCTGTTCAAATATCAACGCGAGTAACTCTGAACTGAGGTCATTCAAGGACCAAGGAGATCTTGTCGGCTCGGAAGTTGCCACAAGTGCCATCCGTCCACCGCCCTCAACCTTGAGCTTGCCAATGGTGTGGGGAGGTGAAGAATATACAGGTGCTGGACGCACTACCTGGGTTGAGATCATGTCGACTTAACACCCAGTAGTGGCCATATGGAAAAGAAGATAAAGCCAGGAGTTTAGAACTTCTCGATGGAAAGGAGGACTTGGTCAGAACTTCAAGACTGTCATCAGAAGCACTTTGAAACATTCATCGGATGATGGGGGATGACAGCGGCAGTGTGAACAGGGTAGACGGGCAGGCGGCGCACCGCGGCGTCTAAGACAACCCGAGAAGTGTATGCCCTATTGAAAGATTGTCTGCAGCTAAGCCTCTTGGGGTTAAAGTCACGAAGGCCCATTCAAGAACGCTCTGCATATGTCGGTCAAGAAGTACAATCATAGGTGATTCGCAGCACAGGAGCTGCGGCCCTGTCGATGAGGGGTTTGGAATATCAGAAGAGTACGCGGCTTCGTGGAGAGGATGCAGCAGAGACGAGTGGGACGAACGTATGAGCAGATCGGGAAGCTAGGGCGCCACGAGCCTAAGTTAGAGCACATGCAAGAACTAGAAGCGGGTGAAGGGTATGGGAAAAAGAGAAAACCTTTCCGGTTTGCTGGATAGCTGTAACCTGGCGAGTAGGGACCTGCGCCGTGGTATTCTAGAAGCCAAGGCAACCCTGGGCCCAACGCACTAGGACACCGCTAGTATCCAGGTAACGGACCAGTCGCAACACTGCGACTTGCTATGTGAAAAAACTATCTATTCAGGGCTGGCGGCGGCCATGTGCACATTCTTTTTCCTGTTCATGCCAAGAGCGCAGTGGGTATGAAGGTGTGCGCCGTGGGTAGAACGCCCTTAGACACAATAGCGCAACTGAGGCTTTCTCGATGGAGGATGCCTTCTCGTCCTGCCGTGAGTCCCGTTGGGACGTTTTCGGGGGCGGACGACTCGTTCAAACTCACCGTGGCCTTGGCCCCCTCTCCATGTTTCGACACGGCGCAGAAGGGGGCCGAAGACGTTCTGGTGGCTTGTTTGAGGAAAAGTCCCGACGGGAGCAGAGCAGTTCGCAAAGTTCGCCCAAAAGGGTCTGAGGTTGCCCGCGCTGCCGAGCGGCCGGGTGCCCAGGGGACTAGCCCACCACCACACTACGCATTGCTGCAGAGGGGTCCCAGTCGATTGCAGGGGCATTCAGCAGCGATCGAACTATCACGGTCTGGACTGAACGACGCTAACACATCAAACCTGACAGGGAGGAATCGTTTGTTGGGACGAGTCCAGCGCTATTTTTGTCAACCACAGAAGATGGTAGTTTGGATCAGACCATACACAGTGACGACAATATACGCAGCCCTCATTGCAGGAACTGGTGGCCGTAGCGCGCCCAGCCGAACGCACACCAACGCGGGCAGTCGTCTCGCTGAGCCGCCAACGGTCCCCGCAAGGTTTACCGTAGACGGCAAGTGGACGCCGTCTGCAAGAGCGCTCATTGGTTAGGGCACAAATGCCAGCTCACGTAGTGCCGACGACTGTCAAACGTTAGTAAACAGCAGAGCAGAAATGTTTTCCTGCCCTTGGCTGGGCCTGTCGCAGAGAGTGAAAGAAGCAACCCCAAGATGAGTGTCATATGCAGGTTTTCTACTTCCAAGCATTCCGTCCATACCGCTGGATGGAGGCTGAAGTTACATCCGTCGCATGTCAAGATGCAGTCGGCCTTGACACGATGTGCAGGGTCTGGTCCGCCCAATCGCAACTTGCTGTTCGAGAGGCTCAGCAAGGATCCCGCAAACGTGGCTCTGGGGTCTGCTTTTGCAGACGACAACCTCAAGACGGCTGAAAATCCCATCCCAGCCTATCTGCTCCTACTTGGCGATATCGCTGGCGCAGATCCAGTGCGGATCTCGACCTCATACAGGACCCCTGTATCATGGGCTGCGGGCAGACCCATCAGACCATATCTTTTCGAGCCAAGGTCCCGGCTTGGTTTCTTTGGCATCGACACTTGCGTCCTGTCCGGATCTGAGCATCAAGAAGCCGGTTACACGCTTCTAGCATCCATACAAAAGCTTAATAGACCATCGTCCGATCGATACTACGTAGCTCACTTGGCCGTCATATATCGGGTTTCAGCTTCAGAAACAAGCGACCTAGCGACCTGCCATCCCATCGCAGTCCTAGGAGCTGGGATTCCAAGACGATGCGAACCGATCTAGAAAAGCCCCACCAATGCAGACATAAAGCCGTACGCCATATGTACGTACAAGACGCCCTTGAATGCGAGCAACCACTGTTTTCCTTAGTCGACATGTAGGCCCAGGCCGCCGCCAAGACGAGCAGCCCACTATACGAAACAACACGTCACCCATACATACATATACACACTTCAGTATCCGAGAACCCGAGATCTGCATCGAGTGGCGGCAATTTCGGCTCGATGTTGCGTTAAACAAATGAGACAATACTACTCCCGCCTCGGACTATCAGTAAAACATCACGCTCTAACAGTGTCATGAGTATACAGTTCTCAAGTCCGGCGCCTAACACCTAACTCTCAGCTTGGATCGGTATCCGTCGACGCTCCTTGTTATCACGCTGGTTTACGAACTGAAAGAAAGACGCTCTCGTTGCTTCGGCACATCTCCCTCTTCCTCTTATGCAGCAGGGTTCCCCAGTCACCATCGCAAGTTCGGCCTACACATTACTAAATTACTACTCGATGATAAGCGTGGATCCCTTTCAGCTTTTCTCCAGGATGATGAACACAGTTACATCCTTGCCTGCGTTAGCCCAAATAGCTTTTGCATGGTCCAATCGCAACGTTATTGTCGAAATACATATACGATATGAACAGACTAGCTGACCGCGCGAACCAATCGCATTGTACGCCCACAGGATTTGTTTTTTTTCTTTTCTTCTTCCTTTCGATCAACTATAGCGAGCTTGGTAGCCCAGATCCATCGCCTCGGGATACTTGACATGCACAGCAGTAATGGTCCTGCCAAGTCGCAATTGCTTTCCCCCAACTGATGTCAGATTTCCTGTAACAAGTGCTCCAGGCCACTTGTTGACCACCTTGTCCCAACGAGGCGAAATTCGACTCGGCCGATACAGCACCCTGAAGATAACAGCCACCGAGGGATTGCAACCCAACCTGCACGCAAGCAGAGATCAGATTTCTACCTGCAGCTCGCTTAGATCTCTCCCGCCCCCCTATTCTTGGCCGGGCGAGGGTCCCACCTGCGGGCCATCCCGGATGCTACCAGAGCTGTGCTGCAATGGCAATCTGGCTGCTCGTCTGATTCATGGAAGTGGACGTGGTGTAGACAAGAGGCAGCCGTTCGCATGAGAACTCTCGCTTATCTAGCTGACTGTTCCAGTGAAAATTGCTCTCGAGGCCAACTCGGCCTGGCCCTTGGTAATACTTGATACCACCCACGGAAGATCAATCTCGCTTCAGTTACCGAAGGTGTATATCCCTCATCATTCGATTCAGAAGGTAACGATCAATACCCCCACTTGATGTACCCATTACGAAGATCACCGTGTCCAAGAAGACTAACATCGCTAGGAGCTCGAGTACAATGTGATCGCAGGAACCAATGCGCAGGTATTATCATATTTGGGATATAAGGGTAATCTAGAAATCAAGAAAACGAATCCCAGCAGTTCCGACGATGAGTTTTCCAAAATTCCATCGAGTATCGGCAGAGTAATCCTGCCAGAGCTGACCCGCTATAGAGACGCTGAAAAGACGACGTAGAAACAGATGGGGCCAGGCCGAAGCGAGTAACGCACAGGGCGTCTAGTACCGATACATCGGTTCCTTGCTCTTCTGGGGGGTGGCGTCGTAGAGCTCGTTATCGTCGTCGTCCTTGGTGTGTGGCTGTTTCGACGCAGAAGCGGTGCCCGCGCCCCCGTGCATGGTCTCCTTGCCAAGAGAACTTTCCTGCCGCCCTAGATAACTCGGGGTGGCATTGAAGCCCGGGTGGAAGGGCTCATACGCAAGTCTCGGTGCCTCGCCCAGGTAATTTGTACCACTCGCGCCCGAGGAAGGACCCTGATGAGAACCGGAGCCCGACGGCTCAGGGACAGGGTCTCGGAATGGATCCTCTTCCGGTGTAATCGATCTCGAGGGGCCCGCCGTTGCGCCTTCGTACATCTTCTCCTTTCCTTTCCCATTGGTCTTACGTGGAGGCATTGGCGGGGGCTCATAGTCCTCATCGTCATCGTCACGCCTCGCGGGGCTGGGCGATGGCCGTCGGGAAGAACCAGCACCGTTTGATACCGGCGCCAAGCCTGCTTCGGGAGCGGTCTCACCAGGGGTATTGAGTCCCGCGTGTTTTCTTGCATTGAGCATGGCTCTCTGATGTAGGCTCAAGGCAGACTGCAGTTGCTCGTTGGTGTCGATCAAGTTCTCCATGGTGTCATTGTCGGGAGATGGATTCTCTGCCGTCATGTAACCCTGAATGCTCCGGCTTGCACTTGTGCATCGATCCGCGAACTCCCTCATGAACTCGTTGTCCAAGACCTCGCCAGGCGGTGTGTTGGTGACGGCCTCCTGGAGCAACTTTGCCGATGTTCGTGCTTCTTCCAGTCGGCTGGCCAGCTCAACCGGGTCTGGCAACCGCCGATTCGTGTGGTGACGCGAGAAGTAGTTCTGAGAGTGGTAGCTCTGCGAGTTGGGGAAGACGGGCGGCGAGTTCACCATTTGGGGTGGCGCGTACTGGGGGGCACGTCCCTTGGGGAGGTTAGTTAGCAGAGCAAAGAGATCACGCAGAGAGAGCAATGAGACTTACCCCTGCCTTCTGCGCCTTCTCTTTCTCCTTGGTCCACATGCTGATGAGCAGAGTTAAGCCCTCATCATCCGACTTGTTATGCTCGAACGCATTCATGGTCTCCATGATCATCTGCTGTACACTTGGGTCGCGACCGTTCCTGAGCAGTTCCTTGATGGTGTCCACGGCCTTCTGGTCCATATTCCGTGTAAAGGTGGGCCCGGGGTTGTCGGCAAGAATGCGCATTAGCATGATTGCGTTGTACTGGTAGGAGGGCCTCGTCCAGTAGTCTTTCTTCAGGTATTTGCGAATGAGGCGCGCGCACTCGGCAGCGGCCTGGGGTGAGGACTCGGCAGCCTCGACGATCGGGGGGAGGTAGAGCACCTCATCGCCAGAGTTGGTGCCGCTCGACTCGCAGAATGATTTCTATGCGCAGCTCTCGTTAGCAAGAGGAGCTCAAACTCTTGGCGGACTATATGGCTTGGGGGCCCAGGTCGCGTGCGACAGGAAAGGTCTTGCACCTACCACACTCTGAGCCACGACAGCCTCGGGGCTTTGGTTCTGGGGGTCGACATCGGCAGCTGGAGTAACAGGACGCAGTCAGTAGGCGTTCAGCCCTATAAGCAAGCCATGTGTCAAACACTTCTTACCGCTGGTATTCTTGCGCCGAATGTTGCCCAGCATCTTCCCCATCTTGAGCGACTTCATCGCGCCCGTGCCTTCGCTCGAGTCGACGTCACGGCCGACTCGCGAACGGATCTAGTGTTTTGCTGCGCTTCCGCTGGGGGAAGCAGGGTCCGTTGATACTTTGGGGACTTAGCGCCAACCAACTGCAGCTGCGCGACACGGCAAGGCCAAGATGGACTGAACTCAACGCAGGCTTATAAGGTTGGGTTTGGTGGAGGAAGAGGCTCGGCGGCTGTCTGGAGCGTCCACGAGCGACTTGCTGGGCGGTGTGGTCGAGGTGCCTGTCTCAGAGATTGGTCTGATGTTTGACAATGGGTTCGCGCGACGTTGAGTGAAGCTCTGGCGCGCTACCTGGTCCGTTTTATGAGGGGCCAGGGTCCTGTGATCGACGTTGGATGGGCTCTAGTGAGTCCCGGTGGCGGCTTGCGACCTCTTGTTGCTTGCCAAGGACGAGGACCGCGTGGCTCCCGACGGAGGACGATCTCGACAGCAGTTATCGGAAGAGAGGCTGAGCTCTCTGCCCTGGTGTGTAAGTCGCAGATGACGCTCAGAGCGGGTTGAGATATGCAGAATGGGACCGTCCACCAGGCACCTATATTTAACTAATCATTCAAGAGGGTGACAGGTCCAGAGGGCCAAGCGGCGTGGGCGGGTGCCTAGTAGAATGCTCATAGGGCAATCTGTTTGCTGCGCCGCAATCCGCAGAGTAGCACGCCTCGCTTCCCAAAATGAGTTCGTGGGTTTGTCATATCATTCACTGCATCGTCCGTCTTCTTCCACCGTTCTCTGAGTCCTTGGATCCTGGCAATTTCCAACTGCGAGCCGCCGCGGCACGGCTTCCAGATGTGGGCTGTTGGCGATCGTCGTGTCTATGTATACCTAGGTGCGCCAAGGCGTGGTTCCGCCAGCCAACCTGTACGAGCAAGCACCGCCATACTGGAGCAATGCAGCTTTTCTCCCGTCGAAAACTCTTTCAGGTAGACATGGACAAAGCCGTCATGAGTTGCGGCTTCAACGATTGCTGTAGAAAGCCCAAGGGTTGTTCCAGGTACGCGACATGCCTAACGTGAGCAACGAGCCACAACACGCACCCAAGCTTGCACAGCCTCGCAGCTCTACGCAAGCTCCCGCGCCCAGTGACTGATGGGTGTGACATGCATTGGAGGAAGCAACTTATTAGTCTAGTCTAATAAGGTATCCAGTTAGCAAGCCTAGCTACAGTGCTGGAATCCTCCATCGAACGCCAGGCTCATGGCACCAATCATTGTGGCGAGCAAGGCAGATCTAAAGCCCAGGCATAGGTCTAGCGGGACTCCTCCCCACCCTTAGCTTTGGCCACGACCCCACGACTGACGACGGTGAAATGCTCCACGAGCGCCCCTCTCATGTGAGTATGTAAGCGTACCTAGGTAGCCAATAAGTCGGTGTGTGGGAACTCTTCGCATGCCGCTCTCTCCTACAGCTGCGTAATTATGTGCTGAAATGCCAGGGATGCGATTGCGCGTCCGCTGCTGGCGGCTGCGGATGGCAGTCGTAAAGCTAGCCCGCGCAGCTTGTGACCGCTTCCTAACACTGTAGCGTGAGTCTTGCTAGACTGGTACGGCCCTCTTGAATTCGAGCCAACTTCAGAAAGCACAATTCCAGCTCGGTAAGTATATGTAGTAGGTATATCTGCTGTCCCGTATTGCCGATGTTTCTTTTCGCCTGGTACTGTGTATGCAATGGCTAATGAGTCGTTCATCTGCCCTCGTAGCCACCGATTGCTCACTTCCTGCGCAATAAGGTGCCTGAATATATCAGTTAGAATTAAGGTGAAATGTGGTCTAGCAGACTAAAACTGCATTCAGGGAGCTATATCAGTTTGGCATTGACTGTCTATCGCCCGTGACTCTTATGCCCTATCCAAGCACCACGCGTAGCAATGTATACTACATTGCCTCCGGGTCACACCAGAATACACAGTCCAGCAAAGATACTGTTTCACCCACGTTCCAGACAGGCAAAGTTTCACTTGTACATAGGAGCAGATATACTCCTTACTTCCACAACCGGGAATCACAGTGCAACTGGTCATATTATAACTCTCTAGAATATTTCACCAGTAGCCTCCGCACCGTTTCTCCCATTCAAGTCTGCGAAGGTGTTTGGCTTTTCTTCCCTCTTGGTTCTCTCTTGCAACATACCAAGGCGGCAGCCAAGCGATGTACTTAACAGTGTCTTTTCCAGAGGCAGTATCTATAACCATCTCGTCGTCTGTCCAGATTGCGACTCGGTGATGTGAGCATATAGGACGACGTGTGGCACATTTCAGAGCCCAAGCACGAGAAAGGCGATCGAGTGTATAGTCGATATAAGTCTATAACTGCAGCGATGGAGCGGATTCACTCGGATTCAACCGTTCGACTTCAGCGCCGTGCGGTTGGGACCTAGATGGCGTCCTAAAAGTGGTGATGTTGGCTTTTGATTCTTTCTGGCCTCCCTAGAGTAGTTCCGTTAGCCTTTAGGTCATAGTTAGATGTCTTCAAGTGGACCGATATTCTGGTGAGCTCTATGATCTGTGTAGCCTTTCATACTCGCGCCTTTCACGCGATGTGTGTGAGTATGTATACCCCACCAGGGAGTACTGCGCATACTCGGAAGTGTTATGGATAACGTACACAAGGACCTGGCGGGTTCCCATCATCACCATCATCCATCGGCGTGCTGAAGCCAACTCTCGGGGAGAGAGATAGCCGAGTCTCGGGAATTTTCGGGCTTGGAAACCTCATGGAGCACGTTTGGTCTGAATTATTCTAGAACCGGACCCTGTTTCCGAAGCACTGGCACTGGTACTGTACAGGTACCAAGAGAGTGCAGTCTAGTAGTGTATTAGAGTCAAATTTTGCGTATGGATACAGGATCAACTCTCTGATGAGCAGCGACCTCTTTCGAGCTTCTGTTGAATTCTTGTGTAGCGAGATCCCAAGCGTCCCAGGCCTCGTGAAACCACGCGGAGATGAGTATTGCTGTAAGATGCCCCTTGTATAAAGTTACTGACCAAGTTTAGCTCACAGCTTCTGCATGTGGGAGCAAGAGAAGACAATTCACGGAGGCGCGGAGATGGAACCAAGGGCCACATGTCGAGCGTGCAAAGGCACCAGCGAGGCGTGGCGTTGCAAGGGATTAGAGGGGCCAGGCGCTACATGGGAACCACAGGTGGTGGTGAACAACTACATCGGGGCTGACACAGTATGGCTCTCAAGCGCAGCAATTGGCAGCTTGAGGTCGCAAAAGGCCTCACGCCGACATTTGCCGCGCTTATGGACGCCTTCATCGTGTTTGCAAACCGCGTTCACCGCTGCCGTAGCATCGCTGCTGCCTCGTCCGAGATTCCGACCCTCACCTTCAGAATTCCACAACCCCCGAGTCCGTCGGGGTCCTCAATAGCAACGTCTCCGTCCTACGGCAATTGCACAACACCACCGTCACCGTATAGGATATCCAAAGCTAACAGTTCGTCTCTAGACAATTTTGAGTCCCTCCTCTGCGTGAATGGGAACAGTTGGGCTTGGGGCTTCATGATTGACCCATCCGCGACGCCTCTAGATTTACTTGTAACCCTCTAGGTCGCTGAGCGACAAAAAGAATTATACATGCTACGCACACCTGGCATTCACATAGATCATTGCACAGTGCTTTAGACCAAAGTTTCTCGGTGAAGGCATCTCTTGCGGGCTTGAGATCTCCGGCAGGTTCCGTCACTCACAGGCGAAAGTCGCATCATCTGACAGTTCACGTAGCCTCGACCACTCGGAATAGTCCAAAATGTATTGCCTCCCGATATTTCATGCTATCATCTGGTAAAATTTTGGGATGGACTTGCTTTTGTAAGCGAACACGCGCGCATGGGAGCTTCGGAAGGTCTCATGCCAATCAAGAAGCCTTCCAAGAGAAGCTCAGTACCACTATTGCTCCCCATAAGGAATGGATGGGAATTAAAAAGGTTAGATATAAATATAGTTGAAGAAACACCTAGTGCTCTGAAATTTGGTTATGCAGATGCTGGACAGGAAAAGGAGTCCAGCCTCAGACCTCCTGCTCACTGCTTTCTTCACTCATGAGAATCAATGGAGGACATATAATTGCACCGTCCTTGGTACTGGAATGCTATAATTTCATCAGAGCACCGAGTCAAGCTATATTTGTGTTTCAGGGTCGTACCGGGGAAGGCCCTGCTCGAAATGGTATATCGCATAACGAGTGCCCACCATGCTTGATCCTGGCCTTGCCCACTATCTCACTGGCGCGGCCATATTGTAGGCGCGAGTAACTGTCCATATTTTGGCCCCAAATCACTTCAGGAGACATCCGCTACTCGCCAAAATTTGCAATCGGTTCCGGTAAACTACTCCCATAACAGTTCTGAACTGGTGGCCTCGAGAGGCACGGGTTCGGCTGGTCGCACGCCGGTGAAGGCATGCTGTCTACTCGCTCTACGTGAAGGGCGCCCAAGATATTTGATATCCGAAGGCAGAGGAAATACATAACTCCAAAGTACATACAAATAAATACTAGACAGTTCTTGTCATCATGACATGGTTTTACGTGGGTTGAACAAGTAGTCGGGCAATTATCGCCGAGTGTCACGCTACCATGCTGATCGTGAGGTACGGCGCACACATCACTTCGGGCATCCGGTCCTGTATGGGTCGTTCTCAACCCCCGGGTTGGTTCGCTATCTTGACCAAAAGAAGTCGGTCATGTTTCGCAACAGAGCTGTCATTGTCGTTGAAAACAAACAAAAGGCCAAGGATTACTTGTAGTATCGTTCTCCGCTATTCGATCACATAGTTCTCGGGCTGTACGGAGTCGCCATCTTGTCCCCACGTCTACGCTCCACCGGAATCCTACACCGGTCGTGATGGCTGGGTCAGCCAGGAGGAGCCGGAAAAAGACTCAAGGGCATTGCCACAGTAGCAGCTGGCGACCGTGAAGACAAGTTCATGCGGAGTCTCCTAATACTCAAGGTCTCTTGAGGATCTCGTCTGACCCCGCGAGGTCAAGGGGCTTATCTGCCTGCCTGCCTCCGTTAGTCTCGAGGTGGGCGAGAAATGTTCGGGGTCGAGGATGCAACGAGGAGGCCAGGTGGGCAAGGAGGTGTTCTACGTTCACAGCACTTGGTGGCACGAAGCAGCTGTCTCAGTCAAGAGCAAGCCGGTTGAGCCGGAATCAAGGGCTGACATCGGCGTCTGGAGATCGCTCTCGGGGGCCAGGCGGCGAGGTTGAAGTCGGAGGACCTCAGCCCTGCCGGACTAACCTATCATTCATGGGCAAGAGTCGAGTGGATGGCGTTTGCTGGTAGGAAGGCAATACCCCAGCCGCGTGCTGATTGGCGCAACGCAAAGCGTGATTAGCCCCAAGGCATGACCACTTTGACTTTCAATTGAATCCCCTTCTCAACTCTCTCCTCACTCTCACCTGGACTTGACAATCCTCCAGCAGCCAGGACAAGAACAGGAGGCCGCACTGCCAACGCGTCCTCTCGATTGTCTGTCGCCAAAGGTCTTGTGCTGCTCCGCACTCACGTGTATACCATCAATTCTATTGTCTCTTTGATCGATTCTCTCTCTGCTTGCATCTCACCTGAAGTCCTGCAGTAGGAGCAGAGCCGGACAACTCCTACGTCTCAGCACTCGCCTAACGCGAGGCCAGGCCGTTCCACTCTGCCAAGACATTTTCGGACAGCTTTACTATCACGCACCCGTCTGCCGATTTTCACACTACCATCTGCCACCCTTTCTGCCTTCTTTTGCCCAGGTCTTTGGACTTACACCTCCGCCGCTCATTGCCGACTTATACCATAAGTTCTGATACAGTCTCTTGGTCCTGTCTACTGTAAGTATTTCTTTTTACTTTTCTCCCTTGCGGCCCAGGGTTCTCCAGCACGGTGACCAATGACGCTCTGGCACGTTGGGCGTTGAGTTGTGTACACATTATTTCTCACGGCCCCCCTAGCTGCACACACCACTCACCACACACGCTCACACACACACACCCCCCATCCCACTTATTGTCGGCTATTCGCTCCCCAGACCTTCCGTGCCGACCAGGGGCGGTCGCGTTTGTGTTAGCCAACCCTTTGCCCCCCCCTACATACCCACTCACGCCAACCAACGTCCAGGAAAACAACATCTTGCAGCGCGTCACTAGTTAACCACTTTATTTAGTCCTCATCAATTCAGTCATTCAAAGGCACCGCCGCCATTGATCGCGCTGCCGCTCTCTACTCACGATGGAGACCACAGCAGCCATGGGATCTCTATCACCGGCGCGTGCCATCTTCTCCGAGACCAGCACCGACGCTGCTGACACCTTCTCACACGTCGCGTCTCTCAGCTCCACGCCCCCTACCACACTGACAGACGGCCTAAGCACAACCTCCGAGTCGCCCAAGCAAGAGAATGCTATTGTGTCGGACTCGATTGATCTCGCCGTTCACGACCATGCCGAAAGCACCGCCACGCCTCCACTTGCACAGCTTATCGAGTCCATGGACGCGGAGCGTGTCGCCGAAGCCATCGAGGCTGTCATTGATGCGCCCGAGGCTCCGCTGGCTGAGCAGACGCCAGAGCCGGCCGCGACGCCGTCCGCGCGCGCGCGCCGGAGTCGGCAAAGCATGCCCGTGTACAACTTGTCCCAGCTTAGCGGCACTGCTGGCCACGGCAAGCGACGAGCGAATGGTGACGATGTCTCTGACAAGAAGCGCCGCACAATCTCAGGCGACACCCTCGTGGCAACTGGGGATTCCCCTAAAGCTACCAAAAACCAAGCGAAGAAGCTTGGCAAGTCACCCGAACCACCGAAGCGCGCAACGCGATCATCCGGCGCCGAGGTAGAAACCCTGGCGACCAAAATATCCTCGTTAGGGAAGCGAAGCAGGAAGACATTTGAGCAGGGGCTCAGCAAGATGTCTCGCGAGATTCGGCGCCTCCAGGACACCAATGAGTTTGCCAAAATTGATACCAAGCCCGTCCTCTACACGACATGGGCCAAGGGCAAATATGTCGACCCAAAGGCTAAGGAACAACGTGCGAGCAAGAAAGCAAAGCTTGCTGAGTCGCCCAAGAAAGGTGCCCCGGAGAAGGAAGCAGCTGCAGCGGCACCAGAGGCTCCGGCGCCAACGCAACGCAGGGTCAAGAAGTGGCTAAACCATGGCTTATACTCAGGCCAGAGTGCCCCGCTTGACATCATGAAGCAGCTCACGCCCAATGAGAAGAAGATTGCAGCCGAACACCCGGAACTTATGCCGAGCGCAACTGTCAACAAAGTGCTGCCTATGCCCGTGTTCAACGGCATTCGACTCCTAGTCCAAGGACGGGACTTCAAGCTGCCCTACGACATCTGCAATCCTCTGCCTTCCGGCCAGCCCAAGCCGGCGTCGTGGCGTTTGATGACTCGGAGTAAGCTATATAGCCCGCGGCCACCACGCTGGTAAATGCTGACCTTGTTTAGACCGTTTTGTGGGTGAAGCTGGTGCAAACTGGAAAAAGAACCCACATTTCAAGGATTACCAATCCAAGTGTGTCTGCACTCCTGAAGATGGCTGCGCTGAAAGCTGCCAGAACCGCATCATGCTTTACGAGTGCGATAACACCAACTGTAATGCCGGTGCGGCCTACTGCCAAAACCGCGCTTTTGCTAGGCTACAGGAGCGCGTCAAGGCTGGAGGCAAGTATCGCGTCGGTGTTGAAGTGCTCAAGACCCAGGACCGAGGGTTTGGCATCCGTACCAACCGATGCTTCAGGCCTAACCAGATCATCATGGAGTACACGGGTGAGATCATCACTGAAGAAGAATGTGAGCGACGCATGGAAGAAAAGTACAAGGATAACGAGGTATGTCCTGACAACAGCTCCCTTCCCTCGAGGTCACGTGGCTGACAACATCGACAGTGCTATTACTTGATGTCTTTTGACCAGAACATGATTATCGATGCCACGACTGGTAGCATCGCGCGTTTCGTCAATCACTCCTGCCAGCCCAATTGCCGTATGATTAAATGGATCGTATCAGGCCAACCCCGCATGGCGCTGTTCGCTGGTGACAGACCCATCATGACTGGCGAAGAACTGACTTACGACTACAACTTCGACCCCTTCTCCGCTAAAAACGTGCAGGCGTGTCTTTGTGGCGCTCCCAACTGTCGAGGCGTCCTTGGCCCCAAGCCTAAGGAGATCAAGCCGCCAAAGCCTTCCAAGGAAGAGCTAAAGAAGGCCGTCAAGAAGGGAGTCAACGCTGGAAAGCGGAAGCTTCAGGAACTCCTGGGTGGGAAGGAGGATGCAGAGGGCAATGATGCCAAGAAGCGCAAGATCAAAACTGCGACAGGCACTAAGGCCAAGGGTTTGAAGCGCACTCTGTCCAACGCGAGTTTGAAAGCGGCCCGAAGTGCTGCCAAGGTTGTAAAGAAGAGCGTGTCGTCAATTTCGGTCAAGACCCCTGCTTCTGGACGAAAGATTGCCACCATCAAGCGGACGTCCAGTGTAGTCAAGGCCTACAGCAAGACCAAAGCTAGCAGGCTCTCTGTCACGCCCAAGAAGTCTGCTTCGCGCAAGTCTAGCATGACCGTCGTCACTGCTGGTAACAAGAAAACTACACCGAGCACCCGCACTCCTGCCTCAGCTAAGAGCGCAAAGAGCACGAAGAGCGCGAAGAGCGCAAAAAGCGCAAAGAGTGCCAAGGCTCTTGCCTCTCAGTCTGCAGACACTCCGCGTCGAGGTCCAGGAAGACCCAGGAAGCACCCCATTGGTTCGGTGACCCCCCGCAAGGGCGTGGATTTGGCTCGCACGAATAACCAAATTCGTCTTGTTCAGTCACCTACTCTGGAGACAGCATGAGAGGACCTAAAGCGTCTTTGGCGCACTCACGGGCAACTACGAGCGGGCTGGTTTTGAGGCGGACGGCGGCGTCACGAGGGGTATCTGATTTGTGCAGGATCAAAATGGTCGGCAAACTTTCAACAGCTAACTTTCCTCGCTCAACGATGTGGAGGAGTTCTGTACGAAGTGAGGACCATTGAAATAGGGGCGACGGTTTAATTATCTCATAACTGTACACTAGCTTAAGTAAAGGACCACATGAGGAAGGCATTAGGAGGGGGCGGTCCAGGGCGTCCGGCGTATGACTGCCAGTTGCTATTATCACACAAGCAGACGGCAATGATTTTAGCATCAAAGGACCTGGAGTTTTGCGTTGCAGTCTGTGCTGCTACAGTAGCTGATGAATCAACACGGTGACTGATTCTTGTATTGCCAGGTTGCAGGAGCCTGTTGGGCTTGAGGTGTACGATCTGTGAAATTACTATAGCTACGGTAACTTCACTGCCGTATCCGGGTTATACTTCACCGCGTCAATGTTGGCGGCAGGAATAATTCTGGCATGCGTGCCTGAATGAATGCCCTTGCTAACACGCGCGGTCAACGAAGCCTAGAATTGCGCGAGCATCTAACGCTAGAAACACCTCAAGCGACACCCCCAGGCCCAGCCCCTGTCACTCTTCATTTAACACACCGCGTTGCAGTCTGCGTCATAATGGCACGTGTAATCGCCCTCGGGCGTTTGGCACATCTCGTTCCAGATCATGCTCTGGCCCTGGCATACAACCTATATTGGGAGGAAGAAAACGTTGAATTAGCCATCGCCGTGACAGACAGCTGATGCGCTTGGGAGGGGAGGAAGGGGCTTGTCGGCGGCATTTGGAGTTGGACTTGGAATGTACACGAGATGGTGGACACATCCCGCCCGACTTACCTTCATGCCGTCCGGCGTGCAGCCTGACGTGAAGCCCTCGCACGCGCTGTGGATCCCGGCGCCCGCCCAGCACTGCTGTCCTGACGACGGGCTGGCGGCGGCAGCCGCTGCTGCGGCGAGGGACGCGAGCATGGGTAGTACGACGAGGTAGCTTGTGAGTTGCATCGTAGTTGTGACTGTCGTGGGGACGCTTACGCCGTAGATAGGGCAAGACAGGGGAACAGAGAGCAGAGCACGTCCTGCAGCACGGGTTCTTGACTTGTAGTGGCTTGTCTCAGTGGGGAAGGCAAGTGGAAGGGGGTTTGTGAACAAAATGTTCCCACCACCGTACTTATAAATGTACCATATCTTATATTTATAGATTTATACATAAACACGCATGAGCCTGATGGACTCTCCTAGGTCCCAGTCCTGGTTCCGTGACTTCCACTCATTTTTGAGCTTTAAGCCCCTTACGGCCCTGGCCTCAAAGTCCTCGATCCCTTGTGGCTCATATGAACGCATCCTCGACATATCACAACTCTTTCGGAGCTAGTCAGTCGCCACAACTCAACCAGGAGTTACGACGAAGGAAAATTTGTCCTCTGGTTACACTTGAGAACTCAGCCGGGGGGCGGTCTAGTACGGGGAAAGCCCTCCACAAGTGCTACGGTGTCCCATGTCACCGTATGACGTTTCCGTTTCAACGCAGAACGCCGGAGGACTCGAGTGTCCGGCACGGGCGGGTCGCTTCGTGGCTGGTGCCATCCAAGTCAGCTTGACAGAATCGCCGTTGGAAAGATCGGGCGGAGATGGTGTGCCATGGATATCGCCCGTTCGCATTCTCGACCTGCGGTGCTCTTGGGGGCTCTAGGGCATCGATTCAGCGATACGTTCCTAGCCATTTCCAGCTCGCATAATGATAGGCTTACATCCTTCCCGTCTTGGACATATAAGACACATAGACCAGGAGATCCTGATTCCTGCATCCCGCAGCAAACAAGTGAAAGGAATTACGTCAGCCTTGAAGGATTTCATCCTGATCAAAGTCAACCCCTACAGCACTAGAGATTGAAGAAGATCGCCAATCTGTGGTTGATAGGAAATCCTCCATATGGTAATCTAACACTCGGATGATGCAAAGTGGATATATTTTGATTACGCTGATGCTTGCACATGGAACCAGGTTCGTACGAGCTCTTTATGGGCTTCACATGTTCTTATAGGTTTCATATGACTAGGCGTAGCCCTCTACAAGGACCCTCCACCTAATCAGTGGCCTAATTAGTGCTGCTTACAACGGACCAAGGCCGTCAGTAACCATTCGTGGGAAGCATCGACAAGATGCCCCGTTTTAGGCAACAGACACAGATACATCACCGCCCTTTGTCAGCGGAAGATTGCGGTGACAATAGCTCTGTTCATGAGCAAGCGTGAAATCTGAACTAATGTGAATACAAGTTCCTTCCCTCATTCATACAGATGAGCTATGAGCCAATCTGTGAAAGACTATGTAAGTCAAGCCGTAAAGTAGTATTTCAACCTGAACTCAGTAACGCCGATTGCTACCATTACTTCCTCGTCGCAATGGCTGCATGCAAGTCTAATGCTGAGTGTTGGTACACGAGAAAGGGAGAAAGAGTCATGAGAAGGCAGGCAAATAGCTGTCTTGAGTGTGCTGCTCAAACGTGCTGCTCAGGAGACGGGAGCGGCCTCTTTGGGCAGCTCAATGAACTTCCCGCTGCCGGCCGGGGGAGCTTCGGCATCCACTGGGGTATCTGGAAGAGCCGGTCCATCAGTGTCCGACAGATTCCCGCTATTTGCTGCGTTCTCCATTGCATAGAGGCGGGCAGCTCTTCCCTCCTTCTTGCGTGGTTGGGGAGCTGCGTAATTCGGTTAATAGCCAATTTCTACAGCTGAATAGAGACTTCTGGTTGCTTACCTCTGCCATTCTCTTGGACATAGAATCGTCTCAGCAGCGAAACGGCCTCGTCGCGCAAGAAACCACCGTCAGCAGGATAGCCAGGTTCAACGTTGCCTCCATCACCGTCGTCTTCGTCACGGAGTGAGGGGGTAACTCGTCCCTTTGAGATCTGGTCTGCATCTTGTGGGCCGTAGCCATTCTGATAAGGTCTGTCCGTGGTTGGCTTCGGGACTGCTCGTGAGTTGACATGAATACGGAAGACGCCGCCCGTGCCGCCAAACTTGTCATTGACAGCGCCAAAGTAGACTCTCTTGATACCAAGCTGTCGAAGAAGCGATGCGCACATGACGCATGGCTCCACGGTAACATAGAGTACACACTCCGAGATGATGGAGCGGTCGACTTTGGGCGAGGGGTGAAGCTTCTGTCCATAGGGAAAGATGTGGCCATCTGAGGGGTCTACATCACCCCAAAGAGACTCATCCATTGACGATTCGTCCTTGACGTCGGCGTCTGATTGGTGAGATAGCAAGGCTGATAGGGCCATGAACTCGGCGTGACGGGTACCATTGCGGGTTACATTGGTGGCGTTCATGCCTTTTGCAATGACTCGATTCTTGTAGACTAACACACAGCCAACTGGGGTCTCGTTGATTCCCAAGGCTGACTCTCCCTAGATGGTGTTAATGATTGCCCATAAAGAGTTCTAGGCGTTGTGTGGCCATGGCTCAGGCAGCGAAAGGAGGCAATTCGGGATTGTGACAGAGATGCAAGAAAAATTGCTCACCATGTTGAGAGCTTCTCTCATGAACTTGAGATGGATCTCTCGCTCCCTCTTGCCCTCTTCGGTATCTGGCTCGATCAGGCCAGGCAACACCTGACTAGGGGGCGTCACCAAAGGAGCAAGAGGCTTCAGTGCAAACGACTGCTGGGGCAGTCCAGTGGCTACAACCAGAGGGACGGCAGCCGCCTCCACGGCGGCAGTGTCCTTGTTGAGCTCCTTCACGGGCACCGCCTTGTCGGTAGGGTCAAATTGACTGATCGAACTGGACTCGTCAGCTTGACCATTCATCGGCCGAGTAGCCTCCTTGGCTGCCGGCTTGACGGCAGGGTCGGGCTTTTGTGCGCCGGCTTGGATGTGGCTACCCGTGTCTCGAACCGCAGGTTGATGCCCAGCTGGTACGACAGCTGGTAGGGGTGGCGTCTGAGAAACGGCGGCGCTCGCAGTCTCCCGATCAGCAGTAACGAGATCGTCCTTGGTGCCTTCGACGAGCTGCTTGGTAGGCGATACGCGGCCACGATTCTTTCCAGACGGTTTCGTGCCAGTGGGACTCTGGCCGTCCGTCTGTTTGCCACTGACCGTGACATGACTGTTACCGGCTTGGGCGGATGTGCCGAGGGGAGCGACCTTGTCGTGGGTAGGATCTGAAGGTGTGAGGGCAGTCTGGCTGGGCTGCTTTCCGGGGCCCAAGTTCTCCTTGTCAGGTCGCTGGGATGTAGACGCGGCAGGTTGAGCGGCGTGAGGCTTGAAGCCTGAGCGCCTCTGACCTCCGCGTTTCTTAGACGCAGCCATGCTTTCGTCCTCTGATGATGGCAGTCCCTTCTCGAGGTCCAGATCGGCAGGGTGCTGCGCTCGAGACGTGTCGGGCGTGGAGCTGGGGTTGGTTGCCGATGGCTCTGATGCAGCTTGCTCTCCGCCCGATGCTGGCGGTTGCTCTGGCGAGGTGGTGTTGCTGCTCGGGGCGAGGTGAAAGATGCGGTTGAACAGGTGAATGAATGAAGCAAACAGCGCCTGCCAAAGGCCTGAGATGTAACCTGAGAATTTGTGACCCGCCATTTTCCCGTTCTTTCCTTGGGCAGCAATTCGAAACGCTTTTGGGGATAATCGATTATACAGCGTCGGCAATGACGACAGCCACCAGTCACCTGGAATCACTCATCAACCGCACGCGATTCACTGCCAGTGCGAGTGCGACAGCCTCAGCTGCCGGCGCCTTTGTGACTGGACGCAACGCCGGCAAAGTCTGCCCCAGAGAGTGAGACTGCTCGCCCGCTGCTGGCCAGTTTGGATGAGCTGAGGTCTACTGCCCTCTGACTCAGATCAGAGCAGACTCGAAACGGGCGGTCTAATACAGCACAACGAAACAACGCAGGAGGAAAAGGACTGAAGGGGATGGGGCCTTCATCCAATCAACCCCTTGCAACTCGGCCAGCGGCTTATTTCGAAACTTTGATCTCGTAAATCAAGTCTCCAAGAGGGCCAGGCCACGCTCAATACCAGAGCAAAAACCGGCCGCTGGGGGTCCGAGTATCTGAGATATCTGGTATACGAGCGAGCGTATGTAGCATGGTGTTAGTCGCGGCTGAGAAATCTCTGCGGCTAGTGAACCACCTCGCTTAACCCCACAAATGCGCGAGACACCCCCTGTCGCCCACTAAGTTGAACAGCACCTAAGTTAACTTACCCAAAGCGATAAACTCGGTAGCTGCATCATAGTTATCTGACTTCAACCTGTCAGCAAGTACAACTACAAGTTATGTAACATGGTGGTAGCAATCCTAGCTTCAAGCTTCCCGTTCACACACAGGATCCTAATTAGGCGTTACTTCCGTCGACCCAGTAGGTATTTCAACGCTTGTGCGGTCCAATAAATCCTTCAATAGGTCATCATGTCGGTAAACTTCCCAGCGGAGCTTAGTCGAACAGGGTATTAACTTGGTAAGGGCCCGAAACTGGGGTACGCTATCGGTGCTACAAAGCACCATGCCTGCGAGGCAAGCTGGGTGTATAACGACGACGGGCCACACAATAGCAATCACTAGATAGCCAGCAAGTACAAACTACCATAGGTCGTGATTGCAGGGAGAGAGAACGTTTTTAAATTCAATGGCTGGAGTTGTATTGTTTCTACGTAGGTCGGTTTGGTATCAACCACTGTATAGACTTCAATGAGCTGGACCAACTTCAGACCATCTTGCTTTCCCCCATCCCCTGTATCTTCATTCCCTCTACCACCGAAAGTTATCAAGGGTATCTAACAGTAAATGCAACACGCTATTAACAGCACCGAGAGGGTGCGGATACACTGTCTATGGATAAGGTCTAAATATACATCCTTCTTCCGGCGAAGCCAGCCGAAGGCTTAGTTTCGCACGCGATGCCGCGCAGTGAAACCAAGTTTGACGTTGCCTTCTGCAGATAGATATCTGCTTTGAAGGGTAAAGGTTCCTTCCCGGAACCCAGAAATCTTCGACTTGACGCTAGTGGCAAAGTTGCCAGACAGCTGCTTCACGGAGTGAAGTGCTTGCGTGAACGGGCCCAGCTTGTTCTCGCAAAGGATGGGTTCTTGTCGCGAGGCAACAAGAGACAGGGCAACAAACGCTGCGCTGACGAATACTTGGTTGAGGTCCAACGCACGAGTAACGACAGTACATACTGTGATCACACCGACCGCAGAAATGAAGCCGAGCAAGCGAATTGTCGAGGAAGTCCTCGAGTTTCGTCCTTCGCTTCGTGACATGGACCACGACGAGTGAGGTGGTGAATCCTCTTGATGACTCTCGAAGATCGCCGAGTGAAATACGGCAACCGCTCGAGTGTTTGACCGCGAGAAAGCTGACGGTGCCGCCAAAGCCAACATGCCAACAACGCTCAGAATAGCCATGCCAAAGTGTGCAAGTACACCTGGCGCGGCAGCATCAACACCACTTGCGCTGACAGCCGTGAAAGGTTGACCCATGGCAACCCCAGCTGGTACTCCATCCTTGGGAAGGGCGGAACGAAATACAGTGCTTGCCGGTTCGGATAGGTCTTGGCCAGCGGGCACAGTGGTGCTGGGCGAGGGGTAATACCTTTCTCGCGATATAATGCTTCCATCTTGTACTAATCGTCCTGCTACCGTATTCTCCACTCTAGCGGAGGAGACAGGCAGGCCATCGCCGTCACCAGTGAAAGCCCCACTTCGGGGTAGTCGTTGGTGGTTGAAGCTCTCGTGGTCGACCAGTGAGAAGATACGTTCTCTGAGTGGCTCTTCTACCGTGGATACCATGGCAGTTCGGGTAGTTACCGCAGTTGCCGCGGCGCTGGACGGTACATATGTGGATAGCGTCTGCAATACAATTAGCCGGTGAATCAACACGTAAATCCAATGAAGCCATACCCTTGATAGCTCATCGGTAGTTACCGTAGATGTCTGTGCCGATCTCCTCGGTTTAACATTCTCCGTGACCACCGGTGCCAGGGCGGCCTCGTCGACCGCGCTTGACTGCGAAGGTCGAGACTGGAGTGGTCGTTGTGGAGCGAGAAGTTGACTACTGTCGCTGGGTGACACTATTGTCACCCTAGGAACTCGCGACTCGGTTGGGTCGGCTGGGCCCTCAATATATGAGCCCGCAGCTGCCTCGTGGAGGCTTACGCCATAGGATGAGCGCTGATCTCGTTCATTGTAGTAACCGTGGTCTGATCCATCGTTCGCTACTACTACCTCTGCCCGTGAGGAGCAGTTGTTCGCGCCGTCCAGTGCTGGGCACTGGTTGCTTGACGGGACACTCGGTAGGCCATGAGACTGTACATCAACCGACGAGACTACCTCGCGGAGTGCTGGCGCTAGTTCGCTGTCCGCTGAAGAGCGTGAAATTGGTCTCTGGCTCCTAGAGAGCTGCTGCTGGCGTGGAGATCCAGGAACAAGTGGAGCCGCCACCTCCTTGAGGAAGGCAGGGTCTTCATCTAGGCATGTAGAACCAGGCGAGTAAAGAGCGAAGTCGACGTAGTTGTTGCCAACCTCTGCACCACCCGGGTGTAGGTATGGGAGGATTGGCTGCTGGTCGTCGCCGAGGCCTGCCAGGGCATTGTCCGCATAGTGTACGGCATTGCCCAGTTCCAAGCCGCTCGTTGGGGTAATTGGTTGGCTCTGAGCAGGAGTCAGTACCTGGCTAGGCGATACCGACACCGAGTTGGAGTCGCTCGTGGTTGGCGAGAAGTAGCCGGCAGGGTCGAAGAAGAAGTCATAGTCGTTGGGAACGGCATTGCTAACCTCCTCATCGTACGTGATGAACTGGTCCCATTCGTCCACGGCAGGTGCTGCGGCCACGTCGAAGCTGTCGTCAAAAGAGAAAGATTCTGATACGGACGGTTCGAAAGCTGGAGCTATATGTGTTGTTGCTTGTGAGGCAGCCATTCTTCGTGTTGATTGAGAAGAGGCGGTCTTTTTAACCTTCTTGGCTGACTTTGGCTCGGGAGAGCTGGAAGCGGACGAAGTTCGCTTCTTATGGCTGGGGTCACAGCGAGTCTTCTTCTTTTTGCAAGCGTCGCAGGCCTTGATGATCCTCATGAGGTGGGCATGGTCTCGCTGCTCCTTGGTCTTGCAGCCTCGGGAGGCCGAGTTTGTCACGTCCCGTCCGTCCTTGGTCATGATCTTCATGCCAGGAATGTGAGAGAAATCGCCGGCCTTGGAAGACGAAGCTGCTGTCCTCTGAGTGACTACCTTCTGATTAGAGGCGCTGAAAGAGGAGTTGCTGGCCTGGGTCCACTGGCTCTCGGACATGACAGGCGAAGTGTTGAAGCTGGAGCCATACCCCGAGTCGACAATTCCGGAGCTGGCAGGAGAGGCGGTAGAAGAGCCCATGGCTGGGTAAACCAGGAAGAACTTGAAAAGCTCACCAGTCTGGATGGTGTGCCCGAAGAACTCCATAGATACAGCCGTCCGCTTGTCCAAAATGGAGGCGGATCCAGGGACGTAGGCGTCGATCATGTCGTCCAACTGCTTGGACCCCATGGCAGGGAAAAACTGCAGAGGGGCGCCGATAGCAGGCTGGTGCACCGAAAAGCCCATCAAGGACTGAGTAGAGCTGTTGCGAGACATGAAAGCCATTGGGATGTTATTTCCGGGGGGAGTGGTATACTTGGTGGAATACACTTTGTTGGAGTGTGCTGGACCGGGGCGGGAGTCAATGCACGGAAATTCCGGCAGAGGGGTCGGAGAGGGGAAGAAACCGGTTCCGCCAACTCGAAAGACCCAAATCTGGTGATTCAAGAGTATAGATGATACAATACTAATATCTACCACGGTGGTCTTGGGGAGCTGCACCAAATTTGGTTGGTAGGCAGACAAGAGCGGCAGGGGGGAAGTCAGTGTGAGAGATGCTGACAGTGCCGAGGAGGAAGACGGTGTCGAGGGCGAGGCAACGATTGCTGACGGTGCCTGGCTCGAGATGGGGAATGTCTTCCGAATCTCTAGGATACAAAGATGGAGAGTAAAGTGATAGAAAGAGGGAACGGAACTATTGTCCTTCGCCGGGAGGGAGTCACCAGGAGATATTTCACTTCGTCACGGCGGCCGGGCCTGCAAAGCCTCAATGTCCAGCAGGGCGGAGCGTGGGGAGCACGAGGAATGAGACATTCGGCGAACTGAAAAAGGCTTAGCCTTGGCTGGTAGTCGAGCCAATGAGCGACATGCTTTCCCGAGGTGGTCAGATCCAGAATCTGACAAAGTCTCCTTCCGTATTTGTTGCTAGTAGCTTGGGTGTAATTGGTGTTGCAGCACTAACAGAGCATATTCAAAGAAACCTGGGGCATGGGGCCGGCCGCCATTGACCTGCAGGAAGCAAAGGTGCCTCAGGCCATACTTCGGCGAGAGTCTCATTGGTCAATTCCCTAGGCTCTTGAGGATGAGTCAAAGGCCGGACCCACATCTCATCTACGAAGTGAGACGGTTCGATCGTCATTTGTTGGAAGCATCCACCTGCTGCGCACACATGCACGGCGGAGTCACCTAGCTCGTTCCATTGCCGTGGTGTGCTTTTGTAGGCATGTCATAGTCGAGTAGTTTTCGTTGTTTTCTAGTAGACGTCGTATTTACTGCATGACGGGGGCAGGGAGTCGTTACATTCATCGAGTCTTGGGCTCAGAACCTTCACCCGCCAAAGTCTAACTGACATCCGTGGTAAGGGAGCAGTGTTGCAGCAGGCTGGCTACCACCCAATCGAGCCAAACATGAAGACGGGATATCAAGATTGAAGACCAATTGATTATCTGGCGTGGCATACAAATTTGTCTATTCCTTGATAGTTTCTAGTATAACTCAGAAGCAGGGGGAAAACTTTCACCACAATACAGTATCACATACAAAGAGCTTGGCGTAATATAGTTCCTGAGTCCCTCGCAATTCTCTCTGCACAACCTCGTCCCCACCACCTTCTAGGGAGACTGGGGCATGTTCCCAGAGCGGGGGTTGTGGAGTTGGGTACAAGCTCCCAGGCTGTTACAGGATCGCCTCGGTGCCGATTGGCTATATATACATTTTGATCAAAGCCGCCTAAGACGCTTCCACTCCGGATGGACTATCTTCAACGCTATATAACAATCATGCTGCTTCACATCGTAACATTGAACAAGGCAGACACTGTCGCCTTCACCGACTCAGCCAGAAGGTAAAGAAAAAAGAAAGGCCAAGGAATCTAACTAGCTGAGAAGGTGCGTGCTGTCTACCGCAAATACTGTACTGAGAGGGGCGGATAAGGCTCCCAACACCACATAATCGAGAAATCATGATCAACGACGCCCGAGTCTCGTCATCGCCAAGCCATCTGCTGAGAACAACATGTGTTCGTCCACACTCGTCTTCACCCAACCATACACATCATCATCATGATATCAATCGTCATATCGTGAGCACCATGCTCCAGCGCCGAGTCGTCCTTGTGCCGAATACAAGGCGTATCTCCAAGGCAGCACTGAGGCAGATGAGCTTCGGTCAACGGGGGATGCCCTCTACTATTCGCGGGGATGATTCTGAGCGGATAGGCGGGCCTTCTCCCATGGTGAGGGCCGTGACCTTCTGAGGATACTAGGTATCTCAACAGCCGAGTAGCTAGAAACCCACACACCGCGGCCAATAACGACAGCTGTGGCATAGTCGTCTCACCTGTGCTATACTGAGGAGCCCCTGTCGACTCAGGTGTAAGGTCCGACCCGACAGTCAGCCCAGCAAGGACGAATAAGGCAAATATCCAAAATAATCGAAGCCTTCTCCAATGGTGACGGTGCAAGCCCAAGTCGTACTTTCCCATCGAGCAGAGTTTTGCGAGAGGCTGTCGACAAGGCGTTTTACCAAAGCTCAAGCCCAGACACCTAGCCTTATCAAGAAGCGAACGAGAGAGTATTGTTGGCGCCCTTTCGGTGTAGAGTTGCGACTCATCCACGCCATCTGTGCCATCGCTGGTTCCGCCCCGTTTGAACTGCTGACTGTGGAAGCCTGAGCTACTGCCTCCACCGCCGGGGTAGGAACCCCAGAACCCCATCGAATTGTTCCCCGCGAAGGGTGGCTGGTCTCCCGAGCCTCGTGCGTCATAGGAATATCCGCTTTCCGACTCGCCAGACTGTGTCAATGCTGGCGTAGACACAATGGTCGATTCGGCGATGTTTTCACCGTAGAACCATCTTCTCCATTGACCACCAAAACAATTTTCTTGAATACATTGGGGCGGCGGTTCCCACCCAGCAGTCAAAGTGGAGCACGGCATGCATTCGCACCAGTACATCTCATCCTGAAAGCCATGGTGTTGTGCTGTGAAGTGCACTTGGAGGTCTTGCAGCGGGCCCGTCCATGCACAACGGCTTGGTGGAAAGTCTGATCCTGGCTGCCTAGGAGCAGTATATTCACATCGCCATTGAGACCGGTCGCTGGGCACCTCGCTTCCGATTGGAAATGGTTCAGAGGGGGTTTGGAGAGGACCCGAAGACCCAAGGCCTGGATTATAGGACCGACCAAACGGTATTGGCATCGTGCCGAGACCAAGGGTCACTGAGGTCACATCAAAGCTGTCGACTAGGTTGCGCACATCTTGTCGCGCGCTGGGGTTCTGAGTCTGGCCAGCGAAGTCTCCAAAATCATCTTCGTCAACTGGTACTGGAGATGGGAAGCCGTTGTTGTTTCCGTTAATACCGACGAACAAATCTGTGCTAACGGCACTCAGACTATTATCGGACGCCTGTGGGTTGCTTGTAGGCAGATCAATGTCATCAGCATGAGCATGGGATGTCCGCCGCGTGGCTCGATATCCTAGTTCTAATTTGGACAGATCATAGTGTATGCACTAATATGTTGTGAGCTGACGTGTAACAGGAGCAACGACCCAGCTTTTAATTACCGTGACTTTCTTTGATTTGCATCTTTCGCAGACCAGTCCAAGCTTTCTCTTTATAGCAGTCATAAGCCTTATCTCCGGTTTTAACGGACCGCCCCTGCGGCCTCGCAGGCGTCTTCCTGATATGGAGGCGGCGTCTGGATCATGGGCGTCATTCTGTTCGGCAGGTTGATCTGTCGTCGAGGAAGGAGATGATATGCTTCTGGCGCAGCTCTCACTTTTGCTGCGCCGCCGCACCAGCGATTGGGTTCCAACCTCCGGTGGGCGTAGCAGATCTTGCGAGTTGGGGCTGCGGTATGAAGAGCATGGTCGAGTGCCTAGTTCCTGTTGTGTTGTGTCCTGGTGTGGGGACAGTCGTTGGAGACGTCGTGCCTCATCCTCTCGTATTCGATTATAGCTGTCTTGGGTTTCGGGTGTAGGTTCTACGACTTTGATTTCGATGTCCTGACGATTTGCCCTCGGCTTCCGGACCCTGCTGCCGGGAGGTTGAGGCATGGCCACAGGAGGGACACAATCAATCTGCGGCAGATGACTGCAGCCAAAAACAGACTTATCGGCGGCTCAGGAGAATTAAGGAAGGGTAGGTGGCAGCCCGGCAAGGATGCCCTAGAAATCTGGACGCAAGGGAAGAACTGCGGGTAACAGAGGTGGGCAAGAGGAAATTGTAACGGAGCGGTAGGACTCGAAGGAGACATTTTGACCCTTGGGTGAGGCTCAAGGCTGACAATAAGGCAGACTGTGTAAATACACACACACAATTGCCTTGTTCTTAGCCACCGAGGCCACCACAATGGTTCGCCAGCGGGCGGCCCCCACAACTTTTGGCAAGGTCATCAATGGAGAGGGAATGTGTCAGTCCACTGGCGCACGTAATGCGGTGACCGCGCAGGAGGCTGATTGCAGCCGCTTCACAGTGCCTTTTGCGAATATGCGCAGAACGGTGTTCATCACGACGGTGCTACGTCGAGTTCGTGGCATTTCGGTGAGTAGGTCCGTCAATAATGTCGGGCGGGAAGTAACTTGAGAAAATGAGGGGCGCTGCTGGGTAGGTGACTTTGGCATCCTGACCGCAACTTCTCTACTGCGAGGAACGCGGGCGAAGGCCAGCCCTGACGTTTCGCCTTTTACTTGGTATGCAAGCCTCACGGGGGTTCTTCTTTGCATCATTTGACATTTTAAAAACGTGATAACTCTTTTGTTCATTTTGGCGAATTATCGGTGCGTACCGGTCAGGCTCTCGACAAGGCAACCGGTCGATCGCCTCGGTGCACTTTGCCGAGATCAAGACGCCTCCGCCAAAGTAGCCAGAGACAGCCACCCCAACTGGCACCGCCTAGAGCAACACAATTGCGGTGTCCAAACAGTGCCTGGACACTTGTGTCCTTCCCCAAATCCATTCATGCAGAACTGACATCAGGTATACTAACAGTAGATTGATGCCCGATCGCGGGGTATCATCTTGGCCGCTTATACTCGAATAAATCAAACGCTTCCCTGCTCCATGGCCCCCCGTTTGCTCTCGAGAAACCTGGCAAGCTCGTTGTCGATTGCTTGGCAGCCTTGTCGGTCGGACATACCGATGATCTATTGGGTTGTCTTGCAGCGCCCACGCCTGCATCTACCGGTATTATACTTTCCAGCAGCTGACCAGCTGCGTCTGATGGTTTTGCAGCTTTCTTCCCTCTTGTGGCAGGATTTGCTAGTCTCGGTACTGGCCACTGACTTGTGTTTTGTTTGCCTACAACATCCTCATGCACGTCATTCTGCATGTGGCTGTGGTGCAATTGCTCAGAATTCAGTAGAGATACATTTGACTGAGCACGAGGCTTGCTGCCTGACTCCGTATCCCTTCCGGACGTAGAATTTCTGTTGGCTGAGTCAAATGTACTTCCGTTACTGATTGACTCGCTTGAGTCCTTGGCAACCGGCAATGAGGCTGTACGACGTAGCCCAGATTTCTCGAGGGTCGGTTCAGTTTGCCGGACAGAACCAGTTGGAGTCTGGACTTCAGGAGTACCTGAATCCGTGCCGATTCCTTGAGATTCTCTGGGATCAGCTTGAATAGAGTCATTCTCTCTTGTAGACGTGAATTTAGCAGTGCTCTTGAACTTGACTTGAGAGACACTGTGCCTTTTCGGAAACATTGTATCGAGCTGCGCAGCTTGTGCTGCAAAACTGTGTGCACTATTCAGGAGCTCTGGTTTGTTTCGCGGTTGGGACTCGGTATCCACATAACGTCCGGTCCCTGGTGTCTGGAGGCAGGCTTCGTCTCTTGGTGCTGATGCAACCGCAGGAAGGTCAGGTTGAGTGTGTGTTGAATGCGCAACTCTTCCGATTACGGGAGCCTTTCGAGACTCTGAGTCGTATACTTGTCCGAACTCCGGCCGCTGCATCCCCAACCGGCTTGATTCGGTAGTCAGCTCTTCGGCAAGCTGCACATTCGTCCCAGTGTCCTCTCTATTATCAATGGCTTTCTGTTTCTGCTGCTGCTGTCTTGATTCTTGGTGATCAAGAACTATCTCTTTTTGATGGCGATGGTGAAGAGCAGGCTGGTCGTCGTCATCGAAGAACAACCCAATGACCTCCTTGCTCCGTATACCCTTGCGAGAAAGCTGCGCAAGACGTGGAGGAGGTCTCTCGGATCTGTGGCCGATCATCTCACCTGCACCCTTTTGATGCTCTTTATTCCTCTCCGAAGAGTCATCTGAGATAAGTCCGTCGTGATGCCGGCCCGTATGCCGAGTAGACGATATTATCTCGCCCTCGACTTGTGACCTTGCCTGTGGCCCTTCAGCATCACCTTGAACGGGCCCGTGAATGGGCATATCAGGGAAACCATGCCGTTCCTCGCTATCCTCATTTGTCCTCCAAGCTTCTACCACTGCCTTGCGAGACTTGCTTGTTTCGCTCCTTGTTACTTGCATACAAGCTAATACAGAGTCTGTTGGTTCTTCTTCATTCGCCCCCACATCAGATTCACTATAGAATTCAGTGTTTCGCGAGGCATGCTTAGCCCCGTCCCGACGAGCCATAATGTCTGAGTCTAGCACTTGGCCTGCGCTGCGGGCGGCGATATCTTCTTCAAGAACCGTCATTTCGCTGCTCTCGCTGTGTGCTGTCTGATGAGTGACGGGAGATAGACTGTCATCAGTACGAGACCTCTTAGGCTTCCGTGCTTTCTTTACGTCTTGTTTCTCGGATAATACGAGCAGCCCCCTTTTCTTGCTAGGCTTCATACGCAACTCTATTCGGGGCTGCGGAGGCTTTACACTCAGTGCCGCCGTACGATGCACCGAAGTGGCCATCACCTCGTCTGAAAGACTAGATTCGATGGAGCCAGGACGAGCTGTAGCCTGATTCTTATTGTTTACTCTTCCTAAGTCCTCGGGGATTGGCTTGTGCTGATTTCTTTTAGACTTCTTCAGGGGCTTTTCGCTCGGCTGATGACTCGAAGCGGTTGGTGAAGCTCTTGTTACCACAGAATGTAGTGGGTCGGACTTTCTCCTACATTTGTCCCCTACAGAGGTACGTTGAAGCGGGAGTTGAGAATCCTTTCGTCGATGACTTGCTACATCGGGTTTGATACTACTCGTCTCGGGACTTTCATTGGGCGGGCCAGCTTCTCTGCGATTCGTGGCATTCCTTTGGAGCAACAATGATGGAACGTTTGCCTTCGATCGAGCATCCCTTCCTATCAAGACGTCGGACTGAGTTCGAGAAATGTTGACGGCCGTAGAACCCTTGTCAGACAACGGGCCCGTCTTCTTTGAACTCATGGTGTCTACCGGCTGCGCTATTTCAAGCACATCACGATCGCCTTCGTTCTGGTTGCTGATGCCTGACGAGGATGGCAGCTCACGATCACGCGGTTGAAGTTGTGAGGGGTTCAATCTATGCCGCACTGGGGCACTGCTCATAGGGCGTCCAGACAAAGTCAAGGTGGCACCGAAGAGGTTCTGCGCATACCCAGTCTTGCTTGGAGGAGATATATCCCTTTTGCGTCTTTTGGCCGGTTGGGGACTCTCCTCGGATTGGCCATGTGACTGCAATGGATTCGACCTTTGTCGCCCCTCGAACGGGGATTCCTTGGGCACCAAAGCGCGGCCGTGATGGCCACTTGGAGTGCCTAATAGGTTGTTCAGATGAGTGTGCCGAGTCTGAAACGTCGATGCTGCGGCTCGAGGTACACTGGGCGAGTTTCCTTGCGCCGAAAGGCCTGCGTGGCGAGCAATAGCTGCAGACTGCCTCTGCGCCTTCTCCTGCACTCGTTTGTCGATAAGCTCCGAGAGATCCTGGCTCCGGGTGCCGACGCACTCAGCGGCCTGGACCATGATGCCGCCGCGTTCCAGCGTGACCTCCTCGCCTTCGCCAAAATCGTAGTCCTCGCGCCAGTGCGTGTCTCCGATATAGTTGCCTCTCTCGTCGTGGACCATGATCCGCTTATTGAAAGCATGAAACTTGAGGCGGCCATCTTGCCAGCGTTTCTGCTTCCTGCGAAGGTCATGAGTATAAAGACACATGAACTCGAAGACCGTGGCGGTGCTAGATGGCCCATTGGGAGAGCTTGACGGCACAGAGCTCTGCATATTTCGGGAGACTGCTGCCATGACGGTGGCAGGTCATCGGCCAATCCTGCATCGAGGGGAGCAAGGCACGATATGACACGGACTTCACGAGTCTTCTTGCCCAGATTGCTTGCGCCTTTTCGTCGACGGCTGTATCTTTGCGTTGTGGCCTTGGCGGCAAAGACGCGCTTCCGAAAGAGGTGGTTTGGAGGCAGGCGCGCTTGAATCGCGGTGGCACGTGTTGGCAACACAATTAGTTAGCCACTGCCAATTAGAGTGTTGAGCTTAGCTTCAGGTACCTTAGATAGGTACCTAAGGCCCCTGCATTTTTGGGGGGCCTGGCCCGCTGTGAGGAAGGAAGATGCTGCTGCCGGTATCTTGGCGGGGGCTCCAGTCGCCCAAGTGCAGAACATTGTCGTCAATTTGAGAGTAGACTAGCGTACGAGATGTAATGAATATAGAAAGCTACTTCCCAAATACAGTTGAATACCTATGTCCTGTGTATTGGTGTTGACCATCGATACGTTATACCGTCTGGAAACGCGAGGTTGTAACCCCCTAAATCTTTGCACCAAATCAGTATACTCAAGCTCAACACGGCAAACTTCGACATGCAGTACATAAAAATGTTGGTTGAATCATAACCATAAGCATATATAGATGGAGAAGCGCAGTCAGCGCAGAGCAAAAAGGTACTGTTCCCGTGCTATGTGAGAGCTTGAGTGCTTGGTGTTGTCCTGGTCTAAGGATTATCGTTCTGGAAGTATTTTTTCGGAAGAAATCGTCAAATTGGGATAGCTGGACTATGCTAATATTTGAACCAAGTTGGACTCGGTTCAAGTTCTACAAGATGCCGTGGATCCTTACTCTTTGCTCGACCAGAGACTCCAGTAGGTCCCTACAGAAAGGGGTACTCAGAACTTCTTTTTACATTGACGAGAGACTAACGACAGCACCCGAAAGTCATGATAATTCACTTCGCGTGTACTTACATAGTACACTCACTACCTATGAGCGGGCCGACGTACCATGTCATTAACGCTGGCAGTGCACTGCCAGCCAACCAAAGGATTCTGGCTCAGCCATCCTTCAAACCTAATGTTGGGGAGGTCAGGCGAGGCCATCCACTTTAGTGGTCAACAGTGTTCTCAAGGCGTGATCCCCCGTCCAGGCCAATCTCTGTCCACACATGTCCCTATCATTGAATATATGGATGGGCAAAGTGTCCGAAGCACAGCAACTGACAGGGGGGAGAGCATTGAACAGGGCGATGAAGCACCGGGTTGTTTGTGCCGAAAATACCAATGAAGAGCTAACATAGGCCTACAACATTAGACCGGTTACAACGGCTACACCTGCCACAATCCTTGTGCTCCTGCACGTAATTAACACGATAGGGAACCCACCTTTTGCGCTGCTAGCCAAAACATCCCCCGAACAGGGCTGGAAATGATCTAACCTGGAACTTATGGGGGGGGCACCGTCAAGGTCCTGTCCACTTTTAGTACTCACCCAGGCCCAACCCATGTGGACTCGCCCCCGGCGGACGCGCCATAGTTACCTCTGTGTCTTAAAAATAAAAAAAAGAACATACGGGTTACCTAGCAGCCTCCTGTGCTAGTAAATCGTGCTGCGTGCTAGGATCCGTCGTCGCGGGGCTTGCTGTGACGCAGAGCAGCGGTGCCATTCGACTGCAGTCTGCTTCGCCGCAACCTCACCACCTTCTTTGCCTCCCCGTGCCGTCTATTCTGCTGACCAGATGCCCATCTGATCGGATAGCGATCGTTCACGGCTTGAAGCGCTCACGGAAAGCCTTCGTTCTCTCGTTAATTGCGCTGTCGACCTCGTCGTCGTTGTCCTAAGCTCCGGATAGGTAGCTTCACCTTTCTGTCCATATTCTCGGAACTCGCGCCTCTACCCCGCAAGACCAGGCCCGACCGACAGCTAGGCTGCTACCGCGAAGATGCAGTCGATGCAGAGGCAGTTCGGCAAGCTTATGCGCAAAGCTCCTGGAGACAATGCGAAAGTCTCTGTCGTGCTGAATGACTACGAGGACGCAGACAAGGTGCTTGCTAAGGTAGTGGCCCACCGTTCCGGCGCGCATCCAGACAGCTGTCGTACTGACCAGCGCCCCATTGCAGCTTATAGAGAATGCGAAGTCTTGGCACGAGTCCTGGGTGGCCCTCACCAACTCGCAGCTGGGCATCGTGACCGAGTACGAAGGCCTCTACGACCCGATCGAGGGCACCGGCCGGACCAATGCGAGAACGGCAGCCACGACCCCCGAGCTGCAGCTCAATCGAACATTCGCCTTGAAGGCGGCCTACACAGACTTCCGGACCGATCTTTTTGAGGAGATCGGCCAGATAGAATCCAACATTATCAAGCCCGCATCGGACGCCAGGGATTGTCTTGCGCCGCTGCGAAAGACTATCAAGAAAAGAGAGAACCGGAGGCTGGACTACGATAAGGCGCAGGAAAAGGCCGTGAAGCTACAAAGGAAACCCGGAAAATCGCCAAAGGAAGAAGCTGCACTAGCCAAGGCGGAAGAGGAAGTGGCCAGAGCTGCAGATGTTTGTCTTGACTCCCTTTACCGCTCCACCGACGAATCTGCTAATACGCGGCCCAGGAATTCCAAGTTGTGGACGACCATGTCAGGGAGACACTCCCCCCTATCGTCAATGCTGCCTTCAGCATGGTGCCTCCTCTGGTGGCCGCCATTGTACTAATACAGAATCGCCTGTTGGGCCTATATTATACTGTCTTGCACGGCTACTGTGAGGCGCACAATTTCCAGTCACCGCCACCTCCGATGGAGGATGTCATTGCAGCATGGCAAGCGAACTTTGGCCCCGCCAGGAGGGACGTGGAATCTATCAGCTGCGTGGCCCATGGAAGGGCCGCGCGTCAGCCGATGCACGTCAACGTAGAGGCACAGATCAACGAGGCAAACGCCAGGAAGCCCTCCAACAGCTCCATGAGCAGCTTCCGTCGCACCTCGTCAATGGGTGTTACCAACGGGGAGGAGCAGCCCCCCGGTCCCATGCCTCCGCGCCCGAACAGAATCCCATCGGCTCCTATCGGGACCCCGGGCCCGCGCCCGACATTCAACAACACGAACCTCGGTGTGCCTACCGAGTTCACCACCGCCTCGGGTTATGGCCAGTCTCCTGGGACGTCACCAAGATCTCTGGCGCCTCGTTCCGATTACTTCGGGCCAGGGCCCAATCGCCCGCCAAGCGCTGCGTCGACCGCCGCATCGAGCGTGTCCACAGCCAGTGCCAACCCCGCGGCGTTCAAGAAGAAACCGCCGCCGCCGCCCCCGAAGCGCATCAACTCCGGCAAGCCAGACGAGTTCGTCGTGGCGTTGTATGCGTTCGCGGGCCAGAGCGCTGGCGACCTGTCATTCCAGGAGGGCGACCGCATCAAGGTGGTCAAGAAGACGGGCACAGATCAGGACTGGTGGGTTGGCGAGGTGAGAGGTGTCAAGGGGAACTTCCCGGCCAACTATTGCAGGGCCGCGTGATGAATTACGAATTTGGGATTGGGACCTAGGTATCGGCGTTGGTGATTGTGATCAATTCTACAAAAGGGGGAGGCGTCCGAGTTTCTGGGCACTTCCCCGTACACTAGTTTCTGGCTGTTTAGATCGGTTGACAACTAATACAGATGGGAATAAAGTGTCAGTAGCTTTCCCTGACTCGAAAAGCATTTCTCCACTGCGGACTAGTTCCATTCACCCGTATTTGTGGGCGTGAATTCCTAGCAAATTGTGTTGCGGAGAGTCGCGGAGAGTCGCGGCTCCGTCTCATCCGACTCAACTGGCGACCGAGAATCGCGATACATAGTCTTCATATCCGGCCCTACCGCAAGGTTCAGCGGCAGTCTACATCATATCACGACACAGTAGTGTGAACCACTCTACCGGGCTAGCCGACTAATTTACCCTACTAAGGCCAAGAAGCATAGTGCCTGGCGTACGGCGTCATTATCGATCTAGTCACTTGGTTGAATCAACCATGACGATGCAGAAGAACGGCGGTTTATCGTCTGCTCATCAGTGTGATGTATTTAGATCCAGGCTGACTATCTCGACCTGAATTCGTTACTGAGTCCATACTTCTCCGAGCCTGGTCCTCAGAGCATTTTTTTCTCGTCTCCATGTCTTCAACCATAAGAAATTCGTGCAAGCGATCGTAAAAGCGCCTGGGTGAGAACCTGGCGGTTGGCGCATGAACGCCGTCAACTCCGTCATCCAAGTCTATAGCAATAAAACGTGAATACTTGTCTAAATTCAGGGTCCGTCTCAAATCCTCCTCCAGAGATTGATACAGGATGAGAAAAGGATATTGGGTATCTTGAGGAGGAGATGCGTGGTACACGGCGGTCGTGTGTAGTGTGTATAGCGACCGCTGCTCCGAAGATGAGCAGTATCGAGTGTTACACAGTTCTTACAGTGGAAAACTGGGCTCCACACTGAACTCAAAATATGGTACAGAGCAGCAGCGCTTGGTAAGGTAGGTTCGTCTGACCGTACAATGATGACACAGGTGGTGATGTGAAGAGCAATCAGCTCGACGCTGGGGGATGCAGTCCCGGATTGAGTACCGTAGACTCGAGGGGAATTCCATGTGTGAGAAACGGTCCAAGCCCTCAAAATATCGGCCCAAGCTCGAGGGCTGGAGAACTCCCCCCTTCACGCCGCCGTCTCTCTTCGTCAGCGCGGATGGCACGGGCAACTTCCTCGACTTGGGAACTATCCTCCGAAGCTCGTACGCGGACTCCGAAGAAGTCATCGCCGCCGGCCTCCAGCTCCATGGGGGTGACGGGTCCGGGGCTACCGAGGGGTGCGAGCTTGGGTTTGCTCGGCTTGCTAGAGACGCTGGTGAAGCCCATGTTCCTGAGTGATATGGCGTTCAGAGCGGCCGCGCTCACATTGCCACCGTTGATTGCGAGAGTGGCCTGCGCGATCATATCTCTCTGGTACTGTTGCAGTCGGCGCTTGGCCTCGGACTCGTTCCGTACGTGTCCTCCGGAAGATTCTCCGCGGTAGGTAGGCACCTGAGAGTCGGACTTGATGGCTGTAGAGGGCGACCCAGACATAGACGGCCGGAGAGTCTGATGCTGCGCTGGCTGCCGGCTCTCGTAATTGGAAGGATAATACTTCCCCATAGGAAGCGGGTTTGCGTGAACTCCACTGGGAATGTAGGATGCGACGGGTGTGTTCGATCTGCCGGGGACATTTGCGCTGGTGACCGCAGACGGCGGTGCAGGTGCTGGAGACGGCATAGTTGGCATTTCTACCTTTCCAGGCGGCGTCGCTCGTCCTGTGATGGTCGGGGCGGAGACCGGAGGGAGCGAGTCTGGCGAGTTGGTGTCTGACGCCCTCTGAATCGACCTCTGGCGGGCTTTGGAGGCATCCAGGTGGAAAGGATGACTGCGGTAGACACGGGTCTGGTCTTCGTGCAAGGGGAAATAACCACTGTTGTAAGGGTTCGGGTGTTAGCTGACGGACGTACGGCCTCGAGTGCTGTGGGTAATTTGTTTGATTCTTTGTCGTATTTTTCTTCGGGGGGAACTTGGTTAAAATGGAAGGCCGTGAATAAACATACCCAGGTAGATCCCCACGTGCTGATAGTGGCGCCGGTGGAGTATAAACAGAAGCGCTGCTGGAGACCGACTTCTTGGTGGTCGGCGGTAGATCAATTGCGATTGGGCGGCTGCTAGAGGACGGGGATCCTCGTGGGGAGTCTGGTGGTGACGAGTCAGCGGACAGGCCGGACAGGGACATTGTGATTTGGATTGGCGGGCGCTTCGTGAGATTCGCATTGTGACGTGACTAGTTACAGAGCACCGGGCTGGGGATGACGGCGCCGGGGACGACGCCAGCGGTTTCGAGAGAGTCGTGTGCTGTGTGGAACTTGAAGAGGCAAGCCGCTCGCGCTGCGATGAGACCGGGAGCAGCAAGAATCCCATGGTGCTGCCCCACGGTACGAGATGGGAAAACCGGAGGGGGGAACAGGGCCCCATCCAAAAACCGAAAACCCACGCCACTTTTGCAGGGCAGACAGGGGGAGGAGACGCTTGGCTTCTGCTTATCCTGCCCGCCGGCTCCCACTAGGAACGGTGCACTGGGACAGGGGCCTGAGGGGTTCCAGGGACCCCAAATGGGACCCCAATTAGGGATTAGGGGACCGACCGCCGACGACAAGCGCTGCACCCCGCTTGCCCGCTTGCCCGCCAGCCCGCCAGCCCATTTCTCGCTTGGCTCTCAGCCCAACCACAATCCCAGCAGTAGCGTCGTAGTGGCGGGGGGGCATTAGCGGGCTTCCTTCAACCGACTAGTTCACAGGGCCACCCAATGAACTGTGGTCGCGACGGAGTCTCGGGCTCAGGCTGAGGCGACATATTTGCCCGTGTCATCTTGCGGCTTCGGCAAACCGGCAAGTGCGCCACCGCCGTCTGCGACGTCCGTCGGTTGGCATGTCAGATACGGCTCGGAAGCCTTCGCGGCCGCAACTCGAAGCGCGATGGGTGGTGTATGGTGAACCTCGCTCAGAGCATACAGAATACTCGGGGAGAGCAACTGAGAGACAGAGGGGGAAATGTAGACAATGTGGGAAAGGAGGGGTGGAGAAAATAAACTAAAGCTCACCAGGTATCTTCAGATGCATGTCCCCTGCCTTCCTCACAGGGCACGACCGCGGACTGGCTTGGGGCGTTGGTGAGGGTCGAGTCGAGAAGATGATGTCCGTAGGGTCGACATCGCCAGGAGAGGACGGCGCTGACGACACATCTGATGCGTTGGACATGTTGGACAGTGATCTGCCAGGCATGCCTGGGCGACGTGCGGCCATGGACGACAAGTACGACGACGGCTTCAACGTACGACCGAAGCTCGCCATTTCCCCTGGCGTACGTGGCACGTCGGTTGACTGGACTGACCGCGCGAATGATGGTGAATGTCCTGATGTTGGGCACTGCAGTTAGCACCTTGGAACGGAAAGACTGAAGCCGCGCGGTGTCTGCCAAGAGCCGCCAGATACGATCCAGGGGTGTAGATTCGCAGAGTGTGTATATCAACCACTCTCACTCAATCGCTGGTTCATGCGGTGTCTTTCAGCGAAAAATTCTCTCAAAACCAGCTCATCAGTCTGCTGGGGAGGGTTGGACGTGGCTTCCAGTCTTGACACGGTACGTGCGTCTTGGTGGCCTCCCGATAGTCGATCACAGTCCGCTCCTCATCTAGCTTAGGCAAAGCAATTATGAGAACGCAGATACGTTTGTTGATCGCTCTGAGCAGGGTGCAACCGGAGTAGAGAAATCAGAACATGGAAGTCTCACCTTATCGCGCAGGTTACGAGATATGCTGGAGACTAGAGGAGAAAGACCGGGCGCTAGTCGAGGAAAACACACCGCAACACGGACTCTGCCCTCTCTTTGGGGACGACTGAACCAGATCGTCGTCGTCGGGCGCGGTGATGACTCCACTGTCAATTTTGTCGAACGACACCGAGTTGAGCAGGACCCGCATGGAGAAGCAGTTGTTAGGTCGACCCGCTCAGGAGAACGCTCTCCGGATCGACTTGTCACGCCTCTACCCCGGAGAGAACAGGGTGGCGGGCATGTGGGTGGAAGTCGGACAACGTCGGTAGGAGCCGAAAAGTCGAGGAAGCCAAGCCGAAGAGCGTGGGAATAATTATGCCGCCGAGGGAAGAAAGTAATCAGCACTGAGAGTCCACGTTCTGAAACACCAGACCGCTGAAGATCGTCTTGGTCGACGCGGGTATCGAGGTCAGGTAACTAATTGCCAACAAAGTCCGAATGCTAAAGCTTCCAGTTCCTCGAGTTTGTTTCCTTTGGAGAGTCCACTGTCTCAGACAGCAATGGAAATTAATACCCAAAAGCCAAGTTCAAATGAACCTGGAATAACAAGTTTATCTACATCTTTTATTTATCTTCTCGGTGGCAGCGCCCGGCGGACCTATCACATAGAAGACCCTGAAGAAAGACCCTTAAGGAACGGGCTTAAGCTAAAGGATGTCGGTCGGCTGGGATCCATATTCCCAAAGATGTGCCATCCATGGATCTCTCTCCCGGGCCGGGCTGCGATGTTGCCTCTGTGCCACATCAGTTCGCAGTACTTGCGCTCGCGTATGGTTTCCCCGCCGTCTGCGGTAGCAGTACTACGGCCCATGTGGAGGTGTGGTCCACTATCTTCTGCAGTGTAGACATCTGATGGTGTTGTATTAGTCAAAGCTGCACAGCCTGAATGGATGGAAGCCTCGCACCTGCGATTTTCAGTGCGATCTTATGTCATTTGTTGTCTGGGGGCTATTCCCGGACCAAGTATATTCGCAGATGACGAGACCCCGGCGTGTGACCCGACATGCAGAAGATCTACGCCGTGCCCCGGCCCTCTTCGAATCAGGCCCATGCTGATGGAGCGGTGCCGCCCTCAAACACGCGGCTTTCAGTAGATGGTAGGCAACGCCTGCCAGTCCCACAGGATCTGCGCGGGTAGTGAATGAGTTTCAGATTTCGCTGGTAGGACCTGGGACCCATCTCCCTGTTGACGACCTGTCAGGAGGGTAAGCCAGATTTCTGCAGCGATCTGCCATCGGTTATCGCAACGACGACTCGCGCATGCATATAGTCAACCTGTCACGCCAGTATTGCGGTTCAGCAGGTGGCCGATCGCGTCTGATAGCGGTTTGGGCTTCATCTGGTTCCGTCCTGTCTTCCCGTGCGTACATAGCAAGTGCTGATAAGCCGAAAGACAAGACTCTTTCCACTCTGCCTTACAAGTTGCCACCAAACCATGCAGCCAAGGCACCGTCTCAACAGTGGATGCGTGGATGTGGCAACTACTGCAACTTTTCTGCATTGATGTTTAGAGTCTGCAATGCTGCATGGAGTGAGAGGTTGAGAGGGGCACAGGGCATCAACAGGCAGCTGCAGGCTCCAAAACAGCTTTGGGTTTTCTGCTGCCTCAGACATAAGAGCGTCGATCTGGTTGATCTATGCTGCAACGGGGGGCCCTGGGGGCCTGTTATGTGTGATATCCTTGGAACCTCAGCCATGCCTAGCTAGCAAACGTTGATCGTTTTATTTTACTTTTCTTCCTTCCTCCTCCTTCGCCAGATTCTCTAACTCGGGTCATCATTGCAGGTCATATCTATAGCAGTGGCAAAAATATCCTCGGGCTGCTCCCCGACCCCGAGACACTCTGTAGGTTTCATTAGAAGAGAGCGCGTGTCTGTCCCTAAAGCCTTCGAAGGTGGAAGTGCTTGCATGTGGACAAAAAATGAACTCAGACGCAGCCAATGGGCTACCAGAGACAGCACCCCATGCCTCCGAAAAGCAATGGCCAATAACCTCGGGGCCGCAATGACGTCGATCTACAGCGTCAACCCTGCCTCAGACTTGGCGAAACCCGGCCGACTCCCCAAATCAAGGTAGCGTTCCCGCTTCAACCGCCGGTGCTTGAGCTGGTGGGCCTCTAAATCGACTCTAATGCACTTAAGATTGTGTCGTTGAGTTGTAGTCAGGAGCCCAAAAACTCTCTCTGACTGAATACGGTCCTCCACTTGGGCCGGCTCATAAGCTATGGCTCCGTGTCTATACTTTTGCGCTTCGCGAAGTGGCACTAAGAAGCAACTCGGAACGTCACACGAGACAAGGCTCTTGCCACAATGCAGACCACGAATAATACGCCCCCCAGAAGTTCCTGCATTTCTTAGCGATATACATTTTGCTGCAAGTCCGAGCGAGTCAAAAGCAGAAGATTATTATATTACGGTGTAGATAGTGTTGTTGCCGAGACTCCTTGTACTCCTCGCCGTCGTGATTGTAATCAAGGGGTATCCCAAGAGGCCAGAAAGGAACTTTGCCGTGAGTTAGGAAAATTGCCCCAAATGGCAACATGTACTCCTTGCGGTCATAATCGTTTATGGGACACAAATCGAATGAACCCGACTACGGTTCCGTGTGTTTTCCCCCTGCCCATTCCTCAAGGCGGCAGATAGACCTAGAAGATCTATGCCCTCCAGCCGGAGGAACGAACCGAAGCATTTCTGCCAAGGTTGGCACGACCGGTGAAGCGGCTGTGTCTCTCGCGGTGAGCCCACCAGTAAGCAGCCCCAGCGACGGTGCCGATGAACCAAAGGATCAGGTTCGCCAGATCGACCCAAACAGCATTCTTCATCCGCTGGATGCCGGCGTTGCCTTCGGGGTTCTCGTGGATGTACATTTTACCAAACAGGCCGAAGACGGCGCACCAGAGCACGAAGATGATGAAGCTCCATGCTGGGACGGCGGCAAAGCGCAGGATGAAGGGGATGGAATAAAGCAGAGAGGTGAGAGCAGACAGCGCTCCGACCACGACCGCAAAGACCTGTGCGTTTTGAGTCAGCAACTGCACCCGGACTGATGGTATAGCGCATTTCTACAAATTCCAGATTCTCGGCATAGAGGTTCAAGGCATCGTTGTTCAACACCAGAGGATCACTTACCCATTTGCCGTCCGCATATTTGCCAGCCTTGCGCGCGGCGTCCAGGTCTGTCCCGTAAAGACCGATGACAACAAGTCCCATAATAAATTGGAAGAAGTGCAATATCGAGAAGAGCAGATAGCTCAGTGCCATGCCGAAGAACCCCATTGTTATTAGATTTCCTCGTTCGTGCGCGTCGTCGCGGATGTGTGGATGTGTTCGTTTGGATGAAGTCGTACTGATGTGAGGAGCCGATTACGAGGTGGTTCTGGCACTTGAGTCCACCGAAGAGTCTGTCACAGCGGTCGGAGGTCTCTCGCTTGGAATGCTGTAACTGGGTGAGGGGTGCAGAGGACGACGAGGAAATTGCGTCGAAAGAGTGAGGCCCTAAGGGGTGAAAAGCCGACGATATTAGCGCATTCATTTCCAAGGTTGTGATGCGCGAGCGCGCCCGCGCTTGGATGCCGTTATGACGCAATGCGACCCTTGCCAAGCCAGATTCGCTCACAATTGAGTCGGCGCTAGTCAGACCGCGAGATGAACCACTCGCCTGGAGAGTTCCCACAAACAGGGGCCTTGCGAACTCTGCCGTCCTATCACACGGGTGATGGACGATGCTAAAAGGGCCTCTGGTGTGAAATGTCGAGCCCAGAACGATCTTCCAAGGGGCAGAAAGATACCGGGCCATCCACGCACGTGGCACACCCGTTGTACTCCACGACTTCTGCCAAATAAGTTACAGGCCGGTCCTTCGTGAAGGAAATGCGGTTGTTAGACTGTATATGAGTTAGATAGTAGGGAGATAGACAGATATGACAAAAGGTGGACCATGACTATGTAAATCTATTAGCATCCCTTGATAATAGTAGACGCGATATCAAGAATCGGCCATTGTAGGAGACGGCACTTGAATCTCAATGCCATATCACTATACTCGAGTTGAAAAACTATACCCCACCAGGAGGGTCCATGTTCCACCCTTATAGTAACCAACTCCAACCACACTGCGAGCAATGGAATCTAGTGGCACAGAGAGATTGCCTCCCAGCACATATCACCGCCAATCATGGTTCTGTCTATAATACAAGTAATTCTCACAGTTTGGAAAACTTGTCGCCCCAGTCGTCCTTAAACACAGGGCCCATGGCTACCCTTCTCACGTGGTCCGGGTCGAGGAACCCAACCAGCAATACCTCGTCGCCCTTGTTCTTACGGAAGAGCCTGCGGTAGAACCTCGACGTCTCGCGGTCTCGGTGCCAGTAGGCCGGGTCGTCGACGTCCTTCATGAATGGCCGGCCCTCGGCAAAGTCGTTCGAGCCCCGAAAGACGAACGTCGCCTCGTCGAACTCGGCCGCGGGCGAGATGGCCATGGCGCCGCGGTGAACCCGGCTGATCTCCCGCGCAATTGCGACGTGTGTGCCGCGCGGGCGGTCCAGGCGGCCGTGCTCCGCCTCCCACCGCGGCGAGGGGAAGACGTCGACGGCATACTTGGATATGTGCACGAGGGAGCTGATGACCTCGGCCAGGGTGGTGAACCACACGCCGCGGGGGAACTCGCCCAGGACGGCGAGGAAGATGTTGCCGAACAGCAGCTGTGTCAGGCCGCTGGACCGCCGGTGGTCCGGGTGCACCACCGTCAGCCCGCTGTGGACGACCGGGTCCGCCCGGCCTGTGATCGGGAGCACGACGGCCGCGGCGAAGGCCACGACCTCGTCGCCCTGCCGCGCGATTGCTAGGACCTTGTCGTCAAAGGCCGAGGAGAGGTCGGTGCTGAAGACCTGGTAGTTCGGCACGGGATTCAGGCATCGCGCCCCGAGGTCGCGGAGGCTCGCCTGCAGGGCTTGAAGATCTGTGGTAGGGAGATGCAAACCGGGACGATTTAGCATCTGGATTCCATAATCTTCCGAGGGCATCCTGCTTGCAACTAAAGATAGTAAAGTAGTGCAATACTGGCTAAAGGGCTCGCTCTGCATTCGGTTTCTCTGACACAGATATAGTAGTAATATATGCTGCACCTAGCTTCCACACGGGACCCGCGGTTTGGCTTACCAATTTCTGCTGCGCTGACATGTGGTTTGCCTGTTTCGGTATCGCCATAAGCAGCAGCCATAGCAGCCGCATGCTGTCGTCGCCGAATTCGCCCATTATTGTTGTCTGTCGGATACACTCACTGTCCTCTAGCTTGGTGATATCCTTCCTAGCTGTTTCGGAAACCCCACAGCTCTAGGAAACACATGAATTTGCAACGGCCACATCAGATTACTGCAAACCGTTGAGTCTAGCTCCGGTATTCTTTCTTCCCACGCCCAAGGTGTGCTTTGGCCGAAGTGATATTGATTTCTAGTTCCTGGCAGTAGCAAGTGCTTGGACAAACGACAAGGCGACATAGGTCTTTCACGAACACGGTGGTCTTCAGCATGAAATTGGAAATGTGGTATCATTCGACTTTGAATGTGTTGTCGTATTTTATCGTCTCGCCAATTATAAATCAACCCATCCCGTCGCTATGATTACAATTTTATGCCAACAAATCCCTGTCTCTCAGGGACCAGAACCTGCATTATACTCTGTCTGCCTGACAAAGTGTCATCGTACGCCGTGTCGTAATACATAGTGAAAGTAGGGTCATCCTTCTGCTTCTTCTCTCGGATTTAATAGGATCCGGATCCATTAAATATCGCCTGTCGCGACGCTCTTGATACACTTGATCCTCTCGGGGTATTCGAACGAGACCGCCTGTAGCAGCAGAGAGACAGCGTGTTCAGCTCTGCTGGCTGGCTCCTCATCGTCCTCGCTACGCAGCAGCGGCGGCTGTGGTCATTGACAGTCGGTTTTTCTTGGCCTTGGCCTTAGCTGCAGCTGCCTTCTTGGCTGCGTCCTCTTCCCCTGCCTTCTGTGAGTAGTCCTTCCATTTCCTCCAGCCATCAAAGTCGATGAGGGCTTGCATACAACCCCATTCCATGACCTTCCTTTCGAGCCATACGAAGTTCACCGGCTGCACAGTAGACGATCAGTATACCTAGAATGTGAGAAATGTTACAGAGGACTGCCTACCTTGGTAAGGAAATCATTACAACCAGCGGCCAAAGCCTCGTGCCTGTCGCTTTGGAGCGAGCTAGCCGTCAGAGCAACGATGATGACAGGGCTCTTGAACATTTCTGTATTTGGAAGCTTATCCTGTTCGTCTGGTTCGCCCTGAACCTCATCGGGAGCACTGTTGGCGGACGAGGAGAAGACGCCGATGGAGTTGACCTTTTCTATCCTTCGAATTTCCCTAGTCGCTTCGAGACCGTTCATGATTGGAAGTTGAATGTCCATCAGTACCAAGTGAAAGCCGCCAGTTCTCCATTTATTGACGGCATCCCTGCCGTTCATGGCTGTCTGCCACCTTACCTTGAGTCTCTTCACAAATGCTTCAAGCAGCTTCAAATTGATGATGTTGTCTTCCACGATAAGCACATTGATGGGTGGGACACTGCCGTTGAGCATTCCAGGCGGCAGAGTAGGGGTCTCGACGGTCCTCTTCTTCTTGGGCCGGGCAGTCGGGCGGGGTGAAGCCACACGGGGTGGAGGAGTGGCGACACGCTCTGGGGCTGGCGGCGTAGGGATGGGGGGAGCCGATGGGGGCGGGTGCGAATGCTGAGAAAGCTGAGAAAGTTGAGAGTGCTGAGTATGTTGAGGGTGGTTGGATTGATCTGAAGATGCAGCTGAATGAGTCCTTGAGCGTTGTGGCCTTGTAGAGTAGACATGCGTACCGATGCTGATTGGAGCGGGCACTGGCGCATGCTGCGCGTGTGTGGTGACGGTAGACGCTGGGGAAGCCGTGTGCATCCGCCCGATCTTGGGCCGCGATGGCCCTAGACGCCTCGTGCTGCCGGGAGACGGCAAGGGAGGCAGTTGGCCGTTGCCCAGAATCGCCATGGATGGGGGGAATTGGAGGCTAGCTGGTGCCGCTGCGACGAGGTTGCCATGGTGTGTGTGAGGAGCCGGTGGATACGGAGGGAAGTAATCAGTTCCAGACTCATGAGGCCTGTGGTCATCATAGAACCTAGGGTTTGGGGACGCCTTGGGGGTGGTTCGGCGATTGGGGACGTCGATCAAGAGGGCATCGTCTACAGTCTGGCCGCCGGGAAAGTAGGCATCCAGCGTCCTGCCCATGGGTTCGTCGGGCTGCAGCTGGCGTGAGTTCTGGTCCTTGGGAACGATGCGCAAGGTGAGATCCGGAGCATCGAACTGTCGTCCGAGAGAGTTTGTGTATTTGCGCAGAATCATGTCCCGCACATCGTCGACCAGGTCCTCCTCGTTGATGGTGATCATGGTGGCAGAAGCGCCGGGTCGTTTGACCCATATCTTCCGGGTTACCATGTTGCCGCTGATGGGTACGAACTGCTCTGGATCGTTCAGCTCATGGGGATGCGCCGAATTGAGCAGCGTCGTGATCAGCGTTCTCTGCTGGTTCGGGAGGATGCTCTGCCGCCGTGAGATGCTCGGTCGCAGGGCGTTCGGGGAGGAGCGCAGATGGGCGGGGACAAGAGTCGGCGAGATGGGTGTCGCCAAAAGACTGGCAGAGTCGCCGAGGGCCTCGTCGTGGGTGGTATGGCTCGGTCGAAGGACCAGAGATGCCGACGACGGTGCAGGAGGAGCAGGGGCGGCAGCGTCGAGCGGAGTGGCTGGGGCCGTGCAAGATTGGGCCGGTGCAAGATCAGGCGCGGCGGGCTCTGCAGACGACAAGTCTGGCGATGCAATGGGGTTGCTGGTCGTGGGGTTCTCGTTGATGCTGGGGAGGGCAGCGTTGATCGCGGGAACCGTTGATGGATTGGCATTTGCTAGGCCGGAAGGGTGCAGATCGTTGCCCGAAGCTAGGCTAGCCCCGGCTGCGCTGCTGGTGGTGCTGGTGGTGCTGCTGCTGTTGCGGTGCTGGCTGTCGCTGTTGGAGCCCGCTAGCGTCTCGTCACCTGCGACGCCGTCGCTGCCGCCGCCGCCGCCGCCGACCTCTGCTGCTGCAGGTGGACCGTCAGGCGCGCCGTCGACTGCGACTGCGACTCCGGCACCGCTGGCCGCCGGGTCGTCAGCAGGACTGGCCTGGCTGAACCTCGTGGGCGAGCGGGAGATGGAGGCGAGCCGTTCTGTGTCTGCGTCTGTGTATGGGTCGTCTTTGCCCCTCAGGCCTGCACTTGCAGCTGCGCGGGAGCCCGAGGACGCGCTCGCCGACTCGGCCGACGCTCTTGTAGATGGCCTGATCTTGACTGCATGGTTTGCCGTGGCCTGACGGGGGCTTTTGCGACCGTGGCCCTCGTCCGGCCGGACGTTTTCCTTGTTGTTGTCGGCCTCGTCCCCGGCCTCGTTTATCGAGGATGCGGCATAGCGAGAGGTGCTGCGCGAGCGCGGGCGACCGGACTTGAGGCTGTTCTTGCTCGAGGCCACCGACGGCGCTGCGCTGTTGCGCCTCAGCAGCTTCGCCTTGATAAGGGCCTTGAGGTCGCCCATCGAAGGTAATGTCGAGACATGGGCTTCGAGTATTTTGGACATTCAAGCACAGGTCAAGCAAAGTCGCAGGGTGCGGATATACCAACGAGGCCTGGGGAAGAAATATTTCCGGCGGATTCCAGTGCCGGAGCTGCAGGCTTGTATGTAATGTATTTCCAATCGGCCTTGCCCTCATGCGTAACCTGGAGCGGGCAATGTCGTTTGTTCTACTTGCCAGGGGAGGTCCAGTAGGTACAGGACAGGACAGAAGCGCACCAGAGGGAAGTAAATAGCACCCGGCAACAGCCACGTCCGCAATGTTTCGCTTGTTTCCCGTTCCAGTCAAGGGAAAATCCAGTCAAGGGAAAGTATGGCAGCATCAATGGTCCGGGCCTGCTCTTGGGGAGTCGCTAAATTACTGGCCCAAATTGGAGTGCGATCGTGCTGGAAGGCGTGCACGACAAACATCAGCAAGGATTGGCATGGCATCGTGATCGTGCCGACGCGTTCTGGCGCTCTGGTCCGCTTCTCCACCCAGGTGACGGGTCGACTCACAAGCGGCCACGGCACCCATGCAAGCAGGCATTGAATGGGAAAAAAATTCAAGAGAAAATCAGGATCCGGCTGGCTGGGACCAGGCTCTGTTCTTCCGCCAACGTCCATCTGCATAGCACGTTACATACAATACCTGCCGAGGTGCGTAGCTAGATTGTTAGGTTCTTACTTAGTTGCAGCACGAGCAGAGACAGGACTCTGGACCATAGGCGGGCCAAGAGCTGCAGAAATCAGGCCATCTTGATGATCGAACTGGCCTAACTGCATCATGGTCAGTAGGAAGTCACAGAGCCTCGTCACGGCATTGGTTGTCTCATTAACTAGTTGCCCAAGCTAACTTAGATGACCAACATAGTACATACTGTAGGTCCCTTAGGCCACAAAGCGACCCTGCAGGCAAAGGGGCAACGGGACAACTCACAATAGCCAACGGCGCAGAGATATGTTCTTGGCTTCGCAAGCTCCCATCCTCTGCAGCCCCAGGGGCCATGCTGGATTCGCGCATGTGCAAGCATGAGGCTTTGGCTGTGTTAGAGACCTACCCCATGGAAGTCTGTTATTGCTCACCAAGGTGTTTTGAGATGAGATGCCGTTAATACACATAGGTACCTACTCAGGGAATCACTACTGACTCCCTACTGTAGATACGCAGTGCCTGGTAGATAACTCGGCTGGCTCCACTGAAGGTAGAACCATCCATGCACCTGACCAGGCAAGAACAGGCTGTGACAAGTGATCGGGCTGATGACTGACAGCGCCCGCGGGCCATAGCTCGAGCTCTAGCTGACCTGCATCGGATACTATCCAATGCTGTGCTGGAACTTTACCTAGAGCTCCCAGATCCACTGCGGACATCGGCCAACGATAATCCGCCCCTAACACGAACAATTTTCTCCTAACCCAAGGCCCCAATCCCACACGAACCCTTCACTTCGGATGCTCGAACGTCCCGAGTCCTGCATTGCAGCTGCTCTGGAAATCCAACAGACGGCGCAATGCCGCCACGAATAGCAAGTGCGTCGGTCGCCCCGTCGACTTCGGCTCTGCTTCAGATCAGCGCAGGCGCACGTGTTATGAGAGCACCAGCCCAGCAACAGGCATGTGCCGGCTTCTCGACCACAGCGTCTCGCGCCTACAACCCAAAGGCGCGGCGAGCCTTCTGGAAATGGCTGTCAGGTCCAGGCAATGCCTACAGAAAGGCGCCGGCGGAGAGTAAAACCCTCTACCTGGGCAAGAATCGCAACCCATTCCGTCCCGAAGGCAAGGACGAGGGCGCAATCGGCAGCAAAGTTCCTTTCCCCTTGAACCCCAACTTCCGCAGCACACCCATCCTGAGCAATCAATCTCGCGAGTTGATCTGGAACAAGGTCATGCGCAAGGGGGAGACCATCAAGGCTGTTTCCGCCGAGCTTGGTGTCGACATCACAAGGGTGGCCGCCGTTGTGCGGTTAAAGGAAGTCGAAAAAGACTGGATAGCCAAGGTAAAGCTTCCTCCCTCCCATCTCCAGACCCGTCCGCCCTCTACAGCCACTCTTTCTATGATGATTATCAACATACCAAATTCGATTAGTCTTGAAGACATCTACATGGTTACAAACTTTGTTGCGAGCCTCTCTGAGCCCATTCCTGGCACACATCCGTTTCATCTGCACTTGCCATCTCTGACCACCGGTACTGACGAACTGTGCCTCACATATAGGGCATCAAACTTGCATGGCCGTATGCCAGGGCTATCCGCCATATGCTGCCTGTAAAGTCTTACAATCCGGAAGTGCTGAACAAGCCTCTCGAAGATATCAACGAACTTCATGTCCACCCCCACACCATGAAGCAGCTGTACTGGCCCACTTCCGAGTCCCGACAGTTTACTAGAGAGGATGCGGCAAAGGCTTTCCATCGAAACATGCTGTCAGCAGACAAACGAGTTCCCCACCCTGAACTGATCCGGATGGAGAGAGACTTGTTCAAGGGGGTAAACCCTTCAAAAGCGAAGAAAAATTTCCTCAGAGCAGTTGAGCTTTCGGAGAGCAAGGCGGCCCAGGCCAAGATTCGGATAGCCCAAGCCGAGGAACAAGACACCACCAGAATCAACACAAAACGATTCGAGTTCAGGTTCAAAGAGATCAACTCGGAGGATGTTGGTCCAGATGGTCGTAAGATCACGGCGGTTGGTGCTAGATACGGCCGGCCCTCGTATGACAGAGTCAAGGGTGCTGTCAAGATCCCGACCAGTGTTCCTTAAAGAAGGACACGCTGCACCATTCTCCCTGTGTATACCATGTATCATAAGTAAGCTCAGACTGTGGGCCTACAGCTCTAACAGCGTTCTTACATAAAGCTTCATCAGGGAAGGCATCAACTTGCCTGATGAAGCATTTCAGCTGCGGGCCAAGGCATTTGAAGGCTATGTACGCCACCTGTGCCATGTACAACAAGCGCCATGTATGATTAGATCATTGAGTAGCGGGTGTTGGTCATTTGAGATACCACCGCAAGGTCTTGGCTTAGGATGATGGACACCTAAGTCGGTTGATCACAAAGAGTGGTCATTATAAATAGGAACAAACGAACCTGTTCCCATATCAATACAACATTATAAAGTCTATGAAGCGTCTTGGCTGTATGTTTCAGGTGACTCTGGTAGCTGTATTATACGGATCGTTGGGGGCCTCGAGCGAACCCTTCGAACATGGCAGTACGGACGGAACAAAACTCCAAAGGGGCCGATTACATCTGGGATGAGGCTGCGATTCTCTCGGCCTCGGCATCTGCTTCCACCTGCGCCTTTACCACAAGCTTGGCATGGCTTTGCCAATCGTTGGTGCCGCGGGCTTCGGCCTCTTCTATAATTAGGTTTCGCCGCAACTGCTCGATGCCAGCCTCGTCGAGGAGATTCAAGTCTATAACGCACTGCTCTACCGAGCCCCAGATCTCCCGGATCTTGTTGAGCGTGCCGGTCATATTCTCCTTCCTCGACCCGACCATGCGCCTCGCGCCGGCCGGGTTGCCCTTCAGGGCCGGCTCCTTGATGAGATGCCTCGTGAACTCGGCATGGCGAGACTTGAGCCCGAGTTCCGTGAGGCTGTACTCATGGGCGACTACATCATCGTCCACCCCACACAGCGAGAGAATGAGGGCACAGATCACACCCGTTCTGTCCTTGCCCGCGGTGCAGTGAAGAAGTATCGGGGCGGGTGCACTGCCGCTGCCGCTGCTAGGGGTGGCGAGGTGCTTCAGAATAGACCGGTAGGGTTGTGCCTCGTTCTCTTGAGAGGAGGCAGATTTGAGGATGTCCTGATACGCTTGCACGAAGCCCTGTCACATGCTACGTTAGTATGCCTGTCTCTTTGGGAACATTCTATTTCTTTGGAACATTGGGGGTCACACGATTGCCAAGCCCAAGGCAAATACAAGCACAAGAAACAGTAGAACGTAGAACCACAGCCACTCTCGGGTCAGCTCGTAGGCTTTTTTCACCCAGCATGGTTCAAGACAGGAGAGTAGGCCGAACGGCAGTGGCCAGCCCCCCAAAGCCTCTGCTTCGTAGGGCGTACCGGTATACCGCCCGCAGTAGCGTAAAGCCCCCAAGTCACATGTTCTGCTTACCTTTGAGCTCTCATCGGCGTAATTCTTGAACCTCAGGGCGATAGCCTCGGGCGAGTAATCCTCGTCCAGGAAGACGGGTGCAAAGATGCGCCGGGCCCCTGCCCACTCTTTGGCCTGGCGCCCGTGGCCCTGGGCCGCATCGCGCTCGATCTCCTGCCGCGACCGCAGGTCGTACACGTCAGCGATGCTGAGCGCCTGCAGCTGGGCCACCCCGTCGTCCGTCACCTTGGACGGCTCCGAGGAACGGAAGACCACGCCGTGGCGCACGATCTTGCCCGGTTGCGAGGCGACTGGGTAGCCGCCTATATCCCGGAAGTTGGGCAGCCCCTGGACGTAGACAAAGGGTGGAGAGGGGAGATTGGGGTCCGCCATTTCCTGAGACAATCCAAAAAGATAAGTACTCGGTGTAATAATGTATATTGTGTAAAGTTTGTATGGCGGCGTTTAGGGGCTAAGAATCAGGCTCTGGGGGTTGGTCGGCTGTGGGAGTATATCGACCCGAGGTAACAGCGGAAATGACGATCACTTGCCGAATTGGTTGCAAGTTGGGGGCTGCAACAACGTACGTCGATCCGGCCAGGAATAGCAAAAGCCAATGCAGTCCAGACACCGTTGTTAGAAGGGCAGATCTTCGCTATTCCAAGAACCAGCGAGTAAAGGTTGTAAGTGTGATTTTGTGCCGTAGGTGATTTCTGCCCCCGGTGGAGTGGAACAGGTTCCCGGTTCTGGAGTTGCGGCAGGCCGGATGCGCTACCCCGTAACAAGCGTGGACATGAGAAGAATGGGACACAAGTTCTGAGTATGCGAGGGTCTACGGCTTGCAGAGGTATCATTGGATGGCCATAGAGCTTACGAATGACTGATCGTAAGAGGTAGTTGAGGGGTATTCCTGAACGAAAGAGATTGGACAATGGGTTGCTACAAACCCCCGCGCAGAGCCTCGTTGAAATGGCACCATCCCACTCTTCGCACCCGTCTCGCACCCAACGATCGTCATCTTCATTCTTATCCTCTCCGTCTCGCGCGAAGCGAACTTGCTTGCCAGTTTACCGCCGAACTTTAGTTGTTCGAGTTACTGAACAGCCTTTGAGTCGCAGATGTTGCTAGAGAGAGTTGATCTCTCGCGTCACGTCACACGAGGCTCGGCAGCGTCTGTGAGGGCGAGGCACAGCTCCCCTGTCCGGCAGGATCAATTGACGTCGCCTTGTGCTGCGTGATCGTCAAAGACGGAAATACACTCCAGCCCCAACCCACAGTCTGCCGCGTTCAAGCCAGCCAACAAAGTCGAATATCTCAAGGCAAGATCCCTCATCAGTGTAGTGGAGTTGATGCCTGATCTCGTGCTAGACGCCTCGTCGGTCGCCTTGCATAAGCTGAGACTATGCCGGCCCGCAAAAGCTGCATGGTATCTTTGACACCTGCACAACAGAATGCTTAGCTCGGCTAGTTTTGATCTAGCCTGCTGCTCAGTTGTGCTGGGGGCAGTTGGGACTCGTGCCAGCTCTCTTTACTGGCCCTGGGTGGGCTGGGGAGAACTGGAATAAGTCCAACTGCAGAAGAAGCCCAGTTCGCGGACTACCGTAGCCCAAAGACTGGGCGGCTGAGATTCACCCGCAAGGCTTTCGAAGCTCTCTTGTTGTGCCATGGCTTTTCTCCCCTTTCCCCTTCTGTACGAGTACAGCTCCCTGTCCCCGGCGTTGGGGCTATCAAGTGAGGCTTGGCGACCTTCAAGTGAAGCAGGCTGTCTATGCTTAATCATCCTCGTCCACCAAAAGGACCAAAGCACCGCAACCGCCCCCTACCTTTTGGCTCGTATCTTCTGCCGAGCACATTTTCCACTTCGCTGAGAGTTGTACTGCAGACGGGCACAACATAGCGGGCACAAGCACCCTGCAGTTGGTGGTGGTTCGTCACGTTCGGTCAAGACAAGGTCTTTCGTTCCTCAAACGATGAAATACGAGAAGTCTATAAGTATTCGTCTGGTTGCCCTAAACCTCTATCTTGGTCACGTTCCTAGCTTTTGGAGCTCCTGCCTCTAAATTCCCATGCTTCGCCACGCTGACATGAATTCAATCCCTATGTCCCCTGCCCCTACCTCTGATCCCCCAGAGCCCGTGGTAAGTGGAATTGTCTCCTCGGTCGGCCCCAAGAAAGATTACAGCGACATGACTAGTGTCAGATGAGCTGGGACTGCTAATCAGGGAGGCCCGAGACTTTGGACTAGACTGTCGCTTGTCGCTTGTTGGCGCTGCTCACTGCCAGCTCAAGATTGCTGGAAGTATGTCACCCAGCTCGGGCGTTTTCGATAGCAAAGCGGGCAGTACTCGTCGTACCTCCATGAGTTATTCGAGCCAGGGCAGTCGGGCTTTGGCTATGTTAGACCGACTTCTCACTACATCATTACTTCTCAAACAACTTACGCAAACCCATCGATAATCACCGCCCCTCAGCCCCTGTCGGGCAGTCGCAGCACGACTTGACACCTGAGATGTAAAATCCCCGTGGTCGAGGTGCCTGCTGGATCCATTGGTGTCTTTCTTGCTTCGATGTTCCTGGCGACTTTTTCTAGTTTGGTGGTCTCCCAAGGTTGACCCTCGAGAAGAGTATTCTCCGGATGGGGAGACCGCGTAAGAGGAGGACCCAGAAGAGCGTTCTGCCGAGCGGTGGGCACTTGAATATTGTCGTTCGGAATGGTGCCCTTCGGTTGGGTACTTGCCAGTGTGGTGCCCTGTGGAGTGTTGCCCTCCTGAATGGTGTTCTCCAGAGTAGGACCTGGTTGAGTACTCGCCACTGGAACTGGTTCCATAACCACGTGCGTCGTAAGGGTGGTGGCCGTGGCGACTCATTGTTGACAGGTGTACGTTCACCTTGTTTGTCAATAAGTGATGTTGAATACTCTGTGAAAAAGGTTGGTTGAAAACTGACGGGGTTCTGGATTTACCCTTTGAGCACGCAATAGGGCATATTTATACCGAAATGCAAGAAATCGATGGAAATGGCGTCCCTGACCGAATATCAGAAGCTGCCCACGAGAACGGCTGCGCCCATAAGGCAGCTTGAAACTACAGGCCAGGAGAGAGTTGGATTCAGGTAGGCATTCTCATTCTGCCCCTTGGCAGTGTAAGCCCCTTGTACGCTACTGTCCATCCCAGGGCACTGCCATGGTGTCAAAATCCAATTAAGTAGACTTGAGCTTGGCCGAGGTCATTTTCCAGCCCCCAATTGGCTGAGTATTCCTCGTAGCATGTCTCGGTAAGTCCTAATTTGGCGGTTCAAAGACAGGAACTGGCCCATAAATCATATGGCACAGTTGTGCCATCATGGATCCGTCTCTTTTCTTAGGTTAGAGCTCCAGTGGGATCTCAGCCCTATGGCAAAATGCAACGGCACGACATCTGCACAATCGGTAACATGACAAGGCAGGGCCTGTACCAAATCCAGGGAAAACGAGGCCAGATCTGGTACCAGCAGCGTGGGTGAAGGCTTCGATCTTGGTACCGGACGTATCCTGATTTGCCTAGATTCGAAACCGCCTGAAGATCGCCAGTGTGCCTGCCATGGCTGAGTAAACCTTTCATTACTTTTCTCCATCAGCTTCGCCGTGCTGTGGGTCGCCTTGCTTGACTTGAATATGGCCTCGCAGTGTGCCCTGACTGCGCTGCCCCATGGGCTTTCCCCAAGGCGAAGAGCACCGCCCGCCGGAAAGCTAAAACACAATCTCCTTGGCTTGTACCAATAACCATGGGACCCGGCGGTTTCTTTGCTAGTGGCTCACGATGCCTCATAATCTCGAGTGATCGAGGATTGTATACGCGTCCAGCACGATACAATCAGGTTTCCCTTCCAGCACATTGCTTCATCTCCCCGAGAAGCCCAACGGGCCTCAAGTCAAGGCTGCTGTCGGTGGTTATCCTGGCCGTCATTTGGGGTCGTCTCAGGCAGCAGGCCGCCAGTCACCTTCCCACTCGTCAGCATGGCTGCTGGTTGGTCTCCTCAAAGTAAGGCAAACACACCTCGGTCAAGAGTTCGGGCGTTCTCTGACAAATGCCATGGTCGTTTCCAGCTCCTAGGGTCCTGTCCAAGGTGACGGCTCTTACCAACCCAGAGAGTACTCCTCGTTTCCTCCGATTCGCTTTCTCTTCATCGTTCACTTTTCCAAGGTACCTAAGGAACAGAGTGAAGTCACAGTGTGACATGCGTGGAGAAAATATCAGGCGACCAGACCCCACCTTCACTGCAATACAAGCCTGTTTTGAGGATTTCGAGGGCACCGGCGAAACGCATGATACATCAGTAGCCAGATCATGGACTCGTGGATGAATATATATATTTACGACTTCACTTCATGCGGCTGAAAGATCTTCGAGCGACGACCTCGGCCCGCTGACTCGTCTCAGCTTATGTGAGGCTCTTTCAGCCCGAGTATACAATAGAAGGCCGCGTTGAAGATCTAGGTTATTACCCTTGCGGCTGCGGCTGGATCCCAGTGATAGGCTAGCGTATCACTCAAGGAGGGAACACGCCAGTCACGCCCAACGTCAGTCAGATGGTAAGGCCGTCTTATCTATCTTATGATAAGTTGACGTATATCAAAACTAGTCGGAGCAATGCCATCGAGTAAGCAGGAGGGGAGGCTCTTACCTGGGCTTGGAACCACTTCTCGCCATGCCCAGCGCGTGAGCTTACATGGGATCAAATTCGTTTCACCTCATGAGGCAGCCGCCGTCACCGACGAGAGACAGCCCTGTGCCCCTGGCAAAGGCAGGCTTCCTCCCTGTCATTTCTAGATGAACGAACCGGCTACAATTGCTTACGACCTTGTCTCAGCATGGTTGAGTTGTAGAAGTGCAAATGAGCTCGACGCAATGGACAGTTGGTGCAAGGCTTGCGTCTCGGAGAGTGAACGCATGGAGGATCAGCATACTGCAAACTGCAAACCGGCAGGCAATCTGAACTTTCTCGCCGTCCCGAGCATAAAATGTGCCGAGCCGTCCCGGAGAAATATCACCTACTGTGAACTATCATGTGTACCCGCTGGACGAGTGCGGAGGCTTTGCGGGTGCCGGTGAGGATACGACAGTAGGTATCGGTAGCAGCTAAGAATGGATGGCAGGTATACACCGTCCCGTGAACACTTGACGTCCCATTGTGATGGATCGGCCCACTCCGCTTCACAAACAGCGACCGAGTGGTATCCACGGTATAAAGACATGTCATTCTAAATAGGAAGTCAGCTCGTACATCACTAGTTCCAGGCCTTCCAAGCCTTCCAAGCTGCATATGTATCTCGCCAACGGTACGCTATACTCCCGCGGAACTCCGCGGTGCCCAACGAATGTACCATAGACCGCCATGGTCTATGTCTCGGGTTCGTGGGGTGGGAAAGGTCGAGGGAAGTAGCCGAATACCCACATACGCCCACATACCCTTGCCATGCACGGCTCTGACGTGCGTCCGGAACCGAAACCCGGGCCGCTCTCCCTCGCAGTCGTAACACGAGTGACGATGGGGCGCGGGGAATTATCCGCCAAATCAAGGGCCGGCAGGGTAAAAGCTCATCCTCGCGATGTTTCTGTTGTTTGTTTTTTTGAAACCTACTTCCGCATGGCCTGAGAGAAAACGGGTGCCCGGCTACGCAAGCGGGATGCATGATTGCTCACTTCCGGGGACCTCAGCTTTCAGCTGCCGCCGGCCACGTACGTCTACTAATCGTGGCAAAAGTGCGGTATGTTTTTCCGCGCATGCGTGAAGAATGGGAAGGGCCAAGCCTCCGTGTTGCCGATCCTACGGGATCGTTGTGTATAGGGGACCGCGTGACAGAATAGGGTTCAGGCCGGGCTAGCGTTGTTTTCTTTTTCTCTGTGGAATATAATGCACCTGTCTGAATTGGTTGGGCTGAGTGAAAAGACTCATTTCTGCAGCGTCACTTCATTTCTGCAAAGTCTAGCAGTAGATCTTAAACTGTCTGCCGGCAGTTGAAGGTACGCAGTTCCAATGAGTCTCAATTGTTGCGGGAGGCTTCCTAGTGGATGAAAGGGGGGTTGACTAGAGACCTGGGGAGAGATGCGCGGATAGATCCGGGCCTGGTGAACAGACAGCAAAAAATACAGGGTTACGCAACAGATATTGCATTGTCGCTTGAGACTGAAGTTCCTCGACTGGCAGAGCTGCCTGAGAGCTAGCTGAGAGCTTCCCTCTTTGACCAACTGCAACTGACGGCAATCTCTCGGCCTCGGAAGACTACCGGAGAGGGACTGTAATCTCCCATGGGGCAATACTTTGTAGTGCGCCTCGCCTTGATGTCTTTTATCAGGGAGCACCATACTCCCCTGCAGCCAATTCCCACCCATGGGTATAATGCCAATACCTGGCTTCCTTTTTTGTTTCTCCTGCCTTGCCCACGACCTTGTCTGTGCATATGTCCCCCTGGATATTGTGCTGCCAGCTTCCAACTGGGCACCTCAGTCGTCCTCTGTCTGGGCGAAGGGGTTTTCAATAACCTCGCTGCCATCTACCGGGCTGATCACAACTAGCAGGGTGCCGCGTACCACAACGAGCCCGAGGGGTCGGGTCGTCTCGTTGCCCTCGTCATCTGTCGCGCAACGATGTCTCGTTAGTAAGTCGGCTTCTCGAGGCCGGTAAAGCCATGTGGCCTGCCGGAACATCGGGGAGTGGAAGCATACCTCGGACAGCCTCCTGCACGTCATCCAGCACCAGGTTCATCAGGGCGTCGTAGCCCTTGAGTGTGCCGGTGCACTCGCGGCCGCCGTTGAACTTGACAGTGATCTGCTTGTCCATGTACTTGGCTAGGTCGAGGATGTTCTCCTTCTTGGGGCGCTCGCGCTCGTGGCCGTCGCCGCCGGGGCCAGCGTTGGCGCCGCCTCGACCGCCGCCGCGCCCCCCTCCGCCACGGCCTCCGCGGTAATGCCCGCTGCCGCCCCCGCGGCCGCCGCGCTGGTGGGGTCTGTCGGCCATGATATTTTGTGGTTGGTGTGCGTGTGAGGTGGTGGTGTGGGCAGGGCTGGGGGAAGAGATTCGCAGAGAGGTATGGACGGTATCGGTCCCCAGGTAGCGTAGCGTTGCGTTGGAGTAGGTTGCAGGGCCTGTCCGTGCTGGGCTGGGCTGGGCGTGGGTGGGCTAGGCTGAGCTGGGCGTGGGGTTGGCGGCCGGGAGGCTGCTTATCGCGGACCGATAGACGAGAAACAGACCTGACGCGGTGAGTTCACAAAGCTTCAAACCCAGCAGCCGAAAATGCGCCTCAGGTGCTGGTTACAGCACGCAGAGCTGTACTTGGCCCAACCAATGCAATATGAGCTTGGTCAAGTCGTCCTGCAGCTCTGTGATTGCTACATACAAACTAGCTTCCATATGATCGATCTGCAGAGTTGGGTGTTATCCGGGTCACGCGGCGGACGACTTCGTATATTGGTGTGAGTTTGGTTGAAGCGGGAATAACACAGCGGGGACTGCCGCTGTACACCGCAGGCCACTGGAGCTTCAGCAATCCTACCTAAGCGACAGCAACTGAACGTGGTTGGCGCGTTTACAGAACAAGTAGTGACCCCCTTACCTACACAGGTACCTACTGAAGGTGATAGCCCTGATATTGGATGTAGGCCCGCTGTGAAACCCCCCCAGAGGCCTTGGCACTCCTCACCATTTGCTGCTGTGACGCAATGGCATTGGCCGAGCTGCCTCCGTCACAATCACTTGCTGTGGTAGACAAAAAGCAAACCCGGCCTGCAGCGGCATCCTCGTCACAGAATGCCGTGTTGGAACCCGTGGTCCTCAGGATGGGATTCTTGAAATCTCGCGTCCCGGAGTGTGGCTTTTCCGTGTTCGCGTTGGCTGCCCAGGCAGAGGAAAAAATGGATGAACCATCGTTTCGGTGGACGCAGGCTGTGGACGGGTTGGTTCCCAAACGGTATTCTGCCGTGCGACATCACACCTGGATAAATGGCCCAAACATCTTGCCTCCTACTGCATCTCTGAGAGACTACCTAGGTAGGGCCTAATCTCGCTATGTTGCTTGATTCTCGCCATGATGACGCCCCCTTCCGATCCCTAGGTCTGATCCGCTGTGGTGACCATCTGATTTCCAGATGCGAGATTCTATCTTCGGCGACCCCCTGCCCCCAAGTCAGTGCAGGTTGCAGCTTCGATTGCTTTTTGATGAGAGATCTGATCTCCCTGTCGTCCCTACCAAGTCTACTATAGTGGGACAGTGGGGATCGGCACAAGGCTACCAAGCCTGCCGCCACGATGGATGTATGGCTGCATACCAGGACGTTCTGGAACGCTTTCTAGACTCGCACGCGCATACATATGTTTACGCTAACATCAAGCCTGGTGGTCATGATTCCCGAGCAGGCAAGCAGGGTTCAGACAGTGCTACGCCCGCACGCTCCGCGCTGGGACAACGATACATCTTACCCTGGCGCCGCGCACTTCAATGTTGGTCTTCTAGCGTGGACCGCGGGTAGGTATAGCTTGCCGAGCATGGCTGGCTTGTCGGATTTGTTGGCTTGTCAACCTGCAAGAACTGCTTTCTATTACCAGGAAAAGAACCCCCTCGCTTCGTGCTGAAGGCTCTCGACCACTCAGGTGCAAGCATCACAGCGGGCAGCGCTCCGGGTCCGCTCACTCCGCTCCATTGGACGGGCACACGGCAGGCAGCGCGGGCGGAGTCTCCCCCGACATTGCACAGGGCGAGGGTACTGGTAGACGACATGATAGTAGAACCCCCAGACAGGTTGACCGCAGGAGCTTGGAGTGACAAAGAAGAAAGGAACTCAGTCGGTTAACCGCCGTCTCTGGCCTACAGTCATCCGCAAGATAGCCGTAGCGAATTCATGTAGGTATGTCAGGTACGGTCTAAGGTCCATAGGGTGGAGGATAGATGTACCCTCGATGTGCCTATCCGGGTACTCATGACTGCTATGCATGGTATGGCTGCAGGACTGAGCTCCGCGATCGATGGCCTCTCTGCTCTTCTCTCCGCCCATCGAGCGTAACTTGACCTCGTAGCAGGCAGGCATTCGCTCGGTTCCACTGTCCGCATTTGTCTTATCACTTTGCACCAAATACGTAGTTATTCCCCCCGCCTTGCCCGCCGCCGTCGCGCCGCACAGGAACTGGGCAGGTCAGGGGCCGCATCCGCGATCGTGATGGTGATCTTGATGCGCCGTCAAGCCGCCCTACTTGGCGCCCCGGTAGATACACGTTGCAGAGGATGACCCCAATCCATGGACATCGAAGTTGAGGTGTCGATCTTCAAATCCCGACATGCTTGTCGCATTGGATCCTGGGGTTCGTAAATGCGCCCCCAATGCAGGAGAATTGGCTGCCAAGATGATTAAGCCGTCGATCGTTCCCCTGTTGACGACCTGCTCCCCAAGCTTCCCAGTCACAGCGAATGGGGCGATTGCGGCAACGATGCCAGCGGTCCTGCGGTACTTTGGGAATTGACTTACTTCACTGAGAGCCCTGCCCTGGCGGAAAGGTGGAGGAGGATTTGCCTGCCGACTCTCAGACCGGTTAATGAGCAGCTGGAGGAACAATTGGGAATCACGAGCTACACACATTGGCATGTACTGTACCTTAGTCCCAGGTGGCAGGCACACGAAGCGAACCTCAGTTCGAATACTCACATTTCCGCGTTGGCTCGTGCTTACACCCTTTTTTACTCCGCAACCCTCTTGGGCCTCTTCGTGTTCGTCTATCTGCTTCGTCAACGACCCTCAGCGTTCACTATTTATTGTTATTCGCTGCCCCCTCCACGCCAACCCTCGACCCGGAGTAGTTGTTCTCTGGTGCTGATATGCCGCCTTCCCTTCCTGACCTCTCGGCTCTGGTTCCATCTTGCAATAGTCTCCGCTCCGTGCCTGTCGATGCGATCTCTCTCGGTTTGAGTGTTTTTTTACTTCGCCCGTCTCTTGGTTTTGTCTTGGCAACGAGTGGTGCTGGCCCTGTAACACCACGGAGCGTCTTTGCGCCCCCCCGGCGCCTCCAGTAGCTCGGTCCCCAAGCTCCCGTAGTCGGTTCTCCATCTCTCGGCACTCGCACAGGCACCGCACACCTCCTCTGCAAACAATATTCGCCATACTACTGTCTCTTCCTCTCGCTGCCAGGAGCGGCCGCGCGCACAGTACCCGTCATCGCCTTGTCCGAGCCCTGCTCCCGCCCCAGTTATCCGCATGCCATCTCTTGTCCGAACGTCTGGGTGCCAACTGGGCCGGATCATTGGGACCTGGTCGGAGCCGTGCGTGCCGGAAGATCGGCGAGCCTGACATCGTGGCACCACCACACCAAGTCGCAACATTTCTCCTCCGGCATCCAGGATTTGTAGAATGGCACACAACCCGGAGCCCGATTACCACAAGCGAAAACGCCACGACGAAGACAGCCTCGGTAGCTTGCAATCCGATCGCATCCCGCACCCACCCGCATCTCAATTAGGTATGTCGTGCTGTTGTAGCCGAAACCCTTTGGCTGCATAGTTTTAAGGTGACCTATATACCAAACCATCCATTGTTTATATAATTGGCTCATCTCAATATACAATCCATGAAGAGAAAACCATCCTTACCATAATGCCCACAACATAACTTGCGCGCCCTGGGCTGCACAGCTGGACACCCCACAGTCTGCCCTCGACCAAGCTGTCTTGTTCTGCTAGAGCCCATGAAATTTCACGCCTTGCTAACCACCATCAAAGTTGAACAGACGCCCATCAAGTATCTAGCAAAGCACCCCCTTGGGAAGCTCAAGATTCTACACGGCGACAGGGAAACATTCGCGGAAGCCTTGCATTTCCTGAGCGAGTATGATGGTAAACACGGCTGCCAACCGCACTTCACCCTCAATCACTGACATCGCCCTCAGATGTCCTCAACCGACATGAGAGTCTGGCCTCCGGTCTGGGAGCAAAGCTCATGGGGCCGCGTTTGTTGAAAGGAATGGAGAGCGTTTTCATAGGCCCCATCATTACGACGCCTGCTCAAAATGCCTCCTCCAACGACCCGGTCACCTGGCTTGATATTATCGAATTCGCGAGAGCGAAGCCCGGCGAACTGACAGTAACTCAGTCACCCCACGGGATCCGATGCTGCCAGTTTATGCTCAAGGGTGTCCAGGTCGAGATCACCGAGGATGACTGGCGCTTGATAGTCTCTGGCGCACTGGATCGAACCAGCTTCATCCGCAGTCAACCTGTGGAGGAAGACGAGATAGCTGAGCTAGCAACCATCACCCTACTAGAGCCGCACTTTAATGCGCTGATCAAGAAGGTAGATGAAATTGCTTACAAGGCTCGGCAGGTCAATTATAGCATGGGCAAACGGAAAGTCGCCATCATGAGTCGGTATCCACATAAACAGAAAATGTTCGGAAGCTCTGGCTTCCGAGCAGTGAACCAGCCTGGCCAGGGGCCGGGGCCGCAGCATGGGTATGACATATTTGCCGACTTGAACCAACAGATCGCCGCGGCAGAGGTAGCAGCAGCGTCAGCGGCTGCAGCGAATAATCCCCCTCGGCTGCCATCAATCAGTTCCGTACCTCCTACACCCGGCACTCTTGCTACTGCGGCATCTACTCCTAAGAACCCACCGCCACAGCAAGTCTACACATCGCAGAGCGGTCACCCATCTCCAAATCAACACTCTGAATCTGGTTCGAAAGAAGCCGACGAGGAACACAGGAGTTTAGTTACGGCCAGGATAGATAAAGTTTTACGAGGACACGAGATCAAACCGCCGTGCGACAGATGCCGGAGGCTCAAGACCACGTGCGTAAAGCATCTGACCGCCTGCCAAGGGTGCACAAAGAAGCATGCAAGATGCGCATGGAAGAATCTCACAGACGAAGATATCAGGTGGCTGATCAGGGAAAGCGGTGGTGGTGAAGATGATATTGATGAGCAGCGGGAGCGTCGGCCTGGCAGTCACTCGGCGCCGGGTTCGCAGCACGAGTCCGCGGAACCCCGGCGAGACTCGGAGCAGAGCGAAGATGCAATGCCCAGCAGACCCGGGTCGAGGATAGCCATTGGCAGACACTCGGGTGATATATGGAGGAAAGGCACGAGCGCGAGTGTCCGGCACGATACCATGGAGATCGAGGTCGATCCGAGAGACCCGCGAAACATTCGGCACCTCACGGAACATCCCAACGCCCACGACTTTAGGACGAGGGATCCCAATCCCATGTTGCTGAGCAGGGTCGCCACGGCAGCATCCGCGGCAGCCGATGCTGCTGCGGCTTCAAGGAACGGCCGGCTTTCCTAGCTCGGGACGCGCTCGATCTCTTCTCCAAGACACAACACGGGCATTGGCCCATCTGAACGCGCAGAGAGCAAGGTGGTTGATGTACCAGGCTGGACCAGAAAGGGAGAAGGAGGACCCGGGGAACAATCTTTACGCCTAGTGTCGGTGTATGTCTAGAAAACTCGATAGCTCGTATAAGCGAGCACGGATGTACATTATCTAGACAGTGTAGTAGAGCGCTAATTATCGAGGAGTACCTGCCATGCGAAAAACGATTCCTGCAGTTACACGCCAGTCGTTTTCCAAGTCCTCTGTTTCTTTTGAGGGAAACTGGCAGCCATGGGGAGGCTGCATTAGAAAACCTAAACGAGGTGAACACAAGGCCCCTAGACAGGTGAGACTAAAATGAAGAGGGGATTGTGGCTGATCACGACTACAAATATGCAAAGTGAGCTCAGGTGGACCACAAAAAACAATGTAACTCAAAGCAAAGGTGTAAGAAGTATGTACGTTCGTAGCATATGAGAGGCTTCCATCTATCCTACCGACGCATGCAGAAGGCTTTTACCCCCTTTATAAGCGGTAGGCCTTGCCCAAAGCACTTACTGCGTCGTCACGGAATAGCTGAGGTGGTATAGAGTTATTCCAACAAGGCCGCCAGAAAGACGAGGTGGTGTAAGGGGCACGAGTTCCCCCAGCACTGGGATTCTTCCGCGGGCTATGTCACAATGCACGCCGGCAGAGAGCTTCAAAACATGTGACCTGGACATTTTACTAAGAGAGAGATTTTGTAGCGCGCGTGACTTGTGCATCAGTGGCTATCTTCTGGATTTGCTGCTCTGCTTTATACTATCAACTTCGCACTCGCCCGCGATCCGAACAAACTGTTCCTTCGTCCTACTACCATATGCAGCATCTGCCAGCCTGCAAGTCGAGTCATATCCAATAGAGGCGGTACCCGCTCGCGTGGGAGCGAGCGCTTCAATATCCGGCGCGCGAGGTGGCAGACTTTGTCTGGCCTGCCTTCTGCAATTCATTGAAGGCGTTGTTTACTTGTTTCTTGAGCTCCTTGTAGGAGATGATGAAGGATGTCTGATGATCACGGCTCGTCAAGTAGACCTTTTCGTCAATGCCAGCATCGAGCTTGTTCAGGCATGAGAGCATATGGCCCAGATCCAACACAGGGTTTCCGTTACTGTCAACTTGGTGGAAGACGTAGTCTCGGAAAAGCTTGAGCGAATAGCGCTCACCGGTTTCGGACCAGTTAAGCTCATTGTCAAAGTCAGGGCGTTCATTGATGACGCCAAGCTTGAGCATGAGCCGAGCAATCCTGCCGTTTTCGAGTTCCTGATGGAGGTTTGAGTTGATTCCGTCATATGCTTGGAGCGATGAATCGAACGAATCGAGTATGTGATGTGTAATACGAGGCGTCAGCTCGGTGATTGTCTTCTGGATAGGTTGTTCTGGATACGGAGGGGTAACCAGCCAGAAGACCAGCTCCTTGAGCTCTGGGGAGTACATCGTCCTCTGAAATTGCTCTAGGGCACTTTGTACGGGGCTTATCGTCATTGTGCCCAGGCCAAGAATCAAGATGAGCTTGCCGAGGTCAACGAGGTCTTCTTGCTGGAGCTCCGCAATCGGTCGCGAAGTCTCGTACTCCAGCACGTCCAGTATCATGCAGGCGCTCAATCGAATCCTGTTCTTCTCTGTCATGATCACCTTCGTCGGGTGAATGCAGCGGGCTGCCAACCCCTCGCCGTGGACGGTCCTCAATGCATTGCATAGCTGAGAGATGTAGCTCCACAGAACGTTCTCTTGAATAGGCGGCTGCTGCTGTCCGAACCGCCTCTGGCTTATGTGATGCTCTGCCAGTGTCTTCGAGTTGGGGTGGTAGTTATGGATAAAGATCAGAGATGTATCGTTGAAATCCCTTGATGTGAACACCTCATGAACCGTTACGATATTGCCGTTACTGATCCGTTTCCATTTAGCGAGGGGTTCATTGGTGCTATTTTTACTGGCAACTCGGGCGCCCTGAAGTCTTCTCAGGCAGTACACATTCCCATTCTTCTTGGAAGTTGCCTTGTACACCCAGCAGACCGAGCTGCCAAAGATACTAGTATGGCTACTTTTGGCAGTGTCTAGGGGTACCAAGGAATGGTACTGAGAAACGTCGGGTAATTGCGAGTTTGGTAGGACCTGTCGAGTTGCTGCAGACTTTTTCTGAAGGTCCTCCCTGATGTCATTTGGGAGGAAGAAGTCATAGGCTTGTTTCTGATAGGGGTGGTGCATGTCCGCCTTGTGCGGACCCACTGGAGCGTAGAGGTGATATTGCAATGGTTGTATGGCGGCTGCATATGCGCCCTGCGCCTGATAGAACGGTGTCGCCACCCCAGCCATGGAGGTGTGGTCTTCTGCATACGGATTGTATTGTGTTGTAGGGAGCGCCTGGCCCATGGTTGCCATGGTGAAAGCATCATAGATACCCGCACTGGAATCTGAAGCCACGCCATTTGTGGCAGATGTCGTGTTCAGGTCATAGTTCTGGGCCTGCGGAGTGAAATCCCGTACACCAGCGGCAGTGACGAAAGAGCTCTCGGAGTCTTGAGCAAGTGCGGGAGTGGCAGCTACTCGACGATTAGTGATTTGGGTCTCGTGCAGTGCAAGGTAGAGTAAGAGACTGGATCCCACTCACAGTTTGTACTCCCCTTCGGAGTGAACACTGCTGCATTGGCCGTCTGTGAAGAGAAAGTGTGCTTCTTCGAGCCTGATTGAAGCTGCGCTGGGGTGAACGACGGGGAGTCGACATTGAATGATTTCTTGGTACTGCTCGAGCGGTTAGCGGATTCACATTCGCCTCTGCTTGTCGTCCAAGCACTGGGTGTAGGATTTTCAGGCGTTCTGGTTGCTCTAGCTCGCTCCACGGTCGATCCACATGTGCCGGCCGAAGTACGAAGCTCTCTAGACACGCGCTCTAACAACTGTAGACTAGCCGGTGTTGTGATTGGTAAGGCTACTCGTCGGTCCAGCACTGGGTTTCTCGAGAGTCTGAAGGGGACTGGGCTCATTTTTGGAACTGGGCGACCACGAATGGGCAGAGGCGCAGTTGATTCCACTGGTATGGTGAGGAGTTGCTCGCCAACGTTCTCCCCACAGGGTGGTGCTGAAGATGTAGTTCTGTCGTAAGATTCCACAGACGAGCTAGGGAGATGCTGCTGCTGCCCTGGCCAAGTTGGTGTTGGGGAAGTAATCTCACTGCGGCTTAACGCCCTATAGCCCGCAGCGGCCTTCTTGAAGCTCCGTGGCAGTGTATCGGCTTTTGTGAGGGCAGTCAGGGACGGGAATTCTTCTGAGCTGGTCAAGTCTAGGCGTGGGCTGCCTGAGGCAGCACGGGGACATTCATCTTGACTGATCCGATCCGTAATCTGCTCCTGGTCTTCTGACTTGGTAACAGTGCCGAGAACTCGTGTCATCTGAAGACGCTGAGCCCAACTCCCAACGGGACGTGCTGGATCCCCGTTCGTGTCAAGGCCCTGGTGTGGAGGAATGCCACTTCGACCAAGCTCCAAGTGTTGCCGCGAGTCCATCCCATTTGCCGGCGACGAAGTGGGAGGGTCCCAAACCATGGCCTCAAGGCGCCTGGCGTCTCCTGATTCGATTTCGTTTCCAAGGAAAACAAGCAGTCGTAGATTTACGACCAGAGATGCCAATTCACAGCAAGCCAGCGCGCTTTGAGGTGGTCCAGTGTGCTGGCGTTCCCCAAAGTCCTTTAATTGACGTGCATTGAGCGAGCGTTGAAAGTCGAATACCGCCAGAGATTTCGTCGGGCGCACAGAGGACTTGTTCTTCGCAGAAGGGAGACGGTGCGATCCCATAGCTGTAGATTCCACAATGAAGTATCCTCTCGGTGCCCAGGGGTGGAGTAGGAGCCAGACCAGAGCAGGAGCCAGAGTAGGAGCAGGGCAGCGCGGCAGCATGCAACAACCAGCCATGGTAGGAGGGCAATGAAGGGAAAGTGCACTTACGAATCTATAGAGCTAGAAGCGCCCTTGTTCTGGTCATGATTGAAAGCGCACCCCTGATCCTCGTAGCGGCAGTGGCCATATATAAGGACGTTCCGACAGAGAGTATTATTAGTATCTGCCGAGAGAGAGAGACGGGTTAGCCAAGGTGGTCCACGTCCACGGGATGTGTTCACGAGGCATCTTCGGACACGAATGCTATCGCTAGTCGGTCGCGTCCATGACCGGCGGGGCATGCGCTCACCTCGCGTCTTGGGTCTGGGGGAGGCCATCTGCCTCCCTCGGTCGGCGGTGGTGTAGCGGGAGGTCGCCATTTGTGTATCTATACCGAGGAGGAGCGGGTTTTGCGGTCGTCGGGGTTGGGATGGGTCGCAAAGACTCCAATGAGTCGTGAGGCAGGGCTACCGGAGCGGCGCGTCGGCGTCGGCGTCGTCGCTGCTCCTCTCGAATCTGCAACCCCTGCAACATGAACACCGGATCAGCCTAGTATGAGCAGAATGCAGAACGGACGAGCAAGAGGCATGAACATGGGAATGGAATGGAATGGGCATGGGCCGAAGGAAGTGGCCGCTGAGAGCTTTTCCCTCTGCTTGGGTGCCAATCTACAATTCACTCGCGAGGCGGTGCCGATGGAGGGGCTGCAGGGCTGCATGAGAGCCGCGCCGCCAAAAAAAAAGACAAAGGACTCGGGGCAAGAAGGGCCCATTGCACGGGCGGAGGGCACGTACTCAAACCACTTAAATTGCTTCCATCTTCTCACATCTAAGAGGCGCCTCCTCGCCCATGCACGGCGACGGTCAATGGTGTGTGGGCCGGCAGCTACGCGGCGGCGACGCGGTGGGCGATGGGCGACGGGCACGAAGCGTGTTCGGGGTGGATGAGGTTGACGATAAGGGCGCAGGACTGCAGTCCAGCACAGGCACAGGATACCTTGGGATACGAACGGCAACCCAGTTTCCAACCAAGGCCTAAAGGTGGGATGTGAAGCGCCGGACGACTTGCCAAGACTTTTGGGGAGTTGCGCAGTTAGCCTCTCAGCCTCGACCAGGGTTCCGGCTCGAGAAAGGCTCTCAATGGGCCTCCTCCTCCTCCTCCTCCTCCTCCTCCTCCTCCTCCTCCATCATAGTGGACAGGATTCCCAGTTGGCCTCGAGGATTGGGGTGCTGCCGTCTTTGGTAGCGAGGGGCTAGTCCTCTTGTAGTAGTTTATGACACTTGATGAGATCTCCAGGGCTATTGTATTTTGGTGGTCTAAATTAGCACATAGTAGGCATTGGACAAGAGCCTCTCGTTGACGGGATAAGAACGACGACTCCCAACGAAACAGACATCCTCCCTTCCCCAGTGACCCCAGTGACCCCAGGGACCCCAGGGCACCCAGGACATTTTGAGAACTTATCAGAAGAACATGAAGATGAAGCCGGAAGTGAACTGAGAGGAGACCCTGTGAGGAAGGAAGAGCCCGTCCACTGTGTAGAGGGTGCCATACCTCGGTGCTTAGCCCCTGTGCCGTCTATGCCCCTTGGGGTAATATCTATACCGTCATTCGCTAATGCCACGCAGCTCTCCCCGGATCCTCCCACTTCGGCGCGCAACGCTACGTGTGAGCTGGCATCAAGGGTCACTCTGTTCCGGTCCCTTGTATTCTGTGCTGTCGCAATCCCACGGCGTCGTTTCTCAGCTCTGCCAGAGTCAATCTGTAGAGTCTCGACCAACCTGGTGACCCTACCACAGAAGCCTTGCATAGCTCCAGCCGCCTCGGAGGCTGCGCCGCCAACCATCAACCGTCCACGTTCCTCGTCCGAGAACCCTCTCCCTCGCCCGTTGTTACATGGATCGCATCTCTCTCCTTCGGTAATCCAGGCCGGGAGGCGTCGCTCTCAACATGTCAGACGATACGGGCGTTGATGTCGGCCAGCTGTCTGCGGACCAGCAGGCAGCGCTCGAGCAGTATACAGCAGTTACAGCACAAGACATCAAGGACGCAGTGCCGTTGCTGCAGAGGTCACAATGGAATGTTCAAGTAAGTATCCTGCTGTTATGCCTCCCGGTCTACCTACTGGCGTCAAGTCTGACTGTTTTCTAGATCGCCATAGCCAAGTTCTTCGACGGCGAAGGGCCCGACCCCGTCGCCGAGGCCATGGCCGCGCAAGACGCCATACCGGCCCCTACGGCAGCACGACACGAGAACCTCCAAGAGTCACTTCTCGCCGACTCCTCGCCCTTCGGCCAGCCTATCCGTCGCGACCGGCCTAATCCTGCACCCCGAGTCGTGCCCTCGCCCATTACGACCCATCGCCCGCCCTTCCTTCTCTCCATAATCTTCACCCCACTCAACTTCGGCTACCGCGCCGTGTCCACCCTCTTCCGCACCTTTCTCTACATACTCTCGTTTCTGCCTGCGCCGATCCGCCCGCGGGCCATCACCACCAGCGTGACCTCGGGATGGAGGGGCACCTCGGGCCGCCGCATGCTGCTGCCACGCGACACGGCCGCCCGCTTCAAGCGAGAGTTCGAGGAGGAGTACGGCCCCGAGACGGGACTCCCTTTCGCTGAGAGCGGCTTTGCGCAGGCTCTCGACGCCGCCAAGAAGGATCTCAAGTTCCTGCTCATCGTGCTGATGTCACCGGAGCACGACGACACCGAGTCCTTTACGCGGGAGACCTTGCTCTCCCCCGAAGTTAAGGCCTTCATTGCAGACCCGGCCAACAACATCATCCTGTGGGGCGGTAATGTGCTCGACTCGGAGGCGTACCAGGTGGCCGCCGAGTACAACGCGACGAAGTTCCCCATGTCGTGCCTCGTGTGCTTGACGCCCAAGGAAGGGTCCACCCGCATGAGCATCGTCAAGCGCCTCGTGGGGCCCGTCTCCAGCTCGACCTACCTGGCCGAGATCCAGACGGCTATCAACAAGTACAGCCCCGACCTCGCGGCCGTGCGCGCCGAGCGGACGGTGCAGGAGGCCTCGCGGAACATGCGCGCCGAGCAGGACGACGCCTACGAGCGGAGCCTGGCCCGCGACCGGGAGCGGGCCCGGCAGCGGCGCGAGGCCGAGGCCGCCGCCCAGGCGGCCGAGAAGCGCGCGGCGGAGGAGGCGGCCGCTGCGGAGCGCCGCGCCGAGCTGAGGCAGCAGTGGCGGAGGTGGCGCGCAACCACGATCGCGACCGAGCCCGAGGCCAGCGTCAAGGACGCCGTGCGCCTCGCGCTCAAGATGCCCGAGGGGTCCGGGGCCGGGCGCGTCGTGCGGCGGTTCGCCGGCTCAACCACCCTCGAGGACCTGTACGCCTTCGTGGAGTGCTACGACCTGGCCGGGCTCGTGGACGAGAAGGCGCTCGAGCCCGAGGGCTACGAGCACGAGTACGCCTTCCGCATCGCGGGCCTGATGCCCCGGGTCGTGTACGAGCCGGACGGCGGTGTCACGTTGGGGGAGAAGATTGGCCGGGGCGGCAATCTGATTGTGGAAGAGATGGCGCTGGACGAGGAAGAGGCCGAAGAGGCGGACGAGGAGGCATGAGTGGACGTGCATACTGGAAGCATGATATACTCCTTAGACAGCTCACAACCAAATATTATTGAAACATTCAAGTCACTGCTGACGGCTTCATTGTCCCGACGTGTGATATTATATTGCTATTATTATCCCTCACTCGGCGGCACAAAGCGCCTACGTGCCATGGCTGAGAGGTGTCCCCCCAACATGCCATTGAGCTAGTCTGTCTTTACAGCTTCGAGGCTACACTGAGGCCTTGGTACTTTTACATGATAATCCTTACATGGACTGTTTTCATATCTCCAATCATTGGGTATACAGTCACTAATACAAGGTTATGGCATATTGCTACAAGTATACATCTGGTCGAAGTGCAATACTTTCACGGCGGGAGATTTGGCCACGATATGGGCTGTGTGTGGTGGATTGGCAACATAAGCTATTTTGAGTATGAGCATAGGAACAATGATTCTAATCTTGCGGGTGAGGTTACCTGTTGCCCCAATGCACCTTTTGACGGTGAACTCCTGAACGCCATTTGGAAGCTCCATCCAATGCTATGCGCTTCCCTAGAGCCGCCTTTTCATGCGTCCTTTAGAATTGGCCCTGAAGACCCTTTGGACCCTTACAGCCTTCGAGCTGATTCAAGCCCGTAGTCAACCGTCTACGACACCACATCAACCTTGTTGGTTTTGCTGCGCGAACTTTTGGTGGATAGCGCGAATCTGTTCGTCTACGTTGACGTTCTGGACATGGGCGGCTTGGTTTGGATTCCGGTTGTCCAAGTTGCCATCAAAGCTGTTCAAGGCAGCCCTCTTCCGCCGGGCCTGCTCTTCTTCCGAGATGATGGGTTGGCCTGTTACGCCATCGAAGAGATCGCTCCGCTGGCTGGCGAAGCGCTTCAGGTTGTTCGCCGCATCTGCCTGTACCAAGTTGCTGGTCGCGAACCTCGACTCGGCCTTGGCCTTCTGCTCCTTCCACCGGGGATCCAACATCTCGATGCGCATATGGTCCTCCAGCTCGTTCATGGGGATCTGCTGTTTGCAGTTGGGACACAGGGCCATCTGGCCGGACTGCTTGCTCGCCGTGCGTGCCAATGCCCTGGGAACATAGTTCTCTCGGATCTTCATTGGCGCAGCACCGCCCTTGGCTTCGGCTTGGGCTTGTTGTACCCGAGCACGCGCCTCCTCCCTCTCGCGTATCCGTTGGGACTCCTCGTCTTCCTGCATACCGTTCGGTCGCGGGGGCGGCGCCATTCCATAGCCAGCCTGAGGAGGGGTGGGTATCTGTTGTGGCTGGTAGGGCTGTACACCTGGCATAGCTTGAGCGGGATACGCCGGGTGGTGAGGGATGTTATAGCTTGGTTGGGCAGGCGCGGCGTAGCCGTTGTATGCGCTGTCTTCCTCCGAAGGGAAACCCTCCTCGATGCGGAAATTGGCGTTGACGGAGACCTTGGCCTTCTGCTCCAGAGAAGCATATTGCAGATCGTTGAGCGACGTTGGTGGCGGTAGGTTGGCTTGGTCGTCGGTCTCGGTGAAAACAACCGTCTCGACGACAACGAAATCGTGCCAGTCGATCTGCGCATACGATTGCCGCTCCTTCTCTTCCTCTTCCTCTTTCTGCTGCTTGGACTCTTCTTGGTACGCAAGCCACTCTGCCCTCTGGCGGGCCCGCGCCAGAATGTGGAACCTGTCGTCGACGTTTCTTTGCAGCTCGGCGACACGCTCTTGCTGTTGGCGGCCGCCCTCTCCGTCAATGCCGCCGGCCCGCAAGAGCATCGAGTACTGATCTATCAGGTGTTGAAAGAAGTTGTGCAAGCTGTGGTTGGGGCGGAGGAAGTCGAACTGGTAGTTGCCGGTCTCGCGCTGGGTGAGGGCCATCATGAACTGGCGGCCGTTCTTGGCGACGAACAGCGCCGTCAAGCGTACGACCTCGAGGTCGGAGGCGCTGATGTTGGGCATGCGTGCGGAGAACTTGAAGGCCGGGGGCTCGGGAGGGCCGGTGGGCTTCTCCTCAACGGGTGCAGCAGCCTCGCCGACGCGGCCAGCGGCGACAGCTGTGCCACGGCCCTCCTTGATCTCGCTGAGGCGCCATAGGTAAAAAGGGTTGTAGGGATCGGCGTTGCTCAGGAAGCTGAACTTTGGGTTGTTCTTCTCCTTCTCCCGGATACGCTCCTCGAAGACGTTGCCGTTCCTAGCGACGAAGCCGGCCGTCTTCTCGAGGATGGTGCGGAACTCCCTGGGGGGCAGGACGACGCCCTGGGGAGGCTTGATGTCGTCGAGCACGGCAGCTGCATCACCGTTAGTCGTGGCGGCCATCGTGATGCTGGTGTTGAAGCCCTGCCTCGAGTGACGGTTCAATCAGTGCTGCGATCGGTCGAGGCTGAGGCTGGATGGAGTGCAAGCTGGAGGTGTGGACCGCGACAGGGCGCCTTTGCTTGTCGCACCTCGCTACGAGTTAACTGCAATTCCAGACCAGCGACCAGAGAGCCCTGCGCAGGTAAATTTTCCGGCCTAAGCTGCCAACGGTACGTACCACAGTCATCAAAGTCAACGAGCAAACTGGATCCATACTGACCTCCAAGCCAACCTTGGAAGTTATCCCTGGTACGGCGTATCGATAATCCGAGCGGAGCGGGAGATCGCCGCGTGTCCAGTCCAGGTGTCAATGCTCGTGTAGGCGGGTGGGTCGGGGGTGTCCAGAAAAAGAGAGCAGCAAGCAACCTGTGCAGAGTGTTCGAGGGACGTTCAAGGTTGCCAAATTATCTGTTCGTATCGAATCCTGTTCCCATGGGCCCAGACTACCGTGGACTTTGCTCCTCTCAAGGGACGCATTGCATGTGAATGAACACGGTATCGGACGTGTCTTTGTCGTCGAGGTATTTCGAGACACCTATACTGCACGGCTAATTGAAGCAAGACATATCCTGCAGCCAGAATAACATCGAGGCGACAGCTGTCATGTCTCATCTGATATAGACCCGAGTTGGTGTATAATGCCTGCTGGTGACTTCATACTGTAAGTGTGTGTGCATCGCAATCAAGACTCCAAAAGCACCTACATGCGATAGGACATGGTACACAGTAGAGGCCTGTGGGAGAGCGGAGGAATTGACAACCTACATACAGTATAGACATGTATCACGGTTATCTACAGTCTTTCCTGTTCAATTGTATTCTCCTCACAAAGTAGAATGCAGCAATCCAGTGACGCCGACACCAACCCCAAAGTCACCTAGGCGCACTGGCGAGATGCGAGAGCTATCCTGGACCGTGTACAACAGAGCCAACTGTAGCCGGAGCTGATGGATCCCTGCTTGTCTTGGACGCGCCCTGAACCCCCCCCCCTGCAGACCCTTGTGTCCCGAACGCTCCTGAGCAAATGGGGGGCGCTTTTTTGGGATGAGGCCACTTGTTGCAAGCTGCTGGCGCTGCGCTAACTCGGAAGACGTGAAGCTGAGATGCTGACCCCCTGAGCCGCCGTCGTCCCTTCTCGACTTTACCAGTCAACCACGACCAAACGGGACTTTCTTCTCTCTTGGTCCCTCGAGGCATTCTTTCGGGGGTTCTTCTTCGCCTTATGATCTTCTTGTAATGCACCGCTCTTCTTCTTGACCTTCGTTTGCATCCTTGACCTTTTCCCCCCTTCAACCCTCCAGATCGCCCACCCAATTACGCGTGGTCCCGAGGTAGCGCAAGCTCCTTCCCTAGCTTGCACCACCACGACCAGACCCGAGCCGTGGTGAAGAGAGGCCACGCAAACATCTGCAGCCCTCTTTTCTCTCCATCCCCTTCGAAAATCCCAGACTGCCATCGTCGCCCCCGGTCTGAGGGAAAAGACTACGCACCATGGCGAAAGCCACCGCAGTGAAGCCCAAGGGCGCCACCTTCATCACGCCCTCCGCCCCGGCTACCCAGAAGGCGGTAGTCCGAAAGAACGATGACTACACGAGCGATGGCGTCGAGGATAACGATGTCTTCCTGCTCCCCGTCTCCGATTACAATGTCATGGCCGTAGTGACCATTGTGGGAGCTATCGTGCGGCTCTACCGTATCTACCAGCCCACCAGCGTCGTCTTCGATGAGGTGCAGTAAGTGCTCCCCCGCCCGCAATCCCAACAAGTTACCACGATTCGGGCGTCGCTGACACGATCTTTCTGCAGCTTTGGTGGATTCGCCTCCAAGTACATCAAGGGTCGCTTTTTCATGGACGTACACCCCCCGCTTGCCAAGATGCTGATTGCTCTGGTCGGCTGGCTCGCTGGTTTCAACGGAGACTTCGACTTCAAGGACATTGGCAAGGACTACCTGGAGCCAGGTGTCCCTTACGTTGCCATGAGACTGTTCCCTGCCGTCTGTGGTATCCTGCTGGTCCCGATCATGTTCTTGACCCTCAAGGCTGCCGGTTGCCGCACCGCTACCGCTGCTCTTGGGTCTTCGCTGATCATCTTCGAGAACGGCCTCCTCACCCAGGCCCGCTTGATTCTGCTCGACTCGCCCCTTGTCCTCGCCACCGCCTTCACTGCCCTTGCCTTTACGTCCTTCACGAACCAGCACGAGCAGGGACCTACAAAGGCATTCCAGGCAAGCTGGTGGTTCTGGCTGGTCATGACTGGCTTGGGTTTGGGTACCACCTTCAGCATCAAGTGGGTTGGTTTGTTCACCATCGCCTGGGTTGGGTCCTTGACACTGGTCCAGCTTTGGGTGCTGCTGGGTGACACCAGAACGGTGACGATGCGCATCTTCGCCAAGCACTTTCTTGCTCGTATTTTCTGCCTCATCATCATCCCCGCCACCTTTTACATGGCCATGTTTGGCATCCACTTCCTCTGCCTCTCGAACCCCGGCGAGGGCGATGGTTTCATGAGCTCCGAATTCCAGGCCACCTTGAACAACAAGGGCATGCAGGACGTCCCGGCGGATGTTGCCTTTGGAAGCCGTGTTAGCATCCGACATGTGAACACTCAGGGTGGTTACCTTCACTCTCACCCCCTCATGTATCCCGGCGGCAGTCAGCAACAGCAGATCACCCTCTATCCCCACAAGGACGAGAACAACCTCTGGCTCCTCGAAAACCAGACCCAGCCCCTGGACATCAATGGTGAACCAATCAACGGAACCAACGCCTGGGATACTGTATCCAACATCACCGAGAACTACATCAAGGATGGTGATGTGTTGCGCTTGTACCACCAGCCTACCCACCGCCGCCTTCATTCCCACGACGTCCGGCCCCCAGTCACTGAGGCTGAGTGGCAAAACGAGGTCTCTGCATATGGCTACGAGGGATTTGCTGGCGATGCCAATGACTTGTTCCGTGTTGAGATTATCAAGAAGCAGTCGATTGGCTCCCTTGCCAAGGAGAGGCTTCGGACCATCGAGACCAAGTTCAGGCTGGTTCACATCATGACTGGTTGCGTCCTCTTCTCACACAAGGTCAAGCTTCCCGACTGGGCTTCTGAGCAGCAGGAGGTCACGTGTGCCAAGGGTGGCACCCTTCCCAACAGCGTGTGGTATGTCGAGTTCAACGAGCACCCGCAGTTTGGTCCCGATGCCGAGAAGGTCAACTATGTTCGTCCCGGCTTCTTCGCCAAGTTCTGGGAGTTGCAACAGGTCATGTGGCGGACCAACGCTGGTCTGGTCGAGTCTCATGCCTGGGACTCGAGACCTGACTCGTGGCCTATTCTTCGACGAGGCATCAACTTCTGGGGCAAGGAGAACCGCCAGATCTACCTGATCGGTAACCCCGTCGTTTGGTGGTCTTCCACCTTGGCAGTTGTCCTCTACGTACTCTTCAAGGGCGTTGCGGTGCTCCGATGGCAACGCAGCTGCAAAGACTACGACAACGCCAACTTCAAGCGATTCGACTACGAGATCGGAACGTCTGTTCTTGGATGGGCCCTCCACTACTTCCCATTCTACCTGATGCAGCGTCAGCTATTCTTGCATCACTATTTCCCAGCTCTGTACTTTGCTGTCATCGCCTTCTGTCAGATCTATGACTTTGTCACTGCCAGGTTCCCTATCCCCGGCATTCGTGGCAACCCTATCATCAACAAAGCCGGAGCAGTTGCCTTGTTGGCGGTGTCTGCTGCTGTGTTTGCGCTGCTGTCTCCCCTTGCCTACGGCAATGCGTGGACCAAGACGGAGTGCAGTCGCGTGAAGCTGTTCAACACTTGGGACTGGGACTGCAACACCTTCCTCGATAGCGTGAGTGGTCCTTCCATCGGAATTTCTTCCCAGAGCATCCCGAGCGTTCCTTCCTAGAGCGCCCCTTCCCGCAGTGTTCTTTCTCGCAGCGTTCCTTCCCACAGTACTCCTTTCCGCAGTGTTCCTTCCTATAGTCCTTTTCCCTCCATCGTCCCTTCTTATAATCCTTTTCCCTCCATCGTCCCTTCCCACAGCATACTATACGAGGAGGCACTATAGGAACCCGATTAGCTAATTCCTACGTGTTCATTAGTACGAGGCATATGACCAGCAGACTTCAATCAACGCCAAGATCGCGCAGACTTCACAGCCTGTTATCGACAACAAAGCAGCGCCCCCTCCCCCTGTCCAGGAACCACCCCAGCAAGCTCAAAACCCTCAAGTTCCCCCAAACGGGGCCGAGGGCGCCGCGGGAATCTCCGGGGCGCCCCAGCTCCAGCAGGATGGCCAAAAAGTAATCGGCAGAGAAGAGCGGGTGGAATATCGGGACCAGGATGGCAACCTGCTCAACGAAGAGCAGGTGCGGGCGCTCGAAGGCAAGGTCGAGTTCAAAACTCGATACGAGACGAGGACGCGCGTAGTCGACGCCGCTGGGAACGAAGTCCCAGGCGCCGAGGTGCCCGTCGCCCCGCCGCACCCTGATGTCGAAGGAGTCGACTCCAGCACCAAGCAAATTCCTAAGGTTGATGATCCTATTGCAGACGCCGAGAAGCAGAACGTCATCAAGTCGAAGGACGGAGAAAAGGAAAAGGAGCAGGAGAAGCCCAAGCCGGCAAGCGAAGGCAATGAGGCCACAGCTCAAAATGCTTAATATGGCTCTTGCCACGACTTAAGGCTGGTTGCGTGTTTTCTAAGCAATGCAAACATACCCAGGGAGGGAAGACGAGGTGTCTGTGTACCATCATATCTCACTAAAACGTAACGAGGACAAGGGGAAAAAATTTCATGGTTTGGAGGAGAGACCAAAGACAGTACAGGAGGTTACGGGACATGTCTCTTGTAACTATCCCCAGCTGCAGTTGCTGAACAGCCACACGCTTCACTTTCCTATAATCTATCACGTTTCACGTTTTCGAAGAAAACAAAAACGCGTCGCAAATCCCTACTAACATGAGTGAAACGCAATTTCTAAACGCGAGCTCGGCGGGTGCATTATCAAAATTTTGCAATTGTAATTGGCTAATATAATATCTGACGATATAGGCAACTATATTGCTGGTATTGGTATGTTGACTTTCAAAAATGCCTTTCATAAACCATGATTAAATGCCGTCAAGAAAAGCACCTAGTTGAAATCAACTCCGAGGGGTCCTTCACCCAATTGCTTGCTAAGTTTCCTGTATATCGATTCCTACATATACAAGACACAACTCATTTGTATGTATGGCAGTTTGCACTTGTCCTCGTGTGACCGTTGTGTGTTAGTTATGGGTGGTAACATATTGGCTAAGCTCATATGCCAGCTGATCCTTGTCAACCAATTTCTTCCATACTGTATCATCGTGGTGCCATGGATCGAGTATGTGAGGGTTCGCAGTCCGCTCAGACGTCGTTGCCGGGGCCCTTAGATACATACTGAGAGTATACGATGGGTCTCGTGTGACGCAGCACCTTTTGGCATCGGCAAACAGCACACAGCTTCATGGCTTACGAGCCCTTGACTTACGATACAGTCTCAGCCTTCGAGGGGTGCTGCTGCCCAGCGATGGGGCCTCTGCCTCCGATAGGGCCTTGGCGGGTACGAAGAGAAGACATCGGAGATAAGACGTACTTTCGATGATGCGCCAGCTCGGTTTGAGAGGTTAAGGATGAAAGGACGTCAGAATTTCATGATGTCTGGATGGATGCGGTATATTCAATGAGAGAAATTTCAAGAGACTAGAATGTGCGCACACGTGTGTTTTCACAGGGAAAGATAAGTTCACCGGTTGACCTCATCTAACCAATCGTGCCGTTATGGTATTGGCAATTCACATTCTCATTCCCCTTCACTGCAAGAACTGGGTTCTTGACCGCCGCTCCGCGTGCACCGCGCTATCGAATTGGCGAAGTTGCTTTTCTTTCCCCAAGAGGACATCCGCTTGATCAGATCGCGCAACCAACACGGTTGCTGGCTTTGTGGCATTCGCTTCCGGAAAGCGCAACAGTAAACTGTAGCCGCTGGCTTGCCAGCGCCAAATGCAAGAAACTTAATAATTTCGTCTTGAAGTATTGTCAATTGGCAGGCGAACACAGACGAGCTTTGCTGACTGCGTTGCCCAAGCCATAGGCGTGATCGCTGGTCAAACACCTGATTGGAGCGCATACTCAACTCCAACCCTAGGCCAACAAACCGGCTTTGGCACCCCTGAACTCGGCTTAGTTATACTCCAAGGATTCCCCGCATCCCCAGAGCTCGCCGAACCCCACACAGACATCCCCCTAGTCTATAGAAGAAGACCCATCATCGTGGAGAGCTGACCGGGACCTGCTTGATTCCGCGAATCTGGCACGATGCCGTCCCTGCGCTTGACTAGGATTGCTCTCCATGACGTGTCTGTTCCCACTATGGTGCCCTCGTTCTCCGAATCCCCTCATCCCCAAGCCGGAGAAACTGCTTGATGAATAGAGTGAATTGCGCGTAATGTAACATTGCTTAGGCCATTGGCCAATGAGCAAGGAACGACTCTTCGAATATGGGAGGAATTTGGCCGAAAGGGAGCACGTGTTTGGGGAAACGGGTAGTATACTTGCCTACGGCTTGGCGTGATATTAATATTACTTGGGGGTACTCCTCTGGCTCATGATCACGTCCTAGCTGAAGATTGTTGCAGATCAACTCGATCCTTAGACAATGCGCTCAGTCTACTCCTTTGCTTTGGCGGCTCTGACCGGCCTCTCGGCCGCTCTAAGCACATTCGAGCACAACTTGCTCTTCCAGCCGCCAGAGAACTACACAGACCCGCGAACATTATATGCCCGCACTGTTCAACTGAGCGATGGTAGTCTCCTGGCGACGTGGGAGAACTACTCTCCCGAACCACCGCCGGTCTGGTTCCCTATTTATCAGTCTCTCGACGATGGTGTCACTTGGGCCGAGATCTCCAGAGTAGAGGACCAAGTCTATGGCTTCGGTCTCCGTTACCAGCCGTTCTTGTACGAGCTCCCACAGGCGTTTGGTGATTACGAGGCGGGAACTATCCTCGCGTCTGGAAGTGCCATCCCCACCGACCTGAACCAGACCAACATCGAGGTCTATGCCTCGCGGGACAAGGGAGTCACTTGGGAGTTTGTATCGCACATCGCCCATGGAGGTGTTGCACTACCGAACAACGGTAAGTCATTACGAGACCTCCGGGGTTTCAGACTTCTTCATCCTGTGGACTTGACTGACGAGCAATCATGAACAGGCGAAACTCCAGTTTGGGAACCTTTCATCCTGTGAGTATACTGCTTCAGAGCGCGGGATAGAACTTTCAAGGCTCACCTCTGCTCTAGCACTTACGACAACACTCTCATCGTATACTATTCAGATCAGAGAGACGAAAGATATGGGCAGAAGCTGGTGCACCAGACAACAACTGACCTCGTGAACTGGTCTGACGTCGTTGACGACGTGGCATACCCGACCTACACCGACCGTCCTGGTATGCCGATCCTCACACTACTTCCCAATGGGTCGTACTTCTATGTAGGTGGAACTTCTTTCCAATGATGAGCGAGCAATCCTTAACATTGCAACCCAGGTCTTCGAGTACGGTGGTGGCCCGGCCATTGCCGACTATACCTTCCCCATCTACTACCGCATTGTCGACGACCCCCGCGAGATCGCCGGCGCGGCCGATCACTACATCAGCGTCGGTGGCAACATCCCTGTCAGCAGCCCGTACGTCGTTTGGTCGTCAGTCGGCGGTGATGACGGCAGCATCATCGTAAGCTCCGGCCGACAGCCCCTGTACATCAACCGAGCCCTCGGCGACCCAAATGCTTGGGAGGAGTACCAGATTTCACAACCGGCCGCTTACACCCGGCACTTGAGAGTCTTTGAGCAGGACGACGATTACCTGTTGGTCATGGGTGCGGGTGTATTACCGCCAAGCACCACAAACAATGTCACAGCCAGTGTCTACCGGGTTTCGGAGATTCTGGGGCTATAAGGTTCGACGCCGGAAATTGTAGTCCACAGTATATAAGGTTTAGACGTTGTAGACTATGACTATCACAAATAAAGTGTATCAAAACTTACAAGTTCATCGCTGTGGTGGAAGTGGTATTGTCCACAGAAGTTCAATGGGAATTTCGTCAAAACTAGTCAAGAACCAAAGACGAGTACACAATGCTGCTTGGTTGACTTACAAATATCACCCGAGTAGGTTGGGTTGAATGACGGGGCCAGCTTCTTGGAAGTCTGATAGACTACTAATATACTGGAGACATCATGCTCCACCGAGGCCTTGTGGCTCCAGCATGAAGAAGAGTGAGCTATAGGACTGAATTACGAGAAAACCCTTCCATACATCCTTCGCATAGTATAAATAACTACAGCACCCACAGGAGGATTAGAAGGTGGTCTGGCGACTTGCATTGTGTCCTCCTCTAGAACACCTCTGCATTGAAATTTTTATCTATATGAGCTCGGGCGCAAGACGGAAGCCACGGATGCTGCACAGAGGTGAAATCCGCGAAGCCTTGTGAACCGTGACATATGCTAGATATCTACAATACACATGGTGAGCCGTCCCATGAGTCTCACTGAAGTACCCTTGACTTGAAGCGGTTGACTCCATGACCGGTGAAGACTGCCACGTTGCTTTGCTTCAATGGAGCGCCACGATGGTAGTGACTGCACTTCGCTCACCGAGACTCCAGGGCATGGCGCTATCCTCGCTCTCAAACACACGATTACCAATACTGAATGAAGATATGGCCGCTCACCTCAACCCATAAAGACGCATGCTCGAATAACGATCACAGAACGCACTCATCACTTTGATTTAAAACAGAAAAGAAAAGATCTCTCCTCGATATACCTAGCACATACAGATCTCGGAACCCGGGAGCGCAAGTGCGAGCTGGCGAATAGTGTCGTGTGGACCTGGAAGTCACGAAGCCAAAATATAGGGAAGTCTGGCACAGCTGCAAGCCACAGAGGCTTGCTGGGCAACCAAGGGAAACCAAAGCTCAATTCCAATCAAGGGCACTTATTGCAACTCTTGGTCCGATCCCGGATGCAGTCATCATGCCCTCTACGAGCCATTGATTATTTCCTTCAGACTACCTCTGAGAAAAGCCAGCTTGGCGACTTAACGGCGACACTGACTTTGTCTAGCAAGGTGAGCCACTTGAGTGGTCATGTGAGTACATGTTGCGCTTGTGTTGTGGCTCTGAAGCCCCATGTGTCTCACTCATATTTCAACATTTCATCGTCTGCAGGAGCGGAGTCCAAGTCGGCGTCTGCAGTAGCAGCCATAGAAGGCAATTGATAGGCCATCCTTTCAAACGTAGCCGTAGACCGCGCATTCACCCCCACGGCAACAACCCCCCTGTGGTGCAGGTGACGGTATTTCCCAGCTCGACGGGTCTGTGCCGTTTATGCAACTCTGAGAGCGATGACCGTACGATTGCCGGTCTAGGGAAGGATCTTCGAACATATTCTCCCATTCTGACCACTGCTTACCTTGTACGCCGCACAACGGGCGAAGGGATGGCAAAGTGCCGGCTTAACACTGAGTCTGAGAAGTCCGAAGGGCGACCCGACGTTTCAGCATAATGGCCGGGAAGCATGCGCCAGCCGCAAGTGTGGGCACGAATCAGCGGGCTCGGCTTCCGTGTCTCCTTGGTACATGCCATAAACTGCATATCCCGGGCCATCGTAGCGAGGGCGTGAGTGCTGCCCTCCGCCCAAAAATACCGGTCCGCATATGAAACTGTGCCGATATGCAGGCTGGGTAGGCTGCGGAGCGGGGAAACCGCCCCGGTCTCGTTCCCAACCTCCGTTGGCGTATCAAAGCCGTGATTCAGGCTGCCGATGCAGAACCATGGGGACAAGCCCTCGATGAATGCTGTGTAAAGCGGCCCATCCTGCAGTCGAGGCACACGACACCTTGCCTATGGGAAAAGACGGTGAGTGATGGGGAGCAAAGCCTCCCTCCCCCGCAGCCGCCTGAGAGGGGGACGCCACCACGGCTTTGCTGGTTCTCAAAACTGCCCCCACGGAAAGGATGCGATCAGTGAGAAATATAGCGAGGAAGTGCTAGTAAGCTGCGCGTCCAATGCAGCCGTCTCACCATGCAAGTCGTTCTGGGCAAAGGCTTATTTTCCTGGCCGGGCCACTGGCTGGGCGATCGTTCAAGGGCAGGGTGGTTGTCGATCGGGACTAAAGCAAGCGCAGCTACACTAAGGATGTAGGCGAGAGAAGGAAATGCTTACCGGTTTTGTCGATCCGGCTGCTTGGGGTGAAAGCGACGTCCTGAAGGATCATGTCTTTGGAAGTCAGCACCCGATAGAACATGCGAGTCGGCGGGAGATATTCAAACCAGGACCAATGTATCCTAGTTTCTCGTCTACAATGCGCGCTCGACCAACGCAAACTGTCTTTTCAGTCTTGGATATCTAGACAGGTTGCACGTGCTTTGATCCTCCCACATGTGGCTGCATTACCTGGGCCAGCGACTGTACGAGGAGGCATGACCTGCTGATGCTTACACGTGAGCTTGATTCTGAGTATAGCTACAGGGAGGAGAATAGCGTTGAATGCAACAGTCACTGGTGGGCTTCCCGGGTTGGTTGATCAAATTCTGTATTGGTGGTGGCGACTGTACTGGCAAGCGTTTGAGCTCCTTTGCGACCCAAAAAAGCTACCATCGGTACGTCGTGTAGACGTTTGTATGTCTAATCCATCCTAACCGGTGTTTTCACCATAGTTAATGACAGTATCCATCACTATACAACCCCTCATTAATAGCTCGTCTTCTCCATTCTTGATCCGCTAGAATGCGATCCAGGTATATATATGTACGAGTCTTGCTCATCGTACAACTCGAAAGGGGCAAAATGCATTAGACGTAGGGAATCGTGCAAATAGGAAAGAAGCGGATTGGGTATGTACGGTATTGACTTGAGCCTTTTGTACGACTTCCAACCATCTATCTCCCGTGGCAACGAGAAAAACAAAACGGGGAACACAAAATTGCCGTCCGTATGCAGTGTATAGCTCCTGAACGCCGCTTATGACCGCAGTCACAAGTCTGATGAGACCTTGAACAAAGGAAACATTCGTACTTTCATAGCCGTGGGTTGGTCTCAAGACTCTTTCGGGTCTAGTATTCTAATAACCGGCTTTACCAGGCATCGGCGGTAAACCGTGACCAGTGCTTTGTAACGGAAGATGGTTGTGGCAATAGATCTTTCCAGCCATGGTCTTCAAACAGTCCTTCTTGGACACGTCGATGAATTTGACGGGATCATCGTAGCTCTCCAGTTGGCAGCATTCGACGTTTCTCATCCAACGGCTGTTAATCACCTCGGAGATAGTGATGCGCTTGGCGGGGTCGGGATGGAGCATATTGAATATGAGGCGCCGAAGGGCTGCCGTTTTGAATCCGAACTCGAAAGCATCCAGACGAGGCATAGCTTCCTTGGGCAGATCCGGGCGGCTGGCCTTCTTGGCTTCGAATTTCTCCCAGGCCTTGACCAGCTTGAGGTAGTTGTCGTTGCCTTTGCGTGACGGGTCTTCGCTAGCTCTCTCCCACAGGTTGGCGCTGAATACCAGGTAGATCATGACAACAGCAGAGCTCCACACGTCCAAGGCACGGGGGTCGTATTCTCCTTGCTTGCGAAGCACTTCGGGTGCGATATAGGGTTCACTCCCACAAATGCCAGGTTTGCAGAGCCGAATCTCCCCGTTCATTCGCTGGCCACATTGACCACCAGCCTCTCTGAGGCCAGGGTGTATGCCTGAAAACACCTCCGAGACACCGAAGTCGGTGATCTTGAGCTTGCTATCCTTGGTAATGAGGAGATTTTCCAGTTTGATATCTCGATGAGCAATGCCGTTGGAGTGCAGGTAGTTGATCCCCTGCAGCAGTTGTTTGAACAGGCATAGTCGATCCGTCTCTCGATCAGATTCTCGAAGGTACTTCTTGGAGACCAGGCTGAACAAGTCGCCCTCGGAACAGTACTCCATGACATGGTTCCAGCGGCCATGATCGGAACAGAGCCTGATGGTTTCGACAATGTTGGGGTGGTGCAGGCTCTTGGCAATGCTGTACTCGGATTTGATCTTCTGTTCGTAGTCGTCCTTGGATTCATCTGATTTCTTGCCACGGAATTCTTTGACGGCATAGAGCTCGGTGGGGACACCTTTTCGGGCCATCAAGGTGACCTTGGAGGTTGCACCCTTGCCCAAATGCTTACCGTGACGGCCAAAGAGCTTGTGCTGATACTCAAACTCTTTTGTGAGCTCTGCCACGTCAACAGTGAAATCATCCGGAAGACTGAGACTAAGGCGGCGCGCCTTCATACCAGTACCGTAGTCTGGTGCCATGGCGAATGGGTGGGACACGAGCTCCTCATGGTGCTTCTTCTTGCGCTCGACGCTCTTGACACGTCGAACGGTCTTGTGGTTATTGTTGCTAAAGTTCACTCGATCACGAAATGAGAAACCAGTGCTGACTCTGCTCTTCTTCGTGTTGTCGAGAAAATCCGTCGACGATGGCAGCATTGGCCTAGCTGCGTTGTCTTTCGAGGCTGGCGCCATCTCGAGCGGCGAACTGGGCGAGGGCGGCGTGTGCGAGATCGAGGTCGCCGCCGATCGCCGCCAGGAAAAGCGGCTTTGGCTGCCATTGGGGGTTATTTTGATTGGCGTCGAGGCGTTGGTGTCGTTGTTGGCGCCGCTCTGGTAGGTGGGGTTTCTAAACTCGACCGTGGAGCTCTCCGTGACATTGGAGTTGGTACGCCGAAAGAAGTTGGCCATTTTGAGGCTGAGTGCGGAGGACCGTCTTCGGAGGATCGAAGGGGCAGCGGAGCCACGCGTGGAGGGCCGCCTGAGGGTCGGGGTGCTCTCTGACGGCGGTGCTGGTGATGCCACAGAGTCGGGCGTGAGGGATTTAGCAGCAGCCGGGTCCTGGGGCGTCCTGGGAGGGGTAGCGGCAGTCTCGACGAGCAGCGGCGTCTTTGAGAAGCCGTGAGACGCAAATTGGTGTTCAGGAGGCACCTCGGTGGACGAAGCGAGCGAATTTGTGTAGTGGCGGTGGTGGGCGTCGTGCTGGTCTACCGTGTGAAAGTCGCGCGACTGACGGCCGCTTACTGGGGTGACGGGCTCATTGGGGGACTCGCTGGCCGTCTCGTCGCATTCTTCGGGTATGGGAAGCGTGAGGTCTGTAGGGTAGCGACGGGGTGAGGAGGAAAGAGGCTGGGCCTGGCTTTGTTCTCGCGCGTTCGGGTACGCAGTCGAGTTCGGGGGTGTATAGGTGAACTGAGACTGCGAAGGCGAGGACGTCGGCGAGACTTCTGTCTGAGGTATTACTAAACCAGACGCGGAAGCAGGCGGCGGACAATGCAAAGGGGTGGAAATACCTGTGTCTGCTGGGCCCAGGGCCGACGATGCTGCAGTCTGGATTACTAAAGGTGACGACTGACCGTACGAGACAGACGGCGGCGGCGGCGGGGGATGCGAGGGCGGCGGCAGGAATATGGAGGATGATGATGTAGTGGCACCACCAGGCGCTGGCCGGGTCTGAGGGGCAGCCATTATTGCCGCGTAAAGCCCCTGCTGGGTGCCCTGGGTGCTGCTGCGGCGGCGGTGCCGGGGGGTCCCAAGGGTGGTGGTGGTGGTGGTAGCGACCGCGGCCGTAGTGGTGGGCACCGTGGGTGTGCTGCTTGTGGGAATCGCACGCCAGAGCCTGCAATCGGTAGCGCGGCCCAGCTGCTGACCATGTCCCAGTCCCAGTCTAGACTTGCTGTGCAGAGTGCCAGAGAAGGTTGGCACGCGGAATTCCTCGTCGGAAAATCAGGATTTCATGCGCAATCCGGCACGTCCGATCGTCCGCCCTGGCCTGGCTCCGATTATGTTATAGCTTTTAGGTTCAGAAACGCCCGCTCGCTGGGGAGAAGCCTGAGGACGACGTCCAATCCCAATGAGCACGCCTATCAGCTCTCTTCTCTCTTTCGTCCTGCGGGAGAGGAGGATCGGTCGCGCGTATCGCAGACCTGGAGACCTCGGGACCTGGGGGGGAAAACCAGTGGGTAGCGTAAGGTGTTTTGGGTGGGTGGGCGTGTGGGTGGCGGATGATGGATGTTATAAGAACCAGGTAGCACAGGGTGGCCAAGGTTGACGTTCAGCAAGCCCCTTTCTTGGCCCCTTCTTTCGAATGTTCGGTGCAGCGACGATACTGGACGGATGGGGTTGGATGGGTGCAGTGTCTTCAGCAAGTACCCAGGTGGTGCGTTGGTCGTGACGACGCCTTGCTCTTACATACAGCGCCCAGAAGAGTGGACAGCCTTACGATCTTCACGCCAAGGCAGAAGAAAAGGCGATGTAGGGAGGGGGACTCCAGGGGGCGAGGGTCGAAGCAAGTTATAAGAAAAGAACAAGCATGCTTCCAGCAAGTAAGAGTAGTTTGCCAAACACCTGTAGATCTTTCTGCCGCGTGTGTGTTCAGTAGAGCGAGTCCCGGCTGCAGGAATATGTGCCTTCAGGACGGACTCTCGAGATGGAGGGTGAGGATACTACTAGTGACTGATATGTGGAATTGGGGGAAGGGCAAATACGTGGGATGCAACGGGAATAAAGGCATCCGACTCCAGAGGGCCGCCCGTAGAGGATTAGCGAGAAGAGGGAATATAGTAGTAATATTGAGCGAGTCCCAAAGACCTCCTACATACCCAGGTCGGTACGTACAGCAAGGGGTTTCTCCAGAGCGTCTTCTCGTGGTGGGTAGTGTAATGTGAGAAGGAGAGCGAATTTACGGTTGACCGTGGTGGTCGTGGCTGGCTGTGGAGTGTGTGTCTCGCGAGGTATCGAATACTTCTCAGTTTCAACATGGTCAAGGAGAGTGTGGAGGTCGCTTATGTACGGGCGTAACCAATCATCCGTGGCCGCACAGTCTGGAGTCCCCAGTGCTCGGTGCCCCGACGTGGGCAGGAATATTGCAATTGGTATTACCTGTATGGATTACACATGGAGCAGCGGAGCGTAATGCGCGGGAACATGGACAAGATGCGGACAGTACATGCAGCCTTGGCAGGCTGGCTCGCCGTCTGATTATTTCCCGCATATGTTGAGCGGCCTCGGTGCTAAATTGATGGCCCAGAAGGCCCCAACCAAATAGCACGAACATCCAATTACAGTACAAAGTACCACAAGGAGAGCAGCGCACCTCCAGTCATCGAGTCAGGACTCCGGGGGGGTTCTTGGGATAGACTGGCTTAGCCGCGTTTGGCAGTTACAACCCCAGAGTCCGCTTGGAAGTCAACTCTCGCATCGTTTCCAAAATTGTGTGTTTAGTGGGGCTCTGTGCTGGCTCTGTCTAACTTGTGTACAGTAAGTATGAACGCGAGTAAAGATTACCCCATTTTGACCAATTAAAGAGAGTCCAATGCGCGAGGTAGGGCGCTGGTCAAGGCGGCCAGCGACAGGTCTTTGAACGGCTACAGACCGCACAACACAGTGCTCGTTTGATCCATGATAGATCCTATCGGAATCGATTGCTTCGGGAGCTGGACTCACATCGAAAGGGCGGCATTCCTCGGGTGTGTCACGAGAATTGCGAGCCCTTCGTCCGTTCAATATACGGATGGTGAGCGCTTATTGCAATCGTCAGTCCAAGAGACGCCATGAATGAAACATGGGTAATACCAAGCATTGGCACATATGTGACGGAAGACGAGATGGGCGCTTGGCAAGCGCTTTGGCGACAATCCTTCGATAGTGTACGGCGACAGTCGTCTCTCACCTGTAACGATATCAATTTCACTCTATGGCACGTTGCGGCAGGCAGTCTCTGGGGGTATTTTCAACTCGAGATTCTACACAACCCCTACAGTCGCCCTGGCTTGGTGATCTGTTTAACCTAGTTACTGCCCCAGGGCACAGGGGCCTACGGTTTCGCTCCACGGCGTACCGAGTACATCAGACGAATGCGGAAGGAATCTGCTGCTAACCTTACCCAGTAAGCTTCAAGTTACCGACTCCAGCAAATGCAACACCCTGCGTCATATGCTGGGTCTGTGGTGGGGTATCACCGGCCATTCGGCCAATTTTCCCCATCGCGAGACGCTCATGTGCAAAGCACAAACGTGAGCCATCGCCAACGAATTCCAACTGCGTGGGGAGCCTGTGAGGTCTGCTGAGCTGCCACGAAGTCAGGGCTCTATTCATAGCCAAGGCATTACATCATTGCCCCAGGCCGAGGTGAGAGACGAACCAGTATCGTCAACGCACGCAGATGGTTCTAGGTTTGAACCTGAAAGGGCCCCAGAGAATTGCCGCTATTATCGCAGTTATTGGGGCGGTTGGAGAGATAACCGAAACTCTACTGAAGTAGTTAGCTTTGGGCCTGCAACCGTTCAACACGCTATCGGGGGGATTCGGTGCCTGGAGGTCAGATGCTATCCTATTGTTTGTGCACACAGCAATTGGTTCGCACGCGGATGCCAATGAAGGCGCCGCCTCAGCATCAGAACTCGTCATCCTGCGAATACGGCTGTGGGATCGCGGAGCGTGAGCGTGAGCACGCCGAGCAGCGAGGCACGCGAGGGCATGAGCAGTCATGGTGGGGTAGGCTGCAAGCTAGGAGACCCTGAAGGAATTGCAGATGCAAGACATAGGCCGGGGTACCACAGACCGTCTACTCACTTGGCAGGACAATGAAAACTAACCCACGAGTCGCTTGTGTGAGTATAGTTGTTTGCTGTCTCGGTTGTGCTATCGCGACTACCACCTCTCGCATGTCTACGTGTGTCTATACTTAGGTGTCTAATCGCGGTGCGCCTAGCCAAGCATCGTACATAATGTGCCAAAAGGGAAACCAATCTGATTAAACTGACAGCAGACGGGTAATCGTTGATCGAGATCCACAAACCGCGTCACGGCGACTTGGAGAGTTACAAATCCGCGCGCTATGCACGACTGACCAACTACAGGGTTCATCGTTCTGTCACACCATAGTTCGCATTCTGCAGTAGTTTCGATATGGCGGACGGCTCCAATTCGAGAACACTATTCGTGGTCCTGTGCAAAGATCAGGAGCTGTCGCAAGGATGTCACCTCAGCGACGCAACTTGGGAGGGTTCCCCAAGCAGAGCTGGCGATGCTTGAAAGGGTAATCCGACGATCGAGTCCCTCCAATCAACAGGGCTCTTAGGACTTCACGTTTCACAGGCTTTGGACCTAGCCACGATAACCCCACGATGGATTGGCACACCGAGACTGGTTCGCTTCGTTCCTGCAGGTGGACGAAACGATTCAAGTCATGCAGTCATTCAAGCAGAATCGCCAAGTCTCTCACCTTGTGATCTCCGACCACTGACACCGCCCGCTCCTGCAGTAGCTCTCTCGATGTGTGTTGGAAGTTACCTTTGTCCCAGGCCCATCGATGCGCGTCAACCCGTCTTGGCTACCTAGATGTGAATATTCGCCTTTTTTGCCAGAACTCAGGTATAAACGAGGCAGATGCCACGCATGCTACGGCATATCACCAGAGTCGAACAGACGGTGGAAGTAACAGCTTGGCGGAGCAATCAGCCTTTTGCGGCTCTTGGCTGAGCACGAAATCGGCAAGTGTCTCACTGCATTTCCCGTACCGAGTACACAGACACGGTCCTGAAGTCCTCTGCAAGTCTCAATGACACGGTGAAGCGGTTGCAGCCTACTGTCCATCGGCAGTACGTACTTCGGCGGATGGGAACCAATCTCGGTGCCACTGCTCCCAAACGCCAGCAACCAGGAGAACATTTCGCTCAGAACATGTACCGTTGCGCATTGGGGCACACGATCGATACAGGGGTATTGGTGCCTTTCATTCTCTGACACTGTTGCATTTCAGCATGCCTTACACCCACCAGCGCTGAGCAGTCGGTAAAGTGGCGGTGAACATGGATTTGCTATGCTCATACTGTCTGCTCGAAGAGGACCCAGTTACTACCTGAAAAAATGGCGCAGTGAATATCGTAGCATTCGTGTCAGCGTCCGAAAGGAAGAAGCTGTGTTGGCGGGCCTTGAATGTAATAAACTACATAGGTACTTACAACGAATCTCGACGTGGCTCTCCTGGATGTGATCGTTGTGCGGGTTCACACCCAGGGTTTCCCCACTGTAGCACCGACCCTCGAGGGACCTCTAAGAGTCTACTTCAGTCTTCGATCAACCCCGTCATGTGCCTTTCTACTACCTGAAGGTCCCACGTCACTCAGTCTGCCGTCGCACAAACCGGAACCTGAGACTTGTCAGGATTGCCAAGGCTGAGATGCAATTACTGTGCAGCCGTGCCAGCCGCCTAAGTTCTGGCGAATCCCGGTGCCAAGGAAGATCGTCACTTGGATATTGATCGAGCTCGCCTCATTCGAGCTGTGAGGCTCGTGTGTGTTGAGACTAATTGACAAGGGTCATCTTCCGGTGATTCAATAGTGACCGTGTGTTGGTATTGCCCAGAAGCAGAACGAAGCTTATTCTGATGGCGACTTCAAGAGAGCCCCTTTACATCTCCTTCTCGAAGCGGTACGCATCGTTTGGCTTCCTCGTGCGAATGAAGTTGGAGGTCCAGTGGTCTTCTCTTTCTGAGTAACTCTTGGAAGGGCCGTTTCACACTTCCAACCGCTTCCTCTCTGCGCAGATATCTTGATCGACTTGCCGCTGTTGCCAAGGAAGACGCGCGCGTGAAGATCGGATCTCCCTTGGTATCTTGGTATTGCCAAGATGCGTGTGTTTAATCCTGGTCGGTCCGACGGCGCTTGGCATACTCAGTTCAGAGACATGCAGATGAACACTTATCGTCTGGCGTGGGGGATTCCATCATGGGCTGTGTCACAGTCTATGATGGCTGTCGCGTTGAAGTGACATAGGCCTCGCGGAGCGTCGTTCTCCTGAGAATTTGATACCAATGCATGGTCATGTTACTTCATGAGACGGGCTTGGAACTGCCGTGATCAGCATCTACATAGTAGATCTCTCGATGCCAAGTGTGCACGAACACTTTGACGTGGCAAGTACGATGTAAGAGAATTTTTCACAGCTCTAAGACGTTTGCAGATGTTGTAGAGTCTACTTCGGTTCGCATAGCTGATGACCCAACAGACGGTCTAGTCTGCTGCATGTTTGAGATTGCGCACTCAAGGACTGGCAATCTGCACTCTAGCATTACGACTTGGCCCTGAATTACCCAGACGATGTTGTTACTGCGGAACCTCAAACACGACCTCGTGGTCAGATGGATCTCTGTCCCACAGGATCTCCTCGTCAGCGTTGCTATCATTGCAACGTCCCACGGTTTCAAGCATGAGTGATTTATATGCTCTCAGGCCCGACGTATGTCAGAACACTGCTAGCCTGTAGTATGGACATCAGTAAGACTGCAAACAGATGGAGGTGCTGATCTTCTATCGTCTTCTTCGTTGCTGTTCTTCTTAGTTACATGCTGACATGAGACTTGCCTGTGCGCTGAGTTAAGGGTAATTCTACAAAAGGGCCAGACTTAGAGCGGTAGCAAAGCTCGAGCCATGCCAAGACTCAACAGTATGCGATTGTCGACTATTGAGTTGGATCGGCAGTGCTCGAGCTTATCTGGTTGTAATAGAACTGCAATCCTTTAAAGTCTGTGTGATCGTTGAAGTCTAGACCGCAAGGAGGGTAGGAACGTTACATCAACAAATTGAGGCACGAGCTTGATTCACGAGGTCTTTGCGTAAAAAAGAAATTGGCTCATCATATCGCTTTCGTTATCATACCTGCAATCGATCCTATCGTAACTCAAGCTAGGCTTCATGCCGGTGGCCTCATCAAACACCAAACCTCCTGGAGCTGTAGAGACTGATCTTTTAGCCATAAATTCCCTCTTCCGGGGCACGAATAATTTTGTTCACCATGATTGTGGCAGTCATTCAAGCTGCTTAAACAGATAATTCCGACAGTGTAGTGAACCGATTCGGGATTTCTAGAGTTGGAGACAAAGGTATCGAGATACCACTGGAGGAAGGGAACACGGAGTCTTACCGCTGAGCAACGACATATATACTTCAAGAAGACCGTCGTCGAGAGTGTTTGTGCCTCAACGCCCTCTGGTGATACTATGAAGATATGAAAGAAACGATTGATAAGAAACGGAGATCCGTTGCAGTAGTATTGTATTTCTGATGTCACCCGCTTATGAACACTCCAATTCTTTGGTCTAAACGGCGAGAATTCTTTGAAAGTTAGTTGATTGGATATATGCTTACTGTAGACCAGCGGGCTGACAGAAATGAAATAAGCATCGTCATAGTGCATCAGTCGGAGAACTAGGTATAGCGTTTTCTTATCCAACAGAAATCCTCAGCGACTACAATACTGGAGGATGTCTCAGATCAATTCGGTCCTCTAAAGACAACGACAACTGTTGCAACTGTTTAGTGTCAATGTCTGGCGGATGTGAACAGTCAGCATCTCGTAACCAGGACCCAGAATCTCTTTCATTGGACAAAACGCTTTCGATGGTTTAAATTGGTGCCCCCCGCTTGTCGATAAGACGCAAATGCGCAGAAACCACAAGGTATAGGAAAGACTCGGCTGCCTGACGAGGCGTGTTGTTTGCATGAAAACATCTTCCCCCAAACCATGTAAACCGTTTTATTTCACAGATATTTTCGGTCATAGTAGTCATTGGCAGAGCTAATTTCTCGATAAGCACATCGCCAATCATGGATCACTCGAAGGACTCCAATAGACTAGACTCTGGAGACCAGGCTGAGGTACCCCGCGCCGCCTTACAGGAGCTCACTAGAGACCATATTCTCCCAACTTGGGAGCAGCATCGCAAAGCTGGCTTGCCAAACACTTGGGAGGTGAAAATCATCCTTCTCCCATCGGCATTGTGGACGACGCGGCCGGAGAAGGGGTCAGACCAGTATCTGCGACTCAAGTCAAGGAAACTAATCGTCACCAAAATCATCGGCGGGCGTGACGCTGCAACCATCGAGCATGCAATCTCGACCCAGTTTGCCGAGGTTCTCCGTAGTGAACAATGGATGCCTCTGCAAACGTTATGGGATCCTATCAACTGTGAGGTCCGCTTGTCATCATCAGCGGCCCTGAGCGGCTCCCATAACATCGACTTCGACTTCCTTGCAGACCATTGTCTCATGCGGACCGAGAAGGAGAAACTGTACCTATTCATAGCCCCCAAAACTAGTAAGCTCTCTTGGCAGTTCATCCGGCGCCTACCAAGAGCGCGCTTGCCTATCTCCAGCTCGGTAAAAGAGGATTTCTGGAACTCAGACTTGGATGAAGCTGGAAGTTCCGAAGACGATGGCGATGACTATATTCGTTCTCAATCAGAATCTCCAAAGTCCCGCTCGAATAATGGCCTTGGAATTCAGCTCAGAGTCATACCACAAGAGGTTCGGACAAGCCTGGCAACTCTACTGACAGCCCCTGAGAGTACCTCCTTGGAGCGTTCTACAACCTCCGCCGAAGGGGAGAATCCTCAAGAACGTAAAGCAACCTCTCAGGATAGAACAATTCGCAGCCCCAAAGGAAAGTATCCTTGTCCGTACTCGGATTGCGCTCGCTCAAGGATACCATTTTCGTACGAGGAATACGTTATCGAACATGTCAGAGGTCGGCATAAGGACCCGAATTACGGCATTCGTGCTGTGAGTGGTCTTTCTTCAGTGGAGAGCGCTGGTTCTGAGGCAACACAGGTTGGAAAATTTACAGATTCAGACTTGGGACGTGATACAGAGCATATCGTGTCGGAAGAATCAGTGGCAACAATTACCAGGACGGAGTCTACAGGATGCACCTATCCAGAGCCGACGTCTACAAGAGACCGAACACGGGAGTTCTCAACTTATGACCGTTGTGAGAATAGTACGCCACGATCAACAGGGGCTGACGAGATCGCGCAGGCTATCGGCGCGATATACTCTACTTATCCCAAACCCGCTTCATTAGCTAATGTACATAGTAAAATGGATGACAGCTCACGAGCGAGTCAACCGGAACACGACCCTCCTGTACATACAGCATCAAAAGATGCGACGATCTCCCTCGAAGACACTAGCGTAGAGCCGCTTCAAAGCTCGCCTTCAAGGAATGGTTATCCTGAATCTTTGTCAGACAAGATCGATGATACATCCGTGGATGCAATTACCGGCAAAGGCACAGATGGAACATCAACCGAATCGCAACAAACAAATCAAATACTCCATGGCAATCTCGCGATTCGTACCCGGACCAGTACGCATGCTGCGTCAGGATGCCAAGCGAATCGTCCGTCTAACGGCAACGCGGCGACTTCAAATAAGAAGCACCCTGCCAACAAGCGACGCCGTACTGAATCAGGAAGAGACCACCCCAATGACAACGGCGATGAGGAGAGCGAGAGCGACCCTCCCAAAGAGCCGAAGGGCCTGGACAGTTCTGATGCGAATGAACCCAGAATTTTTGCCTGCCCATTCTACAAGCGTGACCCGAGGACATATCGGTTATGTGTCAGTAAAGCCTGGACAAAAGTGCACCGGGTAAAGTAAGTTGTCCGCAGCACAAGACTCGCCAGTCTGTATACTAAACAGCCTGCAGAGAGCATCTTAAACGAAAGCATATGCTGCCTCCGCATCAGTGCCGGAGATGCTTCCAAAGATTCGAGCAGCAGTCGCAACTTGATGAGCACGTTCAGGGAACGCCATGCGCGAGAGCAGTCGAGCCAGACGCCTCTGTAGGCGTTACAGTGGAGCAAATGACGGAGCTCCTCAAAAAGAAGAAGAACTTGAAAGAGGTTGACAGGTGGAATGAGATGTACCAAATCTTGTTCCCGGCGGACAGCGCTGACGAAATTCCATCCCCGTGTAAGTCGCGGTGCATTCCCTTGCTCAACTGAGACTAAGATCTCCGCCGACCAAAGGGCAGTCAACCAGCCACCTTCTTGATGTTGAGGAATACCGCACGTACCTCAGACAAGCCTCGCCAATGAGCCATCAAGAATGTATGCGGCGGAGTTTTTCGGATATCATCGCCACTTGCCGCGACAACGCAGCCATCAGTCAGGAAGAGCTTGTAGCCAAGCTTGTGGATAGTGCCCGGCAGCAGCAACTGCAGTCGTTGGAACGGTTCCTGGAACTGAAGTTGGCTAAGAGAAAGTCAGTGGACCTTGAACAAGGTTCCTGCGGCCAAGCTGAGAGCTCAGCTGTACAGACGGACTCCTGCCTCAGTCCCGATCCTCCGGCGCAGTGGTGGTCGCAGTTATTCGGCTCTGAGCTGGATCTTGGTTATGAGGAAGATCCTTTTGATTTTCATCAGTACACCTACTCGGAAACCCCCGTGGATCATTCAGGTGTCCCCGCTGGCTCCACTCTGACGGATCATCTCTTGCCACCTTTCTGAGGATGGTCCCAAGTTGGGTATACGACGGTTGGGCCCTGCTGCTGTCACAATGTTGCAGTTACCAAATGGTATCTTTGGTGTATAAGAAGAGGATAAGATCTCGAAGGAATGTAGTGAACGTCAAGAGCTGTCTAACGGTCTGGTAGAGAGGACAGGCAGGCATACTTCGAATCGACTTAGACAGTGGGGTGATTATGTTGTATTGGCAATACTGGGGCATAGCAATCTCTTGTAACTAACATCCTCGCACCTGGGGTCCTTGCGTCTCCATGGAAAACCCCCGTTCACTTGAGGCATCCATCTTTATGATATGCTCTCTTACTAGCCCGCTGCCCAACATATGCTGCTTGTCACATGACCTTGAGTTTGTATCCCAAGATGTTCCTCTGCGCCGTGCGCATTTCCACCCCCTCCAATGTGTACCTGATATGAGAAGTCGACGTGTGCCGGTGAGTGTATGTCTGTGCTTAACACAAACAGTCTATAGGCCACCCAGCAATTTTCCCATAGCCTTTTTCGCAAGTGTCCTCGTCTTTCTGTCTAAACAGAGTGCGCCATCCATGTCGTTTAATCTCCATAATCCAAAAACAAAAAAGTAGAGGCCAGACATTGCCATGCCCTGAAATATATCGGGGTAGCCTCGGAGCAAAAGGTATCAAAAGGGGTATGGGGTATTCAAAGTGGTGCTGTACTGAACGAAAGCAATGCAATCCGCCGCATATGGTTTTCTCCCCTGAAACCAACCGTCGTGCAAGAACGACGGCCCATCCAGGGGGTAAATAGAAGGGACAAAGGAAAAATATTGTTGTGTAGACAGATTCCATCTGAATCTTACGTCAAGAGGATGTAGTCGGCGGAAACGATGTCGCGAACCCCACTGCTTCTTCAGATGGGGACCCAAATGGCAGACCGAAATTGTCGGTTCTTCTGATTTTCATCGGCTGCTCGGCTGGATCATTAAAGGCGCCCGGCATATCATCAGTGGTTCCATCAAGGCTGATAACTTGAGTTCCTCCCGATGGTGATGTGGTGACAGGAACTCCTTCGCTTGCTTCAACGAAACCAGGCTTGCCCTAGAAGCCATTCAGAGTTCCCAATGGAGCGCCAAAGTTGCTGTTGTTCTTGAATTTGAGCGGGATCTCGCCAGCCTCGTCTGGTTGACTCGGCTGGTCATTTTCCGCCGAATCGTCATCGCCCACCACGGCTTTCGGTTGTGGAAAGTACGAAGAGCCATCCTCAGGCTCAGAGAGGCCAGTCTTGAGAACAGTTGGGGTCGCATTATCACTCTGAATCGAGTCCTGCAGTTTATCTGCAACCTTGCCCAGAAAGATCTCATCAAATGCCTGCTGGTTTCTCAGTGACAAGGGCCCGCTAAGTTCGCGATCGTCGTCACTAGGTCTCAACAATGCATCGGGGTGCCCTTCAACCGTATCCTGCTGCCCATCTTTGCCCGTAATTCCCGCCTCGGCAATAGACTTGCCTTTGATGTCCGTGTCTCTCTGACTGTGCGTAGGCGTCGAGGCGCCCGAACTACCGGCAGTGTTCGACGCGTCTGTGGCAACAGCGGATTGGAATGTGGATAGCGAATGGTTGGGCGTGTGCCCGGCGTGCATTGTGAGTCGAGAGGCTTCGGGTGCTTGTAGCGCTTCCATGACGAGTTCCGCTGGAGAGGTCTTGGAACGGCTGCTTGGTGATCCTTGGTTCGAGTTTGGGCCGGTGGCATTGGAGCCAGATAGAGGGGGCGACGGCGGCTTTCCGTCCATGAAGGTCGACTTCTTGACTGCCGTGGTCTTCAGAGGAATGCCCTCGAGGTCAGGGTGCACCTCCTGCACGTCAATCGAGGGGATCTTTTCCTGGCTGCTGCTCGGTGCCTCGTTGGGGGAGTTCTGCGGAGAAGTGCCCTGCATTCGAGGGTCCAAAGGCTCAAAAGGATGGGACTCGGGCATTGTGTGGCCCAACCCAGGAATCGGTGTGGTGCCCGGCGACACGCTATCGGATGTGAGCCGGAATTTGACGGCAGACACATCTGACATGTCTGAACTCCCGGCTCCCATGCCGGCGACAGCGGAGTCGCGGCTGCCACGGTTTGTGTGTCGGGCCAGGGACTCGCGCAGCTCGGCGTTCTCGCGCTCCAATTCACTGATGGTTGTGAGGTATTGTGCCTCCTTCTCGGCCCAAATCAGGCGATCCTCGTCCATGATGGCGCGCTCTTCCTTGTAGATCTCTTCGGCGCGGGAGCGGTTGGCCTCGAGGTGAGCTCGCTCAGCCTCCCAGTTCTCGAGCAGTCGGCGGTTCTGGAGGAGGACGCGCTGGAGGTGGTGGCTGGCCTGCTCGGGCGACTCATTTAAGGGTGCCAACGTCGGCGAGATGACTCGGCTGTGGTATTGGTTCTGCTGGCTGTGGCGCGTGGGCGACAGGCTGGTGGACCGCTGGACTCGGCCCGTTGGCGCACTGCGGCCCTGTGGCGACAGGTACCGGCGTTGCTGTGACTGAGGGAGCGCGGCGCTAGCGGACGAGTGTCGGGAGAGCTGGCGTTCGTCAAAGTACGAGAGCTGGTTTGCATTTCTGGGCAGGGCTAGCGGTGAGATAACCGAGCTGGAGCTGGGCTGGCTGGACACAAGCCCGGACAGGGAGAGCGGATACTCGTTCGGGTCCTGAAAGGCGCCCGACGGCAGAAAAGAATCCGGCAACCTCGACATGGTGAGCGTCATCTGAGGCAGCTGCGATGAGATCTGGGTACCGCGGGGAGCAGGGAAGTTCCGGGTCGCTGCGCCGGGGGTCTTCAGCCCGCAGCCCAGGGAAAAAGTTGCACCCGGCGAAAGTTACGGTTTGGCGGATGCACCTTAGGCTCAGGTACCAGGGCAGGGTTTGTCGACGACTTGGTTGACGCAATGGTGACAAGCCAAGGCAGAACTTGTCTTTCACGTGTTCCGAGAGCCAACCCGCTCAGGCCCGACGTTGAATTGAATTGGTCTTGTGATTGTTGAGGTGGTGGTACAGTATGCCGTACTATACCTATCAGTATCGGGGCGGACGAGGAGCATAGTTGTGCAGTCTAAGTGGACTGCGCGGAGGATATGCTCACGTTATAAGAACGACGACGATGCTCCAGTGTAGGAAGCCCGTTTCAGCGGGGTTCCGTCCAGGATTGTCTGCTCCAACGGTTGCTGGATGAGAAAAAAACAAGAGTGATGACGGTCGTCGGCCAATCTCTCGGCAGTGAACGGGCAAGTTCGCTATATCGCGGTCGGGTCAGCCTGTGACGCGCGACCACCTGGCCAGCTGTAATGCGATCTCACTCCCCACCTGCAGGAAGCTTGGGCAGCACTTTTCGGACTCGTTCGTCTCAAGTCGTGATCTGGTTTCAAGTGCGAAAGGCAAACGACACCGCTGTGCGCGTCTTGCCGTGACAAGATAGCAGCCGAGGGCGAATCGTGGGCGGTCAAGCCCGTGAAGGGGCCGGATGGAGTATGTATGCGCTGTCTGCGCTATTGTACGCTACGCTGCGTGTAATTGCCAGGAGGCCCACATGTCAAGCACAGAGTCGCCCAAGGGTAGTAGTGGCAGAAAGAGTCGTCTTCTGGTTTGCTTGGAGCACATGCGAGTGAATCCCGTTCTGGTCACTGCGGACGGCAGTAGGTATATCACAGTCGGGGAGCAAAGTTGACGAAAGGATGGTAAGCCAGTGGACAGCCGGCCAGCAGAGGGAAACGGGATGCACGGGGGGCACCACGATTTGATGGCAACGATGGACCAATATGAGTTTGACGTGCGCAATAAGAAAAAGGGCACATCCAGCTCCCGGTAGGGCCAGCAGCAGCAGCATCATCATTTGCCATCCTCATCCTGCCTGCGGAACTACCTCGCGGGTACTCGTCTCGCGGGCGGGATTCTGCGCCGGCCCAAAGTACTACTGCTGGTCTCACTTGTCGCTCTATTTTAACCGGTACCTAATAAGAAAAAACGCGTCGGCCATGGATCATCTCCTTCTTGGGCCCTGCGAGATCCCCGACGGACTGGCCCCTGCAAGGATGGCAAGGCCCTGGACCATCCCAGCTGACTGCCTGATCCGCGGTGGAGGGCCGCCTCGCTCTTGGAGTCGTCGCCCAACTTCAGTCCCACACATCAATAGCTCTGCTACTACCGAATACTATCCTCGCCAACCGGCGGGAGCATGCAGACCTGCACAGTCTGTTGTCTCTGACATGCCCCCTTTCGGCGCCTTCAGCTCTGTCGCAGCATGGCCAGATCACCTGTGGCGGTCTGCAGAAGGCAGAACTCGGACCAAGACGGCGCCCCTGGCTGTGCTCACCGTCGTAGCCAAGTGAGGTACCTACCCATCCACTGAGCTCTGCCAACGTGGCCCGTCTTGCATCTTCGACTTCCTGGGAAGGAAATGCTGGGGGACGCAGGGGACGGCCCGCGGGGCGAGTGAGCAGACCTCCGGGCCACGCGAAGCTGGTTTGAAGCAGCACCTGGGCCACCAATCAGACGCAGCCCAAGTGGCTTATGGAACGCCTGTCTTACCCCCTTTCCTTTTCTCCACAGGTTGTCTTTGGATCCAGACTGCAGCGCAGCCCAATGCACTCTTGACCAGCCGGCCCTAAATGCCGGCAAGAGCAGGACCCTTGATGCTACGAATTTCCTATTCTGTCACGAGCAAAGTCACGTTGGCTGCAATGAGCCAACCAACCCTTTCCCGAAAGGAAAGAAATCATGATTCTTCTGGCGGAAACTGAGGTAGAGAGATCTGACTCACGGAATAGTGAGCTTGTTCGCTTATCAAGACCTGAGGCATGAGACCTGAGCGTCCTTCGCTCGTGTCGGCCTTGCAAACCCCAGAGTGGCCTGGCTCTCACGATAACGTCCTAATAAGTATGCCACGACCCAAGGAAACCATAACTGGGAACTGCATGCACTACCAACCACGTTGCCCTCATGACCACCGGAACAAAATTATACGTAGCGCCAATTCACCCCTCCCCACTTGATCATGTGAACTGCGTGGAGCGCCAACCAAGGGCCCTATGTTCTGAAGAGGTCTGGGCTGTCACACATCTGGCCTGGGGATCTACAGGGTCCTTCTCCGAGTGCAGTCTGTCAAGGCGGGACTGGGAACACAGTGCAGCCATTCCGGAAGAATTGTTTTTTGCTTTCTAGTTACTTCGCAACCTAGGAAATATACACCGTATCCAGCCGCCCTGATGCTTTGGCTGCCCTGGGTTGCCAAAATGTATTATGTATGGGCCCCGACCAGAACCTTATATGACCTTCTACTGGAATCTGCCTAGCCAGGGTAGTTCATGATAGTGTGATCTCTGGTGAAGACAAGGCTCGGTCTTTCCAGACTCAGGCAGTCACATCGCGGTCCTTGTGTCGACCGACGGAAATACGGCACGATCTAGCTTTCAAGATGTGAGTGAAAGTGTAGACGTACAGTACTCTCACCCCATTCGAGCCAAGAGTCGGCGCTTCCTCGCCTTCACTCTCTTCAAACACAACGCTTGGCTGACTCGTGCATGCGATGCCGCTAGGTCGTGAGTTGTCGCTGGAGTTGCCAGGAAAGCTCCGCACAGCGTATCTATTTCTGCTCCTGTAACACCAGTAATGCCAAAACTTGCTAAGTTAGAATGTTGAGGTGATCCGCTTGCTGCCCTACAACGGGTAGCTACATCCACTACAGCTACAGTAGGCTTTCGTCGCACTCGAGCCACATGGCATTGCATTCCAGTGGCCATGGAGATGTAGATTGCCACTGTGTTGGCGGCATTGGATGGACCCTGCATAAACACCCCTGTAGAAGATGCTTGCTGGCAACCATTCCTCAGGAACGAACCGAATGCTCAAGGCTCGCTTCCCTGGCCCTCGGCTTATTCGTTGAGAGAGCAATGAACGTGTATAGCTTCAACAGCGTAGGGCTGGCAGATCTCTAGTCGGTTATCCTATATTAAACTAAAAGGCCCTTAGATCTGAAGGCTTCAATTTGAAATTTTTTCACGAGTCATCCCGGTAGCATTAAGTCCAGGCTATGCACTGGATTTTTCTAGAAGCCCAACCGGACCAACTGGTCCCTGTGCGGACTGTGCCGTTGACAGGTCCAGGGCTACACCGCTTCACCTAGCCTCCTGGTCATCCCATGAAGCGAACGATCATAGGCGGAAATCTGCATGTTATTGAAGCTCGCCACTGTATTGCCGAGTTCACCGAGCGCCTTGTGGGGTTCCCTAGGATATTCGTTCTTGACGTCCTGCCTTACGCGAGGTCGCTTGTAGTGTCAGCATTACTTACTAGATGGCCGACGCTATTGCGCGGTTCGAGGTCACGATGGCTTGAACTCCCAGGACTTGATCAGACTCAACCCCAGAGCTTCGTTCCAACATGCAAGTGGTTAGATGGATTATAGCGAAAAAATGATACACAACCAAGTCTAAACTCTTTGCGAAGTACGAGGAAGTCAATGCCAAAGAATGCCCAGGCCGGAGCCGCTCCAGCCTTGCAGCGTAGTGGTCGCGTGACATGTCAAGCCCTGAATTGACCTTCCGTCTCAGGCGAAGTGCATGTCAACCAGGCAAGCCGGGGAAGCAAAGGGCTAGACGTGGGCGCTTAACAGCCAATATACGCAGTACTCACTGCATTTCCTCGATTACCTTGGAGCCGCGCATGCTCGAAACGAGTTGCCCGCAGCAGTACGATTTCGCGGGGCCCCGCATCGTGGTATACGGAACCCCGGGACGGAGATGTTATATTTCTGGGGTGCCAAGAGTCATGGATTACGAGTCAACGGTGGCCAAGAAACAAGTTCAACCCCAACGGAACCATGCCCGGCTGCCGAAATCTAATATGTCAAGGCGTCTGTACTAGGCGGCTTCTTGGTATGATACCCAAGAGGAGTTGATTGTACGAGACTGTGATCTCTGAGTGGAACGCGAATCGCGGCTCTCAGTATCGATTCTCCAGTCAGCGACCGCTTTCGATGGTGCAAGACCCTCCCGGTGACAAGGGTGAAGTTCTCTACGTCCACTTTGGATATACATTGCTCTAAAGTCTTCGCCGTGGACTTCCCGGAACTAGGCACGGTCTTGCAAGCCTCATCATATTTTTGCAGAATTATACCTTGGGCCACGTGACCCGTTCTTTCTTCCATGCTGTCTTCATACATGTGGTGGGCTTGCAAGAATAATATGCTGAGCGACTAGGCTCAGACTTTTGATGGTAAACTCAGCCAATGAGCAAGTATACATATGTATATGGTATATTTAGAAAGTCCCCCCCCCCTGGTAGGTCGTCCATCCAAGTGTTGCGTCGTATTGGGGAAATAAGTATCGCGATAAAAGCAGAGCATTGATGTATGAGGAACACAACACAACCGCGCGGAAAGGGTCAAGTTGACTGGTTGGTATACCCTCATTCATAACATTGCAAATACTAGCCCTTCGCCTGCTCTTCTTGGTATTCGCGCGACGTGTCAAAAACGCGCCAAATAAAGTATGAAACGAAGGCTAGATGCTTGCTATAAACTCATCTACAAATCCAAGATCGATACGAGCAATGGGTAACTCCTGTAGTTTCCTAGCTCAATTTCTTCTCCATCAAGTCGGCCAACTCATCCAGTAGTTCCACGGTTTCTGCCGGACTGGCGATCCATGCCGTAGTTCCCACACTTCTTGCCTTGAAGTCATTTGACCCAGCACTTAGGAACTGATCACCCACATGGAGTGTGTTCTCGCCTTTGATTGGAACGCCATTACTGCCAAACCAGTTTTGACAGACATTGACGCCCCAGCTCTTGTCACCAATGTCAACAAACACATCGCGGCCGCCATTGAAGGCACAGAATGGCACGATCCTGTTATCAACGTCCCGGCCACCAACGCTCAGCTCGAGGATCTTCTGAACAACAAGCACAGTTTCCTCGAGGGACTCGCGAGGGATGCGGATAGACGGTGACGTTGGGATGATACCCACGGCGCGGTCCTTTCGCATCAGCGTTGCAGGCAGGTTCATGGTCTTTATACAGTCGCGCAGAGCTGCTTCAGCCACATCTAGAAGACGCTCAATGCTCGTATCGGACCAGGCTGCCATTTCGGGAGTGAGCCACCGCTCTCTTGGAACTGGAGCCAGAAGGTACTCTGATGTGGCGTCAAATTCAAAAAGATAGTTTGCCTCTCCGCCCATAATGACTATATTCTGTCTTTGCTGCGGCGTCAAGACTGTCGACTGGGAAATTGCGTCGAGCAGGCCGTGCAAGCGGCCGTAGTACTTATCGACAGTCGTGTATCCTGCAGCTGTGACGATGCCAATTTTGACATTCTTACGCATGAGATCGATCATCCTCGGTATCACGGGGCTCGTGGGAACCAAGCTCTCTCCATCATCGTAGAGCGTGACATCACCATCAAATGTAGCTAGCTGAAGCGTCCCGTATGTTGTCACTGCCATGATCTGTGCCGAGTTGAGGATAAGGCGCACATCGTTGAAAGACGGCGACACAAAGCGCCTTGAAGATATGAACCTCTTCCGATCCTGATATTTGAAGGCGGCCTCGATTGGCAGCCGCGTGAAGAATAGACCAATAGTTGGTACAAGCAGCTTCAGCTTTGAAGGGAGAAGATTTCCATCCCGTTGATGTTCAATGTGATCATCGAGCATGTTTTCGACATCCCTCATGATCTCTGCATATCGTCTGTGTGCCTCTTCTGACATCTGCGTGAAGCTCACGCTGTTTGTTTCGAATACGCCTGTCGGCTGGGAGTAGAGCACAAACGGAACTGCGAGAAGCCCCTTGATCCATTCTGGTCTCGGTCAGTATCTGATTGTCTGTCGGGAAAGTCACAGTCTCGTGATCTGGCCGGGCTTGACATCAGGGCCTCCGGTGCGCTTGCTGCACGTATATTGATAGTTCTAGTAAACGCGGATTGGTTGGGAACGACCATCTACCTGGGCTAGCGCTGGCTTGCGAGTGCGCGCCCCCTGCCAACGACGTCCTGGTGCGCATCAAGGGCAGCCCACAAGCTCCCGTGCCACGAGCTGGAGATGCCCCATCAAGACGATTTGCATATCAATGTCTCCTTACCTATGAATTGATCTCTTCTGTGAGTCTTGAGTGCATCTGAAGGATGTCCAAGGGTTAGTCATGCTTGCTGCTGGCGTATCCTACTGTGGAGACTCACACTCAACGCGGTAGCGGGACGTCATCTTCTGGAATTTGTCAAGGCTTTGTGGCTGTTTTCAATTGGGTGCAGAATTCTGCGTTTCAGTTTTCGTGGGAGGATTGAGATGAGAAGAAGTGCAGTTCCTACGATGTTGATGCGAGGTTTGTGTTCTGAAGTTGAGACAGGAGCAAGCTGTCGCCTGAAGGCCATCAGCGACAACGGCAGCCGCCGACCGCCACCTTGCTAGCTTCCAGGTTAGGGTGTTTTGTGTCTGGCCAGCCCCCTGTCGGTACCAGATCACCTGCACCAAGGAGGCACGGGGACAGCTTCATAACTCTGCTGTCCTGGGATAGCCACCGTTTGATGCCTCACGAGTGCTACTGGTTGATTTACTCAGCGGATAGGGACAGCACGGTTGATTTAGGCTCTTAACAACGTGGATGCACTTCTTCAACCAGACATGCTGAAGTTTGTGCGGGACGCCAAGTGTCATTTACATAAGTCGAGACCAGGCATAAGATAAGGGGCAGAAGATGAGAAGATTCAACCTCCAATGAATATCCCACACCTCTGAATCTGCTAATTACATACCGCCCCTCTGTGGCGCACCACCCATCATCAACAACGTTTTCTGCTCGCGCGAAACTATGCCGTCGGACATACTTGACTGACGGTGTTTGTTCTTGTGATGCAACCCGTCGGACAAGCGGTCGGGCAGCCCTGCACATAGAGGAGCGTCTTTGGCGCTGCACAACCACAAGGGATCACCAAGTTCTCCTGCTGCGAGCAACCGGGGATGGGACACCGGATAGGGTCACAATCGGCCGGTTGAGTCGTCTTGGTCACTGTTGGGCAAGGCGGCGAAGGAGGTGTTGGCCTCGGAGGCAAAGTGATGATGGTAGTGATCACCTCAGTCTGACTGCTGGTACTGCTCGTGCTCGTTGTTCGAGTACGTGTCCGAGTTCGCCGCGTCGTGGTGGTTGGGCAGGCCTCACTGCTTGATCGGAATGTCACCCGGCACCCGCCATAGGGGCATTCACCACCGCAAGGTGCGAGCAGTGTCGCTGTCGGGATGGCCGACGGGCAACCGCACGGATTTGCCACCGTCGTCACATATCGACAGTCGCTGTCGCATGTCTGGGAACAGACAGGATTGATGACTGATCGAGTGATGGTCGGGCAAGTTACGTCATTAGGTGCATCAGCTGCTACGGGAACCTCGTCAGCAGCTACAGTGCTTCAACAGCGTTAACGATAGCTTCGGTCCGCGATGGAAGTATGACATACCATGCGAGCACAGCGAACAATCCAGCGAAGAGGAACTGCATTGTGCAAGGAGTATGGCGGTCCCGGAAACAAGAAATCAGCCTCTGTTATCCTATTAGCGGTGCTGTCTGAATATTCGAGACACATCCATTCATCTTCATATCAAAAAATTAGGTTCCAAGGCAAGGCTTTTATACTGATTCCACTACCATCTTTGGATCTCGGAGAGCGGAACCAAGACATTTTTGGTGACATTCTGCCTCAACAGAGACGTTGAAGGGCGTACATCAACCCTCGAACCCCATGAGACTCTGGGCTCGGGCTTGCCGTCAGTGACTGTCCACAATCCGCCAGCCCGAATCAACGTCACTTGATCAGTATATTGTGACACCCTAAGAACTCTAGCTTCTCCCGCATACTGCAAGGTATTTTTAGAAGACATTAACCTTAAATCACTATTCGGTTCGTTAGGAACCCATATCCATATAAATTAATACGATTCCTGTTATCACAGGCGGGTTCTCTATCCATGCACGGGCAATCTCCGCCCAAGGAGACGATGCTACCGTCGTCTTTGATCGTCCATTCATCTCCGACACTGAGTAGTCCCTTCCAAGCCGACTGCTGCTACTTTGGCAGGCAGAAGACACTGAGAACTGCGTACGTAAGAGCTCTCCCATACGCTAGCCCTGCTCCTTGATGTGATGAACCAAAGCATGCTTTGGTTCCTGCTGTTGTGTTTGGGATAAGTGTCTTTTATCGAAATGGGAATAATCGTTACGAAGTCTGTCTAAGATGAAGCACGTGCGAAAAGTAGAGCAGCTCAAGAAGCAGTCACCCCAGATTGATTCCGCTCTGACCAGAACACCGCTAAGTGTTACGAGACGTCGCATATCCTGAGCGACCAATAATGGCTCTGCTAATGTACGAAACGGGGATAAATTCATGTTTAGGCCTGTGGATAACCCAGGTCACGCGGTATTGCAACAGGGTCCATTCAGCCTCGCTTTAGCCTGAGCCCGAAGCCACTCGACTCAAAGAGTTTCATATAACTTCATATCGATCGGTTCACACAACTAGGAAGAATTCCTGGCGAGCGAGCGAGCCGAAGTGTAAGAGTTGTGACAATTCTCTTCGGACACTTTATGAGAGCGGCCTTCCAAGCAATTCACGCAGGGGATGAAACCCAGGAACATGTGGTACTCCCGCTCACACACCTGACGGCATAGCATATGCAGGGGATCCAGAAGTCATGGAAGGGGTAAACTGCTCATCGTGGGTTTACTGCCAATAATTAGACTCCAGAAAGGACAAGACGTAAAAATAGCTACGCTTGCATGCTACGGAGGATGCAGTCATTATCCAAGGTGCCGGATTCCGATGCCTCATCCGTTCCATAACCAGTCTCTCACTCCATAGCCCTGCACTCGTCCGTGTGGTCTTGCTGGTAATATGTAGACAGAGGGAAATGCCGCAAGCACCACCCATTCTGGCTCACCGATAGCCGAATCAGATTTTCCAGGGACCCGGGTCGCCGCCGTGGCAATACTCGTCACCTTGGCGTTGGAAAGGAGTTAGTCGTGGATATGCAAGGCAACTATCTTTAAGAAGCTACACAAAATCGTAGGTACTAGCACTTACGGCAGCCAGCATCGCACTTCTTGACGCACTCCGAATTCTTGATACAGAACTTATACAGACAGTCCGAGATGCAAATCCAGTAGTCTGTCTCGTGATCATCGGTGCCATTACACCACTGGTTGCGCTGCAAAAGGTCGACCTTGGGAGCGCGCAGGGACAGCCACGCTGGCCACGCAGATGCCATGCCAACCAGGGAGAAGGTCAATATCGCGCGGGTGAAAAGGCGCATGTTTGGAATATTTCGTGTACGACTTGGTGCTACAATCAAAACTTGGAGGTGGAATGGAAATCAGAAGTAAGAGATTAGCTATGGAAGCAAGACAGAGAATAAAAGCCCTTGAGGTGCTCCCGAGTAGCGCAAACTCTCATGTAAATTGAATGAGACAGGAAATACCACGAATGGAAATCATGAAGCTGATCATTCCGACTTGTCAGTCAACGCAGCCTGAGACCTGTTTCGTCCAGTTCTATCATCGAGTCTACCTAGACTTGAGACATACTGGCCAATTGGAAGTCACGTAAACCCACTATTTTCTCTAATCACATAGGTACGAGCAGCTGGTATGGTGGGCAGTGTTCATTGCTTCCCTTTTATTTCACTATGATGAAAGTTGCATCCTCGAATCGCTTGCCTTGCCCATCCTACGCCGGCTAGATTCTAACAATGAAAGCGAGTTAGTGTTTGCTCTTATGCTTGCTTGAAGAGCCCTTGGTGGAGCTTTCTTTGTGCTTCTTGTCTTTGCTTGAGGAGCTTTTGCTCGAGCTCCCATGGCTGGCTTCTGGAGCGTAAGACCATTGCTTGACATCGGCGTATTTGTATGGTTCAGGCTTGGCGTAGGATGACTTGTGCTCCTCCGTCTCCTTCGATGATGCGTACATCTTGACCTTGGTAGGGTTACCGTTCTTGTCGTACTTCGTGGGGTAGGCTGACATTGTTGATGTGGTGTTTCCAGGAACCTAAGGGATATTGGTAAGGATTTTGTTGTTTACTGTCCAGGGCAGGTCACAAAAGCTGGTCTGGTTAGATGGTCCTCTATCTTTCTTTGGAGAAGATGGCTATTTATATACATTCATGGTTTACAGTCACTTAGACCAGCGTGATTCGAGTTGTTACAGTAGTATTGTGCCTCAGATGCTGTCCATTGTAGTGAGGTCATAGGTTGGGAAGATTCATTGCCAGAGGTCCACCAGGTCATTGACCTAAGATACAATCAGACGATGAGTTCGGTGCAATCCCAAGAATCGCAATTTCTTTGTAGTAACTCGAATAGAACAGGGTGAAATACTTGTTTGATGCGAGTGGTCTCTGCACATGTTATTGTGGTTAAAGCAGTTCTCTAGAAAGGAATCACTGCAAATCCAGATTGACTGCCAAATGGCAATGCTCATTGTGTAATTCAAAGTCATATCACCAACCAGGCTACTATCCATTCCAAGTGGTTTACCGATTTTGAAGTGAATATTGTGTGGAGTTTATACTCCTCCAGAGTCTTGATGGGTGAAGCAGATAGGAGCAACGCGGTAAGTAAAGAAACACCAGCCGATTAAATATATAATCAGTTGGCATCGTGATCTCTTGGGCGTTTACCACTTTAGTGATTGTAGCTCATGGGTTTCGGCTGCCAAAAGCTGTCCAAATAGCGTACGACTTCAATTATCTAGAAGTTATACAGTATATCATCTTGTAAATAAATTATTGGCTGTTTGGCTCTTCGTCAAGATTACTTGTGCGAGACTAATGTTCAAGCAGGCATAAAAAGGTGCATAGCATAGTCCGGAGTGCCAGCACCCATATGAAGATGTGTCTGGGGCCATACGAGGGCAACCATGGTTGTTTTTGGCTGCAAGTCAGCGATTGCGTTTTGAAAATCACAATATGCCTTAGGAAAAACAACTCAAAATTCCTCTGGGCGGGTGGAGGGCGCATAACTATGGCAGCGGGTTGTGAAGCAATCACATAGCAAAAGCCCTGACGAGGCAACGTTGCCCGAGTTCAGTTGCAGTAGATATCTCCAGCAGCAAACTCCCGACAATGGGGAAATATATTAGCCCTTTGATTACCAAGTCATTCAAAAGTGACCGCAAAGAGTGTCATTGGGAAATTGATTGTCCGACCCCACTGGGCCGTCCTGAGATGGCGCCATTGAATTCCCTCTGGTTTTGATCATTTGGGTGGTAAGCTTGCAGGCATCCTGGTCCCATTTGCGTGGACGAGGCTCCGATTGGACGTACATATCTGGAGAATGTCCGCCAGGAGAATCTAGGTGAAAAATCGACACTTCGTCACTTATCCGACTATTTGTACGGGCTGGAGTACTGGTTCGTAGTGAAGCTCCCATCGAGAGCTCGAGTGATTTCGGCTGAAGTGTACTCCTGTATATGTCTATCTATTGCGTATGACATACATTCTGGATATATCTTGAGTACTCAATGCCAGTGGCAGCCGACAATTAGACTTGGTTGGCTTTGGCAATTGCCCGAATGAGAGCCATATGCAGCATCCCATCATAAGAACTCAGATCGTAGCTTTGAGGCATCTTAGTCTGCTTAGTCCCATAAATTACTAAAATGTATGCGGCATGCCAAGAAATCTTGAATGGGAATTTCCATTGGTTCAATAGACATGTGTGTGTGTAGGTCTGTGAAGGTTGACATATGTACAACATGTGAGGTCTGTCTTCTACATTACTGCGCTGCTGGACTTGGAGGTCGGAATCTCGGTTTCCCCATTTCGCTGCTCCGAGCCGCCAAGCGTACGGAGGCGAGTTCCGAAACATCTCTGCCGCCGACTCTTGGGCGGAATATAGCAGGGGTATTGCTTTTTACTTGACAACCCTACTGCAGTCCAAATATGCGTGCTTGCGCCGTCCACACTGAGCCCACCAAGGGGTGAATTGGTGCTCCAGGTCGGACCAGTCAACGAACCATACAGTGACTTCTGCCCCATAAATGGTATATAGCCAAGAAAGGGTATGCAGCACTGAATAGTGCATAATCTTGCAGCTACCGTCTCACACATAGATCAGTTCGCAAGATCCATTTGTGGCCACCAAAGACCTCACGGCCTTCGTGCTATACGTATCATGATCAGCATGATGCATGACCCCCATATGTTGGTGCCACTTACTAATAGACAGTCATCGCCGTGCTTGTGAAGAAGGAGCATCCCCGTTTCTGGGGCTACCGAGATTTCTTCCTTTGTGACTTTGCGATCATGAGGATAAAAGACTGTTTCGCCGCCCTTACAGCCATCCGTAGCTGACGTGAGGTAAAGCAAGAGCGTCCATGTGGTTTTGGTCACAATGCTCCCTGAGGGCTCAGTCGAAGAAGGGAGTATCACCTGGTTTAAATCGTCATCTGGAAGTATGTTAGCTCCGAATCACAAGACTTCCAGAGTTCCTATGGTTGAGAAGGCGGGGGCACCGCAGAATTGTCTAATCGAAGAGGAGCACATGACAGGGGCAGATGAGGGCCAATCTCAAGTCTCTGATAAGACGGGCTACGAAATCGGCCTCATTGGCAGGTGGTCCTTGCCAACCTGTTGCGAAAATGGACTACATGAGGAGATACCAGCGCATTGTCAAGGAGACACAGTCCGATTTTGTCTGACTCTCAAGAGCTATCAGGCGGTGACCGCCGGTTTGGCCCCAGAATTCTGAATATTCAAAAGCAAAGCAAATTTGACAAAAAACTTGGCTTACAATGTGCGTCAAAGAACTGCCCTGCAGAGTACCTATACACACGGATATTTGGATTGAGACCCCTGCAAACATGGTTGAAGTCAGTAACTTCGGGATCAGTACCCATACGAGCCCCTATACGGGGCGTGTAGGTTTTGGAACTCGGTTCTTTCTTGAGAGTTCCTGCTGGTCAGATGTTACTCACACTACTTTGCCACCCCTGAATTTGATCAGTAAACATTTCACCCTAGCAGTAAGCCTCGCTCGGAAACGCAGGACACAAGTAGTTTGAGATGGACCTACCAGAGATGCTCCGCCGAATCTTGAAGAATGAGGTCTTTTAAACCAGTCTCCAGCCACAGTCGCTGTGCAAACTGAAAGTCATCAACCTGGAACCGGTCATTCACTCTGACCGCTTCTCCGCGTTTGGGTTGGCCAGGCGTCGTCGTCAACGGCAGACCCTGCAAGAAAGTGACATAGTCACGACAGAGCGACCTGGGAAAGAATGCTCGCACGACCTGTATCTTGTCCTCGAAAGCTGAGACGGGTGGTTCGAGACTCAGATTGGTCACGGGCAAGGGCGGCTTGAAGGGCGGCCAATCTGGCCGTTGTGTGGCAGCAATTGGCGGTGCATTTGCTTTGCTTGATTTCGACTTGGACGCTTTTGGCTTTGGCATGATGCCGAGTGTCTCTATTTCTTAGAAATACGTCCGGGGTCGCGTGGACTTCGGTCAGTTCTCAAGGGTTCTGAATGGAAATAAAAGTCGGATTGGACCATCCCCTGTCACTGAATGTCTCGGCAAAGTGGACCCGATTTTAGACCCCTCCCCGCCCGTCCGCCCAGGGATTATCTCCGCCCAAGCCCGCTGGGTCTATACCTTTTGATTTGGAGTGGCATAGGTATAACGGTCTAATTTGTGACGTCCTCGCCAATGCCGCGTGACAATCAGCTCGCACATAGGTTTTCATGTGGGTGTCAGAAACCGTTGGGTGAGCCACGTGCTTAACGATGATCAAGGCACCTCCAACATAGTATCGTTCCACGTGTATGCTCTTCTGGTGGCCAGCCTCGACTGCCTTCATGACAGGTTTGGACTCGCCCTGAGGATAGTTACATGAGTGACACCGTGCTTTCTTGCTCAACATGGCTTAGAGATTACTTCATTCACAGGTGCCCAAGTAACCAGAGGGTCGGGACGGACTTCTCGGTTCGGGAAGAGTACCCCTTAGTAAAATATTTCAAGTCTGCCTGTCAAACCAAGCCCACTCAACGGCTAGCTCGATCGTAAAAGCGTCAGTTATCGTTTCTTTTGCACACCATCCAGAGTGGACCATAGGGGTAATCTACGCGGATAAGAAATGCTTGATTCTTGACGATGCCTAGTCAGATGTGTAGGAGAAAGCGTCATGGTACTTTCTGTGAGAATACTTAAGTCAGTCAAAAGCCTACGAAGTATATTGCAAGTTACCGTACCAATTCTCATTCCACCCCCAGTGATCGCTATCGTCGTTCAAGATGAGCACTCTGAAATCCTGGATCGATATTAGCGAACAAGCCTGTAAGTACAATTATAATCTTAGTCCTGCTTTCACAACACGTACGCTGCATGGGCTAGCAGAGTGTCTGAGGACTAGCCCGAGAAGCCTTCTGATCAGCCAAACCTAACTCGAGCAGTAAGAGAGGTACGCGATCCTGGGAACCAGGGTCGATTGTCGTTTCCTTTGGCAGGTGCGCCACCACTGAAAGATGTGGATGGCCATCATCGGCGTTGGCGCTACATGCTGCAGGATGTAGCCCCTGAACGCCAGAACTTTCGCCGCAATTTCAGTAAGAATGTGGTTCAGGCTTCTCGTGCTGTAGGTGAACGACGGGGCAATGGCACAATTTCAGACCTTCAACCTCCTTTGAAGCACCTTCGAGCTGCCCTAGACGAATTGGCTATGGTTAAAGATTACGATGACCAGCACCCGGTCTCCCGGTCAGAGTTTCCCCAGGAAGTGCTTCGAGGCAACGAGCCTGGTAGTGTCTGGTTGAATCTGAAGCTGGAGTTTACGAATGCTTGTCTCTCCCTGATGTTAGGGATATTGCGCCATGTTATGCCCGATCATACTGATCTGTGGGAAGAAAGTGAGTAGCATCAAGCATGGTTTCACCCCTCCTGGCACCAGGTGGAAGTATGTCACTCGCCAAATCTCACACAACCGGCCTTGTCCAGAATATGGTTGACTTACACCTTTGCAGTGGAAGAAGCGCTGAAGTCCAGAGAATGGCGCTCTCTGTTCGTGTTTGATACAGGCCTGACTCAGGAAGCATCGACAGTCTGGAACCAACCAAGGCCAGAACGTGTATTGGGGCCACAGATCGGACTTCGGGAGCAGTATGTGCATCGAAGATTTACCGAGGAGTGCCAGGCCGGTGAAGTTAGCCCTATCGACCAGGGAGGCTGGGCTGGGTGTCACGGCCATAGATAGCATTAGAATGCGCAACGCTGGGCTAGCAGCTGATGGTTCTGTGGTGCAGAGAGGCCAGATGAGGTGGCTTCTGCAGTGGTTCTATGAGGGTCCAAGGCCCAGATCACTGAATTGAATGACGGCTTGACAGTGCTTGAGTAGAGTAGGTCAATATATGATTACTGGTTTCGGGGTTATGCAAGTATTGGTTTCGCTTGGCGGAGCGACGTGCTAACTTGACTTACCCCGGATTTCTCGGGCGCGGGACAGTTCCACTCGAGACGGCGTCATTTCTAGCCCAGTTCCTGATTTTCTAAGCCCCGTCCACCGTGCCAGACACTTCCAGCAGGAGAGACTTCAGCACCCGTCTATTGCTTTGGGGTACCTCACACCCACGAAAGCATTCCGGCAACCGCCAGCCCTCGCAGCCGACGCCATGTGGTCCTTTGGCACGACGATGACCATCGCTAGCGACGAAAAGGATGGTGTGCAGCAGTCTCAGGCGCCCGCTGCCCCATCAGCAACAGCAGTGTCGCCCCAGAGCACCTCTCAGCCCACAGCGCTGCTGCCCGTGAGCAGTCGCCCCGACACAAGATCACCTATCCTATCAGACCGCTCCCTGAGGCAAATGGGCTTCTTTTTCGCTGGCGCCGGCTTCCTCGGATTGTCGACCCTCATCACGCGACGCGCCGTAGCAAGGAAGATCGTCGCCACAATCCCCCGATTCTACGAGCCAAGTAACAGGCCAGTCGGCAAGATCGATGGGGATGGCGGCTTTGTCGCTGTCGAAGCGCTTGGCCTGGCCACCCTCAACGTATTTGGCTTTGCCATCATGTCGACTGGCGGCCTGTCGTGGGCTTTCGACATCTCCAGCGTCGACGAATTGCGGTCCTTGGCTAGGAGACACACCAGAGGAGGAGTTGGCGAGACCGACGAGGCGGCGGAACAACAGATTGCTGAGTGGGCTATGGACATACTCCAGAAAACCGGACATGCACCGAAAGGGTTGGAGGATGCCAAAGCATCGGACCAGAAAGACCAATGACGAGATGTAGCCACGACATATCTTCTGAACGTTCCTACGATCAGCTTCTTGCAACATACTGCGACACAAGTGCTGCATTGCCTGGTACAACTGTAAGGCTTGCCAAATCTACATTTCGATCTCGTATGTTGACTTGTACAGCATCCAGCCGGCATGTAGGCGGGTTTGTGATGAACGGCCAGACTTCCTTCCGTTGGAATGCCTTGACTTATCCTACAAAGTCTAGAGTTGTAATTTTTTCACTATGGCTTTTCTTTCAGAGGCAGATATTTGTAACTTGCAGACGATACCCCACTCTTCTCGGCGGTTCTTGCCTAATACTGCACGACTTCTACACACGAGGAATTCCCGCTTTGCGGCCTTGTTTTTCTGAGAATTTGCTTCGGCAGGGGTCATTCCATGGCCTGCTACCTTTCGCCGCCTGGATCAGACGTGGGTTTGTGGCCACTTGGTGCCAAGCTTGGAGGGGTGAAATAGGATAGAAAAGCAAAGAGAACTCCGAGTTCTTGGGTCTATGGTGGCGTTCAGTATCATACAGGAATCGAATGATTCGCAGAAATAATTCAGGCCTGCTGGAAACATCCATCCGATGGGCTATCCGGACCGAGTCCGTAATGTTTCTGTCAAACCCTTCAAGAGTGTTTCTTTTTCGTTACATCATCGGCGAAATAGAGGTATGAATTACAGGATATTCACCATGGCGGACTTCAAAATCGGAGAAGCCAGATATCCTCGAAACTTGCCGACGCCATGCCTGAGTTCCATGTTGTCGTTCGAGACTACCAAATTACCTGCGGCTCCTCTAGGAATGATGATATAAGTCCAATTCGAATTCAATCTCCACACCTTGATCTTACAGGCGTGAAGCCTCCATTCCTTGCCCGCGACAGTTCGTCAAAGGTCATATCTATCCAAGACGTTTCGACCGTCCACGACACTATTTGGGAACTGCCGTATCGCATCGAGGCCCATGGCGTCATAGTCAGGCCAGGAGAAGACATTGTCCGACCTATATGGGCTTACTTGGACGAACTTGAGCTGGGACCATCGCGTATAGAGGTGGCTGACCTGATCACTTTTGAGAAGTCGAAACCTTCGTGCACTGACGTGTGCTGGGTTCCACAGCTAGAGTCTGCTGACGGCCTCTTACTCACCCTTTTAGAAAGCGATCTCGGTGGCGAAGATGGAACTCTTCATGCGGGTTCTCGAGAGCTCCGACAACATGCCTCGGGAAAGTCGCGAATAGGGGTCGTCATCCAAGTCCGAGGGGATCCTCAGCAAACCAGAATATCGCATCGTTCTTCAGCAGAGATACTTTCTCTTAGAAGGATTGATAAGACACAAAAGCTGACGCTTTTCGAAGACCAACTACAAGCTCTGAAGGGTTCAAAACGCGAGTCGCCTGCATTCACGCCCTCGCCACCGCGATACGCTCTCTCAGACCTAGCAAGATTAGCTCACGGCAATGTGGACCGAATAAGGAACTTCGATATGCGTCCCAAGTTGGATTGGTCGTTCCTAGATGTCCCCGACAGTGACCTGGAGTCTTTAACGGACACGGGTGGCGATGACGAGGCTACCTTACCTGGAGATGACGACCAGCACGATGTCAGTTTGACTTTAGAAAGGCCGTGTGTAAGTTCTTGGTGATTTCAGGCCCCATCCTCTAAACCTCTACTGACCGCATCGAAAGTGCACTTACGCAGCTCTCGCACCGACTCGGTTCAACTTGAGACCGCTGCACCGGCACAATAGGGACGACGATTGCCCCCTAGGGTTCAACCACCCCAGCCATTGTATCTTTGCCGACGAATTCCCACAGGACTGCATTATACCCCAGGAAGGACATGAGCACTGTTCAAACTTTAAGCCTGGCTCCAGCATTCTGACCCCTGAGACCGGCGGTTCCGATAGGCGACATCTCGCGGATTGCGCGGAGGTCACTGAAAAATTGACTCTAGACCCCTGCAATACCGACCAAGGCAGTGATGCCGACAATAATCTCGAAGTGTTGGAGTGGGAGGATAGCGGTTTTGGGCTGGAGGAATGGAAGCTGATCATGGCGGGCTCATCAGATTATCCCATGCTCTCCCCTCCGCCACCACCTTTATCTGAGGCCGATGACACCCCCGAGGCCGCGTTCTTCACAGCGAACTCGACGGTAATAGACAGCGTGGAGACACAAGAGCATGGGATGGCTGGCACCGATGACCTCTGTGAGCCGGTCGTGCATCTGGACGCCTTCCGATCCACCCCTGCACTTCAAGACATGGTTTTCTAAACATTGTTCGGTTTATAGGCCTCTAATTGCTCTCTGATGCCCGGTGTATCAAGATAGTCTCGGTATGTCCCGCTGGGTGTACTCTAATAGGGATGACGTGGTAAGGTCTTATGGCGCTGGAGGGTAATGCTAGGGGAGGGATGAGTCTCAAAGCGATCATATTCGACAGGGAGAAGACAAATCTTTGCCGGCTTTGACGTCCATCATTGTCTCTTCATAATGACAACGTGGTGACAATCCCACGGGCAAGAATTGACCAGCCGTATATAGAAAAACGAATGCACCTAGGGCCACAGCCATGAACGGGATGTTAAATTCTTTGTTTCTTACATCGTAGGCTGTAGCTCACAATCAGGTCATAAGCCTAATTGGATGGCCATATTTGAAGCTAGCCAAAGCAACGCCTGGTGCCCTTCACCCGAGCCGGCAAGTTGTTCTATAACACAGCCTCATCTACTGTTTCCTGGGAAGCGCTTTCGGCGCGCACACGTTCTCTCATCCTGGTCTCGAGACCCTCCTCTTCAAAGCTCCCTCTGCGGCCCCAATTCCGCGGTTGTCTCTTCAAAAACGCGCCGACGCTGCCCAAGTAGCCCTCATGCCGCAGGAAGTAGGCCTGCTTCTCCCCTTTACTCCAGAATTTTATGGCGTAGCTCAATGTGTTCATGGTTTGCGGGTGGCCGCGGATGAAGGACCCGCCGAAGTAGATGTGCGAAAGGCCGTGTATCTGGGACTGCAGATATGCGATCTGGCCTATGTTATTACTGACCGCGTACAGCAGCGAGCGCGATACGTCCGAGGCCGAAAAGCGCGACTTGATGGCCTCAGTGACAGCAGATTCGCCGCTTTTGGAGGACAAGTGGTGGTGGTCGCTGTCCCCATTTGACAGCCCGCCGCTGTCCTCGGCCTCCCTCTCGGCCTCCCGCTTCATGCGGAAGACCTTGCCGAAGGAACTAGCGATGGCAGTGCCCTTGAGCCCGATCTTCCCGTAATCCATACCGTAGATGTCACCAACGAGCATATCAACCTTGGCGTTGTCACCCTGGGCAGCCATGTCGAGCATCTCGTCGAAGGATTCGGCAGGCGTCAGTAGGGAGAGCAAACCCCAGAGCGTGCCGCCCCCAAGGGATGTGCCACCTACGCGCTCATAAGTCCTGGGACCTGAGACCTTGAGCATGCTCACGCCGGAGCCAATGTTGACAAGCATGTACGGGTAGATGTTCTCCTCGGGTTCAACAAAGTGCATCGGATCCGTCTCGCTGTAGGTAAAAACTTCTCGGGGTATCTCGGTGATGAAGAAGTCAAGGCCTGTCAAAGTACTTGGTTAGGACTGGGCATCGCAGAAGGGGTGCTGGCGGTATGGGACCCACCAATGATGAGACACTCCATCTCATCCTCCCTCATGACATCTACACCTAGTCTCTCTCGTATCCTGTCGTAGAACTTGTATGCACCGCCTCCTGTGGCCATGACGGACAGTTCACTAGACCTGGACCCGTTGAGAGCCAACTGCTTGTCCTTGAGATGCTTCATGAACTCGAAACAATCCTCTATCCGATCCGTCTCGAAGCTGAGGAAGTTAAGCCGGCCGCCTGGTTCGGTAGAATGCGCTTCTCGGGAGAAATACACAAGCTTGGCTAATGAGCCTCCGATCTGTGAGTCGGCGCACTTGCAATCAGCTTCCATTTCCTGCAGGGACCCAAGACCGGCCCACGGTTTTCTTTGCGGCGGTTACTTACATCAACGGCGATGTGGCTAACCACGGCCGTGTGATTCGGTAGCCTGATGTCCTTGGTCTCGTAATAGCTGCTCCCCTGCGGCGACGGCGACATGCCATTCGGCGTCCCGGACTCGGGGGTGTCGACAATGAAGGCGCCCTTGACGTTGATGCGCACCGAGCCGGGGTGGATGATGGTGCTGTCTATCTCGGCCGTGTTGGTCGCGGTCCGTGGCCTGCGCGGCACCTTGGTCTGTTCCAGAGTCGAGTCGTCATGTTGTGCGCCGGTTGCAATCGACAATGGAGTGGCCGTGGTCGGTGTCGCCGCTGTCGAGGTGACCTCGGGGTGGTCTGCTTGGTAGGTCTCGTCTGGCATCGCGGGGTCCTTGATCTCGGCCGTTTTTTCTTGGAGGGGTATCTTGGGATGCGAATGCGACAGGGAGGTGGCCGAGTGAGGCACGTGCAAACCCGATAGAGCTTCTGGCTGTCGAAGCCAGGTTCTCTCGTGCTTAAGCCCACATGAATGGAGTTGATGCGACTTGACTTGAGAGCAGCCTGTTGAATGAATCCGACGGGGGTTCTTGCTACAGGAGGACTCGCGAGAAGCGCACGCCGGTCGCAATCCGATCGGACAAGGTCCAGTCGAGTCGAGTTGAGTCGCGGTGGATAACTCGCCAAAGTGCCGCCCTGAAGGGTTTATCGATAACGGTGGTTCCCCCCAGTCTCAGGGTTCTCTCCGTCTGACCGAGGCTTTTCCCAGTGGAGTGGTGAGACTTTGGCGCCGGCTTGTCTGTGTCTTCCCGGCTGTTGAGTTGCTGGGTTGCTGGGTTGCTGGGTGCGCGAGCCCACTAATAAGTCCGAGTCGGGTGGTCAGATCCGCCCACCATCCACCAGACAAGCTGGGTAACGTTAACATGAACTTCCTCCGGCGTAATGGGGTCCCCGAGGTGTGCTGCCCCGATACCACTGCGGCTTGCTTAATTGCAGACGAGGTGGGCTGAGCATCCACGTCTGAATTGACGATAGCTGCAAGTCGGCAACACGTGCCGAAAGCAAAGTTTCCCCATTTTGCATTACCTACTAACCACCAGTTTGCTCGCAGGCTTCACTTCTGAATCAGGGGTAAGGGACCGGACTTGAGATCTCACATGAAATCAGACAACTTCATTTCAGTTCCTTCTATTAATCTCAGAAGAAAAGCAGCGTCTCAGCCGCAGACATGGATTATTGTACAACAGAATAAGTCCTCGTAACTAAACCCTTGCCTTGGGAGCGAATAACTCCGCCATACCTCCGATCGCACGCACCATGTAGCCGTGCAGGTATCATAATCACAATGGGAGACGTCCCACTAATTTACAGAGAATCGTCATGACAAAAGAGAAGTCTTTCCAGACGCATCAGATGATGCTTGTCCCAGTCGCGCGAGCTCCTTTTTCTTCAAAGATGGCTCGGTCTGGTCTAGAAGAAATGTCCACCAGGGACAGCAACGAAAACAGCTGTCAGAACCCCTGATAGGAGAAGCGCAGAGAGCATGGACTGCACGAAGATCGTGTCCTGGATCTGCCGGAGGGCGGGCTCCTGGATCCAGACCTCGCGGTCGAACACCTTGCGCACGACGTTGCGCTTCTTGTACTTGACCACCCACGGCTCCTCCTCGTAGCTGTTGCCCGAGCCGAAGGTGTCAAAGCTGCGCTTGTCTTCGGACTCGCCGTCGTCCTCGGCAAACAGCTCCCACGGCCGGATGTGCCGGTGGTGCAGGCCATGCAGCACCACACACATACCCTTGTACGCCGCGATCAGCGTCGCAATGCCGATGACCCAGCCGATGGCGAACAGGGCGCGGTAGCCGCGCCCGGCCCGGCTGAGGGTCAGGATGATGGCCCCAACCGTGGCGAGTAGGATGGTGCCCACGCCGAGGCCGCGGGCGAAGAACACACGGGCCGGGTTTCCGTTGCAGATTGACCAGCGCACGAAGTTGGGGTGGGCCTGCTTCCTGAGTGTGTTCTCGATGCTTTTAGCAATCAAGCGGAATGCAGTCGGGTGTGTGGTGTAGGCAAGCGCCTGAAGGGTGACCTTGTGCTCGCGGTCAGACAGGTTCAGCTGGCGAGGAGCGTCGGCTGCGAGATATGTTGCGACCACCCGGTCAATCTCGTCCCGGAAGGGCTGAATTGTGACTGAGGAAGGTCAGTAGGCCCGAAGAAACCAATGAGCGCCATTCTCGAAATCTACTTACAAGGCTGCTTCGCACCAGCAGTACTGAAAGCGTCTTGGGCTTGTGACCGGTAGGTCGTTGCCTGTGAGAAGTTGACCGTCGATGCGTCGTCGTTACTCCCAGGGGTCCGCGGTGGTGTTGAGAACGGATCTCTGTTCTCGATGGGGTTTTCCAAGGCCCCCTTTTCGAAGTCAGTGCCCTTGAAGATTTCTGCGCCCTTTGGTTCCCGCTTGAGCTTATCGGCGCCCTCCTTCTGGATTTTGGCGATGGTGTCATCCTCCATGGCCTGGGTCCATTCTGGTGCCAGGCCCATGTCGGAGGTCTTGGCCTCTCGAAACCGCTTGACATAGTCGCGGTGCCACAAGAAGAATTGCAGATTCTCAGCAGAATGCTCAATGTATATGAGGTAATTCATGAAATCTCGGACTGACATGGGCTACAGCAGTGTTCAGCTTCGAGGCACTATTCCAGGTCCACTCCCAGAAAGACTTACCGGACAAGTACCGCCGTTGATAATCTTGTCAAACGTCAGAGCATCTGGCACACCTGCTGATGCACCCGATCGCCCCGATCTTAGGGATGCATCCTCCTTCTCAGAGAAGGAGTCGCTGGTCATGCTTTGTCTGAACGCATCCTTGTCCACGTGTGGCGGGCGTCGGTACCCGAGCGAGAGGAAACCCATGTTGACGATGGCAGTGTAGTTTGACTGGACCAAGATGAGACACACAGCCTGATGTTCATCAGAGCAAGATGAGACTTGGTGTGTAAAAATATTCTCGCCAAAAGTTTGATCCGCAAAGAGGCTTATGTGTGAAGGAGGAATCAGAGCGGCGGAACGGTATATAAAGTTTAGTGTTGGGCCTTGGCCGACCAACGTGGAGAAAAAGGCTCTTGATGAGGGAGACTAGTATCTAGGGCTTCGAAAAAAGAATGTCTCTCATGGGACTGAAAATGCATGGGGGAGTGTTGCCCTGAAATACGAAGGCGGCTGCTCATCCACACTCCCGGCTACACAGCTTTGGCGTATCCTCGCGGATGTTGAGACGAACTCAATAGAACGGGCTATAATTACATTACAAGGATACCATGGTTGAAGGCTGATAGAAAGCGTATTGCAGTGTACACAACTTCATCATGGTTCCTGGCTAGACCATCTGGTGCCTTGACGCACACCTCGATGTGGCATACGCCAAATCGGCACCGGCACAAGAATCTGAAGCGTTCGTCAGTCTGGTATTGGCTCGCAGGGTGTTCGTGCGTCCACAACACTACGGCTGTCTTGTGAAAGAAACTAGCTGTGCTAGAACAAATATTGGAGCTGAATGCAGCCATTCGTTGCTAAAGAGCAGCCACCAAGGGCACTCGCCGAGTCACCGCAGGGCTAGATTCAACATGAAAGTATCTGATTGGCTGAGGCTAACTGACGTCCGCGCAATCACAGTTGGCTACTAAAGTAGACTAGACTTTTGAATTTATTTAGACAGATCCAGCAGAGCGGATATCGAGGGGTCTAGGTTGGGGTTGCATACTCGGCAGCTCGGGAAGAAAGATTGTGCTGTACGGCACATGGATGAATGCTTTTCTCGTACCGTGAGAGGCTTATTGGGCTTATTTGAAAAAGCGTCTGAAATGACCAAGTTGCTTTTCTCGTGCAAGAGGCCTAATCAGTAAACAGGTGGCTTTGACAACACATGCAAGACCGAAAAGAAATGATGAGATCATAGTGCGTAGCAAGTTCGCGGTGCCTGATTCGTCCTATGCAGTGTGTGGCCGTGCTCTGCACATGCAGCTGTAGCCTCGTTTCGACCTGCTTGGAAAGATCTGACGCTCTGACGAACTACTGAGATAGTTCAACGTTCTTCAATCGTCAGTTTCGGTTGACAAGCATCTCTGCCCTAGGGAGCCTGCAAATCCATCTCTGCACCCCAACAGTTTGCGCGATCCCCCAGTTCCTCGCAGCTGGTATCGAGTTTTGCTTCCCCGACACTCTGTCTCGTGATACCTAATTTGCCGATTGCTCTGGACGGCATCTATTGATTTTCCTTCTTCTGCGGCCTCCGCCAGCCGTCCAGATTAGTGAACGGCGGCGGACGCTAAGGGGCCAGCCACGCCAGCCCGTGCCCTCGTCGAAAATGATCGCCAACCAGAGTTCAGTCTAAGGAAAACGCCGACGAAATCGTCTCGGCCCCATGGCCGAATGCAGATCTCACCCTGGCCTCTCGATGCGCCATCGCTGGAGTGCCGGGCGGGAGGAGCAAGTGACACTCTCCGCACAGCATCACCGCACTGGGAGAGTGGTCTTGAGCCAAGCTCAACGCCGTCGCAGGCTCTTGACCTTTTGACACCTCTTGGACTCTCATACTATTGACGGGCGGTCCGAGGGGCTGGATGACTTTATCATTATTAGGCTTTTGACGTCGGATACCTTAAATTGAGTGACATGGCTTCTCGCGGTCTGGACCCTGTGCCTCGGAGAATTATTCAGGTGAAGCTTCTATGGGTCTTCTCACTTAAGCCATCGTGAGAAAGAAACAAAAGAAGTCGCTGTAGTACGATATTAGAATTTCATAGCTTGTGCGACCTGTCAGGCCTCCGATGTGACACGGATCACGGACAGACAAATGACCGCAAGCAATAGTGCCTCTCATGGCGCGGCCCACGTGTACATGTTTCCTTTCATGTGAGACTCTGTAGTGTTGCCCAAAGCTGGCTCAAGACGGTGTTTCGATAAAACTTCTGGAACCCGCCTTGAAGGACGATTATGACGGATCATGATGTTAGTGCGTTTTGTGATTTATTCTGTGACCGTAAGTTACCAGTGCTTCTCCTCGATGGGAACCGTGTTCACATCAACTCCATCCTTGAACCATCTCTCGTCGTCACTGATCTTAACATCGTTACCGCTCATTTGCCTCTTCCTCATCAGGCCGTTGTCTGCGAACGTCCAGTCCTCGAGGCCATACGTCCTCCACCATTGTCCAGCTTCGTCATACCACTCGTACCAGAATTGGACGGCACTACACAAGAAATTGTCAGCCATCGTGCCAAGTGTGGTTCTTTGCCACATCCAAAGAGAGTTTCCAAGATGGCATCCATCAAATCCTTGAACCAAACATGGTGACTTGTCATAACCGCGCCAATGGTTCTAGACTGCTTACATCTTGTTGTCCTTGAATGCAAAAAGCTCCTTCCTTAGCCTATACCCATTCTCCTTCGCCCACTTCTTGGTCAAGAAGTCTGCGATGGCGTCGTGGCCCGTGAAGAACTGGTCCCGGTTCCGCCAGATGCTGTCCTCCGTGTAGGCAAGCTTGACTTTGTGCGGAGTTCTGGTATTCCATGCATCCTGTGCGGCCTTTACCTTGATCTTGGCCGTCTCCTCTGTGAACGGCGGATAAGGAGGCCTGTCCGGAACCTGGGACATGATTTCGGTCGGTTATAGCGTGTGATATGAGGCCTATCTAGAGGTCTTCAGTTGAGGGAATTATGCTTGAATGATTGTGTGCTCTGCAATGTGTTGACTGTCTGGGGATGATGCAATTGGTGTGCTTATATCACCAGGAGGTTGCCAAATAATAACTTTGTGTTGCTGTCAGTCACCAATCGGCCCCGGTCTCGGTGTCTGCTGAAGTCCCCCGGGTAGAGTGGAGCTGCGGGGCTAACTCGGAAGGCTCAGTCAGCACCGTACATACTTGGACGTGAGGCAGCGGAAGCGGACAAAGACTTTCCTCGAAGGGTGCGCTCAGATGCCATGTTCTTGACGACGTAGGGTTGCCTGGAAAATTCTCGGTAGTGGTGAGAAGCCGGGCCTAGATCGGTATGTGACTTCCTCAGTAGAAGCCGAAACGCCGGGGTTCTCGGCGGCACCGTCGTTAGGGCGCGGAAGACATTTGTACAGACATCGTACTTGGCATTCCGGGATCGACCGGAATCTCCAAGAGTAACTGTTGTGCTTTGATTTAACTCCCGCCAGAGGCTTCACAGTTCCAAGGTGTTCAGGCACGAGGAGGAATGTGTAGGATGATATTGCGAACGATGCTTGTAATCTAGATTTTAAGTCTGTCTACTTAGTTTCTATGCACGCAAAGGACCGAGTAGCAAGCAAGAACTGAAACTTCTACGAGAAAAGCTCCAGACTTGGCCTTTTCCAGGCTTTATGGACACCTCGCTGCAAACTGCCAAAGCTTGCGTCCCCCGGCTGAGCCGGAATCAAAATAATACCTACGGCCGAGTGACGCTGGAATCCAGGTCTCTCGATTGCCGGTCGGGGCAGGGCGGAGAATGACTGTCACCGGACCCTTTAGAGCTTGGCCAGGACGGCATCGACGCCAGACACATCGACACCCTTGGCAGCTTCCTTCTCGGCGTAGGTGACGGTGCCCTTGTCGATGACAAGGGCGTAGCGGGCAGTACGGCCGGTGCCCTCCATGGTCCAGCCGATGCTGCTGGAGAAGGCGATGTTGTCATCGGAAGCAAAGATCTAGATTGGGTCCCGTATTAGCATGATATTCTATGTATGTCCATCAAAAGCGGCAGAGTGTCTATGTTCAAAGTGTCCACGATGCGGGAGCTTAGGGAGCTACTTACGATCTTGTCGTCGACGATGCCGTTGGCCTTGCCCCAGGCGGCCATGACGAAGGGGTCGTTGTAGGCGATGAAGATGATCAGGTCGACGCCGGCGGCCTTGAGCTTGTCAAGCTTCTCGATGTAGGCCGACAGGTGGTTGGCCTGGCAAGTGGGGGTGAAAGCGCCAGGGACGGCGACCAGCACGACCTTCTTGTTCTTGAACTCCTTGCTGGCGTCGAGCTTCTGGGGGATGCCGCAGGCCGTCACGGAGCTCGTCTCCGGCGTGGGAGCGATGTAGGAGAAGGAAACGCCTTCGGGGAAGGGCGAGCCGGCTTTGAGGGCAGACATGTTGGTTTGTTATGGATGTGGGTTGGGTTGGATGGTATTGGGTGGTTGGCTCAGTGTAGACCTGAAGGAAGAAACGGAGCAATGCGCAGGTCGACTCGGTGTCAGTTTTAATGGGCAGCAGCAGCAGCAATTCGGAGAATACTGTTTAGAAAACCCTGAAAATACAATGGAGAACGTTGTGCAAATGTAGTTCAGGGCATCAGGGGACACGAACTCTATTTATCGGCAAGTTAGATGCCTCCAAGGTCCCCTATATTCCACGGAAGGCGGGGTGAATGGTGGGGTTGGCGACTCAATGGGAAGCAGCCCGCATCTCGTCGGCTCGGCTCATGGAGCTCGCAAATATCGTCATCCCCCCCCCCTTGTTCGGGGCGACCCGCGCCAGCCGTATCAACCTCTAAAGTTATTCTTTTGTTGTGTAGAACCACCAACGACGGGCTTAAATGAAGAACAGGATGGTCAGACGTGGGTCAAGATTTCGGCAGTCGGCGCATTTACAGTTGGAAACGGCACGTCCTCTCTCGTAAATACAGAATGGATGCCCATAGACTTGGATATCTCATACGAAAGCTGTTGCAGATCCAAACTTTCAGCCACTTGATCTATGCTGAGCAGCTACCTTGGGGCCCAAGGTTGGATTTTCCTCATGTCGCTGCTCCTGTCATCCCGGGTTCAGCTGGCTTCTACATTTCACATCTAGCCAGGTACGGAAATGGTCGAGTTCTCAACCGCATTGCTCCGGAATCTTCGGCAGAGATGCTGAAGGCGGTCAATTTTAAGTCAAAGAAGTCGTGATGATCCACCTACTGTATTAATCTTGCGGCCTCCCTATTCCATCGTGGACTTGTTTGCGCAAGAGCATGATGAAAAACATGTATACGAACGAAGCCATATCGACGTTTGCGTCCAACGTGGACGCACACCACGCAACCCACTACAAGGACTCGCAACGTCATCTGCCCAACATCTATTGCATATGGGTCCGGGGACTGAGGCTTTCGGATATATACAGGGCGATAGATGACTTATGAACTTCGTGAAGTGTTGCAAAAGCATTCCCGCAAACCAGTTGTAGGGCGTGAGGTATACTACAATCACGACGTCGTAGTTGCGGTTTATCAGCATTGCCCAGACAAAAAGACTGGCATCCCTCGTACATCTGTCGAGTCACTTCACGGAGACGTGCCACATCCACATGGCATTGGAGCACCGCAAGGGCCGTAAGCAAAGGTTCGGCATTATGAGCAGCTACCTATGCGAAATTCTCATAACCCATGAGAGAGATCCATGCATTTCCGCAACCCTGAGAGATGTAGTAGTGGTTTTGTCAGAAAGACACTCGTGATCCCCCACCTTAGACGCCGCCATGTACATGTCTTTCTTTTGATCGTCCGCATGCAATGAAGAAACGCAACCCCAGCAGTACCAAAGCTCCTCCCCCATCACCACCTTAGCGGGTGGTGGGCTTGACCTTGGGCTGAGCACCCTTGGCACCCTGCTTGCCGACGATGCGCGAGGTCTGACCCTTGGATGCGGTGGTCGCACGCTTGGCCTTCTCCTCCTTCTTGGCGGAGGCGGCAGCGGCCTTCTTGTCCTTGGCGTCCTTGATGGCTTGCGATCGCTGAGCCGAGCGAGCCTCGGGTCTCATGGATCGGCGCTCCTTGATGACATCGAGAGAAGCACCAACGATGGCACGCTGGGCCTTGACGGTACGGCGGGTACGCTTCTTGGCGGCTTCCTGTAGGGGTCGTCAGCGGTCGTGCTCCCACTAGGTACCGACACATGTCTGCCTGTGTCTGCATATGATTGATAACATATGTTCGGAGTGCAGACAGGATCATGTGTATGAAATGAAAGTTCGTACCTCAGTGATACCCTTGCGGTGCTGTCTGCGGAAGAGGACGGTCCAGGCAATGCGACGGGGGTTCTTGCGCTGGAGGAACAGCGACTCGGACTTGCCGTTCTGGAATCGGAAGATCTTGCTGTCGCCACGGACGTAGAGCTTACCCTGTGCACGTCGAACCCATCAGCAAAAAAAAAGTTCCAGTAGGATGTGGTAAAAGCCCGTCCAGGGTTGATCAGAATGCGCAGTCGCGAGCCGGGCCATCGTTGTCCATTCGTCCACACAAGTGTTCATCTGTCCGTTCGTCCATAAATCCTTCTATGCCCTCCCACCATGACTCTTTATCCCTCCTCTTGCTGGACCCGGCCCGAAACGACGCAATCGATACATCCGGACGTGCAGGAGTGAGGCTTATCGTACCTTGCCAGGGTAGATTCTCTGGCCCGAGAAGGTGTCGTCGTAGGTTCTCATTTTGGCGGTGGTCTATGAGAACTGCTGTCGGGGGGGTTAGTTGGTCGGTCGGGGAGTTGAGGTTGTCGTTGATTTGAGGCGGCGGCCAAATCTCGAAAATTGATGGAAAGGTTCTGTGGGCTGCGCAAAAATCGGCTAAGGGTCGGGAGAATTTGTGGGGCTGCTGTGGTGACTGGCTGGGGCTTTTACCATGGACTGGAGGTCCGCAAGTTAGCGGGTTCCATGAACTGGGCGTGGCGTGTAGTGCTGCAATCGGAGATATGCGTCTACAGTACAGTCCAGTATATACAATAAAACCTTAGTCGTTCTCAGGGAACTTGAGAAAAGTCACTGGTTTCGCTTTATTAGAATAAGTGTTTTCCTTGGTGTATTAATTTGCCATGGTCTGGTGCTCATTGCTGTGCACGCGCTGTACATTGAATACTGTTCATAGCTCGCGCAGACATTGATTGAACACTAGCGATTCCACCCAGGCCTGGACGAAAGCCAAGAACTGCTATACGAATTCGCTGGTATCTATTGCTTGCTTGCTAGCAACACCATGCATCCATGACCGTGACGCCAGACACCATCGCCTCTCTGGTAATCCAGCACTTTGACGGGCTGCCCCCTAAGAGGAAGCCGCTTGTCCGTGACAATGGAGTCCACGAATGGGTGCCCCTGAGCGGCATCGTGGCTCAAGGTACGCGCGAAAATCCGAGTCCTCAACCACTTCTGTACCTACAAAACGAAGCAGAAGACTAACGCACAATACAGGGAAGGACGACAAGTTGACTTGTCTCTCCCTGGCCACCGGGATGAAGTGTCTGCCGCACGCCAAGTTACCCCAGGCTCGGGGCAACGTGCTGCACGACTGGCACGCCGAGGTCCTTGCTATCCGGTCGTTCAACCGGTTCGTGCTGGACGAGGTCAGAGCCCTGAGCTCGGGTGCTGTGTCCTCGTCGCCCTTCCTGCGACGCAGGCGCGAGTCTGAGCTGCTGGCGACCCGTCCCACCGGCCATGGGGTCGAGGAAGGGGGCCAGGGACTGGAGGCGCAAGGGAAGGGTGAGCAGCGCCAATTGTGGCATGCGCAGCCCTTCGCCTGGCGCGAGGACGTCAAGTTGCACATGTACTGCTCGGAAGCCCCCTGCGGCGATGCCAGCATGGAGCTCACCATGGCGGCACAGGAAGACGCTTCGCCGTGGGAGGTTCCCGAATCGGTAGTTACAGCCGCAACCGCGGATGCTTCCCAGGCGTTTCAGACCCTCCCAGGCCGCTCGTACTTCTCGCACCTGGGTCTGGTCCGGCGCAAGCCAGCTCGTGGCGACGCGCCCGCCACGCTGTCCAAGTCATGCTCCGACAAGCTCTCGCTGAAGCAGTGCACGTCACTGCTGTCCTCGCTGACCTCCCTCTTTGTGTGCCCATCTAACGCGTATATCCATAGTCTGATACTCCCCGCCTCGCAATACTCCGCCACCGGCTGCTCCCGAGCATTCTCCTCGCAGGGACGGATGAGTCCCTTGGCTGGAGCCCACAGGCGTGAGAGCGGCGGAGGCTACAGGTTTGCCGAGTTCGCGGTGCGAACTACCGACCAGGAGTTCCACTGGTCGAAGCGGAGCGTCGTCAATAGAGCAGGCGTCGGAAAGGGAGGAGCCAATATGGCAGCGAGTAATCTCGCCGTTGCGTGGACAGGACATGGCTTGGTGGAGACGACACTGGGTGGCACATTGCAGGGACGCAAGGCGTTTGATGCCAAGGGCGCCAGCTTCGCTTCAAAGAGAAAGATGTGGACGCTTGCTATCGAAGCTGCGGGTTTACTGGGTTCAGGTATGGTTCAAGTGCAGAAAGCCCTCGCGGCAAGTAGCTACCAGGAAGTCAAGGACTCTGGACTTCTCGAGGCCAGGAGACGGGTCAAGGATGACGCCAAGGCCCATGCATTAAAGGGCTGGGTGAAGAACCAGGGGGACGATGACTTCGGTCTCTAAGCACAGCCCAGCACACCGTCCTCAATCACCAAGAAACAAGAAGAAAGACCACGATGCTGCCCTCCTGGGATTTGTGTGTTCATGAAATGTTCATTTTGTTACAAGCAGTGGCATTCAAAGTGCCTGCCACGCCTGAATACCAGAGGAGGAGGGTGATGCCAGCTACGACCATCTAAGGTGAGCTGGAAACAAGCTCCCCCGCTGCCGGAAGCCAGTCAAGAACATCCAACAGCGACGACGATTGTCCGCTTAATGAGACCAAGCAACAAATGTGTTTAAACTCCATCCGCCATTGCACCACAAGACGAAATCGAAATCCACCTTGCCATGCAATTACACATACCCTACCCATCCTCAGATCGTCCATGCTAGTCCCTGCATTTTTTAATTGTGCCACCTTCCAATGTCCGGATCAAGGGTATTTTTTTTCGGGGAGGGGGGGTCGAGGTAGGTCGAGGGAGAAGGGGGGGACCCGTCTATTCGACCTTGCTCTCGAAGTTCTCGCCGGCGACCAGGTCGGGGATGTCATCATCGTCATCGGCGCCCTCCTTGTTCTCCTTGGACATGTTCTGGTAGCTCTCGGCGAGCTTGCGGAGCGAGGCCAGGGAGTCGGGGCCGAGCTGGTTCAGGATGCCGGGGACGAGCTCGGTCAGCTCCTTGTCCTCGCCGTTGCCGTAGATGGCGAAAGTGTTGGCAGGAACAGCGGCGTGGACTGTAATGGGTAGGGCACAAGTCAGTAAGCAGCTCTGCCGAATCAAGCAGCCGGCCACCGTCGCTGCACCGTCGCTGCACCGTCGCAGTAGAGGGCAACAGCAGGTGCAAACACGGAGCTCGGCGGCGGCGGCGGCGGGGGAAATGGACATGGCGTAGCAGCTTACCCTTGGGGGCAGAGAAGTGGATGACGTTGCCGTCGGACTTGAACATGTTGACCTCCTCAATTGCCTGGATGGGCTGGACGTTCAGCTTCTTCAGGGTGGTCTGGAGCTTCTTGTCATCGTTGGCGCTGCGGGCGACGTTGCGCTTCTGCTTGTGTCTGGGGGTACCCTTGCCACCTGTTTTCCCGTCGGTGTCAATATCACGTTCTCATTCTCGGGCAGCGCAGGAGCAGGAGCAGGAGCAGGAGCCGGTCGTCGGCCGCTCAGGGGAGACGTACCAGTGCGCGCAGGGGCGGCGCCGCCGAACTTCTTCTTCAAGATCTCCTGCACGTCAGCCATCTTGCTTGTTGTCTGGAAGATCCGAGCTGGTTTTCGAATCGAGTCGGCGAAAGTGTGGGGAGGGGTCGTCGGGGAAGGAGCTTCGAAAGAAGGTGCTGGGTGAAAAATTGCAGTCAGTCTCGGCCGTCAGAGGAGGCGGCAAACGGAAGAAGGGCCCAGGACGAGCGCAGTCCGGGTACTCACCTCGATTGATTCGCAGTTATGCCGTCGTCGGGGAATTGCTCACAAATCGCGGCGTGAGGCTTCAAACTCGGCTGCCAGGGTCGAAAATGTGCGTGCCAAGACTTTTTCGCTTGTGGATTTACCCTGTTCCGCTTGGGGCATGGCCAGTGCCCCCCAAGCCCCCGGCCTTTGGCCTTCCCTGACGTTAGACGGCCGGAGGGCTCCCCCCCAACAGCCAACCTTGGGAAAGGAGCTCAGCTCAGCTCGTAAGCTCCGCCGCTCGGCTCAGCATAAGAGAGACGATTGAAGCTAAAACCCTCCGGGCCACAAGCTGGAAGGGAAGCCTAGGTATGCCCGCTGATTTGATGCATAACTTAAAGCAAGGTATGGGGTCTATCCACGCACCCGCACCCTTCACGTCTTGGCCATGTCACCCAATGGCATCCATCATGCTCAACACAGACAAACAACTATGCTATTATTCGCTCGTCTGGATGTCCGGCACACTCCTGGCCTGTGATGCTGCCTACTATGCTCATTCACACATGTCATCCGCCGCGCCATAGTTGTCTCTAGCCATGCCTTCGGAACACCATTCTCGCACAGATACGAAATTCCTTATGGTGCTTTCGGGGCGCGTGCAATCAAGCAGATGTTTGCATGTTCGACAAGGAATGTTGTAGTTGTCACGTACTTACTGGATATGAACAATAGACGGACAATTATGGTCTAGGTAGCGTTCTCACAATATCCACGTTCAAGCTTACCTGCTCTATATGCCGCTGTCACTGGAGCCTGGAACTTTTAAATGGTGGAAAATATGTCCATTATAGGAACAAACTATCAGATCTCAGGGCAAGAGCAATCTGGCCAGAGCACGAATACTTACTGCCTACTGCTCCCCCCTACCGCACAGACGAAACCCTTTTTCTAGACCTCCAATCCTCCTCCGATCGCACCACCCATACCAGACACACATGTGCAGTGTCCGGCTGATCTTCTGATGTAAAATCAACCCATTAGACTAGGCAATGAATGCCGATCTCCTTTGGCCAGTCTGTCGGTAGGGCCGGTAGGGTTGTACGTACGTGGCCGCGGTGCTCGTGATTTACTCGTCCTCGGAGTCAGACATCGTAAGGCTCTGCAACGCGTCAAACCTCGACGGTTCCTGCATCGTCGATTCTTCTACCACGACTTCTTCCGGTTCCTCTTCAACGCTTTCGTCTTCCCTGCCATCCGGATCCTCGGCCTCCTGGTCGTTGACGGATGCGGAGTCGGAACCTGATTCCTCGTTGGAGGTGCCATCGCCCAATGACTCTCGGGCCAAATATATCTCCTCTCCACGAAGGAAGAGGCGGCCGTCCTCCATACACGCTGCCACATAAGATGTGGCTTGCTCGGTATTCGCAATCTGGTGCAGCCTTGGTACGTCGGGTAGCTGCTTTAGTTCGAGATCCTGGTCTGTCGCCCTGGTAGCAATTCTTCCGAGTTCTGTCTCAAAGATCCAGGGGAAGCTGATGAACGGCATTTGATCCTTGCTTCGCCTCGATACCTCACGGCCACCGATGAATCGAGTCCGGCGACAGTCCTCGAGGCATATCTGAACCTCCTCCCAGGTGACTCGATACATAGCCGCAATGAAAGGATACAACTTGTTCATGTCCTTGCTCTGTGTCTCACCGTCCTCGGCCTCGCACTTATTGACGCACGCTTGCACGAAACGGTCTCGCAAGCTTGCCATGACGATGCCCAGGTCCTCCTGCATTTTGTAGCCGCTGCCAACGCGGGGCTTGGTCATGACAAAGGCTGACCACACCTCGAACTCCGTACGAATCTCTCGTTGATTCATAATCCGTCTCATGGCGATGTCATACTGCACCTTTATTCCTCGGGCCTTCTCGAGAATATCATTAGGTATGTCGTATCTTTTCAGAATCCTCTCGTCGAATGGCCTCTCAAAATCCGGGCTGAAGTCAACCTTCGTGACAAGGTTATACAGCTGGCCCAGCACCTTTTGAGAAGGATAAGATATCCGCGGATGTCTCTCCATAAAGTGAGGCCATCGAGTAGGTCGCAGTTCCTCGGGAATATGAGCCGGCTGACCGGTCTTCACGTAATCTACAGCGTTGGAGTGCAGTTTGGCCAATTCGATACAACTCTCGTCCCTGGGGCCATCAGCCATTCTGTCGCTCAACGCGACATGGGCCAAGGCAATGGTACTGAGCGAGTCATTTTTCATGTACTCCACGAAAAACCGGGTAATGTCACTAATGGTAACATCTTTATCCTGGCGTTTTGGGTCAACTGTATCGTGGAGCATAGGTGGGAAATTCCACTCCTGAGGTATCAGTTTGGGATCCCAGAACACGAAGTAGTCGTCTCCATCTAAATCTCCTCCTGAACACATTGAAGGGATATCCCGGTCGCCGTCAGCCGGAAAGACGATGACATCGCGCAGAGCTTTGAGCTCAGGGACGTCCACATCAACTGCCTCTACGACGCGGAGATCGCCGGGGTGCAGCGAAGGATTTCGCCCAACGACACAGATCCCCTTGATTACTTGATATTTGTCTGGCTGTTCTGGTCGGGGGACCTGCAGGAATACTTGGGGAAGTATGTTCTCATAGCGCGAAGTGTCGGCCGCTGGAGCATTTTTGTGGCCTCGGAGGGTTCTGGTTTCGTCTACACACCCGAACAAGAATGCGCCTTGTTCTACCACGATCCTCGCCTTTTCCCTTAGAAGCTTCATTGACCATGCTCTCCAAAGTTGCAGGATAGCACTCACGAAAGGCTCACGAGACATCATGAACCCATCCACAACCATCTGGGCGATCGTTGTAGTGATCCCATTCTCATCGATAAAGCGGCCAAGCAATGTTTGCGCCACGTCGGCATTGGTCATTGCTGTCGAGTACTCTGACAGTTGCTTCTCAGTCATATCAATGAACACCTCATCGGGTACACCGAGGCAGCTGAGTATCACAATGGTCTGGCGATTCAGGGTCGCTGTCGAGAAGCGAGAGGCCCTGATGATCTCTAGGTTCCGTGCGCGGGCAGTGAACTTGTTCTGCGAAGGTCGGATATACACCTCATTGAACTTGACCTGCGGCCAGGTGACAAGAATGCCTTTGCTTCCTCCCAATCGAAACTGAAAAGCCGATGGCACTCTTCCATTTCGCCACAATCTCAGCCTGTTTGTGATTTCTCCAGCCATCCACTCGGATATCATACCAACACCATCACTGAATGTCCACCCATTGCTCTCGATGTCAGGGATGTCTCTGACGGTCAGGCCCAAAGCGAGGCCCTTAGGGTCCCTTGTAGTTGAGAAGCACTGGCCCAGTCTGGACGCGTACTTGGCAACGACGTTGATGTGTCTGAAATCGCCCATCCAAGCACGAATATCATCACAAGATTGATGTTCTGTGGGACAAAAGAAGTAGGCACCATTCTCTCTGATTTGGGAGTTGCCAAAAGCCAGGAATTTGAAATGCCGATCACCAATGACAATACCATGACGGAGTGTGCGGTATACTCTGTTGAATAATGCATCGTTGGTATCGCTGTTGGGAGTTGCATGTATCCGTCCTTCTGTGCGCTCGTCGGTAAACTGAACGCGAATGAAGCGGTCAACATTGTTGGCATATTGACGCAAAACCCTGTTTGTGGTTTCCGGTGTTGGTGAACTCAAGTATATTGTGGTCGGTGTGACGATGACTTTTCTGACCCAGGTACAATGCTCAGGCAAGACAATCGTTGTATGATGCATGAGCGCGGACCTGTCTTGGAGGATAGTCAATGGGTTGTAGACTCGCTTCTTGGCATCCGTGACATATTCTAGCACGTTCTTGGCCTTGTTGACAAACCGACCACGTTCACCGTTTAGCTTGGCCAACTGCTGGAGGAACTGAGGAGAGACACTCTGCTCAGAGAAAGCACCTTGTGAAATTGCGGCTTCTAGTTGGTATCTCACATCGAAAGGGAGGTGAAGATGACCCGCATCGTGTAGAAGGGCTAGACTGGCGTTCGAATGACGGGCTTCGGGGCCGTCGATCAATGTTCGAAAGATCGACTGCTTGCCTTGCTTCCAAGTGAACGTCTGCGCATCTGTAGAGATAACTCGAATGTTGAAATCTCGGAGAGCATTGTTGAAGTAGTCCCATGCCTTGGAGTCAGATGCTTGGAATAACAGTCTATAGGTTGTCCATCTTCCAGCTTCGATGAACTGAAATGGTTCTTGAAGTGAGACTGGATAGTTTTTCGACCAGTCCGCGTAGCTGACCTCACAGGCTCGTACCCAGACGTCCTGGTCACCCCATTTGGTGGGAGCGGCCCTCAGAGACTTGGCAATATCTCTTCGTCGTCTCCAGAATTTAGGCGGTGTCTCCAAAGGTATAATCAGACACCATTGTCCGTTATCAAGACTGATGTGGAAGATGTGCTTCAAATGACTGAACTGAATCTCGACTTTGAACTCTGAAGGTTCTGCGGCGTTTTCTCTCTTGCCGATGCGCTCTTTGTCCACAAGGATGCTAGGATCTTTTCTGCGAGGGTCATCAATGAAGCAGTAAAATCTCATCTCAAGCCTTCTGAATTTCAGATTGATGGTGAGTGTAGGGTAGAAAATATCATCCCGAATGGTCTTCATGATAGCCATAGCTCGATCTTGAGATAGGAAGCCGAAGTCTAGAGTAGTGAGACGAAACAGCTTGCTCTCAGGATATGTCACGCCAGCCTTGACCGGGCTCTTGATGCGTTGAGACACACGAGGAAGCCGAAGACCAACTCGGACTCTGAACTGTCTATCACGGACTGAAATCGTCACAACACCGGAGTTCCAAAATGAGTGCTGAGGTACAGGCGAAAAATTGATATATGCATGACCATTGGTGCCGTCGATGTTACTCCGGGGTATGTTGATCGAATCAATACGGCCGTAGCTCGAAAATGAGCTGTAGAGGTCCAGGGTGGTCACACCCTGAGGAAGGTGTTCGATCAACACGGAGACCTCCAGCCAGGTCCTCCAAGCTGGACGGAAACCCATGGGAGCCGGTTGATGGTGTGTGAGGTTCCGGCTTCCTGGCATCTGTCTAGATCGGCCAAGTTGCTGCATTGGTTGTGACATGGTATCTATAAGCAGGGGAGAGGAGTTATGAACGGGGGGAAAAGCCGCTGGCTGTCCTGAATGGGCTTGAGGAGCAGACACGGAAGGCTCGTTCTGTCGGTCTGCCATTACTTGTCCGAACTCCAGCGGAGATCCTGTGCTTTCTGAGCGAGAACTACCTGTCTGGTGACTACTTTGGTGTGCAGATATGTGGTTGTCTGTTGGAGTGCGAATCAACATGGGTGCTTCAGGTAGGATCGTGCTGTTCACGTCCGGAACCGACTTTGGCTTTGACAGCGCTCCATCTGAAGACGACATAGTGCCGGCACTTCTGTTCACAGGACGGAACAGATGAGGGTGTGTGGAAAGTTTGACTGTGATCAGAAGTGAAAGACGATGGGGGGTTCTGGTAGAGTTGTTGGGACGAGGGGTATTCGGCTGGTCTGGATCGCCAAATCAACGAAAACTGGAAGTTACCTTCTCCGTTTGAGATTTGCCACTAGATGTGACTTCCTTTTCCGAAACGCGTCGACCACGCTGCTCAAACTTGGAGCCGACTCTGGGATCCGTGTGTTTGATATCCTGGCGAGCCTGGGAATTTCAGCACGACAGTAACGTAGTTTCGTGAGACAAGACCGATCCAGCCGCGACAGTTCTTTGTACATGTTCAGATGCTGCTTCTGAATGAACCAAGAATGGGCAAACCACAAAAGGCTGGGTGAGGTCTGAGAGGGAGGCAGTTCCTGCCTAAAATGGCCTCGATCTCCGGAACTGGGTCTAGAACCAGAGAGTGATATCAACTTACCTGCGTGTAGGTAGGAGGCCACAATGGCTTCGACCAACTCAAGGGTCAGGTCTTGATGAGGTAAGATCAGGACTTTGTGAACAGTGGAAGACAGCCTCGCTCTGAGAGATCGCTTATGCAGGCAGCCGAAGCTCAAGAAAAAGATGGCACAAACAGAATATTCTTGCGCCCGACTCGCTGATTGTGAGACCTGGGAAAGTGATGTTCTGTGAATATTGCAAATCCCAATTTCAAAAGCATGCATTTCTTGCTATTCTCATAAATAGTCAGTGTCGGCGAGTAACAGAGAGTGTAGTGCAGTGGTCGTGGTGTTACCGACAAGTCCAACCAAGTGTTTTGTTTAAAGTTCTCCTAGAGAGCCCTCTTGTTGTATTGATCATCCGGGCAACCACAGCACAGTCCCTCACGAAACACTGGGGTTCCAGATCAGCTAGGTCTTGCCTAGATGACTCTCGGATTGCCCGCTCGTACTTCCTCAGTACGCGATTATAGTACTGATTGTTAGAAAGTTGTAAGTTAGAATGATTGACTGAGAGAATGGAATGAATGCAAATGTTGACCTAAACTATGCCGAGGCGGACTGCTCCAGCCTAGTCACCTGATCTATCCCATGAACCGTACCCAATGCTTGGATGCAGATACACGACTCTCCCTTTTCTCCGAAAGAAAAAATGTTATGCTCCCTATGTCAATCAACTCACAAGTTCATCGCATGGCTCAATAAGCAGCAGAAGACATCTCCCATAACCCCAAACGTGTTCATGGCAGATCCATGATCTTGCCCGGATTCATGATCCAACGTGGATCCAGCGCCTGCTTGATCGCGCTCATGACGGCCAGGGTCTCGGGCCCGACCTCCCAAAGGAGGGACTCCTTTTTGCCCCAGCCGATCGAGTGTTCTCCCGTGCAAGTGCCCTCCATCTCCAGGGCTCGTTTGACCATGTTCTTTACGCAAACCTCAACCTTCTCGCGCTCGTCCTTCTTCTTTCGGTTGTAGATGATGCTCTCGTGGAAGTTGCCGTCGCCGATATGACCGAGAATACTGGCGAAGAGCCCGAGATCGTCCATCTCCTTCTTGCTAACCTCGATGATGTCCGCCAGACGGCTGAACGGGACAGCAACGTCCGTACTCCCTGTTATACGAAGTGAGTCTAGAGCTGGAACACAGGAATACGAATACTAACAAACTTCCTCGCCATCTTTCCTCAAGGCCAACATAGACCACAACGACTCCTTTCGGGCCGACCACAGTAGCTTCTGTTCTCGCTGGTCCTTGGCGAACTCAAAATTGCTCCCCTTGTGTCCTTTTGTTATCCGCTGCACTAGACTGATATGTTCTTGAACGCTAGCCTTCGTGCCCGAGAACTTGAAGAATAAGGTGGGAACCTCCTTCCACACCCGCGGAGCAGTGGCGCCTCCAAGGTTCACAACTTTCATCTGCACCTCGTCCATGATCTCCATTGCAGCAACTGGTACGCCAGTCTGCATAACCTCAGCAGCAGCGGAAGCAGCATCACGGATGCTTGGGAAAGTGACCACAGCGACGGAAAGATCCTCGGGTACAACGGCCAGCTTGAGGGTTGCTATGAGATGGGTCAGCTACGTTGTTATTGGCAAAACGTGGCAGAGTGACCTGCCTTCTGTAACCAAGCCCAATGTTCCCTCAGAGCCAACAAACAGCGAGTTGAGATTGTAGCCAGCAGAGGACTTTCTCGGCCTCCTGCGCGTCTTGATTACAGTACCATCGGCAAGGACGACAGTTAAGTTGATAACCCAGTCCTTCATGGTACCATATTTGACAGCATTTGTCCCCGAGCAATTAGTTCCAACCATACCACCAATCTTTGCACTCGGGCCTGTCAATTCATCGTGAGCATTTCGATCGAAGGGAATATCTCAACAACTGCTGCATTGAAAGCTACTGAGGCTCTGCAAGACATTTCTCACCTGGATCGATTGGAAAGAAGAGCCCGCTTTCCATCTTGGCCAATTGCTCATTGAGGTCTTGCCATCCGATGCTAGGCTGAACAACAATATCCATATCATCCTTGTTGAACTGGACGATCTGGTCCATGTAGGCGAAGTCGACGCTGATGCCGCCATAAGGAGCAGAGAAGTTCCCTTCAAGGCTCGAACCGCCTGAATAAGGGATTATGGGTATCCGGTACTTATGGCATATCCTGGCAATGGTGGAGACTTGGTCTGTAGACCGAGGATATGCCACGGCGACGGGCAGACCATCGGGGTTGGTAGACGACCATTCAGAGTACCCATGAGCATGCAGATCTTCTGGATCTATGGATATGATATCTTCACCATCTGTACCGATGTCGCGGCGGATCTCCTCCAATGCCTACCGTGAAGGTTAGTGAAGTAATCTCCCGCCACGTAAGTATTATCTTACGGCTTCCATCTGGCCCATTGATGCATATTGTGGGCTCGGGACTTTGCTATCAAAAAGCTTGTAAGTGGCCTTTTGTGGCGGTTGCTGTAGCCCGGCCCCAGCAAGGCCAAACCCAAATATCCCGGCGGTTGCCGTGAGCATGACCACGGAACGGCCCGACCACGCCGGAGGTTTCTTCCCCGTCGCCGAACTGGAGCACCGGGAAGATCTCCCGTTCCCGGGGGCTCTCTTCAAGGGTGAAGAGAGGCATGGGCGCCTGAGGCCCCTTATGCCCCTAAACAGGGACCTGGAAGACATGGGGAAGGGGGTTTGGAATAGTCGGGCTATCAGTAGAGGATTTGGTCCCAGGAACAAGTTCTGAGCTCAGTTATATGTCAGGCAGACTTGATAGTATATCGAATAGGTGGGCCAGGGTGGGCAGCAATGCGGCTCCCTATCGAATGTACGGTCTTGCGTTGACGGCCTTGTCCGGAAGCTACCCGTGAGGAGCAGACCAGAGATTCTCTATCTGTGGCCACCAATTGCAGCAGCCTTGGAAATGGAGCAAATAAGCGAATGGCTCGAACCACTAATAACCCGCCCCTTTTTTATGCCGCGATTGAATCCAGAGAAAGGCGAGGACGACTTGAGAGCTAGCTCATGAGTGTGTGTTATCTCGTTATGTAAGTGGCAATGCCAGATGAAGTTGAATAGATGAGACCAAAGGCCCAGAACAAGAAAGAGAGGGGATTATGGATGTGAGGGAAAAAAGTGGACAGCAAAAGCCGATCTAATGACAAGGTGCGTAAGAGCTCACGAGAGCAAGTCTCTTGTAATAGCAAAAAAGCTCGGGTAAGAGGCCGTGTGACCCTCTTTGATGACTAGACTTGTCCGAAATTGGCGAGCCAATGCGGGTAGAGAGGGTCTCCTCTGCCGACTACGTATTACAAAGATGCGGTGATTCGGGAATTGCAAACCGATTTTTCCACAACTTACGCCAAGTTCAAGGTGAAATTGCTTGGGATAATGAACTTTGTGAGCGTGGTTGGTCCGGAGACCCAAAATCGACCATCTAAATCAAACTTGAGACATATATAGTCACCATCACTCGGAATCTACCGACGAGAATTAACTCCGACCATGACACCATACGTAACTACATTCGAAAAAGAGTGGCTATACGTTCAGCCAGCGAATAAAAAGAAGGCAGTAGTCACGAAAAGAAAAGGGCTCGAAGGTCATTAAATGATGAGGATTGAGTACTTGGCTCGGCAAAGGCTGGGACGTGGGATAACCCCAGAAACGGCCATCTTCCATGCCCCTTTCTAGAAGCCTGAGTCTATGAATGGAAGCTTGGATGGTAGGATGAGATGTAACCAACCGTGGGATTGAGTGTGTCATAAGGACTGCGTTGGCTTGCCTGCCTGCATTAGAAGTCTTCTCCGTCGGCTACCTACCTTGGCCATGTAAGTGCCACTGGCGAGAATCCGCAACCGGCGCGAAAGATCCTGATGGCGAATCAAAGACTCTATCAGGCATTGCGGAAATATCAAGGCCACTGAGCGAAGGATCGGGTACATCATGCCGGTTCTCGGTGTCAGGATTGAGGAAAAGCTAGCTCAAGGACATGCTTGCTTCTCCCAAAAGGGCTGACTTCTGGCCGAAGAAACTTTCTCCAATATCTGACGCCCTCGTGGCTGCAGAGAATGTGGGCCTTGCTTGGAGAAGAGGGGTCAATGGGCCGCCAACGGCTTGAGGGGTAACATCGGGCTTCTCAGTTGCATGCAGATGCGCGATCTTGGGATCTGAGACCGAGCCAGCGCACGGCGTACGTTAAGGCTTGTCACCCGCAACCTCTGCCGGTTGGAAATCTTTGAGACACGGGTTACTTGGGCACTAATGGATCGTCCGTAGTCTGCAGCTGAGATAGTCCACGTGATTCCCGGTTCAGTTGGAAGAGGCTGCTCGGTTTGGTTCTAATATCTCTCTCCCTAATCAATAATTCGGCCCATCTGCCAATACTAACCATTGCTCGCTTTGGAAGGTCCGCAAGTCGTCACCCACGGTTTGTGGATATAAGATACGTGGAAGTCTGTTGGGGGTCAAGGGGTCAAGGATCCCTGTTCGTGCTTGTGAGGTGTACCGCCTAGCGGGCGGATATAGGATTTCAACTACGCATCCATCTATAGATAGCTGTCGGGTGTAAGGCTGCGTCTTGAGGTCACTCGTCAGCCTAGGCACTGCGTGTCAGAGCAACACGGCACCTTTCTAGACAAAGAGCAACGTCTTGGCCCCGGAACGAAGGGAAGATCACGTAAGAGAAATGTCACGTGTAAGGTGACAACAGACGCCCAGCTTGGAAATGTGACTCGTGAGGCTACTAAAGCCTGCTGTGCAACAGCAGTCTAACAAGGAGCACTGTGTATTTCAGGTCAGGAACGCGGGGAACCATATCCCAGAACTAATCCCACACCGACGTTGTGCTACCTGACCTCGCTGCGGACGCCACGGCATATTTGGTGTAATATGCAAGCCCCAGGACAGATTCCAAAGACTAGTTGGCAATCATGGTGTTTAGGAGTTTCCAGTGACACATCGATTCCCACGGAAGTGAGTTTACAGCTAGGGTGATCGCTAACCGGGGCCTTCTCATGAGTTTACAGGGGGCATCGCCGTGGGGGGAATAGTGGAGACAGCGGTGTAAGTCCCTACTACGAAGTACTTACGCAACTTAGTGATTCCAAAGTTCCAGGTTATAGTAAATCCTCTCTTCACTGATCATGTTATGTGCTAGAATCAAGCAAGCTGGACGCCGTGAGGTTGAGGCAATCCTAAGGAACATTAGATAGACCTGACCTGAACCAGAACCCGGCCACCTTAGCATTGCTGGCGCCCAGTGTCCTCATTACAACTCCTTTGCCCGCACCGGAAGTGGTGTGTAAGCCTGTTCTGTTCTGGTGCAGGGACCTGCATGGAAACCTTGACCACGTGCAGCGCGGGAAAAGACAGAAGGCACCTGGGGAGTGAACACAAGTCAAGAAGTCAAGAGCAGCCGCCGCGGGCAGTACTTGCTCTTTCCGACGACTTGCATCGGTCTGCTTCAGGGGTCGACTCAGCAGGGGCAGACCAGAGGGTACATGCAGAGTCGATCCTCTCAATACGATGGACTTGACCGCTGCCGCGGCAAAATATTCTATCCAAGGACCGGCAGTGACTGAAGTTGACGACAAGTAAGGAAGTCCGAATCCGACGTCAGTAAGCAGTGTAACGACCGAGAAGCTAGGCTACCACATCGGGTCGAGTCATCAGATACATATTATAGAGAAGTTTCGCGTACGGTGATCCGGCAATTGAAAATTTGGCTTCGAGACGTGGCCCCCTCGCTCATCAACGATTGGGTTCAGGCGGTCACAAGGCAAAACACACCCGGCAAAGAGAAGACTAAGTGACGATAGTGTTCATTGGGTAGAACATGCGTCACGACCGGTACCTAGTAGTGTCAAAATCACCATTCACACTCTGAACGCAAAGTTGGCACAACAATAGCAAGCCCATGGGGAGAGTAATCACTGGCACCGAGTAGGTCTAGGGCTGAATGGGGGTCTCAATTGTCAATTGCTTTCTCATTGAGCTTCATTTACCTAAGAAGCTTCTCTCATGTGGTAAGCACAAACCAATAGCCTTAGACTCCAGCCCATGCGTGTCAAAGTCAACCGTTGCCATACAATCCCTTTTTGTTTACCATACCAAGCATTTAGTGGCCAGTCAGAGCGTGGGCGCGGCGGCGGTCTCTCTCCTCAGCAATGGTAAGCTTGACACCCTTACCCTTGGGGAGGGAGATCCAGGGCTTCTCGGAACCGATGACGAAGACGTTGCTCTCACGGGTGGCGAAGGTGTTGTCAATGGCGTCCTTGATGTGGACGATGTTGAAACCACCATCGTGTCTCTCACGGTGGGTGATGACACCGACACGGCCCATGTTACGACCACCGGTGGCCATGACAATGGCGCCGGTGTCGAACTTGACAAAGTCAGAGATCTTGCCGGTGTTCAGGTCGATCTTGACGGTGTCGTTGACCTTGATCAAGGGGTCAGGGTAGCGGATGCTGTTTGACATGACACGTTAGCAACATGCCGGGGAAGGGGTAACATACAGCCATTGTCTCAGAGCTCTTTTCGAGTGTTCCCATGTACGCATACGCAAACACATAGCATAGTAAGGTGGTTCGACCAAAGCTTGATCCAACGGCTGAATGATGTCTGACAGAACTTACGTTCTCGCATCGTGCGTGACCAAGAATGGGATGCCGCCCTTGCCAAGTTGCACTCTCTTGACCTTGCCCAGCTTGTACTCGGCCTCCTCGGCCTGGATGCGGTGGACGGTGAAGCGGCCCTTGGTGTCGTAGATGAGGCGGAAGTGCTCGCCAGTCTTCTCGATGGTGATGACGTCCATGAAGCCGGCGGGGTAGGTCGAGTCGGTGCGAACCTTGCCGTCAACCTTGATCAGGCGCTGCATGAGGATCGACTTGGTCTCACGGTAGTTGAGCGCGTACTTGAGGCGGTTGCGCAGGAAGATGATGAGGGGAAGACATTCTCGCTGCTTGTGGGGACCGGCCGACGGCTTGGGGGCGTAGACACCCGAGAGCTTGTCGAGAAGCCAGTGGGAGGGAGCGCTCAGGCGCTTCTGGTGCTTCTTACTGCAGGAAGACGAATATCAGCATGAGGGTCGCGGCAACCACGAGTGCGGCAGGATTCTTCTCGGCGGCCACGACGGCCACCGATAATAAATCCGCCTTGCAGCTGAGGCTTCTAGAATGGCTGTTACTTACGGTCCTCTACCCATTTTGACGGTTAGTTGTTGTCGGCTTGGTCGTGAGGTCGGGGCTGGGTGATGCGGGTTTGACACTGGGGAAAAAGTTCCTGACCCAAAAGTGAAGGATTGAATTGAAGGGTTGTTGTGCCCTAGCGAAATTTCACACGTGATTTATTGGCCCCAAGCTGGGGCCCTTTACTGTAGGCTGCCGCAAAAAAAAAAAATGGGCTGCGCACAGACCCCAAGCACCCCTGCCAGACCTGCTGCCAAGAATGAACTCTGGCACTTGGCCAGCCGGAAGTGCCAGCTGGGCTCTCGCTGGGAGAGATGCTCCTAAGCCAAGCCGCTGACTGGCGGTCGTCTGAATCACGTAGCTGTGGTTTGAGAGAGAGGCAAGTAGTATAGTGTACAATCTGCAGTGGCTAGTCACACGCTGATCTCGAAGCCAAACGTTGGGAATAGGCGGTAGCCAGAGGCTGATGCCACACATGATCCGGGCAGGAGCTTTATGGTTTACCTTGACATACGCACATGGCCAACGGATGGTACAGGATTGTGACTGAGCAACCCCTATCATGTATTCATTCATCATATGATCCTCCATCTACACACACTAAGTACCTCGCAGAGTGATGATAGCTCTCTTGTAGACAATCCTCAACATCTGGGTGGCATTCTAGCCTGACACACATCATACACATTACCCTGCCCCGGAGCTGGAGGAGAGCTTTGCTCTGGGCAGTTTGTCGTCGCCTACGGCCTGGGCGTTCTTTCAAATCCATTACATCCCATCCTCGACACTCATGGGGCCAAGAAATTATACTAACAAGGTGCCAGCATCGTAACCGGTGTGTGGCCTGCTCTCATTCTCGTGTACGCACCGCAGTCAAGTTCAGCGACGGCGCCGCTCGATTAGCAGTTGCTTTGGCTGGCGCAGCGCTGTCTTGTGCAGCCTGCCGGTCTTGTGCGCGCTGTCATTGGAACTCTCCAAAACTCAAACTCACTTTTGTTCTTACCATACCTCTCGGCCTTGTGGTTCACCCCAAACCTCGTTTTTCCGACAAGGACGGCTCTTGGGCAATCTGCGTGTCGTCAAGGAGCAGGCGCGAAATATCCATCTCTCCGATGCTACCGGACGGGAATGCCGTCCCAGCTGCTTCATTCCAGAAGACATGCGAAGGAGCTTGTGAAGACTCAGCCGTTTCCATCAGGCTCGCAGAGATCGGCCACTTGGGCATGTCCTCTTTCGAGCTATTCTGTATCAGTTGCGGTTCCAGCAAGGCTGATTTGTTCTTATCCAAGGAATGGCCAATCGTCATGTCAACGCTGGGCTCCAGGAGGCTGTTGCCTCGGCTCGCTTCCTTGATCTGCATTGCCGTCTTTTCGGTGCTGGCAAACTTCTCCGGGTACTTGTTTCTCAGTCTGTCTCTCAAGTCCGTGGGCTGCCTGTTGGCAAGGTGAAATCTTGAATCACGCTGGATTCTCGTCCACTGAGGGCCGTATATCTCGAATCCCTCCAGGATCTCTCGGTCGTCTTGTTCTGAGAATGGCCGACGATTGCGACGCTGTGATGTCTTGAACGGCCCCTTGATCCCTAGTTCAGCCAAGTCTTCCAGCTTCTTGCGGTGAGCACGGCTCTTCCGTTGCCTGGGCGCCGAATCCGAGTCGTTCTGGGTCGAGGAAGCTTGTTCGGGCTCCACAGGCTCAACCGGCTCGGCGGGCTCCTTGGGTTCGTTCAGGATGTTCTCCGACATGAGACCTTTCTTCGGCTTGACGCCAGGTGCCGCTGCCGTCAGCCTGGCCTGTTGGACTCCCTGTTTGGCCTTCGCTGTGGCTCTGAGCTCTTCCGGACAGCAGGTTCGGAACCGATCCTTCAGGTCACCAGCAGTCCTCTCGTTAAACTTGAACTGCCTATCTTCAAGGATGTCGGTCCACCTGCCAACGCCGTATTTACTAACACCTAACAACAGGTGGTTCGTCTCTTCCTCCGTCCACTTTCTTCGCGGTTTGGCCGCCCGTCTCTTGATCCTGCCTGTTGGGGTCTTCTCGGCATCAGGCGGCTGGGTCGTTGCAGCTTTGTCGTCCGTAGTCGGTAAGGTCTCAGGAGGCTTGCTGATGCCCATAGACTTTGGCGGCTCAGAGCGTGGGCGGTGATCAAATGATGCAGACGAGATGGGTGGGAACAGAGCGGCGTCCGTGGGCGGTTGGACCAACCCCACGATCATGGGGGGAAATCTAACCTCCGACGTTGCCTTCTGCTTCTTCAGCGGTTGGGGCAGCTGTACGAAGTCTTCCTTGACGGGCCTTTTCTTGGCCGTTGGGTCTTCTGATGCCTCGGTAGTGTCATCCAAGATCTTACGCAGGTCTTGTGAGGAGATGTGGTGTAACAGGTTTCTCTCGGTGCCATAGTTCGTGTCCTTCCACGTCGCCGTATTTGCAAGACTATCGTCTGTCATGGAGAACAATGGAGGGATAGACTGCGAGGCCAATTGGCCTGCCGCACTGATGTCTGGCCCTCCGTTCCGGTGGCCGGCATCTGGTTCGATCGGAGGAGGATGTTGGCGGCCCGAGGGCTTTGGCAGGCTTAGACCTTTGATCGGCGGAAGTTCATTGTGATGTGGTTTGGGCGTGGCCGTCGACTCATTCAGCAAGTGAATGAGCCGTGGCTCGATGGTAGCCATCGTAGGTCGCGGGGCTCCAGCCGGGGGGAGGGCATTGGGATAGGGCGGCGAGGTATACGACGGGTCAAAGACGTCCAAGTTGTGTTGTTGCAACGGGGCGAGGCCGGCCGTCTAGAGTTTCAGAGGCAAAGCACCGGTGGCGGGAACGGCAGGTAAGGTAACTTTCTTTCGGGAGAGGTACACATTGCTCATCTACCTACAGTGTAGACGAACGGCCAGGTAAGGCGGGTGATTCCACTTTCCCATCTGCAATAGCTCCACGGGTGCCCAGAAGGGTGCGAGTTGGATCAGATAGGGGACCGGCAGACCGGCGCTCTTCTCGCCTCCACGCGCTGCGGCAGGAGCCGTGGAGAGAGCTTGGAGTCAGGAGCGGAGACGGGAATGTCAACTGGGATATCGATCTCTTCAACACATACCGTACCGATACTGTGCTGCTGCTAACGTCCGAGCCGGCATTGGCCGAGCTGCTCAACCCATCACCCGGAAGCAGGCAAGCGGGGTGCACGTCTATGCTCTCTCACAGTGCTTGCTGATCGTGGACCAGCTTGGCTGTTGGGAGGCGTACTTGATTGCTTTGGGCCCTGTCGCCGTCGTCGTGCGAAGATCAAGCCACTGGCCCTATCGACGGCGATAGGTTTGACATTTGTCAATGGTGAAAGGTTGCCGGTAGTTGAGATTGGGGGACAGAAAATGCGACCCCGGTCCTCGCCCCCGACCGAGATGCACCTGGAATGAAAGCCGCGTTCTAGGCTCGCCTGGTTCGGTGTCCCCTCACTTCCTAGGCCGCCGATCCGAGACGAGATCGGCGTCAGGTCTGCATTTGCTACAACGAACAAGTTGCTACAGGCCACTGCTGCAGGCTGTTTGCTCCTATCACCGAAGAGCAGCATGATTTGGAGAGGCCCGGCCCCAGGCGGCCCTGGTGGGGCAAAGGCGTCCCAAAGTTGGGGGTTGCATTTCGATGCCAAGAGTGCATTTGGAGCCTCGCATCAATCCACACAGTGCTCAGGAAGACAGCCCATTAACATTCGACAGAAGAAAGCAGTCAGGGCAGTGTCCATAGCTAGCTCTAGATCGACTTGCGCGAGGATGCAGGTTGTGTGTAGTCGGGCTTCCTCCCAATAACGTGCAAATCGGGTGGTTTTGCCATCAGGCAGGGGTCAATCTTATGATGAAAGCACTGGACGGTACCTGAGTCTAGGGGCTATCTATTTGATTGGTTGAAACAACTTACCCAGTGACGGACTGCACTGGTAAACTTCTCACGATACATTGCAGTTTGAGTGGCTACCACTGTCTCTGAACACAAGCTCGCTCAGTGGCCTCTCAATTGCCCCCTTTCCCAAGGGTCGTGTTCACGGTTCTGGAACCAATCTCACTGTAAGTCTCGCATCACAGCTGTTGCAACATCTCCTGCGAGGATAGGAACACTGTCAGCTAAGGGACTGCAAAGGATTTCGGGTGCTGTTGCTCCGCTCATATCGCCAGACTGGTTCATTACAGAGCAGATCGTGTCGCCTGAAACCCTCCATCACACTGACAATGCTCGCCTTGTCGCCCTACAGCTCGGTAATGCTTACGGGCTCCTCTTCATGGTCGGCGTGGCTGTACTTTACACAACCTCTGAGCTGAAGGTAGTTCGAAGTTATCTCTGGGCCCTATGGATTGCCGATTTAGGGCACATCGGCCTTACGGCCTATCTGCTGGGTTACGATAGGTTCATGGCAGTGGCTGAGTGGAATGCTATGACATGGGGTAACGTTGGTGCCACGGTACGTTATTGCCTGCACGCTATCTTGCAGAAATCGCTGACAGGTACACAGGCGTTTCTATGTTTAACAAGGACAGCTTACCTACTTGGATTATTCGGAGGGGTGAGCTCCCCTGCCTCGGGTCCAAAGAAGATTCAGTGATGGAATGCAATCCATGCAACGATCTAGCGATTGCCTGGAACTGCGACTTGTACTTTGCATAGCCAAGTATTCTGGTGTAGTCTGGCACCAATGCTAGCGGTCACCTTTCTTTTGTTGTCTATAGGGTATGGGTCGAGATTCATACCCGACTAGAGGCTGAACGATCTCTTGTTGGGACTGCAGATGATCTCTGCAGATGATGCAAACCGGAAACAATCGTTTGTAGGATTTCAAGCTAGCCCTATCCGCATTTCACTGGTAATCAGCATGTGTCTCATTCATCTACTGCTTGCCTTGTATATAAAACCAGAAGGTCGTACTAGCAGTACAGGCTGCTAGTCTCCCGAGGGTATCGTAGCCTTCTGCATTGCGTCTGCCTTCCAGTCTACTATAGACATAATCAGTCCTCAAGACGTCCGGTGAACATCCTTCGAACCGTGTAGTGGCACCGTCACATGATTGTCGTGCTTTGATTGGTTTTAGCTACTGTTCACAATTCTGGTTGATAGGGGGGCAGGCCAAACTCTAAAAGCTGACCGCCCGCCCTCGCATTGCGTGAACTTTGCTTGGAGATGGATTTATTAGAGTGAAATTGAGTCTGTGTATTTAGCTTTCAGTGTGTCAAATCCATCAGGAAGCGGCCTATTGTTTTTGTGTGGCGGAAACAGCAAAGAGTTCCGGCGGACCAAGGAATATGCGTGCTTCAAATGGACAGCCACCCGCTCTTCCTCTTCGGTTTGCAGCCTTTATTTTGGTGAAATAAACCTCAGTTACTTTATTTGGCTCTATTACTACGCATGCGGTGGTTTATTGTCCTGTCTCTCGCAGCTGCAGCTGTGGGAGCCCCAAGCCTACGCGATAGCGTCCTTGGGGGAACAAGCACCCGCAACAAACCGGAGACAGGATGTCAGGCAGGGAGTTACCAATGCAATGCCAACTTATCGGCCTGGGTTGTTTGCGACCGTACTCACAAATGGGTCCATGGAGGGAGTTGTGACCGTGGTGCTGAGTGCCACTTTGTTTACTATAATCAGCCGCCTGATTGTATAACTAAGAGTCGTCAACAGGGTTTTGCGTGGGACAGCGACTAGTTGAGCGAGCACACACACCTTAAATGTAAGTTCTAAACAACTGTATCGAGCTGCGGATTCAATATCACGATTGGAATTTTGAGGTTTGACGAAGGCTTACGGGAACGACAGTGACGGAAATGCGTTAACCAGTCAAGGAGTTTGGAGTATACGCAAAGGAGCAACTTGTGAATGACTTTCTCGCGGAAGGGAGAATTGATTTAACATGAGCTAATCATGGCACGGAGGTCCTGGTTTGTGTTTTGTCTGATGGTCACCGATATTCTCGCCTGTTCTGATACGTTCAGGTTGCCTGGTCTCATCATACAGCCTGCAACAGAAGCGCGCCATCTTACGCCGCACAGGTTATCTTTTGGTGTTTAGACTCGTGCGTCACAAATTTATAATGAAGAAGCACTCTATTACATGTCAAAGGTGGAAGTTTTGATAATGAACGTACGCCGTCGTGTCACAAGATACAAGAGTCATTCTTCGCTGGGGAAAAATAATCGAGCAGGTCTTGACATCGACGACAAAGAGATGTTCTAACCGACTATTGTTCCCTTGCGATATCTCTCTAAAAATTCGTTGTAACTTTTCCGTCATGAAACACAATGGATCTTGGCAGAGATGTGTGATTAATCCATGAAGTCCAAAGGCGGGTCATAATTTCACTTCCGCGCATTGCCAGATTGGTGGCATCTTACGATGCTGAATTTACTTGTAATTTGTCACTTGCAGTACCAAATTAAACTCACTTGCAGTCGATACGTCTCTTCGATATGTATATTAGCCCAACCATTTGCCATTCATTTCTGTGTTTGTCGCCGACTTTTTCCCACATCCACCATTGCATGCGACACCATGGGTGATCAAGCACCCCACGGTTCGAGAGGCTCGTCACCTCTGAGCCCCTATCGAAAGACTGCCTACAGAAATTCATGCGAAAATAATGGAGCGAATTCCTGACTTGACGACGCTTCAGTCAGCAGTTCTTGCTTAACTGATTTCTGTCGCATCTATTCAGAACATCAGCGCAGCAAGCTGAACGCCCGAGTCCTGCAGAACGAGGTGCTGACAGACTGTCTTTCGGAAGCTGTCATGCTACGCCATGTGCTGTAAAAGCAATGGACACTACCTGGCGAACGCTCGGAGTACCTGCAGAATCTGATTACCCAAGCCCTGGATACCCGACCAAGTCCCCCGACCTCCGTTTGCTGGAAAAAGGGTACCGATATTGCTGAACGCCACAAACTTGTGCTTCACTTGGGCAACATGTTTCTCGCATGGTGCAAGGAGAACGATGCAGAGAAGCTTGGTTCCAGCCTCGATAACCGATCTGCAACTGCAGCTGAGATGGGACGTATTCAACGCACCAGAGTCTTCATTTACGACAACATTCACGTTACTAGCCATCCTCCACAAGGTCACTCTTTCGCACCATTCTTTTCCAAATGTTCCCCTTGGGAAAATGCCCAGTTAGGCTCCATCGTTCACTTCCTTGGCGCCCGTATTGCAACTGGTAAGCCCTTTAGAAATTACTGTGCCTCTTGTTTATGGAGGCAACCAGACAAGTATTGACTAACAAGAAACAGCCATAAACTCGATGAGTACTCATGATGTTGAGTGGGGGGCGTATAGAACAAGAACTCCCAACTGCAGTCCATATGACGAACAAGTTTCACAAATATTGTAATGGGGGATTGAAACTGTCCACTCCTTGCTTGCCGACGAAACGTTCGAAGAGCGAGCAGAGATCATCAATGAGGTACTGCAGCTACGCGACGGAGTACGGGACATTAATATTCTCAATTATCTACCGTCGGAACTGGATCATGTGATGTCTTGGATAAGGGTCCATGGTACGCCGGTCGATGTACTTCCTTACAGTGAGAAGCCATACTACGACGAAAATGATACAGGCCCTGAGGATATATACCGGTGGTCGAACGGTTTGGAAAGTGCTACAGGGGGCGGAGACTACTGCCTAGCGGACACACTGTTATATTCTCAAGATCGTGGCTTGCACTCGTTCATGAATTTTGACGACTGGCCTTTAAGGCGCACAGGTTATGCCATGTGGGACAGATCTCGCCTGGATTCCATAGGCATCTTCAATGAGCCTTGGCTAGGAGAGGAGCAAGAGGTCCCGCCGGAGGTCATTGATTACGACCACAAATCCTTCGATGCCTCCTGCGCTGAACGAAAACGACTGTGGTTGGCTGGAGCAAGCGGTTGGTGGGCTGCTGGGAATACAAGTTAGCTCGTTTGGGAGCCGCGACGAAGGAACCAATGCATTCGTGACCGTGCGAAGGCCTTCCGCCTCTCAGGTATGATCTCTCCCAAGGCAGGAGTTTCTCCTCTGACTCATAAGCAGGCTGGAAGTGTCCAACCTTCCCGCATCCGAAACATACGCGTTTCCCCGTAATGGATTCCGATCCATTCATAAATGGGTTCTTCGACTGGCTCCTTAGAGGTAGCTACACTCTGCTGTTACTGTTTCCAATTTGTGCAGTATACGCGCCTCCATACCCGCCTCGGAGACCTCCTCGGAAGCCGCCTCGTCCGGGCATCCCGTTGGATCTAGTAGGAGGGGTGTTCTGGAAAGGGGTGATGTTTGGGGCGTGTCGGGCGTCCTGATTGGATAGTTGGTTCGCTCCCTGAGAGACAGTCACATTCGTCGGAGGCTGACCAGTCTCCCGGACTCTGGCCGTGCTCTGCGGAGGGGGAAGGACCGAATTGAAATCGCAGAGGGTGGGCAAGCATAGTTGAATTTCATCGATTGATCTGGTAAGGCGGTGTAAAGACTGAGAGTAGTTCTAACTACAGCTAACAGCACATTGGTTTGGCTGCCCGCGGGACCAAGATATGAAAGCGAGTCTCTGTAAAGCATACGATACATGGTGTTACAAAAAACACGATTGGTCCAATTCACAGCCTCCCCTCCCTTTTCAACCCTTCCCAGAGGGCAAGAGCAGCTAAGCATTTCGAATCACGAGCCCCTTCTTTCCACAGATCCTTCAGCTTAACAAGCTTCAGTGTAATCTTCTCTCCATGGTCCCTTAGACCTGTAAGTTTGTGGTTGTATTTCTCGATCTCGTTCCGCGGCAAGCGCCGCTCTGCAGTATAAAATCTGATGTACTCGTCACAGCCGCCGGCAGACGGGTACATGGCCACAGGCAACGCCTCACCAGAACTGCCTTCGCGGGATTCTTGAGCAGGAGCACTCAACTCCTTCAGCTCAGATGCCTTGATGGTCATTCCCAGTTCTTCCTTGATCTCTTCAGCTACGGCGCCCTTGAACTCCTTATCATCCACCATGCCAGCCGGCAGCTCCACAAACTCGAGACTTCCAGCAGGAATGCGTGGCTGAATAGTAAGGATGATCTGGCGATCCTCTTCCTCTTGCTTACTACCTTTCTCCACATCATCAGGCGTGAGAACGATCAGCATGGCGACGGCCGGGCCCCGCAAGAACACGATTCCAGGCAGGGGATGATTCTTGTCTGCAGGATCGTGGGGATTTTCTTTCTTGATTTCTGCCTTCAACTTCAAAAAACCTAAACGGCTGCCAAACTGATCGAAGGATTGCACATCAATCTTGAAAAGCTTGTAGGGCTCATCGTGGAATTGGTGAGACTGTTCTGACTGAAGCCTCAGCGACTTTTCAAGCTGCGTAAGCCATTTCTGTTGCGGAGTCAGTTAGTTAGCGGGTCTTGGAATCCAAGCTGAGTGGACAGACTATGAATGGTGGAAAGCCCTCTATAGCTTCCCTACCGCCCGGCAAATCCTCCGGCCAGGTGGCGTCATGGCCTTTGAGCTGCCCGCGGACGACAACAATGTGCTGGCCCGAGACTGGATTTGCACGGGGCGACTCGTCGTGGCCGTGAGCATTTTGTTGCGTCATCTTTGAGGTTGTGGAGGTGATTGTAGTGACAGAAAAGGGTCTGTTTGGGAGCTGGTTGTTGCAAGAACCAAAGCGAGCTAAGCCTCGGCTTTTTAGTAAACGCAGAGCTGGCAGCATGTCTTGTGTCCCGCCTACAGATAGGGAGTGCTTGCAAGCGTCGCAGGACTGATTCAATACAAGCCAACACCTTTAAAAGCAACACAAACGAGCAGAAAGGCAGGGTCCAACATTTGGCGAGAGGAAGAGCGCTGACGAAGTGCTTAGGGCATGTATACGTAGGTAGTTCCACGATAGGTCAACGTTATTCTTAAACTTGAACCGCAAGTAAGAACTCGGTAGCTGATCCAAATCAGCTCTCATAACATAGTGGAAATATGATGGCCGAGCGGCCCACGTAGATGCCTTGATAGTGATGATTATGATGACGATGCGCACGTAACAAGTCCGTAACCTAATGGGTTATTCGCAGCTCTTACCTGGGCAGCAGTCAGGTTCCATCAGCGCTTCGATGGCCGGGGTTTCTCCGTAAGGCGTACCCAGTGTACCTAATCACCCATGAGTCGAGTGGCACCTCGGTAAGACTAGTCAAGCAAGCGAATACACTCCCTATGTATGCACCACGTATACGAGAGCACCATAAGCGGAAGTTCATGAAAAAGGAAAGGCGAAAATTTACAGTACATTTTACTTTATTGTAACTTAATGTGCTCACTCCGAATCGGGGAATCGAACCCCGAGCTCCTCGGATTATCATGATGAAAGCGAGGTATGTTAACCGTTACACTAATTCGGATGGTGTTCGATGACGCAATACACCGTTATTGAGGACTACCAAAGTTCTGAACAATTGCGTCTAGAGGTCTCCACTGTCGAGAAACGCGCAACGTGTCTGTGTGTCTATGATGTTCTGTTGATGTTCTTAGGAATGCGAGTTGAACGAGCAGGGTCAATATCCAGCTGGTCACTTGCGCACTAAGGCGCAACTTTGAACAGAACAAGATTGGTTGGAGCGAGACACGTTGTCTGAGCAATCCCGACCGGTGTAGTGGTCTGCATGTGGGGCTAATGCGCGGAGATGGCTAGATAACGACCCCATGCTTTAGAGATACAGTATACTGTTAATGGCAACGTATGGAAACCGCCGTCAACTCGTCCTGTTTCGTCCTGCACATGGATCTCCCAGCCCCCCGGCTGGGACGAGAGTCTCGTTAGACCAAGTGGTCACCGCCTCGTGTCTTGATTATTTCACCACTGCAGTTCTTGTCCTTCATGGCGTAGACATAAGCCTCGGCGACATCCTCAACCTGAGCAGCTTTCCCCACTGGTACTTTTTTTGCTAGATCCTCCATTATTCCTGCCTTCTGCTCAGGCGTGAGAGTGGCGTCCCACAGTCCCGTGTCGACAAATCCAGGCTCGACAGCATTGACGCGAAGTGGCTTGAGGTCGAGCGCCAGGTTTCGCGTCAACCCGGTCAGGCCACTTGCGAAGTATGCGATCAGGGCCCAGCCAGGCATTGCTTTATCAGCGATACCGCCGGTCGTAAGAGTCAAACTCGATTCCCGACTCTTTGGTAGGTGACGGGCAGCCATCTTGCCGACCAGGACCGGTACGACTAGGCGCATGTGGCTTGCCTTGTGGATCATTTCAACGGTAAAGTCGTTGAGGCTACCCAACGTCAAAGAGTCTGCGGCCGTATATACCAGATGGTTGACCTCACCAACTTTTCGGAAAAGATCGTCGAGGTCACTCTCGACGGTACCTTGTGACAAATCGCATCCAAATCCCTGGATTAGTGCCGAGGGATAGCTAATCTTTACTTCAGATACAGTAGCATCAGCGCTTCGCTGGGATGATCCGACCACTGTAACATTCGGGGTCAGTAGTTTCCTTATGACGTCCATTTGTTGGGATATCTAGGTCCTGAGACACTGGTCTTGGACTTGGAACCTCAGACTTGCCAGAAAGTGGCAGTCAATTCTTCCAGACTGTACATACATGTAACCCGTGCTCCAGCCTCTAGCGACGCATCGACTACACCTCGCCCGATGCCCTTCGTTCCCCCAATGACGAGCACGTGCGTCCCAGCCAGCTTGTTGTACTTGGTCATGTTGAAGGCAACCTGGTAGATTAACGCTTAGGGTGGGCCTGTAGGTCAATTGCTTTCACCTCTGAGTCGTCTCCGAGCCGTCGTTTACTACCTTAATTGTGAAATACCGGTTCGTTATTAATACATAAATCATGGTACTTCCTGTCAGGCAACATCATGTTTTCTGTCATAAAAATGCCAGGAAACGCTCGGAGTTAATACTAGGTCCTTTCGTGTTCCGTGTTCACCACGGTGCGATTTGTTTTAAGGCCGAAAGTTTATGTCGGGCAAGCTCGGATGGCTCCTGCAAGTAATGATGCATTCCGACATAAGGTCCCGAGGTCGTACTGTTGCTCGCTGATCGAGGTCCCGCCCTGGGTTCCAGCAGGCCGTTGGCGGACTTTATTTATTCCCTAGTTGGGAGCTGTCCCGACAAAATCCGAGTCTACTCCCTTTTGGTTGAAATGATTGGAGATGCACAGCACCGCCGGGTTTAGGGATTAATTACAATGCCGTCACAACTTGGAGAGGAGATCGTCCGGTCGAGGTATGACTCTCCTTTTTGATTGGGACTTTATTGTCTTTACCATATTGTTCCCTACTGATACTATCCTCAAATGGCTGGCAGTGACAACCAATTCCTGGCCAAGGTAGACATGACATCTCAGAAGATACCTAGATATTTTGTGCTGCAGCCAGAAGCAGCTCCATAAATCCAGCACCTGTCTCCTGCAAGTTCTGGCGGTATGTCTGCGCAGTTGGGTAGAACGAACACGAGGCTTGATTATTTGCAAAGCCGAACTCAACCGTAAAGGCGTGAACCAGCCCAAGGCTCGAATCTGCGAAATGTCTCGAGTAAGAGTAATCGTCGCTTGCTCCAGAAGTCGGATACAGTTCGGAAGCTTGCTCAACTCCGTAGCTGCGCCCAGCTGCTGCACTCATTGCCGTCTGAATGCTAGTCGCAGTCTTGAGGTTGATAGACCAGTCGTCCGCAGGTGTGTACTCGGAGTAGACGAATCCACTGCGGTCTGGCGAGACACCTCGGACCTTGTCATATGTCGAGTTCAAGAAGCTCATTCCCGGAGTCTTAGATTGGTTGTCATCGCTTCCCCAACTGTAAAGGACAACTCCAGCGTTAGAATGGAGGTCAAGGAACCAGCCAACGTTCTTGTGCGAATCCAGAATCCACTTGATGCTCTTCGTCTCGGGTTCTGAGAACGCACTTTTACCGTGGTAATCCTCAGCCCTTGGGCTCTGAGAGGCTGTGCCCGATGCGACGCTAGAGGCGAACTTGTTTGGGAAGTCCCAGAGGAAATCAAAATTCCTGTTCAAATCGACCCCAATCGTTGCGGGCTGCCCTGAGGTGGCAGATGCCGGGTTTCGGTTCTTGCGCCAGCAGCTGTTACTTGATTGATCGTAGGCGACACCATCGGGATTACTCAGGGGTACGAAAACGATGCCAGTAGCCAGCGCCTTCGTGACATCCTGGGCGGTGTACTTCTTGCTACCATAGGTAAGGCCCAATTTGTTCTTGTTGGCGTAGAGGAGGTCGGAGATGAAATAAAGCAGGTTGTCGGGGCCACCGCGCTCTCTTGCGTGAATACCGGCATTGATGTAGACGTTGATTGCATCGCTACTGTTTCCTTGTCCCCCGGCTTTACCACCGTAGATGCTCCTCTTCTCGTACGTGGTATAAGGGGTCGTGAAAGTATCAATGTCGTACTCCTGAGCAAGGCCAAGGATGCCGCTCTGGATTTCCTGGACGTTGAGAATCAAGCCCAAATCTGTGCCCGCGGCTTGAGTGCCAACACCTCGAGGAAATTTGGCACCACCATTAAATCGATCGCCTGTCCCCACCCCAAGCCCAGTGTTCGCCCGTGGGTTCACATTTCTTCGGGCAGGCAATCCTCTTTCCTCAGGTAAAAGGCAGGCCCAGGAAAGGGACGCCAAACCAATGACGCTGTATGTTTGAGAGAGCTTCATCGTTTCGCACCTCACTGTCAATGATCAATAGATGCGGAATCGGTGGTAACGATACTCGACGATCGATTATAGTGGATGGATTGGGCGACTGAACGTCTCGTTCAATCCTGCGGGAGTCAGAATCATCCAGATTTCGCCTCAATCTACAAAGGAACGATCGTTATTTCCATGTCTTGGGGCGCACTGGCGCCCTCTATATAATTTAAATTGACCTTGAGGCAAGTACCATCGCCAAGTTCCTTAGTGTCTTTCCAACCAAGCTCGAATACTCGAGCACCGGAATGCGACGGACATGTTGCACACTGTCTCTAGTTTCCACCGCCAGCCAATCGTCTGTCAAAGCAAAAACGCACGAACGTGTCGTCATTGCCTTGATTGGGATGGTGTCTCTCAAACCAGTTCTAGATGGTTGTCGACTTGACCAACGCTTTTCTCATTTCTCTTTGCGACCCGACCTATGAACACAGGAAATCCAAAACCCTTGTCAGCTCCGGGAGCTGGACGATAATCCAGGAAGGTAGAACATCATAACATATCGCTCATATGCAGGGATCGGTGGAGCAGCCCATTTGGGAAAATGCGTCTTGGCGAAGTAGTGCACAGTCAAAGCTGGTACTCCACTATCATCGCCTAAAGAATAATGAGCTTTGAATTTTTATTCTTGAAGTCACTCCATGGTGGATGTCACAGTGAGCCCCTCATCCCCAAATGCCAAGGGACGGTGGGTACATTCTGGTTCGTTGAAGTTTTCGAGAAGTTGCTTATCAAGGCATTGAATCGCTTCCCAAAAAGGCAAGTACATAAGCAACTTTCGCCAATGTGCCGGGTGGGCAGACCAATGCACGTGTCGATACAGATTGATCAGAGTATTGCCCGCGGCATATGGACAGTACACAGCTGCTGTAAACTGACTCCTGAACTCCTATCCAATTGCAAACGTTGGCGGCCGGAGCACTTCCACGTTGTGCATGAACTATAACGCGTTCCCGATACAGCGTCTTGCCATGTAGCAAATGTAGTCTTCTCTCCATCTTGAGGTATTGGGATCCGGTTATCCCTGTAGAGGCTGCAGAGTCACAAGGTTCTGAAGGTCTTTGATATGAACAGATCAATATGGCCGCGTAGGTGCTTGGGAACTCTACCTGAGCTTCCGAGATGGTTCTAGCTTAAGCTTTTGCAGAAAGACGCATTATATACGGCCTGTTGACCAGCCTTGCCAAGTCAAGTAGTGCCTACTACCGTTCCACTCTGCGGCAATAATACGTCGAAATGAGAGGGGTCGACCTTCTTCATTTCTGTGCTGCGGTTGTCGTGGCGAAGCACTCTATAGCAGCTGTCGTTGACCAGGGCTGGTGCACGTGGCAGAGTCTACTTTATGGCGTGGAGGACGCTCAGTGTTCAGAGGGGCGCTTGGAGTTCAACGAACCTGCCGATGAGAACCATTTGTCCGTCGCATCGTCGTGGCCAGTGGCGACATCTTGTGTTTCTGGCGGAAATGGAACACGGACTTACTGCATTTATACTGACCGCGACGTTGCTAGGGAGAGAGGTATCACGATCATCACGACTCCATCCGAGGCACTCAAACTTGCCAAGACTACAGCGTTCAAAGACTTAAAGGGATATGATCATGTCAAGGACCTCAACGCTGCAGAGAGTCCGAGATGGCGTGTGGAGGAAGTCCCTGGTAAGGGCATGGGGTTGATCGCCAATCGGAACCTCCACGCCGGCGACCACATCATGAGCGTTTCAGCGTCCATTATGATCGATTATGGCTTGTTCATGGACATTGGCGAAGATGTGCGCACGCAAATGCAGGCCAGAGCCATCAGGTCGCTCCCTCTCAACCACCAACCAGCGTTCTTGAACCTATCAACCCATGATGCTGTCCAAAGTTTTGAAGAACAAGTAGATAGGATCATTTTGACGAATGCTTTTGACATATCCGATCGTGAAATTGTCGAGAACCCGGAAGGCGTGGAAGACCAGCACTTTTTTACGGTATTTCCTGAAGGTGAGCGGTCCTGTTACCATTATCACCTCGAACTGTCAGGGAAATCTTGCTGAGGCTGTTAACAATAGTTTCGAGAATGAACCACGACTGCCGACCCAACGCGCACTATTTCTGGGATCCGAACACGTTCACGCAAAATGTCTATGCGATTAAGCCAGTGACAGCTGGCGAAGAGATTACTATATCATATGTAGAGTAAGCCTACCCCACGTCCTTTAATACAATGGCTCCTCACGTTGGTCTTTTTCACTCTAAACTTCTGAAGTCTTTTCCTCCCTCGAGAGCAACGAGTTGAGAAACTCGAGCAAACATGGCATTTCCCCTGCTCCTGCAGCCAATGCACCCAGCATGAGCGCCTGGTCGCCGAGTCGGACGAGCGAATTGTTCAGATCCTAGAGTTGCAGCACTACCTGCGCGACTACAGCAAGACATCGCCAGCAACGCCAGATATGGCAGAGCTCCTCATCTCACTATACGAACAGGAACGCATTCACTCAAGGATCTTTGAGGCTTACACCTATGCTGCTATCGAGTACAACGCAATAGGTCAGCCGTGGATGGCAACAAAGTATGCTAGACTTGGCATTCAACATGGTTTTGTTGCCAACCAACCCACAGGCGAAGATCACTTTGATATCAAGCAACTTGTCGATGATCCGTGGGAGCATTGGTCGTATATGATGAGGCGCAGCAACGGGGAAGCAGGTGCTTCCACTGCACACCCTGAAAAGATGTCAATATAGGCTGATGTTTGAGACATTGGCTTTCAGATTTTATGCCGCGGCAAAGAAAGAGGTTTATGTTTCCCCAAGAATTGCATGCTTGATGATGTTCACACATGCTTCATGGCAAATGCATAATGGCCGCCATTTATCAACGACTTTCTTGTAGGAGGTTTCAGTGTCTGAATCATCATTCGTATTCCGGCTCATGACTACAACCCGGTAGTATTCAACACACATGTATATATCAAACTCGCTCAAGCCGCCGCCGTCATTATCATGGCACATGATACAAGCTACCCTAACAGAAACCCAAGCCGAGACTCCATAGCATATCCAAGATCCGAATAAAGAAAAAGCTCGCACGCAAAATGGGGAGGACCGCTGCCATTACAAGGCCTTTCAAACCGTTTCTCCCGTGGCCCTTGGATGGGAGGGAGGAGGCTTGAAAATATCACTCCCATTCCCAGCTCTACCGACATACGGTGGAGGAGCCGTCATCGTACTCACCATACTGGGAGCTGGGCTGGGGCTTGGCGAAGGTAACGGTATTGCGTTTGTCTGCTCAATAGGGCCGATGATGACAGGTTGTGCGTAGACTGAGCTCAAGTAGTTTCCTTCGGCATCGGACCTAGCAGTTGAGGCTCCGCCAGCGTAGCCCATGGGCTCATATTTAGCACCAGCGGTTCCGGCAGGTTGCACATAGCCCGTGCCGCCCTCGGTATATGGTGCGTTTACAGGTCCTGGAGGAGCACCGTACCATGAGGTGTTGTTCGAAGAGTGACCTTCATCAATCTTGGCGTAGGAACCGGTTGATTTCTCCTGTTTCTTGCCCTTGACTAGTTTGAAGAGCCATATCGGAAACCATAGACCACTAGCCACACAAAAGGCTTTCCATACAGGGTGATATGGGCGGAAGCGCTTGCCTCGGATTGGTCGCTTGTGTTCTGATCTCGAGTTAGTCAAAATCTTAACACGCAAGTAGGAGGGGAATACAAACCTTTCAGGCAGTAATATATGAGCGCGGAAACGAACAAGACTATGAATATAGTCGCCAGTACAATGATAAGTATAGCCCACCACGGAAGAGTCGACCCCGACCCTGAGCCGCCTGAGTGGCCACTAGTTACTACGACTGCCGTGCCGCCTTTGCTGCCACTCTTGTTACCGCTGCTGCTGCTGCCGCTGCCGCTGCCGCTACCGCCGCCTTTGCTACTCGATGAGCTTCCTCCATGAGACGATGAGCTGCTACCATGCGACCCACCACCGCCCTTCGGCGCCCGCTTCAGCATCCCAGCGGGTCCCATGTCAGGAATGTCAGGAATGCTGCGAGATTGACTTCTGACTGAAATTCGGCTACTGGCGTCACGCAAATATCCAGACGCGCTTCACGCGTAGAACAGTCGAGAGCGGGCGTCTCCCACAGTACCCTGGATATTTGTGTTTTCGACAGAATGATCATGTCAGCCGCGTCCGACATGGGGGCCTCCGTCGGTTCTAAGAAGAGGACTGAAGACCACGCCACAAATCGGCCGCCGTCCGCACCCCAGTCATTGTGCGTTAGCATACATGCCGGAAACAGGCCAATCAGCCGCTGTGCCAATGGTGGCTAGGCCTTCGTTGTACAAAATAGCAGGCTTGCGGGGCCTTGCGGGTTACACTTTTCAGTGCCAAGTCTGCACAGCCCGTCCGTGTAGGTTTTTTGAGATGGTGATGGTTATTACAGAAGTCTACAATAATTGGTTATTTTAGGCACTTAGGACTCCTGCGGGATCAGTTTCAAAGATAGCGATCGGTTTTGGGCGCAACCTGTATAGGCCATCTTGGGATGCGATGAAACTTCACACCCTGCACTTGAGTTCCCCCAGGTAGTTGATGGGGCCCTCGCAAAACGTTTTCGGAGGCATCGTGTTACCACTTATCCGATCGCTCACGGGCGGGCGAGCTATCTACTGGCTGAGCCGTCGTAGGCAAGCTGACCTCACAATTTTCACCAAACTAAGTATGGCACCAAATGGAGATATGTTGTGTTTTAACGGTATTCAGGGCTGCCTAAGCATTGTGAGCAGCTCAACCTTGGGGCGGCTAGGTTTCAACCAAGGCACCCCTGTCGAGATAGAGCATGTCAATGGCTTTTTGTTCTCCCACCTCGAAATCGATATCAGCGGTCTTCTCCATGACCTGCTTCCGGCTTTCAAGAACCTTCTTGACAATATCTTTCCACTGCAGCCTTGTGTTAGGCTTGAGGACGCTCATAGACGCATCAGGTGCTGGTACCACTTCGACATCGAGCAGTTTTCCGCCACCCTTTTTCACGACACCATCGATTATAACCATGTCGATATCACCCGGGTTGCTGTGCAGAACAATGGCTGCAACAGGGTCTTCCACGGCTGCAGCTAGCATTCCGGGACTTTCACCATCGAAAACCACAAGATCGGCCTTCATACCTTGCTTCACGCAACCTATCTCATCCTGCATACCGCATGCCTTGGCGCCGCCCAGCGTAGCTGTTATTTCCAGTTAGAGTCTGGTGTCATTTTCTCTCCTACGATGCTCAAACATACCCAAATTGAAGACTTGTTCTGCTGAGATGCCACCCGGCTTTCGTGACCAGAATCCTTCCTCATTAAGTTTCTGCCCTTCATAAGCACGGCCAGACTGTAATGCAAGCCGCATCTGACCCGGAATTCCAGTCACCCCCCAGCTGTGACAGTCGACGCCGAGGCTGGCATTGTCGTAGTGGTCACCTCGAAGGCAAACAGGGAATCCACCCATTTGCAATTCTGTATTGGGTGTGCTCGAGACTGAAGCCCCGGTAGACTGGTACAGCGCACCATCGCCTTCGTGAGGGCGGTTACCGTGCGATAAGAGGATGTCAGGGCCAAGTAGTCCATGAGAATGCAGAATCTCAATGGCCGTAGGCGTCTTTTTCCCTTGCATAGCGCCGCCAATGGTATGGGTCGTGATGAGCTTCGCGCGCCCCTTGCCGGGGTCTCTAAGTGTGGCGTAGAATTGCTTGATGTCCTCAGCCGGCGTATAGATATTATCATTTGCATACCCTATATGGACTGTACCGTTGCCATATGGGCCGCCACGGGCCAAGGTCTGGTATCTTGCGATGGTCTCCTCGGAAGCATCATCTTCAACAGTAAACGGGCTTCGTGATTTCAACCTGCGAGGTGGCGTGAAACAGTAGATAGCTCGCAGCCCTGTGGAAAGTAGGGCTTGTAACGCAGCTTGGCCTGGATATAGAATTAGTTCCTGCCTTCACCGAGGTGCGTGTTACTGACTGTGCTCTGCTGTAAGGTTACAGCTCGAATGATCAACCAGTGTCGTCGTGCCAGCTTCGATAGACTCAAGAGCTCCAGATAATTGACCCCAGAAGAGATCTTCCGGCGACCAGAAAGCCCCAGTAAAGTTACCCTTCACCATATATTCCATAAGCGTTTGGTTTGCGTGAGCTCCTTTATATTGGGTTTGCCTGCGGTAGTTGGTTTTAGTTCTTATTGCTCGACTACGTGCATGGGGTGATTTCCACGCCTGAATCACGACACGTCTAACTCTGCGGCCCATCCATTTCCGGCTGTGATGTTGGTTGTGAAAGCAAGGATGAGCAGTGACATACCACAGATGACGATGCGTATCAATGAAACCAGGACTGATGATCTTGCCTTTGCAGTCAATGACTTGTGCGCCTGGTCCTGGAGTGATTGCTTTTTCAATCTTCGCGATGACTGAGTTCTCGATCAACAAATCAGCTTCGGTTGGAACGACATGGCTATCGGCATCGTGCACCAGGATGATGCCATCCCGGAGTAGAATCTGAGACTTTGACATGGTCGTTGGTAAGTTCCAGAGTACTATGATGAGTTCAGCAGGTATTTGTCCCAGTTTAAATAGCCAGCCTTAGAAACAATCTTCGCGCTTGACCACAGACAACTTTATAGAAAGTCAACTCCGATCCTTCGGCCGAGCTCGCGGGATTGATGCTCAGGTCGGCCGGCGTTAGCGGGCGCTTGCTCGCGCTCGCGGTGATAGATCGGGAAGCCGAGCTCGCGATTGACGCCTTTTCTGAGGCCCAACACTAATATGTAAACTAGGCAGTTTTGGGACCATTGCTCACGACGGAGACATAACGTACGAGTATGAGCTATTGTATTATGTGGCCCTATCTGTTGCTGACAAGTTGTCAAGGTCAGAAAGGCTCCCTATCACCTACAACACGCTATACCTGCGCGTGCTACGTACGGGGCAGCTGCTCACAACAGCACACAGTACCTACAAAGGCACGTCGTTTGTTTGCGAGTCCATATAGACGTACCTCATGTGTTTTCATCATTATAAAATTACTCAAGAGTCTTTGATGATCACTCTATAGCGGAGACAACGGAGGTATAGGAGGGCCGTAGCAGCACGGGCAACCAGCCCCACAGGTATGGTTTGGTTTTTAGGATCAGGCCGCTGTGCCCATTCTCCCGCCAAAAAGGGTTCACCGCTCTCTTTCGAACAAGAGCCTCCTTTGCAGCTAGATCCCAGATTCTATCCATTGTATGATCGCATGTGACATCTTCAAGTGCGCGGGCCAGACATACCTTTATTTGTTATAAAGACGGTCGCCTTTTTACAGGTGTTTTAAACCATCGGTAGAAACACTTGTGACGTTGTCAACTCACGAGGTCACCCTTCATTCAGCATGCTGCGACGCGTCATACACTCCAGATGTAGTGATACCGAATGTAGAAATTAAGTAATTTGTGCAATAAAGCACAAGTGGCATTTAACATTGGCTCCAGCCAAGATCTTTGACAACAACCCGCTCAGCAAACTGAAGCTGTTTCCTAGCACATGAGCTTGGCATCTGACGTCAGGGCTTGAGCTTGCGACATCACAGTTTCCGTCATTGGTGGCTGGTTTTTCTTTCCTCCAGAAGGAGAACTGGGTGACTTATGGGTCGCGGGTTCGGCCGTTGGTCTACCTAAAGCGGGTCACGAAGACCTCGGCGACAAGCTCAGTCACCTGAGGACGGCATCAAGCCTTGGTGATACGAGGTTTGCATGCGAAAGGTGGTATTGGATACGTGAGTGCCGCACTAGTCTTACTGCGTACAGCGATTCAGTTTGTTTTCTTACCCTTGGGATCCAGTTAACTGCTTCCAACATCGGATTTACAACTCCCTCCAGTGTGCAGTGGAGAGACAGACTTTAGCGAGTGAGACGGTACGTTGCAGCAGGTTACTACTGGATCTGGCACATTTTTACCAAGCTCTCATGTCGCGCTCACAACTGTTCACGTTCGGCAACCCTGCGTGTTTCCGCATCTTAGTGCCCTATCAGCCAGTAGTTTAACGCCTAAATATAGTCTTAGCAAGGAAATCTGCTATATTCAAGAGTTGGCGATAAGTCACGTACTGACCCGTTGCTGGTAGTTAAGGTTAGTTGCCCGTTCATAGGTAAAGCGAGCTCGCCCTGTCCGGTGAGACCTTTGCCTTAGCGCATGGAAGCCGCCGTAGCAACCGGCCGCAGGGCTCCCTAGTGATCTGGGGCCAGGCATTAGCGCCCCGAGCCTGGCCTAAACCCTGCTATATTTGGGAAGTATTCCGGCAAATACGAAGAGATCGGCACAGCGACAACAGCCCTGGCCCCGCTACTTCAACGACAAACACGAGATGCAGTGGAATCACCCTAGAAAGCCGATGCTCCATCACGGGACTCCAAGGATGGGTATACGATGGCCACGATGTGACGTGGGAGAGACCCAATTTGCTCAGAATGTTACGGCCAGAAGAAGACGTATATATAGAGGTATGGCTTGCCTCATCGACCACCTCTTTCTCATCATCCAACGTCAATCATCACCAGCAACTCAACTCAGCAATCCAATCCTCGTTCTCCAGTCAAACCAACACTTATAATTCAACATGTACTTCGCAAAGATCGCTGGTCTCTTCGCCCTGGTTGCCACTGCTGCAGCCGACAGTGGTAAGCCCACTTGTGAACGGCAAATCTGCAAGAGGTTACTAACATGACTATTCTCAGTCGCATATGACACCGGCTACGACGATGGCAGCCGCTCCATGACCGCAGTCTCTTGCTCGGATGGTGCCAATGGCCTGATCACCAGATACGGCTGGCAGACTCAGGGTGCAGTCCCTCGCTTCCCGTATATCGGTGCTGCTCAGGCGGTTGCGGGATGGAACTCCCCTCAGGTACGCCTAGAATGTTGAAAATGCAGGAAAATGACTAATCCAGGTCTCTAGTGCGGTACTTGCTGGCAACTCACCTACAACGGCAAGTCTATCAACGTTCTCGCCATCGACCACGCCGCCTCCGGCTTCAACATTGCCCTCGATGCCATGAACGACTTGACCAACGGTCAGGCCGTTGCCCTGGGCCGCATTGATGCCACGGCGACCCAGGTTGCTGCCAGCGCCTGCGGACTGTAAATGATGAGATGAGCATATGATGATGGCGTTACGGGCATTGGGACAAGCATAGCATGTAAAGGTTAATTTCAATATCATCAATCCGTATTGGCACTGATACAATTCGGCTGTGGAGCCTGACAAACTGCTTGTGAACCTGCTCCAGTGTCTATGAGTCTCGAGTAATGGCAGTGTCGAGTGCATACGCGTTTGTGTGGGTATCCCCTTCTTAACGCGAAGTCTTACATGAAGTTCGTTCGTATACAACCACCAATCTACCACCGCGAAGCGAGATGATACTGAAGTAGGGTATCACAAGTTGAGGAGCGGTTGTTTTCCTCAGTGGTGTTACTCAACAGAGTTTCACTCCTTCGTAATCCCATAGCTCTGTGTATACAACAGTACCGTTGCTTAAGTAAGAGTCTGGGCTGTATCCATGCTTCATATGACCATGAGAGGATAGCCCCCTGGTGAACGTCGACATGGTGGAGTATGTTCATGCGAGCCAATCTATCTGGGGTCCTGCCACCAATTGCGGCGTGTAACTTCTTGAATCGCAAAGCCTCTCTAGGATCTGCTAGCTACCGTGAAGCATTTTGCTCCTTGCTGTTCTTTCCCTGCGCCATATACCAAAATCGTCCCTTAGATCACATCCGTGTAAGCACAGGGGTCCGGCCCGAATGCAGCCCTATCGATACCTAAAGGTTTCTCCTGCTGAATAGCTGCCATCGCAACCGCTGCCTGCTGATGGAATTGCACAAATCGAACCTCGATCTTGTTCCGAGTCTCTGTGACTCGTCTCCATCGGACTTCGTCGACCTGGAAGTTTGTTTTCGTGGCAAAGTACTCGAGCAGCGACGTTTCGTTGCACTCAGCTGGGCGACCTTCGACTATGACACATCGCGTGCCTGTGATATACTCATGGCCCTTGATTTTGCGACGATTCATCTTCACCACAATACGACGCCCACCCACAAAGAACCCTGTAGTCTGGGCGTCGCTGTAAAAACGCTTTGTGGCGCTTAGCTCAAAAAAAGATATTGACGCTGCAACATTTTCCTCGCCTTTTTTACCGGTAGGCTTGAGCAGGTGGAAGGCCCATACACGTCCATAGCCTCGGATCTGTGCTAGGATGTCTTTGGCCTCCGTTCCAACGGGGATGTTCACTAGCCACAGATTGGTGCTATGCTCCTCAGGGATGAAATCACCAGTATTCGTTGGGTCATACGGTGGAGGGACTCCTCCTGTAGCCTGGGGGGTGGGAGCGAATGATTTATCGGTTCTGATTGCGACATAATCGGACGGGATGTTTTGATATCGCTATGTCCGGAACATTCTAGTAAGATGTTGTCTACTGGAGATGTGCTCGATCATGGACGACACTTACATGAGTCACTCTGGGGTCTTCAAGTACGGCCTGACCTTGACCCTGCGCGCCAGAGTCATAGCCGGGGGTTGTTGATGGCTCGTTGCACATTTTACCGCCTGCTAATGGGTGCATACACTGGCAAGATAGCACTTCGAAGAGTCGACTTATAATATGAAAATATTATGGACGGGTGCTGAGTGAAATAAACAAATAAATAATCGAAGAATGATGGCTAATTATCTAAGCAAATAATTCACCTCACATAACGAATGACAAACAATCGAAATATTCACCACGGTAGATAACAGGGTAAATTCTCAATATGGACAATCCGTTACAGCTATGACCGACACCACGGTGGCCGTTTCAACCTGATCTAAGCTTAATATACAAACGTCTGCATATTTTGAGCATGAACCTGAGGAATACATAACAATTAATCAGTCACCTCTTTAAGGGCACTAGGCCAACTTTACCTGAACCAACTGCGGGTAGCAAGCATCACAAGACGGTTTGCAACCAGGGATGTTTGTCCCTACCTGCCCACCAACATTACCCATACTCCAGTAGCCACAGAACATAGAAGAACTCTGTAGTTCTAACTTAACCTCCATTTACTTGGGAAGTAGCAAAATGAGGATGGCCGCATGCTGTCAGTTTAAAGATAGGGATACGACGTGGGAATATACAGATGTGGCGTGTTTAATACACTTACTTATGAGCAAAGTCAACAGTACCCAGTGGCCTCTGCAATTCATTCTTCTACGACAGTAATATGACATGATACGATGCAAAGCGGATTAGACTTTAGTCCGGTGAGGAGCTGTAATGGGAGTCTGACTGTACGTATGCCATATGCGTCGTACTAACATGCCGGAATTTGCCCGACGTTGAGCTTTATTTGCATTCAACCTATCATACACCATGGAACCCCCCTGACACCGAAGCTCTATCAACCGTAGCCTCTATTACTCTGGCATGACACACAGATCAGTATACGATGCTTTACAGCTCCTTCTTATGAGACACTGCAGCAATTTCCTCTGGCTCCGGGGGCGACTCCAAACCCAGGAACACCATGCCGGTTACCGCAGCCATTCCCAGAGCACCAAATGAGTAGGCAGCATTTCTGCCTGCCCACCAGTAGATGCTCGTGAAAAGTAGGGGCCCCAAACCTCTTCCAAGTTGGCCATAGCTCCTCAAAATACCAAGCTTGCCACCACGCTCGTCTGAGCTTGCCTCCAGGCTGCTCAATGTGTTGAGCCCGCTCACGACGGTAGCTGACGTCGTAGCCAAGAAGGTGGCAGCCAAATAGAGATGGCTGACTGAACCGACGGTGCAGAGCAAGCTGAATGCGAGCAGGCAGGATACAACGCCAACTCGCACAGACAGAAGCGGCGGCAAGTGGCGAGTCACGCCGCCTTGCAAGATAGAAGCGATGAGACCAACATATCCGAGCAGTCTTCCATTTGCCGCGGAAGTGAACTGAAACATGTCGTACGTCATGAACGGGAGAGAAAACTCCATGCCCGAGAAGAACAACAGGAAAACGAAATGCGATGCGTTCAGCATCAAATGGGAATTGGTGCGCTGTAGAGGTTGGGCCTTGACCGCGGCTTTCGCTGCGTTCCCCTTGGCAGTCTTACTTGGCAGCGTCTCGGGGAGGGCCACATAGAGGTAAACCGTTTCCGTCACAATGAGGAACAGAGAGACGCCGGCAGCAGTCGCGAAAGGGTTAGCGGCCACGGTAGCAATAGAGCTCAGGAACGCGCCCAACGCAGGCCCGAAAGTGAAGGCGATCGAGAAACAGGCGCCGATCAAGGCCATGGTAGAACCACGGCTACCCTCGTCGGAGATGTCGGATGCAATCGCAGTCGCAAGCTGTACGTTGCCTTCGGATAAGCCGCCTACAATGCGCGAGGCAAGGAAAGTCCGGAAATCCACGGCCACGACCCATAGAAGTACGGAGAGGATGTTACCCGCCATGCTGGTCAAGAGCGCCCTTCGCCTCCCATACTTGTCCGATAGGTGTCCGATGACAGGCGATGCGACCGCCTGGAGCAGAGAAAACAGACTGCCGAGCGCCCCTCCTAGCAAAACGATGTCATATCTCGAATCGATCGGTTTCGCGAAGGCCTGCTTGTAGGCGTTGAGATAGCCGAGTATGCGCGCCAAGATTGTCGATTGCGCTGGGGAGCTGGCTTCGCTGTTGCGGTAGAATTCGAGGAGCTTGGGAAAGAGGGGGAGGATAAAGGTAAAGGATATCTGGCCGTTGCTGTCAGTACACCGAGTGCTTGACGTGATCCAGAGAGATCATGCATACCAGATCAAGTAGCAAGGACAGGAAGATGACCTTCAACACCTTCTTCCGGGTGCCAGGGTCTACGGCTGCCATGGCGTGACGTGGCTATAGAACGCAGCCTGTGTCGAGCAACGTGTGAGGTGTACCTGTCGCAGGGTGGAAGGCGGGAAACAAAAGAAACAGAATAGAATAAATGTTCGTAAATAGAAATCAAGATGCTACAGGACACATGTCAAGAGATGCACGGTGTTCAGCTGAAAGTTGCCGGCTTCTCATAGGTTCAGGTGCTGGTTCAACACGAGGTGTAGGTGCAGGTCCAGGTCCAGGTTCAGGAGCTCGCAGCTGATGAGCTGTCGTCCGTTTTAGCACCCCAGTTGCCGAAGAATGCGGCCGGGAAGCTTGTGGCGGCTTACCTAGCGCCAAGGCCAAGGCCCACAGAAGGTAAATTATGTAGGTGGCCTGCAGAATCACCCCACCAAACTGCTACAGAACAAGCCTCTTGGAACATCTGATCTTTCGCGTACTGCATGTGGCCTTGGGACCCATGCTCTCCCAATCGTCAACCATCAGACGGTGGGCTTGCGCACTCGAGGTGACAATGTGCCAAAACACGTTACGGAGACCAAAGTGATCGATGTCACTAGTAAACATGGTTCCAGCCTGCTGCAGAAGCAGGCAACTTCCTGAATGAGTTCGCCCATGACTAGCCCCTCTTCAGAGTTGGCTTAACTAGTGGCTAACAAGTGAACATTCTGCTGGCTAGAGGTAGCAGGCTGCGCAGTCGAAGAACTATTCGTTATGCCAGATATATCTTACATCTGCCAGGGCTTTTGTATCAACTGAAACGCGGTCGAGCATCTTGGCCAGCGCCGCGTCCATTTGCCATATAGATATCAAGATGTGTTAGGCCACACCAAGTCGAAGAGCTATTTTGTGGAGGACGAACCAACCTGCGTCGCGAATACACGGTGAATTTGGGGTCTATCTGTCTTGTCTATCAGGATCGCTGTGAAAGGTATGACTTGGCCTCCGCCTAGTTGTAGGAGACGGAGGCTGTCTCCAACCTTCCAAGCTACCGTTATCTGATCCTTTCATTCACCCAGTGCCACTTCCAATGGCCGGAACTCTTTCAAATGTTCACTGCAACTGAAACCATCCACTGATCCATTCACCCGTTGGCTGATACCTCAGTGTACCTAGATTGAAATAGAGAAACGGTGAATTGTGGCAGGTAGCTGCTTGGCTGTCGGTGAGAGGCTTTCACTACTTAAGCGGATGTGCTATTTAGCAACATCCTTTAGATGATTTCCAGAAGTGCCATCCTGGATCACTTGCAGATCTATCAGACCAGGACGCCAACGACAACTGCGTCCCTCAACTCAAAGTTCTCCACCATGTTGCCTCACCTCTTGATCATGTTAATTGCCCTTCTGGGCCAGGCCATGGCTTGGTCAAACCTGCCCTTCACGAAGCGTCAAGTCACAGGCACTGGCCCAGTCTTGACGGATATCATTGACAAAGAGACCCGTCAGGAGCACATGATGCGTGCTGACTGCGCGTGGGCCCAAGTCCACACGCCCATGAGCCACGCCGAATGCATCTCGGAGTACCACACAGATGGCGACAAGGTGTCGTACAGAATGCAAGTCATCCCCTCTTTCGCTCATGATTCATACCTGCGGGACTAATTCTGGACCTGTAGTGCGTTATCGGGGACCGGCCAAAACCCCAGTCAATGGGCTGATGAGATCATTCTCAAAATCAAGACTCAGTGCGATGGCAAAGTTGCTGGAGCATGCGTCCAGGAGACTTCTCGCAATTTGACCGATCTGGGGCGCAGGACATACGCCGTCGACCAGTTTACAGGAAAGGCGCAAGCCAACGAAGGTGTGGTATTGGAATTTGATAAAACCGCGGGTCCTTGGTGGTTCTCCCCTTGCGAAAAAAGGCCGGACGACGCATGGCACAGGTGCGTGACCGAGGGTATTCGACTTGCAACCTGCTACCAAGTCAGCTTCGCAAACGGACTTGCCTGTCGGAAGAAGGGCTACTACGGGGACAATTCTCTGCCAGCGAACTCCCAGTCCTATGGGCACCCGGTTCTCGAGGCTTATGATGACAACCTCGCCGGGCCTGGAATTTAGATTTTGTTGTTGATATAGACTTGTCATGGAGACAATTCTGATGCATTCACAAAAGTGACAACGGTCGAGTGAGCGAATGGTCGCACGCAGACACCGTGATTGAGGATCTCGAGGTCACACTCATGACGAGTATGCCAATGGCGTGGGAGTTGTTGGAGCACTCAAAACAGTCAATCGATAAGAACACCATGAATGGTTCATTATGTCGCAGTGAATGATGCTTCGCAGTAGTAAAAATACTTGTTTCTATACCGATGTCGGCAGCTAGTGGGAGTACCTATGAGGTGGGTCGACAATAATTCCAGTTTCGATTAACCCCCTAATAATATGGAAGTGTCCGCCTATTTCGACGGACACACTTCAAAATACTAAACTGCTTTTACTGGGTGTCGTATCACTGACCCCACCGCAGATCATCCTATAGACGACTCAAGTACCGACCCGCATCTTTGGACACCACAATTGCCCAATCAAGCGGCGACTCCATCACACGTTGCCCGAATGGCATGGCATACTCTCCATTTATGTTTCGACGACTAGGAGAGCGCGTGCAGGTAAGCACACAAGGCAATTGGCTGCTGTTGAGCGTTAGTGGATTCTTCTTGCTCCCCGAATGTACCCAAGCTGTTAAGAGCGAGCTGCGGGATGCCTGCATGCAATCTGGAAGCGAGCCTGATCTTCCCCAATTTCCAGGCGCCGTCGACGACACCGGTATGCAAGGTTGTTTAGGTGCTTACAGAACCGGGCAAAAGAACCCCGCCCATTGTGAAAGTGTAGAAATGCAGGCAACAAGGCATATAAAGAGGACTTGCGCTGCGCAGCTCATGTTATATATGCTGGCTTCCAAGACTTGAACCGCAGGGTCTTATAATTAGCCAACATTACAATGCGCGGGTCACTGGAATTCGGTATCGCGGGGAGCACCCTCGCTTCCCTTGCAGCCGCATTGTTTGATGGCAACCTGAATTACAACTCACCGTCGTCTCGCCATGTTAACCTGGGGATCAATGTGCCAAAAGTGTCTCGGCGCAGTTTGAAGCGTGGTTCTGTGGCGTTCAAGCCAGAAGAGCTGAACTTCACACATGGCGTGGCTTCAGGCGATCCTTGGCCAGAAAGCGTGATTTTGTGGACTCGAGCAGCGCCTTCTCTGGCTTCTGACCAGAGCAATGTCACAGTTGAGGGAACAGCACAGTTGTTTAATCATGATACGGAGCAGTACGTAGTGGCCGATCCTAATCCGATTTGTGTCGAGTGGAAGGTCTTTCAAGCAGGCTATTCGACTGGAAGCAAAGCCGTGTCAACGGGGCAAGCGTACACAACAAGCGATATTGACTACACGGTTAAGGTAAGCTTTTCGAGAACGTGTCGAAGGCATTAGCTAATGTCTCTCCCATAGGTCGAAGCTACTGGTTTACAGCCGTTCACCACCTACAACTATCAGTTCAATATCTGCGGAACGAATATCACCAGCCCACTCGGGCGCACGAAAACAGCCCCTCCCGCTGATGGCGATGTTTCTGGAATCAAATTTGTAGTGTTCTCATGCTCCAACTATCGTATGTTCAAGTATGCACCGTTATTTCCACTCGCCACTCGGCTGACTTTTCAGCGAATGGGTACTTTAACGTCTATGGCAATGCAGCAAGAAAGGACGAGCATGACTTTGTGGTAAGTTCTAATGGCCCTACAAATGAAAATGAAATCTAAACTGGATGTCAGATTCACCTTGGTGACTTCATCTACGAAGGTGCTGCGAAGGGTGAAAGAGCTCATAACCCTCCGAGAGTGTTGTTTAGCTTGGGCGACTACCGGACACGAATTGGACAGGTATGCCTGCTCGGACGGCCAAGGAATTATTCGGAACATTGACAAGTCAATAGTACCGCACCGATCCGGATCTCCAGCTGCTGTCTCAAAATTATGCCTGGATTCCGACATGGGACGACCATGGTCAGTACAATATCTACTTACGAGTAGCCGGAAATCGCTAACAGGATTTAGAGGTTGCAAACAATGTCTATAGAGATGGCTCCAGCGCCCTGAACAATACAGAAGAATCGTTTCGCAATGATGGGCCGGGCATCAGCGTAGATCAGCGCAAGATGAATGCCGTTCGGGCGTACTTCGAATGGGTTCCTATTCGGTTGGTGTTGGCTGTTGACTCGAGCTTGCCTTCCTCTCCCCGCTGACTTGAACGAACAGACAAATCGATATGGACGACAATCTAAGAGTTTGGAGGTCGTTCTCTATGGGCAACCTGGTCGACTTGGTCATTCTTGACACCCGTAATTATGACCGAAGCATTACTTCGCTCGGTTCGCAAACTCGTTCCTTCAATCCAATGCTGCTCTTGACTGACTCATATTTTAAGGCTGGAATGACGAGTACCTTGAGGCCATCTATGACGATGCCTCTCGGTCCCTGATGGGTTCCCACCAGGAGCGCTGGTTTTACAACCAGTTAACGAAATCCTCCCAAAGGGGGGCGAAATGGAGAATCATTGGACAGCAGATTATCTTCTCCCGAATTCGCGAATCGTTTGGCTGGAATCGCGATAATTGGAATGTAAGAACTCGTTTGCCGTATATCGCGGCTGCCTCAGACTAATAGCAGATACAAAGGGATATGCTGCAAACAGAAACCGGACCTACAAGCATCTATACGACAACAATATTGGCAACAACATCTTTTTGGCCGGAGATAGCCACCAGAACTGGGTGAGATTTGAATACTTGGCATATGCGAGACAAGTGCTAATTACTTGACTGCAGGTTTCTGACATTGCTTGGGTTGGCACCAAGCCATATGACCAAAAAACTGGCGTTGGCGCAATCGGTGTGGAGTTTGCTGGCACAGCAGTGAGCTCTACCGGAGCTAGTGGTGATATTCTGACGGCACGCGCTGCCGCCGAGGCGCGGATCAACGATGAAATGAACACCGAGCTTCAGTGGCAAGATGGATATTATAGAGGATACTATCTGCTGAGCGTTTCCCCTGAGAAAGTGACAGCGCAATTCTACGGTAAGCTCTCGAACTGCCCCAGTAGCAGCCACAGAACAGTTAATTGATCATGTTTAGGTTCTCCGAGTGTCGCGTCGCGGAATGCTTGGAGCTTGCCTCTCGCTAACTTCACGGTCGTTTCCGGAGACAATCACTTGTCCCGCCCGGTTGCTGGTGGAACTGTTGAGTCCGGCTCACTTCGCGGCGGCCGGACGGTGGACACGAACTTGACGCTCAACACGGAGACGGGAGAATGGGATGTAATCGGGTTCCCCACAATGTATCTGAGGACCTGAGGAGAGCAGGTAATATGCATTCTTACACAGTAGCGTAATGCAGGCCCTTATCAGCTTACTGAGATGCCCTGAGATGCACCTCTTTTCGCTTGAAATGCTCTGGAACGCTACAGCTGCAACCCCGGGAATAGCCGCGTTTTAGTGAGACATATTGCGTACATGCGCTGCAGAATTGACTCAGATGCCGATGCGGGAAAAGCAACGGTGAACATCACGCTGAACACTTCATTGAATCAGTTATCAAAGAGAGTAAATATCGCCAACGACGAGTTGTCAGGACGGGGTTTAATCCATTCGTTGTGGATTATGGGGGGTTCGTCATCGGGCCGTCTACATGAACAAGGTCACGTGATGCGAAGCTTGGCCTGGACCTCGGTTACGGACCTCCTGGAATGGACCGTCGCTTCGCGGGTGATTCGTCCGGCAACTCTAAAGAGCCCGGTAAAGCTCAGAGTGAGATTTGGAGCTTGTGACCTCCTTTGACATCTGCAAACTGTTTTCTGCTCATCTTCCGAATATACCGGCCTTTAAGTACAGTCGTGCAGCTTCCAGGATGGTCGCGATACCAAGCAAAACGCCGCGCCAGTCGCTTACCGTGGTGGACAATAGGACTGGCAAGGCATATGAGCTGCCCATCAAGCACAACTCGGTCCTTGCCACCGATATCAAGAAGATCAAGGCAGAAGGCGGTCGCAAGGAGGATGAAACCGAGCAGGGGCTTCGTGTGTTCGACCCTGCCTACATGAACACCGCCGTCATTGAGAGCCGCATCACCTACATCAACGGCCTCGAAGGCGTTCTCAGATATCGGGGTTACCCAATTCAGCAGTTGGTTGACAAGAGCAACTTTCTTGAAAGTGCGTACTTGTTGATCTATGGCGAGCTGCCCACAAAACCTCGCTACGACAGCTGGAACGAAGAGATCATGAATCATACGTATATCCACAGTGATATCGAAAACATCTTCAAGTCATTCCGCTACGACTCGCACCCGATGGCTATGCTTACATCGGCTTTTGCTACTCTGGGTGCTTTTGCCCCCGAGGCAAACCCTTCGCTGGCCGGTCAGAAGCTGTTTACAAATGCTGCCTCTGGGGACTTGGAGGCTCTGAAGGTTTTGGATAAGCAGATACTGCGAATCATTGGGAAAGCCCCGACGCTTGCTGCAGCATCCTACAGAATGCGGCAAGGTCGGCCTTTCAACCGACCTGCAAAGGGTCTGTCGTACACCGGCAACTTCCTGTATTTGCTTGATCACCTTTCGGGACACGAGTACCAGCCTCATCCCGTGCTTGAAAGGGCGCTGGATGCCCTGTTCATCATCCACGCCGATCATGAGGTGAACTGCTCCACCGCCACCGTACTTCAGGTCGGAAGCTCTCTTGTCGACCCTTATAGCGTCGTGTCGGCAGGCTGTGCTGCATTGTACGGCCCGTCTCACGGAGGAGCCTCAGAAAGTGCTATTCGAATGCTGATCGAGATCGGGTCACCCGAAAATGTTCCGGCTTTCATGGAAAAGGTCGAAAAGCGGGAGCGTGTTCTCGTTGGGTTTGGCCACAGAGTATACAAGAATGTCGACCCACGCTCAACTGCAATTCGTACATTGGCTGAGGAAGTTTTCAAGGTCACTGGTAGGAATCAATTGCTCGACACTGCTCTGACACTGGCAGAGTACGCCAGGAAGAGCGAGTTCATGCGCAGCCGAAACCTGTACCCGAACGTTGATTTCTACTCAGGTTTGATTTACCAGGCAATGGGCTTCCCGCTGGACTTCTACCCAGTTCTGTTCGCTGTGCCTCGATGCGTGGGGTGGCTCGCTCACTGGAGACAGATGATCCTAAACCCGGCAGGCGTGAAGATCTGGAGACCCAGACAGCTGTACCTGGGCGAGGGCGAACGAAGCTATGTCAACAGCGACGACAGGAAGGATTTAGACACTTCTGTCTTCGGCGCTCCTGTACAGGTAAACCATGGAGGAGACAGCAAGAGGCACACCTTGGCTACATACAAGGACGAGACTGGCCGCGTTTGGGGGAAGAGTAAGCTGTGAGGACATCAAGTTGAAACGTTCGAGATTTCGGTGTTGTGTACCACCTAAGAATCTTGTAGTTTGGGATAGCCACGGGGGAAAATTGTACAGTTACGGGATAATAAGATTAATTCATAGATTACAACACCACAATGACCATGCATGTTAAACAAGCTGTCAAGTGCAGCACGTGCGGCGGACATCGTCCGTAACGCCTGCATTGATTTCGCGACTAAGAAGCGCAAGGACTTCAGTGACTAATTCAGAGTCATCCTGATACACTTTGCTGTGAACATTGATTCGGTGTAGCCTTTGAGTACGAGGACCCAACAGTGTTGAAAGATTCTCTTCTCAACCAAAGACGGACAACTTGCTGGATGTTCTGGTAAGCCAAAGTGACAGCTTTGCCCATGTGTATTAAACAGTATACTGATGGTAGAGTGTGGGTTGGAGAACGGCATAATAGAGTACTCGTACCGCCAGCCTATTTCGGTGCTTCCTTTGAGTAAGGACCACTATCGGAGCACCATGCGGTCAACTGATTGAATGAGGTCAATAATCTGAGGCGCTACGCTCTCCACAAAGGCCCCAGGAAAACATTACAGGTCATAACAGAATCAGGAAGTTGGGAAGGAAGGACGTGGCGGAAAACATCTCGCTCCGATTTCCACACTATGGTGGACGCTACAAAAGAGGACGTCAAGACAAGAACAAGGCTGCCACTACTTTCAAGTGAGCATGGAGACGAACCTTTTCTTGGCCGATTATACTCAGTTCAGTAACGCCTTCGGAAAGTCAAACATTGCAGCCGTTACCACTGCTACCAGAATAACGCTAATGGAGCAACGATGCAGGCGAGAGCACCATTTGATATGCAGCAGAGGACTTAAGATCGTCTCTTATAAACGACCACAATTCCGAAGACCTAATAGATCGTCGCAGTGGATTTATTCATGACGGTTGTAATTTATGATCGGCTTTTATTTACGTAAATATAAGCTCCGTATGTGTGGACTCTAAGAAGTTCGATCTTCATCGGAGTTCGTTGGATGCATGTGGAAGAGTGTCTCTATATAGAACATGAGGCAACTCAAGCATCAATCACAGGCCGCCATCACATCAGTTCCGCATCATAATTATCATACATATCTCTCGGTTCTTGAACCTACTCTGAACCGTCAGGTCTCCTCATCCTACTGATATGTACGCGGTAGTATGCCGGTTCTGGTTCTGCGAGCGAGTCTTGGATGTCATCCGAACCATTGGGGAGTCTGTTGGTTCCTTTCTCTAGGTCTGTCATATGTATGTCGGCTGTGTGGTGAGGCCTCGATGGGCTCGATATTGCGATGCTATGTATACGGCCTGTGGAACCCTTCGTGCATTTGGAAGGCATAGCAGACTCTTCGTTCTCTTCAACAACATCCGATATTTTCTGCCACTTGGTGGGGACGAACGTGGCGTACATATATCTGCGGAACGGTGTCGTGGTCCCAAACACGATGAACAGAAGGAAGCTCGGGGCCGGACCGGGGAGAAAGAGTATTGTTGTTTCTTTCCCGCGCTCGGCACTCAAGTCTGGTGAGCCCCTCGTGGCATCCTTGTTGCTGTTGTTCATACCGGTAAACTGGAAAAGCATGTTGGTGAGCTCGAATATGCTGATATAGGTTAGAAGTCCGGTTTTATCTTGTTTTGGCTGATGATGTTGATGATGCTGCTAACCTAAGTACAACAAACGCGATCGTGAAGCGTGTCATGAGCCAGCGATCGTAGATCCCGTTGAATCTCTGTCGCGGAGCTCCTGACTGCTGAGCCAAGGATGAACCGCGTGAAACTGAATTTCCGTATTTCATGCTCCACGCAACTAGTTGTCTGCGACTCTGGATGTACCGTATAAGTATGGCCAGCATTAGGAGACACCCGCCTGCGAGGCTGATCATCACTGAAACCTGTTAGAGCCTGTCACTTTCATTGAGCTTTCTCGTACATACAGACAACGTTGGCCAAAAACATAAATACTCCTAAGGATCTCTGTATCGGTTTGGCTTGCAGTATACAGATCGTTAGGATTGGCAGTGTGATCGATATTCCCTTACCAATGGCATTAATTCTTTTCAGTAATGTCTTCAGTTGGGGCCTCGCAGCCCAACCGTACACTGACTGTACAAGAGAAAAGGCCCTGATGATAGATCAGTATTTATACAGGAGTGTTGAAAACGCGGTTCGCACCAGAACAGGACCAACATTGCTGCTGCTGAAAAAGCATACTGCCCTATCAGCCTATTAGCTTCGTTATTCTTCGTAAACCTAGTGGCGACATACTAAAGTACCACAGACCAAGATCTATTCCCACTGCCCCGTTCGATATTATCGTCTCCGGATTGTTGGGGTTCACAATTGCCGCCTTCCACTGCGCCGCCATCACGTCTTCGAAACTGACATAGTAGTGTAATTGTGAAGCAATGCATGTCGCAGTGCTCAATAGAAGTAGGTAGCTGATAAGCGCAATATCTGGGTATCCGCTTCGTTAGCTGGCAGCTTCGTGTCGTCTTGCAGGCAATACTGACAGCTTGTACGTTCTTGATGCGTCCAGGTCAACCAGACTACCAAAGCGCTACATATCAAAGCAATAAACGAATAGACCAGCACTCCGGCGGCGGTGCCTTGCACCTCTGAAGGTAGTTGAATTGCCATTTTACGCCATTGCTGTTGTAACTTTCAGTCGAATATCATGTCAAACAAATCGGTGAGTGCAAACATAAACAACAGGAGATCCACCCGGCTTCGCTTCAGGGACAGAACGGCAGCACTTCCCTATTATATCCCAGGAATTCAGCTGGAAGTAGAGCTTGTCTCATCTCGGCAAGATCGCTTCTGGTAGACACAAAAGGGCTCGCGCGGCTGACCGAACCGAGTCTAGTCACAGGTCTAACCGTTCCATGCAGCCACAAGCCGAAGAAGCTGAACCAATTCATCTAGGTAGCGGCGACCCCCAAACCCACCTAGCGGGCTACTCTTCTCCTCTAGATCTTGGTTACATCGTGTCCAGGGAAAGCTTCGCTGAACACAGCAGTAATGCGCAAAGCGCGGGTGACACCATCATATCCTCCGCGCGCCAAGAAACGCTTCATCTTGATCCCGCTTCCCCGTTATAGGCCTCAGATCAATGTTGGGCCCCCACCCAACGAACGGGATGAAATGTGATCAACGTGCATCTAGTTCTGCCCGTGCACACGGCGATAAAGAACACCGTTTTGCAATGCCTTCCCTGAATACGTATTTCTTACCAATAAGGACGCACCAAGTTACTCAGGCTGGTGTGCCAATGCTGGGGGATGTTCTACAGGGATTTTAAGCTTACAGCAGGGATATATCAGACGAAGCGTCCGAGCGCCTACCCTTTTCGACCATACTTCCAGATAGTTCGCAGGCGAGGTCGGTAAACCGCAGCCGGTCAACCAATCCCATAATATGATGGTGTCTCCTTCTCCCGAAACCAGCCGCGGAGCCTTCAGACTATCCATTTAGAATCGTCCCAGGAATACAATCAACCGTAGGCCAAGCCCTGGTGACCAGCATGCATGTAACTTAAAAGTCAGTGCGCACCCTTACTGAAGGGTGTACAGTATATCCTCTGAACTCTAGACCTGTTGTCTGAACGTGAGTGCTTGGCGACCGCGGTGCTTCCTATTAGAGCCTTTGCTATGATGTAAAAAGTGCTTGTTCAACCAGCCTCGTGAAGAGTCCACAGATCCGACACGGCATCTGCTGCAGCGTTGCTAGGTCTGGGACACCAAGGCCATGAACACCCTTGGGTAACAGATGAGTTTCGTTGCTGGTCATCGCATCTATAGCTTGATTACAGGCGCTTAAAAGTCAACCTTTATCTGAAACGCGATCGGAGCGAGACCGATCTTGACAGTACATCCAATGAAGAGGCTGGGCCATCGGCTCCAGATCCATGTATTAGAACCGCATACTATGGTGATGCGCCCCCTGGATTCCCAGCCTTTCGGGTCAGCCTAAGTGAAACTGGAATGCTGCTGATTGGTAGAATCGCCTGCCCCGAGAACCGACACACTCCCACACAAATGCCCCCGAGACCGCCTTCGGATGCGCAGATTGTTACCTACTCTGATTTCTCTGCTCTAGGATGGGACACAGCTGAAACAGCCGTGGTTGACGAAGCTGATTGATACAACCCTCCCATCAAGGAAACCTCCCCAGGCCTGGAGAATCACAGCACCTAATGCATGAGGTATCACTAATAGAGGTAGTCACGGGACACCCGCTCCCTGTGGTCTTCAAATTGAAGGTGAGGTGGCTGGTACCTTCGACTGGAAATCAAAACTCTACTGTCAGGAAGAGGAAAAGCTCGTTGCCTTCGGGTGAGATTGATGTGAAGTTACTGCTAGTACAAACAGCCATAGTCGTTGTCGTGGGTATCACTCGGTTGCTTAGGATCTCTATGGTTATGCGTTGACTGGCATTTCCATTTGAAGTCATAGTAGCGAAGGAACGGCAGCCTTATGCGCTTCAAGTCTTAAGTGTCTGTCTCAATTGACTAGGCAACATGAAAGATCGCTTTTATGAAACACTGAGGTTTAAGGTTTTGCATTCAAATCGTTTTCGCTCCCTCCGTTCCAAAATTTCATCATGATCAAACATGGCAACCCTTGCTCCTTTTTCCTCGAAGCTTTCGCCGACATGCATATTTATCAGGCTCGTAGCTGACATACGAACAAGTCCCTGCATCACCACGCGGGGGCCCTTGAGAAGGTGTCAACCAAGGAGAAAAGTAGCAGTATACGGAGCAACTGTGCGATGCTCTTTCATGCTCTAGTCGGCAGTGGTTCTTTTGAATTTGCTGAGACAAAGATGTTGTGTTGTATGCGCTAGAGAATCGATCAAGTTGCAACGGCGATTAGGGTTTCATGCTCAAGAAAAGTACCAAACCATCCCTTGCGTAGCTGTATCTCAAGGAGAACATTGCTATCTGAATGGCAGTATTAAGGGTACCCTTTTGCCCTTCGCAGCTTTCAGATACTACGATGCTTGCACACAAAAATTTCGATGCTATACTGCTTGCCGACTCTCGGTCATCGATGTGTAGTAGACCATTAACAAAATTTACTTACACCAAAGATCCCAAGTTGTTGTGGTTTCTGTAATGCCACAAGGACTTAGCTGAGAGACCCATGGGGACAGACAGGATATTAGCCGGTATCAGTTAAACATGACAGGCGCGCTTAGAGTGAGCAATTCGACATTTGAGTGTATTCAACTCTTGATTCTCGACGAAATGCCTATAACGCCGAAGATCGACTCTCTCTTAGAATCTCAGTCTGCCACCGGGTTTCCTTATCCCCCAAGACATTCGCACCTATGTCACCGAACACATCCCGATATGGCTCTTCTCGCTCCAAATATAGCGCAGCACACATTCATGGACCCTTCGGCTCCGAAGATGGCATTCTCAAACGATTTACTGTGCCATATATGTGCCTATGGCTTCCTCAGGACCTCATTCTGGTCCTCTTCGGACAAGAACTGGAGTGAGAAGCTGGCTCGAAACAAAAAGGGGGGGGGGGGGGGGGTTCGCTCGCAACTGGCTATCATTCCAATGGGCTATCGCGAGATCGTGGAGTCCATGGGTTCGTCAAGTTAATGCTCATTTGTGAACCACCATTGACTTCGGGCAGAAACCTCTGGCATCCGTGGCTGGTCTGACAAAATCTCTGCAACATGATGGTTGACGAAGCTTGCTGCTCTGGGACCGCAACAGCAGACGCACGTACGACGATTGACTGGATCAAGTGGAAGTACACGCCCCTACCCCATGAATGATTGGGTATTGTACGGCGTGAGTGTTCGGACTTTATCAGGATGCCGAACCCCAACATTGTGCGTGAAGGAAACAGCGACAAGGAGAGCATCGAAGGCAACACCTTTATTGTTTCTGTCAACCAGAAGACATCCAGAGCGTTCATATGTGTGGACCCAACAACAGGCTACGAGATGGATGCAAGGACAGCGTCGACGGACCACATTGTCATGCGACTGACAAAGTCTAACTTCGAGAAAATTTTGGGCCTTCTTACAGACTTCTTGTTGCCAAAAAAATCCAGGATGAAGTCGGGACCTGATGCACGGGATGAACTAGCTGCCATTGGAGAGCACAATACTTGATTCGCAAGTGGTGGAGCTGTCCCAACAAGGGAGCGAAGACGTATAAAGTATGGGGGAGGGGAAGGAGGATCAGGATATTGACGGTGATCTGTGCACTACAATGGGCACCGCATTTTGTCGGCGAACCAAAACAGGCAGTTTATGCGGAAGTGTTCCGCGACATCGGCGCTCTCTGGGCTGAGGTTTTGGACGACGCGACAGTCAGAGCCAACTCAGAGGGCTAGCATTTGGCAGGGAGGATCATTCTGCACGAAGGCGTTGGCCAATTTCTCTGGATACACGTCAAACGGAATTGAGAGAATGCAGTCAGACCGACAATGCACTTTTGTCGAATCTCCCAGGACGGGCGATCTCATGCCATGTGAACGCACGCTGTCATGGAACTGCGGGTGCCTGCTGTAGAGGAGCGGGGCCCCACCCGGACGACTTCAGTCACAATCTGCACCAGCACACGCGAAGCGGGCGTTCAGAAATGATTCATATCTTGGTAAATACTGCCTGGGTCCGAAGATTCCAAGATTCCCGAACCTGCTTGGCGATTTTTGTCTGCAGACTCATGGCATATATTTACGCGATAATTGGGGAAATGATGAGCACCCAAGAGTGCCCAGGAGTATAATGACGTTTACCGGCAGAGAGGGGAGCCAATCGGGAAGGTGTGCTTACAGAATTCCCTCAGTGTGACCATGACAGCATACTGGAGTTCTCACAACAATCTCCAAGAAATTTGTGGACAATCTTTGCAGCTCTACCTGCATGTATAGGTAAGAAGTTCGCCGATTTGAACCCATAATATGCCGTGCGGGGTGGCCTTGGCCCTTAGATAAATGGGCATGCGTTCCTGAGCTACTTACACTCTGTGACTGGCATGCTACCGCGAGGTTTCTTGTGATCGCAGAGACAATGCATAACCTGAGGCTACTTGGTGTTGTGGCGCTTCTTCTAGCAGGTGCCAGTCCGTGTCAACATGAGCGCCGTGAGCGTCGGCCACACATCAAAAGACAAGCGGTCCCGCAAACCCCTCTGACGGTCGAAGAGAATACCTTGGTTGGCTCAGTAAGCACAACAACTCTTGATCAGTGGTCATACTATTATACCCGTGAGTGAAATCGAGAATCAATCAATGTCACTTTCGATGCTTTACAAGGAAATTCTGACTGATTTTCACATAGATGGAGCTCACCTTGCGGGAAAGAATCTGAGCATGGCTCAGTGGACTGCTGATCGATGGACAGAGAGTGGATGGAATTCAAGCATCGTATCCTATGATGTCTTTATCAACTATCCTGTCAGCAAGTCATTGACGTTGACCTACTCCAACGGCAGTGTCTTTCAGCCTGCTCTCGAGGAGGCAGTCCTGGAAGCAGATGAGACCACCAGCTATCCAGACAGAATACCCACATTCAATGGCTATTCCGCAAGCGGAAACGTCGAGGCCGAGTACGTCTATGTTGGAAGAGGTCAACAGGTGGATTTTGAGAGGTTGAAAGCACTGGGTGTGCCCCTCGAAGGAAAGATTGCCATCGCTCGTTACGGAGGGCCCTTTCGAGGACTGAAAGTGAAGAACGCCCAAGAAAACGGAATGATTGGAGTTATTCTCTTCACTGACACCGCGGATGACGGAAAGATTACTGAGGCAAATGGTTACGCTGCGTATCCCGATGGCCCTGCGCGAAACCCGACGACTGTACAACGGGGAAGTGTTCAGTTTCTCTCCACATACCCTGGGGACCCAACGACTCCAGGGTACCCTTCGAAAGAAGGATCCCCAAGAACAGACGGGTCTGCTGCACTGCCGCACATCCCCTCGATTCCAATTTCTTGGTTAGATGCAAAGCCTATCCTGGCCGCACTCGACGGACATGGGACCGCCGGGGATCTTGTAAACCGCTCAGGCTGGGTCGGAGCTCTAAATGTGTCCTACTCCACCGGTCCTGCCCCAGGTGCGCAACTCAGCTTGAGCAACGTAATGGAGGAAACCATAACACCCATCTGGGATGCCATTGCCGTCATCAATGGAACTAATGCAGACGAGACTATTGTGATAGGCAATCATCGGGATGCTTGGATTGTGGGCGGCGCAGCTGACCCGAACTCTGGAACTGCTGTTATCGTGGAGCTCGCAAAGGCATTCGGGAAGCTCCTGGAGCAAGGCTGGAAACCGAAGCGAAACATTGTGCTTGGCTCTTGGGACGGCGAGGAGTATGGTCTCCTAGGATCCACCGAGTTTGTCGAAGAATACATCCCATGGCTGACTGACACAGCTGTGTCTTATTTAAACGTTGATATCGCAGCCTCCGGACCACACCCGTCGGTGGATGCAACCCCTGAGCTTCATCAAGTCGCAATTGAAACGATGAAGAAGATTTCATGGATGGACACTAACAGAACGATGTACGATGTTTGGTACGAAGATACGGATGGTGAAGTCGGCGTACTCGGTAGCGGGAGCGACTACACTGCATTTGTCCATAATGGCATTGGATCCGTAAGTTTTCTAACTTTCGATGCTATGGGAAGCGACTCTGAAATTTCTGCAGCTTGATATTGGCTCGAATCCAGGTGCCGAGTCTCCCGTTTATCCGTATCACAGCAACTTTGATTCATATCACTGGATGACAAACTTTGGGGATCCAGGCTTCTTGGCACACAAGTCAATTGCACAGGTAAACACCCTGAAATTATGGCGAAACATAGCAAGAACTGACTAGGGTTATATCAGTACCTTACTCTTCTGGCTTATAGCTTAGCTGATACCGATGTTATTCCCTTTAACGTATCCAATTTTGGAGTTCAGATGAATAGCTACTACGACGACTTGTTGTCAACTGTCAAATCGACATCCTCTTCGGTGGAAACAGGTCCACTTCGCTTGGCGATCGACGATTTCACTCAAAGCGCTTTGCAAGTTCAGCAACAAGAAGAGCAGGCAGTGGCGTCAGGCGACGCTGCTACGCTCAGCTTGGTGAACTCCAAGTATCGTGACTTCCAAAGAGGCTTCATTTCCCAGGGCGGCTTGCCAGGGAGGGAATTCTTCCGCCATCTCATCTTTGCTCCAGGGTCTGACACAGGTAAGAGTAATCACACGAATTGTTAAAACATGACAAATGACAATTTTGCACCTAGGATACGCTCCAGTCACTTTCCCTGGTATAACCGAAGCCCTGCAGGCTGGCAATGTCTCAACCGCTACTGAGTTCATCACAAAGACTGCGGCGGCTATCAAAGTTGCTTCAGATATCCTCAAGATATAAAGTTTTTGAGACTTGACCAACTTCGCGACTCAACAACATACCTGGTCAGGTAAGGTAGGAGATTCTTAAGGGTGAAGAGACTCTTGTCCGCAGTTTGGGTGCCAACCGAGCTAGTATTACGAAAATATAAAGCATAATGTCTATTGACAAGTAGGGAACTTTATCATTCTGTTACTGGGTATAAACGTCATCGAATCATTCCTGCCGTAGTTGACCCTGAGTCTGTGCTTGGGCCCGGGCTTGTTCTCTCAGGGCCTTCTCATCCGCTGTCTCATCGGCAGATGCTTCACCAAGATTGATGGTGGAGTTCAGTAATAGTGATAGCCCCGAGAGACCAACTCCGAGCCAGAAGCCTATTTGATACTGCTGGCGTAGACTCAAACTATCCTCGCCACCTCTGTAGTCCACTGTTGTGGATACAGCAAGTTCGCCGATGCCTAGCCAGAATGCCATGCCAAGATATAAGAGACTATTGATCAAAGCACCAGCTGTTGCTTGCAGGCGGGCGGGCATTGCTGTTGTGATGAATATGTTTGTTACGTTGAATGTTATATCCACGCCGATCGTGCCACAGAGCATCGACGGGAACACGTACGCCCAGTATACGAAAGAGGTCGAATCGCCTGTGGCTGACTGGTCGGGTATTAAGGCGAATAGAAGACTCGAAGCCAAGAATCCGAGTGATGAGATGATCAGCAGGATACGGCCAGACAGAAGGTGCAATGCCAGGCCACCACCTATTGCAAGGAACATCCCACCAACGGCTAAGGGCGTGAACCAAGCAGCTGTTTGCAGTGGCGTAGTGTGAATAACGTTTTGCAGACTAGAAATCATTAGTATACGGCCTCATAAGAGATTGGGGAGCGTCGACCTACTGATAACTGGAGTAGAACAGAAACAGACTAAATACACCGTAGCAACAGAACATAGAGATTGAAAGCCTCCTCATATACTTGGCTTTGAACAACTCGAACGGAAGCAGCGGCTGCTCTGCCACCCAGCCTTCGATGTACACAGCGGCACAGAGCAAAAGAACGCCAACCACGAATGTTACGATAATATATGGCGTTGCCCAGCCATTCGGTGCATGGCTGCCATCGGTCAGGGCATACACCACGAGTACTATGCCCGGAACGATGGTGGCAAAGCCCCACCAGTCCATGCGAACGCCAGGGTCTCCGTCACCCAAGTGCCTCGGAATGGTCAGGAACCCTGTCACCGAGTTCATGAGGACGAGGATCGTGCCGATCCAGAAGTACCACCTCCAGTCCAGCAGTTGGCCAGCTATAGCTCCCATGAAGATGCCAAAGTAGAAACCGATGCATGCCATGGCACCGTAAAAGCTGAAAACTAAGTTTTTTCGAGGGCCAGGTCTGTAAGTCTGGCCCAGGAGAGCTATACCAGCGGGCAGGAAAGCTCCAGAACCTATGCCTTGTAACGCCCTGCAAACAATGAGCATCGTTGGGTTCTGACTAAAGCCTGCGATGAGAGACCATGTCATGAGCCACGCGTGGCCGAGCAGGAAGATGATGCGCCCGCCGTATTGGTCACAAAGACGGGCGGATGGGAGGAGCAGTGCTGCTGTGGTGAGGTTGATAACCTCGGACGGCCAAGTCCGCTGGGAGTCCGGCATGCGCAATTCGTCGGCAACAGTTGGGAGAATGATGTTGAAGCCACTGATGAAGTACTCGCTCATCATCATGGAGACAATAATTGTGAACACGAAACCGACTTCTGATGCCTTGGTGAGCATGGATGGCCGCTCTCGTCCAAGGCGTTCAATATCGGTCTTTGTAAGGATGTCTGGCCCGTCGCTGATGAAGTCTCCATTTTCTGGAGACCATACACCCTCTCGGGCATCCATTGTGTTTCCGAAGTGAGAACTCCAAGCCTTGAGCAATGCGCAGTGGATTCGAAGATGCGGGTCTTCTCGATGGAATGCTGCTGGGATTTTTGGAAATCTACACCTAAATCTTTATAGTGTCTTGCTCCATGGTAATCTGATACACAGAGTCTTATATATCACGATGGACGGCAACAAAAGAGGAGAGGATTATGAATCAATGGTGGTTTGATGAAACTGTCGCTGAGTCAATATGTACCAGTTGCAATTTTACTTCCATTTTGAGGAAAACGTCGGGTCTACCAGGCCGTTGGGAGGCGCTCCAGACCGCGGGAGAAAAATACGTCAGAGCCACTTTCACCCGCTTCACAGTCATGATCTGTGGCAAGGACACCCGGCGCGGAGAACTCAATTGTCAAGGGTCCCGGAATCGTAGTGGAGGCGGTTTAGAGACCCAGATTTATATGCACCAGTTGTGTCTTGGCTTCCGCATAGGGTAAGCGCATCCTAAAGTCGGGGCGCATATTACCTAACCCATGAACGCTAGAGGAATCATATCGAGGCAGAGCTTCGGGTCTTCGACTCATGCTTTCAAAGCACTGAAAGCCAAGTTCCGCGGACCACATCTCATCAGATCCAGGGAACGATATACCAAGGCTGTTCCCAAAGAAGTGATCAAGAACCACATGCTGCATAAGCACTGCTGCCGGGCCTTTGAGACCCGAGAACTCTCGTGCCGGAACCCGATTACGTCCCACTCCCATTTGTGGTCCACCCTGCCGGATGTACGGATTGTGGCCAATGCTCGTCACGACCGCAGTCTTGCTAGAGGATGAGCAGTCCTTGGCTGAGATAACTCCGTGTGTGGTATTGTAGCCGGCATCACAAAATCAAATCCCTGTCTCTTGGCGTCGAGTTTATGTAGAGCGAGGACCTCTACTATGGCTGCTTCCAAGGCTTGCCACAATTGTCGCAGGCGACGTTGGAGATGCGATCGTTCAGTTCCCGGTTGTAACAAATGCTCAGCTTCAGGCCAGGATTGCCTGGGGTATGGTAAGGCTTTTCATTGGACCAACGCCGTGGCATCTCGAGGTCGCATGGCCGGCAAACAGACATTTGCTTTAGAGGATTCAAAGAACCAAAAGTCGCACAACCCAGCCAGAGACGTTGTGCTTGTGAAGCGAGAAAGGCATTCTGAGGAAATAATGGTGGATTGTGCCATGTCAGCTGCTCTGGTAGATCCTCTCTTCCGCCATATGGACGATTCTGCAAGATTCTACCTGAATTATTGTAAGTACTCTCTCCAAGACCCCCGGCTCTGAAGGAGGGAATACCAACGCTGTGCAGTTTCGAATCGTATTGCCATGGAGCTGGTTGTCCACGATTCGACACAACTGGTTGGAAACCCCTTTCGCCAGCTTATTTCTATGTCTACGTCCTACCCATTTCTCCAACATATACTAGTGGCCTCCTCCGCAATGCACTTCTCGAATTTGATGCGTCGGACTACCTCCATTCATGATCACTCGAAAGTAGCTACTGATGCAATCGTGGATGCGTTACGTTCGAGGCATAAGGCTATCAAAGCGCTGCAGCAAGTGTTGGAGAGACACCAGGCTTCGAACCTCTCCGCCGAGAACCCGGACGAGAAAGATGCATTGCTCGCAACAGTCTTATTTTTCATTAACTTCGACTTAATCGACTCTGGAAAGGGGGGTTGGAGGACACACATGAAAGCTGCAAGGGCGCTGCTTGCCGCTCAGGCTTCAAATTTTGCACCATTGTCTCGAATGGTAGAAGAGGAGGTTGCGCCAACAGATATATCCCCTCCAACAGCAGATCCGTGCTCTGATGTTTTAACAACAATATCTGGACGAAATACAAGGCCCGTACTGAACACATCCCACGAGATTGGCATACGCGACTACATTGCTTCCGATTCTGTGGCCTACTACATATGGGGCACTACCCTCGATTGCTTGTCCAAGTCAGCGTCTCGCTCCGGGGGCGACCCTGTAGATACAGCCGACTTGCAACACATCCTCGATCGGACCGAAGCCAACAGCTATCACAGCTGTCCTGCAAATATACTGTTACTCATTCTGCGAACTTCCCGTCTGGCGAAAGACATATACGGCAATGGCGCCTTGACACCACGCCCAGAGCAGATGGATTCCTTCATGGATCTCCTGCGAGAAGCGCAAACCTTTGACCCTGAGGCGTGGGCTCGCGCGATATCCATGGCAAATTCCCATGTAATCGAGGCCGACGAGGCCGAAATACGAGTTCGAACTTGCGCGGCAGCAACCTATCGTGCTACTGCCTGTCTGTACGTGTTGCTGCTGGCTCCCGGTTTGCAGGAGCATATTCGCAAGAAAACCCAATATTCAGCTGGTGGCAGTGATTTGCCATTCCTGCCAACGGCAGCGGATCTTACATCAACAATTCTCCAGTATCTATCCCGGATCCCAAAGAGTAGTCCACTCTTCAGATACAGCAGCTGGCCGGTATTCATGACCGGTGTGGAGGCCAACACGCCTGAAAGCAGGGCCTGGATACTCGATCGGTTGGGGGCCATGTGGGAAATATGTCCCTGGGGCATGATGAAGTCCGCAATGGAGACATTGACGAGGGTCTGGAAAGTCAGGGATGGCATGTTGGAGGACGCGTCAGACAACGAGCAGCAGAACGACCAAACGGGCCTGGCAGTTGACGGAAACAGCCTCGTCCAGCTCAGGAGTATGGGCATCGAGTTTTTGATTGTGTGAGACAGCAATGGACAATGAAGTCATATTTGCTTAGCTGCCACGGCTGATGACGACGAAGCCCAGGAGGCAGACTCCTTCGAGCCCAATCTTGGCTTAAGCCGATGCGCGGCACGGACAGTCAATGCTACGAAAGTATGGCCAAAAAGACGAAGAGCAAAAAGAAACCACTCCGACTGGGACTTGAACCCAGAATCTCCCGCTTTGTGAGATCCAGAGAATATCTAGGAGGCGGGCGAGTTAACCATTTCTCCACCGGAGCCAGGATGCCTGTTTGTTGAGAATGTCATTGCTAATTGATAAACTTCAAGCACAAACGAAACTGAGGCAGCAAGAAGCACCCTGACGTACCTGCCCGTTTGCTGCTCTGCAGAGACTTATGCACGGCTACAAGAGACGAAACACTGGCTAATGACTTCCATCGTTTCCAGCCCCTGGTCGCTGCAACTTCCCGTCCACCGGACAGGGCCCTGCGCCGAAGGCCAAATATCCACGTGCTCATTATGGCCTGGCTGATTCTTTAGGTTCGCTCAAGAACCATTTATTGTCTGATATGGCCGGATCGTGAAGCCGAGCGCCTTGTTCGCTATCAGACACTATGGAGAACTAGCCGCTCATCTTCGCCCCAGATATTTTTATCAAGGGGCTCTACATTGGCGCAAGATATTTTGAGGTATACCCAGTGTGATGAAATGCGCCTGAAACCTCATAATGTCGTCACCAGTCTGAGTCCCCAAGACAGTCTTTGAAGAAGAGGTCTCGAAGGTGTGGTGTTTCTGTATATTGCATGTACCATATATAAATCATTTTGGGCTAAAAACTCCACTAATAACCTGAATACATGTAAGAGACCGTTCTATGGCATGATCCTGATGGGCACGGTAGCCTCAATGCGCATCGCACCATGTCCAGGTTCTGTTGGGTTGACTTCCAAGTGTCTTCACATATTGGCGCTGCTTTACAAGTCTTTCCAGTCCTCTGCAGCAATGCTCCACTCTTTCCAGCCTTTCTTCTCTCCAGGAAGCTTAACATTCTCCCAATCTTCTCTCGTGATGTTCTTCCAGTCCGCCGGATCAAGCCAACCGATGTAAGCTCGGTCGCCGAAGCCACCAATCCAGTAAATCTGCTGCACCACCAGCCGGACAAACTCGGACTCGTGGATTCGGTTTCCTGGCAGCCAATATTTGGCATCTGGGTGCGCCTTCACAAAGCAGCCGGACAGGAACGGGGTTGTCGGAACCTTTTCCAGATAACCAATCAGTGAGAAGCGTGGGAGGTTGGCGGCGGAGTAGGGAACCGGATCCTGTCGCTCGCTCTCTTCCTTCTTGCCGAGAAAACTTAGCAGGAACGATGTGATCGATTTGATGCGCTTCTCTGGTGGGTGCGGGGGCGTCCACTGCAGAGCCAGGCTGATATTGGAGCCCGCAGCAACATTCTTGAAAGATGTAGCTATGTTAATGGCGAGGATGGTTGGGTCGCCGGAGTCTTCACAGTCTGCGACATAATCCATCAAACCAACCGGCACACCTCCTAGGCCAGCCGGACGGTTCTCGTTGCTCGATTCCTCGTCCTTGGAGGCAGATGGGAAGACAGTAGACAAGACCCCCAGAGGAGTGAGAGCCAGGATACGCCGGCCGAGGACTGCCGATTCATAGCGTGTGGGTATTTCGAATCGAGTGGACGATTCAAGCTCCTGAGAACTGCTAAAGTGCTGGGGCGGGACCGGCCCGGCCGCGTATACGCTGGTGCATGCCGTGAGTGATAGCAGGCCTCGTGAGAGCTTCATGGCGACTTCGGCACGGAGCTGAAGGTGGCAATCTAGATGGGGTAGCCCTACGGCAGTCGGGTGTGGCTTAATGTCCCAGCTCAAGAGACGCGGAAAAAGCAGGCAATGAAATAGATTTATATACGCAGGCTGCCGAGAACCTGTGCAAGGAAAATGCTACTGGAATATGTGTAAGAACTGCTGTCTTGAAGCACTTATCTCTGAGCTCAAGCTTGAGCTCGGCGAAGTCATTGCGTCCTCGGCTACTAGGTAGCCATCCATGGTGGAGGCCGCATCATGCGACGATTCGTGGCCGAAAATGGCTTAGCGCACGCGGGGGTTCCCGTGAGCATCGATGTCTCTATGACTGCGAGACTGGTCTGATAACGACGATGGCGGTCTAGAGAGCGCGTTGTATAGAGATCAGACTGTACGACTACCTAGGTAGCTGCCGCTTCCGTGGTGGCAGCTTTGTAGTTGGTACCGGTTTGATGCTGTGCTTAACGACTGCAGGTGGTTACTAGGCAATGCAGCCAAACGGTGAAGGCACCCATCCAATGGCTGATGGATAACGGTTTCGGCTACGGATAGGTCAATAATAGGCTCGAGTCGCATGGGCCCCGCGAATGGCAATCCCTCTTCGGGGTCTGGGGGGGCGTATGCAGAAAGCACATCTAATCGCCTAACCATGTCAAGGCAGCGAGCGCTAAGCGCTAGGATGGCCCAAACTCTGACTCCACTCCCACAATCCCACATTTCTCGCCTGCGGTCAAAAATCACTCCAGCACCCTCGAGAAGCGCCAGCTCCCGACCAATCTCACCCGCTACAACCTCAGCATCACCACGCCCAATTTGATCAACACATTTCCATCTATCGACAAGTCATCAACAATCCGACAAGATGGGTAAGGTTCACGGATCTCTCGCCCGTGCTGGGTAAGTCGCTCGATACAGAACCCTTCCTCCGCCCGCCGCAGCCGCTGACAAAAACCCTACAGCAAGGTCAAGTCGCAGACCCCCAAGGTACGATCACCACCTACGAGCCCCCGGAAGCCATGAGGATTTTGTGTGTCTGGCGATGGGAGACTGCCTCCAAAACCTGTCAGGATGAATCCATCGACCCGACCAACGACGCGCAGAATGGCCACATCTCCGGCTGCCTTTTGTTTCAAAACTCGCCACCGATCATGACGGCCACGGATTTTTTTTACTTTCTTGACGGCAACCAGTGGATCGATCATCACGGCGCAGTCCTCTCATCGGCAGCACACAAGAAGAACTCGGGCGATGGGCTTGATATTCTGTCCGGACTAGATGGCTGACCCGCACGCAAACAGGTTGAGAAGCAAGAGAAGACCAAGACCCCCAAGGGCCGTGCCAAGAAGAGACTCACATACACCCGTCGTTTCGTGAACGTCACTCTGACCGGTGGCAAGAGAAAGGTTGGCAAACCCTGATGCGCGACCGTGCACTGGACGGCATATTGACTGTGGACAGATGAACCCCAACCCCGGCTCATAAGCGCCTCGCTCTGATCGGTTCGAGAGGGTAGCCAAGGCCATGTGTGTGAGGACTGGAAGGCGATGGACGAGTGTCGTCACTCTGAGCGTCCGCCTCATAGGCGCGTGGTTGACCCGACCTCTACCCTGGTTACGTTTGGGAATGAAGGGTTAATGAAACGGAAAGGGATGAATACGTCTGGAGTGGTTTCTAAGCCGTCATTCATGGAGTCATTCGACATCGTTTAGGCTTTGGTCATTACATCTTTCCGGCTTCTCGTCTGTACATCGCAGATACCGCCTGGCATGGCGGAGGGGAAAATCTAGGGAATAGAAATGTTTCTCTGGGACTGCACCCAATCAGATTCCGTGATTGCACTTGACCCTTTGCCTCTCGACACATGTAGCCAGACCAGCGCCTTGAACTTGGAAACAAACACGTCGCTGACGGGTCTCGTTTCGCGGGCCACCGCAATCGCGGCCCCATCGAGCCCTCGCCGTAAGAGTCATTCAGGCTCCACTGTTCACCCCCATACCCATTGTGGCGTACAATCCAGTGTTAACGAGGATACTGGCGATTGCAGCCACGCATTCCGGTCTGACTGGCAGCTCCGAGGGGAGCCATGTTCCTCATGCTAGCGGCGCCAGCTGCTAGACAGGTAATTTGTCTTCGAACACTGCCTTGGAGCTGCAAGTACGGACCGATGCCCTTATATTGCAATGATAAACTGCTTTTACGGCCACTACGGATGTGCTTGCTGTCATTGCCAGAACACGAGCTCTTGGGCGAGCAGTTAATGGCTACTCGGTCGAAGGCTTTCCCCCATGATTGCACCTCGCAGGCTTGCATCCTTGCGAGCAAAGTCATCGTCGGGTCTTCCTGAGGCTTTGGCTTGCCAACTTTGGCGGTGCAGGATAAACCCTTGTAGACTGCCCGCAAGACTTGTCATACTCGCGATAATTAGGGTGTATCTTTATGTTCTATTAGTGAGCATTATACTCCTGGCGTGTTTTAAGCTGTTTGGTTGCCGCTCTAGGTTATAGGTGATGTTAGTATGCTACATTCCGTCAGGCTTGCGGAGAAGAGCACGGGTATTCGTCGCCCATATATGCTTCCAGGAACTGACACTCGACGCCCTTTGGCAAGGTCAATTTGTCGATCAACCTACGCGCTCTCGGATAGTTTGGAGATTCATGAATAGATCGGTGAGCTTTGGATTTTTGGTGGCACTGGGCAGCTGGTAGGTTGTTTTACTTAGTACATAGAGTAGCTGACACGTCACTTACGATATGTTGCGATGGTTGATAGAAAGCTATGCGTGCAGGTCGCGGTTATATTACACAGTATCAAAGATATAGCGATCTCGAGCTCTCACTTGCCGCTCCTCCGCTTCAAGTACTTGAACTTCAATATTATATCCAACGGGTTGACAATTATCTACATGTTCTCCACTTGTCTACTAGAAACACAGTTCTACTCAATTCTTTCGATATATAGTATCACCGTGCTGCCCAATCCATTATTGTTGGGCTGTCCAGGATGCTTGTACCGATGGACGTGGCTGACGCCGGGCTGAATCCATCATCGTTGACCTGCGGCTTACTGCCGGACGTGCTGTGCTCGAGTTTGGTCTCCTGCGCTACACGCGTGCTCTTTTCTTCAGGAGTTGGCGAGCTGCTCTTCCACGCCCTGGAATCGAAGTTGAACCGCTCACCCGGCTCGAGTGGAGGCAACACAGGCGAATCAAAGTTCATCGTTCCGGCTCTCGCCAACGTGGGCAAAACCGGGATCGTCGGTTGCCTCTCTGCCATGGGGCCTTGAGTCTGGTCATCGGTTAGGCTCCTGCCACCAGTCACGCGACGGATTCCTGTCTCGAGAACTAAGCCGCCTTCTACGCCTGGCCTCCAAATCTTGAGCGGTACAACAGGCTTTACTCTTTCGGTGCTCGAACTATTGCAACTCGTGGTCGAGTGCGAATACGCTGGCTCAGCAACTTCAAATGTGGCTACACTGGCACGTACTGGTCTCATCGGCGCTCGACCCCTGGCCGGCGGGTTGGGGGGCAGAGGTGCGCTCGGAGGAGGCGCATAAGGGGTCGATAGCCGTCTTCGATGCCAGGCACGATCCCCGAGCCCCAATATACCTGCAGATGGCGGCGGGCTTGCAATTCGTGGGCTAGCAGGCGTTGTGCCGTTGTCCATCGTACGCCACTGAACCGCAGAGCTGCTACCCTCAGAAGAAACTGCATGTTGCAAATTATCCTGAGCTGGGCCGCGGACATCGTGCATGAGGTGGGAGTAGAGACTGTCTCTGTCTTCAACATGTCTTGCTTTACCAGATAAGCCATGAATCACTCTCTTCGAGCCCCTCTCCAGAACAGGTGTCGTAGGGACCAGGTCGCCTTCCACCGTTAGCCGAATATCGTCGTGAACACTTGCGTTTGTGGCTTGGATATCTGATGGATGCTTGCGGTATGTTGTATTATCGTGGTGTTTGGACAGCATAGAGGCGACGTGCGCGTCTTGTTCGTTATTCCTCTTCTTGTGGGATCTATAGTACAAGTAGGCAATGATGCCAATAACAATGGCTCCAGATAGCGAGCCAGCAACAACGGCAACAGCTGCGGAATTTGATGCACGAATATCGGAGGATATCTGCCCAGGAGATTGCGAATTCGCGACCGGTTGATCTTTACTCTCAGTTGAAGGAGGCAAGACGTTGGCGTTGTAGATAACTGGCTTCTTCTGGAATGCCGGGGTATAATTATAAATCGCGATACTATCCTCTCCCCCGCAAGACACCCTCAGGTCTCCTGAACATGGTGTGGTGCAATCATCTGTGTCGAGCTTCGCAGCACCCAACGCGATTTCAAGACCACAGTAGCATTCGCTGAAGGGACATTAGTGAATTCCAATGTTTCAGTGGCCTTGTCCAAATGCCAGGTCTATGTCTGATTTGAAAGCCTGGGGACCATACCTTCCGTTTTTTAATCCAACATATGTAAAGTGATCTTTCCCACCTGTTGGCGGTTTCAGTGACTGGCAGCCAGCCAGACAAGAGTCTACTGTAAGCCTTTTCGTGTCGATCGATGCCGGAGATGCGTAATCTTTTTCCTTTCCGAAAGGGTGCACTCCCTGTCCGTCTAAGCCAGTCTGCCCATAACACCCCATTAGGTTATAGTTCGTCTTTCCTGCCGCTAGCGTTGGCTTATAGGCGATAGATACCGTGACAGTTCGAGTCGCAACGTCGTCATTGCGTTTCACCGGGGCCCCGACGACGGCTGCAGTCCTACGGGTATACATGGCGACTACCAGATACGCCCATAGTGTAGCTCGAAGATAGGACCTTCGTTTGTATAATTTTGGTTGTATTGGCATCTTCGGGATATCGGCACGAGGTAACTGTCGGAAGCCTCCATCGTGATTTGTTCCACGGCTGGCTACCGGTATACTCTTGTCCAGCTCTTGTAGATTTTGAATCAGTCCTGGACAAAGAAATGGTCTTCGCCAATGGTAGAACAAAGGCAAAGCCCTCGAAGCCGGCTTTGAAGCCGCATTCGACTAGTTGAGCGAGCCATATTGTAGATGACGAAGACAATTGGCTTCAGAATTCCATCTGTACCCGGTACCCCTATGTGCAGAACAGCCACGAGCAATGACGCCACTTTGCAAACTGCGTTGTGCAAAACAGAGGTATCTTATCTAGAAAATAAAAGGGAACGCCTTGACGTATTTAAAGCGATCCATGAAAACAAAAAGAAATACCAGCGGGATTACGCGAGATAAGCTATCGATGGCATAAGAGATAAGCATATCCAGCCCACAGTCATAGCTTCAAACCAAGATAGAGCAGTTTCAGAGACAACCTACCCTTTCAAGAGTTCTGGGACTAGCCCTGACAATCGCGTGCTCATTGATAACAATGCGGCCCGTGGCTTCAGAAATAGAGAATATCTGGACCCTTCATGCAGACGGAACCCGATAGATTGGATCCGTTGAGATAAGCCTACTTGGAGTGTTTGGCGAGACTCATCGGCATTCGATTGCTTGCCCAGCCGAAGGCACTGCCTTAGCCAAGCCATCTTAATTGAAGCAACCGATCACCGACTTTCTTGTGGCAATCCACTGTATTGAGAAAATTCGCATGTAATATCTTGCCCTCTCATGTAGAGTCTATAGAGTTGAAACCGCAAAGCCACCAAAACAAACCGTTCTGTTATCTCGATCTTGGTATCGCGTGCCAGGCTTTGACGTGTCACCTGCCGCATTCTGCATGCAAGTTGGGATAAGATTGCCCAAGCTGAAGATAACAGAAGCGTGGACCAGCCTCGATTGTATTCTTAAGTTGTCCAACAGTCCCTTCGAATCTAACCTCGTAGCTCACAGCCCTCCTGGTGTCACGAGTATACTATTCACGTGAGCTAGTAGGTGTCGCATGCGTGCTGCCAGGACCTCATCAACCACACGTGACAGTCATCGAAAGTATTCCGATGGCCTCTGCCGAAGTGTCAGTCCACGATGGAACTAGATACGATTAGCCCGAGGATCGAACGACTGGTCCAGCTGTCAAACGACCCAGCCAGGCAACTTCCACCCATCCCATCCTCGATCAGCCCTTTCGGCACAGTGTTCACCCGCGCGAAGGAAGATCTACCTGGGGACAAGAAACCAGAACGCCCATCACTTTGCGGCGACCCTGGCGACCGCCCGAATCCCCGACCAACCGACGACTTGGCCGGACCCGCCTGACTCTGCTGACGACCCACCACTTTGGCTGGTGGACCCCCACACACGAAGGTTTCATCTCATCTACAACGCTGGGAGAGGCGTGCATAGCTAGACCTAAATTCGGAAATCGACTCCGCGACCATCAAATGCTCCCTGGACACGACGCGCTGTAGGCCTTGGCCGCCCTCACCCTGCGTTTCTTAATGCCGCACAAATTGCAGTTTTCTGGGATCAGCGCATCCTCCCTGGATGAGATCTCCGTTGCCCGTGCCCAAGATGTCCTGAGAAGTCCGCACAACGCGGAGATGATGACGACTCGACGGTATTTGCCGGCGTCGCGCTCCATCGTCAAAGCTGGCGCCTTTTCTCCGGGCTTGACGTCGTAACGGGGAATAATGACTAGGGGTCATAGTGCGACTAGTGTGCCTGTATCCCACGACATGCCACGGGCCCACGAGGCGTGCGTGGAGCGTCTCTTCGCAACTAGTAGAGTGTTCAGCAGCCCATCGAAGCCACCACAGTTCATGGGCCGAGTCTAGATGGGCTTCAGGTAAGTTGGCACTTGGCTAGTCCGAGAACCCGAAGGATTGCCAGTGTTTCTACATCGCTTCATTGGCCTCTTCGGGCGTTTCGCGGTGGATGCCGCTAGTTACCGCAAAAATACAGTTGGTGCTGGTAAGGCCGACCGGCTTATTGGGACTGCCTCAATCGCAAGCCTCTGGCTGTCAAGTCATCAACCCGCATGACTCGATTCTGTCGAGATCTCAGCTTACGGCGCAACGCGGATCGAAGCATAGATGCGCCAGTATGCTCAGAAGGCAAACCCGCAAACCTGTGAGCTTGCCGGAATTTGCATCACACGAAGAGCATTGCTCTAGTACGTGCCGTTGAGAGAAAACCCCATTCTTGGCGTTCCACAGCAATGACCATTTCGCGATCTCTGCAGACAAGTCCATGGAGAAGTCGGCAGGCAGGTAGGTATTCAAGGCTCATCTGGTGACTGACAAGGTAAAGCTGCTGCAATGCTCTGTGGCCGGCGTCTCCCGCACCAGCTGGCTGAGCGCCCAGTGGAGATGCGGACGGCAATCCTGATCTTCAGGGTCTTCTTAGCTTTCGCCTCTTCGCATGGAGTCTCTTGTCCCCATAGCCCACCTGTATTGCTACACTGGTCCAGCAGAACACTTCTACTTCACAATCAGGGAATACGTTCTTGTGTCAATACGAACAGAACTCAGAAGGCAGTGACCATGGTACCCAAAAGAGTATACTCCGCTAGAATTTCGCCCCTGTCCCAAATCCCTTCCTTCTACTCTAGTGTCAAAGACTCGACGAATGAGGGGGAGCCTTCACATGTGAAGGATCGCGTGTACTTCCATCGTTCATGGTCTAGGTACAGTAGTTGGTGCTTTCTCTTTAACTTAGTACGTGTAAGTGTAATAAAGCTACTATGATTGGGTCGTATGACGCGGGCGCAGCTGGGAGTTCTACCTGCCATGGTACTGCGCAGATAATACTGTAGTTCATAATCCTAACACCACGGCCTGTGTTGCTGTTTAAACATTATCTTTTAATGTTCATCGTGAAATTATCCACGCCCTCGAACATAAAAATGACGTCGACAATCGTTTCTAGATGCCCTAAAGCTAACGACACTGTGTCGAACAAGAAAAGCAGCAGGGTGGCCACGAGGGGCGGGGCCGTATGGCACTAGGGCAGTGGCCGCGGTTCAACTAACGTGTTTTCCGGCAAGGGATTGAAAGTAGAGCGCAATGCTCGCTGGCTTTAAAATGTCAACAATCGCTTCGGGTGGATCTACGGTCATCACCCCGCTGGGCGCTGAGCAGCTGTTTACACTGAAATACAGGAGTAGGTTGAGCTCGCAGATCAATGTATCAGAGGCTGTCACCGGGTATGAAACATAGCGGCAGCGTGGGATCTGGGGAGTGCACGGGCAATCCATCGAGCCAAGCAATGCCCAATTGGCTCATTATTCGGTAACCAGGCGACCCCGGCAGATGAAGTTTAATCCGCAACTGGGCTAACCTAGGTGACCGGTGCACCGAGCAGGGGAACTTGCCGGCAGGCTGTTGAAGATGGCTCGTGACCGGCACGTCTGTTGACTCGAGAGCAGGTTGCTACCGGTCAAGATAATCCGTCACAAGAGTGCCACATTGCGATACATCGCCTTGCGAGAAGCATGGACTGATGCGTGCGAATGCTCACTGGAAGGTTCCCTAGTTAGAGTGCTTCAGTCTCACCTGCACATGAAGTAGGATTCACTCTCGAATGTGTGCGCCTGAGCTTGCGCTCTGGTTGCTGTCGGGAGAGTGGGGGTCCAGTCCAATCACAGGCCCTTGGAGAGCTTCCATGACTTGCAGATGTACCGGTACTTAGTGCTCCGTTCAAGGCGTGGGAGGTGGGCTCAGTTGAACCCTTGGACTGGATCCCCTGCAACGAGATCTGCCAGACAAGCAAGTGGAATCCCCTTGCTTGACTTGCTCCTCACGAAGTTCGGAGCCGTTCACCGGCGCTGCATCTTCGACCCCTCAACCGGCAAGGCCTTGTGCTGCATGGTAATATACATGCTTGGGAACAGCGGAGAGCCAGTGATTGACCATGCTTTGCGTGCCAACTTGCGGGCCGGCCAGCGGAAGCCTCAGCCTGTAAGTGGAGGACTTATTGTTTTTAGTGGTCTCTGGTATACAGTAGATCCGTACAGAGGACCCGTAAAGGGTCCTCTTTGCTCGACATTGGCAGCGACGGGAAGACCATGTTGGGTTAGTCACATCATGTCGACAGCCAGCCTGCTCTTCATACAATGTAGAGACCCTCAAGGACTGTCTTCGGCAGTCCACTGCTCTGAATTCCCTCTGTCCACACTATTGCCACTTTGACAGACTCAATTTTCCGGTAATATCCCGGTTCAGCGAGCTTACCTGACCTTGCCAGGTCAAGCTTGGAGTATGTACCTGTGTTGATCGAATGTTATCCACGGAGAGATAATGAGAAACGTGGGTGGCTTCTATGTATACATAGCTGCGGGCATTCAGGACCGGGTTTGTGCGAGTCTGCTTTATTGGGATTAACGGAGTAAAGTGCTGCGCTTGAAGCTCGAAGTCTCGTATTGGTTGCAATGCAAGTGAACTGAACCCGTTTAAGGCGAGAGCCTCGGGAGGGTTGCAGTTCGTTGTTCTGGCCCTTTCGAAGCGGCAGAGCCTTCGTCAATGATGGTAGTCCTCAGGAACATTGCGATCCTTGTTGGTTCCATACAATGCTATACCATAGTACTGTAATGAATCCAATCTCCAGTTTGCTGCGTATGGTACCCGATTTTGCGGGCCAGCAGGCCCACCAGACCCGAGACCCTCCTCACTTCCCAGCTTTACCAGCCGCTGTGCCACGGCTAACAAGCACAGATGTGGGGGCAGCCGACGTAAGCATGGCACGCCACGGCCGCCAATATACTCGGCCAGATCTAAGTGAGCCCTCTTCACCTGCCTGTGCACTTCACAGCCATACACTGAGCGCACCATCACTGGCCTGCAAAGCAACCATGAAAGCACACCCGATCCCAGAAAGCATCAGTTGCCCCATGCGCAATGCAGCTGGCTGAGCCAGATGATACATATTTGCCGTCGAACATCTGAATTGCCATATTATACGCCTTATTACGGGCGTGGGATGTCCACGGCCCACGACCAGGGGCATACATAGCTCTCTGGCCGCGACTGTGAGAAGGGCCTTCATCGGCCCCGTGTCCCCACCATTGATGCAGCGTCGCATCGTCTGCCTTGAAGCTGATCCAAAACCGATCCGAACACGTTGAGTCTGCGGGCTCTTCTGATTTCAGAAGACACGACCGGTGGATGAGTGCTCTTCCGTATGAGAAGCGAATATACGTATCCCGCTCGCCTTACAACGTCGACAGTTGTGCAAACATGACTAAGGCGGAGCCGACCGTTACTAAGATTAGATGAACCGTTACATAGGACTTGGGGGGCTGCATCGACCTGCTCTTTACGAATCAATTCAGACTGTCGGCCTTCATTGCAGGCAAAGACAACTGGACAGACATGTGCTGGATCCGAACTTCCGAGATCCAGACTCGCTTCCGAATTGTCCTTTATGATGGTTGAACATGGTATGTAGCTATTGTTCTAATCGACGCAGATCGAACGTTCAGGGTTTGCATTGAGCAATGAGGTCCATGTCAGTTGATGACCAAGGCCAGTCTCCAGTGAAACTGTCAATCCCCAATGTATTTTATTATAGCAGTCTTATTTGGACTTGCAATTACTGGCTAGAACCAATACGTCGAGGTATCAAGGAAGACCCCAAGAGCAAGCCTCAATGCTCCCCAGATTCCTGGTGTCTGTTGTCTTGCTTGTATCAAGGACGTTACTTGATTTTGTGGCGCTAAAACGGTTCTTTGCTCCGGTATTGGGCAACGGCCAAATGAGTATTCACTGCTTCGCGTCCATTGCTTGGATATCCTCACGACTATCCTCTGGCGACAGGGACCTCGGGAGAGACCATGCCATCGGCGTGAAACCGGCGGTGGTAGCTGCTGAAGGCTGAAGGCTGGCCCGCGTTCCCGCCGATACTGCAGAAGTGGAGCGCTCCGGCCATATGGCTTACCCACTGCAACAGGCTCTGCCCGCTAATTTCCAACACCTAGTCCAGTCAGAGCGGCCGAACGGCTTCCAGTATGCCAGCCTCTCGGCCGCGATAGTTGCTGCTAGCCTAGCTCATTGCGTTTTCTGGCGTCCTCTGCAGTGTTATTTCCGGGATTCAAGACGCACTGGGGAGGGTCGAGATCGGATACATTCGGAACGTGGTCGATAGCTCAGTTCCCTGGTATGGTGTTCGCTCGTAGCAGGTCACCGCTCCAACCTCACGCGCCGTGCGGTGCGACTGGGTGCATGGGTCTAGATGCTCTCACCTCCCGCTCGTGCTTCTATCCTAATTCTGCCTGTATGATCCGCCGCCACGTTCCTCGCGAGCCATTACTCATGCCGGCGGCACGCTCTCGTATTGTAGAGTACACAGGCGAGTCATCGGCCGATGCAAGAGAGCTTCCTCTTCAAGCCTACGAAGGACAGGAACGCGACTTACTACGGTACGCCAGTTGCCACGAGGTTTGGGGCTCGGTTCGGGAATTTGGTCGCATGGGTTCCATAGCATATGCCCATCCTTGATTGATCAGTCTCCCGTCTCATGGGGGAGTATGCAACTCCAAGCCCAACCGTCCTACTCCGGCAGCAGGGAGAGGAGAGCGACACCGTTCACCCCCACCAGTTAATGACAATAATTTCGCTGCAGATCCACCCTCGCTTCGGTGCAGTTGAGCTTTAAGGACTTTGTGCGAAGAGCGCAGTGCCAGGGCCCTCTGGAGACTCGCCGCAGGATTGGCCGACCGCCCACTTCGACGTCAGGGACAGGGTCTAGAGGTCCCCAACCCACAGACCGTTCGCTCGGCGGCGGTACCGGTACGAGACGGCGACGTCGTCTTTCATGTGGCACCAGAGCGTAGCGCAGAACATTACCAGCATTAACCTGCTCCACCACGTTGCCCAGCCCGAATTGCCCAGCCAGCCATTGGAAGAGGCGCCCGCTTGGAGGTGACGAGTGCTGCTCTGCCCTCCACCTCTGACCATCACCCACCCCTTCCGGTTCACGCGCGACACCTAGGTCGAAAAGCAATCGTCGTGCCTCGAGCTCCGGACGGATACCTGCAAACACCATTCTCCCGTCGATGCCTTGGCCGGGCTGCCCACTCACCATCGCTCCCGGTATCTGACATGAGCCTCGTGCGCTTTCCGGCTGCGAGAGAATAGAGCGAATTGAGTTTGACAGCCGCTGCGAACGAGCAGCTGTCGACCAAACCCTGGCGGCGTGGGGAACTGAACCTAACTGCCCTGCAATACCTACGCAAACTCTCCAGTCGCACAGAGACCGGCCGGCCTCAGTCTCCCAAGTCCCAAGTGTACGACATGGCGGGCCAGGAAGCTTCTCCTCTCACAACTGCGAGTCCCTCGGCCGCCATGAACTCGACCACGACAGAGCACGACTACCGCTTCCCGCGCAGGCCCCAAGACTCTGCCGCCGGCGGAGAGGCCGATCGCCCGTACACCCGCAGCGGCAACACGAGCAGCACCAACGAGACAAGCCCGGGAGACCTGCGACTGCAAGAGCTCAACCTGGACCTGTCGGGCGCCCCCAGCAAGGCCGCGCATCATGACCTGCTAAACTCTTCGATTTTCCCCGCTTGGCAGGACGACCTGGCAGCGAAAGGCGAGAGCATCGAGGAGATGCAGCAGAACGACCCGCTCGCTACCCAAGTCTGGCGCTTCTTCAGCAAAACCAAGAAGAGCCTCCCTAGCAAAGAGCGCATGGAGAACCTCACCTGGCGCATGATGCACACAAGGTTGCGAAAACAACAAGCGGAAGACGAAATGGCTCGGTATGTCACAGGCTTGAGTGAGTCTCCGGGATTTTCTAATCTTTCCTATAGCCTGGGACGTGCACCTGCAAATGCTACTGGTAACGCACCAAGCGGTATTGCTCAACTGCGCAAGACGTCCGACCAAAATGTGAACGCTGCGCAGTCTGATCCTATGAACCTCGACGATTTTATATTTTCTGAGAACGTAGCCACCCCGGCCGGCCTGCCGACAACGCCCTCTTCCCCGGAGGCCGTCAGACAATCAGAAGATAAGGCGGCTCATGCAATGGCCGCCGCCGCCATCCCCATCAAATCCCGCAAGTCAGTGCAGCAGCAGCATTTCGTCCCGCAATCCGTTCCTGTGCCTCCACATCACGGGAACCAGGACGAATTTGGCTATGTTACTCGCCATCACCGGAAGACTAGCATTGACGAAAGACGCGTAAGTACCTAAACCATGTAACCTGCATGTGCATGCGGCGCCGATACGCTGCATGCTGGTCTTTACAGATAGAGATCGCCACCTTTATCATGGCCGAGCTGATAACTGACACCCTGCCCAGACCCGGAACCTCAAGCGCCCTGCCGAATTTTCCCCTCAGGTTCCAGCTGCAAACAGCAACTCGGCCTCTAATGAAAACGATGCCGACGCCGATGTCCATGAGTATTCATTAGATCAGTCGCATACTGGCATCGGCCAAGTGCCTCATCATTCAGGTGTCCCATTCCCCTTGGACACCTTCCAGATGGAGCATGATCCCATTATCACCTCCGCAGGACCCTTTCAGCAGAACTTCTCCTTCTCGCCGTCGACATCGCCGATGGTTACGCATGGTTCATTCCCTAACATGTATCATCAGTCTGGCTTGGGCCAAGGTTCATTGAACGCCCACGATTTCTACTCCCCACCCGCGTCTGCTTATCAGTCAACGGCCACAACACCCCATCCCATTCCTGATAACGACAACATGTTCTTTGGGTCGATGGACATGCGACACCAAGGACAGCAGCCATTCCGTCAGGACCAACCTCATGCCGGCAATCACATGGTACAGCAGTTCATGTACCATGGGGGCAACAACTCGATGTTCCCTCAAAGCACCAATGCGCCCGATTCCCAATCCTCGTTCGCACCTGCGAGTACCTTTGGACATGTCGACCCGACTCAGGTTTTCCAGCCAGAACACCCTGTTCGATCTCCCGGCGTGGGTGTAATCCAGGAGAACATGTTCACATTCGGCGCAGATTCGGACAACGAGGACGATGACGGAGGCGCTTTCCCAGATCGCAATCTTGGGATGCACCACAGTTTCTCTCCTTCAATGGATGATTCTGCTATGGAGATGAACAACCCCAACTCTCTTGGATGGGACGCTTCATTGCCCGGGCAATTCAGCACTCAGGCTGCAAGATATCCTGGTGGACCACCTCGCAAACAAGTCACGATTGGCGGCACAACCACCGACTATGTTGACACGAATGGCGAATGGGACAATCAGGGCAGCCTGCCTCGATCCCAATCGTTCATATCCGGCGACAGACGTCAAAAGATACCGCGAAACACTTCCACGCCAGGGGCAGGCATGGGAAGCCGAGGCAACCCATTTGATAGGATGGCTCAATCCAACCCCAACTCGCCCCCAGCCGATGCCATTGGAAGTGCTTCCGGGTTCTCTTCAGTTGCACCCAGTCGGCCTACTTCGCCATTGGGATCGAAGCAAGGTTCCACGAGCAACTTGCAGGGCGCTGGGGGGAACCAAGGGGATGGCAGTGCCCCTACTACTTGCACAAATTGTTTCACGCAGACCACACCTCTCTGGCGGCGAAATCCTGAAGGGCAACCTCTGTGTAATGCATGTGGTCTATTCTTGAAGCTACATGGCGTGGTTCGGCCCCTCAGCTTGAAGACAGATGTAATCAAGAAAAGAAATCGGGGCTCAGGTGCCAATCTTCCTGTTGGGGGAACCAGTACGAGATCAAAGAAGAACAGCGGCAATGTGTCGGGTTCAGCTTCCGGGCCAGCCTCGCGTAAGAACTCCACTCTGGGAATTTCTGCAACAGCCGCTGCACCTCAGGTTAGCACACCTCCATCAACAAATCGAGCAGGTAGCGCAAACGAAGGGGAGAGTCCTGCGAGCGGTGGTGCGAATGCCTCCGGCGGTAATACGGCAGGCAGTACACCTAGCTATGCAGGCTCTGCCAGTGGTGCCGTTGGTGGAAAAGGCGTCATACCAATCGCAGCAGCTCCTCCCAAAAATACACCTGGTCCTGGTGCTGCGTCGCTCCCACGTAACATCGGTTCGACGAGTTCTTCCAAACGTCAACGGCGCAGCAGTAAGAGTGCTGCATCCAGCGACCTAGCCGGTGGTATGGATATTGACAGCCCTGAAAACTCCACTGGCTCCAATGAAGCAGCTCGATCTGTCAGTTCAGCAAGTGGGTTTATGGCTGGGATGCCCAACCCGGGTAACCTCGCCTTGACCAATGGATTTGGTATGACGCAACGGCCTATGATGCCACCTGGCATGATGGTGATGCCCGGTGGTCCTCCAAACGGGATGATGACACCTGGTGCTGGTGCCGGTCCCCAGGAATGGGAATGGCTGACCATGAGTCTCTAAGCATATGTAACGTTTTGGGGGTTGTCAAACGCACAGGCATGCGATTCTCTGGTGTCGTTTATATGACTATATTACCTATCAACGCACGAGCTTGCAGCTTGTACGTACACGAGGCTCGAGGACCTTATTGGTCACTCTCTCGGCCCAGGAGGTCGACCAAAAGAGTTCTCAACCGCATGCATCAATTGCGTGCACTCATCAGCGCGGACTAGATGTCTGTCCACAACACTGGTGGATGCCCGATTTTGGATACCATACCAGCATAATCGGCCTTCGCACATGGCTCTCGCGACTGGTTCTTAATCGTTATCTTTACCAGATTCTTGACTGGGCATTCCTTCGCATGGGGAACATCATGTCATGTTACCCCAAGCTTCAACGCGATACACCTCATACCCAGAGCCTACAGTCGAATCTCTCTTTAATACGGGCATCGAATTAGATCGAGCAGGTGGATTGGTGCAGTTTAATCGCTCTGCTGTTACACCCCGGATACAACGCCGTTAGCGACAGCTGCAACCGTATAGAATTTGGACGAATTGTACGAAATGATCATGTCTATCTACGACAGCGTACAGTGGTCTGGGGTTACGGGGGCGGTCATTTGATTTCGAAACCGGTTCAAGGTGTTCACAATTGGGACGTCGTAGATTAGGATTTTTGATACCACATTGTTTGTTGTAGACGTTGCGATATAACGCGGGGATGGGATGATACTTGGCGTTCAGTCCGTTATGTTGCTATTGATGAGTGTTGGAGGCATCATTTAGTTGGACGAGGAGCGGGACGCGTTATTGGACGAGGTTGGAGTCACTCGTAGTAACACTACATAGTTGAGAGGACGGTCAATAACATGTTTTTACGAAATGAAGATGCGCATTTGTCCAATTTAATACGAACGGTGATGCAGGCGAAGTCAAAACGAGCGGTATTCGCCTTTCGTTCCAATATCAATATTGAAAGCTGACCTAATAAGTAGAACTAGGATAGAGAATCTTCATACAAGACTGGGACAACCAGCACTGGGCGAACTCTGCGGAGTCTTGATTTGAGGCAAGACAAAAGATAGTATTGCCTTCTGGTCCCTTCTCATGCCTATCTGCCACCAATTGAATGGGAAATAGTTTCCGAGTTGCGCTGATGGAAGAGCAACCGGGAAGTTTTTACCTGAGCGCCTTGAGGCCTGGTCTGGTACTCAGCGGCCAAGCCACCGACCCGTGTAGTTCTTCGTGTTACGTACGTGCGGGGAGTGAATTCCCCGTGAATATAGAATCATTCAATGGAATGCGGCGGGCAGAAGCGTGGGGGTACGTGGAAAAAAGAAGGCGGAATGTCTCAAAAAATGTTTCTGCATGCATATTCACTATCGGAAGTGTAAGGAGTATGTGTGCCAGTTCAAATACGTAGCAACAGTTTCTGGTAAAGCTAATCTCTCGTACCAGGACCCCTTCAGGTTTGCTGGCGGTCAGAGTTGACAGCAGGGCGGCCGCTGGAGAACGGATGTTGGTGTTGCAGGATTCTTACGGATTGTCAAATTTCAAATATGCTTTCTTGTACAGATACGTGCGTCATTTCCACTTCGAAGGCGACCGACGGTACATTAACTGGACCAAATTTGGGTCTGAACTCGTAGAATTAGGTCCAACTTATTGACTTCGCCCATAAGTGATTTCATAGACCTTGCTTCCTTGCTCTCTTGACGGCGCTGCCTCACATGTAGATGGAAGGTGCTAGCTGCCGGCGGATTTTATTACTGTAACTTGTTTTCTTAGATCTGCACGAGGCGATACACCAGAAACTGGCATCAAAAGTAACATGTAGACCCACCAAAGAACGTTGCTGTGGCATTTCAGTCTTATGTAACTGTCTGATGACGCGGCACACGCTCTCCTTCCCGATATGGATCCTTGACTGGACACCGAGGACCAAAACGCTTCGCGTAGCCCACGGTAAAGAAGCATAAACCCCGAGTATTCTATGAGAAACTAGGCTTTAAGGGGGCATGAACTTTTTGCGCGGTTACAGAAAAAGCTATACACGGCGCAAACCACCGCACGTACGACATACTAGCGCCGGCGTGACTTACCTGGAGTTAGATTTCGAACAAAAGGGCAACAAATAGTAGTCAATAGCAATAAATCTAAGGCAACACCATTGCAGAAGGATGTTGGAGATGAGCAAAAAGATAATTGCTGGGCTTGGCCGGGGATCGACTATTTGCCTGTTAGAATCTTAGGTTGAAACTTGAGCGATGATGACTTACACCCGGGACCTCGCGCAATCTTGCTATAGGGTGAGCCCTAAGCGCGAATCACTTTTGACATGTTAGTCATGAGGAACTTGTCAATTCAAGAGATGGGAACTCCTTACTACCACTAGACCACCAAGCCCATGATTTCCTGAACGGTTGAAATGTTGCCGTCAAACAGGGTCCATGTTCTCGTGCTGTGGGGTGGTTAGGGTTTGGTCAACAATAGGGTGGGCCACGACGATTTGAACTGATATAGAACAAGTACTAGTTGGGACAAGATTGTATCATCGTGGGATTCGAATGTCCAGTAGGCTGCCTGCGGCGTTTTCGGCGCCTGTGAATGCCAGCAGCTGGTCTGCTTCATTATGACAGCGCGATGACTGGGAACACAGAGACCCGTATCAGATAACAACGCAACGCAAGACTCCCACCACAGAATGCTCAACTAAAGCTTTTGAACTCCTCGAAAGACTCGCTTTGTTGTTACTCAATGATGTTTACTTGTTGCTCTGACAACTCGGGCAAGTGGCCAACTCCAGTCTGGGTAGTGATGCACCATTCGTCATATCCACCGAGGACGCAATATTCAGCGCCCTCAGGAAGTTTAATGCAAGAGGTCAGATTAAGCAATAGATGACTGTCCGCTCATATGCCATTACAGGAGCGTACAGCATGAAAAGAACAGGGAGAGATGGCCAGCAAATCAAAGGGCGTTACTATAAGCTGGCGCTGAATTAGGTTCATCCTCACTTTCGGTAGATAGAACATACCAGACCATGTTGTCCAATAGAACAGTTCTTTGTCTTCTCTCGATTCAATTCATATCGTTCCCGAAACGGACCACTAGCAGAAACACGCAAACAAAGCCGACATCCATTCTTGACCAAACAAGACGACCTTGCCTAACATAAAGGAAAACAATATTGCTCGTGCTATCGTCTATTACAATGCTAACTAGGCTCGGATTTCATGTAAGCACAAAAATGTTACTAGTGCATAGGACGGTCTGCGAGAATGAACGACCGTGAGACAAACCTGGCGTGGAATTTAAAAAGATATTTCGATCATGACGGCAGGTACTTTCTGGAGAGTTATATCGGGTCCGGCGCTCAAGCTACGGTTTTCAAACTGAGAACACGGGACTCCGATAATCAAGGGACCGATCGCTTCGTTATTAAGATTCCTTGGACTGCAGAACTACAATGGGACAGTTTTCATACCATAAGCGAGGTGGAAGCTATGAAGACTTTCCGCGGCGCTGCACACGTTGTTCAGTTATTAGAGACTACGGCAGACCAAGATCCTTTGAAGAAGGAGAATGTACCAGACGCGACGAAACTCCCAGCGAACCGCTGGATATATAGTGAGTAGTTGTGGCAGCCTTTTGCTGTACTTCACGGCATCAACTAAGGCTCAAATGAACATTGCTTCCTTTAGCTATGGCCTCGCCAGGCGGTCCGAGTAAGAGCCATCGCATGTAGACAAGTGCTGACTGGAAATACTGCAGTGGAGTGGTTGGAAAATGGGACGCTTGCTGGTTTCATGGAGCGGGCACAGAAGAAGGGGCATCCGCTGCCAAACCGAATTCTTTGGAGGCTTTTCATGTGTCGTGAGTCATTTTTCTCGGCATGATGGGTACTTGATGGAGTTTTCACGTCTGATCAGGATTTAGTTGTCCGGATGTGCATAGCATTTGCTTGGCCAGATGCACACGATGAATCCAAAGTTGAACTTGAAGATCCCCGCGACGAGGTACCCAGAAGTATCTGCTATAACCCTGACATAGGCAGTGGCAATCGTGAGTAGAGAAGCTATAGAAGTATAGCGACCCCGATAGGATGAATGCTGAGAAACGCAGTTGTATTTGGACCCTTCGTACCAGACGACATCAATCTAGAACATCGCCTGACTCCTGTTCTAAAGATGATTGACCTGGGTCTGGTGGAGCGACGAGATACTCCACAGTAAGTGAGCAGAACGTGGTGCTGGTGGGACACACAGCTGACTTCAACAGCAAGAAAGCATGGAGCAAGCTAGTAAGCATGTCTATACGGTTGATAGGTGAGGTTAGTACAGCTCGACAGGTACGGAGGAGCAGTGATATAGCTGACGTGCAAAAAGCAAATGTTCATGATCAATGGAGTCGGTCGTGGCGCTGATCCAGACCCAACCTTGGATTCGGACCTCGAAAAAATAGTCAGCTGGTGCATGTCATCAAGCGAGGATGACCGTCCCCAGCTTTTAGAGTTGGCGATTTGGGTCTCCAACGCAGTTAAGGGGCGGGATGCTGCTTGGTACAGGGAGCAGATGCCAGGCCCTGCGAATGACGGGGAAGAAGACGAATCCATACTCAATCTCGTTCATGAGCTCATCATCAATGCCAACACGGCACCTGAGTAAGCACAGGCCGTTTTTCTGTTAGTCACTGACGCTGGAGAAAAAAGTATACTTGAAAACGTCGATTAGCTCCACTGCGGCTCTGTGTTTCCATAAGTTTATTGCAATCAATCAAATGTGACAGCAAAAGTTGCCCACCAAACCTGGCGAGTTCAGCCTGCGGAACGCGACAGACAATAGTTAGAACATAGTTATACCCCCTTCTACGCAGGATACATAGTATCCCCTTCTCGAGATGCCTCACGGGTTCGAAGTTCCTTGGCTCGACTTGACAGGGGTAGGCCCCTGAGTAATCACGAGGGGCAGAAATACGGTTCAAGTACGAGTTAGCCGTCCAATACTCAGCACGCCTTCGCTTAGTCAATAGTGCAGAGTTCCGCACTATATATAGCCGGGAACACACTGGGGTCGCTGGCTCGGTGCCCACGATGCGAACGCGGTGCAACACGATCCCATTTCTTAGCCCACGCCTTGGTAGAGATTGGGGCTCGTTCTCAGCGGTAAGCCTGCAGTTGTTAGTACCCATCGGCTGGTCCCCCGTGCCCCGAGTTTGGTCCGCCAGGCTCTTCATCGGGCCATCGGGCAGGGTCAGGGGCGCCCAACGCCCAGCCGGCGCCAACTACGTCAGAGCTAAGAGATTTGGCGCGGGGCCAATAATACCGAACGGGCTTAGCGGTGCTGGTGAGCCAGACCCCTGGGACCCATAGAAGACGCCATCGAAGACCCGGAGGCGCTGGCCACGAGCTGTCATCCTCCTCCCTTCCCAGGTTCCTCTCCCTCTCCTGGACGTCCTGGCTGCTTGTCCCTAGCCTAGCGCGGCTGAGGCACACACCACGGCACACAGAGACTGTTCTTGCGGGCACCGTAACCACCTAGTCGCCAGCTCCACCGACACTTGAACACCGCGTGCGACATTTCCTCCGCCGTGCCCTGTTGAGACCAGCTTCCAGCTTCGGACTGGCCCCTTGGACCTTGACCTCGAACTTGGATTGACCTTGGACCAGCCGTCACTCAACACCACTGGACACACATCCCAAGGTACGCACCATGGTGCTGTGTCGGTAACACCGCATGAGTCTCCCGGCCCGCATCATCAACGCGATTCTGTGGCGTGCAAAGAATGCCTTCCTCTCCACTGCAGGCCCGCTGCCCTTCGACGCACACGACACACTGGAGATGGACGACGCGCGAGCGCCACTGGACGGCGTGCTCGTCGAGCTCCTCGAGTGCGACCCCCGGGCCTCTTTCGTGATCGAGCTGCCGCCAGATCTGTCCCCGGAGTCGTCCCCGTCCACCAGCGTCGCGTTCGCCAACCTCGCCCTGACGGCGGACACGGGGCTCTACGACGCTATTGTCGACACCATCACCACTCGCGATGGCCGCTTTTGGCAGTGGATAGTGGGACAAGGGGCTGAGGCTTCTACAACCGCCGCCAACCCCGTGAACACCTTCTCTTACATGGACTGCTTCTGGACGCGCTCTGTCTTTCGAAAGACCTTTGTCATTGTCGGATGCAATGAGCAGCGACGGCCAAGCACTCTCCAACGGCCTGCCATACGAGACCGTGAGAAAAGTCACACGCTGCTGCTCCCAGAACCCGAGCCCACGGTGGATACTCTAACAGTTCCAGACGACGACTTCACCGTGCCGAGTTTGACGCCCGAGAGTGAAGAGCCGTTCGGTGTCACAGTCAACAACTTTGACTGGGCTTCTACACCTCTTGGGTCCATGCTCCAGTGGCCAGCCAGTCTTCAGCAGACATTCAACCAGATTCTTGCCGATTCCAGGCCCATTGCCCTCTATTGGGGCCCCAAGCTGACAATCCTCTATAATGAGGCTTTCGGAAAGCTTTGTGGCGTCAAACACCCCGGCTTACTCGGAAAATCAGTGGAAGATGCTTGGCCAGACTTCTGCGACAAGATCAAACAGACCATGCAGAAGAGCACTGCCAAACTCAGGGCAAGCGTTGACGAGGAGTGGAGATTTTTCATTGAGAAAGCCGACGGCAGCCTCGAAGAGACGTACTTGAAGTGGTCCATAGTGCCCATCATGCCGGAGCACGATAACAATGTTGGCTTCTTGCAGCCTGTTTTGGACACTACGTCGATGCGATTGTGGGAGCGCCGGATGCAGATGCTTATCGATTTAGGCGATGCCCTCGTAGCAGCCAGAGATGCCAAGTCGTATTGGAGAAAGACCATCGAGGCCTTGGAGGCTTGTGATCCCAGTTATGACGTCCCACTGGTTGTGCTCTACTCCGTCGAGCATAGTACAGAGGCATCAGAGGAGCCCAGCACGACCTGCAATTTGGAGGGATCGCTAGGTGTACCCAAGGGCCACCCTCTCATCCCTCAGTCACTCGCGCTGGACAAGAGTGACACCGGCTTGTCTACCGTGTTTCGAGAAGCGATCCGGGCCAAGGTGCCGACTATACTGTCTCTCAAGGACGGCACGCTGCCAGAGCACCTTCTCCAAGATATTCACTGGCGCGGATTCGAGGATCCTTGCCATGAAGCCATAATCGTCCCGATACGGCCAACGAAGGACGAGCGAGTTATGGGTTTGCTGGTGTTAGGACTGAACCCACGTCGACCATACGACAATGATTATCAGCAATATATACTACTACTAAGCCAGAAGCTCACAACCACACTTGCGTGCACAATCCTCCTTGAGGAGGAGGCACGCAGAGGTCGGAACATCGCAGAGCAAGCAGCATACGACAGAGCCAAGCTGAAAGAGAAACTGGCAGTCCAGACCAAGGAGGCGAACGAATGGGTTTCCAAATTTCAGGCTATCGCTGAGCTGATTCCAGTCGGCATGTGCTTCGGCAACATCCAGGGCGAAATCACCTTTGCCAACGATGCCTGGCATCTGATCACTGGTGTACCCAAGACCGACCGTATCACCCACGACACGTTCATGTCCCGCGTCGTGGAAGATGATCGACAGAACGTGTCTCGTGCTTATAGCGAGATGCGCGAGACCGGTTCGGTTACACTCGAGTTCCGAGTACGTAAAGACGACGAAGAGCCGCCGATGCAACTCCCGATCGGCAGCTCACCATCTTTTGAGAAGGCCAGTTTAGATTTGGTGAGCGAGGCGCCAAGGGTCAGGCACATATCCGCAGCTTTGAAGGCAGAAACTGCTCCCGACGGGACCATACTGCGAGTGCTGGCCTGTATGACGGACGTGACTCTGCATAAGAGGGCCGCCGACGAGGCTATTCGCCGGGCACAGCTAGCGGAAAACATGAAGAAGATGGCCGATTCGGCATCCGTGGGCATGTATGAAATGCAGGCCGATGGGCGATTGATCTGGGCCAATAATGTCTTCTTGGAGATGTGTGGTCTGGAGAAAAAACTCGACCTCACCCACAAGGAGATCAAGCCGTTCCAGACTTGTGTTGTAGACGAGGATCTGCCGCTCATTCACCAGGCGCTGGAGAAGCTTACGACTAACAAGGGCAAGAAGAGCTCAACCGAGATCCGCCTGAATACTGCTTGGTCGGAGGAAGACGGTACCGGCAACACTATTGTTGCACCGCGATGCATGTTGGCAATGTTCAGGCCAGTCAAAACCACGTACGGCAGGATCGAGACCTTCACTGGTTGTTTGGTGGATATGACCCTACAACGGCACAATCTGGAAACGGAGAGGAAACGGAAGGATGAGGCCATCGAGTCAAAACGACAACAAGAAAACTTCATCGACATGACCTCGCATGAGATGAGGAACCCACTCAGCGCAATCGTGCAATGCGCTGACTCTGTGGTTGCCTCGTGCTCAAAGGTACAAGACCTCCTAAGCTCACCAGGTGATGCAGCAGAAGGGAACATATCGGATGTGCTACAACTAATGCAGAACTGCATCGATAATGCTGAGACCATTGATATCTGTGCACAGCATCAGAGGCACATCGTCGATGATATCCTTACCATGTCAAAGATGGACTCGGATCTTTTGGCTGTTAGTCCGACTACAGTCGACCCCAAGCTGGTCGCCAAGGAATCGCTCAAGATGTTCGAAGTTGAAGCGCGCCGAGTTGACATAAATCTCAGTATGACCGTGGATCCAAACTACCACAACCTGAGGACCGAGTTTCTGGACCTCGATCCGTCCCGACTGCGACAGGTCCTCATCAACTTGCTCACAAATGCATTGAAATTCACCAAGACTCAGGCAACGAGAAACGTTTCGATAACCCTGAGTGCTTCGGAGCATCGTCCAACAGATGCGACATCATCTGTGCAGTACATCCCACAGACATTGGAAGGACACGCCGCAGTAGCTGCGGTTTCCCACACTTCATCGGATGCCGAGGTTGTATACTTAATATTCGAGGTGAAGGATACCGGACAAGGCCTCACGGAGGAAGAAAAGTCATCTCTCTTTCAACGTTTTGTACAGGCATCGCCCAAGACTCATGTCAAGTATGGAGGCTCGGGACTGGGCCTTTTCATCTCCAAGCGTTTGACTGAGATGTTGGGAGGTCAGATTGGAGTTGCTTCTCGTCCCGGCCACGGCTCAACGTTCGCATTTTATGTTGCAGCCGCTGTACCTGGAGAGGAAGCTCTGCAAGAAGCTCGCGCGACAGCCAAGACGGCCGAGCCGGCCGTTTCCACGCCGACTAGCGCCTCGCTTGAGAGGCTACCCTTCGGCGAAGTGTCAAGCGCTCTGGCTGCTGCGCCTTCGGACAACCTGGTGAAAGGCGTGCTGATCGTGGAAGACAACCTGATCAACCAGCAGATCACACGGCGCGGGCTGTTGGACAAGGGTTACAAGATCGAGGTCGCCAACCACGGAGTAGAAGCCCTCGAGAAATTAAAGCAAACGAACCGCATGGATGGGGAATTTCCGCTAGGTGTGGTCATGATGGACATGGAAATGCCAACGATGGACGGTTTGACGTGCACCCGTAACATCCGCGAGATGGAGAACGATGGCCAGATCAAGGGACCCAGAATCCCCATCATTGCAGTGTCTGCGAACGCGAGAAGCGAACAGATCCAGGAAGCCAAGGCCGCAGGTTGCGACGATGTCCTGGTCAAGCCATACAAGATCCCGGAACTCATCAAGGTGATGCAGAAGGTTGCGAAACGACTAAGCGTGGAGGAGCAAACCAAGACAGAGGAGGATAAACCTGAACCGTGAAGGTAACGTTTGTGCTTTGAACCAAGGATGGCCCTTGGATGGAGTTATGCAACTCCTGACCTGCGCCATGTGAAGCGATGATGTTTGCAAGGATTACAATACTTGTATGGAATATGATACCCCCCACCGCACCTGCCAGGAACCCACGTATGGCCCAAAGGTGTGGAAACATTTCAAGGAGACTTCCTTGATAGTACGACATTGTACATAGCGCTCATGAGCTAGACGTATAGATGCTATGAAGCGCACCCCTATATAGTACGCGTCCCAGGAAGTTTCTTGGATAAAGACCATTTGGTAGTCCCGGCTCCTTGACCATCCTTGATTGATTGCCGTAATTTATCGTACATATCAAGTATGTACATAACCCAACTCCCTGGTTCGGCTGGCGATCACATTGGCAACCTGGGTACTAAGCGCGACCCAACGGCTTGGTGCCAACTCGGAAAAGTGGGACTGATTCACATCAATGACGTGACTAGCGCCTAACTGCTACTCTTCCAACCTGCAAATGGTATGTATACATGACATGACTTCAGGGCCAGTTTAACGTGGACACTCTCCATGCCTTCTCGACAGAACAGGGGTCCAAGATAAATATCTGTTCATTCTCCTAAGATGTTACTTCCAAGAAGATTTCTACCTCGTTTCACCTTCCGGTACCTCTTTTGCTGCCTTTTACTTTCCTTCGCGATGTACCGCTATTTCTCTGGCAAGCCGGTGCTGAGCGACGCACTGCCATCGTATTCGGGCGAGTATGCCGTCGGGACCGTCGACATCGAGGTGCCGGCCGAGCACCCGCGCCGATTCAGCGATGCCGTACTGAAAGAAACCGGCCGGCCGGCTTTTGAGATGGAGACGGTCATGTTCTCACTATTCTACCCGTCGGTTCGGGGCGCGAAGTCGGCCAAGCCGAAGCACATGTGGATCCCCGAGTCCAACAAGCTCTTCGGCGAGGGCTACGCGCGCTTCGCGGGCTTCAGCAACTCCTTTACGAACAAACTCTTCGAGAGCGGCCTGTGGACACTCGTAGGATCGACCACGATTCCGGCGGAGGTGGATGTTCCCCTGGAGGGAGCAACGGGTACCGGTGCCCATAGCGAGATCAAAGAGCAAGCAGTCATGGACACACATCAGGAGCATCAGTTCCCGGTGATAGTGTTCTCGCATGGCATGGCGTCAGGACGAACGAGCTACACACACTACCTTGCCGAGCTGGCTTCGCGGGGATATATTGTAGCAGCTGTGGAGCACAGAGATGGCAGTGGCCCAGGGTCGATCGTCATGAGAGCAGACGGGTCCTCGAAACAGGTCTTCCACGCACCCCGCGAGTCTCTTGAGCCGATGCTCGAGGTAGAGGAGCTGAAGACAGTTCAGCTGGCCCTGCGGCAGGCCGAGGTGGAGGAAACCGTCACCGTTCTTCGTGCACTGCAGAACGGCCGTGGACAGGGAATTTACCAAGCCAATACCCGCAAGGAGGGCATTGGACTAGGCGACTGGCACGGCCGGCTCGACATTGAGCGATTCATCATGGCAGGTCATTCCTACGGTGCCACGCTGGCGATGCAAGCATTGAAAGATGCTCCTAACGACGCCCGGCCTTTCGTCGCCGGAATTGCGCTGGATCCTGGGAAGTCGTCTGGGCGGCTGAACGATGATATAGACGTTCCTCTCCTTGTGATCCACTCGCAGTCCTGGTCGGCCAAGCACTCCATCTTCTACGATCGGACGCATTTTGACACGGTCAAGAGTGCGGTACAGGATATCATCACCAAGCGGAAGAAGGCCGCCTGGTTCATAACCGCGAAGGGCACGACACACCCAACCGTAACGGACGCGCCGCTTATCGAGCCCACACTGCTGTCCTGGACTACGGGCGCGACCGTGGGTGCCAAGGAGGGCATCATGCACTACGTCGATGCGTCAAGGGACTTCCTGTCGTACATGATGGACGGGCAGAAGAGGGGTATCCTGGAGGAGCCTGTCAGCCATCCCGAGTATAATAATCAGATCCGCCCGCTGCCGAAGGAGTTCAGCAAGATCTGGCAGGTGCATGTTTCACCAGCATCCTAAAATGCTATACCCACCCACACAAGATAGAGTTAGATATGTAACATGTAATCAGTACAAGTGCACAGACGGAGACCAAAATCTCGTGGAGTAAGAGTTCAAGCCTGATCCCTGGCACCCACACCCCCAACGGACACCCGTAAGGTGCAGCTCCCGTCACCCCCCAGTTCTCGGGTCGGGTCGCTTGCAGTAGAGCGTGTCAGGCACGAGATTGAGTAAGCTCATAGCAGTAAATCCAGGGGTAATCCATCAAGCGGACGAAGAGTAATTGGGTGGTTCATTATTGCAGTATACGCACCCGGACATGGCTGTGATTTGGCCTGGCCACCTGTGTGTAGCGGGCACAAGGGGCTATCTACCTGTAGGAGAGACACTGGGCGGCTGTTGCTGGGTGGGGACTCCGCTAGCTCCTCCGGGTGTACCCGCGCTGCCTATCACCATAACTTAGGTATAAGTAGAGTCGATTCTCCTACTTGTGGTCATAGAGGCGCTTTGCAACGTGTGAGAAGACGAAACGGTTTCTGAACTCAACGCCGACATTCGCCGCTGGCCAAAACCAAGGCGTCACAAGTAGCACTCAGCCGAACCGACCAGACCCTTGCTGGCACCATGGCTGGCCGTATCCATCGCGTTACCATGTTCAAACTGCCGGACGCCGCAGACCAGCAGAAGCTGATTGAGTTGTACAAGACGCTCGCGAAGAATCAAACGAAGGTGTGCCTGTCTGTCTCATTGTCTTCACGTATCCAGATTATTGCCTGATACAGGACCAATAGCCCCGCATTACCCCGCTACGCCGACTACATACCTGCTCATGACAATCGGCGGCGTTTGCTAACTTGCTCGTCCAACACCTGAAGGACGGTAAACCGTACATTCTATCTCTGAACGCTGGGGTTGCCAAAGACGACCCTCGCTCAAAGGGCTTCACGGTGGTCTGTAAGACTGATTTCGCCAGCCTGGATGACATGAAGTACTACGATGACAAGTGCGAGGCTCATGCTGCACTGAAGGCCTCCGCAAGGAGCCTGGGCATCCAGGGAGGCCCGGAGGGTATTATGACAGTTTATTTCGAGGCTGGTGTCTCTGCTTGATGAGTCAGGAGCACGTGTTTCCTTTCATGATAGACGTATCTTGCAAACCCGCATTTGACCCTCTGTGTCAAAGTTGGATGCCTGGTGACTAATTGCTTCAATGCGCTGTCCATGAAGTGACATCCTGTCTGACCAACTGGCCCGTCGTAGCGATTTGGGACTGATCTGAAAACCGCCTCGTCACACGTGGAGGTGCTTAAAGGCGATTGTGAGCAGGCCAGCCCCCAAAACACCGTAAGCTTCTATTGTCCACGACTTCGACGTCATCGCCGCCCGATTGTGAAGTCCTCAGAGCCGCTCAGCTCACAGTTGGTCGGCTACTGCATGTTCACTGTCGACAGCAGGTGGCGTGCCGCGACTGTGTTTCTTTCCCGTCTGTACTGAGCTGCAGCAGTCATACTTCGTCGGCGTGCGACCTCCAGTAATTCCATTGGTTAGTCGGCTGGCTCAGCCTTACTTACTGCCGGTTGCTGCCTTGACGCCTCTACGCCGCCTCGGCAGCCTTTTCACCTGGTTATATCGGTTTGAACAGCTCTCCCGGTCGGCTCTCGTCCTCTTTCACTTGACAAAGCGCACGGCGGCCGACGCGCGCGAGGGAGAGAAAGAGAGACGTATTTATTCCCGTTTGTAGGTCACTGTCCTTCACAAGCTCACCTCACCTCACCTCACCACCACATTCACTTCCTCGACCAGCGCGCCGGCGCAAATCCCCAGTCATGGCTCCGAATATGGAGATCGTACAGCAGTTCTGCGAGGACAAAGCCCTCAGCGAACTCCAGTTCTCGCATATATTCTTCCGCGAGGGCGACACACTTGTTATAATCGACTTCCCAGCCGTTACTAGTTTCCGCAACCCTGTCTCGTGCTGCGCAGCTCGATGGGGCAAGATGGACTTCAGAATTGATTCGAAGAAATTGATCCGTAGTGGATCAAGCGTTCTGGCCAATCTGCTGTCTGATTCCATGCAGCGCCGCTTTCTTCGTCGACACGGCCTCACGCGGGAAACCCTTCCAGAGAACGTTCGGTATGTCGTCGATCTAACGCCGCCTTCGGAGGGTGAAGAATCCGCTTTTCTGGTGGCAGACCTTTACTTGCCCTCTGCCGTTGTTGACTGGTGGATGGCCAAGGATAGACTTGGAGTTTCCTGGTACCTGGTCTGCGGCCACGACGACAAGTGCAACGACCATGGTAAGGTTGTCAATGACTGTGCCAAAGTCGCCGGTTGGGTCTCTGCTGCTCGCCCTGAAGCGGAAGACACCGAATCGGGAGATCCCAATATCTATCGCATTCCTCTGGAGCTTCCGGAAATTGAGCCCTCGCCCACCCGCCAGATCGAGCATTACTGCCCTATCCGACACCGAGTTGCGATTATCCGCCTACTGCTGCACGTGAAGGGTGAACACCTTGTTCTGAACTCTGCGCCACGGGTATATACTGCCGTCGGGGTTGCCAAAGCATTGGACCTGACTAGGACTATAGTGAGTTGATCTTGTTGCTCCATCATGATACAGCACAGACGGGCTAACGTTGCGACCGCAGAGTTCCTCGGTTCGTGCCTGGCTAGAAGATGGACGCAACAGCAGTTTCGTCGACATCAACCCTGAGATTGCAATGAAGATGGCTTGGGATCTACAGCTCTCAGACGTGGTCCGAACTGCAATGCGAATTATTGTGGTCGAGAGAGCCTTGGAAGGTGGCACAAAGGTCGGACGAACTACCCTCTTTGGTCGTCCTCGCGGTGACCTTCCGGATGACATAAACAATGTCATCGAGCACGCAACTGATAACCTCCGAACTCGTGTCAAGGAAGCTGCTAACGCGCTATGTCACACTGGAGCTTGTAAGTCCTCTATCCCTTCCCGAGCACTGGATTGCGTGACTGTTGTTGAACTTATAATATGGCACGCATTGGTCCACTTCCAGTTTTGAACTAGCCATAAATGCGTTTCATCGTGTTTTGTGACTAGCTTCTACTATGATATAAAAACTAATGCACGTTGTTAATTAGACGACTGGCTTAAAGTGCCCGCCTGGCAGATCCTCAAGCAGATCGGCGACTCCCTGCCTACGATTTTTTCCTTTCCAGCGCTGCAGCAGACGGCGTACCAACTACAGAGCCTTCGCCGACATTATAAGAAGATTGTGGCGTGTTTGTTGGAGTACATCAACAAAGCTGTCCTGGGGTCACTCAAAGCCGTGCCCCATCCTGAGAGGGTGAAAATCATCGACAACAATAGACTTGCGTTCCTGCAGCGGGGCTACGCTTCACTGGCTGGTGCAACGATTACCGACATTATTGGCTCAATGTCCAATGAGCAACGCCTCTTGACCCGCGCTTTCTGGGCGAGGTTGAAAGAGGAGACGGGAGACTTCAAATCTTTTCGCAACTATTGTACCGAGCCATACTTTTCTTTACGTCAGGATGGCGCTGATTTGGACCAATTCATTGATGAGGTTAACAGCGCCCTGGCCAACGGACTCCTTCCTCACCTGAATGCCCAATTCCCGACAGGCATCTCCATCAATGCTGCAAAGTTCCATAACCAACTCGCCAAGTCTGTTCAGAAGTCATTCGATGCTTGGGCACCCTGGGACAACCAGCTAGAGTTCCGCATCATGCGGACGGAACACCTTGCTCTCGGTTTAAGCGAGGACGAGATGAAGTTCCTACCGCTTTGGGCCGGTGGTCTAGACGACGGCTCTGGTGGCGTATTTGATGAAACCACCATTCCTGACACAGATATGGGGGCTATAGGACCGGGCCCCTCATATGTTACCGGTAAAACCGTCGCTCCTTCGACCACCGCCGCTTCCGCCATGACTATAGTTGGAGGTGCTTCACTTCAAGCTGTGCAGTCAGGGACTTCGATGAGCAATACCGAGAGCTATGTTCAGGTCTCCAAGGCGAGCAGCGCTGGCTGGTACAAGAGCAGCGACTTCAGCTTGAGGAACAAGATTGATGCTTGGACATTGGCCGAAGAAGATAGTCTCGACAACAGTGACGGCAACAATACTCCTACCGAAGGAGCGAGCGACTATGAAATGGAGGCCACTACCAACGATCCTGTGGGAAGCTTTTCCGACCAAGAGTTGAATCTTCAAGACGACTCTGATACTATGGATGGCCTTGACATCGAGGAAAATGGCAGCAGCGATAACGCTACTTCCAACCGTACTTCCCCCGATGCCGAGTCGGAGTTTGATGATTGGGAGGACATATACAACTGAACGAAGCTCAGACAGGTCTCTGTAATATGTATACACATAAGGAAGTACAGGGCCATAAGTACGTGGAAAGAGAGTGGAAAGTCGAGTGTAACATAGCCCTTGCTTGACGGCAGTGAGCCGTCCGATATACCCCCAGGATCACAAAACCATGTCCTAATATCGTTGCCCACAGACCTATGATCGGAACTTCTTGCTTGCTTCAGTGAAACCCATGCCCTTCTTGATCTCCGCTGCCATCTTCTCGTCCGCTGCTACCTGCTTCTGCATTAGGGGTATCGCCTGCTCTGCCAACTCCTTGGGCAATACCACAACTCCGTTCAGATCCCCTATAATGTAATCACCGGGTCTGATCTCCATGTCCTGCTCATCAGTCTGCAGCTTCACGGGGACGTCGACCGCGACGACCTTGAGCAATTCGGCGGGGGGCGCAGTGCCTGTGTCCCGGGCAAAGACGGGATAGCCCAGCTCGCGCTGCTCTTGCACGTCCCGGAAACGCCCGTCAATCACAGACCCGACAGCACCCAGATACTGCGCTCTCGCCGACATGAGGCCGCCGTAGACGGCGTTGGGCGTCTTTGGAGGGCAGGAGACGAATACCACAGCACCGGGTGGCACCGAGTCGATCTATGTGAAGGGGTCACAAGACGATAATCTTGTATGAAAGCAGTTTAACTCACGTAATGGGTAGCTAACTTCGGCGCCGGATCGGACAGAGCCACGTATTTGACTGTGTAAGCCGGGCCCACGATTTTTGTCTCGCCATCCTGCCGCTGTGGTGACCACATAGTCAGGCCGGAGAGGAAGCCGCCGTTGCGGTATTTGAGCTTGATCAGAGCATCTGAGACGTCACATCTGTGGCAGACCGTTAAATTGACTGTGATAGTGCTAAGTGGATTGTTAGTTGAGGAACGCACGTCGTGTAATCTTGTAGCGCCTGAACTATGGGATCTTGGGCTGTCGTGGACATGTTTGCTGAGCCGCGGGGCTATTGGGGAAAGAAGCGGCAACTGAAGGTTCTACGTGTACCGCGTGACTTGACGGTATGGGATTGATAGGTCTCCAAGCTCTTTGCGAGGATCGGAAATCTGGTCAGTATGGGAAGAAACAAAAACGAGACACAGGCACATGATCGGGTTGAGCCGGCTGAGCTCACATGCCTCGGCCTTGGGCCGCCATCCGGCCCCGCAGTGATCGACGTTCCTTAGCTCCGGGAATGCCGGCGCACCGGAGCCTCGCCGAAGCTCATCGCTCCGAGGACTACATGTACCACAGACCAGTTATTGTAGCGACAATGTCAGGCCGTGTCTCACGAACAAGCAGTAATAGTAGCAGGATAGCATAACCATACACTATGACGATAGAATATTTGGTTAAGAACTTAGGTATGGCGCCCCAGTCTTCTCAGACGTTAATTTCAAGGAAATTGGTCCACCGACTTATCCATATCTTCGGAGGTTGACAATCTATCATCACAGTGCGATATTAGTGACCTACACCCTGCGCGGCGAATCTTGGCTTTAGTAGGACCTTAATCAGAGAAAGTTTCCAATATTTTCGACAGCTCCTAGGCGGAGCTTATTGACTGTTTGGGCTTGCACAATGAAGAAGCAAGTGAGATCCCTGATGGATGATAAGCAACAACGGCGAAAATCTACCACCAATATGTCGTTGCTATTAATGACGCCAGATCTGCCTTGTCGGTTCAGCTATGATATCATATCTATTACCCAGAGGGCTCGTACTCAAGATGGCATATACCAATCGCCAGTGGAACTTGCCATGTGTTGCTCTGGGAAACAGTCTAACATCGACGGGCCGTTAATATCCACACCATCGACTGTGGCACTAGGATTGATGTTCATGTGAGTATCCCGGTATGGAAAAGCAGGCAGATAGTGCCTGTTCAAGAGATTCTCCGTCGCCGGATGTGGTTTCGCTGGAGTGATACTTGGAGTTTCCGCGTTGAGGCTGTCCATTATGATGTCCAGACTGCGCTGGATCAGTTGACAAGTTTTCGCCGCCGTGTTCAAAGCTCGTAGGAAGGTGTCCTTTTTCCGACTTGCGAGAGAATCCCCAGCCTTTGCATCTTGCACCATGACTGAAGCTGAAGTATATATACAGTACGCCATGAGGTAGGATACTTTGGAAAAGCCATAAGCCTGCTCCAGAGAGAGCAATATCTTCTCCGCACTATCTGACGCCTGTCTGCAGACAGCACGGTGAGCAGGAGCTGAGCTGAATGGACGATGCAGGAGGATGATGGTGGTGAAAAACAAAAGGCTTCACCCGTCAGCCCTTGCTCGATAAACATGTATACAGAACTTACTTTTGACTAATAATATGAGGCGGCGGGCAGATGTTGGGAAAGTTATCTGGCTGTAATTTGAGATGATCTGGCGAAAGTGCTCTCCATTCGTCTAATCGATCTCTTATTCCTCTGAGGGTGCTGTCTGCATCGTCGCCAGGGGTTCTTGAATAGAGAAGTACGATAATGTCGCTGATTATTACAGCTAGTTTGCACGAATTCACAAAGCAAGAAATGGTGTAGGCTTTCAGCGGGTGATAGGACGCGCTTGGAGCTTCTTCTGCATTCGGGCCAGGGTCCTCTGGCGACCATAGGGCATATTCGGCGTAGTCGTCCAAGAGTTCAGGGGCATGTACTGATGGAAGCTCGATGAGAGCTGGGGTCCTGCCCAAGTATAGACTCATCGCTCTGATGATCGCAATTAGTTAGAGAATTCGCATGGAAAACCGCTGACGCACTTGTCCCAAAAGTAGGAGCTCCAGAAAAGTCTCCGCCGGATTTCAAGGTCTTCCGCATTGAGATGACCCAGACTCAGGATGGAGCCACTGCTGTGACGTAGGCCAAGGTCACTGACCATTCTGAAAGCCATGCCAGAATACGTCCATGCTTGGGACACATGGCCGTAAGCAAGGTCTCGAGCACTCAGCTGTAGTAGTGCTTGTACGGTAGTTATTGAGCTTGGGCGGTGTATTTCGGTCCCCAATAGGAGCCGTGCTCGGGCAATCAGCATTTCCCCCAATTTGCCCTCATGAAAACGGGCAGCGTGTCCACACATCACCGTCAAGAGCAACGGAGAATAATATTGGCCACCGGTCATCATGTCTCCTAGATATGAAGTCAGAAAAGGATTGCCACCTATCAGGTTTATCCAAACTCACGCACGAACGCTGGCCGATACACCCACATGAACATGGGGGCGATCCAGACCCAATGAATTTTCAGGAGCCTAGACATGACTTCTCGAGGAATGTCATTCTGTGAGTATTGATTTAGTTGGACTGTTCTGGTCACCCAACCAGGACTCAATGACTTCCATCATCACTTCGGCTTGCAGCATTGTGTCTGTAGACTGGGCATCAATACTCACCTGCACCGCGGCATTCCCTATAGCAAAATGTTCCCAACTTAGAGACTCAATAGCAATTGACGTCAAAAGAGTACGGACATCAACCCTGGAGTCCTGATCATCAAGGCTTTGGAAATTTGGGGAACGGCCGCGCTGACCGCTTGGATCATAGACCGCTGATGTAGGGCCATAGTAAGAAATCTACCAAGATCAATAAGTTTCACGTGAGGATCAGCAACTCGAGGGGGTCAGAACCTTTCCGCTGTCGTCAAGGGTCAAGTCAGAGAGCTCTGAGGTTGACTCTTTTAATAGATTACGGCCTAAAATAGGCGACGAATATGATGCCCTCTGCAGTGCATCATGCTGGGCCGGCGCAACGTGGGGTGGTACGATAGGCGCTTGTTTTATAGAATTCGAGGTTACGGGCTTTTTCTGAACCGAACTATTCTTCTCTTCTAGTTCCTTTCTGAGCTCGGCTATTGTTGCTTCTGCCTCTTGAAGCCTCTTCGCCATCCCAATAATCTGGGACATGGGTGGAGGTTTCTCATAACGGCATTCATCTTGGTATACTTCACAGGTCTTACAGCAAGGCTGTGTACCGTCACATCGAGTCTTTCTCACACCTACATCGACAACGGTCAGCGTCTTTGGTTGATGCGGAGCCTCGCGTCAGAAAGAGTGAGTTGAGTTTCCTCTCATTGTCCCTTTCATTGGACAACTCACTCTCAAGCGAAGCCCAATGTGACATAGATAGGCCAGGGATTAGGATAACGCTTTCGCTTTACATACGACAATTCTGACAAGTTAGACCTCTATGCGTCCGAGTTCCCGTCCTAGCCCTCGGACCAGACCCAGCGGGTGTGCTCGGCTTCTCCCAGGCCCTAGAAGGCGGTTGGGACATTCTGCCTGGCGAATCTGCAGCTTCCTAGGGCTGTTGTGAATTCAGGGACTGCGGCAAAGGTAAGGCCACTCATGTCAATCCGGGGTCTTCGAAGCTGAACAACGTAAGATCATGATGGCAGCACCCTAATCCCATATCAAGTTGAATTCAAGAGAAAGATAAAATGCAGGACCTCGACGCTATGTAAACGTTATTTAGAGCCCCACAGCTGCTACTAGCGGGAGACACCGCCAAAGTCTCGCCGGCAGCAGGCATCTCATGGTAAGTGGGGGGAGAACCGGGGGCCGCCCGTAGCCTGCCCAGGTCTCATGCCGAAATCGTCAGGTGCACGCGTTGAATCCCTGTTTGAGACCTTAGGACTCGTCATTGCAAGATATCGGCATGCTCGATCGGCCGGGATGGCAAGTATGTTCGCGTCTACGGAGTACTCGTGCGAGAAAGCCGTTGAGTACGGAACCGTGCGGGTTGGTAGCTCATCAGTATACTTGCATCATTTGCCTGATAGCTAGCTGAGCTTATAGTTACAAAACTCCATAGCAATGTTCGACGAACCACAGCCATTCACTTGGCTACAGCTTTGTTGCGCTTTGTGTCCTGGCTTCAGCTTCCGCCTTCAATCCATCTTTCCACAAAGTAAGACCTCCTTGCAGCTGCTTGCCGACGAGTAACTTCACCAACCAGGTCACCGGCCCAAAGAAGGTCTCGTAGCTAGTATATTCGCAACCTCCGTCAGCGCTTTCGAGGAATTCTTGGACCCGCTCAGCTCGTAGATACCACGGACTGCCTGGCGTCTTCCACACGACCCGCAGACCCTTCCGTCCGTCACGGTCGAACTGCTCCAGAACGGTCACCTCGAGCTCAGTCTTGTTGAAGGAAGCACTCTCTGGACTCATATGAACCCCAAAATGAAACCTGGTGCCGGGAAGGAGCTGATCCTGCTTCGCTGCGATGTGCGAGAGCGGTGGGGGCAGCACGCCGGAGACCGGAGTTGAAGCCGCACGGTCGATCGTAACGCGCGGGACCCATTTATTCCACACCGGGTATGTCGTCGGGTCTAGCATGATCTCCAAGCATGCCACGGGCGATGCAGCGATTGTAGTTGAGAAGACGATGCTCGCCCAACCACCATCCCCGTACGCAGGTGTCGAAATGGGCGCTACAAAGCTGGGAGGCTGATTTGGTTGGACGTGGGCTGCCATGTTGAGAGCAGTACGCGCTCAGGTCTGGCTTTAGAGAGGTGAGGTAAAGGTGGTGGTCGTAGCACATGGGTGGTGGACAGTGAGCTATGGGCGGCACGGGATGGCCCCACTTTACATACATCTGTATCTAGGTAGGCCCCGTGTACAGGAAAGGAAGCATTCCGCCTCGGCCGTGTACCAAATTCAGGAGTGTATGGACAAATTCCATGATGTGCTCTGTGCCACCCAGAGCGTCCCAACGAAGGGACATCACCTATGCTCAGTATTTGGAGATAAATTGCTCCACAGCTCGCGCAAAGCCCGCCGGGTTCTCCTCAGCTAGATAGTGACTGGCACTGTCCACAACGCCGATCTGGGCAGCCTCCCTTGTGACTTCGAGAGCCATATGCTTGGCTTCTTCCCGATGGCGGCTGTACTGACCACTCAGAATCATGGTTGGCACCGGGCATTTGCCATGTGTTGCAATCCAAGATTCATTCTCTGCCTCATCTTCTTCGAAGGCACGGTAGGCAGCAAATGCGGCTGATAGTGCCCCAGGCTGGCTGTAAGCCGAAACATACTCCCCAACAGCTGCCGATGGGAACGCGGCCAAGTTATGAGTGAGCTTCGCGAAGAAGTGAGAAATGTATAACCTCTCTTTTCCTGCAACGAGGGCTTCTGCCAAGCCGTCAGGCGCGCAGTGAAAGATGAAATGAAATTGCTGCTTGGCCCTGCCAGGCTCTGACATGTCATCTCTGTATGCCTTGGTGCCTGGCAGGGGGCATTCACCCCAACAGACGCTCCGTACTCGCTCCGGCCAACGTGATGCCAGCGCGAATGCGACCATCCCGCCGATGTCGTGGCCGACTACGTGTACAGGTTCTGTGATTCCAATGGCGTCGAGCAGGGTAATCATATCTGCAGCCATGGTAGACTTGCGAAAATCACCCGATGATGCCCCAAAACCGGGCTTCGAAGAACCTCCCGCGCCCCGGTAATCCGGAGCAATGCATCGATAGCCATGATTGGCGACAAGCGGTAATACATACCGAAACTGGAACGAAGTCTGGGGGAAACCATGTAAGAAGAGTATGACCCCCTTCGTTTCATCATCCCTGGGAGCTGTATGGTCGTAATAAGCAATTCTTAGTCTAGTGGCATCCCGCAGAGTTATATTGGCAGATAAATGCTGCAATGACATGGCGTCTGTAGTTATGACTGGGTTTGGGGATTTGCCAACCATAGTGAAGACTGTGACAAAAGGGTCACTTCTTATGAAGATCTATATATGCAGCTCATTCCCCTCAATCTTAGCGTTTTTATTGATGGCAACAGGATTCAGCGTCATACGCAGCAGAATGACGCTGCATCCGTATGAAAAAGCTATATCGAGTTACATATGCTTGGTAATCCTCAGCGTCATATTATGCTTTGTGACGCTGGAGCGGGGATGGTTCGCACTAACAAAAGGGTGAACTCCACATACGCCCGATCTGCAACTTTATGGGAAGCTATACTCCTTATCATGCTCTTACAGTCGTGACTAGCGAGATTGGTCTTTAGCGGGAGCCTCGGTTGCTGCGCACAAGTTGAAGACATCGCGCGTGTTCTTGTGCCAATGGAGGCGTCTACTGAACTGTACTTGTGTGCTGGCTAACCTTAACGACATTGACATTATCTGGGCATATCAAAACCAGTGCCTATCCCAACGAAGGAGCTATTTACAATTCCCGTTTCATAGTGGCTTCCGTCGGTATAGCGCGGAGCCTCAGCATCGCGACGCCATGTCTGTCCACGTCTGCAGTGACGGTGCCAGATGGCTGGACTGTCGTGGTGGCATTGCCCAGAAGCAGGGGGTCAGCGTCAGCTAAACCTTGGGCGTAAGACTTTGCGGTCGCATTATATCGACCCTCGCCCACTGTGGTTGCATTGTATCCGCTCGTCAAATTGCCAGTGGCCGAGGATGCGTCGATGATGGCCTGCGCTTCTTCATTGGACATCCGGCTGCCCCATAAGTCTCTAACCTCCCACGAGATTGCCGCGTAAGCTGCTAAACGGGCAGTCCCCAGATCAGTGAATATGTCCACCAAAGTAGCGTTCATCGTTGTTGGTGAGTTGTTCCCGTTGAGAAACACTACGAGTATATCGTTGTAGTCCCCACCCGTTGTAGAGTATAAGGACCCTGACCATAACTGAATGCTTCCTTTGCCATACTCGTCAATGTCCTCAGTCTCGTAATGCCACCTTCTAGAAGCCGAGCTACCAAGAGGATCTTGGTTTACTGCGATGACTGCCTGATTCGAGATAATGGCAAGATCCTGTGCCTTGACAATTCGCAGGTCATTGCCTAGGATTAGCGGACTATGGAAAGGGGGTTAACCGATTGTTTCGCAAGTGGCTCTCGATGTGACTTGCCTCTTTACTGCGGACCAAAGGGAAAATTGAGTAAGGTACTCAGTATCTGACATGCCCCCGTTACCAACCTCCAGCATGTCAAGGTCATTCCAGGCTCCGGGTACGCCTTTGGATGTTATAAACGACGCCTGGCGGCATTAGCTTTTCCTGAGCGGCGTAGATTATGTATGTCTTACTTTGTTGATAATATTCAGTAAGGAGCAGTGCCAGCCAGGAAGTCCACAGTCCCATGCATCCGGTCCATCGCTTGATACGTTAGCTGAAAGCAAACACCATCTCTATGTAGACCTACCATGGGCAACGATCATCTGGCCTATCATAGAAGTCTGTAACATCGCCAGATATTCTCCAAGAGTTGGCAATTGTAGATCCCCAATTCCACGGATAGTCCTCACCCCAGTTGCAGAGCGAGTATAGTATGGGCCTCCCTGTGGCATTCAAAGCTTTGGCCATGACATTATAGCGGTCGTGGGAGATCAACTGAGTTCCAGCCTGACCCGAGTTGTAGCAGTTGTCATCTAGTGTGGTTAGCTTCACTTTGAAGGCTTTAAGTGGCCAGCTCTCACATTTGAGATAGTCAACCCCCCAGTCTGCCCAGTTTTGTGCATCGATCTCCTCGTACCCTAAGCTTCCAGCGTATCCTCCGCAGGTGTATACACCAGCGCTCGAGTAGATTCCAAACTTCAGTCCGAGGCTATGCATATCTTCGGCCACAGCAGCCATTCCGTTGGGGAACTTCTTGCTGTTTGGAACCAGGGAGCCGTTGCCATCTCTACCGTTTGACCAGCAGTCATCAAGGATCACATATTGGTATTCAAGATCTTTCAATCCGTAATCAACAATCAGGCGCGCGGTGCCTTGGAGAAGTTCCTCTGAAACATCGCAGCCGAAAGAGTTCCAGTTATCTGCTCTGTGTTAGTTACGTTCTTCTTCGTAGTGTAACTTAAGCCCCAGAACTTACCCCACCCCATCTGAGGAGTTCTAGCGAGCCCATTGTTAACAGCAACGCTAAGCTGCGCAAGCAATGCCAGAGTCGTGAGATATGACGGCAACATTATACTCGAGGAAGGATGGTCCGCAATAAATCGACCAACAGTGGCTCTGATTCAGGCTTGTCGTTCTCAGTGGGATATGACATCTTTAAGTATCTGCCTCGTTCATTCCTCCATAGCGTACCGCCGCCGACGAACACCAGTTGGTGATGCTGGTGAAGTAATGCTTTCGGGGATGGTACCCCGAAACAGTATGCAGAGCAGCATCACAGTGAACTAGTGTCGGCAGGACGGATTCATTGGCCAATGACTGCACCAATCCTAACAGAATCGAGGTGCTCTGCAAACCGGTTACATTGCCATGTCCAGTGCAGGGATACAGCTGCAGTTCATTTCATATTTCTAGTCATCTGACCTCCTCATAACCTCAATCGAGCCTTTGGGAGCGATAGAAATGAACGCAGAGCACAACACACCCCTGAGCCCGACACAGACTGCTGATGACTCTTCCCCAATCCCCGCACTTACATGGGGAATTGGTGTCCAATGTTACACCTGCAACTCTGCGGGGTCAAGGGATATCTACACCGAGAACAATCAGTGTTTAACTTGTTTCCCTCCATCAGGACGGCTTGGACAGCAAAGAACTATGCGATGCCCTATGGAGATGATTTATGTCATAGCAAAGTACGGTGGTTATTGGCAAACCAAGGGCTTTAGAACTATATGTGACAAACTTAATATATGAAGATGACCTACACCCTAAATCATTATAAGCCTCAGTAGACAGCAAGGTTACTATGTAAATCCAGTCCTTCGAAGTGAATTGAAACGGCATACGCTTGATCTAGTGATGTAAAGGGTATCACAGAGCACGTATTCCACCTTTAGAGCACTTCCTAATGTGTCCTAAGCACGAGGACGTAATCGTTCAAGGAAGCTGGTGGGAGAGGAATTCAGGTCCCTTTTCGAGAAAGAAAGAAGGTATCATTCGAATACGCTACAGTCGAGATTTAGCAGCTACTTATCACTGCTACGCCTATGGGAGGTCAGTTCCTTTAAATCAAAGGGGCGGAACTTCCCATGACTCTCATTTGAGGGCTCCTATACATGAGCAGTGGCCCTTTTGATTATCTAGTAAGGTATCGCAATAAAAAAATTAGTCTCGATGACCAGAGGCGCTCAGTTATAATATTGAAACTACACAGAAGATGTACCTTATCGGGATTCAGCAGATTTCTCGACTTGTCAATCTGGGAATGCGCCTTTCCGGAAGCGGGGGAAACAAATTCAAAAGGGTTGAAGAGATCCGAAGAGTAAGGAAGCGTGCTCTCATTATGTCACGTCATTTCCGCGATCATTTTCTGTGTGATGCGAGAGCATCTATTCGACTGCAAGAACACTAGTATGAACCTCTGAACGGCTTATCAGTATTCGACGGGTAGACATGAAAGAGAGTCTAGCTGTACGTGAGGTGCTCCAGTAGACCGTTGATATGTGTCCGACGAAACGACCAGCCAATCACCTATCTCCTTAAAGTGACCCTCGCGCACTTGGGACACGACGATGAGGGGGCCTGGATGTTGGCACCGGTTTTTGGAGCTTCTGTTCTGCCCTGGTGGGTATCCTTTACAGGGGTACGAAGCTATGGTCGATAGTTTGCACTACTATGGTAGGGTTGGAAATGGATGGTAACTAATCCCCACGTGGTGGAAGAAAACTGCACCATTCCGAAACCCGCAGCCCTGGTACTGGGCCCAAGTTTTCTGTACCCGATTTGCAACCCTGAACCGATCTCTGATCTTGAGTCAGCTTACGTGCACTAGCGAAGCGCCTGACCAGTTGATTGACCATCCACACACGGTAGGAGCTCGTGTTGTACAGCGTCAGCCATCATCATCCTTCAGTCGCAGACAGGGTCTGAATCCTTCGTTAGCGCGCTCTCTGACCTGAATAGCACGCCAGGTTTTGTAGCATGGTTCCAGGGCCCCTGGCCGGCATCCGAACATACATTCAGCCAGCAGCCCAACAGGCACGACCATTCTGTCTCATGAGCCCAATCATTGTGGTCACAGCTAGACGCAAGCCGCAGCCTGGAGGATGGTAGGTGCAACTGTAGGCGTGGTAGAGTATGATCCCGCTCATAGGAGGATGCGCTTGGCATGAAGAAGTTCAGCTCCAGTTCGTCAACGCGGCCCATTACACCTTCCCCGGCGTTAGGGGACTACGTAGCGAGCGTATGAGTAGCGTCTCAATCTTTTATTCTTCTACACATCCTCTATGGCCGCTGAAACCCCAAAGATTTGAATTCTAGTGATCATGATTTTCCGCTGTTACTCTGACTTGATTATCTATGATTCGTAATCATGTCGCAACAGCCGACCGACGAGCCTACGAACCAACGGGATATCTTAGCGTCCGACTCTAGATTGTTTGCGTCGGCTTCACCCGGAATTCCGGCTGAGGTCGTGGAAGGAGTGTTACTCGAAGATGTGAGCCTATCACGTAATCTGGCAGATTGGGTCAGTAGAACTAAAACTGCTCCAGAGAAGTGATGATGCTTCTATGCACGATGGCGACTCGGCAATCGAAATTGAAAGCTATAGGTATTAATATACCTCATCGCAGTGCTCGCCATGTAGGGCTGATTCCATATCAGGAGTTCCACATTTTCGGTAACTTCTAGTGTTGCCGAACGTCTCGAGGAGAATGGGCGAACATACCACTCCTTTAAAGGGGGGAAATATATGCTCCCCAACGATGATACTGAACTGAACAGATTAGGTCTGTCCGTGGTGTCGTATCTTATAGAGGCTGTATGTCTGACAGAACCGTAGACCTCCAGCATCGCATGTGGGAGATCACACTGGACGACGAGCTTCATTTGGCCCCGATTGGCCCGTCTCCGCACAGAGTCCTTGACATCGCGACAGGGAGCGGTAAGCTAGAATATGGCCAAAATCAGGAATGTACTAACAAGGATAAATTGCCAGGCATATGGGCTATAGACTTTGGTGATAAGCCCGACCTGGTGATATACACGTTGGGCATCTGCACTAACAGGCCCAGCAAACCGGTATCCGTCTGCTATTGTTACAGGCACTGACCTCTCTGCTGTCCAGCCCGAATAGTAAGCTTATTTTGCTCTCCCATCACATGCACATGTTCTGATAGCAAGAAGCATTCCGCAGAACTGCGAATTTCAGATAGATGATGCCGAGGATGAATGGCTGTTTACCCAAGCCTTCGACTATATACATGGCCGTGCTTGTGCAACCTGTTTCAAGGAGCCCAAAGAGATTTTTCGTAAGGCGTTCGAAAACCTGACGCCCGGCGGATACCTCGAGATGCAGGATCTAGACCTTCAGACATCTGAAGATGGAAGTATAGAAGGTACTACGCTTACAGTGATCCAAGAGAATGTTCACAATGCTCTGGCATCGGTAGGCATGAGATGGGACAACGCTCGTCAATATAAAAGATGGATGGAAGAGGTTGGATTCGAGGAAGTCCGTGAGGTTACTTTCAGATGGCCATCGAACCCCTACTGGCCATCTGATCCCAAGGAGAAGACTGTGGGGGCCTGGTTCCTAGCTCAGATCTCGTGTGGCTTGCTCGAGAGCGTCTGCACGCGGATTTTCATGACAAAGTTGGGTTGGTCAAGACAACGACTGGATGAATTTCTTGCGAAAGCCGAAAATGACTTGAGGAACAGGAGGATTAAGGCCTATTCGCCTGTGTGAGCACTGTTATTCCTTGATCTAGCTACTGGTGCCCACCTGCTGATATCCCTGTTTAGGTACATTGTTTACGGCCGCAAGCCTTTCAAGCAGAGCTTTTCTGGGTGAAGATATATCAATGATTTAAACCCGGCTGTGCCTGAGACCTAGATCGTGTACACATGACCGCAAGCTGGTTGGCTCGTGCGGACACTCATGCAATAATTTCTGCAAATAATGAAATGGATTTTGTATAAATATTTCACTGTTTTGAGATTGTTGCGCCTGCTCTTCATGTGATTGGCTATCTTTCATTTCTGTGGTTCCGCGGGCTCTCCGATACTACAATATGTCTAGAAAGCGACTGAAGCAAAGGCGATTACAAACTCCACTTAGGGCCAGCCAAGGTACGATAGCAAAGAAGTTGACGAAATATAGTCTTTCCTTTTAACATAAGTCAAGAGCAAGACCGCTCACACTAAAGGTAACAAGCCTGCACATCTTCGGTCGTACCATGTTCTGCTAAACCAAACAACAGTGATGTGAAACAATGCCACGGTTGGACATAGCTATGCTCCAGAGATATCCTTGATCAGAAAGTGATTGATTTCCACTTCACACTGGTAACACCGGCACACCGGCAATGTTCATCAATGACCATTGTCGTAAGTCGTCCGTCCCGTATTCCCGGTAGATACTTTCAATCGATGGGTGCTAGCTATCTCATCGAGTTCGGTTTCGCTCTGTTCGAACCCAGGCCCTAGCACTAGTAGTTCCTTCGATTCCCCACCAGAGCGCATTGGGGGCGGATGGAGTTCAAATGCAAATAGGCTGGCAACCAGTCCGAGTGACGATGCACCGATGAGAAGTCTAACATCACTCGTGAAGGCTCTTGCGTAGGTTTCACGAATGAGTAATTGAGTGTCCACTGGAAAGTATGTTGATACCACCGGGTTGTGGCGGAGAGCACTTAGATCTTCTGGACCCAATCTCGCGCCAAGATCGTTCTGAACTTGGTTGTTGAATATAATCACTGCTCAACCGTGTCAGACGTTGTATCTTCATATCAACCAAAGATCGCAGATGATACGCACTGCAAATTGCGATCCCGACCGCGCCGCCGAATATTCGAGATTGAGCAACAGCACCCTGTGCCACGGCAAGATCTTCAGCTTCCGAACGCACTGAAGTAAGAATTGTTGTAGCAGCAAACGACAACCCAACTCCAAGCCCGATTATCGCCTGATATCCATACTGGGCGTCTATGGCGGTGAAGGCATCAGATAACGTAGATAGAAGACCGATCCCTAGCAACTGAAGGCAAGACGCGGTAATAAGTGTCAAGGAGGTGTTATTTCGTTTTGATGAAAGCGCTCCAGCAAGGAACGATCCAAACGCACATGCGCCTAGCATTGGCAGTAGATGCAACCCACCCATCAATGAATTGTTGCCATTGACAATTTGAAACCGCTCGGGAAGAATAATGATGATCGACAGATAGGTGAAACCGGCGAAGAAAGTGCATCTATTTGAGTCAGCGCTGGATACTCATGACGTTCCCCATAGTTGTGAATACTTACACGAGGGATGCCATATAAGCCCGTTGCTTGATGAGCCGAATTGGGAACACTGGGTAGACGAGCGGGTGGCGCCTCCGTCCTAGCCATATTTCCCACGCGACGAACCCGGCCCAACTGGTGGCAGCTACTGACAGGGTTGCAATGATAGCTGGATTCCTCCATGACAAATTATAAGATCCAGCTTGTTGAAGCGAGAAGACCAGAAGGCTCGAACCCAACATTATGAGAAGGTTGCCCAACAGATCAACTTTCCTGAAAATTTCACTTGGACCGAGTTGTTGTGTTCTCGTCTGGGGCCAGGCAGAAAAGAGGCCAATAAGGGCTATGATCCCGCAAGGGGCACTGTAACAGTTCTATCAGCCGAAGAACCATTCTAGAGCGCATAATGAGGCTTACTTTATAAGGAAAATCCATCTCCAGGATGCAAGGTGGGAGATGGTTCCGCCAAGAACCGGCCCTAAAACAAAAGACACTGCCAGCGTCTATGACAAACAAGTAAGCATTGGTACTTTCGGAGGCGAATTGGTGTACAGCACATCCAACACTTACCATGCCGATAAGAGCTCCCAAAAGGCTCGGTTTGTCCGAAGGGCCAACCTCATACAGCACAATCTGGGCTAGACTGTACAGTCCAGATCCACCAATGCCCTGGAACGCCCGGAACACAATCCTATTCGACGTATTGGTGCTTAGAAAATCGTCATGTTCTAAGTTGTAACTCACAGTGAGTGCATATCTCCTGCCAGACCACAACCAACAGAAAACCCGGCAAAGAGGATCCAGGCAGCAATGAGAAGATTTCGTCGACCGTAGATATCGCTCGCTTTGGCAAAGCAAACCGCAAACCCTACGTCATGTCAGACCGCGAGTCTTGCCTCTATCTCTAGTGTCAATACCTACCCAGATACGCGAGCAGGTAGGATAGCGCTACCCAGGGGGAGTTCAGGAAATCGTTCATATCCAAGGAAATCGAAACGAGTGAGGTGCTGACGATTGAGGCATCCAAACTTGAGAACAGTAGACCGAGAAGCAATCTGTGTATGTTAGTAACTTAAAGAGTGAATCAACCGATCAACAATTGCCTACATAGTGACCAGTACAATCCGGCGGGATCGAGCCAGTGGACCATGTTCAAAACATGCAACATCATGTACCTTGGGTCGCAAACTTCTCTCCATCGAGTCTGGGTCGCGACGCCTGTTGCGAGTTCGAGTACCAGAACGCTTCGCCATCACCGGTGAGCGAAGTCAAAGGTGACTTTGCGCGGTTGAGGCGGAAAGTGAGAATGTGGTACTTGAGAGTGCAGACTTTCGGTAGAAGTGCGACCATGCTATGTTGTTGTGGTGGGGATTTCAAGGAGAGCAAGCTGTATTCACCTTCACTCCCAAGGTTACCTGCCACAAAATCCCAGGTGTCAATTTTGTACCAAAGCGGGCGATGGCGAGGATCCAGAAGCTACGCTCCTTACGTGGGTGGGCTGGCAGGATTCAAGCTGCAGCCGCGACGGTCTCGGGAAACCGTCAAAGTACTGCCGGCAGGAGAGAAGGGAGGGGCTTGGGGACCCTACAGAGTTTGTAAGAGCAACCCCTGATAATTCGTTGCTAATTGAAGCAGCTCCAACCTTGCGGACCATTCTCAATAGTAAGAAAGGGCTGCACTATCATCGGGAAGCGCACAAGAGGTTCAAGCTTCTAAGCTGCGCGCGAACTCTCATGCTGCTTAAGTACACGGCTCTGTTTCTTGGTGGCCTGTTCACACAACCTAACCTAGATAACAGGGGCTGAAAGTCCTCGATATTGGTGACTTGAGTTGATACAAGACATCTTCAAGTGGTACGACTGCCAAGCCAAATAGATGAAAGCAGTGGATACGGAGGATGTAAACACTTGCAAGGCCTTTGCGATCACCACGCGCTTGATTATCTGGATTTTCCATCTTCCCACATCTTTAGGCCTGCGCACGACTCAGGAATGAAGTTTGTGACGGATCCTGTATCACGTATTACAAGATACCTCGCCAGACCGAGCTACCGCCCAAAACCTATCCTTAACTTGTCTCACAGAACACATGAGACAAAAGGCCATCCGCTGTCATGTCTCGGCTGAAGATACGGGTAAATGGTCAAGAACACTGCGACGCTGTGGTTGTATGGCAGGACTCTAAATGTTAGATTCCCCATCCCGCCGCGTTTCAAGCAGTCTTTGGGGTCGACCATTTGGGGCATTTCTGCAATCCGGTCGCCTGCAACATACGCACCGTTTCAGGCTACATATCTACCTGGGAAGACACGCTGAAGCTGGTGTTGTTCAGCTTGGAATCGTCCCGAACTACGAGGATGTCCTTTGTAAGGTTATGTTGGATCGCGGCGTGCGACGTTGACCGATCATCGATCGATGATGGCCTATCCGATGACTGGTAGCTGTTTGTTGCTGTTACTTTGTGACTCTCTCAGCTCGTTGGAAAGAAGCTAAACAGCAGGTTAACTTTGATGATCATGAGAGAAAATAAAAAGCAGCCGATGCAGTGGGCTTTGTTATAGCGCCAAGGGAGGATGAAACCGAAACGCTCTGGCACGAGGACCAGTTATGGATTATCTGGCGCTGAGCGGATATGCTTTCATAAAACCCACACCCACTCTATTTTGTTATTCGACACGAGACATCAATTGGTGAAATGAACGCTTGCTGCAGGTTGCCTTGAGCCAGCAAGATGAAGGCAAGTCCCATCAAAGTGGGCCATGCCAGTTCACTTGCTAGCCTCGGCCGGCCGACCACTGTCCGAGCAGTACTTGATTATAGGGGTTATTGGCCATCATCTCAAAGAAGAATCGTGCGCCTGTAGGTTGTAGATAATTGGGAGTGGCCATTTGAGGTTACTATGTCCTGACTCGGAACGGTACTACAGTAACATATACATGTGACGAGTTGCACAACATTGGGCCTGAGTGTCTGGTATCACGCAACATAGTTGGTGCGGACGCCATCTGATTGCATACTTTATGGAGCCTTTCCCTGTGCGTATGTTTGGGAACAGTACCACAACGGACTTTCTTTCGAAGCATCATCTCCTTTGGCCACTGCCAGTGACCCACGGCCTAATCGGACATGGTAGCCGTTAGAGCGCTTCCAAGTACGTTTGCCCTTACCCAATGAGATCTTTAACCGCGGTGTGACAACATTTGCGCCTGATGCGTTAGCGCCTGCCGAGGAGCCTAGTGTGCCCCAGCGAGGACGAGGGATATCCGGAGTCACCTGAATTAACATTTCGAAATAGCAGACACTCAACGGTTCTGTCTGATATGCCGAGACTCAAATTTCCATTTGCTACAATCAGCAAGAAACCGAATATGGTCATTAATGTTTCCCCAAGGCTGCTTCAGTGGCCTCCTCCTCCCGAGCCTGCTGCCTGCCGTCAATAATTGGCGTGCCCGTTTAGACATATCATTGGTCCTAAGCATAGACCTCGTGGCTGAACATCTTCACGGAAAGAGATTCCTGTTGGCTTGTTCGGGTATTGTATCTGAGTCCACACCGTTGGCGCTACCGATGCAGTGGATAAGCGACCTGCTTCTCAGCTGAGTCTGCTCGCGTGCACCATTCCAATGGCCCCCAATGTCATCATTTAGTGACTCCAATAAATAGGGCGCCATGGCACTCGGGTGGATGACCTATGGCAGCGCCGCCAATGTGGAAATGCTAAGACTGCTAGGATGATATCAGTCTAGGCGAGTGAAGTTCTGCTGACAGACGACGCGAATGCAGGCCAGCAACCCAGCGGACCGGTACGCCTCCACTGGTCCGACTGCACTTCCTTAGTCGTTGTTGTTACTCCCTTACATGATAGGACCTCGACTCTGAAATAGTTATCTGACTGATAAAAGTTCATGCTCAACCCAACACTGGGCCTAAGCTGTACGTATGATCAACCGGCTACTGACATGTGCCAATCGAGAGACTACTCGAATTCTGGGGCTAAATACACTCTTGTCATATTTAGTTTACGCAGAAGTTTTCAAATACCTTGACATGTATGGAGACCAGTCAATGATCCATTCATGTGCAATATGGGTCGCTGGCAAGATCGGTCCCAAAACAGCATATGCATCTGATCTGGATCCAATATCTAGCACAGGATCGTATGCACATGCATACGTTGGGATCCACCTTCAGCCGCAAAGAGGAATGTCGTTGGCCCGCGAGATGCAACGAGTGACTATCCAATGAATCGACATCGTACTCGCTCCAGTTATCTGCCTTCATAGGTTACGGATAAATTTGCCCCTAAGTAGTCAGCCAGCGAATTGATTAGAAATGGGACTGATGCTGGATGGAATGTATGGACCATGGTTTCGGCTCGGCATGTTGGGGTTAGCCAATATAAGCAATAAGTTCGTCTGGACCCCCCGCCCGACAGACTACAGCATAGGAATAGCGTAAGATGATCTGATAATCGATACAATGGACGCCCATGATTTGTTGTCTTTCGGCCCGGCCAAGAACCGTTCTGGACCCTCGCTCCATGGTACAAACATCGCCCGGTCCGGTAAGCTTGCAACTAGCCAGATTCTATGCGCCGAGATCTTGGCATTTGCTTTCAATGTATTCAATAGTGCTCCGTGTTGGTGGTAAGCTGATTTTCAGGATCTGGCTTGCAGCAGGTCTGCTTTGCACCATGGGTGACCTCACGATTGAAGCGTTTCGTTGTGTTGCCTATCTTGGAATCCAACGCTTTTCGATCTGGCTTGTATCTTCTACTTAGACGGGCATGTTGCCCTCTGAATCGTCATATCACCGTGCAAAAATCGCATCACTGCTTAATAGTTCTTTGCTCATTTCTGCTTCATTCCATTGTGTGTTTTCGTGATATTTCGTTTGTCTTGCTTTGGCCAGAACCAAAGGACACACTTACGCACACAACCACTCGTCACATGCACATATGGAGACGACCTGGCCATGCTTGCTGTTGGTCAGATATGAGTACTTGGGAGAGACCCTTGAAAAAGGATTCTTACAGGCTGACATGGATTAGGGTACTCGGTCAGAGATCCTATGCTGCATGTATTTGAGGCGCTTTTCGACCGATTGGGTCAAGCGATATCGTGTACGCATGCTCATGGTTGTCAGTACACCATCACATTGTAGACGGTGCTAAACCTGCGCCTTCACAAGGGTTCGAAGCCTCGACTGCGGCCCACCAGAACTCAATAAAGAAGAAACAAGATATGAAAGGAACGTGGGCAGAACTCAATAAAGGAGAAAGAAATTATGAAAGGACCGTGGGGGCTAAGTCGCCAGCTGCAGCTCGATCGCTGCTATTATTCACCACGCCGGACGACCACCCGATATCTCGACATGGACCGTGGACTATGAATTTGCAAGAAGTACCCCTCCCTGTTGACCAGTTGACTTCACTTTCAATTCACACAAAATACTTTATGAGGCAAAGTCCCCTTCAGCATTGTGACTAATCCCATTTTCCCAAGCCGCTCGATCTTGATTTCAGTTGTGCCCCTCCACCTGGCAACATCACTTCGCAAGACTTCCTTCACCACCCTTGGGCAGCATAATTGCAATTAAATCATTGCAAATATGGACAGCCAAATTCCAGACGGGATGGAGCCCATTGCCATCGTTGGCCTTGGCTGCCGGTTTCCTGGCGACGCGATCACCCCTCAAGCCTACTGGGACATGATGACCCGTGGCGTGAGTGCCTGGTCTGAATTTCCTAAGGATCGTGTGAACATCTCAAGTTATTATCACCCCAGCGGGAACCGTCAAGGCACCGTAAGGTCTATGTTCACTTGTGCGTTGGTGCTTTTACTGACTGTGAACAGATCTGCATTCGCGGTGCCCACTTCCTCAAGCAGGACGTGGCAGCGTTTGACAACTCAGTTGGTTACATGAAATGACTATAGCTCGATTGGGAAACAGACGCTAACGGCCAGTCTGCAGTTCTTTTCCATACAGGCTGAAGAGGCCAAGGCCGTGGATCCACAACAGCGTATGCTCCTAGAGGTCACAGTGGAAGCGTTGGACAGTTGTACGTACAAAATACGGGATATCATCCAGCGACATTAGCTGAACACTTTCCCAGCTGGAATCGATCGTGCTGCGCTTCGCAAATCTGAGACCGGCGTTTGGATAGGATCGTTCGTCAAAGGTCAGTCATCCCTTCCTCGAGCTCAAGGTCAAGAGGCTAACTAGTCGCACTCAGATTACGAACAAATTGCTCTACGAGATCCTGACAACGCGCCTTTATATGGCGCAACTGGAAATGGAATCGCAATCATGTCAAACCGCATTTCATACTTCCTGGATATCAATGGACCCAGTATGACGATCGACACAGGATGCAGTGCTAGCCTCGTGTGTGTGCACAATGCTTGCCAGAGTCTTCGCACTGGCGAAGTAGATGTGGTGAGTGCGAGATATCAATCGAATGACTGAGTGTAGGACTTGCAATTTTAACAGCACTAGGGTTTGGCTGGAGGTGCAGGGCTCATTCTTACACCAAACACCATGATGCCAATGACAGCATTGAACTTTCTCAGTCCTGATGGGAAGAGTTACACATTTGATGCGCGTGCCAACGGCTACGGCAGAGGTGAAGGCGTGGGAATCGTTGTGCTGAAGCGACTTAGCGATGCCATACGTGACAATGACAACATCCGGGGTGTCATTCGCGGCTCACGCGTCAACCAAGATGGGCGCACCCCAGGCAAGTATACTTCATTGAATGAATATCACTTCTCTAACCACAATTATAGGGATCACTCTTCCTAGTGCAGAAGCCCAGATAAGCAACATCAATTCGCTGTATCAGCGTGCGGGGCTCGGCGTCGACAAGACTGCATTCGTCGAATGCCATGGTACCGGAACACAAGCAGGCGATTGGCGAGAGCTGAAAGCAGTTACTACTAGTTTGTGTCGGCAGCGAAGTGTCGACAAACCTATATACGTGGGGGTAAGGAGCATGTGCTGCTACATACAGTCGTTGTAGGGCTAACGTCGAGGTAGAGCGTCAAACCCAACATTGGCCATCTTGAAGGATGTGCTGGTGTCGCAGGTCTCATCAAGGGAGTTCTCTCCATTGAGAAGGGTATTATCCCGAAACAGATTAATTTCGAGTCCGCGAACCCTGATATTGATTTTGTCGCATGTAAAGTCAAGGTGAGAACCACAAGATCAAGACTATCTTTGTATACGCTGACCTCTATGCTATCAAGGTCCCAATCGAGAACACTCCATGGCCAGTGCGCGGTCTCAGGCGCGCCAGCGTCAATTGCTTCGGATTTGGTGGGACAAATGCCCATGTTATCCTTGATGACACCGCTCATTACCTCGCCGAAAGAGGTCTCTCTGCACATCATAACTCTGCTATCTTGGATGACATAAGGGACCCGTCTATCCCGTATGGTCAAATTCCAGAGGCCATTATGTCCATAAAAGCCAGCGTGAAAGAGATCACGCACTTGGCTAGAGGCTCTGAGGTGCCACAACGGGATCACAACGCTCAAGTCTTCGTCTTCTCGGCCCACGATCAACGCGCCCTCTCGTGTATGCTACAGGACCTAGCAGACTACTTGGTCAAACGCACTGATGATGGCTCTATTTCGAGTGTCTTCCTAGAGGATCTGGCCTACACACTAGGTTGCCGCAGGACGAAGATGCAATGGAGAACATCAATAGCTGCAAGCTCTGTCAAGGAGCTCATCTCCAAGTTGAAAGGAGCAGACCAGTCGCAATACGTTCGACCATCGGGCGAGAAGTCAGCAAACATAGCTTTTGTTTTCGGTGGCCAAGGTGCGCAGTGGCATGCCATGGGTCGCGAGTTGCTGGGGTGCGATATTTACAGAGAGTCCATCGTGGCAGCGTCAAAATACATGAGCGAAAAACTCGGTAGTAACTTCAGTCTGGTTGCTGAGTTGCTGAAGGATGAGAAGGACTCACAGATCGACCGCCACGAGATCTCACAGCCAGCAACAACGGCGATACAGGTTGCTCTGGTGGATTTCCTTGTTCACCACTGCGGCGTCATTCCCAGCTCCGTCGTTGGGCATTCTTCTGGCGAAATCGCAGCCGCATACGCCAAAGGTGCGATTACTAGAGAAGCCGCCTGGGCGCTAGCATATCAGCGAGGATCACGAGCAAAACCTATTCCGTCAGAAGGCTATGGTGCAACAACCGAAGGACGGATGCTTGCTGTCGGCTTACCCCAAAGTGAAGTGAGCCAGTATCTGGCGATCGTTGGTGAGCGCAGAGTTGTGGTTGCTTGCATCAACAGCCCACAATCCGTCACACTTTCCGGAGATGCCAATGCGATTTTTGAGGTTCAAAAGCTTCTAGAAGCCGATGGAGTCTTCAATCGAATTCTCAAAGTTGATATTGCGTACCATTCTCACCACATGTTTCGTGGTGCTGCCCACTATCATAATGCAATTTCTCACTTCATGCCCCGACAACCAACGCGCAAACCCAAGGGGCATCCTCACAAACTCGGCAAGCTCTTGGTAAGGACAGACATTGGACCCAGTACAGAGCAATCAGGCGACACGAGCCAGAAAGTCCACCACGAAGACTACTGCGTTATGTACTCCTCTGTTACGGGACAGCCAGTTGACTGGGAGCATCTCACTCCTGAGTACTGGATGATCAATATGGTGTCCCCTGTCTACTTTTCTGACGCAGTCCTTCAAATGATGTCTCGAGAAGACGGAAAGAAACCAGATGTTATCCTTGAATTGGGTCCTCACGCGTCTCTACAGAGCCCGATCAAACAGATTCTGGATGCTCATACCCGAGGTCGGTCGCAGCCTCCGTACTTCTCTATGTTCCGAAGGAAAGATGATGCAGCTATATCCGCATTGCAGACTATTGGACACCTGTGGAGTTATGGTTGTGAAATATCCATGCTTTGGGCAGTCATGCGCAACGTTCAGCTTCGTCGGCCTAAACTATTGGTTGATCTTCCCAAGTACCCTTGGAACCATGGCAATTTGCATTGGCACGAGTCGCATTTATCCCGAGCAAATCGTCTGCAGGTCCATGGGAGGTATGATCTCGTCGGACGTCCCAGGGAGGACTCGACGCCCTTTCAGCCGCGTTGGCGAGGCTTCTTGCGTATCCATGAAAATCCTTGGATAGAACACCACCAGGTCCAGAAGGCAATCATCTATCCAGCTGCAGGAATGGTCGCCATGGTCATAGAAGGAGCAAAACAAATAGCCTCAGAGCCTTCTTCAGGGATCGAAATATCTCGATTCAAGATCGAGAAGGCAATGCTCGTTCCGGCAACTGAGCATGGCTTGGAGTACACTCTCAGCATGAGCAAACAGGACGCTTTTCAAAGACCAAGAGCAAGAACTCCAAGCTGCTCCGGTGATATATCCAAAAGTCCCGCAATTTACCAGTTCTTTATCCACTCCAAACCACTTGACGGTCCTTGGCAGCAACATGGCCAAGGGTTTGTCATTATCCACTCTAGGCTTGTAAGTTCTGAAGCGGTAATGGATGAACAAGTCAAGAAGCAAAGAACTGTTACATCGCAGCGATACCACAAAACATATCTGGAAGCAGCAAGCATGTGCGATGATTTGATCCTGCCACAGCAGCTATATGAGAACCTCGATGTTGTCGGAATGAATTATGGGCCATTGTTCCAAAACATCACTTCGCTCAGCAAGCGAGACAATATCTGCAGTTATGCGATTCGTATTCCAGATACCCAATCCATCATGCCAGCTCGATTCGAATACCCTCATACTGTTCATCCGGCCACGTTGGACAGCGTTTTCCAAACCGCTTTCGCTTTTGGTGGCGATTATTCCATGGTTCCATCATACATCGGCAGCCTGTATGTCTCTCTAGACCCTCAGCTGCCAATTGGTGCCGGTAAGGAGCTAGTTGGATACGCCAGAGCTGATCGTCGAGGGTCCCGCGAGGCGAATGTGACATTTGTTATGGGGGATCAGTCGTGGAAGAGTGCGAACCGGGATTCTATGCAGGATCCGATCGTTATAGTCAAGGACATGACCTTCACTGCTTTAACATCGAGCCCAGAAAACAAGGGCGACTTCTTACCCAATCACCACAATCTTTGCTCAGAGTTTGTCTGGGAAGATATTTCTTCACCTTCTAGAGACAAACTTGAGAGCGGAAACAAAGTCCATCTTCCAGGCGGTACTTTACTCCTCATGCCCCCGATTACGAGCCCATCACTTGCGCAGCTCTGCAGACAGATCTCCGAGAGAATAGACTGCACATCCCATACGCTGGAAAGCATGAAATATGTCCAAGAGCTTCCGGCTTACTGTATTTCGCTGCTCGAAATACTTCAAGACTATCAGTTTATCTGGAACTTGTCGATGGAAGATTTCTCCACCTTTCGCAGGTTGGTAAACACAACTCGAGGTGTGTTCTGGATCACTCGGGGCGCACAAGTTGAGTCAACGAACACAAGGGCTAGCCTTTTTCAAGCCCTTGCACGAACAATTCGTTCCGAGAGCCCCAAAAAGAATATTGTCACTATTGACATTGATGCTGATATGGATATCGCTACCGCGGAAACTTGCGAGTCGATCGTTTCTCTATTCCTAACCTCCTCAGATAGCAAACGGACTAGTGGCAAAGAAACAGAATACGCACTCAGAGGACACAGACTCCTGGTGTCCCGCCTCGTCCCTATGGTTTCATTAAACAGACTGGTCGAACGCGGCAATACCCCTTCCGCACCTGTGGTTCAGCGTATGGCACAGAGCGGTGAACGATCACTCAGATTGAAAGGTAGAGATTTGGGAAAACTAGAAAGCCTCTATTGGGATGATGGCTTTGACTTTGAAGTTCCAATTGCTCCGGATTCCATCAAGATCAAAGTGCTATCGACTGGCTTGAGTGCTCTTGATACAGATATCATCCTGGGCCAAGGCTATGGCCACTCACTGGGCACTGATGCATATGGCATCATCGAAGAGATTGGTCGTGATGTCCAAGGATTTGACATTGGGCATCGCGTGATCGCCATTTCTCGTGGCACTCTTCGGCAACGCATCGTGTGCCCAAAGACCTTGGTCCAGAAGTTACCCGACGAAGTCACTGGTCCATCTGTTGTGCTCCTGCCAACGAGCCTTGCCATCGCAGATTACGCATTGCATACTCTTGTGTCTCTACAACATCAGCACACGGTCTTGATCCACTCAGGCGCCGGACCTGTTGGACAAGCTGCAGTCAGAATGGCCAAGCAAATCGGTGCCAAGGTTCTTGCAACAGTAACGAATGATCAGCAGCGGCATATCCTCAGGCATTGCCACCAGCTTCCAGACGAGTGGATTCTTGATGGAAACAGCCTTTTTCTAATTGAGTCTATCAATCAATTGACGAATAATCAAGGTGTCGATGTCATCTTCGATTTGACAACGGAGCACTATGAGTCGAATCGGCAGTGTATTGCCAGTCGTAAGTTTGGAGATATCCTCGGATCGTGAAGCCTGGTGTGCTAACATCTTTCAGTGGGCCACATCATCACACTCGCCAATCAAGAAACAAGGAGTCTTCAGGCAGTTGATTCCAATGGCAAAGTGTTTTCCTACAGCGTCCTTGACCTCCCATACCTGGCCAAGAAGGAACCGTGGCGCCTTGATGAATCAGTACGGTCTCGCTGTTCGACTGACATCCGGAAATGGACAACCCCGTGCTGTTGTTTTCTCGATAAATACGACTATTCGCAGCTACCAGAGGCGTTTGAGTCTATGGCGCAAGATAGCCAGTGCGACATGGCCTATTGTGTACCGTCGAAGGCCAAGCAAGTTCCTATCGTACCGCGCCGTGTCCATCCGGTAGCCCACCACCTACGAGATGATGGCACGTATGTCTTGGCTGGGCAAGGAGGCCTTGGGATGCAGATCGCCAGGCTGCTTGAACGCAACGGAACAAAGAATGTTGCTCTAATTTCTCGCTCGGGTGCTTCCAGTAAGGAATCACAAGCCACACTTTCTTTCCTCCAGAACAGAGGGGTGAACGTCAAGGTTGTGAAGGTCGACATCTGCGATAAGGAGGCACTGCGTTCTGTCGTGGATGATATCAAGCGTACTATGCCGCGCATTCGTGGATTGTTCCAGTGTGCTGCTACAATCCGCGATGCGGTTTTCGACAACATGACGTACGAAGACTGGCAAGCCGCAGTCCGGCCCAAAACCACTGGCTCCTTGAATCTGTACGACTTGTTTCCACAAGACATGGACTTCTTCATATTCCTTTCCAGTTCTGCCGGAGTCATCGGCACTCGTGGCCAGGCCAATTACGCTGCGGGAAACGCCTTTCAAGACGCGTTGGCTCGGCACATCAGCTCCCGGGGGATCATGCGATCCGTCTCTATTGACTTGGGCCCTGTACTCGGCGCTGGTATGCTAGCAGAAGACCCAACTATGTTGGAGAAGCTCAAAACAAGCGGCTTCATGCCAATTCGGCTTCAAGATTTTGATTGCATTATTGAACGCGCCATCACTGGTTTCGTGGACGGCGACGACCGCATTCCGGCTCAAATTGTTGTAGGAGTCGGCACGGGTGGACTTATCAGACAAAACAAACCAGCAGACCCGTATTGGGCCCGTACGGCTCTTTTCACACACCTCAACAAGGTAGATCTGCCGCCTGACACCGCTGAGTCCTCAACCAACATAGAAGGATCAGAGCAGAGCGTCAAAGCTCTGCTCTCACAAGCAGCAGATGAAGAAGGGGCACAGGCAATTGTCACCGCCGGATTGTCTCAAGTCCTTGCTAGAAGCATGAACATGAAAGCTGTCGATATAGACGATGCAAAGTCCCCCAACGCTTACGGAGTAGACTCCTTGGTCGCTATCGGTGTGAGAAACTGGGTGTACAGAGAGTGCGATGTGGATGTGTCGGTTTTTGAGATCCTGAGCGATACAAGCATCGCAGAGCTCAGCGCTACGATTGTGGACAGAAGCGCCCTACATGACGCACGTTGAGGGCGGTATAATGCCATTGCCATTATCATTATCATTGTCATTGTCATTGTCATTGTCATTGTCATTGTCATTGTCATTGTCATTGTCATTGTCATTGTCATTGTCATTGTCATTGTCATTGTCATTGTCATTGTCATTGTCATTGTCATTGTCATTGTCATTTCCATGGCCAGCCAGTGGCACAGCGTCATGTTATGGCATTGCGACGCGGGTGACTAGAAACTGCCATGCGTGATATGGTTGATTGCTATTTTGCTTTTCTTGACAGGATATAAAGTAGGTGGTCGCCCGAGTGGTAAAGGATTCGGATTGCTACCTAGTTAGCATCTGTACGAATCTGCTTACGCTTGCGGGACTCCATGGGATGTACAGGGTAGTATAGGTATGATAGATCCCGTTTCGGGTTGAGAGGAGTTCAACATGTCGTGATCTTACTTGGCTACATATATTTGCGCGACGTCAACTGCGGGTGGTGATTGGTACTCGCGAACCAGGATGGGAGTCCAGCTCTGGGGCTCTTGGCTGATGTAGTCGGACGCAAAGGGTAAACTCGCAAAGTACCTGGTACCCAGATCTGGTTAGCTGTTGTGTAGAAACCCAGACAGCGCACGAGGCTGCATGGCAGCATACACCCATTACAGGTGTGATGAGCTGTTGGGTGAGCTAAATAACTATGACGACATGCTCCTGTATCACAGTAGCCACAGCTGCAAAGAGCTCCCTTCGATGGTCTGGAGCCGCGCAATCCAGCACTTGTCCAGCCAACAGGCCACTAACGATCTGCAGCTCCAGCAGGGATGTTCGCCGATCACCCCCCAAACGGTTGCCAAGCTTCCAAGTTCCCGTCTGGAAGCTTGGCAGTCCTGACATGGAGCGGGGCGCTCCCAGGGCTTCTTCTTTTATACTCCTGGAGGCTGAAAGGATCCCTCTGGGTCAACCCTTAAAGTGTCTTTTGCCAAACGATTGACAGCTCAGGCAATTGGCAAGTCGAATAGAGGCGTTTGGTCGCTTGAGTTTTGTAATTCCTGACACCTGTGGCGACTGCCAAGACCTCAAGCCCCGTCGAGCTGATCTCCCCCGAAGGATCTCACGCCTGGCTGCCTCTCGAGGATCACTTGTGGCGAAACCCTACCAACAGTACCAGCACCGCCTCTCAGTACTGCTGTGGCTTTCGTGGGTCATATCATGACGAGGATCAGATGACCAGTCTAGTCGTAAGCCAATCGAATATATCTCATCTTCTCCCTGCGAATCCTGCATGATCCGTTTCTGCGGTTGTGGCAGGCGGAGCACTACGTTAGCTGCACGACCCGGTAAGTCAGACCACCTGGGCTTCAGCCCAACGTACACAATGTTCACTTTCGGATGGGTATTTGAACATTGGCTTTGACAACGCTCTTGACTCATAATGTTCGCCGCAGTCCTCTTTCCCGCCTACACCTTGTAATTCCCGGATCAATTGGCGACTTTTTGACGAAAGGAAGCGCCACCTTAGTTATCGAATTGTGGTGGCTGCTTTCAGCTCGCTTGCTGACCACCAATCCTGTTCCGCCTCAGCGCTGACCATGAAGTTCAACTCAGCATTGTTGGCAGGATTCACTGCGGGCTCAACCGTGGCGGCGCAAAAGGTTGTGCCCCTTGGCGTTCGCCGGTCTAACGACCAGCCGCTGTCAGTGCACAAACGGGCAACCTTTGCTCAGAACCTAAACAACAATATAACCGGTGCGGCCTATTATGCCAACGTCGCCATTGGAACGCCGCCTCAAAACGTCAGTCTGATCCTCGACACCGGAAGCAGCGACGTTTGGGTAGTGTCAAGGGACGCCGACCTGTGCCAGGATGCAAGCGACCAGCAATATTATGGATTTTGTCTTGCTACATGTCAGTTTCCACAGTACCACTCTGATTCTTGTGCAATCCTCAACCGCGACTTTTTGAAACTTAAATCCTGACTAACACATGCCTTGTCTCAGATGAGCCCTCTGACAGTTCCAGCTATAAGATGGTAGACCAGTCATTCTCAATCAGATACGCGGACAGGACCCGTGCCGTGGGTGACTATTTCAAGGATGACTTTCATGTCGCGGGGACTACTATCAAACAGCTCCAGATGGGCTTGGGTATCAATACTACGATACCCTCTGGAATTATGGGGATTGGCTTTGCTTCCAATGTCGCATCCGAAACGCCTTATCCAAATATCATGGATGTCTTCCTATCTGACGGCCTGATCGGATCGAAGGCCTATAGCTTGTATCTTGTAGGTGGTGCTGCTCTTCTGATACCCGACAAGTTTGACATGTTGAAGCCACGATTTCTTTTACTTACCTTGCTAACCATGTTACCCAGAATGACTACGACTCAAGCACGGGAACAATTTTGTTTGGTGGTATTGACACCGAGAAGTATATTGGAAAACTCGGTGCTCTCAATATCCAAGAGGATGCCACCAGCGGCTCGATAACTTCATTTACCGTTGCCTTGTCGTCCTTCAAAATGAATGTCAATGGCTCGACGGTCTACCAGGAAAGCGATCCACTACCGGTCATCCTAGACTCAGGCACGACCCTTAGTTACCTGCCCTCAGAACTGGTCAGCCGCATATACCAGACGCTTGACGCTTACGATGACACCATGGGCGTCATGGCGTCCGGTTCGGTCTATGTAGACTGCAAGTACCTAGGCCAGAACATCTCTTTGGATTTCCAGTTCGGCGGCAGCGACGGGCCGGTCATCAACGTACCTGTGGATGAGGTGATATTCAACAACGTGGCGAGGCTTCAGGACCTTGGCCTAGCACTGCCCGCAGACCTGCCCTTCGACAATGTGTGTACTCTCGGCGTCATGGCGAGCGAGGGTATCTATCTTCTGGGTGACACATTCCTGCGAAGCGCCTACGTGGTCTACGATCTGTCGAACCAGCAGATCGCGCTGGCGCAGGCCAACCTCAACAGCACCAAGAGCAACATCATCGAGATCACAAACAGCTCGACCACCATCCCCGATGCCACTGGCGTCGCGAGCCAGGTTACAGTTACGCAGACGGCAACGGGGTTGCCTGGTGTAGGTGGTGGGAGCGGCACAACGTCAGGAGGGCCTAGTGGCACAGCGAGCGGCTCTAACGTTCCGACCACTACCACCACGGGGAGTAGTACTGGTACAGAGTCTGGAGCGACTAGCAGCACCGCGAATGCGGGACCGAGAAATGTCCCGGCACCGAAGTGGGAGGCCCTCGCTGTGGCGGGATTGGCAGGACTCGGGGTTCTGACGGGAGGTATGATCTTAGCGATCTAAACAGTCCCAGTGACGAGAACCGACAGATGTTCTGGCATTCAAGACTAGTATAAATTCTAGAGTGAAAGGTGTATACACGTTGAAAACTTTCATAGGGATTGCCAATTGACAACAATGACATGGTATTGAGCAGAACAGGCAACTGGTATCACCACGACCAGGGAGTTAGGTCGAACCCTTTGTGACAGTCTGCTTTGTTCCAATGCAGTTGTTTCAGCTGCCACACCTCACGCACAGAGATCAACAATGCGCTTCATGCTGGCCCTGGGCTGGCACCAAATATATTATTACATGCTGTATCCTTGGGGAAATATACACAGAAAGCTAGCCCATCTGTTCATAGCGTTGTCTAGCTTTATCCTTCGCCTTGGCCACGAAGTCTGAGTAGTCGTTCTTCGTATTGCGTGCGGCTTCTTCAGCGGCGTCACCAATCTTGCCGCCTTCAGCTCCCAGGCCAACCCCTGGCGTATACGCCATTGTCTCGATAATTTTGGTTCGCCCTTCACCCTCAGCACCGAGCCCCGAGCCTGAGTTCCAGCCCATCTTTGCCAGCAAACCCGCGCCTTTCGATATCGCAGGTTTGGACGGCGCTGTGTGATCATTCTCCTTGGATGGCTGTTTCGGCTTCCGAGGAACATGAGGCTTTGGTTTGTTCGGCTGTTGGTATGCAGTGCGGCGCTCCTTGGCTCTGTCTCTATAATTGGACACAGGCTCTTTGCCGAGGGCTTTGAGGTCTCTGGTCGCCTTTTCAATCAAGGCATCGTCCTCCAGATTCTTCTTGTGTAAATCGCTGAGATGTTCGTGTCGTCTCAGAGATGGCTCGCTGATAAACTTGCGTCTACATAGAAGACAGCACAGCTTGTCCAAATCCGCGTAAGATGTGGTAACTGTTTGTGGTGCAGAAGATACCGAGAGATCAGAGACTGCACCCAAGCTGTTCGGACCTGTGACCGGGGGCTTCTTCTCGTCGACACTACTCTGGTTCGAGTTCTTATGTCCTCCACGGAGCTCTGCATGCTTGTTCGCCCACATCGCCAGCTGTGGTGCCATGGCAATGGTCTTCTTTCCGCCGGGAGCTGCGAGTTCTCTATCGGCCTTCCTCTTTTTCGAGTCCTTAGCGGCGGATGAGCTTTGGTCCGTTGCTGCCTTTTCCACCGTAGCTTCCTCATACAGCCCCTCGTTGAAGACCGTTAACTCGCTAGCATATACAGTTGGGTTCCAGTAGCTCAGCCTCAAGGATGGGTTATGAGTTGCTACGAACGTGAATCTGCTATCTTGTTCGCTGGCAGGCTTGAGGTAAGGAATGAAAACCCCAGAATGAATGTAAGCTATCGAGACTGGTTTAGAACCAATGGTGAACTGAGGACTAGCATTGAACTTGGCCATGGCAGCACGGGCATCATCCAAGCTGGAGAACTCGGCAAAGCCATATCGGCAGGTGACATCTGATTGTCGGTCGCGTATCACGAAGACCCTGGCGAGGGAGCCAGCCTTGGCCCCCAGGCCACTTGTGTTGCCCACAGGGACTGTGCTCTTGAGTTTAGTAGGAGCTCCGGCCGGCTGCTTGGGCTCGTCTTCCTTCGCCACATAAAGTTTCTTGATACCGGTTGCCAAAGTGGTTTCACTGACGGATGGCGGCAGATTGCGAACTACCAAGAACTGTGACGGAGCTTGTTGGGGGCACTCATCGCTGATGCCATCCAGCTGCATCTCGGCGACATTTTCAGCTAATTTCAATACGTTAGCACCGACAGCTGCGAACCGTGCCTGAGAGGTTCCTACATGATCTTGGTGCTTTGCACTGTTTGCATGTTGCCCGGCGAGAAAAGTTCTCAAAGTGACACTAGATGTGTTAGATGCTTGGTCCTCACGCGGTTGAAATGTTTCCAGCGCTTACCATTGTGCATTGCCAGTCATCAGACTTGGGAGGCGGGCGGCGGTCCCGGCTGTACGCGATGGGGACACGAGCGCGGCTACCATCAGTAGCAGTGAGCTGAAGGGTAGGATAGTACCTTTCTAGGAAATCGATAGCATCTTCGTCTGTCCTGAACTCGGCGAACGCATAGCACCGACGATCACCTAATAACATGAGCTCCTGATCTCACGATATGGCGCAGCTGCGACCTACCCGATCGGTCATCCGATTTGAGTCGTAACTCAACCAGATCTTTGGCGCCCAGATCCCACAGTGCATCTTCGACCTACACCCATTGTATAAGCCAACGGTCTGGTGGGCAGGCGCGTGTCGCTGCCTTTGCTTCCAAGACCCTTACCTCTTGCGCGCTCATGCTGCCCGGAACATCATCCAGCTTCAAGGTATGATGGGGCCGGCCTGGGCCGGAACGATAGCCGCCTTCTCGGTAGTATCCGTCATCGTCGGGCGAGGCGTAGGGCGAATGGTCTCTTGGACTGCGCTGGCCACGGTCTCCTCTGTAGTCTCGACCCCGGTGGTGGTCAGGCGAGCGTGCGTCCCGGCCATATCCTGGCGATTCCCTTCGACGGTAGGCATCCGATCGATCTCGGTCGTATCTCCCTCCATGATTCTGGTCCGAGTAAGCATGATGACGGTCTGGGCGACGTGGATCATCTGCTCGGTTCCTCCCCGGGGACCTAGAAGAGTCTTTCCTCGCAGGAAAGTCAGCTCAAACTCATGACCGATCTGTAAAAATGATCCTCCAGGCGATGCAAGTTTTACCATGCCGTGGGCGATGTGGTTGGTCCCTCGAGCTTGGGGATCTTCGCCGGTATTGATCGCGATCGCGCGACGGGTAGTCGGGGTCGTCGTACATCTTGTTGGTGCGATTCCCACAAAAGCAAGGCGGGCGCGTTGTAGAGGATTTGATATGAGGAACCGAAGGCCGTCGCAAGAGGACTAAGCACCATGACGCCCGCGGGTCAAGGTTGTGAATGTGTACACCGCAGGATAGCAGTCAATGAGAGGTTCATTGATAGCTTCGTGGCTTAAGGTGGCGCCCGTAGTCAGCGATGGCCGCCCCCCAACGAGTCGCCCATAGCTCCTACCTAGCAAGTCACAGCGGTCTGGCTTAGTCATCAGTGCCCGTCCCGCACCAAGATAGCGCGCATACCAACAGCGAACTTGGGAATGACTTGGTATATACGGAACCTTGGCTGGGGTCACAGTGTCACTCATGGTCAAGCTATCAACGGCAATATAGGTGTACATTCATCGTGCCTCAGGGACTAGCCAACATTTCCCAGCTCATCCGGCTCTGAGGTGGCCCCCAAGGCTGCTAGCCCAAAGCACCGTTCACAGAGGTTCTAGAGGTCATCATGGGTTCCGAAGTGACGGAGCTCCACGAAGATGCGTGCTACGTGGCTCTCACACATGATCATCTCAACCCTCAAACCATCATGGACCGTGTGCGAAGCCCACAAGCTGGAGCCATCGTCATGTTCGCTGGTGAGTGTGTATCCGAACGTGCTGACGAACCCTAAGCTTTCCTGACACAATTTCCAGGCACCACTCGGGACAACTTTGCAGGCAAACCTGTGAAGGAGCTTCAGTATTCCGCATACAATGCGCTGGCACTGCGCACCATGCTCTCTATTTGCAAGGGCATACACCAAAAACATGGACTGAAGGGCATCGCCATGGTCCACCGGCTTGGGACCGTTCCTATCGGCGAAGAAAGTATCCTGATTGCCGTGTCTTCACCACACCGGCAGGCTGCATGGAAAGCTGGCGAGGAAGCTCTTGAGGAGTGCAAGTCTCGTGTTGAAGTTTGGAAACGTGAGGAGTTCGAGGGCGAAGATGGCATCTGGAGGGCCAATAGAGACGGCGTCCAAGGTGAAAAGATTGCGCCTTCAGACCCAACCATCCCCGCACACCATGATTCCTCAGCCTGATGGTGCTGGCGAGGATACGTTTGAACCGGCTACACGGCCGCGGCCACTGACGGGAAGAGGGCTTGGGGCAGTCTCCAGCCCCAACCTACAGCAATCTGGCTGGGAATACTGCAGATGACGCATTGCGCCCGGGCTTACCCACCGCCATGCCATGTCGAACTGTCAACTCGATTGATAATACTGTGCATAGCGCAGCACTACAGCACGCTGTTGGTGTCTAAACCTCAAGCCAGGTTCAGGTAGACCCTAGGGAGGACGGGACGTTGCTACCCCAATATCATGACCTGCTCATCACGAAAGCAACGTCTTCACCAATAGACAATGCCCTTCAAGGGAACAGCCCATATGCAAGCTCATCACCAAGGCTTGTTACGGGTGGAAAACCTGTATCGTGGTGCTCAAGAGGTACGGTGGCGTCTGCAAACTACCTACACAGCCGGCCTTTAAGTACCGGCTAAACAGGAGCAATCAATCAGGTCGCATCCGACCGCGACACAGACCCGAGAGTTCGGATATAAGTTGAGAGACGGCGAGCAGTGCCTAGACACCAATTCTATTTTTGCCATCCGCTACCGAAAAAGCCTTGTTGATCATCTCGGGATATGTTAGCCTGCCAAGATTAACAAATACCACCACTACGAGTGAGAGGATGAAGCAAATAGGTGTTGCCGTCCCACCCAGTCAAGAGCCGCTTAATAGGTTCAATGCAAGCTTGTTTGTGTTGCAGAAAGCCCACGCTTATGCCCAGGCACGGCGAACTGTCAAACTCAGCTTTTAGTGACCCTCGATTCCCAAGTCGAGCTTCTTGAGACTACAGATAAGCAGCCTCACTCTCGTCTGGCTGGAAACCTTTGATGATAAGTGCGCCTAAAACCATACGAGACTGTCTATATCACAAGACAACCGCCAAAAACTTCCCCCACCAGCTGTTCAGCTATCATGCCGTGATCTGCGGGACCCCGGCAACTTGCCATTGCATCAACCCGTTGCGCCCCACCTAGCGAGGGTGACCACTATCCTGGCAGGCCTGGGGTATCCAATTTAGGCAGGTCGCTCACAAGCTCCGAGATAGTATTGGGCAATATGGAAGTCGACGCACCAGTGTGCGCCTCCCCGGCAAGCACCTCTGCTTGGGGCAAATCCCCCCCATGGCCGCCGGTCTGGATTGTCGCTGACAGCACCCCCGGCCGCTGTGTTGCGCTACGACCGGTTTTGGCGACATCGTGGTACTTTGCTGATAACTGAGAGTGCGGCCCAATCCTCCGTGGCGCCCTTTCTCTTACCCTTACGAAAGGCTGGTAAGGGCGTGGAGAATGTCTTGATGTGTCTTTCTTGTCTCCCCTCGCTCTACCGCGGCAGTGGACAAGAGACAACATGGTCTTCAATCGTAAGCGCGGGGTCCAGGAGGAGATCACGCCGTACGTAGTCGGATACGATGCGGAGACGACTGGAGTCGAGTCCCTCAATACCCTGAAATACTGGGAGCAACAGCACAAGCTCGACCCGAATTTGCCGCTGGAAGACCTGGATGAGATCGATGGCGTCCTGGCCGAGGGGAACTGCGAGAAAGGCGCCGAGGTGGAGGCTGCGCTGCTCGAGGATAACAGTCCCTATCCCGAAGTCCGCGCAACAGTAAGAAACTATGATGTCGACCTACCAGCAAACACCATCCGCGCTTGGGTCATTGGTCTGGTATTATGTACTCTTGGATCAGGTTCGTCTTCCTTTTCTCAAAATCTCGATTACTTTGCTGGAACTGCGTTGGCTAGTGTAGGATAGACTGGCTTTTCAGAGCAGATGATAAGGACAATTCAACCTGGAAGGGGGATGCTTAGCCCGAGGTTTCTCTCTCTCGAACTTCACTCTCGATATCCTGGGGGGTTTCACCATTGCGTATCTATACGAATCAGCTTTGTGTCTAGGTTGGCGATGGAGGTTTCTGCTATATCACCGACTAAGTTGATTAGCATAGCATGTACTGACATTGCGTTTCACAGCCGTCAATATGTTGTTTAGCTTGAGGAATCCGAGCGTCGTTATCACCACGTGGATCATACAACTGATCGCCTATCCCATAGGCCGCGGGTGGGATTTGATCTTCCCCGACAAGCAATTCGAGGTGTTCGGACTCAAATTCAACTTCAGACCGGGCAGGTTCAACTTCAAAGAGCATGTGGTGATCGTCTGCATGTCAAACGCAGCATACGGCGGTGGAGTCTTGTATGCGACCGACGTCTTACTGGCTCAGCAGATCTACTATGGCCAACATTTCGGCTGGGCTTTCCAGCTTTTGTTGGGCATCACGACGCTTTGCACCGGATATGGCTTGGCAGGACTTGCGCGCCGCTTCCTTGTATGGCCGGCCGCCATGATCTGGCCTTCGGACCTTGTGAATGCTTCACTCTTCTATACGCTCCATGATCATTCGCCCTCGGATCCTGAAAGGACCAACGGTTGGAGCATCGGGCGCTACAAATACTTCCTCATCGTCTTTTGTGGAGCCTTTGTACTGTACTGGTTCCCCGGCTGGATCTTCCAGGGCCTTTCCTACTTCACCTTCGTCTGTTGGGCAGCGCCGGACAACATCGTCATCAACAAAATCTTCGGGGGCTTACATGGATACGGCATCATCCCGACGACCCTCGACTGGAGCATCGTCTCTGGCTACTTTGGGTCTCCTCTCATCCCGCCTTTTTATGCCCTCGCCAACACGGTGGCCGGGGTCATCGTATTCTTCATCTTCATATCCATGGGGATACATTTCTCGGGGTACTGGTACTCGGACTACTTCGTCGTGCAATCCTCGAACGCGTTCGATAACACAGGAGAGGTGTACGACGTCACACGCATTTTGAACGAGAACCTCATGTTCGATGAAGAAAAGTACAAGGCCTACTCGCCTCTGTTCCTAAGCACTCAGTTTGCTCTAGCATATGGGCTGGCTTTTGCTGCTGTTGCAGCTGTCATCGTGCATGTGATCCTCTACCATGGCAGGGAAATCAAGGAGCAATTCAAGATGGCGAGACATCAAGAGGACGATGTTCACATGAGGCTTATGAAAAAGGTAATTCTCATCCAGACGGGGTTGATGCCTTTTATTATGTTCAGAGACGATCTGTGTCTACGGACTTGAGATCTCACCTCCGTCCCATGCCATGAACTTGTCTAGACCGAACCATTTCGCTAACTGTCCTTAGTATCGTGACGCGGAGGACTGGTGGTACGCCGCATTGTTCGTCATCATGCTTGGCCTCTCCTTTGCCGTGTGCTGTGCATGGCCCACCGGGTTCCCATGGTGGGCCTACATTGTGTGCATCCTGATCCCGATGATCTGGACAATCCCCATCGGTATCATCCAGGCAGTGACAAACATACAGCTGGGCCTCAACGTCCTGACCGAATACATCGTGGGCTACATGCTCCCCGGCCGGCCGATCGCGATGATGATGTTCAAGAACTACGGATACCTCGCCATGTCCCAGGCTCTCTACTTCGCGCAGGATCTGAAACTAGGCCACTACATGAAGGTTCCGCCCCGGGTCATGTTCTGGTCGCAGCTGGTAGCCTCCATCTGGTCCGCCGTCGTCCAGATCGCCGTGATGAACTGGGCGCTGGGGACGATCCCGCAGATCTGCACCGACGACCAGCCGAACAGCTTCACGTGCCCGGGCGGCAAGGTCTACTTCACGGCGTCGATCATCTGGGGCGCCATCGGGCCGGCGCGCATGTTCAGCGGCGAGGCCCTCTACTCGAGCCTGCAGTGGTTCTGGATCGTGGGCGCGGTGGCGCCCGTCGTGACCTGGTTCCTGGCGCGGCGCAGCCCGCGGTCCGTCTTCCGCTACTTCAACATGCCGCTGTTCTTCGGCGGCTCGGGCTTCATCCCGCCGGCCACGACGTACGGCTACCTGTGCTGGGGCCTCTACGGCATGATCTTCAACTACTTCATCAAGCGCCGGTGGACGGGCTGGTGGATGCACTACAACTACATCACGTCGGCGGCGCTGGACTGCGGCCTGATCGTGGCCACCGTCATCATCTTCTTCACGCTGTACCTCACCAAGGTCACGCCGCCGCAGTGGTTCGGCAACTACGATGTCTTCGACACCTGGGACCAGAGGGGTCTGGCGATCAAGACGTTCGTGGCGCAGGGGGAGACCTTTGGGCCCAAGACGTGGCCTTGAAGTCGGATGAGTGTATGTTTCCACAAGCTAGGTCAGCGTGTTCAATGGGAGATCGGGCATATAGCACAGGGAGTAAAGGGGCTGAGGTTTGGGTAATATATGGGTCGATATCGAAATTGGCGTTATCATATTCAGTGCAACGATACCTCATTATTCAGTATGCCCCCATCACTGTAGTTGTGATCGCCGCCTTACCAGAGGTTGAAAAATGATGTACTCGTGCACCGCCAAAGATTCCGCTCTAGGAGAAAGCCGATTGTGAATATATTGGCAGTTTGCGCAGGTGGTCGGAGCGTGTTCCACTTAGAGTCGGCGCGATTACTGCAGTTCCTACATGTCGCTATTCAACGATCAGCAACATCTAAGTTGAACTTTTGCTTTCAGGCGACAAGTCACGTAAGACAGCTAGTAACACTTATCAAACAAATACACAGACGCTGCATCGTGACGACACAGTGATCGGGTTCTGAAACAGTTTGATGAGCCTTCATTGCAATTTTAGACCTCACAAGAGGCACGGGGAGCACGCCTGCCCTTCACAACAGTGCACCCTCGTAAGCTTCATGAACTTTTCTGTATTCCAGATCCTTTCCTCATGCCAGGGAAGATGTACATAACTACACAGGGTCACGTCGCTGCGTGACCCGGGATATCTATCTCTGAACCCCTTGGGTTCTCATAAACTCTATCGAACCAGGTCGTTTATCTGGTCTTCTTGGTCTCTCCGCCAGCCACGGGTTTGCTGTACAGCCAAATGGCAACAAATGCGAGCCACCCAACAACGGTGGCGCCGATGCCGGTGATCCAGGGCCAAGCTCCGCTGATGACCCAGCTGCGAGGCCACTCATCGTGGGCAAAGTGGCGGACGGAGACGGTGTTCTTCTCTTCAACGTTGGTGTAGAAGGGGCGCTTGTGGTTGATCTTGAAGTTGAAGATGCCGTGCTGGTCGGGCAGCTTGAAAGAGGCCGAGAAGGTGGTGCTATCGGGCGAGCTGAGGACGGGCTTGAGAGGCAGCCGGTGGAAGGGGGACAGCATGCTAAACTCGAGCTGCAAGACATCGTTTGCGGGAACAGTGAAGGCGGTCCAGCTGTCCCAAGCGTACTCGGAAAGAGAGATGGAGTAGGTCTATAGGAAGTTAGCGAGCGAATTGCGGGTCCCGTAGGACAAGGCAGAATGCCGACATACCACGTCGTTCTTAATGCGGTAGATCTTGGGATTGCTCTGGTTGCTCTGCCCCTCCTCGTTCAGGTGGTGCTCAATCCAGTTGACACGCAGAACACCGATCTCGTGGAAAGTCCAAGCAGAGACGCGCTTGGCGAACTCGCGGTTGAGAGTGGCCACGGACGACTTGTCACCACTCTTCTTGACCTTGGCATCGAACCACTTGTCGCTCAGCATGTCGGCGCTGCCGACCACGGTGAGACGAGCCGAGTTGCGGGCCTGCACGGAGGTGACCAGAGACAGCTGCTTGCCGCTCGCGAACAGGTCGTCGACGGACTCGGCCTGCTCCTTGGGGTCGTAGCTGTAGGCGGTGTTGGGGGCGCGCAGGATAGGGGTCAGGAGGGCGCCGGAGCCCAGGGTCTGGCCCAGGCCGGAGGGGAAAGCGAGGAGCTCGCCATTGGGGGCGTCGGGAGAGAAAAAGTCCTTGACATCGGACCGCAGGGCACCAGGCGCGGGTAGAAGGACGACATCGTGCTTTTCGGCGGCCGAGGAGACATCGTAGTTGAAGTGGTCGACGACGAGGCCGCTCCTGTCCGGGGGCAGGTGGACGTCGAGCTCGAGGAGGGTCGAGACGATGGAGGTGGGCGCCGGGTTCTTGGAGGACAGGGCGACGAGAATGTTGCCCTCGGCATTGATAAACTGGAGGAGGATGGCGGGAGTCAGGCTGGGGCCGAGACCTGTGGTATCGGGTGTCGTGTCAGTATGTGAAGTTGCTTGTTCCCTCGACCAGGCCAGTACGGCATAGCTGCGTGCCGTTCTACACCACACCACACTGCACCACACCATTGTGAATAGATTGCAACGTACCCTTGGCCTTGGTGGGCAAGAAGACGATGTGGTCGTACTCGCGCTCGCCCAGCTTGAAGAGGCTCAAGCTCTCGCTCTTGGGGGTCTCGTATGTGATCTTGTATCCTCTGCCTGTAGCTGTGCGTTAGCTTGCCGCGTCGGTGCATCAGGGGGAGGGCCAGGCGGGCGGCGGGCGGCGGGCGGCGGGTGTTGTTTCTTGACGTACCGTCCAGATCGCCGAAGAACTTGGAGTAGGCGGCCTTCTCGGCGACGTCGTCCAGCACGACCAGTAGCCTCTCGCCGGTGACGCTGATGGCGCTGGCCACGGCAGCGAGCAGCAGCAGCACGAAGGAGATGAGGGACCTCATCGTGGGCTGTCGGGTCAGAGGGACTTCTGGGGGATTGCTTCTGGGGGGGGGGAGAGTCAATTGAGGACAAGGAGCGACGAAGGATGCACAACTACGGCCTCATGGATGTGGCTTGTGGTGCGCAGTTGCTGCTGGTTGCCGCGTGTCCTGCAAGCTGTCCGTCTCTTGTCTCGGGTCCAGGGTCGTCGCGGCGTGCTGTTCTTTTAGGTCCTAGTTGCCTCTAGGAGAGCTCTCTGGCTTTCTGGCATACGTAGCCCGTAAGTGCCAAGAGTTGCCGTCTGCTCTACCGCTCTACCGCTCTACCGCTCTGCGTTAGTGGGCCCCCTCCACTCCTCCACTGGACCTTCGATGGACCGGGGGCGCCAGGCGGCTTGCACTCAGGCACTTCAGCCAGCTGGAGATTTTCCGGCATATTGCCGGGGTGCTGTGGCAGCTCTCGCCCAGCGCTGAGCCGCTGAGCCAGCCGGCGGTCGAGCACGGGGCACGGGGCACGGACCCGCGGGCCTCTTTCGACCTTTCGACGACGCCGCCGTCCGTGGCATGGCATTGCATTGGCCCTGATTTCATTGGATTGAGAGCTCAACCACCGCAACAGCACCGCAACAGCTCCCAGTTGCCTCTATCCGCAGCTGCTTCCAGCGCGACGTCTCCCCGTCGACACGGCCAATTGGGTACGTACAATACACCACCTCTGCCTTCTGCCTCGAAGTCCTGCTGCGCACTTGGCTGGCTCAGACCCTCAACGTCTCCCCGAGCTGCCGTTCCTCTCGCCGACGGAGCAGACACAGACTGACCTTGCATCCCCGGACAGCAGACCTCCCCGAACCAGCCGATAGAAGAAGGAAAAAATCACAGCAGCGAAAATGTCGAACCCGACCCCGGCCTTCTGGAGCGGCCCCCTGCGCTACATCCGCTGGTCAGCCCGCGAGCGCCCCGCCTACCTCTGGTCCGTCTTCATCGGCGGCGCCGGGCTCGCTATGCTGGCCACCGTGCCCCCGATCCAGAAGCGCCTCGGCTACGAGAGGGCCAAGCCCATCCCCATGACCTACCCTAGTACGTGACCTGCCCCCTGTGTTACTCCCTGCGTGTGCTGGACTGCGGCTTGGATTTGGTGGGAGACGGGAAGAGATGGCAGTTCGGGTGGTCAAGGGGGAATCCGTCACCATGAGCCCTTGCCATGTGATCTAGGGGTGTGCAGAAGTTTGGAGACCATGGGAATGGATCAGGATCGGGCGGCTTCTGTCTTGAAAGATCAACATAACCTGGACACCCAAAGTTTGCCGCGCCAGTTGACGATGCCAATTGCTAACATCTCCGCAGTTCCCGCAGGCCCGAGGAAACAGCTGAGTGGATACGATGACTGAGAAACGGGTGAGCCAGGAAAGATACACTCAAGAGAGGAAGGACGATACCATGCGGGACAAGCAGCCGTCGCAAAGGGTGGGGGGACCATAAATAAACTGTACACAGGCGACCGGATGGGGTTGGTGACCCACGATTCTTCACTACGTGCTCCTCGCTGAGCATCTCATCTGTAGGCGCAGGGAAATGTAACATCAAATTTGCTCAGGGCAAGACGGCTACCATCAAATTCCATTTCATCATTGCCTGGCCTGCTGTCTCCCTTATGCACCGGATATGCGATCAAACAAGAGCAATGCACCGTCCCACGCTCTCAGAATGCCGCCCAGCCAACGTACCGTCTATGCCACAATGAATCAGGATCCAGCCCCGTCTATCAGTCTCCGCACACCATTTCTTGTGTATACATGCATGTATTCTCTTCTCAGATCTCAGCACCTGCACCTGTCCTTACCCTTGCGACCGGGTCGGCATGCCCATCCCCGTCTCCATCCCCATCCGCGCGGCCACATAGCCAGGACGCGACACCAGAACCGTTGCTGCCGTGGGAGAAGCTCTATCTCTCCCTCTGGATCAGGTTCCATTCGTACTGCCAACAAGTTAGAATATAGTCCGGCAGACAAGCCCGAGTCTGCAGTGTGACTTACCACCCTCCCGTCATCATCTCCGGTGTATACCGTCTGCGGCATAGGAGCGATGCACGTGATGGCCGCCTCCGTGTTCGTGCCCACCTCGCTCCGTGCATCGATGTGGTCCAGTCTCCTGACAAATTCCAGGACCCACTTCCCGTTCCTGACGGCCCTCTTCCAGATGTTGACCCGTCCCCTCCTGTGCCCCGTGAAGACGAGGAAGTTCTCCAGCCATTCGTTTCCAGATCCCTCGTAGAACGCGCACGAGTGCACATAATCGTCGTGCTCGCCGCAGACGTTCTGGTCCAGGATCAGCTCCCCGTTCAGCGAGTAGAGCATCACGTTGGGCCCCGAGCAGAGCATGATCTCGCCCGAGCTATCGTTGATGCGCGCACACTCGATCACGCGGGAGTTGGGCAGTTTCCGGATAAACTCGAGGCGGTTGAGGTCCCATAGGAAGGCATGGCCATCGGCCGAGACCGTGACAAAGGTGCTGAATGCCTTGGAAACGGCTACCGTCGTCACCGGGGTCTTGTGTCCAAACAGAGAGGAACGTATCGTGAGCTCGACCGGCTTACCGGATGCTGTATGAATGTTGTATACGGAGACCACACAGTCTTCTCCCGCCGTGATGAGCGTTTTGGAATCCGCGACGCCCACGCACGATATTTGCCCGATATGGAGGTTCTCGTTGATCCCTGCACTCTTTCTGTTTTCCGTAAAGTAGAAGCGGATGCTGTTGTCGGCAAAGCCCCATTCCAGATACTTGTCATAGAAAGGAGGGAGGTTGATGCGGAAGGGAGATGAGCAGAGCAGACGGTCCAGCTTGGAGGAATAGAGCAATGAGGCCACCCGCTCGTGGCTCTCCAGTAGAGGGTGCGGTATTCTGGCGAGAGCAGAACAAGACGTGTCGAGTCTTTTCGTCGGAAACCCGACATTGTCTCTTTGTGGATGAGGCCTCGTAAATACCTGGTGAGGAGTCTGTCCAAAGTTATGGATGATGCTCGTCGTTGAGTCCCTTTCATGAGCATCAGTGATGCTATCCAGGTTTTTGGCCCCGTGGTAGGAAAGCCAGTGGAAGACGTTCATGTTCTCCACTGCGGCTTCCCCTCGCTGCTTGTGACCAAAAATAAGGTCAATCCAGAGATGCAGGTGTTGGCTCACGTAAGGGCTTTCCAAAGCCTCGCGGTGCTTGGCTATGAAGATTTTGGGGTCGCCCTTCGCCCAAGGCGGCAACTGTACGTGATTGACCTTGCCGCCGCCTCCCTGGCGCTCGCCGAAATCGTACCCATTGGAATTGACCAAAAACTCGGGTAGATAGAAGAACTCAGGGATCAGCTCACGCACATCGGCGCCATTATCACGCGAAGCTGATTTCCATGAGCCTTCGATCGAGTAGAACAGTCTGTCGGCATGATCGAATGTCCCACCTTGCATAAGGATATAGGATTGGACAAACGGGGGCAACCGAATCAGGTAGGACGCAACAACCATAGACGACGAATAGTGTGTCCCATAATGGAATGGCTGCTCGCCAATTTCAGCCAGGCTCTGGTATCGAAGCGTATAATCGGCCTGTCGACTCAAAGTCTGGGCCCCCATTGGTTTGGAAAGATCGCGAAAGGTGGCTGGATCATTCAAGTCAAGCTCCTCGCTTGTGTAATCGGCAAGAATCCAGGGGAAGACAGGGTATTGTGTCAGATCATTGAAAGTCCTGCCAGCCATCGTGTTGATAAGCATCAGGTAATGAAAGTTTGAGATTTCTCCTCGCTGCCATCGTCGCATGACCGGATTCCACGGCGAGGCATTGAAGAGGCTCCCAAATTTGGATCCCAGCCCTTGCGTAGTCTCTTCAAATACCTTAAGCGACTCAAGGCGCCAAGCATCTTCTGGATTGGGCAGAGAGTTCGGCCCAGCAGTATGCGGGATCTTGCTCATGAGCCTTGCGTAGACTTCGTCCCGAACGGTTGAACTGATGGCTGTGAGCAGATAGCTACGTCCATCAGTAAAGAAGATTTCGATAGCAACATCGCGAAACAGGAACCGACGTTTGGAGATGCTGATAACATCTTGCCAACGCCAGTTGCGAGAGTCTTGTGTCCGTCGATTGGCTTGGGATCGCTTTTCGCTAGTTTCGCCAGCCTTCTTGCCCATAACAATCTGCGAAAAGGGGTCGCGTTCTTCTTCTGGCGCCTCCCAAACATTCACAATTTCTCCATCTGCACAATGGAAGAAGTTGTCCATGAGGTAGAGATGGTCCTTGCCGATCAGAAGAATACCTTCACAGGTTTCTAAACCGATAATGCGTGAGACGTTGTAAACTTGCTGAACCGTATCATTAGACTCCAGGCGCCGCATGACCCTTCGATTCTTATCCTCGAAACCATCGCCTTCTGGGTCATTGGGGTCGTCCACCATCTCAAAGTCGTCCTCCGGAACTACAGGCTGTTCGCCCTCGGCTCCGGAGGGTCCCTGCTCGCCTTGGTCCAGCCCACCGTCAATGTCATCTTGAGCTCCGTCGGTGTCAGTCGGTGGAGTAGGCGCTGAGGAAGGGGTGACGCTAACGGACGATGCCACCGCTGGAGGGACAGCATTGCTCAGCCTCAAGCTTGATGCAGACTGCAGATCGGTGGTCTTTCTTTTAGGCTGGTATGCCTCATTCTGCCCCGATGAGTCTGGTAGGAGGCGTACTCTCATTCTATTGCGGCCCTCTGTTCGATCCAGCTTCCACTTGATTGGGCCAGGTTCGTGAAACACGGAACCAGGTCGACAAAGATCTCGCTGCATCTTGGAAAACGACGCCGAATAGTACATGACATCGTCTTGTTGGTCTTGCATACCCCTCTGATACTTGTAGTGTTCAGAGCCATATATTGACTTCATCCAGGCCATATTTGACATGTCGTGATGCAGAATTACCTTTTCTCTTTCGAGTCTTTCGACCTGCCATCGTTTCAGCGTGTCCCTTCGCTTGGAAAGGCGGGACTTCGCGGTTTCCGAGGTTTTGTGATTTTCGAATGCCACGAAGTCCTCCCAGGTCCGAGAGAGCCCACTAAGAAACATGCCGTCAAGAGATGGACGATGCTCATCAACCCATGCTACAAAGGCATCGTTGTCAAGTTCGGTTAGTTTCTTGAACTCATCGGTCAGATCCGCTTGATCTGGCATCATGAACTGTCGGAACATGATGGAGCACTCCTCAGGCTTTTGAACCAGCATGATACGCCATATGTTCACTGCGGCAAGTCTGACAGCCTCCCGACTGTCAACCAACTTAACGTAAAGCTGGTACCATAGCAGCTTCATGTAATCGTCTTCAACCGACAGCGAGTCTAGAATGACCATTTGCCAATATAGGACCTTGTTCATGGAGAAGTTTGCATCCATGTCGGCGGTTTCAGGGTCGTCCATCTCTGATAACCGGAGCAATATTAGCTTGAGGAACGAACCGCGGATGGTGGAGACTGCTTGACTACAAAGTCGCACAGTTTTGAGTCTTGCAACTTCCGGCTTTTGGAGGTACTCAAGAAGCAGGCCTGCAAAGTCGAGTAAGGACTCTGTGCCATTCATGAACCAGCCTTCGAAGATGGCTTCCACCATGTGGAGGCTGAAACGTGCCATGTTTGTCAGTACCCTTGGTTCAGACAGAAGCTTCCAGTCGAGCTTGATGGAAGTAGACAGGTGGTTGATCGTTCTCTGAAGAACGTATGACTCGAAGTATGCTTGGTGCTCCTGGAAACCGGGCGGCACTTTCAAGAAGAGGCCAAAACCCGGAAACTCTTTCCGCACCAACAGTTGATCCATGAATACATTGATGATCAGCTCGAGCATTCCTTCCAATACCGCGTTCCCAATACCCTGGGACGCTACTTTCTTCTTCGGAGACATAACATGCGTCAGGCGCGCTGGGTTTGGGGGAGGTGATTTTTGCGAGGTAAGAAGAATGAAAGAAGAAGCTTTGCGCAGCGGTGTTCCTCGTACACTGTTCGTTGGTCTCTGTAGCGTTGTGTCTGGGACGTGAGAAGTCCTTACGATGGGGGTGGACGAGCTCCCAGGTAGTGGCCGAATCATAACGTCGCCTCCGTCGAAAGTCAGAGCAGAATCTCGGGAGTTCAATTCTGTCTCCGGCGTCACTGCATCTGTGCTCACAATAGCTGGGTACAATGCTGACAAAAGCAGCTTCACGTAATCTGATGAGAGTGCAAAATCCCTGAAATCTGCAGATCTCCCATGAAGATCAGCTAGGAATCGGAGTACGGTCTGCAAAGCGGCAGCGTTGCCAGCGACCTTTTCCTGGCCTGACTGTGGTGTTTCTGGTGATATTGTTAACCCGGTGCTAATTGCGACGAAAATCGTCGAACTTACGTCGTGTTTCGAGCTCCTGCAGAAGAGACATGGACCTGGCCCGAGGTCTCGTTGTCGTCTTGTCGTCAGCATCTTTCGGCGGGGGCGGAGAGCGATCTCCAGACGGCGAGTCTGGATCTTCTTGATTTCTAAGGACATCTTTCAGTCCATGTTGCAGCAGGGCTGTAATGATTGGTAAGGCTTCTGGATGGACGACTTTGCACTTTCCAAACGTCTCAATCAAACTAAAGAAGTCGAAAGACCTATCGAAGTCAATGTCTGCGACATCGTGTCCGAAAAGTATGCTAAGGCAAATGGGCCAGATAGTGGGAATGTCCCACCACCGTTTCAGGCGATGAGCCATGACGGAGAAGCCTCCTGTCTTGCCAGAGAATTTGCTGGTGTACATCGTCCCATGTGTCACCAGCAGCCTTGCCAAAATCTTGCAGCCATGAATTACGATCTCCGGACTGTCTTCGGTTAACAGGTAAAGTAGCCACTGGGCCATTGTTAGTCTAGAGTTATACATTGGGAGCCGTTCATCAAGTACCTTGTTTGTCACTGTTTTGGCAAACTTGCGTATATTGACAAGATTCCCCTTCTCGCACAGCAGTTGACTGTACATATCGAGTATCTTGACGCCAACTTGCCGTTTGGTCAGAAGCGAGTTTTTACTGCCAGAACCGTGGGCTTCAACAGCAGGTCTCCGCGGAAGTATGCGGGTGCTGGGCTTTGATAAGGCCGAGCCAGGCTTTGGAGTTCTAGGCAGTGACGTTGAGGGTGAATGAAACGCGTATGTGATGAACAGTGCAAGGACTCGATGAACTTCCGCAGTATGGCTGCATTTGACCAGACTCTCGAGGGTCGTCATGAAGAAAGGTAGCACATCCTCAGGCAATGGCTCCGCCTTCAGGGCGTCCAGCAATCTCTTGACTATGCCTATTTCATGGGCACATTAGTCCAGCTCTTCAAAACATATACTCCCTACTTACGCATTCGAAGCAACCGACGATTATTGTACTGATGATGCTTGCTCATCACCGCAAAAGTGACGAACTGTTTGTAGTACAGCTCCTGGACAATTGGCGCGGACTTCCTCCATACGTCGAAGTCAATCAGCAGGATCCGATAGGCAAGGGGGTTGGCAATGACCGAGTCAAGGGGCTGTCTATGTCTATAGCCCACGAACTCGAGAACGAGGCTCAGTAGTTGGAAGCAGAGCTTCTCTCGTTCGATACTCTCGAGGTTGAGCCTTTCTGCAATCCTATCACCCCCTGAAGCAACTGCACCAAGCCCTAATTTGGCTTTCAGCAGCAAGGCAACAATAGAGTAGGCGCCATCCCTTTCTAGAGCTTCGCTATTTCTCCAGCTCGAGTTGGCACAGCGGAATACCACTTCCGTAGCGTAGAGGAGCTCTTCGGGGGTTGATGACCGTTCGATCAACTTCAGAGCTAGTGGTGTGAACCCAGCCAATCTCCACATCGCGTCATCAATATATTGTGGTACGGCAATAATAGGTTCTCCGGACAATACTGCAACGCCATTAGAGCGGATCAAGGCTTCGTTGACTGAAGGCTGGGCAGTGTTGATTGCAACCCCTATGCCATTTTTGAGAGTCATCTGCACCAACGTCTGCGCCGGCCCTCTCGAAAGTGATCGAAATAACTGTGAATCACCAAGAGGATCCTTTTCTCTGAAGATGGAAGATGGCATCATGCTAAGAAGAATCCGCTGTTCCGGCAAGATGTATCCCGCCTTGTCTCTTATCGCCTTGAGGATGTCAGAGCTTCCATCTTTTCCAACGGTGACGGTGTCATTCCGAAGTCCTAAAGCTGCGGAGGCTTCGTATGTTTGGAAGCCGCCCAGGCAGTCTTGGAAATTCCCCTGGTAGCGAGGCCCTAGTCGGCTGGCAACAGCTAGGAGCTCCTCGCTAAGTATATCTTCAAACAGGTGTGCGGTAGCAAATGACAATTTTGCAGAAACCAAGCCATGACCCAAATACGTAGCAAGTTCCCTGGGGGTGCCTAGGAAAGCCTGCACCGGCTTGGCTTTGTTATTGTTTGAAGCGAAGGAGGCAAAGCTCTCTGTGCTCGCGTTGGTGAGGGGTGGGGAGGCAGGATATTGAGCTCGAACTTGTTCGACAAACTCTCCATCCACGTACAGCGAGGCCTTGCTTGGCGTCATGGTCTTTGGTCGCCGATGAACAAGAGCAATGTGATACCATTTTCCTTCCTCAAACGTGAAGGACTTGAAGCGAACACTAGGTCGCTGTGAGGTCACTGATGTCTGCAGGATAAAGTTTCGGGTATCCCTCTCGAGGTATATCAAAACGAAGCAGGTCTGGGTGACATCGAAAACTCCGAAGATAGTCGTGTGTGACTTTGTATCGAACTTGTCCACACGAATCCACGCACTGAACGTGTATCCTGCGGATGATTGAGGCGGAAACGGCCGTCCTAGGCTTGGTAGATCAATGGATGCGTGCCCATGCAGTGACAGATCGAACTGTATGAAAGGTGGACTCTGGTGCTTTTGAATCATCTCAAGGCAAAAATTGGCCGAATCCGAAGAGTTATTGGTAAGTAGGGCTTGGGCATCAGATAACCGCCTCACGCCCAGGAACATAAGTTTCCTGCATATGTATAACACAATATCGCGTTCTACTTCATTGAGAAACGACTCTTCGTCGAATGCCAGCTCCAGCAGGCGCGACAGTATACCCGTTTCATGGACAAGAGCCAGGTTGTAATCGGAGGCGGCTGTGACTGCCGCTATGACCTTGAGCACCAGCACAGAAATCAGGACATTCTTTGAGTCTTTCTCCCGGGGTATGGACACCCAGAAATCAACGATTGTTCGAACAACTTCTGGGTTCTGCAGTGTAGAGTTGGGTCCGATCAAATCATGTACGGCTTTCCCAATGTGAGCGATAGGATCCGCTGGCTTCTCTCCATCCTCGCTATTTGCGTCGTGCGGCACAATCTCATAGCTGCTTGAAACATCCTCTATATGGATCTCGGCATTTCTCGAGACCGTAGTAGAGCATAGTTGATCCAGGGCCGGGTTGTTCAAAGAGAAGGCTAGCAATTTCCCGAACAGCTGGCCACTCGTCCAGAAGTCCAAATCACTGCCGCCAAGGCCGATGCTGGCTATTGTCTGTTCCAAGGCTTCCCATCCGCCACTCTCCACTCTCGTGCGAAAGTAACGCCTGTTTCCGGGGTGTGCTCTGAATGCCGCGGCCAGGACTCCGAAAATAGCATCCAGAAATGCAAACAAGCTCTTTTTCTCTTCCTCGCTCCGCTTCTGTGGGTTGTAGAAGCCCGAGTACGACCGTAGTGAGTCGAAAATGAGATGGAAGCCACGAAGATGGCGAAAGTCGTCTTGGACCGGGCTAGGTGGTGCCGGCGCGGCTAGGTGTTGTTTAACGAGGACAGTCTGCTTGACAAGCTCGTCTGTGTTGGGATAGCCATGGTGGGACCTTGCGCTCAAGGTTGCAGTAAGGCTTTCAAGGAGCTTCCGGAGCACTTCGACGGCTTTCGAACTCTGAGGTGGGCTGGATGCTGAGGTTGACGATCGGTACCGACTGGGACGAGACGCCATGATGTCACGGAAGGGTAGCTCGTGGGAGGATGACCGGGGAGATCTGCTGCTTCATTGCTTTTCTTATCCCCTCCAGGTGCCCTCGATTGGGTATAGATAGTTGTCGGCACACGCCAGCATCGAATGCGCGCCGGCAGTATAAGTATTCAGGCAGGTCGGGGGCTTCGTCGCTGAAGCTGTCTCGTGTGTTAGGGGCAACGGGCTGGGCCTCGTGCTTCGCCGCAAGTCTACAAACAACCACAGCAGGCGGAAAATCCGGTTTCCAGCACCGAAGCAAGAATACACAGCTCACAAAGCTTGGATAGCAAGATACTGAGAGGAAATCGAAGCAAACAAGCAGCGTCTATGCTGTAGGCAGGCACGGCAAGGGAACATTTGCAGCGCGGAAACGTCAGCCTTGAGGGCGCGCCGCGTGTGGCTTGACTGCATCCCATACCCATCCCACTTTACTGGGGCCTGGTCTGGCCAGGGCGCTGGCTCGCCGCTTCACAGCCGCACTTGATCAGGCTAGATGCGGTAAGGATCGTTTGGCTTGGGAGGTGCACGCAAGGGCACATGGACATCCTCATGCATGCAATGTTCCATTGGGAGTCAGAGATGCAGCCAGCAATAGAGAATTGACGACGGTTTTCAATGCTCTTAGAGTGCATACTGATAGCGACATTTGTTTTCTGTGCGCTTTGACTTGAGACAGCCCAGAAGCACCGCTATACTGACCTAGGTATCTACGTAATCATGCATTGCAGGCGGCCGTTAGTTTGATAGCTGCGCTTGTGTTAAGGGCCAGTCTCCTCCCACCTGGTAGTCAGTCACAGTGAAACACGCGCAAAGAACAAGTCATTTTGTTAGCATGCTCCCGTAAATACTGCACCTGCCCGGCTTCATTACCGGGCACGTAAGATTTGTTGTACTATGCTCAGCATGCGACCAACAGCAAACACTTCATACTTGTTCTATTGTTGCGGACCGTCACGCCGGTAGTATGGATAAAGCACTGGCAAATGTCCTTCGGCGTCAGCCTAGTTGGACACTCTCCTCATTCATGCTTCGCGATAGAAGTTTATATACAGTATTGCTCTCCTCGGGCAAGAGCCAGTGACTCTAGTTTGTGATATTAGCTGAATTTTAAGACTTTCGTTTGTCTCTTTGATCCACGACTTCGGAGTACTCGGTTATACCGACCACTAACTACCCCGGATAGGTACATACGCAGTTACGTGAATACGTTGACTACAAGTGCGCCATGGTTATTACTTGAACGAATGACAGGCTGGACGGTTTCCAGTCCCGAGGCACTGCGATAAGATAAGAGGGATGGTGTGAGCCTGAGGCATGACTCGAAAGAGATGTGGCACGAGGTGGGTGTCTGCAACCAGCACTTGGCGCTTTCATGCGGTCGCGGATGGCCACTACCCTATGAGCTGTCGGCAGCACCGTCGCAGCACCGTCACGCATCCCTATCGCTGGCCCATCACTTCCTTCCCTAGGCTGGACCCTGAAACCCAGAGCTTGAGCTGGTGCATACCCAGTACTTTAGGTAGAGAAGCTCAATTGTTGAGCTACTCTTTCGCCCGGTTCATCTTGCTGCGCTCTCGGCTTCCCGGGCTGGACTCCCGTGCAGGCAGGCTACCTAAGTAGGTAGATACCCGAGCAAGCGCTGAGCGAGAGCTTGGAATGCAAATGATGACACAATCGACGCGGGAACTGAATTAACGCCTCCCCAGGCCACGTCCCTTGCTGGTCGTCCGCCTCGCCTGCTCGCCCGCCTTGCCAGACCCGCTACGTTAGGAACGCCAGGATAAGCATCTGGCTCCAACCATGCCGAAGTCGGCCTAGCTTTGCAAATCGGTCAGTCGGCCCTGGCACGTGTGCACCTGGACGTTGGCTCATTGCCGCCTCCGCTGCTTGTCTTACATCGGCAACCACGACAGTAAGGCCGTTGTGTCGAAGAACACACCTTAGACTTTCCTCCGACACCATCTTTGTCGGTGGCGGGTTCCCGCCGCGTACGCACACCATTCAACCTACCTTAGGGGAGGCAATGTCTTGTACATTGGATATCACTGCTGGCGATGATGGCGTTCTTATCAGCAGCCGATAACCAAGTGGAAGCTCCAACGCGGGGTGAGCATTGGGGCGGCTCCACTTGAGTCAGGCAAGCTTCGCGCTATCTGTTTTAGAGCTCCGGCCTGAGATACGCATTGCAGATTCCGGTATCCCTCCAGGTGCCTGGCTTGCCTGGCTGAGCCGCGGAGACGGCACACAACCTCAACAGTAGGCGAGAACCAACGTATAACCTCGTGGTTTCGTTTCCTTTGCAGGCGTGGACTCTCTGGAGGTCGGACTTGGATGTGTGATACTGTAGCAGCAGAAGCGAGGACCTCGGGCAGACGCCATCGTCCGTAACCGCTGACATCAGCCGTATAGCGCGTAGCATGCTGACCGACATCTAAACAGGCTGCACAGCTCAAAGCTCAAAGACGAGGACGTTGGTTCCCCAGACTTGGGATCTTGCACTCCGTCTGTACCTAGGTAGAGAAGACATTGCGTGGTTGCTCGCGATTTCTGGGGTGTCCGCGTGAGTCCCGTGGTTGGCTGAAGTATCAGCCAGAGAGCCACACGGATACCGAGTACCTTATGTCGACATCGGCAAGGCGGATTGAGTCAGTTTCAAGCGCGCTGGGCACCGTACCAGGCCTCAGGCACGCCGTGGCGATCAGCACAAGCAGACATGGAAATGACAAGTGCGGTGCGAGAATATGGGCGCACAAGTAACTAGTTATCGGGCGGTAGAGTATCTTGGGGTCTCCGTTCGAAATGCAGCTGGCCAAAGACTGACGGGACTGACGGTGACGAATGCTGCGTTCCGGCCGCGTTTCCGTCAGAGTGCCTGAGTGCTTCATTCCGGGGGAGGTCCAATGCTCCCAGAGACACTCTAACCTCTTCGGGGGCTTGCCTGCCTCGCACCTCACCAGGCACTGGACCGCTTGCGCTTCTTGGCGGGCGACCGGGGGGGCAGGGGAGGCTGTGTGTGGACCACCCCCAGTCTGTTATCTTGCGCTGTCGTCACGGGTTCCCAAGACGAGTGGACACCCACCCAGTCCACCCACCACTCCAGCTCTGTCCTCCAGTCCTGGGCTCACTGGGGCCCTGGCGTGACTGGCTGGCTGGCTGGCGGCCCCGGCGGCCCCAGCCCAGGCAGGAGCTGTGCTCGGCAACCGACGTCGTCTACCTGCTCAACCGTACTTATCTGACAGCTCGCTCTCCGCTCGAAGCTCTCTCTTCCTCTCTTCATCCTCCCCATCCCCATCCCATCTGCCTCTCCAGTCAACATCGTCATCCATCCATTTCTGTCATCGTCTACGTTTGAGTCGCTGGTAGACTTATCTCTCGGCCTTCCATTCATTTGGTTCTGCGGTCCGGCCCCATCCGCTTCTCCCGTCCACCTATCGTCACCATGAAGGGCTTCATTGCTCTCTCATTGGCGTGCGCTGCCGCTGCAGCCCCGTCCTTCAGCCTTGAGACCATCCACGATGGCGCTGCACCCATCATTTCCTCCTCGGATGCCGAGCATGTCCCCAACTCGTACATCATCAAGTTCAAGAAGCACGTCACCTCGTCCGGCGCCTCGGACCACCACTCCTGGATCCAGCAGATCCATGGCTCCAGTCAGAAGCAGCGCCTCGAGCTTCGCAAGCGCGGCCAGTTCCCCCTGGTCAACGACGTGTTTGACGGCATGAAGCACGCCTTTAACATCGGCTCCGATTTCCTGGGCTACTCTGGCCACTTTGACGACTCGGTCATCGAGGAGATCCGGAGGCATCCCGACGTAAGCCAACCCTACGTTCCCCTTCCCGTCTGTCAAGATAAATCCGTCCATTCTAACGATACTCCGAACAGGTCGAGTACGTCGAGCGAGACCAGATCGTCTCCACTCTGAAGGAAGAGGACCCCGTCACAGAGAAGAACGCTCCTTGGGGCCTTGCCCGTATCTCCCACCGTGACTCTCTGTCTTTCGGCACGTTCAATAAGTACATCTACGCCGCAGAGGGTGGCGAGGGTGTCGACGCCTACGTGATTGACACCGGTACCAACATTGAGCACGTTGACTTTGAGGGTCGTGCCCACTGGGGCAAGACCATCCCCACTGGCGATGACGATATTGATGGTAACGGACACGGCACTCACTGCTCTGGTACCGTCGCCGGTGCCAAGTATGGTGTTGCCAAGAAGGCGAATGTGTACGCCGTCAAGGTCCTCCGCAGTAACGGCAGCGGATCCATGAGCGACGTCCTGAAGGGTGTCGAGTGGGCCGCTTCGGCTCACCTGGACCAGGTCAAGGCTGCCAAGGACGGCAAGCGCAAGGGCTTCAAGGGCTCTGTCGCCAACATGTCTCTCGGTGGTGGCAAGTCGCCCTCGCTCGACCAGGCCGTCAACGCTGCCGTCGATGCTGGTATCCACTTCGCTGTCGCTGCCGGCAACGACAACGCCGACGCCTGCAACTACTCTCCTGCTTCTGCCACCAAGGCCGTCACTGTTGGCGCCTCTGCTCTGGATGACAGCCGTGCCTACTTCTCCAACTGGGGCAAGTGCGTCGACATCTTCGGCCCTGGCCTGAGCATCCAGTCCACCTGGATTGGCAGCAAGACCGCCATCAACACCATCAGCGGCACCTCGATGGCCTCCCCCCATCTTGCCGGTCTCCTTGCCTACTACGTCTCGCTCCAGCCCAGCAAGGAGTCCGAGTACGGCATGGCGGCAATCACCCCCGAGAAGCTCAAGGCCAACCTCATCAAGGTTGCCACCAAGGGCAAGCTGTCCGACATCCCCAAGGACACCCCCAACTTGCTCGCCTGGAACGGCGGCGGTTCTTCCAACTACTCCGACATCTTGGCCGCGTCTATCTAGGTGTGTTGGGCCAGTATTGGGTTAGCATACATCATGAGCCATTAGGGCACCACGGGTTTTCTCTTGTATCGTATTTCCTAGGTTCAATGCATCAATGGTAGTTTCATAGTCCAATCAATCGAAACGATGTTCGATCTTCAGCCTTATTCATCTACTCGTGCGCAACGGCGATGCTGTGTCGTGATGTATGTTAGCTGTTTCATACCTGAACAGGAACAGTATTGCCCGTCGGTAAGTACGCCGGACTTGTCATCATGATTGTCCTGGCTCGAGTTTACAGATATCGCACACCAGCTTCATGGTCGCGATGGCTTCTAGCCGCGACCCGACAGCTCCTTCTTCTCCCTAGAGTCTGGTGCAGTCAACCTTCCCAAGCTCGTAGGTTGAGTCAAACGGCAAGCCGCCAGACTTGAACGCACCTGCCAAACGCCCCGGGGACTAGTTTCAACCAACGATGAGCCGCGCAACAGGAAGCGCGTGCTCAGAGGACTGGAGCACGGTTTGGGCTGCATCGTCAACATCACCGGCGTTTGTTCGTCTTACCGCATGCATCTCTCGAATTTTCAGCCATATCACCCGCCCTCTGCACCTACCGAAGGTCCAGACGGTCATTTTGGTTAGCTTACAGTCCACACGAACCGTTGTCCAAGATTATTCCAGCAACCTACGCAATCGCTGTCTCTCAGGTATCGCTTAGGTATTGATTTGACCTTGCTGCCGACCCGGTATTCGCTACGCGCGATACCAGGAAACTCATCAACAATCATGCAACGACGCAACAGCACGAGATCTGGTGTCCTGTCGCGCCAGAAGTCGACTTCATCCGTGAAGAGCGTCCAGCTCATTCACATTCACCCAGAAGCAGCTGAACGTGATGCTCAGAGCGCAGCTGCCCAGGCCTTCGCAAGGGCACAAGAACGATCCTCTACAGATACAACCCCGTGGCCACCCTCTCGGGCTGACAAGAAGCAATCCCATCTCCGGCGGCAGAATTCTACTCCTGAGAGTCGTCCAACTGGTCCTGGCCTTCGAAAGCAACAGAGCGTTCGCTTTGTCCAGCCTCAACCTTCGAGAAGCTATTTGAGATCGGAGCTGACACAATCTACGCCCTCGCAATCAGCTGATACCGAGTCTTGCATAACAAAAAGCCGAGTGAACTCCAGACCTACAGGTAATGCCTCAGCGACCGGGATGGTTTTTGCCGCCAAGGGCGCTGCAGGCGACTACATAAACGCCCTCATTACGGGAGAGGAATACTACACGCCTGAGGATGGTATAGCTTCAGCTCCATCTTCATATCGCCGCCTTCGCAAGTCCAGATCCATGTTCGCTAGCTCTGAGCCGGGCTGCCAGGGAGGGCTTCGTCAGTCCCCGAGATCAGCAACAGCTCGGCCATTCCAGCGTCACGTCCCAAATTCTCGGCACAACAACGAAAACAGGAGTCCTTTGGCTCTGAGGGCTCCGAGATCGATGAGCTTCCTGGGAGACAGACCAGAACCTTTCAGTATGGCCATGAGAACCGATGTGTGGGCATCTGGTATTCCCGATGATGAGTCGCTTTACGCAGGGATTCCGAGCACTCTCGCAGCTCAACCACCTACATGCCACAAAACGCGAGACAGGCCACAAAAAGTGTTCAGGAAAACGTTGCGGGATCTGAGCAATAGTGCGACTACAGCGCAGTCCGCTTCAGGGAAAGACGGAAGCTTGAGGAAGAAAGCTCGGAAGGTTTCTCAAAACTTCAAGCACAAAATCAAGTCGTTCTTCAGTGTCGCCCGTGTCGACAACGATGATGCAGTACTTCCTCCTCAGCAAATCAAATCTCAGAAGACACATGTGACGGAGGTTGAAGATCATGATCACCATCCGAGCGGCTTTTACTATGAGCATCTCGACTCAGAAAACACCACTGTATCTCGCGTTACCTCTGGCATTCCTTCCCTTCACTCTGTACCTGTCGAACAGCAACTTCGCTCACGTCAAGGCAGCCTCGAAAGCCTACACAGTGAGAAGAGTGCATCTGATGAGAAATCCAGGGTTACAAGTTGGACAGATTCTGAGACCAATACCTTTTGCACAATGAATAGCTCAAAAGGGGAGTGGGAGAAGCAACGGCTGTCAGTCATCAAGGAAAATGGTGCTCACATTTCTTCACCCTCTGTCCAGATTGATACTGCAGATTCGCTCCCAGGTCACTATTTACAAGCGCGAGAGTCCCAGGAAGCTGTCCCAGCCGGGCAGCAGACTGATGGCCAAAGGCTGTATTCAGCTTTGAAGAAGAGACGTGATGCCCCTCAACAACAACGAAGGCACAGAGCTGAGATCAGTCGCCAGCAGAGCATCGAAGACTTTGTAGTGCACGGCATCCCTCCTCCTCGAAGCAGTTCTAGGGATCGAGTTGTTGGCGGAGACAGTAAGCCTGCAGCCACGGGACAAATCACTCCCAGAGCTCGTACAAGCCCAACCTTGTCCCGACCATCATCGGCTTCAACCGTGGTACATGGTCAGGAAGGGTCCACTACTCGAGCTACGTCAGAAATGGTCAATGAAGACCATTGTCGATCTAGATTTTACCTATCCACTAATATTCTAGTGTCACCAGCAGATAGGGCTGTCAACTCTCATCAAACACTGGCATTGCCGGCCCGGGCCATGACGAGCCCACAAGTAGGAGCCAAGCCAAAGCAGATCCGGACCTTGTCTGAAAGGAGCTCGGCATTTTTTGGAAGCCCAGCGTGTCACTTATTCCGAACAAAAAGCCCATACCGCCGTGCAATACAGGGATCCATGCAGGCTGCCGCTGACACAAATACCGCCTCGTCCCCCGAGTTCAATCCCTGGATGAAGACATTGAACAGTCTTCCAATTCGCCATCTAAGCAGGTGCGAGTCCGAAATCGACAGGAAGATGATATACGCAGAGAGCATCTATTCTTGTGAAGAAGAACCCATGAATCACTCGATCCATACGCCCTCAATAGTTGCTCAATTCCCTGATCCACCGGGAAGAAATCTTGGCGATGCCACCATCTTTCTTGACCCACCGATCTATAGACCGAAACAACGCCTCGAATCGAATCATCGGGTAACCTCATCGGCAAGTTCGGTTGAATGGAAGAAGTGGCTTTCTGCAAACGTTTCCAAACTAGAACAATCAACCTTATCGCTTGAGCAGTGCAATACCAGCGGAGACGAATGTGAAGCTCCCAGAGTGCCTCGGGTATCGGGTCATCTTCGTGAGAGTGCACAAATCAGCGATGATGACGATGGTGACAAAATACTTGAAGATGGATTCGACTTAGCTCATATGAGCGGAATTTTGCAGCAAACGGCTCCCTCGCATGATATTCCGAATAGCGGACAGATGGACCTGGGCTCACAGGACGAGTACCCGGCCCCTTTATCCACGAGGCCGGCAGGCCTTGACAGTCCACCACCAGTTCCTACTAAGAGTAACTTGCGACCAACTCCCTCTAAAGAGCGCTCATGGCCATGCAATCAAAATTCACATCCCATTGACACAAGTCAAAAGAAGGGTGCCTCCAGATCTATTCGATTGAGACGTCTTGCTCACGCGCGGTCCTTTAGCCCTCTTGGAGCTCGAGATGTAAGCACAATTACACCAACCAAGAGAACAATCCAAGGTAGGGCCAGACCAAATAGCTACGTCAATTCATTGTACAACCCAGGACTCGACACGGTGCATGCAGAACAACTTGGGAAGGTTGGGCGTTCGATAGAGTCCAAACACTATCCCGTTGCGATCACACCTGTCAAAACGGAGAACATGAACCCCCGAGGCTCAGACGAGGATGACCCTTTTCAGTCTCAAGGACCGGATCTGATGGTCCCTGGATTGAGCTCGAACGGCCGCTCTATTAGCAGTAGGCGTATGGTCGACATATTCCTCGACAGCAGACGACGAAGGATTGCTGGAAGTGATGATAGCGATGCTTTTATATAAGCTCGTGACAGGCGAGTGGTTCTAAAAGATGTCAACTATGCCTGCCGGTCATGCTAGGATAGCTTCATGAGCGCATGAAGTACAGAAGCGAGGAGCTCTGATAGAGGTTGTCTTGAGGAGGATTGATGCGAAACTGCAGCTTGCAGTGTTGGATTAGCTTGATCACGAGCGGGAAATCTCTGATCATTCACAGATTAGACAAAAAAAGGCAGGTTTAATTCTAGTGTATCACTGTTGGTAGGATGCGCAGTCGTAATTAAATCCGCATTGCATTGTTACATTAACTTGAAGCCTCTCGCGCGATGACAAGGAGCCTTGAAGTCCCAAGCGACGATTATGAGAAAGCAATCCAAGGTGTTGAAGTGCGAGTTGCGCCGTTGAAGTGCCAGTATTATTTCCCAGCCCTCTCCATTTGTTCTGCTGACAGGGGCTACGCAGACGGAAACAATCGGCTAATTCTTAGATGCGAGTCTTTCCAAGACCACCTGGGCACCAGTGATCTCAAAATCCCACCGGTCTCGCTCATCGATATCGAGCACGATAGAGTACTTCCCTGGCCAAAGCACCAGGTTTCCATCCTTGTCGCTCCGCGCGATGCTGCCCAGGCTGATGTCGAGCGAGGCGCCAGTGGCGTCCCCGGCCTTGACGTCGTGCAGCCGGGCGAAGGCGGCGAGGCTCTTGTTTGGATAGGGGCTCGGCCCGTATTGCCCCTGAACAAAAGCAAGAACCACGTAGTCTGACGTGGTGCTTCCTGTGTTCTTCACGCTGACAGGTAAAGAGAAGAAAAGTCCCTGGTCGAGGTATTTGGAAGAAGAGATATTGCTAGTGAGCGCAGACGCAGAGAAGGTTGCTGGAAGTAAGGATGCTCCTCCCGATATAGATACGTTAAAGGTTGTGTAGTGCAGGCCATGACCGAAGGGGAGTACGGCAGGTTTGTTGTACCACTTGTACGTTCGACTGGTGCGCAATTAGCTTGGTCTATCATGCCTCGTGCTATAAGTGATCCTACCCTGGGTTTCCACTTCCGGGTTGGAGATTCATGTCCGTCATCCTCACTTGGTCTACGTAAGCTGCCGGGTACTGCGTGATGGGCAGCCTAGCCGCTGGTGCATTCTGGCCAAGGACGATGCTCACGATGGCCTTGCCGCCATCTTGCCCCGGGTATCCGGCCCATAGTAGCGAGTCCACCCCCTCTTCTGACATTAGCGATGACGAGTCAAGCATGGTGCCCATCTGGACAACCACAAACGGCTTATTATTCGTGGTGGCCGCCAGCTGTTTGATCAATGGGAGCTGTTGTCCCGGCCATGTGATTTGCTCTCGGTCCTTCTCCTCCGTCTCGACTGAAGTATCGAGTCCACCAACGAAGACAACGGCATCAGCTTCTTTGGCGGCTGAAAGCGCGGCTGAGAACCCAGAGGTGCTTGAACCAGTTATTGCAGCCCCCTGGGAGGTACTAACCGTATATCCCGCGTCACGAAACGCTGAGGCCACACTGGAAATCTTCTGCGCAATTCCGAAGTAGTTTCCCTGCATTTGTGTTGTTGCTGAACCCAGGGGGCCAATGACCGCTACTTTCTTTGCAGAGGAGCCAAGTTTCAGGGGCAGTGCTCCGTTGTCATTTTTCAATAATACGATGCCCTCCACCGCTGCCCGCAGGGCGAGAGCCTTCGCCTCAGGGGTCGCAACTGAATCCCATACTATCTGACGGTAGGGCTGCTTGGCTGGTGGATCGAACCACCCCAACTTGACCATAGAGGCGTATCTCCTGATAAGGCTACGGTCTAACACCGAATCATTGATCAACTTATTACTGTATGCCGACTGGAGATTCTTGGGCCAAAAGTCACCGCAGTCCAAGTCAGTACCAGCATTCAAGCTCTGTGCTGCAGCATCCGCCGCACTCTTGCCATAGTGGTGGTCCGTCCAGACGTTTGCGAGGGCATCGCAGTCTGCCGTGACCCATCTGGCCCCCTGACCCTCTTCGTCCTCAAAATCCCACTGATCCCTGAGAACTCGCTGCAGTAGCCAAGGGTCAGCACAAGTAGGCACACTATTGACTGCATTATAACTGCACATGACGCTCTGCGCCTTCGCGTCCCGCACGCACGCTCGGAAGGGCGCGAGATAGTAGTCCTGCAAGTCGGTCCGGGAGATCACAGCATCAAATCCGTAACGCCGATTTCCCTTCCAGTTCTCAATGTCGTATCCCGCAAAGTGCTTGCACGTCGCCACGAGCTTCCAATAGCCTCCCTGCTGCTCCTCTTGAGTCAGACCTCCCTGCAGCCCCGGGATCAAGCGCCGCACATATTCCGAGACCACGAGCGGGTCTTCAGACGGAACCTCCTGGCCCCGGCCCCATCGCGGATCGCGCAGCGGGTTGATGTTGGGGGTCCAGTAGTTCAGACCGGCGCGGCCGGCGTTGCTGAAGGCACGCGCCTCGGTGCTGGTGACGGCGGCGACGGCGGCGACGAGTGGCATGTCGAATGAGGCGCCCAGCACGATGGGCTGCGGGAATGAGGTCGCGTAGCTAAAGTTGCCCGACGCGGCGAATGAGACGCCGCGCGACCGGGCCACGCCGTGAAGCGCCTCATTCCACCACTCGTACGACGGCAGGCCCAAACGGCTCGACCCGGGCGAGTTGTCGCCCGAGTTGGCGATCTTCTCGGAGAGCGTAAGAGCCGAGACTAAGGCGCTTGCGCGCTGCCAGGCCGAGAGGCTCGTGTTGCATACTTGGTTCGAGGCGAGCTGGGTATTGGGGGCTGCATTAGTGATATATTCTACTTCGGGGAGGTATACATTGGCTTACTGGACCAGACTGACAGTTCGGGAAGTCCCGCGCTGAAGCCGCGATGGCCAGGAGACTTATGATCGAAACACGAGGGTATAAATGCATGATGTTGATCTTTGAAAGTCAGCCACAAAAGCTTAGAGGAATAGCGCCCCTTCAGTCCAGTCTCTGACTGTACCCATTGCGATTGCTCCGAGTTATGTATCTCGTTGGCTTCATTTCGGTATCTTGGCGGGTCATCGCCGTAGGTAGTATTAAACGGCCGATCTCTCGCGATCCTGCATCTTCTACCGGCACTCACGGTATGCTGAATAGTTGGCTGGTATAAGACAGGGGTAGAGAGAGCCAAGGACCAATGAGACGGCAGCCTAGGTTTCCCAAAGTGGAAAGGCGGACGTTGGCTTTATCATTCAGCCTGAAGCGTGGCTGAACGGAAGGACTGACCTTATAGCTTTCACTGTTACATTGGGAGTAGGTAGTTGGTGGATTTGAGTTCTCAACAGAGAAGTATATGCGCAGGCCTGGACAGTGTTAAGTTTATCTTTCTCTATCTCTATACAAAGGGCAAGATAACATGACTGGGGTACTCGCCACCAAGGTGCACATTGTGCGTGCCCTTGTTTTGTAGGTGGTCGAAAGTGCCAAAGTTGCTGACGGCATGACTTCTCCCACTGATGCTCACCCTTAAGCCTTCACCTGCCTCGTACTGGATACCCATTGCCCAGATACCGATGTCCAACCTGACAACTGTGCCTGGTTCAATCTTCTCTTCCTTCTCATGTGGATGATATGGCCAGTTGGGATGTATCGATTTGCTCTCATCGATAGCACGATGAGAAGCACGGAGAATGCCCACAGGGCCCTTGTATGTCACGACTTCAGTACTCTGCTGAGGTGTGAACTCGTCGAACGATTTGACAGGTATCCCTTTCCAAGGAACGTTCAGGTTGGTCATAGGTCGGCCGGAGCTATCCAATTTCTCAATGAAGACGTAGATATCCATATCATCGAGATCATTGCAGGACATATAGACCACTGCCTTTGGCATACCGATGAGACGTGTTGTTCCCTTGAAGGTGTGCGTAAACACAACTGATTCAGAGCTTTCCGAGTTGTAGCTTAGGATTTCCGACTTCTCTGAAGGCTGAAGACTAAGCTTTCCATCTGAAGCGAGGTATAGCTTGTTGTATTGCGTTCTCTCCAACGGGAAACTGTTCTCAATGATGCCTTCAATTGGATCGTTGGAGCCAAACCTGAGGGCTGACAACCGGATCTTAGGAGTTTTCTCCCAGCCATTGTCTTCGTTCTTCAAGTACCGGTCGAAGAATTGTATCAGTTCTTCGGTGCCCTGCTTGTTGGCATACATATCGTACCACTCCTGTGTCCCATGCCAACGTAGCCATTTATCAGGAGTGTCAACCTCCATCCACCCTCGAATCACGCCCATTCCGTGCATGGTATTCGTCCAGGTCCCAGTCATGTATGTCGGTATGTTGATCTTCTTCATGTCAGGTCGTTTGTCGTTCCACCAGGCATCCGCTAGTGGCTGCTGAGCGAATTTCTCCTTGAAGCTCTCCATGCCGTGGCGACCTTTGAGCATATACTTGACGATGAGGTGGTCAAACAGATCGCCTGCGTAAATACCTCCACGAGCGAATTGTTCGCGGAACAAATCACCGCACCCTTCCCAAGGCGCAATGGCCTTCAGACTCGGTGGCCGGAGCGCAGCAATGAACCACTGCACAATGGCCAGGTGGGAGTTGCCCGCGAGGCCGACGGCGCCATTAGACCAAGGGAGCTTAGCCAATGCCTCAATAGTGTCGTATCCGTCCTCCGCCTCCTGGGTTCCCATGACGACCATTGTACCATCGCTATCGCCTACACCACGGTTGTCGATGTTGACGACTGCATATCCGCGGGGAACCCAATCTGCTGGGTCGATGCTCTCAAACTTCTCGAGACCAGAGAGCGTCCCGGCAGGGATACCCAGGTCCCATGGCGTCATCAGAGACAGAGACATCAGCCCGTTGAACTTCTTGCCAAAAGGTGACCAGCAGAGTATCACAGGGACTTTGCCACCCGATTTCCCGTCAACTGGGGGCGGAGGACGGTAGATATCAGCCCGTAGAACAGCGCCGTCTCGCATTGTGATTGGGACATCGTGTTCGACGAGGATTGCCGAACCTATGGGTCGTGCGTTGGGGTGAGGATATTTCCAGCCTGCCGGTAGTACTTCGCTGCGTTCGTTCAGGGCTTGGTATCCGCCCTGACCGACTTCAGGCAGACCGATGTCCACGATGGGGGCTCTTTGAATTGATGCAGACATGACGGTTGGTCTGTTTCTACTTGCCCAGAACAAAGAAACGAAAGTCCACAGAGGACTTTGTCGGTGTTATCACACATTGCGACGAGGCTTTCCACTCTCAAGATTACCTTCGGCATCTTTCGTAACATGTGGACCCGGGATCTGGAAGCACATCGAGCTCAGGGACTGACATGGCCCAGATTATAGAAGGCCCACGAGTTGCCGACGACACTACCTAGGTAGACACTACAGGGTAGCTGCTTGGCATTGTCCCAAGGTGCCTTTTGAACGCCAAGCACGCTTCCCCAGAGATTGTCCAGAATTCGTCTAGCCAGGCCAGCCAAATTTAGTGGTACCGGTCTGTACGGTGCAGGGGCACGATGCGGGGAAGCGGAGACGACCAAGACGGCGCTGTATAGGCCGAACCGAGCCGGACCGGTCGATTCAATGTGTTGCGTCTCGGTGCGGGCTCCCGAACCGAGCTTCCCCTCCACTACCCGACTGAGATCACTCTCAACACATGACACCCAGGTGCAAATGCAACACCAGGTATCCTGCATGTCGCTTCTATATAAGTAAACTGGGGAAAGTTAATTGGAGACATAATTCTTACACTCTTCAGCCCTTGAAGCATACCTACTGGGAGAGGTTTTGCACTATACCACAACAATAATTAAAACAGCCATATACAAGCAGTGTCAGAAATAATGGTTGCCAACAGCGATTCAAAGACCGCCTTGGTCGTGGACTCGCCAAGCTACGAGGTCAAGAAAATAGACACTACCAACCACCGAGTCCCCAAGCCCTCTGGACCCAACAAGGTGTTCACGAAGGAGGGCGTTACTTATGGTGACTGGAGAGATGACCTTGTTCGCGATGGGTACGCGGTGGTCAAAGGCGCAGTTCCCAAGGAACGTATCGAGAAATATGGCGACGACATGATGACTTACCTTGAGACCTTGTAAGTTGTTCTGTGCCTGCTTCCAGCAAGCGGCTTTCGCGTGTATAGTCTAGCAACTAACAACAATTGAAGTGCCGGTGGCCTTGGTTTCAAGCGTGACGACCCTTCTACCGTCAAGGAATCGAACCTTCCCATCATCACTGAGAAGGGCATGATCCTCGGTTACGGTGTTACCCACGAATCCTTCACTTGGGACATTCGCCAGGAGCCCGGCGTCGTTGAGGCCTTCGAGAGAGTTTACGACACCCAGGATCTTATTGTTTCCTTCGACGCCGTAAATGTTGCGTTCCCCAACCGCACCGATATTAAGCCCAACAAGCCCTGGCCTCACCAGGACCAAGACCCCACTAAGCCCGGCTTCCGGTGCCTCCAGGGTCTCGTCAACGTCTTCCCCAACGGTGACAAGGACGGCGGCTTGATCGTCTGCAAGGGCGGCCACATGCTCAGCGAGGAGTTCCACAAGGCGTTTGCCAACGAGCCCAACAGGATTCCAGCGTGGACTCCAGAGTGGTACGGCTTCACGGATGAGGGTATGGCTTGGTTGAAGGAGAAGGGTTGCGAATGGGTAAAGATCAACGCCGAGCCCGGCGACCTCCTGTTGTGGGACAGCCGCACGCCGCACTACAACCTCAGCCCTACAGGCACTTCGCCTCGTTTTGCCACTTACACTTGCTACATGCCGGCCGCCGACGCCTCTCAGTCGGACTTGGTGAGGAAGAAGGGCGCTTTTGATAACTTGATGGGCACCACCCACTGGCCCAATGCCTTGAACGTCGCGAACCTGCCCGTCAAGCGAAATGGAAAGGACTGCCCTTACCACACTGGCAAGCCGAGAGCACCACCGAAGTTGACCGAGAGGGGGTACCTGCTGACCGGTATCCCATACATTCAGCCCACCGCTGCATAAATGGCCAAATTGTATTGTCTCTAGCACAGTAATCAAAAATGTAAAAGTTCAAGTACCATCTTGATGCCTGTATCACAAAATTGGCATCGAAATAATTGCCAAATGTGAAGGCTTTTGAACCATCGTAAGATCATGCAACCTAGTGTCGGTGGTCCCGGTATCAGTCTTGCTGCCTTGGCTGTCATAAGATATAAGTCATTAAAGGTCCTCCAACCTGATTTTATTGCCCTGAAATTACGATCAGTCATCAATACTTTCAGTGTACAATTAGCCGCTGGCTTTGGTGTTTCAGTCATCCAACTTTATGCCGGTGCCACATTAGAGTATAGAAAGCCAACGAATAGTCAAGCAGATTAAGATATAATATAACGGGCAGATGTCATCTATCAAACAGGATCCGTTGTCTCCGGAAAGAGCTGCGTAAAGTCGGCCCAGTCCCATCCTATGTCATGTGTCACCTCAGGCGAAAACGCTGTGTCCTGCGACAGGGCTGGGGACTCTCCAAACACAGCACTAAAGTCCACGCTCATCAAATCGACCTGTCCTTGGTTCTCTTGTATTCCGAAGGCCTGTGGTATATTTCCTAGGCCATCTCCTGTGGTCTCGGGGTATTGAGAAGGCCGTCTTTCCATCGGAGTTGGCGCGGCGCTCGTTGTGTTGGAAGACACCATGGTGGATTCCTTTCGTATTGCTATCATCTGAGGCGTAGGTGCCGCCGATTCCAATACTCTACCTACTATGGAATCAAGCTTGTCCAACACCACGCCCAATTTGGTGTCACTGTTCAATAAACTATACTGATGTCTGGCGAAGTCTGCAGCGTCATGAATGAGCTGTATTTAAAACTCATAATTAGCTTTGAATGGAACAATTGGAGTGCATCCAGCTTACGTTCAGGTCGGACCTGGCCATCCGGGACTTTGGATGCCTGATAATGTTTATCGAGAGAACATATAGTGAGTGCAATGGCACTAGTAGCGAGGGAAAGAGGGGTTTCATATTAGTATCAGCAGCTTCGATGAGAAGTTGAATCATCCTCCGGGCTGCATTGGTAGTGATTGTTGGTCCGTTCCGAACAAGGTGTTCCCAGGGCATTCCCTTTGCGACATTATCTATGGCTACTTGGATAGTTTTAGGGCTCAAAAGTAGGCTGTTTTGCGTCAACATGAGCAAACTGGACTCTAACGTTAGTGGACTGACACAGGCTTCGCAGAACGAAAGTGATACTGACGCATGATGGTACTGGATTGAAATGAATGAGGCGTACGGGAAGCTTCCCGTGTCATAGATAAAGTCGGATCGCGGCCTGGGGACAGTCAGTCATTGAACATGTTACTTGCATTTGCCGCGCACCTGTATTCCTCAGGGAGGGCATCAGCCCATTTCGTCAGCATTGCACAAGATTCGGCAATTGTTCTAATCTTTTCTCTGATAGCCCCATCAATGCCACTCGTACCGGCTGTTTCTTCGGTATCTCGAGCCCGGATTGCACGCCGTTCAATCTCGCCCAGCGTATCTGCCAGGCCACCGACTATGTTGAGGAATGCAGGTCGGGGATGTCTTCTCCCGTCAGTGGAAAAAGACCAAGTCCCGAGCTCACACCCGTAGCAACTCTCATCGTGGATAAGAGGGGGCTTCCTAATCTCGAAAGCAAATAACCTCTCAAAGACATAGATACACCACCATGTGCGCCGCCTATCAACTTCACCATCCGGTTTGCTAGATGGCTGTGGGTTTTTGCTTGGCGAGCCAGGCCGATTCAAGGCGAGCGTCGTTCCCACAGTGACGCAGAGACTCAAAGCCGACCATGAAGCTGATATCCGGTCATGGCCTTTTAGGCATAAAGACATCAAGAAGAAGACCTGTACGGACTGGAGCGTGTTCCACCCAATCATGTGTCCCACAAAGCTCCTGCAAAAGTTCAAATTTGTCTCCGAGAAGTCTCGCCATTCCCGGCGTTCGTGGCTGAGAGAGCCAAGACTCAGGACGAGATAGACAAGCAGAAGGGGCAAGAAACCGTGGTCGTGAGCGAATTGGGACGGACCAAGTTGGAGCACGAGGTCGAGCATTTGGCTTGTCCGAACGGCATCCAAAAGAGGAAATACGGAGTTGACTTCCTCCAGATACAGGAACAACAGTTCTTGACACGTTGCAGGGTCTGGCAGTGGGGGGGCATCCAGCCTCAAGGCGGGCTGTTGGAATTGCGCATGCGAATCGTCCAAGGTCAACAAGGGCCCAAGGCGTTTCCTGATTCCCAACCGACGAAAGGCCAAATCCAGCCAATCGGTCAGGAGTTCAGTGGTGCTGCTTCCCGAATTGGGACGCAACATGGGCAACCGGCCCGAGAACTTGGTCGTCTGTTCGGCATCATCTGTTTCGGCATGCACATCAGTGGCCAGACCTGGTCCGCCATCAGGGGCCCGCACCAGAGGCTTCCAGGTGGAGAGTGGCTTAGGCTGTTGTTGAACATCCTCATGTGTTTCCGAGGTTGAGCGTGGTGTCAAGGGGACCGCCGCACTGAGTCTTCTTGGCTCTTGTGGTAAGATACGGGATTCCGAGCCCGTTGTCGAAGAGCCGGTAGGTGACGGCCGCGGACCCTGTGCTGCGGCATGATTATTCGCAGATGCCGCCCCTGCCTCGTGGCGTGTGATGGAAACCCCCGGGCGTCGTCGATCAACGGTGACACAAGGGATTCCAGCGTTGAGACACGCGCGGCAGGAAGGCTTCTGCTCATCGCAGCGAGACTTTCGACTCCTGCAGTAGTTGCAAGCAAAGTTTAGGCGTCTTCGCTTAGGAGGAGCCCCTGAAGAAGCTAAGCTCGAGTCGGCGATGTCAGCCATGGCCATACGGCTGGGAGTGGACATGATTGGGCAGAGAGCGCCGTCCCCAGCCTGTCGGAAGTCTGCTCTGCACGTCGAAGAAAATCTGGGGTAGGCGTACGGCAACGTACGATGTATATGCCAGATTCCGGCCAGTGCACTGAAGATGCCGTACCGAGATTGGGGTCTCTTCTGTTGTTATACCTCGTGAGTTCCGGGGTTGGTCTAGAACCCCCTGTGCGCCCAGCGCTACCCAGGCCTCCCCACAGCACGGCGCGCGGGGGGCGTGGGGTAAAGGGGGCCGGGGTACACCGGGGTTGCCCTTCTGCTTCGGGTTAAAGAGCACCGCAAGGCTTAGTTAGGGGCAAAAGGGGGGCCAATTTGCCTGGGGCCAGCCGATTCCGACTCAAATGGAATCTCTCTGATTGGGTAGCAGATTGCGCCCGCGACCGGAATCTCCCATCGGCATCTTGTATCCACAAGGGATACCAGCTTCAGGAAGGTATCACTTGCCAGAAAATTGGAGTGTAGATAATAGACACTCAGTTCCCACAACGACGTGTGTCAAGATGATGCATACAACGCAGAGGAAGGGGCAGGTGTGTCTGTTGAGCAGTTTCTTCATATAGGCACAGAGTATTCTCTTGTTTTCCGGCGCGACGGAGCCACGGTTTAACGGTATAAATCTTCGCCATGGGAGCCCAAGACCCGACGCTCGCAGCACCCGAGGCTGAGACTATCGAGTCTGTTGAGATGGGTCGAGCAGCCCATCGCGCTGGTGCCGGCCACACTGGAACAGTTCAACTTCTGGACGACACCAACGGGTCCGTTGTTTTGATCCCGACCCCGAGCCCGGATCCCAAGGGTGCGTGCGGCGAGAACCTTGACCTGACTATGGGCATGCGCGGCTAACAAGAGCGACCCCCAGATCCGCTCAACCTTCCATCATGGCGGAAGTTTATGATCATCCTCATTATCGGCATTTACTCCGCCTTCGCCGTCGCAACTACGTCTGGACTTGGCGCCGTTTACCCGACAGTCATGGCTACATATCCAGGCCAAGAGACGCAAGCCACTGATCTTTTGACGTATCCCACATTGTTCATGGGTATAGGCAACCTGTTCTCCATGCCTCTCTGCGTCGCAGTTGGGAGACGACCCGTGTTCCTCGCCTCGATGATTCTCCTCGTTGTGTCGGGGATCTGGTGTGCCTGCTCCACGTCGCTCTCTAGTCACATCGCCGGCCGCGACGTTTTCAGCATGGCCGCCGGGCAATCTGAGGCCCTTGCCCCCATGATAGTCCAGGAGATCCATTTCCTTCACGAGCGAGGCAGCAAAGTGGCATGGTTCGTCGGAGTCCAGACTGTCGGCACTGCTGCCTTCTTCGTCGCGACTGTATATATTGTGCCTTCCCTTGGACTGGGCTGGTGGTACGGAATTATCACCATCGTGAATGGAATCGTCTTGATCCTGGCTTTCTTTTTTGTGGTTGAGACCAAGTTTGATCGACCGCAAGATGCTACTGGTATGCCCCCTAGCCCTCTCCGACCCTCGCTTATATTTCCCACTTGGTATTAATCATTCTCCAGAGGGGCGAGTTCATCTTCATCTCGACGAAAACGGTAACCCGAGTAACAAAGGCGAGGAACTGATTTTCCGCGTTACCACCCGCCAGAATCATGTATTGCAGCCCGAGAAATTCGGGCCCAGGACGTGGCGCGACGACTGGAAGATCTTCCACTGCAAGCCAGACTGGTGGGCTTGTGCCTCTTTCTACAAGGATGCAGCCCTCGGGCTTACCCTGCCGACGATGCTCTGGATGGTATTACTGAACGGTGCCTTCCTTGGTGTTTACGTCTACCAGGCATCGACCTTCGCCCAAATTCTGATGTCGCCTCCCTTCCTCTTCAAGTCGGATTGGCTGGGGTTTGTTCAACTCGTACAAATCCTGGACTGCGTGATAATGGTACCGCTGCTGGGCTACGGCTCTGACAAGGTTGTCAAGCTTATGAGCAGATGGCACAAGGGCGTCTATGAGCCAGAGTACCGACTCATCGTCCTCGCTATCCCCGCGGTTGCCGTCGTGATCTCATGCGTTCTCTATGGACAGGGCGCACAGTTTCCCAACCTGTGGAACTGGATGACTATCGTTGCACCGTATCACATGGGGTATTTTGCTTTCTTGGGCGCCAACCTGGTTGGCATTACGTACGCTGTGGATAGCTTCCCGGACAGGGCTGGGCCGCTGCTCTTGCTAATATGTGCAGGGCGAGGTTTCATCTCGTTTGGTCTGAGCTATTCCACCGTCCCCCTCATCAGTCTGACTGGATACAATGGTGCTATGAATGTCTTTGCCGTCATCTGTGGAATTCTGTGCATTCTAGGGGTTCCAGCATACTTCTTTGGAGGAGCCGTCAGGAGATGGGCTACGAGACGGTTCTGGAAGCCTGTAGAGGACGGAATATAAACCTAGGCCTAGCTCAGTCTGGCGGGATCCGTGGCAGGGATCGACGAAGGGAATTACTGTTTATGTTTCATTTTACGATTTTACGTCCTATGCACTTAGAATGTGAACGGCCAAGCACTGCCATCTCCAAGATTTAGGTGCGCATCTCTCAACTTTCACATGGGATGTCATCGGCCAATCAGATATGTACCATGGAATGATAGGCTCATAGCTACCACGTACTGCAAATCTGAACAAAGTCCAACCCAGCAATCTCAGGGGCCGGTCGTTGCCATCTATCAGCCGGTTTGAGTACTGAGGCCTTTATTCTTGCTTGAACCACCAGAGAGAAATCCGACTACACTTACTGGGCTTGCAGAATCCTTCGCCAAGTATGTCACTCAAAGCGTAAATTGCGTCCGTTGGAACATGATAATTTCCCTCGACGTGTAGGGATGCTGCTTCGCACCTCATTGAATGACTGAACCAATCACCGTTGGCATTAGCTGCTCAGTGTCTTTCGCTCTTGATTCTTAATTTCCACTGTGGTGGACTATTGGGTGATTGTCCCGCATTCAGCATGAGTGCTACGATCAGGAGGGTAATGCGGCATCTAGTTCCGGCGCAGATCGAGGCCACTACGACACCAAGATGAAGCTCATCGGACATGATCCACAACCCATCGTAAATGACCCAATAGAATTGTTTGAGTGTACTGAATAATGTAGGTAGACACTTCAATGGCCTATTAGCGGACGGTTCCAAGGAAATGCCTCACATACACATTCACATGCCAGAGGTCTCTCAAACCACTCATGTCAGCTCGCTCGCAAAGCAGTATGCAGGAACTCAAGCTGGGCGTAAGATTGTCCTTCTCAGAACCTTTCTAGAATAATCGGCCCCTTCTAGAAGGTCGAACACCGCCTCAGGATGAGAGGCGAGGAGTCTAGTCTCGCACCATGGGCAAACCCCTTTTCAGGACCCCAACTCCATCCACAATTATGGTCTCGCTGAAACAGAAGGAGAAATATGAAACCTCAGCTCGTTCTGCCTCCATTGAGGTCAAGACACACCTTTTTTTCGACAAGTGTAAGTGTGGCCGTGCTCGCAGCATCGAGCTCGGGGCCAACGATATACTCGACGAGGAATGCGGATCCGAGATCGTTATTCGATTCGTCGCTCCAGCCACATTGTATAGCTGCAGCTGGCTGAATTAGGAAACGACCTTGCCACCATCTGTGGCGCATGCCAGTGTATGATGCGAATTGGCATCGAATTTTCTCACGTTACATGTCGCCAATGCATGGAGCATTCGGCGTATGAGACAACCTGCATTGTGAGTGGTTGCCATGGCGTAGGGTCTGGCCGACCCAGAGTCTTGAGACCGCAATGTCGGTGTCCGAGTGTTCGGATTATTACCCATATCACCTTCGAAACTCGGTGAGGCTGTATACATATCATGTGTACTGGGCCTTGAAATGGAGTGCGGACACTGCACATGCGTTCGCCATTAGCCACTGTCTGGCAGGCTAGCCAACCAATACCCTGTATTCGCAACAGCAACGCAAGTCTGCGGAGATGATGACGGGCTTCTAAGCTGGTGGAAACACGGTAGGGAGCCTGTAGGGTCTACTCCAGACGTGCCGAGGTTTAGATGCCCGCTGAAACAAGCAGGGAATTGGAAGCTTACGAGATGAGCTCGAAATATTTACATCAACACGAAAAGCCTTTCACGCTTCAGATCCCCGCGAACCAGTCATCCCCTGTAGTCAAGGATGGTTACATCCTGACAAGATCCCGGAAAGCCCGATTGATTCGTTCAACCCCAGAGGTTTTTCATATGGTTTATCGGTCAAGCACATCAGTGTCGGGCTCGAGTGCACAACGGAGAGAGCTTTGTCAGCCTGTTCCGTTGACTTTACAGTTTACAACTGACAATAAATGAATGATGTTAGTCTCTATATATTTTGAATTTCTGGCTCCTACCTATGTGGCTCGACTCTGCAGATGCAATAGGAAAGGGCTTACACACTCCACGAGATACTCTACATCTTTGGGGTATCCGGTGGTTTCAGCCATGTCCACGTCGACCTCGAAGAGACAGCCCTTACGATCTTGTGTTTCGGTTTTGGTGATCCCGTTATTGAGAATACTAGACAGTATGACTTCAGCAAATCAGTCAACTAGGGGCGTGAACTCTCGGCGGTATAGTTGAAGGAGATCAAATCTTGTCGAGCACTGAACCAGTACTAATTCTTGAACCTAGGAGCAGTACTGTTCGAAATTCATCGAGCTTGTCAGACCGCCAATCAGGCGAATCGGCTACAGGACAGAACGAGCTACTGGGACGACAACTACAGTCCTTCATTGACGAGGCATACGGGAGTGGTAACCGGAACATTATCCTGCCTGATCAGCCCACTGATGTTGCTTCGACCATAGCAAGAGCACAGAAGCATATGGCAGATAGAATCAGACGCATAATATCTCAGCTCTGATAGAGTAGGGCAGTGCATACCGAAGTAAGATGGCGCCACAATACCTTGTTAACAATGAGACTAACTGTGCTACTAGTGAGTTAGCGTACATTAGAAATAGAATGCCCGTACCTCACTGTACGGTTTTCCGCAAAGCGTATAATCTGGACGAGATCCGCTGCTTGTTGTATCGAACGTTGAAGCCATCTGCTTGCTTATCTGATGGTACCCAAGACAACCAAGCAAAGTCATCTGTGTATTCGAGGATTATTACTGGATGTGGGATACCTAGTAGTAGAAGTCTATCGCAACCAGAACTAAAGCTCTAATTGATTTCCGAACCACTAAAGCATTCAAGATCTTTGTTTTTCCTAAAGTCGTGCTCAATGGCTCCGACTACTGAACATGGTCACACAGAAATGACAACAGGCAGGGATCTTCAGTAACGGCCCTCGGTGAAAGTGAGACCTATAAAATACCAATTCTCCGCTACCTCAACGCTGAGTAGCCCCGTGGTTCATGTCGGTTTGGGCCACAGGGTAGCTGTGAGTCCGCATCGGCCGTTAGCAAAGATGCCCCTGGAGAAATGAAACCTAACGTCGCCGACTGTGTAGCATATGGCTGAGGCGGAATATGTTGTAACATGCCGACCACCTCAGCCGCCAGCAGCCTGTCTTCGCGATTTCAAATTGGCCTCCACCAGATGATGGCATAGCCTCGAACTTACGGCTGACAAGAACTTGAACCAACGCTCAGAATCTACCAGATTTACCAACAATCGGAAATTGGTATTTCAGCAGACACGTCTAGAGCAACGTCGCCATTATGTCTCCAGACCGGTTTGCCGTGCATGTTGACACACAGCCATCGGTAGGCCAGGTGGCAATGATGGCATTAATCAGACAGCCTTGCCCAAGCGCCAACCGTGAGACACGCAGCACAATAAGGGCTTGCCGATGCGGGTAGTGAAGCGCCTCATCCTACGGTACAAATCAAGGCCCGGGACCGCCGTTTTATCCCAAAAAGGTAATCCGGGAAAGACCCATGTCCGTCGCCCAACACTGCAGGTATCTGCGTCTTATGGCATCTTCGCAGGTCGTTCAATATTCTAAGCTGCATGCCGTGGGATCTCAGCCGCAATCTGAATCGTCCAAATCCTACGGCATTATGATCATCGTTGCATTGGCCGACGCAGCTGGGGAAGGACACGCCACAGCCGTGAACCTGGATCAAGGGTAGAGATGTAGAATGATGCCTACGCTAGCAAGTGCTGTTAGAGATTCTAGGCAAGATCTCCTCTACAGGTATCTGTTGAGATACTTCCGGAGTATTCAGGTACTCTCCAACCTGTATACCCTGCAGCCTTTGTTGCAACCATTTCAGCTTGGTGAAGCCACCAGCATATGAAAACGTGGAACAATCAAAGACAGGGCGACTAGCACAATGGCAAGGTAATACAGGTAGGATGTATAAAGAATGAAAGCTGGTGAGCCTCGACTCCTCTGACTTAGATGGTTCTGCCTTGAGTCCACTTTCGTGGCGAGTTGAGCGTATCGTACGTATCTCTTGCAAGTAAATGCAGGTCATAATTCCTGAAATGGCAAAGTCGCAGATAACTGACGTCAATAAACCCAATTACTGGTAAGTGATCTTACAAGATGTGTATACATGTGGTCTGATTGCGATCGATCAGTGCATCTGCATGCGGAAGTATGCTGCCGGCTATCCGCAAATCTTGCAAGGCCGAGAAGACAGAGCTTCGAGCTGCTCGACTGCAGGAGTTCGAAAGCACAACAGAAGGCAATAGAAATGCTCTGCTACATGACCAGAGCGCTCTTGCCGAGGCTACCATCAGAGACGCTGAAGCTCGGATGTCTGAGCGTCTACAAGATATCATGTCCTCCATGCGAGGATCATACAGTTTAAGCAATCATCGCTAGTGGAGTGAGGATCGCGAGGTTAAGTGCTTAAGCCTTTGATGAAGCTGGATCTCTTTGATGGCTAATCTTATGATGGAAAGACATCAGCACGTAGACACAGCGGCAGATACTGGGGTGTAGTAAAGTTCTCAAGGAATAATTAAACAAGTTCGATTTACCTCGCAGCATGAATGAGTATACGTATGTAATATACTAACGTGACATTTTAACTCTCTAGTCCTGATCGCGAATTTTCCCTTGCTTAATTTCGTCGTCATTTGGAGAGTTATGTGAATGTTACCTCATCCTTAAAGATGCTCCTGTCGTCTACGTATCGAGATGCTGTAAGCGCATGGTGGACCAAATTCGACTTTGAGTGCCACACGCTCTGTAGTTTCTGTCGTGGGCATTCTCTCTTTGGAGCGTTGGACATGGGCAGTGTGAATTCGGATCAGAGTGAGCCCGAGTGACTTGCAGTAAGAAAAAGCGAAAAGATCGGAGACTGAACAAGGGTCCAACTAAAACGGAGTCCTTCTTAGTACCCATGACTATTCCCCTCTATTGTTGTTCGCCTTCTTTAGTCAGCGTAATTATGAAAGAGTGAATATAAGTTAAGTCAAGTAACTACTCAAGAGCATGACACTCTAAAATATACTGCTGCAGGTCGAATGACTGACCGAAGGCCCAACGTAGATTGACAAAGCTTATCGTCACTTAAAGTTCAAATCAAAGAACCGCGGAATGAGTATGGGCAGGAGAGCTTCATGATTGCCATATCGACAATGACTTACTCGCTCGTGAGGGGTCGAAGGCAACCGCCTCTATCCAGCACAAGCTGAGGTTCTGCCTTTTAGCTCAGACTCAAGGTATCATGAACACTCCGCTAATTGGACACAGTCGTCGCGTCGCTATATCAATCAATGAAAGGCGGTGTCTAGAAGGAACAATATCCGTATCTTTGTGGTTGACAACTCGATTCACGCGCTCAATGATGTACTGAGATCCACATGCAACAAAACCGAACTATTTGGCAGTGCTTGTCAGGGACTCAAGACAAAACTGAAAGGTGCCAGGAATGGCATGGAGTAACGTATCTCCAGAAGCCAGCAAGATATCTGGAGCGCGCCGAAACCACATGATCGGCCCTCATATGCTGACGGAAGTAATGTGCGTTCATATTCAAATTCGTGAAGGCGCACGATCAGTTCCTGTTCTTGGCCAAAGTTGGACATGACAAGGCCGGTGCATGGGTGCGACGTACATGGCTGCTGTGGGCCGCACTTCTCTAAAACGTATTGTTTTCCTCCCATTCGATGGCGCTGGCCACCCTACCCGGAACTCTGCACGGCTCTGGTCTTGCGTGTCGTCTTCAATTGGTTAACCCACCATATCCCGCCAGCTTCCTTCTGGTCTTAAGTTAGGCAACCAAGCAGGGCTGAGGATTGACCGAGAAGCCAAGAACTTCCGACTGAACCCAAATTAGCCAGCTGGAAATCGGCAGGCGAGAACCGCAGGGCTGGCGAACCATCCGAACCGCGTTGCGGCTCTCGGTTGCCTTGCTCAATACTTCCTTAATCCTGCAAGGATTACTCAACTGCAGCCGGAGGATTGAATCTCGCGACATGGATGCGAGCGTGTCTACCACTTACAGGGACTCAATCTTGGTGATAGATTCATGCACTACTTGAAAGTACGACGGAGCTGGCGAGCCCCCATGTCACCTACTCATGTCGCAGCGCATATAGAGAGTATTGGCGCTGTCTTCAACATTCAACAAAACCTGGTCACCTGGTAGAATGATCCACTTTGCAATATATCACTACGTTTCTTCCAATCATTCAATGTCATCAACAAAATCTGTCCGTCTCATTGGGTCAAATTGTGCCTCGATAGATAAAACCGGCTATCATGCTGCTGGGATTCAGACAATACCATTCGAGGAATCACACAGGCAAGGTCTTGAATGTACCTTGATGTACCTGGAAGCAAACCGGAAATGGCCAGAGCACTTGTCCTGCCTCCTGTCACGTATTCAACCAGCTCATCATAAGCAGGCGGTTTCAGTAGAGCCTGCAGCACTGTGGTGTATTCGATGATTGTGTATAAAGGCAAGGCATCTAGAACCTAACTTCGGCCTTAAAAGAAGTAAGTCTCTAAACACCTTTGATGTCTGCTGATCTCGACCAGTCGTTTTAGCTTCTCTTGTTATTTGCTCATTATCTTTGACTCTTCTTTCCATACCAAGGAATCTTGACAATGTCATCATCACTGCAAGAAACTGGCGCTACCCAGGCGTACCAACCGTGAGTAATATGCTACCGAGACTTTAGAAGCTTGGATTGACAGTTTCTTTTCGAGCAGCGTGGGACGTAACCACTTGTATCCTCCTTGCGGTAACAAAATCCCCAAGGCCCAGAAGAAATCGTTATGAGATGGACGTCTAGATGAGTTCAAGTGCCAACCACTCTCATCTGGGAACCGCGCCGTGATGTTGCCCGATCAATCCTCGAGCATAGCGGCAACGGCCAAAATGAACGAGCTGTCTATGTCCAAGCATATCCAAGACACAATGTCCCCGTTCAAGAAGTAAAGAAGGCTATCAGAAGTGAGTGATATCGCAACGCATCCAGAAAAGGCATCAACCATTGCTGATGACTTAGTCCGGCAGCTTTGAGGAGATGAGAAGTGTACGCTGTGAACGGCCTTCTTCCTGTCAAGGTGGCGAGGGGGAGAAAAAAAATCATAATAACCCCAGCACAATCGCTATACTGACAGTCTTCCACACTGGAAGGAACAAACCAAGTCTTTGTGAAGTAGCATTGGAAATTATCTGCTTGTGGCCACCATATATGATACTTTCCACGTCTGAGAGTTACCTAAGATATATTTATTTCCTCGTCTCTCGTGTTCCAAGATTCGAAGCCGCGCCCAACCGAATTTGTTACCCAGGAGTCTTGAAGTGGTGTAAAGCAGGGGTAATAAGATCCACTCGTGCCTATATCTTTCGATGAAGTAGAAATCGTAGAGGCCATCGTGGCGCAGCCGCACGTTCCCGAGCGACATGTACTCATGATCAGGTTTCTACAGAGCGTTGATACGGAAGTGAGTAAGGTCGACTCTGCAAAGGCACTGTAAACTACCTATGTACGGTAGAAAGCACGGGAAATGATTCAAGAGAATAATTCGTCTTTAGCGACAGGGCACATGCGTTGCGTGTTGAATAGTATCAAGTTGGCGACGAAGGGCCGTGTCAGCCCCCAACGACGGTATCATTCGATGCTGTTCCGATTTTGCCAGCAGGCTTTTAACTTAGATTGGACTCTACAGGCGTCTCAATATAGCGACGAATTATAGAGTTGGTCAGGCAAGAGCGGAAGCCAAGGAATGCGCACGTTTGAAACCTAGTGTATGCATTCAAAAGGCTTTATCCAATATACTACCTCTCCTTGAGTGTGTAAGTCAAGGTTGGAGTAACTTAAGCTACTGGGTCCGCCGGTCAGTGGAGATGCACACGAGTCCAAGGACTGGATGGTTGGCGTCCACCGAGTCCACTGAGAGTTGACCCCTGCATATGTCACGACTCAGGCTAGGAACGGGCTGCGTTATCGGCGGGAATTTCATCATTTTTTGTGAATCATCGCCTTCCGCCCCACGTTGAGTGCCTCGTCCGATTGACACCAAGCAGCCCGCCGCCAAACACCCTGGATTTGCGCATTTACACACCATATACCGCCGACCAACCAACACCAATTGGATCGCCTCGACCTCGATACAGCCCAATTCGACCGCTTTCTCGAGATACTGGAGGCTAAGACAACTCCTCACTCCCTCACCATGGCACACACCATCCTGCACCTTCGTTCGGAGGACAAACCCCAAGAACACCGCAGTGCTCTCACCCCCACCACAGCCAAGGCTCTCATCGATGCCGGCTACACCGTCAACGTCGAGAAGAGCCCCGTCCGCATCTTTGACGACGCCGAGTTCGAGAAGATTGGCGCCACTCTGGTGCCCACCGGCAGCTGGCGCGACGTCCCTGCCGACCACATCATCGTCGGTCTGAAGGAGCTGCCCGAAGAAGCTTGTAAGAAAGCTCCTGACCGCCAGAGTCTTCTGCATCTCCCGCGACTCGTCGTATACTGATAAATCCCTCTTAGTCCCCCTCAAGCATGTGCATGTGTCCTTTGCCCATTGCTTCAAGAACCAGGGCGGTTGGGAAACCGTCCTGGCCCGCTTCCCCCGTGGCGGCGGCACCCTCCTCGACCTCGAGTTCCTGAACGACCCCGTCAGCGGCCGCCGCGTGGCCGCCTTTGGCTACTCGGCCGGCTTCAGCGGCAGCGCCCTGGCGCTCAAGAACTGGGCCTGGCAGCTCACCCACCCCGGCGAGCCTCTGCCCTCGGTCGAGAGCTACCCGAACGAGGACACGCTAGTCGACGACATCAAGAAGGAGCTGGCCGAGGGCCAGAAGAAGGCCGGCCGCCTGCCGCGCGTCATCGTCATTGGCGCCCTGGGACGATGCGGCCGCGGTGCCGTGGACATGGCCCTCAAGGCCGGCGTGCCCGAGAACCAGATCCTCAAGTGGGACATGGCCGAGACGGCCGCCGGCGGCCCGTTCAAGGAGATCGTCGAGAGCGACATCTTCATCAATTGCATTTACCTGACTTCCAAGATCCAGCCCTTCGTGGACGTGGACTCGCTCAAGACTCCTGGTCGCCAATTGAGCGTTGTATGCGATGTCTCGGCTGACACCACCAACCCCAATAACCCTGGTAAGTCGAGCCCAAAACCTGTGCGCGGATGGCCAGCTGGCGCATACTGACTCACTACACAGTCCCCATCTACACCATTGCCACGACCTTCAAGAAGCCCACCGTGCCCGTTGACGGTCTGGAGGGCGCTCCCCTCAGCGTGATCAGCATCGACCACCTGCCCAGCCTGCTGCCGAGAGAATCGTCAGAGGCCTTCAGCGGCGACCTCCTGCCGTATCTCCTCAAGCTCAACGACTGGCAAAACGACCCGGTCTGGGCTGGCGCCAAGAAGCTGTTTGACGAGAAGGTTGCCACCCTGCCCAAGGAGGCGCTGAACCCGTAGAGCGAAAGAACTCACTTTATGATGCGACATGAGGAATGCGATAAGGTATTGGTAAACGGCTTGCGTATAAGAAGATAAAAAAACGTTTGGCGTGGCATAGAATGTGCCACTCAACAGTTTAGACGCTATGTGTGCTGCAACGCAACGAAACACTAAGAGAGGAGCTGGTTTGTTGCTAAAAAACGGCGCAGAGATAGAGACCTAGGTCTAAAGAGTGCAGTAGAGACAGTGAGCTGGGTGCATCAGCACAAAAATAAGCGGGTTGCTCAGAAGGCCCCTAAAGTTTGACGATACTTGAGTTCCTTATGACCTGTGTGACTGAACCCGAATGCTTCAATTTTCAGGTGAACCTTCAGATTACCGCTGCACTGATAGGACGTATGCGCAATGTTCTTTTCCAACTGGGCAAGCAGATGGATCTAGCGACATATTCGTCGGCCAAAATCTTTCATCTCCTATAACACGTCTGAACCGTGGCATTGGATGATACAAAAGCACCATTGCTCTGCAGAAACTGTACAGATATAGCTTTGAATAGTTCAGCCAATGCCTTTTTCATATTGGTATACTGTACAGCGACCCATTGGATCGGTTTGTTTATACACAAGGCCAAGAGCAGCGTGACCCGACAAAAGACATGGTTCCCTAGAAACGCCGATATATGCACAGGTTCAACTCGCCGTTCCCTTCTCCGCTCCTCTTCCGCCCTCCAGCGACGAGTATAATATATTACACCCACCCGGGTCCACGTTTGCTCCGTCCGATCATCTTTTCTCTTTCTCCCCTTTCTATCGTTCTTTCGGTCTTCTTCCCTCCCGATCACCTGGGGGGCGCCGCGGGGCCGTCCGCGGCAGCGGGCCTCGGCTGGCCGCTGCGGTAGCCGCCGATGCGCTCCTTGCGGGCGAGCTTCTCCTCCTCGCGGCGGACGGCGTCGGGGTCCTTCTCGGGCAGGCCCCACCACTCGCGGTGGAACTTCTCCTGCTCGAGCTTGCGGCGCTCCTTGCGCTCGCGGTCGCGGGCGCGCTCGACGCGGCCCGCGAACCACTCCTCGCGCGCCCGGTCGTGCTCGGCCTGCGTCGCGTGCGCCATCATGCAGCCGTTCATGGCCAGCGTCAGCGACCGGCACGCGAACGACACGGTGAAGGTGTGGGCTTTGGCGCACTCTGCGAAGGCTGCATGGGTGGGAGGAGGCCCCCCCGGGTCAGCATTGGGAGACGGAAGAGGGAGAATTGGGCGGCTTATCCAGGCACAGAGAGAGACAGGAGGCAGGGCAAGAAGAAGAGCTGAACAAACCTTTGATCTCGTCGGCGCACGCCCTCCGCACCCGCGCGTTGAACACCTCCCTGACCTGTGCCTCCTGGCTCGCGGACAGCGGCAGCGGGTTGCGCGACGGCATGGGCATGGCCTCGGTGCCGGCGCCGGGCCTCGAGTCCTTGGGGGAAGATGCCATGATGGGGCAGCGGCCCAGTCGGGGGACGTCTCTGTTGCGGCGTCGGCGTGTGGTGCGGGATTCTGGTAAGTTGAGGGGCCCTAGGCCTGGAGCGGGGGTCGCGCAAAGGGAAAGGCAGTCGGGACTTATGCTATCGTCATGTCCGTGGGTGGTCCAGGAAAGCCGCAACCTTGGGAGCGGATGTGGCAGAGTTTCGCTGGGTGGACGCCGTACGATTGGCACCGGTGGACGTCGGAAGCTTTGGGGGAGCTTGATCGGACCAGACGAGCCTTAGCGCCGCCGGTAGGGGCAGGCTCTTCCAAAATCCGCGACTCGCTAATGGGATACCGCCGCGCTTAGTGCATAGTCGGGATTTATATCGCCCTCGACGCAACTCTACACTACCAAACTGATAGTATCAAATCCAACGTGTCTCGGGTCATTCAAAGGGGAACGTAGCAAACTTGCACATGCATCACGTCATACAGCAGAGACAACGCAGCCACCACATAGCACGATTGGTCTTATTTATGATTTATGAATCCTGAACTCAACGCTTTTCATTCAACTACTGTTATGGGGAGCGAATGACGCAGTCATGGCCAGAGGGCCTTCACTGCTCTTTGGTGTCGTTGGCCTAAGGGGCTTCCAAACCGCCAACCAGGTCTACGCCTTGCCATCTTCGCCAGTGGTGGAGGGGGTTGGGGGGACCGAGTCGTCGTGGTCAACTTCGATGCTCTCCCGCTCCCTGCCGGGCTTCTTCTTCATCGAAAACCGACCCCAGCCGACGCGGCCCTCCTTGTCTCTGCCCGGTCTCCCGGAACCGGCAGGGCCGAGGCTGGGGCTGCTGTTCACGCTGTCGTAGCTTCTCCCGAACGCATGGCCCGCGGCGTTGCTGCCACTGTCCTCAGCGTGTTCGTCAATGTCGAAGCTGGTACGGTCAATGGACAAGTTTTTGTCCGAGTTGGCAACGCTTCCCGGGCCCTTCTTGCCGCCAACGCCGCGGATCGAGGAAAGACTGAACTTAGAAGAGCTTCCCTTGCGCAACAACCTTTTGAGGCCGCTCTCTGGTTCCTTGAGTCCGAGGCCAATGGACGGTTCTGAAGGGGTGTTCGAAAAGGACTGGTCCAGCGAAAGCGATTCTCGCGACTCCGAGATGGAGGGCGTATCCACAGAGAACGCATCTCTCGACTTGCGGGATTCGGATGGTGACTCGTCCATAGACGGGGTATCCGTCGCCTCTGATGCAGATGTCAAGGACTCCCTGGGCCTCTTGTCCTTTGTAGGTACTTTCTCTCTGACCTTCCCTTTCGCCTTCTCTTTCCCGTCCCTAGACTCTCTGTCCTTATTGCGGAAGGAGAACATGAAGCTTGGAGCGGCCGGGTTGAGACGCTGGGTCAGTGTCTTGGACATCGGCTTGGATCCAATGACTCCCACGGTGGATGGGCGTCGAAGATCTATATCCTCCTGGTCGAGAATCTCGTCGTCCGCATCGGCCAAGGTGGTCTTGAGGGCCGAGGGAGACCCATGGATGGATGGCCTCCTAGACACGTTTCTTGAAGACCAAGGATCAGCACCCTCCGGCGACCAGAGCCTGCTGGGCTGCGTGTGCTTGCCCCAGATGGACCCGCTGTCTGTCGACGGTCGTGGCAAGTCTGAGGACGCAATCGACACTGGTCGGGGACTGCTGGGATCTCTCTCGGGAAAACCGTTGTTGACAGAATTCGTGAACAGTCCGAACCGCCGGGACATGGGCCCGCGAGATCCATGATGCCCGCTTTCGAGCGTTTCAGGGCCTGCAGAGTTGCGATTGAACATGTTCCATCCTCCTCCGCCTGAGAGGCTGATTCTGCGCCGACCCGGAAAGCCATCCATTTCATCCGTGTGTCGTGGCAATGATTGGCTCTCGCTAGGTTTAAGGGAGCCCAAGGTAGGGGGTTCGTCGCTCGACTTGGCGCCACGATGAAGCCACGGCAGTAGATTGAACCGATTGTTAACTTGAGCGCGTGCGGCACTAGGCGAAGCTGAGCTCAACTCTCCCCTCAGAGACATGCGTTCGCTGTTTTCCCCAGTGTACTGGGAGAACGGCAGGTGCTGAGTGGAACTATGAGGACTAGAGATACTAAGGGACCGGCCCGAAGACACAGGGGATTGTGGATCATGTTCTGGGGAGACGGTCGAGCCGAAGGTGCCTTGCCTTGCAGGTCGTGATGCCGGGCTGGGGGGTTCGTCGTCATCCACCATGTCCAGCATACCGGCAGGCAGCAATGCCGTCGCTGTCGGGCTGAGAGGCGCACCTCCCGTCAAAGCTCTCATGCTGTCCTCATCAAGCGCCTCTGTGAAGTCTGCAAAATCGGGCGCATCCGGCATCGGTACGACAGAAAAGCCCGGAGGCATAGTAGATGACCGGGACACTCCATATGCACCGGGGGGAGCGTATGAACGGTCGGGCATGGCAAAGGAAGAGACCGGTGAGGGCACTGCAACGTTGGACAGGGAATTGCTGTTGCGACTGCGCCGTTTCAGCTGAGTCTGTGTGGGAATCTCAAAGTCCACCCCGGAAGAGTTGGCCTGGTTGTATGAGAAAGCCAGCCCGGATTGCTGTGCCGTGAGTAGATGATTCTTCAAGAGATTTTCGTAGTCGAGCTGGGCCCGCTCTCGAGTTCTCAAATAAGCAATTCTCCTGCTTAGGTTCATGGCCTTGAGATCGTGCTCCCTCTTGAGCTGACGCTGTTTTTCGTGCCATTCGTCGCTCTCCTCGCCGCCAGGTAGTTTCTTGCGCTGCTCTTCGGCCTCCTTGAGCTCTCGCCCCTTTTCTTTCAGCTCGCGCTCCTCGTGAGTCAGGCTGACCTGAAGAGCCTCGATGTCGACCCGAAGCTCCTTGATGCGATCGTCGCCCTCCTCTTGTATGGTGTGCTCGTCCATTTCGAACCCACCCTGCCTCTTACGCATCTGACCCATGTCCTTGTCCCATTTGGCGATTTCGTCGTGGAGTTTGTTGCGCTCGTTTTGCTTGTCCTTGAGACGCTTCTCAAGCTGTGTCTTTTTCTGCTGAGCGCTCCGCATGGCACGATCCGTTGAACCCATCTCCCTCTTCAGCTTCTCCGTCATGTCATCCTTCTCCTTCAGAATGCGCCGCTTTGACTTCTTTTCCTCCGCAAGTTGACCCATTAGCTCCTTGTTCTCTTTCTCATCCTTGCCGATCTGCGCTTGAATCTCTTCCATCTCTTTACGTATGTTCTCGAATTTTTCTCCCAACTTCTGCAGTGACTCCTCGGGGTCTTTACTGAGCACATCCCTGACCGACTGATCTATGCTTGTTGTAGAAGGCGAATGCTTCCTCGTAAGGGTATTCCGTCGTGCTATATTGGACGAACTTGCCGAGGGTGGAAGAAGCGAGTCCTTCGAGACGGATGCCGTCTCAATGCCGGCGGCAGGGCTCCTCGGAGTTCCGTCATCGTCATGTGCATCTGCTACGTGCATCTGTTGCTCGTTGGGGTCGAAATTGGATGGAAGTCGCCCATTGCCAAGCTGAGGTCGACCATCCCTGGAAAAGGTGTGAAGGCGGATAACGCGACTACCTGCCTGGAAATTGTTGTGGCCCACAGCAATGATAACCACATTGTAGAAGTGATCAGGCTTGAGCCCGGTCACTGTGATGGCAGTCTCGGTCGGCGCCGATTCTCCCACTGCACGCGGACGAGTTAATACGTTGCTGCCGTGCAACTCCTGCCTTCCCACGAGAACTCACCGAAGATCCCGTTGACCTGGATCAAGAACTTGGAGACGGGCCGGTTGGCACGTGGTCGCGTCCAGTGCAGCGTGGCGGCATCGGGGCGAATGCCGGCGAGCGAGACGTCTGGGGCATCGGGCACGTCAACACCGAGGATGCTGATGAGTTCGGGAACGGGTTTTCGCAGCGTCTGCCATGTTCGTTGCGCCAGCCTGTGAAATCAAGATCGCGTTAGGATGACAACTAGGCACGTTGGACGTTGCGGGCGTGGGAATGCGCGCCGGGAAGAGTGCCGCGGACTGACCATAGGAGAGCAGCGCCTGTGACAAGCATGTTGGTGTGGTAGGCGACCAGGTAGTCGAGGCGGAGGAAGGTCGCGAGGTCGAGGCAGGAGTCCAGGAGCCAGGCGGGCGACTGCTGGGCCAGCTCCGGTGCGACAGCCCAGAAAAACAGCAGGCAGCCGATGGTGACGATCAAGTTGAGGTGCACCGTCTTAGGCTCGGTGAACCACCAGGCGAGGACAGCACAGACGACCAGGACAGTGGGAACAGACGCCGTCCATGGAGGTGCCCATGACATATCGCCGTGAATCGAGAACTGACCAAGAACCAGATGCAGAATCCCCCGGGCCAAGAATGCGATGCGGAGGAGGTGGGGAGGGGGTATGCAATGATTGAGAAGGGGAGAATGGGAGAGTTGCAGGCAGGATGGAAAATGTTTCCTCCTCTGACGGAAGCCTTGGCCAGAATAGTGGATATGGGCAAGATGGAACACGGCGGCCAGGGCGGCGGCGGTGCGGCGCCGTCCCAACTAGTTTAGTAGCGGCGGCACTGACAGCCAAAGTTCTGCTGTCCAAGGAGGGAGGCTCCCGTCTCTCTGTGCGTTTCTCCTGGCGCTCTCGGGCTCTCTCTCCCTCAATACTAACTGCCACTACGTATATGCATGCAGACTCGCCGTCGGCATCACCTGGGCAAGGGCCACACGACACTTGATGCCGACCGGCTAGGGGTCCACGAGTTTGGGGTCCGTGTTCTTGGTCAGATCGATCCTCAGTCTGGCAAAGAAGAGAGTCGGCGCAGATGGGGGCGAAAAACCAGGGCGCCCTGATGAGCTGGCATGGGAGAGGGCCGCGCTGCAGAGATGCAATGCTACCGCTCCCGCAGAGATTTTCATCTCTTCGCTTGTCTTGTGATATAGTTCTATGCACACACGCACAAGCGTGCAGAAGTCACTGCTACACCGTCTGGGCCCAGGGCCGATCTCCACGACAAGAGGCCCGAGGGTCGCACTGTCGGGATACTCTTACACGATGATTATCGCTGGGCTAACAGACTTTGGTAGTGCTCAAGCTACCAACGTTCGATGACGGGTGCAAGGGCAGGGGAGATTAATAAGGTCGCATCTGCACTACTGCAGTGCTGAAGAGGCTTGTCTGCAGTACTATGGTCCATAATATGCTACATAACATCCGCTGGCTCTCCCCTTCTCGGTGCGGCTCCTTTTTGCTACAAGTGACTACTCCAACTGACTTGCAGACGTTCTCGACTTGGTATATACATAGGTATCGTCACATACCTACAACTTACCAAAGAACGGAGCTAACAAGCACCGAGAGAAGCATGCAGTCTTCGGCATCAGTGTGTTATGAAAGCCAGCCAGGTATTTGCATTCGGGTTGCCCGGATATAGGCATGCAAGGCAGTGGTGATTCTGGGGAAGGGTTGGCAACAAAGGTTGTGTGTGCATGATCACTGTTAACATGGCGTGGTAATACTGTAAGTTCGCTACCTGGCTTGCCTGGCTAGGTACTAGTTAGCACATATCACAACGTGCATGACGGATCGGCAGAAACATCCATCAGAATATGGGTACGAGCCCTTGCCAGGTATATCTGGCGTTGCGAGTTGCTGGCTGCTCCGGGTGCTGAGACGTGTATTAGACCAGAGTCGCGCAGAGCAAGCCCTTTGGCCCGGTCTAGAAGTCGTAAAGAGACGGCATAGCAGTCTGATCAGACATCAGAGCTGCATGCTGTACATATGCATATGGCTCGGTACCCACCCCCCTCGTTATCGTGAACAGTCGGGTACGGTGCTTTTGATTTGTCTAAAACCGCCGCCAATCAAACTGTTTGAAAGACCCTCTTTTCGTAAGCAAGCAATGGATGTATCACATGCACTTTCGACAGCTTGCCCTCCTCCTCAAGCTCCTCATCACCTTCATGCTAAATTTACTAGTCTCCGAGTACTAATAACAGTTGGACGCCTCTTGGTCCAAGGACTCGGGAAACGTTTTTCTGGTTTGATGGACCAACGGGGATGACAATCGAAGCTTGAGGCTCTAGGGCTACTGCCACTTGGTTGTTTGGTTGTTGTTGGGCTGCTAGCTATCTATGTAACTTTGAATGCGTGCATGTGCATGAAGGATAAGTTAGACGAAGGTGGGAGCATCCACTGGTTGGCAGGCCGAAAGGAGATTGAGACGTGTGTTGCTTGCACTCTCCCCAGGAAGACCCATCCAATTGCGTCCAAGCCCCAAGTTGCCCACGCAGCAGAATGTCAGCCATCACCTGCACCTATAGGTACCCGTGGACCCTGGTACGGCCACTCTGGGCGTACCATCCCACAGCATGGTAAGGTCGGCACTGCTAAAATAGGCATTTTGGAACGCCTCACTTTGCTAGCCCAAGCTGTTGTCTTCACAATAACTACCTAGGTACCTAGATACCTACATAGGCCCACAAGGAGCTGCTGGAAGGGGCCGCACCAAGGCTCCATAGCAGCCGAAATGACAGCTGGATGGCTTCAGAAAATTTCCATCCAAGATCGATCCCGGAGATCCACGCCTTGGTCACGACCTCGGGACATCTGACATCTGATTGTGGGCCTCCTAGATATAGAACGTCCCGCGATTGCAGCGTAAACCCCGTGAAGAAGCCGAAAAGCCCGATCCATTGGCTTGGGCCAACTCGACTTCTGAGGGGTTTGGTTTTGTGCCGACGGTACGCTCGTCGAGTCGACTCGCGGGATTGTGAGATACGGGCAACACTGCAGACGGGAAACTCCTGGTTCGTCCCCCCGCGACCGCAGCTTCAACGATTTGGCACGAGGCCGGTGGGTGTCGGCTTGATGCGGAATCGCGAATGTACGTAGCGAGGGTCAGCTGTGCCCTGGGGGGTGGTCCCCTGGAGGAAACGCCGACTGCAGAGCGCAAGGGTCGATCCGAGTTAGCGCAGGATGGGGTATGCAACACCGGCTGCTGGTGGCTCGACTGGGCTCGGCGTGCTGCGCTAGCTGGGGGATTTGGTCCGGCCTACGAGGGGGAGCGCAACATTTGAGGAAACCGTTTTTGTTCCCCAACTCTTTGACCTTGACCTTGGGCACATAGACATCGTCATAAAACAGGCGCCCTGCCGTCGCCTCCGCAGCTTGCAGTCTGCAACACCCCCAAGCTCCTTGACATTCCGTGCACGCTCGTTAGCCCATCGCTGCCACTTCTTCTGACACTCCCCAAGTTCATCGGTGCCCGGCTGTTCGGCTTGACGAGCCCAGATCCCCAGATCCCAGATCCCAGATCCCAGTGCCGTACTGGACACCACTGCCTAGATACGTCACCCCCAGCACATCCCAGCAAAAAACCTCCCGACCACACGATTCAGCCAGTCAGCCAGTCAGCATTGGTCCTCTTCGTCAGAGCGCTCCCGCCAGAATTGATCCTTCACCTCGCCATCCGCTCGCTCGCGCTCTCTTTCTCTCTCTCTCGCTCGCTCGCTCGTTGCCTTCTGTGAATCATACAAAGTCTTCCGTACCTCCTCCAACCAAATCTTGACCTTGCCCAAGTTTGCGACGGCCACCTTGAGACCCGCTTGCTGTGAAAGCCGTCCCGCGTACGACGACCAAGTTCCTCAGCATAAACCCCGTGGATCTTGCGACCGATCTTGATCCCGTCTGCCTGGTCTGGCTCGCGCATCAACAGCGTCTGCGATCGCCGGGGCCGAGCCCGCTCTTTCATGCGTGGGAAGGAGCGCATACACGTAGCGACCTCAGATATAGCCCACCCGCTTCGTTCACCATGCAGTACGTCAGAAACATCAGCGATTCCGTCTCGACAGCATGGAATTCTATCAACCCGTCGACCCTCAGTGGCGCCATCGACGTGATAGTCGTGGAGCATGGAGACGGCACGCTGGCCTGTTCGCCCTTCCACGTCCGCTTCGGCAAGTTCTCATTGCTGCGCCCGTACGAGAAGAAGGTCATCTTCACCGTCAACGGTGTCAAGCAGGATTATGCCATGAAACTTGGGGAGGGTGGTGAGGCCTTCTTCGTCTTCGAGACCACCGACAACATCCCCCAGAGCCTACAGACCTCCCCACTTGTGTCGCCGGCATCGAGCCCTCCGCTGCCACCGGACCGATCGTCGACAGGCGTCTTGCAGGAGCCAGACATCCTCCAGCTGGATGAGGGAGTCAGCAAGCCGCGGTCGGCCACAGTTAGCCGACCGGGTCCCGTACCGATGCTAGGCCCCAGCCTCATGTCACCCCATGCCACCTCACCAGAACTGAGCCACGGACGTCCAAGCTTCCACGATTTCCCTGGTTCGCGCCGAGTCCCATCGCACAGCGAGGACATACTGCCGTCCAGTGCCCGTACCTACACCGATCGCGATGAGTCCCCAAACAGATCTCACCGTGAGGGCAGCCCGGAGGAATCAGCGAGGTCGGTCAGCCCGCCGCCGTTGGCTCCACGGGACGCTCTTCAGCGGGCTATGAAGGTGTCCAATGAACTGTCGGCTGCCAACATACCGAGCCACATCACCGATACTGGTGATTTGATGCTGGACATGACGGGTTACAAGAGCAGCGAAGAGGATGCGATCAAGGCTGAAATCATTGCCCGCGAGATCCTAGCCAAGGAACTACAAGGCGACTACGACATTGGCGCTCTGTTCGGCATGGATGAGCACGGAAATCTTTGGATCTACAGCAGCGAAGACGCCAAGGAGGCGGCGATGAAGAAGACGGTAGCATCCCTCCGGCCCTCTCCGTCTTTGAACATCGATGCTGCCTCGGACCCGGGTTATGCCAGCGATGATTCTGCCTCCTCTGCTCCGGAGCCTTCTCATCGTAGGAGCGACTCCGACGCCGGCCAGATGAGCATTGGCACACCTCCTACAACACCAGGATCCTCTACCCATGCAGGGGACCCCAACCGAAACTATGCCAAAACCCTGCGACTGACTAGTGATCAGTTGAAGGAGCTGAACCTCAGACCTGGCGAGAACACGATGGCCTTCACCGTCAACCGGGCAACATGCCAAGCTAACATGTACCTCTGGAAGCACGATACCCCAGTCGTGATCTCGGATATTGATGGAACCATCACCAAGTCTGACGCCTTGGGCCATGTGCTGAACATGATCGGCCGAGATTGGACACACGCTGGAGTCGCAAAGTTGTATACTGATATTGTAGCCAATGGTTACAACATCATGTATCTCACAAGCAGATCAGTTGGCCAGGCTGACACCACAAGAGCCTATCTGAATGGTATCCTTCAAGACGGTTACCGCATCCCTCGGGGGCCGACTATTCTCTCCCCTGACCGGACAATGGCGGCCTTGCGCCGCGAAATCTACCTCCGGAAACCGCATGTCTTCAAGATGGCCACCTTACGGGATATTCGCAACCTCTATGGCCCGGACAGCCACTGCTTCTACGCTGGCTTCGGCAATCGGCTCACAGATCAGATCTCATACCGCACGGTTGATGTGCCGCGGAACCGCATCTTCACCATCAACTCCAACGCTGAGGTGTCGCTCGACCTTCTCTCGCTTAACAAGCTCAAGTTGAGTTATGTAAACATGACAGAAGTCGTTGACCACTACTTCCCTCCGGTCTCGACCCTTGTCAAGGGTGGTGGTGAACAGTACACAGACTTTACCTACTGGCGGGATACCCCCCTGGACATGGATCAATTCAGTGCCAGCGAGGATGAGGAAGATGAAGACGACGTGTACGAGGAAGAAGGCGAAGAGGAAGAGGACGTGGGCATTATGGGCGACAGCTATCTTTCCCGTGGCGACGATGACGATATTGCCGAAAGCATTCTCAGCGGAAGCGGGATCTACGAAGATGGGCAGCAAATGTTGGACTCAATGATTATAGAAGAAGATGCAGATGACGAGGAAGAAGGAGAGGATCAGGATGAAGAAGAGTTGGTAGAGGACGACGAGGAGGAGGAGGAGGACGACGACGACGACGATGACGAGGATGAGGAAGTCAACGAGGCGGACGAAGAACTGACGCAGTCCACTAGCAAAAGCGCACCGCACGGTACGGAGCCCAAGGCGAAGCCTAGCACCCCGAATCTCACCGAGCAAGATATCAACGCCGAGATAATCACGGGGCTGCAGAACCTAGGCGTCGAGAAGGGGGCCAAACCACCCAAACCCAAGAACACGGCGTAAGAGTGCATTTGATGCTATTCAACATACCCCGAGCAGCGTGCCATGTTTCATCACATCGCCTGCCAGCACCATAGAGAGCGGGAGTCCCAGTTTTCTTGGCATGGTGGGTTTCCTGTAAGATTCGTGGGACCTCGACTTGCTGCATAACATTTTTCTGCATAGCGAGGCGTTTTGAGAAGGCGGGACCAGGCCTTTTGAAATCAAATAGAAGTGTACAACATAATTGATGCATCTTTCATCCCCTGCTTCCCACGATTTCATGCGCAAGTTGAATGTTTTGCGTGGAGGTGATTCGTGGCTCAACCCACGGAACAGGTGTCCTGTGAGAGTATCTTTCTTTGGTCGTGGGAGATGGAAGTGTGGTAGGTGGGCCATTATGGCAACGACTTGCATCGAACAGTGACTTTTTCCCCCTTCACTTCCCTGGTGCCCCAATGGACAGTTACTTAAGTATGTAAGTACAGAAAACGCGAAGACCTCGTTCATTTCCGAGCCGGCTCCCACAACGCCACAACGCCAAACCATATGTACAGTTTTGTTTGCACCTATAAATGCCAAAAAGAGAGAAAAGTTCCGGGTATCAAATCCCTTTATTCCATGCCCTCCATGTCCTCGTCGCCTTCTCCCTCCAGGTCGTCGCCCAGCAGGTCGTCCAGGCCGCCTTCGCCCGCGTCCTTGGACTCCTCCTTCTTGACCGTCTCGACGCCCTCCATAGCGTCCTCCATGCGCTCCTCCTCGTCCTCGTCATCATCGTCGTCGTCGTCGTCGTCGCTGCCGGCGGCCCACGCGTCGCGCAGTCCCCAGCCCATGCCGCTGAGGACAAAGCGCTCGTTAGGCAGTCGCACCCCCCACTCGTGCGCCATGACGCGGGGCAGGGCGATCTTGTTGCGCTCCTTGGCCAGCTCGAGCAGCCAGTCCTTGCTCGCGCCGCCGCCGGGGGCGCCGCCCGCGCCCGAGCCCCCGCGGAACTGGTACGCCTGCCGGCTGGCGATGGCGATGTTGATGGCGTTGGCGCTGACCTGGGCGTCGGCGACGGCGGGGGCCGAGGGCGCCACGCCCGAGGCTCCGGACGGCTTGGAGCCGGCTTGTGATGTGTAGGGGTCCGCGGCGAGGTGCAGGGCGTCGGAGAGGATGGACGAGGTGTGGCGGTAGGCAAAGTCGAGCAGCAGCAGCGGGACGCGGCTGTCGAAGGACGTGACCCCCTGGCTGGTGAGCAGGAGCTCGATGGTCCTCGAGTCCCGCGGGCGCGGCGCCTGGCTTGAGGGCGACAGGGGGCCGTTGGCGGGCGCGGCGACTGTGGCTTGCGATGAGGCGAGCGCCGTCGACGATTGTGTCTGTTGCGTCTGGGACTGGGAGGGGCCGGCGGAGGAGGACGACGGCACGCCGTTGGGCTGGGACTGCGAGGCTGAGGTTGCCATCGTCGCAGTGCGCTTCGCGCGAGGGAGCTGGAAGCAAGGGCCGACGGTCTGTGCAGCAGACGCTACTTTTCCCCCCAACTATGGGAGATGCGCGCTGTCACAAGGCGAAGTTGACGGGGGGCACAGCTCAGGACCAGTGCCGCACGGGTTCTCGCGATGGGATGGATGATGGACGATGCGGAGCCGTAGAGAAAGGATTCAATCGGGCTGCAATGGGAGCGTCGATGTAAGATCCCAAAAGCGCCACTTGGTGCGTATCTCGTCCAGTGCGAGGATTCGGAGGGGGAGGTGAGTAGCGATTGACGGATTGGGTCGAGATGAGCGCGCGTGGTGGTGACGGGATGGATGATGATGAGGATGTTGAGCTCCGCGAGCTTCCAGAGGCCAGGGTCGGCTTCGGGTTCGGCGCGTGGACGGCGGTGGTTCCACTGGAACTTTGGCTGGAACTTTGGCGGGCGCAAGGGCGGAACGCGGCGGGCAATAATCCGCGGGCACAGGCAGATTCAGATTCAACAGGTTCGGTACGTACCTAACTTACGGTCGGTACTGGAAATCTTCTGGCTGGCTGGTTATCAATTCAGTGCTAATTCGGCACTCGAGGCTTAGCGCGCATAAAAGCGGGATCCGCTGCCATAATGCTGGTAATGTTCATTGCTGGCTGGTACCCGGCGGCGGAATGGGCGGCGGATGGGCGGCATATGGAGGGGCAGTTTGGCAGTCTGGGAGTCAGTCAGATTTTTGGGTTCAATTGCTCGTTGCCCCACCATTTGCGAAAACTGCCCGATCTAGGAACCAGTTTCGTCACGCCCCCCAGCGATCCGTCGCCTCAAGAACGTCGCTGTAAGCCAGTCGAGCTCCTGCCAGACTTCTTCTCTTGATAGCCCCAAGAATCGACTGTGAAGATGGAGACGACGTTACCGCTTCCCTTTCTGGTGGGCGTGTCCGTCCCCCCCGGTCTTGCCTCCAGCGAGGGGCTGACCCGGGACGAGGTCTCATGCTTGGGATGCGTCTTCTTTGAGGTGACTCAGCAAAACCTCGAGAAACTCCTGAGCTTCCTGCACCAGCACAACTCGGAGTTCCAGAGCTTCCTCGACGTGACCGAACTGGCCTCCAAGGACGACATTGTCTCGCTTCTCGACCACGGCGCAAGGAAAGTCTTCGTGCAGCCCGAGAGGCTGGCCGAGTTTGCAGACTTCAAGGGCCGTGTTGCCCCAGCAGTGACCGACGCCACGCACCTCAGTGCCGCCACCGAGCATGGCCTGCTGTTGAAGAACTTTGACCAGACGAGGTGCGACGTCGCCCAGTTCTTGGAGAAGACCAAGGCTGAGAAGCTCCCGCCGCTCTACATCACGCCCTCGGCCGAGAGGGTCGTCTATGAGCACTTCATCGACATCTGCGGCCAGATCTCCGCCATTCCCATTCTTCCCTCGACTGCTCTGACTACTGACAAGAAAGATGAGAAGAAGATCTTTGTCTCAAAGCTGCTTTCGGGATCGTGGACTTCAGACCGTGCCGACAAGCTGATGCCCACTGTGGTTTGTGACGAGAGGGGGGTCGCCCTCGGCTTGGTCTACAGCAGCGAGGAGAGCGTGGCCGAATCGCTCAGAACTCAGACCGGTGTCTACCAAAGCCGGAAGCGTGGCCTCTGGTACAAGGGCGCCACGTCGGGTGATACACAGGAGCTGGTCAGGATCTCCCTGGACTGCGACAACGACGCGCTGAAGTTCATCATCAGGCAGACGGGCAAGTTCTGCCACTTGGATCAGTTCGGGTGCTTTGGCGATCTGAAGGGTCTCTCGAAGCTGGAGAAGACCCTGGTCTCGAGGAAGCAGTCAGCCCCCGAGGGCTCTTACACTGCACGCCTCTTTTCAGATGAAAAGCTACTCCGTGCCAAGATCATGGAGGAGGCCGAGGAGCTCTGCGATGCGAAGACGCCCGAGGACGTCGCCTTTGAGGCTGCAGACCTTATTTACTTTGCTCTCACCAAGGCGGTGAGCGCTGGTGTTAACCTGGCCGATATCGAAAGAAATCTGGACGCAAAGAGCCTCAAGGTCAAGAGGCGAACAGGCAACGCCAAGGGCAAGTGGGCCGAGAAGGAGGGCATCACGAATGGCGCGGTTGAGAAGGCGAAAGAAACAGCAAAGGAGTCCACTACGCCGCTGACTTCTGCGCCGGCAACCAGGGCACAGACAGCCCCCGAACTCTCGGACAGGATAACCATGAAGCGCATCGACGTCAGCCAGGTCGGCGCTCAGCAGGTGTCGGAGGCTCTGAAGCGTCCCTCGCAGAAGTCGGCCGAGGCCATCCTTGGCATAGTCACCCCTATTATCAGCGATGTTCGCCAGAACGGCGATAAGGCGCTTCTGTCTTATACTCACAAGTTCGAAAAGGCCACATCATTGACCTCACCTGTCCTTAAGGCTCCATTCCCCGAGTCACTGATGCAATTGCCCGAAGAGACCATCAAAGCCATTGACATCTCGTTCGAGAACATCAGGAAATTCCACGCCGCTCAGAAAGAAGATAAGCCCCTGAAGGTGGAGACTATGCCTGGCGTGGTATGCAGCCGGTTCGTACGGCCAATCGAGCGAGTTGGTCTGTATGTTCCTGGTGGAACAGCAGTCCTGCCCAGCACCGCCCTCATGCTTGGAGTTCCAGCAATGGTTGCCGGCTGCCAGAAGATCGTGCTCGCCTCGCCTCCCCGATCGGACGGTAGCATTACCCCTGAAATTGTGTATGCAGCTCACAAGGTCGGTGCTGAAAGCATCGTCCTGGCTGGCGGTGCGCAAGCAGTGGCCGCCATGGCTTACGGCACGGAAAGCGTGACCAAGGTCGACAAGATCCTTGGCCCTGGCAACCAGTTTGTCACCGCGGCCAAGATGTACGTCAGCAACGATACCAACGCTGGTGTAAGCATCGACATGCCCGCTGGCCCCTCTGAGGTCCTGGTCATCGCGGACAAGGACGCCAACCCTGCCTTTGTCGCCTCGGATCTGCTCTCCCAGGCCGAGCACGGCGTCGACAGTCAGGTTATTCTGATTGCCGTCGACCTCGATGCCAAGCAGCTCCAGGCGATCGAAGACGAGCTGCACGACCAAGCCATGGCCCTCCCTCGCGTCGACATTGTTCGTGGGGCCATTTCCCACTCTGTCACAATCCAGGCCAGGGACATTGACGAGGCTATGCGGATTAGCAACGATTATGCTCCGGAGCACTTGATCCTGCAACTCAAGGATGCAGAGGCGGTCGTCGACAAGGTCATGAACGCCGGCAGTGTCTTCATCGGCCAGTGGACTCCTGAGAGCGTGGGCGACTACTCGGCGGGTGTCAACCACTCCTTGCGTAAGTAACATTCTTGACTTTCCCATCACCTCACATACCGCGTAGCCGGAAAATTGGATCGAAAATTTAATTGCCCCGTACTAACTAATATCACAGCAACATACGGCTACGCCAAGCAGTACTCAGGCGTCAACCTCGGATCCTTCGTAAAGCACATCACGAGCTCGAACCTGACACCCGAAGGCCTGAAGAACGTCGGCCCGGCTGTCGAGCAGCTTGCCAAGGTCGAGGAGCTGATTGCCCACCAACGCGCCGTTAGCATACGGCTTGCTAGCTTACAGAAGTAAGGGAATCTTTCCACCTTGTCACGGTCCACAGGGAGGTTTGCTCGGTGTCGCGTGGGACTTTTACTCGCTTGGCGGAAAGGGTGTCGATATATTGGTTGGGTAGCTGGTAAAAACTGGGCTGGTGTATGGGCTACTTGGATAAGTTTACATGCAAATAAGTAAAGAAAATAGAAACCATGTCGAGAAGAGGTTGATGTGTCGGTTCCTTTTGGGCACAGAGTAAATGAACCGTAAGGGGGGTTTGTTACAGGACGATCCCACGACTTCACTCACGGTGTAGATTCCAACATCGACTGCCCGCTCAAACATTCACAATGACACCGTTAAACCAAGAATAATGCATACGAATAAATAGTCTAGCAAGTCCCAGCCCATACTTGTACCCCGAACCAAACTCCTGATCTGGATCCAGATGCATCCACTCGATGCACATGCTATTATCAAGTACGCCAAAGGACACGGGTTTCCCACGCCCACATTCGAAAATCAACCAAAAGAAGAAAAAAAAAAGTCTGGCTTCGTCCTCGCGTGTATAAGTATGTACGCGGGTGTGCGGTCTCAGAAGACGGTCACGGCGCTCACGAAGCCGTTCTTCAGCACCTCGAAGACCAGGCCGGGGAAGCCGTACAGCGTGGTGGTCGACTCGTCGCCGCCGTCGAACTTCTTGGCGGCCATGCCGCCGCTGCTGTCCTCCCAGCCGCCCAGCAGCTCGCAGCTGGAGCCGGGGCTGTCGCCCCAGCCGCGGTTCAGCACCATGCCGCGCTGGCGCTTGTTGGCGTCGAAGTCGGCCGGGAAGGTGCTCTTCCACGCCTCGCGCAGGCGCTCCTCGAGGTCGTTGAACTGCGTTTCCGAGCTGGCGACGGGCTGCTGGTCCGGCGGCGACGGGGACGAGAGGTAGCCGATCTCCCAGCGGCAGCGGCGGTGCCGGTTGAAGGGGTACGAGCCGGGTACGTTGGCGTGGAGGACGACCTTGCTGGCCACAAGGCGATCCGGGTTGTCTGCTCTGATGTTCTTATCCCCTGGTATAGCGTATCCGTTCGTTGCGGCCTGCTGTGATGGGGGTGGCGGCGAAGGGGCCACCGGGGGCGAGATGAGTATGTCAAAGCCCAGGTAGAAGTAGTTGTAGAAACACTCCCGAGACACGTTCCCCACGAATTCGTCCTCTATAGCTTCGTCGTCGGAGTTCTCGGACTCGGTGTGAGCGGACGACTGGTCCGTGTCCGTGAGGTCGTCGGGCCGCTTGTAGTCTGGCCCGTTGGACCTCGACCTGCTGTTGCTCGCTGTTCTCGTCTTGTGGATATACATCCTCTGGTCGTTCTTCCGGTATATGGCATCGGGGGGCCCTAGCTCTGCGACAAGCTCCTGGGGCGTGGTCTCGCCGAGCGTGATCCATACGCTTGCACTCGTCCACTTCTTGAACAGCTGCAGTCTGCCGCCGCCATGTATCTTGACCAGGGATATCTCATCCGGCACAACATCTTTGCTCTTGTTGAAGAGAAACGTGGACTTGACGCTAGGTAGGATATCCGTCCAGAGCGTCTCCCTGGCCTCGGCCCATGATTTGCCGTTAAAGACAGCCATCGAAGTAGCCGTCTGGCTCGCAGAGGACGAGAGCAGGGACACCACGTCCTTATCGGGCGAATATGCGGACTCGGGCAGGGGGAAGCTGAAGGCGACACCGGGATATGAAAGCACGTATGTCCCCACGGCGTTCTTGCTGTCGTCAGACGGCGGTATGTACTCGCCGGCATACGTAGGGCCCATCAGGCGGTGGTAGATTGTCCGGAAGCCAGGGCCCGCGGTCGACTCGCCGCCCAGCTTGGGGGAAGCGACGCCCTGGCCCGGGCCGGCGGGCGGTTTCACGATGTCCTTCTCCGGATGGCCGTAGGTGATGCGGTTCTTGGTGAAGTCGACGACCTCGATGAGGCGGAGGCGCTGCTCGGAGCCATCGAAGCGCAGCCTGATGCCGTTGGCCGGCAGGGTGAGGACGACGGGTTCCGTGACAGGCTGGGTCGGCGAGTAGACCAGGTCGAGCTTCGGGAAGCGCTGGGGCTCGGCCTTGAGACGGGTGAGGATGTCGTGGAGCGATGCGCCAAGAACTGCGGATGTTGTAAGTCAAGTGTGGCGAGACGGCCGGGGAGACGGCGCAGGACTCACCCAGGAAGCCCAAAGCGACGCCAGGGTGGAGCGTGGCCGTGAATACGGACGACATGACGACGGGAGGGGAGAGCGTGTAGCCCGAGCTGGGATATTAACTTGGGACGAGGTCGCTGGCTACCTATACCATGGGAGCGGCCAAGCACAGGGGGAGCTAGGCGTCGTCGGGCCCATGAAGGGGTATCATACGGCGGCAGCACTTGGATGGGGCGGCGGGAGGAGGGGCACAGAAGCGGCGGTACAGAAGTCAAGTCGTTGCTCTCAAGTGAGCGGGGTTGTGATTATTTCAGAAGCTACCTCCTGGGAAGATACGGTAGACGACCGGCCGGCCGGGTTATGTCCATGTCTCACTGCACTGCTCCGAAGCTCAGGGTGTCCAGACCAGGTGATCCGGCGATACGCGCGGGGCTGATTCGATGCTCCCGTCAGTCCAAGTCAGCTGGAGTCATTCGGGCGGCGCTCGGGGCTGGCCAGGGACGTCATTTGACGCGGGCTGCCACTCCCACTAGAGCCACAGGGAGCCATTGGTCGCCTGTGATAAGCCAAGGTACAGTACGTACAGTAGCCCCCCATCCATACTATAGTAGTACAGGACCCCTCCTGGTCTCCCACGCTGCAAGGGGCGGCGTCGGACCCCGCCAAACCACATGGATGCCGCTATGGAAACCGCCCAGGCCCCCAGGAGCCCCTGTCAACCGAGCCCCGGAGCGCTGTGGCACGCCGTGTGGCTAGTAGTGGCCGCGATTGTTGCCAGGGCAACCTGCTGCGGCCCATCTCAGCGTTGTTGATACGGGAGAGCCGCCCGCTCGTCGTCTCCACACGTCCACACACGTCCACACACGGTCGCGGCTCCCCAAAGTCCAACGCTCGACCCGATCCCGAGCCCTGTCGCGACTTCTCAGCCGCTGCCACCACCGTACTGTGCACCCGTGACGACTCGATAGGGCCATTTCGAAGCCGAAGCACCCACCACCTGGGCACCATCTATCTATACATCGCCACACGCCGCACCTTGCACTTCAATACATTCATAGCTCCCAGCATCATTGGAGCCGTTGCACCTATCCCCTACCGCCAGCTCGTTGTTTATGTGTGTTTGGGCAAGGTCCATCTCGCGGATGTACTGTGTCGCGAAAGGTCATCCTGGCTGCCCGTCGCCCCGACAGTAATACCTGCTTCACGCCGTCGACACGCACAGCTGCCGTCTCATAGACAACTCCCACAATGCAGAAAGGCTCCACGCGGAGCGCGAGGCCGTCCATGGCCTCGTCGTCGACAAGCGCCAGGACCGGCATACCCGCCCGCCCCGGTGTCAGGCAGGCCACCACGCGCATGTCGTCGCTGAGGTATCCCAACCACCACGCCGCCATTGCGGCCAGGATCGACCGCACCGCTGCTCCCTCTCCTGCCGACTCGCTCGCTTCCACAGCCACGGCCGGGACTAAGCGCAAGGACCGTGACTTCGACATGGGTCCGCCCGGCGTAGAGACCAACATCAACGTCGTTGTGCGGTGCAGAGGCCGCAATGAGCGGGAGGTCAAGGAGAACAGCGCCGTCGTCGTCGAGACCGAGGGCGCCAAGGGGAAGCTCGTCGAGCTCTCCATGGGTCCCAACGCCCTGAGCAACAAGACGTACAACTTTGATCGCGTCTTCTCGCCTGCTGCCGACCAGCGAATGGTCTACGATGAGGTTGTGAAGCCAGTTCTCGAGGAGGTTCGTTGATATTCCTTCCCACGATATACAGGGCTATGTTTGTGACTGACCGTTGCTTGTGTAGATGTTGGGCGGTTACAACTGCACCATCTTTGCCTATGGCCAGACGGGAACTGGTAAAACCTACACCATGTCGGGAGACATGACTGATACTTTAGGCTTGCTTTCGGATAATGCTGGAATCATCCCCCGTGTTCTCCACGCCCTCTTCAAGAAGCTCGAAGCCGACGAGACCGATAGCCTCGTCAAGTGCTCCTTCATCGAGCTCTACAACGAGGAGCTCCGCGATCTCATATCCCCGGAGGAGAACGCAAAGCTCAAGATCTTTGACGACACGTCGCGGAAAGGACACGCCACCACCGTCGTTCAGGGCATGGAGGAGACCCACATCATGAATGCTGCGCAGGGCATCAAGCTTTTGCAAGGTGGCAGTCTGAAACGACAGGTTGCTGCCACAAAATGCAACGACCTCAGCAGCCGAAGTCATACCGTCTTCACCATCACAGTCTGCGTCAAGCAATCGGCAGAGGACGGCGAGGACTATGTCAGCGCCGGCAAACTCAACCTGGTCGATCTTGCCGGTAGCGAGAACATCCAGAGGTCCGGCGCAGAAAACAAGAGGGCCGCCGAGGCTGGCTTGATCAACAAGAGTTTGCTGACCCTCGGTCGTGTCATCAACGCCTTGGTCGACCGTAGCTCTCACATCCCATACCGTGAGTCCAAGCTCACCCGCCTCCTCCAAGATTCGCTTGGTGGGCGCACCAAGACGTGCATCATTGCCACCATATCACCAGCGAGGAGCAACTTGGAGGAGACGATATCCACGCTCGATTACGCTTTCCGAGCAAAGAATATCAAAAACAAGCCGCAGATCAACGCCGCCATCAACAAGAAGACGCTGCTCAAGGAGTTCACCTATGAGATTGAGAGACTAAAGAGCGAGTTGATCGCAACGAGGACGAGGAATGGCGTCTATCTTTCCAACGAGAGTTACGAGGAGATGACTGTAGAAAGCGAGTCAAGGAGGATACAGACCGAGGAGCAGGCCGCCAAAATCGAGATGCTCGAGTCAAATTTAAGGAACAAGGTCCAGGAGCTCTTCTCGCTGACGTCGAGTTTCATGGGCTTGAAACAAGACCATGAGTCGACGCGGCTACAGTTGGATGACACGAAAGGCGTGCTCGACCAGACAGAATTAGTATTGGAAGCCACGCGGAAGACTCTCGCAGAAGAGACTCACATTCGAAAAGCCCACGAGAAGACTGAGGAAAGGATGCATGCTATCGGCGACGAGCTCATCTCCAAGTTGCAACAGACCGTTGGTCATGTCGGCGGCCTTCATGCCAAAAACAAGAGAAAGTCCGACCTCCAGTCCTTGAACCGAGGCACGTGGACCATGGCCCAGGACCAAGTCTCGGATGTAACGTCTTTGGTGGAGAGCCGCGTCGAGGAGTTCCGTAATGAGCAACAGCAACACATCTCCAGCATATCTCAGAAAATGCAGTCGTTTGTGCAAGGTGAGCTGCAAAAACTCTCGTCGACGCAGGCGTTCCTGGACTCCAATCTGGACCAATTCACTCAGTCAAGGGATGATATGATATTACAGACGGAAAAGTCCAAGCAGGACATGGATGAGGTCCTCGAGGAGATCAAGGAGGTTCGCGACAACATCAAGGAGAGAGTTGGCGAAAGTCTCCAGGCTATCGCAGCAGCTGCCGAGAAGATCGCACAGGATGTGCTCAGTGAGCTCGGCGTCTTTCATAATCAACTCCATACGTCTTATGCCTCCCTGGGCAAAGATTTCAGGTCGATTTTCGAGGAGCTTCTGAGCCATCTCACCAGCCAGAAGCAGGAGTCAGATAGTCTTAGGCATCAGCTCAAGAGCGCCAGCGAGACCATTTTGCAGTCCAATTCCGACATCTCTGCACGTATCCAACAAGTCATCGAAGCAGAGCGAAGGCAAGCTGCCGAGGAGCGAAAGAACCTTCTTCTGCAGATCTCAAGCCTTATCAACTCTCAAGCCGAGTTGCAAGACTCTCGACTGGCTGACAAGGCCGCCTCCCTGCAGCAGAGCGTGCAGGAGACGAATGCAACCTTTGAGGGAAGCGTGGCACAGTACTCCCAGGGTATGGATGTATGGGTTGAGAAAGAGGACCAGCTACTTGGTGATGTTTCCAAGTCGCGAGAGACGCTCAAAACAAAGTTGCAAGACGACTGGAATGTAAGTGCCTTCCCTCCGAGATCATCCAAGCCGGTTACTGACTCTTTCCCGAAGACGGCAAACCAGCACAGCACATCCATCCAGGCGACCACGAAATCGGTGCATGCTGAGACTGTGCGTGTAGTTGACGAGCAGATGAAGGATCTTGATGACCAAATGACATCACTCGATGATTTCGTGACTCGTGCAAGGTCGCAAAATGCCGAACATCACGACCAGCACTCAGAAGCGCTCGATAACCTGTCCGGGACCGTTGAGGATTCATATGGAAGCATCAACGCCCACTTCAAAGAAACCTTCTCACGTGTCGAGGGCCTCGGTGCCGAGATGGACACTCTCACCACCCGGACTACTGATGCTTTTGGTCCTCTGCCCGAGAACATTTGCCGGCCGTTGGCCGGTCTTCGAGAAGAGATATCCGCCACCACACTTCGTGAATATCAGCCCACGGGCAACACTCCACAGAAGATGGAGTACGAATACCCTACAGACCTACCGCATACCAAGGCTCACTCGGCGCTCATTGCTGAGCTGCATGGGACAGCGTCGCCAAGCAAAATCTCAAGCACTGGTGGTGTCTTTGCCGATGCTGATGCCTCACTCAGTGAGAACCGCTCGCCGTCGCGACCCACTTCATCAGACTCCCACTCCCTTTTGTCAGAGCGCAATCCGCTTACCATGAGCCTGCGAGAGGTTCACCCAAATGTCAACTCCAGTACTTCACTTATATTCGATCCCCTCGCCGGTTCGGCAAACACGATACATGGGTTCAGCGCGAGCGTCGGCCCGGGAACTTTCAGTGCTAGGGCCATGGAGGAAGACAATACTATGCCGCTGTTTAAGAAGAGCCGGACCACGCGGTCTAAGAACGGGACGAAAGCCGGCGCGGCGGCTGAGGGTCGCGAGAATATCCCACCCCCTATGAAGGTCCTTGGTGGCGGTATCGGCAAGGGCGGCGAGATCTTTGCTCAAAGCTCCTCTCGGAGAAAAAGTCCTAGGCTCAACTGAAATTCAACCAGGCCGATGAACCAGGGTCGCTGATCGGGGGTGGCTACGGCCAGGATTGCATTGATTAAGAGACTGTACATATAAAACAGAGCGTGGCTCGGGCTGGAGTTTTGGGTTGGCTGGTACAAATGGTCTTTGGCGTGTCGGAGTGCTGTGTGTAGGACGTCCTCCGTTGACAAGAGTTCGGACTGGCGTTTTTCTATTTCTTAGGCATAGGCAGTATGCTTGATACCCTGGATGTTGCGTCGTCGTTGGGGAAACTGATAATTGGAATATGATATACTTCCCGTCTCCTTATCATTTGATCCCTCTTGTCTTGCAATCGGCGAAATCGCGGAGGGCTGTACGCAGTATCTTCCCTCAACACAAGCTCTGCTAGAAAAGGAAGCAGGACTTGTTGGGGCATGGCTTCCCATGAGAACCATATGCTCGATTATAATCACTTTGGCCATGGATCGCCTCCCGGCGGAAAGACCAAGACAAACAAGTTCCTCACTATCTAGCCAGCCTTGTTCGTCCGTCGTACATGTATTTGGCGTGGTCTGAATATATCATACCAACGTCAGAATTCATTCACCTGTACAAGGCAGTGGTTCGTACCTAAGTCGCTACCTGCTCACGCACTTCGGCATTCCAAATTATCTGCGACGGGTGATGCCCATCGAGCTGGCAGTCTGTCATTGCTGCGGAAGGAGCAGACGTCAAATCGCCGTGTTTCCAGGAATCTGGAAGCTACGGCCACCTGTGCCGTGTAAGTGGTTACCCCGGTCCGTTATGACTGCATGTCTGCCTTGGCAACCTGCACTGGACTGGACACTTCGTCGTCGTCCATTGTCCAGCTGCTTGAACATCACAAAATGCCCACGGCACAGCCATGAATTCACCAGTGCCTCTTGGCTCCCCAACTTCGTGTTCCTCAATCTCCAGTCCGTCACCGAACCCGCGGTTCGATCCCCTCCCAACAACGCTACATCTGCAGGGCATCTGCAATGAGCTTGGGCACCTCGAACTGTCTCCAGTCTCAAATTCTAGCCGCCTTTCGTCCTCACGATTCTCTCGTGACAACATGGGAGACAGGAACTCGTTTGCCAGGATGAGAGAAGAGCACGTCAGCAACGTCAGAGCCGTCAGCGCCACCAGGCTCAAGATGAAAAAATATCAAGCTCTCCTCCAGCTGATCGAGGGCGTAGAACCCGAGCTGCGAGCACGCTTCGAGACCACCTGCCAGGCTCTGGAGGAGGAGGAAGCCGCCGCCCTCGAAGGAGAGATCGAGGCGGTCGGCCTCCACGGCGCAGATGGGGAGTGCTTACCGGGACTAAGAATCCAGGCCCTGGGAGAGAGTGAGGTCGGTCAGGCACTGCTCAAGTCCTTCACGCCCATGATAGACCGACACGCGCGGCAACAGGAACCATCTCCCTCGCTTGGTAACACGCCAACACGCAAGATGCCGAGCAGCGCGCCTTCCCTACCCGGTATCGTAGCTCGCGGCTCCCCTCCTAGGCCCAATATCATAAGTACGAGCAAGCCCATCCCGCATTGCTCTTATCTTCTCCTCGCCTTATTATATACGTCCACATGCGACTAACTGCTCCTCAGGCACGTATGTCTCCATACCTACAGACGTCTCCCGTCGGAATACGCGGCCCCCGCGCCCGCGACGCAAAATAGGATTGCAGAGCTTCGAGCGGGCGTCGGACCCCGAGTCGTCTGGAGATCCTGACGAGGAGATTCCGCACCGGCCTGTCAAGCGAACATGCACGTATACCGATCCCGCACTGGTGAGGAGCCTGTCTCCGGTACGTCCAGCCTCCGAGCCCGGTCTGTGGCCGCCATCCAGCAGCACCATGGCCGCCGAGGCCCCTTCCGAAGCGCCCAGCGGCTCGATTCGTTCCGGTCTGAGACGCGCGGCAAAGCCGGCGGGGAGCTACAACGAAGCGGCTACCTTTCGAGGTTTGGGACTGTTGCGGTGATCTCGGAACCAGGAAACGTGATCATAGAACACGAGAGCTGTTTTGTTGGCCGACTCATCGACGGGATGGTCAAAAGGACTATTCGAGCGTAATTGGCCCACTCGACCAGGTGGAGGAAAATAGGTATGTCGCTTGGAGCCGTTTTTGGACGACTAAGAGATGAAAGATCACAGCTCAGCTTTATACGGGTGAATTTGACCCAGGAGGGATTTTATATTGATGCCCAGTATTCGCATTTCTTGACACGACGTCGGAAGAATGGACTAGTTTTTGCGCCTTAAATGATGAACTGAGATTTGCTAAGCCAACAAGGCTCCGCCCAACTCCATGCTCTGGAATGTCAAAGAACCACAGTACACCTGCTGTACCCTCCTTATATCGGATAGCACGTATATACATTACACATTTCGCTGAATAGGTTCCCCGCCGCCGTTCCTCCTTCCGCATATTCCGCTTCCCGCCCGTTCGGCTGGCCCAACCTTGACGTGTCCCAATGTCTGCGGCCGTTCTGGTCACTCTTTCGGCCCTTCTATTCCGTCCCCTCCTCTCCCCTGTGCGTCTTTCTTGAAGCAATATGGTATCAAAGCGATTCTGTCGCGTGTGGGGTATCAAATTATTTACGCTAAAGCGTGATTATACCAACGGTTGTGTCAGTCTTCTCGGGCCGAGCCGCCTAAATGACTTCTTCGATGCATGGTCAAGTAGGACATTTGGACCCGAGGTATTGCAGGCGTGGCTAACAGCCTCGCCTGCAGCGTCTTGCGTGTTTCAACAACGGTCAGACCGTGCTATATCCTCGGAGTAGAACTCCGCTGCATTCTGTGTTTGGTGATCTGGGTGACGACGAAAAGTACCTTGGTAGCTCTCGCAAGGCCGGGGACGATCAGTAGCGTCTGAAATCTTCCCTGCGCTTGCCGTCGATGAATTTGGGGCTGCGCCCTTCGTAGTATGGATTCGCCGTTTGTTGTTGTAGCTTCCTGGCCTCGAATGCAGCACGCTCATCCTCGTCGAGCGCAAACGCCTTCTTCAGCCACCCGAACGCGCTCCTCTTTTTCTTGAGCGTCTTGTTCTCCGAGCGCATCGTCGTGACGTTGCTCAGCATACTCATGCCCATCGCTGAAGGGGCGTTGCGCTGATGGCCTGCATACTGCGTTGCCGAGGTATGGGGCCGGGGGATGGCCGCAGGCGCCGCTGTCCATGGCCGCTGGAGTGGCGAGTGAGGACTCGCTTGCACAGGCCGGAAATACTGCTGATCACTCCGCGGGGATGGGATCGTATGCGGGAACACGGGTGGTGACAAATCGGCTAGGTGATCAGCCACGGAGTGAAAGGGAGGCCGAACATCCACATCAGAGCCATATGCCGAATCCGGGACCTGCGCCTGTTCCGCGATTTGCACCCGAGGAGACTGGTGAACGGGGCGCTTGCTACTCCTCGGGGGCACCTGAATGAAATCGGGAGGATGGCTGCCTTTGAGTGATAATCTTTGGCGCAGAGATGTCCTTCTGGGAACCTCCGCTTGCTGCTGAGTGGGCGGCGGCGACAGTGGCTTCGGCTCGGGCGGGTCTCGAACCATTGGAGAGGGGAGCGGCGCTGGTGGTTGAGGCGTATAAGTACGCGGTTGCAGGATGTACAGTCCCTCCTCCTCAATGGGGCTAGGTCTTGAAGCCTCCGTTGGGTCATCTGTGACATCTGACCCCGTATCAATCTCAAGGACCGGCGCCCTCTTGGGAACAGAAGATCGCCGTTGCATGGGTTTGTACTGAAAATCTGGGAGCGTATCCCTCGCTGTGGGTGACGAAGGCGGCGAGTTTTGGGATGGGCTTCGAGTCCCAAGTGCACCCGATTCAGGCCGTGAGGAGAAGGACCCAGAATGGGCCCGGCTTGACGAAGACCTTTGAGAGGATTTCGTTGAGGCCTGAGGGCTGGTGACTGGAGCGCTGCGCATGGAAGCGCGCGAATGTTGAGGGCTGAGGACCGAAGTGCGCGAGGCCTGAGGACTGAGAACAGAAGTGCGCGAGGTTTGAGGGCTTATGACAGAAGTGCGTGAAGCGTCTGCGGTCAGGCCGGAGAAGGGCGCAACACTGAACTGCAGGGGCATCAATGCACTGGCTCTTATGCTGAGCTCGTAGGCGCTGCTCATGGGACTTACCCTCGTTCGCCTGCTCACTTCACCGGCTCTGCGGTCCATATCAGCCACCATCTGGCCGAGTTTGATGAGAAGGTTGTCGAGGGCTACAGCTCTTTCTCGGAGGTCGCTGAAGGCCTTATACCAGCCTTCTGCGTTCCTCTTCATGGCATCGAAGATGTCGACAACGTCTGGGCGCGTGGTCCTCCAAGGTCTGTGCTGCTGGTCGCCTAGGTACACAGCAAACTCCTTGGTCGACTTGAGACCTTCCTCGATATCCGTAACGTTCGCTTTCAGCGCTAGGGCCGTCCGATTGACGATATGTTCAATCTTCTCATTCCCCGTAACGATCTGCAGTCGGAAGGCACGGTCCTCCAGCATCTTCTCAAAAGTGGCCACGTTCTGCATGGGAAGTTTCAAGAAGTCGATACGCTCCTGAATGTCCTCCAGGGCGAGCTTGACGTCCTCCATGGTGACCTCGAGGAACTCGTCGACCTCATCAATGTGGCCCTGCAAGATATTGACGACCTGGATGTTGCTGTTGGCAATGCCATTGAGAAGCAGATACACGCCAAAGGCGATCTGAGCCATAAGCTTCCATATTTCGTGGTGAGACTGGCCGGGACGATACCGCCATATGTCAGCGTGGAGCTTCGCATCCTTGTCGGCATCTATCAGACGCGCGCGACGCTCTTTGGCATCGCCGAACCTTAACTTTGGCTTCTGCACCGTTGGAATGGCCGTTGCTTCAATCAGGGACTCAGCAAAGGCGGATTGCATAGCGGGGATTGGGTGGAGCGGGACGTTAGCAGCGGCATCCTTGGTCTTTTTGCGTGCGGCTTCTTCCTCGTGCTGTTCCATCGAGTCGGCCCTGGACGGCTCGCGGGCGTGAAGCGTGTCCCTTGGGGTAGTAGGCGCATCTTCGTCCTCGGAATCGGACAGGAGCAGGATCGACAGCTCATCTTGGTGCAGTGACAAGGGGAAACCAGCGGTGGAGGCCATGGCGCACAATAGCTGCCACCGAAGCAGACTCCTGATCCAGACAAGTCTCCGGGTGTGATTATGGCTCCGGAAAGCAACGATTGAAGGCAGAAGCAATTAACCACCCAGCCACCGAGACTGGGCGGCGGTAAAGTTCATCAATCTCTCCTGGGACGGGGACACCAACCGCCAAAGCTTTCCTGCCCGTGGCGGTATTCGTTGTCTGCGCCTCAGTATCGAACGTGCACGCCGTCTTTCTGGGCTGGTATCGCAAGGCACGGGGTTGCACCGTGTGACCCGGCTCAAACCAACAGAACGGTGGGTGTAAGATGTGACCTACAGAAGCTGCAAGTGGTCGGGAGAGAGAGGGAGCTCGTAGACTCGGAGGATCTGGTGGCTGCTGACCAGTCACAGCAACCGCAGCGTTCCAGGTGATCTACGTTGTTGGCACCGAGGAAATCCCCCAAGGCTTCTTCTTCTTCTTATGGGTACCGTAGATGTAGAGTAGAGTATTCAATGGTGGTCGGGTAAGAGAGACATGGCTGAGTTCTGTCCGTGTAAAGGATGTGTGGCTGGCGGTGTGCAGTACTGCCCACGCAAGAAACAGGAGGTTGTTGTAAGTCCAGGAGGGGTAGTCGTTTCCGAGAAATGCCGTGATTATTAGGTCGCGTGGGTTCAACAAGCTATCGAGAGAGGTTCGCAAAACGAGTGACTGGGGAGAAAGGGAAGAAAGGCAGCTGTTACGCAAGCGAGGATGCCGAGCGACTGCCAACGGATACGGCTACTGGCAAGTCACTGGGCTCAGGCGACGCGAGGCGACCGACCATGCGTCCCTCCACCGAGAGAGGATGGGATGAGGTGACGAGAAGAAGAGAACAGCGCCGACAAGAATGTCGGAATACAAAAAAGAGACGAGGGCAAAAAGTTGGTTGTCACTCGACAGCCAGACCGAAGGAGGCTGGATGGAGGAATTCCAACACCACGGCCTCTCACCTCGCAACAAGGGACGCTGAGGGTCTCGTCGCAGTGGAAGGGTCCCGCCGTTGAATTGGATCGAATTGCTCACGGTCAGGCCCCCCTGGGATGGAGGTCGACCCTATCATTTTCCGGGCTGGGTTCCTCGCATTTCATATTGAACATCGTCAAAACGAGCGCCGCAGGGGACCCAAAAACGAGACCATTCCCTTATTCGGGTGCGTCTAGCGCCGTGGAACCCCCCTGGGCGGGCCTCTAGTGGCTTGCCGATAACGTGCAACCCTGCTGAAGACACTAGAACCTGCACAAGCTTGCAGCTGGCCAGTTCATTCGTACCCACCAAACAAAATCATCCCGTGCCAGCTTATTTAAGCAGAGCAGAGACCTGGAGACAAAGTCCTGGGCAAGGCCCATTGGAACCTGCCTGGCCGGGGGGTCTTGGTGGGTGCAGGCGGTGGGGACGGTAACATGGGGGCCCTTCGTACCACAGCACCTAGGTCGTAGGTCGTAGGTCGTCCCAGGGCAGACGGAATTGGACGGTTTGGGTTTGTTGGTTGGCCTGGCATCAAGGGATTCCATGCAGCCTGCATGCTCCCCAGGGATGGTCTCGATCTTGCTCCCCCAAATGCATGCCTGATGATGCGTCCACCAACAGCGAACAAGCACACCTTTACCCAGGTGCTGCCAAGCACACCCGCAACGTGACCACGAGTTTGTGATGGCTCTCTGCAGTAAAGCGATAGTCGAGATCTGCGAGGCTCGAGGCCGAGTCTAGATCAATCCGTCGCTGCCGTTTAATTTGACAGCCCACCCCAAAGCTGAACCAGCCAAGCGAATGGCCCCAGTCGATCAACCGCAGCCCCTTCCCACCCCCCCTGGCCACGGGCAAACGGGCTTGACCAGAACGAGATACCCGCGAGATTGGAGACTTCCATTTTTACTCACAAGCAGGCGCACCGACCGGGTTCCTGGGCGACGAGCCAACGTGTTCGCACACCCGCTGCGTGTTGGTCATCCCAGCCAGTCTTGCAGTATTCCCGGTTGAAGAAATGCCAATCTGCCAATACCGCCCGGCAACCGAGATCAGCACCAATCGATACATTGACTGACATTCCTCACCCATTCCATGACCTCCCTCTCCGTGGACCGAGTTGATTGAAGACCCGACCGAGGGAGCAATGTCGATCATTGGCTTGATTGCCAAACCGCGAAGCGCCAACCGAACTCTGGCCGCATTTCCCCATCTTCTCATGTCTAGTTAGCACACCCGCGGCAGGTCGCAGCGCACATGGCTTTGACAGATTCTTAATTTCCTGCCCCCCTATCTCTTGCATCTTGTACGTACATACACCACCGACGGGCACGGCTTTGTGGCTTAACACGCTTGCCCGTTGTGCCTTCTAGTGTTTTCCGATGTATCTCTACTACTAGTGCATGGTAGCATTTCAGGACGGGAGGCCGTTCCCAATGACTATCGGATACTACTTCGCGACGAAGCCTTTTTCCTCATACGCTACTGTCACTCGGGCGGCTCGGTATGGGGGACGGGCCAGCGCCTTCCACAGCCATCAAAAACGCGTCTTCGAGTGGATCGCAGATGACGTTGCTCCTAACTAAAAGTCTGCTTCTTTTTCATGGGGGGTATTTGCCTCCAGGAATAGCCAGGTCGCCACGTGCTTATCATGAGAAGCAGTTAGCATTCTTCGCCTTGAATGAGGATTGTCTTTCGCTCTACATTTCGCATCAGACTCTCTTTGGCGTGCAACCCAACAAACTAGTTTCCATCCAAGTAGACGCAAGCATGCAACTCCAAGGAACAGTCCGGCGTCTGGGTGCTATAGCCTTATGGTAGTCTGTGGAAGGTCAAGACTATATTGCAAGGACCCGGCAATAGCCCCCCTACCACACCCAAAGCAGACATGGAGTATAGCATGATCGTCGTAAGATGGGAGGCGTCCCGGGCACGGCTCGAAGTCTGGCATAAGTTGCGTGCTGCTTGCCCTGCCGTAGGCCGTTTCAGTGTGATATCTGGTTGCTAGCTCCGGCAGTCTTGATCCTTTCAGCTTGTCGAACCAAGAACCCAGGACATCCGGCGGCACAGCCCGAGGGATGTCTCAGCATATTACATGTTGTTAAGTCGATTACCCATTCGGATTTCGTTCGCATTACTAGACTTCTCAGCATCCCAATCCGGTGATGATAAAGAGTGGGTGTCACTCATACCGCATGACACGGCGTAATCATAAGGACCACCCACGAGGTGGCCAAGAGATTCCGGTAAGGCGGAGGGCTTAAGATGATGCCAAGATGCCACCCGCTTCTACCCATCAGCTTCGCAAGTTGGCACTCCGAGATGTATCCAAGGAACTTAGGAGCCCGCAGGAAGTGGCAATAAGCAGTCCAGCCGTCGCAGTATCATCCTGAACTGTCAGCGTGATCATATGATCACTCTAGCCTGGCGAGCCTGCGCGTTGTGTAGAGCTGAGAAGCGCGGCGGCCTTGAGGGCTGGCTGAAGTGACTACTGTGTACTGCGAGTTTGTCTTGTCTGCTAACCGCATGTAGTGAGTAGCTACCTGTGACCAGTTCACCTAGGTAGTTAGTATACAGAACCCATTCTGGGCGGAATCCGCGCGTGGTTGGCGGGAAAAGTTACCAACAAAGATCGCTGCCAAACCCTGGATGGAATCTAGCGTCCTACGCGCGCTTGGGCCTCGAGTTCGAAACCACCCGAATGGACAAGATCGCCCAGGAATCGGGTCCGATCTGGCTAACGGCTGCAGTAACCCTTCACCACAGACCGTCGGTGATGGAGATCGCATTTTCCACATATGCTTCTTCTTGACTACATACGGACCCCTACCCAGAGTGAATTGTCTACTTCACACAAGGTGGAGAAGGCATGCACCAACTTGTGCAATGTGAAATGCGAATGAGAATGCTCTCAGACGCTTTATGTTGGAAGATCTCACCTTGGATCATTGCTGCATCTGCGCTGACGGGGCCTCTCCTCGTTCTGGCGATACACCGAATGATGAGGGCAAATTCTCGGAGAATGGACCAACTGAAGTCTGCATAGCAGTCTGCCTACTGGGAGGAATGCACTGGAAGACCAGGCCCGCGGTCCGACCCTGGCTGACACCCATCCCCAGACTTCGGCATTCGGTCGCTATCTCTTCTTTGCTGGGATGGGAGAGCTGAGGGCCAAAATTCGTCATCTTGGGGCTTAGAGGGGCATTGAATATACAGCTGTGCCGAGAGCCTGCCACGTGAGTCTCTAGTAACCAACCCCGAGAAGCGGTTTTCGTCCGAAGTCAGGGTGGACCACATCTGATGGTAGCACGACCTGAGACCGCGAGCTGGTGCGGGAGCCTCGTATAAGTCGTCCATAGCCACCGTTGGAGTGCGGTGCGGTTCCTCCCGCCTGAACCAGCTAAGTTACGTAGTGCCTATAAAGCATTGTCGTCGTTCTGTTCACTCCGTACATTCCGGGGACATTCCACACATGTACTGTAAGATCTGGCCAAAATTGCCGGAGTGCGCCCCAGCTGAGCAGTACGCCGGATGGATTGCGTCCCAGAATTCAGACAGCCGGCGGGTTGCCGGGGTCCAATCGTTCAGTTGCCAGGGGTCCTGAGGGGGTGGGGTTCTGGGAGTTACCGCAGTCCCTCTCAACCTCTCATGTTCTTTAGTGCGTCGCAATGGCCGCATGCGACCACCAGGGCGCAGCGGCGCAACCGAGAGAAGGGGTCCGCCCCCGATCTGACAGGGTTGGTGCTGTCGGGTGGTGTTGCACTTCTGCACGAGGGTACGAGCAAAGAATAATAAGAGTCTGTGTGGATGCGACTCTGCGTGCGCCGCGCGCGTGGCTGGCTGCCCGTTGTTGAACTGTAGGTGTCATACATTGCTTGTGATGTTGGCTTCTGTTGCAAAAACTCTCATGCCTCTCTACGTGGCCGTGTAAGTCAGTTGATACTCGCTACTCCCGCGCTTCCAATATCACGGGTCCAGTTTTCAATTGCAATCTCCGTTGCTAAGCTCCCAGCGGATCGGAGCCCGTACCCACCAGCGATGTGCTAGCCCGAAACGGGCGACCGTTGTGTTTTCTCTAGTTCCCCATCTATGCCGACCCGACTTCGTTCTTCCCAGACTTAACCAGACACCAAAGCCACTTGGCTCACCGGACTGGTCGTTTCAACCATACGATCCCGCCTAGGATTCTGGGGAACTGCGGCATCGAGGGTTGTCATTGCGGAGGAATTCGGCGTGTCAGGTGAACGAGTCTGCTTACACCACGGGAATCGGATTGGATCAGACTGGAGTGGATCGAGTCCACGAGCTAGACAACATGATGCCGAAAGCCTTCAGGTTCGGCGATGATCAGTGGGATCCAACACATCGTTTCGAGACGTCATGGCTGCTACCGCCATACCTTCTATTCGCCTGCAGAGCATTCATAGTACGTTATACCCGTACCCCGTTCCCGCGCCAGCCTCGTCTGTCCTACCCGTGAGACCGTGTCCGGTGAGCGAAGGGGGATGGGAGGAAGCGAGCCGTCCAGGCGCACAAGCCGCGGTGGGCGTAAACGTTGTTACTCGTGTTGCTAACCTTGTATACCGTCCGACAGTCTCTGTACGCCTTCGTCACACTCTTTTTCACGATAGGATACCAATGCGCCCACCCGTCTGAGGGCTCGGCGTACGCCTGCCAGGCCTCGGCGGCGTCCTTCTCCTACTTCACCGTGCTCACGTACTGGGGCATCGCCTTCTACTTCCTCTTCGCCTCCATCCACACCTTCTCGTACGCGCGCTGGGGCGTCGCGCTCCTCGACAGGTGGCCGCGCCCCCTGCAGGCCCTGCACGCCTTCTACTACACCACCATCACGACGTACCCCTTCCTCGTGACCATCGTCTACTGGGGCATCCTGTACACGTACGGCGCGGCCTGGTTCCCGACGCAGTACGCCGCCTGGAGCAACCTGTCGCAGCACGGCTTCAACTCGCTGTTCGCGCTGTTCGAGATCGTGCTCACGCGCACCAACCCGTCGCCCTGGATCCACATCCTGTGGGCCATCGTCGTGCTGGCCCTGTACCTGGCCCTGGCCTACGTGACGCGCGCCACCAAGGGCTTCTATGTCTACAGCTTCCTTGACCCCACCGTCACCCGCCACGGCCTGGTTGCCGCCTACGTCTTCGGCATCGCCATCGCCATCTGCATTATCTTCGCCATCGTCCACGGCGCCGTCTGGGCCCGCCGCTGGCTGACCGAGAGAAAGCTGGGCATGGAGGGCAAGATGGCCGCCGGCGCTCACAGCACGACGAGCAGCTGGAGGGACGAGCAGGAGCTTGAGATGGGCAACCACGCTTACGCCTCTCATAAATAAGGAGAAATCGGAAAAGCACAGAGGGGGGGGGGGATGAAAGAAACACGATAACAAGCGAGCCGAATCTGCTTCTGTTTCCGGAGAGCTTCTCGGATTATGCCGTGCCGTTCGGTTATATATGCGCCGGGCATTTCGGGGCTGTGGGAGGAGCATGCGCGGCGAAGCGGAATGAATCGACAGCGATTGGTACAACCGACGTCGAATCCTGTCTCTACTGGGCGGTATCCAAGATTTGGAAACCGGAAAACATTGGGACCTTGGGAGGCCATCTCTTATAAGTGAAAATTACATGTATTATCTGTTGCACAAGGATGGGGGTTCACGGCGGTGATTCTGGATATTAGACGCGGATACCCTTACGGACAAACAGTGTTTCTTAGTAATGAAAGATACCAGGTCACCACTTGAGCTATACTATACTCTGGAGAAAATTACTATGTCGTTCGATGCGATGTGCAAAGTCGAAACCCCCCAATTTTTATCCTATGTTTGTTTATACAAGGGGTTTCCCCCTCACTCCTGGTCATGTATAAGACATGCCAAGGCGATCTCTATGCAGCATCTAGTTTTATGCAGTATATATACAAATTACGTGCTCGGGGTTGTTAGCACTTGAGCGAAATGCCGCGACGCATTTCCGACTCCCGTATCTCAAACATGAACTGGGCGGCAACAAACATGGCACCCAAGGCACACACTAGGAAGGTGAAGCCTGTAGAAACATCAGTATCAGGAACTGGGCGATTCTTGTCGTCAGACGAATGGGGTTGCACGTAAGACTTACCGGAAACATCCCCAAATATGCCCTCGATGATGCTTTTCAGGCCGTCGAGGCCGACGGCGAACCCGACCAGGTTGGCCATGATCATCATCAGGTCGTTGGCCACGGCGCCGACGCAGCCGAGCATGCGGTATGCCGTAGGGTTTTTCTCCCATTTCCGCGCGGGGAACACGACACGCGCCAGCATCTCGGGGAGCATGAACAGAACGATCAGCCAGCCCCAGATCAGCAGTCGCAGCTGAATATCGTGCCACAAGGCCACAAAGGTGAAGACGAGAACGTAGTTTGCGATGGAGCGGAGGACGCTCCCCGGGGAGGCGAATGACGAGCCGCCCAGCGGGATGTAGAGGTACCGCGTGATCCAGCGGTTGAAACTGCGGTGCCAGGAGCGCCAGAAGGCCAGCGTGCTGTAGTTGTTGCTCACGCACCGCAACATATTCTCGGGAGGGTCGACACCGTCGACCAGACTCCACAGCCGGAACAGCCGCCAGGGGAGTAGTAGTTTAAGCCAAATCAGGTGGAGGTTGAGGAAACTGCAGATGCTGAGTTGGGCAGCCGTGTACTCTCCCCACGATGGGCTGGCTTTTGCAATGGCCTGAATATAGTCATAGTGAAGCATGACCTCCATGGTGAGGAGGGTCAGTGCAAAACGCACGCCATAGCGGATCGTGCGCGACAACTCGATGGTGGCGGGCTTGTATCGGAGCTGAGAGATGTAGTCGTTGAAGGTTATGATAGGACCGGTCAGGTATAGGGGTGCGTAGATAGTATAGGCGATGTAGTTCCGGAAGGTGAAGTCCTTCGATTGTGCTGGTATGGAGACACGGTCTCGTTCGCTAAGAGCGGAAGGATCGAGTTGTTTCTTCTTGGGGAGATTAGTATCTGCTTCCCATGTCAAGGGCAGAAATGAAAGATGACTCACCTCAAGCGGGCTGTAGCTGCGCCTGTCCAGGCTCCAGTAGTAGTCCATATTGAAGCTTATAAGTCTAAGCACCGTGATGTTGAACAGAATCTGCCACCGGCTCATGATGCCACCGTAGCTGTCCAGCCATCTGCCCCAGGATACCAGGGCCGTTTCTTCGCCAACAAGACCCCCTGCCGGGCTCGATACGAACGATGCTATATTTTCTAGACGATAGCCTTTGAATATGTCGTTTGCGAACAATATGCCGATATTGAAAGCCCATGTCGCAATCGGAATCGACTTTCGCGGAACGGTGGTCGCGATCTGGTAGTTGATATACAGAATGGCCAGAATCTTGAAGGCCGAAATGCCATGTAGGGCAAGAAGAAAGATGATTGCGAAGCCGAAATCGAAGGATGCGCGTTGTTTAAGTCTGGCGTCCCCCTCCTCCAGAGTCGGTCGTGAAGATGGAACTCGTGAAGTGATCGGATACACCACGGCATTGTATAGTCGGCGGAGTAGGGGGTGAAAGACCAGCAGAGCTAGCATGTAAGGTAGATTGTTGCGAAAGGTCCTGTATTGGGCATCAGAGGCGTCCTGGGACATGTTAATGGGCCGTCTTGATCATGCAGGCGGGTTGGTTGAATGGGTCCATGACTTACAATCTGGCGACCCGGTATCCAACCCGGGGACAAGTAGCGCTCGAACTTCTTATACTGCGGGTTTGAGGCTATCGGAATCATCAGCCTCAATTGCTACTCCAGCCAAGCATCTCGCAGTCTGGAGTCTCTTACGGGTTGACACCCCATATGCTACCCAGAGCATGTAGGGAATGCAGAAGAGGACGACAGGCCAGTAGAGAAGGAACTCTGGTGTTCTCCATCTCGACGGCTTGGGCTTTCCTCCGTTGAACCTCGCAGCACGCTCTTTGCTCGCCCCGGGGTCATTGCGGGAATCGATGATGGCCTTGTACGGGGTGGCAGACGAGTTGGTGAAGCGGGTGTCGAGGGTGTCGAGGTCGTAGACGCTCCGGAGGAAGGAGAATGCGCCCATGGCGGCGGGGACGTCTCGGGCAAGCGCTACGCAAACGAGTGTGGTCTCATGCCGTGTCGCGCACGAGAGAAAGCTGCTGGCACGGTTCTTGTACGTACGGGAACAGGAGGTGGTCGGACAAGGAGAGGACCAGAACAAGCCGACGGCATTTTGCGGCCTCGAAACACGACACGAGATTCTGAGGACACATGCGAAGGGCTGTGCTGCCGTCCCAGTGGTAGCCTATCGGCTTAGCGTCATGATCCTGGCGGAACCCCTGATTTTCAGCGCTGTGTGGGGATCCTTGCCCCTTGCTTTGCCTGGATGCCGCTACCTGAGTCTTGGGGATGGCGGATGGCGGATGGCGCTCTTCTGACAAGGAGAGCGGGATCCTCAAGCAACTTAAGCATTGGACGGATCCTTGGCGTGGCACCTGCAGCAGATCAGCGATGACCGTACATAGTAACCAAGTTGGCTAACTTATTAGTCAAAGTCAGCTGGGTGCTTTCTCCGAAAAGCCACACTTGAATCTCATAGGGTACATTTCGGTGTGTGTGCAGTGCATAGTAACTATGACTGCCCTATACGGATGAACGTGACTAGTTAGTTCCCTTGATTACTTAACCAATCATACAAAGTTGCACAACTCCATAACTACTTCTCAACAGTCCCGTACGTCTAATCCTGTCTGTGCCTAGACCAGCCAAGACGCAGCATCATGATTGCACCGAGGCAAGACTCGCAGATGGACACAGCCGATTGCGTTGTCAGCACCCGGGCGCTGACTGTAGGTCTCTCCGGCTTCCGATCCTAAACACGGACCTTGAACCTCGACCCCCGGCCTGCGCTTGGTATACTCGCGGTGGTCACCCGACCCTACCGTGTCTCGATGGCTCCACATCTCAGGCTACATCGCTGCACCACTAGCTGCACCTCCTCACTCAGTGCAGTATCACCCAACCCAGAGAAGTCTCTCAACCCCACAACTCCAGACATGCCGCCATCACGGTCGAAGTGAGGCCAGACCCATCCCCCAGCAGTTGCGATCTAAAACCCGCCGCAGCAACGCCGAGGAACCCCTGGCTTGCAGCCAATATATGTATGCCAGCGTGATGCACCCACATCCTGCCTAGCCTTGCTGTCGGTACTGCCTCGCGGCTTCACGATGGTCAGAATGCGGGGGGACGGCTGTAGTTCATCAGCCGATGAACCTAATGCAGAGCCTGAAGTCTACTCTGCCCACTTATACCGTGGCACAGGCTGGTCTATAAAGAGGTCAGCATGGCACCGACAAGGTTGCGGCTGGCGCGAGTCTATACGCGCCCCCTGCCTGTGTCTGCTTTCCAGCTGGTCCTATATAGCACATCATGTTGTTTTGCGTGCTCTTGTTTTTTGGCTTCGTCATAAATCCCGCTCTGGCTGTCTTGCCCACTGTGGACCTTGGCTGTAACCAATATGCTGGGGCTACGACCTCATATGGCATCACACAATGGTTGGGGATACGTTATGCCGCACCGCCCCTTGGCCCGTTGAGATTCAGTCCGCCAGCAGATCCGGTATGCACCGCAGGGGTTCAGGTAGCTGACACAGTAGGCGTTGCTCTCGACTTGACATGTCTTGGAAACTGACAGTGCTTTAGTTTGGAAAGTATTGTCTTGGTACAGGCGATAGCCCAACACTCGATGCAACATCGGAGGACTGTCTCTTTCTGGACGTCTACGCACCAAGTAACGCCACAGCGCAATCCAAACTTCCCGTATTCTTCTATATCCAGGGGGGCGGATTCAATGCAAATTCAAAGCCAAATGTCAACGGTCGAGGCTTAATTGCTGCCAGTAACTACACGATTGTCGTTGTGGTAATCAACTACCGTGTAGGACCCTATGGATTCCTCACCGATGGAACCGCGGTCAAGGCCAACAATGGCTTGCGAGACCAGCGCAAAGCCCTCGAATGGGTCCAGCAACACATAGTCCGGTTTGGCGGTGACCCCGAACATGTCGTTCTTGGTGGAGAGTCGGCAGGGGCCGCTAGTATCAGTCTGCAGATGATCGCATACGGCGGCGAGGACTACGGCCTATTCCATGCTGCTGCTGCCGAGTCAGTGTCATTCGCCACGGTTTTGACTGTGAACGAGTCCTACTACCAATACGAAAACTTCGCCATCCGGCTTGGGTGTGTAGGCTCTGGTTCGTTGGCATGCCTTCGGTCCAAAACTTCTGAGCAGCTGCAAACCGAGAACATCAATGTCCCTTACCCCGGAGCAAGTGGCCCGCCAATCTACATGTGGAACCCAGTTATCGACAACGACATTTTGTTAGACTATACATACAGAGCCTTCGCCCTAGGCAACTTCGTAAAAGTTCCGGTGATATTTGGCGACGATACCAATGGCGGAACTGTCTTCGCGCCTAGCAATACCTCAACACTGGCCCAGAGTAACATGTGGCTCCATAATCAATTCCCCCGTCTGACTCTGGATCATTTGGGGACCATTGACGAGTTGTACCCGAACCCCAACGAAACTTGCCCCAACGTCGGCTGTTACTGGAGACAACTAAGCAATGCCTACGGTGAGACCAGGTACATGTGCCCAAGTTTGTTCATCTCATCCGCATTCACACAACATGGCGTGCCGCAGTCCTGGGCCTATCGCTACAACGTGGAGGATCCGACCCAGATCGCACAAGGGTATGGTGTACCTCATACGGTCGAGTCGAACGCCATCTGGGGACCGGAGAACGTGCCAAACACGGCGCCGGCGAGCTATTACTCAAATGGAACCAATGCCGCCGTGATCCCAGTGATTCAGGGTTACTGGACCAGCTTCATCCGCTCGTTCGACCCCAACAAATATCGGTACCCCGGCTCGGCGCGCTGGGAGGAGTGGACGACTGGTGAGCAGCAACGCCTTGTTTTCCAAACGGGAGGGCAGACGGAGGTGGAAACAGTAGATGAAGCCTTGCTGAGGCGGTGTAAATTCTGGTCGGACATCGGAGTAGACATTGCACAGTGATATATGAACCAAGAACCCAACGATACCCTCTTGGTTCGGATTTGTTATGCATCACGAGGTTGCCGTATTTAAATTATATGTCGATTGTTTCTTCAATATGGTTAGCTTGACTACGAAAATGACTGGACAAGGCGTCGAACCTGCGGGCCCTGTATATCTTTTCTATGGCAGGGTCGGGACATATCCGACATCTTCGAGATCATGGGACCTGCGAAGAGCGTGCATACAGCTCAGCGCCGAGGAGCTGGCTTCTCGCAAAGTGGCCATGCCTTTCTGAACATCTCCCCACAGTGACTTGAGTTTTTCCAAACCCGCCGCGTCTTTCAATGTATAGATGGACCTTTCAAGTTCTTCGAAACACCGAGAGATCTTCCACTCGGAGTGATCAATCTTGGTCCATAGCTCCACTCCTGCCTTCTCTTCGTTGGTTGAAAAATTCCAGAGCTGGGTCCACGGATTTCTCACCAGTGCCATCAACAGTGGTTTGATATTGTCATGTACAAAGTTCAGATACACCCCATGTAGCACTTCGAAACTCTCAATCATCCGCGCTGAGTTCAAGTCAGAATGTTCGTTGCTGCTGAGTGAGGGTAGGAAGTACTTTGTACAGATACGTTCAAAGTCCTCAGCGGTCTCAGCTATACTCGCCATGTGGGCCGCCAGTCGCTTGAGGTACTCATGCTCCAGCCTTTGAGAGCTTGCAATTGCCATCATCTCGCATGCAATTAGTGATAGTCCTTCTCGTTCAGGCTCGGTGAAGGCAGGGGTCGTCAAAGAACTTGTCTTACCAAATTCGAGGATATTATCGGTCAGCCAAGCGCAGCACCGGCTGTCCAATAATCTGCAAGCGGCAAAGGCCAACCGTGTCCAAGCCGCAGCGTCTTGATCTTTCCGGGTACTTGAAGAAGCATCTTGAAAGAGATGTGCGAGCTGCCAAGCAAACTCGGCAAAGAAACGACTTGTGTGAGCATCGTCCTCCAGAGCGTCTTGGGGGAACGAGTCAATCCATAACATGAATGCCTCAGGATCGTCAATCGCGAGATCGCGTGCCCCAAGACTGAAACAACTTGGGCAAGAACTTGCGTGTCTGGTTCTTACCACTAGGCCCTGCTCCAACATATCACACCTTACCATTTCGGCCCACAGTCTGCAGGCACCCGACATCATGTCTTGCGTAACCAAGTGAGAACATTCATCGAAGATGAAGCGAATTGGCAGTGTGCATTCGGGATGAGCCATGTTGCTAAATGGCTTCTGGTAAGATATTTTGTCGTTGCTGGAGCTGGTCTATCGCCATTTTCTCGCTAGCTAACGTAGGTATCATGGCTGTCATATATATAAGCAATCAAACTGGACCCGGATGGAGCGCCATGATAGTCACAATAGTCTTGATGGACAAAGCCCCTAAAGCCATTGTTCAAAGCCTGTGCTTTGTCAATGTTATCCCTTCGACAAATGTATCAAAGCCAGTACTATTGAGCGTGAAGGTGACGGCTCAATGTCGTTGGGCGAAGAGATATCTTGCTTCACGTGTAGACCTGTGCTGCTAAGTACCTCAATGTCAAGTTGAGGAAGTACCAACCACAAGCAATCATCACCGTACCTAACTACCTACAGGCATTGCAATCCTGGAGCTGAGCGTAGCAGGGGCGGGGGGGGAGTAATTTAAACACCGGCGTGGAGAGGGCAATCAGAAGATTTCATATTTTTGGCGAAGTTATACACGCTGAACCAAACATAGCCTCAAGGTAGCCATGGCGCCCGGTAAGCAGCATCGAAGCGGTCAATCTAGGGCGGACTAGTCACAATAGCTTGCCAGTTCTGACCGCATCTTTGATGAAGGATATGTGGAGCAAGCACAGAGGCAAATTGCCGAGTGTCTAAGAAGACTGGAACAGTCGAGAAGGGCTGACTGTGCGCTGCACTACAAGTGTGGTCTCTTCAGAGTATCATGGCTTACAATAATGCTGGTTGTATACCTGAGTAAGCATTGTGGATAGAGGATGGCGGGGTGCAGACTGGTCTGATGTACTTCAAAAGTATGCTTGAGCCGGGGCGGGCGAGACTGCTGGAATGGATGCACTGGACATCTAGGTATCGCTAGCGTCATGGATGCCATGGAATGGGACGCCGACATCAGATGAGATGAGACGAGATGAGATGGAATGACGCACTGGCCCCAAGACTGGCCCTTACTGCATTGCATAACTGGAGCTCGGCAGTTTGCCACGCTAACACCCAACTGCTCCTCCACAGGTACGGTAGACCCCCCCTAAACAACAAGGCGCGGCATGGCATGGCATGACAGGGCGGGCGGCAGCTAAAGGTACCTGACCTGATCAAACCTTCCCATTCGCCTGGGAAATCCAAGACATTGCGCCGTTGACAAGAAACAAATCCTCCCGGGTGTTGTGATCCCCAGACAGCAAGGCAGCAAGCAAGGCAGCAAGCAAGGCAGCAAGCAAGGCAGCAAGCAAGGCAGCAAGCAAGGCTGCAACAACCCTTTGAGTTCCGGTGTTGCGGCGAGCTATGCTCGGCATCTGCGTTGCACTTATTCATCTTCACATGATAGAATTCTGACGGGGGTCTTCCCTCAGCATCCCTCATCGTCAGACAGAACACAGTGACCAGCTCAACAATGCCCGTCGTGGCCTCAGCATGAGGCTATACGAACACAGGCACATCTGCAGAACCACCCGACACGTTCTGAAGCTTGGCATGAGACGAAGCCGGCCCCCACGTTGAGGCCGGGCGCCGCGATGGCCAACGACACCGTGAACCCCCCGCAAACCTCCCATGGCGCACCACGACACTCAAGGGCATCGACCTCGACGTCGCACCGCAGCTATGGTAGCTACGAGACTGGAGAGTCGAGCACGGCTGCGCGCGGTGCATCTACGACAAGGGAATCGACCATGACCACTTCGCTGCCGCCGGAACCACACGCCGATGAGAGACCACGCAAGGCAAAAAGGGACGACGGAAGACGTCGATCGCATAAACCGCGCCCGACGGGAGGCTTTCTTCTCTCCAACCCGGTGCTGGACGAATCGCATTCGCGCACGCATGGGACCAAGCAGGATGATGAGCGCAGGCGGTCGAGGATACCAACGACCAGTCGACGGGCTAAAAGTCCGTTCGAGGCGACGCCGCCAACGTCAAGCTCCAAGAATGCTACTTTGCTTGGCCCGACGACAGAGGCCCTAGATGCTGGAGAGGTTGCAGACGAGAGAAGCCACGGCGACACTGGGCGGCCGAGTTCTGCGTCCATGATACCGTCGCCGCGGCCAGATTCAAGCGCAGATATCGACTCTACGCAGATTGTGAACATGGCCCTGAATCTCAGCGAGTCTCGGCGCATGGCACAGAGGCGGAACGTATCGAGCCCAATACCGCCACGTCTGGCTCAGCTTCCCGATGCTCATGCCGGCAGTGGTCTGAAGCAGCACCTGCAGCAGCAGAGGCGGACGTCCCGCAACCTATCTCCCAAGCCGGATAGAAGCAGCTTCGCACCGCGCAACGTGTCTGTCTCCCATCAGCGACTGACCAGTCCCCTTCAAACATCTTTCGACCCCGATAGCAGCTACACATATCATTTCTCCTCTTCCACCCTGAACCGGGCCCAGAAGGCGAAGGAGCACTTTGGACTCATGGCCCAGTACAGGCGGCTTTTGCATCTGATCCCACCCATGCAATACAAGGGCCAGGCGTTAAGCCGTCCTTCCACATCGAGCCCTCCCACGTCCCCCATCACAAGCTCATCATCCAGCAGACCCCTGAGCGGTGCCCAAGCAACCCTGGGCCGCCCTTACAATCCTCTCCAATACATCCGGAACCGTAAGGTCAGGGCGAGAGAAAGAAAAGCCATCGATGGCGAAGCGCAAGGGTTCGCTGATGTCAACAGAGTGACCGACTGGGTTGATCAAGCGGCTACTCTGACCGCTACATCACCACTCTCTCCAGAGTCGTCAGCCATACCCCCCTTCCCAGGAGCACATTCAGCCGCGGACCATGGCGCGTTGTCGAACAATCTCGTTCATGTTTCAAGTGGGGGAAAACCCAAGCGGCCAAGGATTGACTGGATCATCGAACCAGCAGATATGCTGGCAGATGTCTACTGGGTTGAACAGGAAGACAACAAGTCATTGATCGAAAACCGCCACTACTCGCGCCTATTTCCCCTCAAGGCCACTGTAACACCCAGACCAATGTCCCAAGAGAACTACGAGACACTGACAGCGCCGCTTGCGCTGACTCCAGGCTCCGGCAAGGACGCTGATAGTAGCGACGCATCTGCGGAAATGAGGCCATCAGACTCTAATGCAGTGTCGCGAACCGATACCCAGCTGTCCCACACGAGCGCACGAGATCGTGCTCGTCAGAAGCTCCATGAGCTTAGGGGCATGCACCATCGACACGATACTTCTACGCATAGCCATCACGATTTCTTACATTTGCGGAGGAACTCGCTGTCGGACACTTCAGACAGTGACATTGACCGTCAGAAACGGGAGCGCGGTGGTACAGTGAGTGCCAGCAGCAAAGCCATTCTTGAGAAGCAAATGAAGGAGATGCTGGCAAGGGAGGCTATCGAGGCACATAAGGAAACACAGAGTGACGCCAGCGTGGAGAAAGTCAGACCACAGCGTCCAACTTTGGTGACCCCAGAGAGATCCTCGGAACCCTCAATCCATGATCGTATTTTCAAGGGCTCGAGAGTAGAAATCGACGAGGTTGCTGATGTGACAAAACGTGGCCGTTTTAGGCAAGGCTCTCCAGTACGCTCTGGTCGCACTAGTCTTGAAGTCCCAGGCTGGACTACCAGAGCTTCCATGGATTTGGACACCTCATTACCGCCGTCACCGGATCTCAAGGCTTTGAGAAGCGGTGGGAACTATATGCCAACTATTGGTATGGATCTTTCTCCACCCGGGAGCCGCCCAGGATCTCCAGTGCGCAAGCCCTTTTCAAAGGTCAAAAATATATTCAGAGATCGAAGCCGAGAGCGTGGTAATGATAGGCCTTACACTGGAAGAGACGAAAGGCTGGATAGCCCTTCTGAGGATGTTGAAAAGGTCATGTTCTCACCTGTATTGGTCGAAGGGCCTGGCTTCCCAAGGAGACAGCGCTCGAAGAGTCCAATGCCTCAGATACCCAGAGTGGATACCCACAAGTCTCACAAGAGTATGGGTAGTGTGAAGCTGGGCAAGGAGGATCAAATCGGACTGCGCAGTATCCTTAAAGGAGGCGCCAAGATCGATGGCATTATCCGGGGCGGCGTTTCGAAGGTTTCCGACCTTCTTTGGAGAAAGGATCAGGACAGCGAGGCCACGTCGTCCACGACATCTAGCGACGATTCTGATAGTGAGCCGGCTAGAGGCCGGCGTTTGACTCCAGCTGCAACCTCGCGCTCTAACTCCGCGAGGGCGCAAGAGCGCCAGCAGGGTAAAACCTACCTCGACAGGATGCCTCCATTCAGACATATACCGGGGCCAGATCAGTCGTTGATACCAGAGGGCGAGTCTCTTATAGTCCCTCTCGAACGGCCTTCACAACCCCCCAGCCGCCGCTCATCACGGTTCGAGAAACTGAAGCCACCGCGCATTGACGTTCTCAACGCCTCGCCTACCTCCTCGCCTATCGATACGCAAAAGCTACGTCAGGCCGACGATGCCGAGATCTCAGACTTGGAATCGCGCTCTCGTGACTCGGGCGTATCGACTGACGGCGTGCGCCAGTCTTCTTCTCAGCTGAATGCCATCCTTTCCCTTCCTGTTCCCTCAAATCGTTCTCACCACGGCTCCCCGAGCAGGCCTAGGCATTGGTCCATATCTGACCGCTCGCCATCTCCGCAGCCCCCAGGCCAGCTCTCCAAGCGCGAGGTCGCTCGGCTGCGCGCCGTTGCCCTCTCCTCCGGTATCAAAGCTATGGAGATCGCGCGTCGTGCCGGTGAGCCGCACCGCCTATCAGGTCCCGAACATGCAAAGATCGGCCTGCCTTGGGTCGAGCTGAGCCCATACACGAGTCCGGACCACGCGCAGCTCGCGGTCCCACAGCTCGAGGTCTACCCGACCATGGCGAGACTCCTCGCCTCGAACGTCGAGGCCTCGGCGGCAGAACTCGACAAGTCGGCACATGCGTTTGCCGCCGAGGACATGCACGTGCTGCGGAGCCGCGTCGACGCGCTCCACGCCCGGGTCGCCACGGACCTGATCGACATGACGCGGCGGGCGGCCGACGAGGCCGACGAGTGCAGCCGCGATGTCGTCGACTCGCAGCGGCTCAAGGTCAAGCGCGTCGTCGACATCATCGACAAGATGCTGCGCCGCCGCCGCCGCCGCTTCCGGTGGGCCCGCCGTGGCGGCTGGCTCATGGTCGAGTGGGCCCTCGTCGGCTTCATGTGGTACGTCTGGTTCGTCGTCATGATCTTCCGCGTCTTCCTCGGCCTCGGCCGCGGTATCGTCGGCGGCGTGCGCTGGCTGCTGTGGCTGTGAGGGCGGCCCCAAAAAAATTATTACGACCGCTTCGTGGAGGTTGGGAGCGGTCCAAACATCCATGTACTGTATATATAAAATTTGTAATAACGGACCGGCGGCGGTAATGAGGTTTGCAAAGAGGGGAGAAGGACGACTGCGTACATGTGCGTACGCACGTCTGCGCGGCATGTTTGGTTTGCTTGGGTTGTGTCCGAGCTCGGCAATGACCTCGATATACCCCCCTGTTTTGCGCCTCTCCTCTTTTACCTTTCCCTTTTTCACCATTATACACATATTTTCCTTTGTTCTTCTGAATTGTCACGACTAGAGTCGCATAGCAAAGCAAGGTGTCTGGACAGGCGAGAATACGCGCGACACGACATGGATTATACCAGGGAGACATTCGGCCTTTACCACAAGAAACGGTGGAGGCCGTCTTTTGAAGAGTTGTTTAGTATAGTCTCTAATCGCTAAAATCGAACACAACGGAATCTCACTTCTATAGCAATACTTTACCAGTTAGTGAAGCAATGCTGTGTTGTCTATGATCAAGCCCTCCTGCCATCAGTCGGAAGGACACGGGCTGCGGATTCAATTTTAACGGGCTCTGGACAACTTGTCAGATGTGCTGGCTTCATGGGCGTAGGTGGATTTTCTACGGCCGTGTATTGAATATTAAAAGTCTACTACTTGGTGTCCCACAGGGACTCCTCACCCCTCCGGGTCACAGATCGCAAGTCTAGTGTACAAAAGAGACGGCCTAGCCGTCGAACACCAAGCCTGGCATATAGGCTTGTGCAGTCGGCCCAGCACGGTAAGGGATGGAACAGGTTTTATTGGAAGATGAGGCCGGCTCTTGTGTGTCCGGGAGCCGAAGAGCCACTATTCGATCCTCTTCTTGCCCTCTTCGGCGCTGAGGTACCTCGCAGTGCTAAGCCCGCGTTCGTGCTTGGCGACGAACGCACCCAGAAGCTTGTCTTTCCGGACCTTGCTGATGGTCTCCTGATAGCCCTCTACAGCCCATGGCCTAGGGTTGAGCTTTGGCCAGTTGACCTGCGTAGAATTGTCAGTGTTTCGACTCTTAACTTTGGGGTGATTTTCGTGGGAACCTACGTATAGCATTCCATTTTTCAGGATGAACTGGACACACCAAGCCGCTGCCGCCGCCCAAAACAAAATGAAAAGGCGCATGGGAAGGACCGCAGAATCGGGTACGCGGCGTGTGAAGAGTGCCACGAAAACGAGGAACACGCTGAACGCAAGCAAGTAAGGAACACTCTGGATGAGAATCGGTCGTCGGTCTGCAAAGACGAGAGAGGGGCCGATGTTAGCGGTGCTGGCATCGTAGGCTCCGAGGAACAGATCGAAAGCATCCTGCCGGGGTCCATCTCGGAAGTTGTTGAGATAGAAGCGCTTGATAGCAATGTTGAGATCCTGGAGCTTGCCGGCATTCGTTCGGTTGCCCATGCGAGTGATATCCGTCTTCATGGCGCCGGTGCCCGCATAGGCGCGGGAGACGGTATCCGCGTTGTCGGCCCAGACGTTGCGGAAGAGGAAGTAGAAGTCCCGGTCGACGGCAGCGAAGTTCTCGCCACGCTCCAGGATGCCAAGATCAATGAACATGCGATCCAATGTCCACCGGGCGAACATGCTCTGCACGACGTTGGTACGGTCTAGCGAGTCCATACAGTTCGTACGGACGACACTGGTCTGGAAGTTGCGGGTTTCGAGGCCGCCGTTGGCGGGCATGTCAACGCCACGGAAATACTGCTGAGCAACCAGGGCATCCTGAAGCCTGTCGATGAGCAGCATGGCACGATGCATCTGCATGCCCTTGGTCTCGTGATGATAGTCGAAGTAGACGTAGTGTAGGCGGTCGTAGGCCTGTTTCGACGAGCCTGGCTCGATGACGTGGAACTTCTCGTCTGTCCTGGAGTCGGCCTTAACGCCCTCCTGAGGCGATGACACCAAGGTTTCCACCAACTGCTCGTAGGTTTCCTTGACCCGCTTCTCACGCCCTTTTTGGTTCACCAGGTTCACGAGATAGTTGTCTCCGTATATGCGGATCTGTTCGTCAAAGTGTTTCCGAGCGGCAGGCAGGGCGGACTCGATACTTCGGACCTGAAGCTTGGGGGTATACTTCAACGCATTGATCTCGGCCCAGAAGGCTGGCACGCTGCCCCGAGTCTGCACGTAGGATAGGATCTGCATCTCCTTCCCATCGGAAGCGCCAAACTTGCCGCTCTGCATGTCGGCACTGCCAGCGAAGCCGCCCAAGCCGCTGCCGGGGTCGTTCAGGACGACAATCTGCTCCGTCTCGTTGTAGTTGGCGGCATGGCCTTCCTCGTCCAAGCCTCTCGTGAAGTAGCGCGTGCCAGCCCGGAAACGGGACTTCCTTGTGATGAGGCTCAAGGTGAGGGGGGTCCCTTTGACGGTAGTAGGACGAATCTCCAAGGTGCCCCAGATGACGGGGAGGATATAGGGGTCAGCAGCCGCCTGGGGGCCAGGTTGCGACCGGCTGCCCCTCTTGCGGAAGTCAATCAGATCGGACTGCACAGCCCTGTTCCAGAAGAAGCGGTCGTCGGCGCGCATCCACAGCGGGGTGGAGCTGTCCATGGAGGCCTGGCGCTGGAAGCTGTTGGTGAGGTCGAGAGAGTAGGAGAAGTACATGGGACCGGGCATGACAAAGGTCTTGAGCAGGGCCAGGAACGTGTCCTCGTCGGGGTCCCTGATCTGGCGCTCGCGCATGGGCAGGAAGTCGGTCGAGATGACCTTGTAGACCATGTGTCCCTTGAGGCGGCCCATGGGCTGGGCCTTGGTGACGACAATGACATACTTGTCCAGCCTCAGCTTGATCGTGCCCAGGATGCCGGCGATGCTGGAAACGCGGGAGATGCGCTTGTTCGGGTAGGCGGCGGCCTCGCTCAGGCGCAGGTCGCCGGTGGGGCGGTCGATGACGAGGGTGGGAGCATTCGGGGACGAGGGAGAAGTGAAGGTGTAGGCATCGGGTGCCACCTGGACGTTGATATCGCGAAAGGGGAGGGCCATGGCGGGCAGTCAAGCTGTGTGCGTATGTCGAGGGCTATTCAGTGCAGCGTTGGCAGCGGCGCATAGCAGGACCAGGAGATGACGATGGCCAGCAGGGGGGGGGAAGGACGAAGTAGGGGTTGGTTGATTATCGCAGGAGACCCGTCGGCATCGTGCGTCGTGCAGCAGAAACGGAGGTGGACTGGCTGTACAGGAAAGCGAAAAAAAAAAAAAAAAAGGAATGGAGAGCCCGAAGGATGTCGAGGCTGGCTAGCTGGTGGTGGTGTTGGCGGTGGTTTCCAGCCTGGGGCGTTGTCGTCACCCAAAAGCTGCTCTTGACACGAATTATTAGCATGCAGCGTAGCGTCCATGGCGTTCGTGCCAGGGGCCTATGCATCTTGGCTTAGCTAAGGTATGGATGTGGGTAAGTACTACTACACAGCACCACGGCCCATACGCTTGAGGTCAAGGGAACATTTCAACAAGCCGACCCCTGCAGACGGCGGAGGCACACTTATCGCGATGCTGCATAAAAAGCACGACCTGTGTATATACTATGCACTCTTGGCTGCCGTATGACATGGTGCACGCCGCCATCGATCTTGTCGTAGGCACAAGAGGTTCGGGGCGCTTAGGTAGGTAGTATTCTGACTGTTCCCATTGTACGGAGTACGTGGTCTCAATGGCAAAGCCGCATGTGATCTAGTGGCCTGGTCGTCTGGCCGAGACTTACATACTCCTACCTCCCTAGGGAGAAATGAATCGACACACTCGCTCATTACACGTTCGCAATACAGACGTCTGGCAAAAGCATATCAGTCCGTCTCGTCCTTGACCATTCTTCAGACCACCTGCAGGGTGCGATGATGCGGTGGATGGGGTCCGACTGTGGATGACGATGGATAGATACATGACCTCCAGCTAGTTAGGTATCCTATGGATCCCAGCGACCATCACGTGGGGGGGAAGGATAGATGGGCAAGATGGTGGCGTGGACCACGGTCGTTATCTGCGTCCCGATTGCCCGAGAGCCCAGTGCTGCCACCCTCGCCCTAAGCCCGTTCAGGCGGGCGCCCCCCCAAAAAGAGGTACCTAGCCACCGCCAAACTGCCAGCCCGTGCCAGCCCGGTTTTCGGTATCGGTAGGGGTGACGGGGCAAGACGCAGAGCCGGCACCACCACGCAGACGCAGACTGGGGGGGTCCTCCAGGCCTGACGTGTGCTGCTGAGCCATCCACTCAACGAGCTCCCAGGCAGTCACAATACCTTACCACCACTACCTACCATCTCAACCACCACCCACTACCACCACTACCACCACTACCACCACCACCACCTTTGCTACGCCAGAGCAGCATTTCAAGCCAGGACATCAACCCCCCGGCGCACCGCGAACCTTGCCACCTCCTCCGTAAACCTTTGAGCTCCCGTCTCCCTCCAACTGTCCGCGCCCGGCCGCTGCTTGCGATCGATCCCTTGCGGCCCATCCGCCATCCAGTCCCGTCGCGCCGCTTCCGCATCATCGTCCTCGTCCTCGTCGTCCATCTCCGCCCTCCTATCTTCACCTCCCTTGGTTCTCGTTCGCCTCGAGTCCCCGACATACAAACTATACCCACCACAGACTCCTGTCATAATGGCTTCCAGAGGAGGTCCCGCCGGCGCCCGCGGCATGAACACCCGTTTTGCGCAGTTCAAGCTCGTCTTATTAGGTATGCTCCTGCTCCTGCTCCTGCTCTTGCTCCTGCCCCTCCTTCTGCTGCCGCCCAAGGACTCGCATGTCGATATGTCATCGATCAACCGCTAATCCGTGTCCCTCGCCCACAGGAGAGTCGGCTGTCGGAAAGGTACTTGGCCCAGAGGCCATGCCAGCCACCTAGCCCGTCTACGCATTTTGCTGATCATCATCCATCCCACCAGAGCTCCATCGTCTTGCGGTTCGTTAAGGACCAGTTCGACTCGTACAGGGAGTCCACTATCGGTGCCGCCTTCCTTACCCAGACCATCTCTCTCGATGAAAACACCACAGTCAAGTTCGAAATCTGGGATACCGCCGGCCAGGAGCGCTACAAGTCGCTAGCCCCCATGTACTACCGCAACGCCAACTGCGCCGTTGTCGTCTACGATATTACGCAATCCGTACGTCCCCCGTCATTCCGTGAGCCCACGGCTCACGGCCCACCCGCTTGCATAGACACTTACTAATCGCACATCGTCACTGCAGGCTTCACTGGACAAGGCAAAGGCCTGGGTCAAGGAGCTCCAGCGACAGGCCAACGAGAACATCATCATCGCGCTCGCAGGCAATAAGCTGGACTTGGTGACGGAGCAACCGGACAAGAGGGCAGTGCCCACGGCCGACGCCGAGGCCTACGCCAGCGAGGCCGGTCTTCTTTTCTTTGAGACATCGGCCAAGACGGCCGAGAACGTTCGCGAGTTGTTCACGGCCATCGCCAAGAAGCTTCCCCTGGATCAGGCCGGCCCAAGGCACACCCGCCCAGGGCAGCGAACCGGCGGGGTCAGCCTGCAGTCAGAGGGCGCGAACACGGCGGCCGGAGGGCCATGCAGCTGCTAAAGAGGCTTCTGGCCCAGTTGGGAGGCGCATCCGTCTCCCTCGACCGTCCAGGCCACACCGCCCGCGATGGTATCGGTATCGGCAGCAGAGGGTTGCCACGTAGAGCAGGCCTGAGTGGAGGCTCGTGTTTCAACAAGACAACAAGTACGAAATTCACATTGGGGATGGACTTGGGGTCAGTCCAGATCTGGGCGGTTAGAGAGCCCTCATTGTACAGACTTTTTTTTTTATCGCAGGGATCAGGTCAGAGAGACGGTGAGAGACACAGAGGCCATATATTCCCTTGGACCACGGAGTTTGTAGGCTGGCTGGTACTAAGCTTTTTTTAATAATTTGCGTTGACTTGAGTTTTCCGGGGGGGCCAGTCAACTGATGTGTAGTAGAAATGCATTGTTACCGACGTTGATGGGATCCGTCTTCTTGAGGAACGTGGTTGTATCTGTTGTATGTTGCAGCGGACGGCAATGCGCCAGAATACTGAATTTCTAGAAGCTATGGACATGATGTGCAATGTCTTTGTTTGGCCGTCGATGGCTACTTAAGTACTGTCTATTGTCAAAAGGATCCAAGGGCAGACTCGCGTGGCGTTGAATTGGAGGCCCGTCACGGTGGTGTTGTCAACCATAGCCGGGGACCTAGGTCCGGTCCAGCATCCAACATTGGATGGGCCTTGCGTTGTACCTGAGCCACGGGCCGGGATTATCCATATCCAATGGCTGGCGAAAAAAAAGTGCACCCGCCTGGGACCTGGGCAGTGGGCAGTGGGCACCAGCGTCCAACGTCCAGCGTCCAGCGTCCAGCCTCCGGCCTCCCGAGCCAGCTAATCACGGTGCACCACGCCTTAAACTTGAACCTGACTTGGGCCAAGGCACGGGCAGCCGAGCTTTTTACCTCAAACCAAAACCACCCTTCAACACCCGCCCAACGCCCATCCCCAACTCCCCCCTCCCCCTTCAACTCGCAGCACCGCATTTTGACGGCCCCTCCATGCCCTCATGTTGCGGACATCGTTGCGATCCGTAAGGGCCGTGGGCAGCAAGCCCATTGCTGCCGCCGCCGGCCGCCAATGGCATCCTGCCGTCGCGCGGTCCGCCGCCCTTCTTCCTGCTAGGGTATGATGCAATCACCATCCTTCCGCTGCTCGTGTCGTGTCGTCCACCCACAACGGAACGGGATGGCATGGCACGGCACTCGAACACCACACGCGCTAACTTGCCCTCCCGCAGAGGTTCTACGCAGATGACAAGAAGCCCTCGATAAACGACCCGACGCCGCCCAAGCTCCCGGCCGCCGAGACCAACACGGCAGCCGCCAGCGAGGCCCCCGTCCTGAAGCTCGAGTCCGACATCAAGGCCTCGTCCGTCGATGCAAAGGACGTCCCTCTCACCCCGCCAGCTCCCGAGGCCCCCGTCGTCTCTGACCCCATCTCGCCAGCCACGCCTGTGCCGCCGCCGAGCGCACCCACACCCGTGAAGAAGAAGGGCTTCCTGCGCCGTCTCCGCAACTACATCCTCACCCTCGCCATCTTGGGCGGTCTCGCCTTCGGCGGTGGCGTCTGGTACTCGCGCATCAACGACAACTTCCACGACTTCTTTGCCGAGTACATCCCCTTCGGCGAGCAGGCTGTGCTCTTCTTCGAGGAGCGCGACCTCAAGAGGCGCTTCCCTCGCAGCATCGGCGCCGGCTCGCTCCACGCCAAGGAGGCCGGCACCCAGGTCAAGATCGGCCCCCAGAGTGGTGCATCATGGAGGGTGGCAGACAGCGGCGAGCCCGCTCCCCGCATGTCGAGTGCCATGCGCGACGTCGCCGCAGGCAAGAGCGATGGCCCCAAGAAGGAAGCCCCGGCGCCCAAGCCCCAGCCGCCTGCCGAGGAGCCAAAGCAGAGCATCACCCCGGCTGCCACCTCTGCTGTCGACGCCAACACCGAGGCCCCCAAGAAGAAGTCCTCCAAGCAGGACAAGCCCGCGTTCAAGGCCCCCGAGGTCGACGAGCCATCCCGCTTCCCCCCTGCTTCGCCGATTGACCCTCTGAAGGTCAAGGATGCCGAGGAGCCCGTGGTCCAGGACCTTGTCAAGATGTTGAACGACATCATCACCGTGGTCAACGCCGACAACGCCGACGACCGCTTCTCGGCCACCATTGGCAAAGCCAAGAACGAGCTCAACAAGGTCGGCTCCAAGGTCAAGGAACTGAAGGCCCAGGTCGAGAAGGATGCAGCTTCCAAGCTTGCCACCAAGGTCAACGAGTTCGAATCTGCCGCCAACGAGTTGGTCTCGCGCGTCGAGAAGGCCATGGCTGCTCAGGAGGCTAACTGGCAGGCTGATTTCGAGGCCGAGATGAAGCGCATCCACGACATCTACAACAAGCGCACCGCTACCGAGTTGGAGCGCGAGAAACTGGTCAATGAGCAGAAGCTCGAGAACAAGCTTCTCGAGCAGGCCATCGAGCTGAAGCGCCAGTTTGCGAAGCAGGTCAAGGACACGGTCGAGTCGGAACGTAGCGGACGCCTCGGCAAGCTTGAGCAGCTGAGCTCGGCGGTCAAGGATCTCGAGCAGCTGACCACGGGCTGGAACGATGTTGTCGACATGAACCTCCAGACCCAGCAGCTCCACGTCGCTGTGGAGGCAGTACGCGCAAGCCTCAGCGACGAGGAGCACCCTCGTCCCTTCGTTCGCGAGCTGGTGGCTCTCCGGGAGATCGCATCCAACGACCAGGTCGTCAACGCCGCCATCTCGTCGATCAACCCTGCCGCCTACCAGCGTGGCATCAGCACCCCCTCGCAACTGATTGACCGTTTCCGCCGCGTGGCGTCCGAGGTGCGCAAGGCGAGCCTGCTACCCGACGACGCCGGTGTGGCCAGCCACGCCAGCAGCTGGGTGTTGAGCAAGGTCATGTTCAAGAAGGAGGGGCTGGCTGCCGGTGACGACGTCGAGAGCATTCTTACGAGGACGCAGACCTATCTCGAGGAGGGTGACCTGGACCGAGCCACTCGCGAGTTGAACGGACTTAACGGATGGGCCAAGACTCTCAGCCGGGACTGGTTGGCTGAGGCGAGAAAGGTGTTGGAGGTGCAACAGGCGCTTGAGGTAAGCATCATATCCCGCCCCCCGGGTCGAACCCACAGACGAGCGCGGGACACAATAACTAACCTGGTTGAATAGGTCATCTCAACCGAAGCTAGACTACAGAGCCTAAAGGTGGAGCAATAAACATCTAGACAGCGTGCGCGAGATTTACTAGGAAGGTTTAATTTTCTTTGTTGCACTGTACAACCTATAAGCCATTGTGCGTCTCTAGAGAAAAAGGGGGCTGGGCAGCCAGAACGTGGTAGGGGCTGGCTCGCCCGTGTATTATGAGAGCTGGTGAATAGATCATGATCCCTTGAATCTGCTAGACCGTCTAGAGTCGATGCTCTCGCGGGTTGTATACGTGCATGAATGCCATATGGATGACAGCAGAGCATCTTGCCCCTTTTTACCAGCTCGGGCTCTCGAAAACTCGGAAGAGCAAAAATGCGTTGGGTATCATATGAATGTATCCCTTGACCTCACTATCATGTTACGAAGCATCCCCGTCCTCATCATCCCCATCCGCGTACCCGTACAGCACCTCGTTCACCCCGGCTAGCGGTATATCCATGACAGCGTCAGTGCCCCGATCCCATACCCGTCGCCAGTCCGTCTCCTCCCCGGGGCCGAAGACCCTACCGGAGCCCCAAGGCGCCGCCCCGGCGCGGGCCCTGGCGCCCTTGTCGTGGCCCCTCTCGCCATCACCCACGGCGGCGACCTTGGCGGCGTCATCAACGACGGTCTCGAGGTTGCCGAGGCCCAGGGTCAGATACTCGGTGTTGTAGGCGGCCAGGGCGACGTAGATGTAGACGATGAGCATGACGAGGAAGGCGGGCACGGCCAGGGCCCACCAGCGGTTCGGGTAGTAGTAGATGCCCATGGCGTGCAGGAAGGCCGACGGCAGGTAGGCCCACAGCAGGTACATGCCGAAGGCCAGCGTCGAGAACAGGTACAGCACGAAGCCGTAGTACTCGTACGTCGGGACGCGCGGCGACGCCCGCGCCACGGCCGGCTCCAGCGCCCCGTTGGCCTGGTTCTCGTCGTCCGACGCGTCCGGCGTCGTCGGCCGCGACGGCCGCAGCAGCGACGTCAGCGACGGCGACGGCGGCAGCGGCGTCGGCGGCCGCCCGTAGAACGGCGGCGCGAAGAAGTTCTGCGACGGCGGCGGCGGCTGCGGCGCCCGGTGTGCGCTGCTGTCGTTGCTGTCCCCGCCGCCGCCGTCCCCGTCCGAGGACGAGTGGTTGGAGGAGGACGAGGACATCAGGTCGGCGTCCTCGCCGTCAAAGTAGTCGGCCATGGTGGTAGGTGGTCCTCTGCTCGGCGCTCAGGTGGCCGACTCAGGCCACATACAGTAGGTATAAGTCCAACGGCGAGGTGGTGAGAGTGAAGCGGATCCTGATTCCCTGATTATTTCACTTGCAAGTTGACCCGAGTACAGATCAAGACTTCGTCCCTCCTGTCATTGCGGATGGGCAGGTGTGTATGTGTTCACCATTGCACGGATCGGATCGAGTGCAACCTTTCGTGCAATGGTATTGCGCACCATCAGATGGGATATGGATATTTTGGTAGCTTGACGTCGAGCACCGCGGCCCCAGAACGCGGCTAACTGCTGGCCAAGGGGGAAGACAGGGCCCGGGGGTCTCTAGTTGGTGCACGGGCCACAGAGAGTCCCCCCAATGTCCCCCAAGGCGCTGCAGTTCCGCGCCCAGCCGCGAGGGGCCAGTGGATGGAGCAGCGTCTGGAGCTTGAACTCACAGGTAAGTTACTGGACTCGTGGTGCCTGTACACAGTAATTGGCGGACAGGCTGACCACCACCACCCACCACCCACCAGCCACGCGGTTGAAGCTCCAACTGCAATTGCAACTGACTGCAGAAACGCGCGCCGCCTCGCCCAATATTCGACCAGCCTTGCGCCGACCACCATACACCACACAATCCTCCCGACAACCTTCGTACACAGGAGAGACCGGAGTACGCGTTCCCCAGGCCGCCAGCACGTCAATTGCCCGAGTCTGACCACCCCGATTTCCAGCATGGCGCAGCAGCCTCTGACCACGGCCAGCGTGCCCACCGACATCTACGGCGGAGGTATGCGACATTCTGCCTGCTTTGTCCAACTGTGACCCACGAGAACCCATAGCTGACCCTGACAACCCAGATGAGGTCTCTGCCCTCGTTCTCGATGCGGGCTACTGCCACACGCGCGCCGGCTTCGCGGGCGAGGATGTGCCCAAGTCGGTGCTGCCCTCCTTCTACGGCTCCGTCGCCGCCACCCGCAACGTCTTCGGCGACGAGTGCCTCGTGCCCCGCGCCGACCTGGAGATCAAGAACTACATGAGCCGCGCCGAGTCCGTCGTCGAGGACTGGGACGCTGCCACCAACATCTGGGAGCACATGCTCATCAAGAGCCTGCAGCCCGAGCGCGAGATCCACCCCTCCAAGAACGGCCTCAACGACCCGGACACAAAAGCCGCCGCGGACGGCGAGGGCGACGTCGCCATGGAGGATGCCGCCGCCGCCGCCGCCGTTGCTAGCGGCGAGGCCACCGAGGACCAGGAGAAGCCGCTGGCCGAGAGCCCCCTGCTGATGACCGAGGCGCCGTGGAATTCCGGCAAGGCGCGGGAGAAGGCCATCGAGATCGCCATGGAGAACTGGGGCACCCCGGCCTTCTGGCTGACGAGGACACCCGTCGCGGCTGCCTTCGCCGCCGGCAAGGCGAGCGCCCTGGTCATCGATGTGGGAGGCGCCAACACGAGCGTGACGGCCGTGCACGACGGCATGATCCTCAAACGATCCATCCAAAAGTCCCCGGCCGGCGGTCTCTGGTTGTCGTCACAGATCCGCAGCATGTGGGACAGCTGCGAACCCAAGGTCGACGTGGTGCCGACCTTTATGGTGGAGAGCAAGGTTCCCGTAGACGCCGGCGCCCCGGCCCAGGCCAAGCTGCGCAAGTTCCCCTTCGACGTCTCGCCCAGCTTCCGCGCGTACGAGGAGGAGCGCCTGCTCACCGAATTCAAGGAGTCGGTCGTCGAGGTGTGGAAAGGCCCCGGCAAGTACACGAACCCCGGCAACGAGGAGCTGGTCAAGAGTCAACCCGGCCGCATCTTCGAGATGCCCGACGGTGCCAACCAGATGTGGCGCGAGCAGAGGTTCCGCGTGTCCGAGGGCATGTGGGACGACGCCGCCGCGCTGCCGACCCCCGGCGCGGACCCCATCACCAAGGCCCAGACCATCCCGGAGCTGATCCGCGCCTGCCTCAACAACGTCGACGTGGACCTGCGACCCAACCTGCTCGGCAACATTGTCGTCACCGGAGGCTCGAGTCTCCTGACCGGCTTCAACGACCGGCTGAACAGCGAGCTGTCGGCCATGTACCCGGGCATGCGCATCAAGCTGCACGCCGCCGGCCTGACCACGGAGCGGCGGTTCGGTGCCTGGATCGGCGGCAGCATCCTGGCCAGCCTGGGCACGTTCCACCAGATGTGGATCTCCAAGAAGGAGTACGACGAGAACGGCGCGGGCATCATCGAGAAGAGGTGCAAGTAAGCCGAGCAGGCCGGGGTTGCTTTATCGACGCGGTGTATGCAGGACACTCAGAACATGGGTGAAGGGGAATATTTAGTCCAAAAGAGAGAGAGAGAAAAATTCAAGGGGCGAGGTCTGAGAACATTGTTTTAGTCCATGGAAGCTTGGAGAGAAAAGGAGGGGGCGAGCCTGCTCCTGGCGTACGGAGTTTTCAGCGGTAGACAGATTCAGGACCCTCTCGCGGGTTTTCGCGAGATCGACACCTTGGGATAGCTTATAGAAAGAGAGCTTTGGTGTTCACCAATGACCTAAGACTTCAGTGAGCCTCAAGGGGCTCCGAGACGGTTTCCACGTAATTGAGCATGTAGGCGTCGAGTACCAGGTATTGAGGAACTCGTCTGTGCTTCCTCGGCTTATCTATTCGTCTGTTGCTATGAAGCTGCTAGATCCCTCTCCGTGAATTGAAATGCGTCAAGACCTGATGCAACGACGATGGCAGACATTAACTCTACCATGTACACTGATGGACTGCACGCGGGGGGCATCGTAATCTTGCAAGACCCCAGCAGGCATGTTCAACAGTCTACATCGACGTACATTTGCGCCTCGAGTCCCTATCCTAGCACTTATTTGCAGACAGCCCATATAGTAAGAGGCCACGAGACTATCGACGGCTACGAATTCGGTCATCTGAAGGGCTCCCGCATTCGGGTGAGAATTCAGATCTTGCTCTTGTCATGCAGAAGAATAAAATGACCCTCCAAATCGACTCGGCGTGAAGCTGACATCTGTCAGATTGAGACCAAAAAGACTTACTTCCTACCACGTAAGGGCCCGTCTTGGGCATCGTCTTTGGTCAGTTGTCACTTTAACAGTCCTATTTCGGACACACAAATATCCAAAGCATATGGGCCCGTCTTGGGCATCATCTTTGGTCAGTTGTCACTTTAACAGTCCTATTTCGGACACACAAATATCCAAAGCATACGGCATACTCTCAGAACGTAGAGCAGAGTGAAATCCTTAGACCGGTTGGGTGGCCCCTGTGGACACTGATGAACGACAGGCAGTCTAAGTAGCAGAGGCTTTTTTCCACCGGAACATATTCTGGCTTAATAATTAGTCAGAACTAATCCCATCTACACCCATTTCCATGACGTTTGGTATCAAGATTCGCCGCTCAGGGCCGTAGAGTTAGCATGACCGCCGCTGACCGCTCCTTACTCGGTAGACGGGCGTTCGTTTCACTGATGGCTGAGCTGGTGGCCTTGCTATCACAAGAGTCCGCTCAGCGTCCATATACAGATTCGAGGTCGGCGTCCAACACTGCGTCCATGATGCTATTGCCGATAATATGGTTGTAAGTAAATCATAGGCAACCTCCTCTCCTCAAATAAATGCATTCAAATAGGTTACGTTGCGTCTTGCTGCAGGTTCCAACTTTGCTCCTCTTTCCCATGATATCGAGGCCTTCATATCTGTACCGTCCTTCGCAGAGTCGCTCCATCAACTCGAATTTTTAATAGATGGACCAGACGAACGAAGTAACAGATCTCGCGGGCTGTGCCAGAACGACAAAGGACTGCCGTCGGGGGGGTGAAGTCCCCGTGTAATGCTTCATTACACGACCACCAGAGCCGAGGGGGAAAAGATGAATAACGGGTTACAAGAGCAGGTGAAGAGAGATGTCAACAACTTTGACATCGGAGATTGAACAGCTGAAACGAGCATGTCGTGCAAAGAAAAGCTCTTGAAACAATCACACTTGCGCTCCGTCGCATTATGTAATGTCGAGACTGGGATCGGTTCACGATACACCCGACCTTGTCGAGTGGGCCGCATAAGCTCAGCTCCAGGTATCGGAACGCATGAATCAGACTTGTCGGAGTTTGCAGCTTTCCTGGTTGAGTTGCCTTGCCGCATACTGGGATGAGCGATGCGCTAGGTTGGCCTTTTTATTTTTATTTTTATTTTTATTTTCTTTTTACTTTTCCTTTCTTTCCCTCCCCTCCACAATGTGTCTAATACGGATTACGTCTCGGCATCGTGAACAGCTGTACGGTTACCTAAAAGTACGGAGCAGAGAGCGGCATGAAGACGAAAATCAGCTTCGCAGCCGCCAAATTCGAAGGATTTTTAATGCCGAAGAATGACTGCAGCCAGCGCCTTAATAGTGACGTTATTACAATCGGCATTGACTTACACAGCGTTGCATCCGATCTGATCAAGCATCCACGTTGGACCAATTGTGGAAGTGGGGGTCGTGGATCCCAACGGGACATCTGGGCCATCGGCCGTCAAGCCGTGGATGGCAAGCGATTTCGCTTTTCTGGGCCTCCTCCCCCGCTATGGAGTCTCGAGTTGGCTTCGGTGCCAAATGCCATCGAGTCTAGATTATGGGATGAGACAAGTTGATCGCGGAAGAGCGAAAAAGGCGTTGGACGCGCATGTAAGTACGGCAACGGCTGTGCACCCAAGGATGAGATGACTGTGCAAAGTGGGCGAACGTGTCTCGGGCGCTCATTTGTCTCATGCAGAGCTACGCAGCAGTTGAAATTGGCTGCGCCTAACGAGGTACCTACATACACTGACAGTCGGCTAGCCTGCATGTTGATAGCTGCATGTTGCGCAGGTGCAAGCCGCTACCGTCTGATACCCACTTTGCGATGCCACAGTCATGCATCGGGCAAATGGACCCGTGATACCCGGGCCTGCTATGCTTAATGAACAGCTCTTCAAGTCATCTGGTGGGCAGGGTTCACGATAGCAAAGTCCGACTGAATTATGTGTGCCTCGCTGAATTGCGGCCCTCTATGAGAGCCGGGCTCACGATTCCCTTTCGACTCGTCATGATTTGCAGACCTAGACAGGTATTCACCTGGTTTGCCAGCACACATGGAGTCTATTCCGAGTTGACTGGTCGCCAGCGAGCCAATAGCGACGCGACGTGCGAGGTGGGCTCCTCGTTTGATGAGTTGTTGCTTCATGCAGGGCTGCGTTGGCGAATAGGCTGAGAAAAGGGGTAAAAGGTACCCCCATACCATCCATGCCATAGCACGAGTGGGCCATGACAGCCCGTGGCGCTCAGGCCCTCTAACCTTCAGAAATGGATGCGTCTCTGCCACCAAGCGTCTTTTGATGGACTTATTACGGAGGTACAGGAACTAGTATCCGTGTCCAGTAGGCAGGCAACGTGACCGAGCTGCTTGTTGAATTATCTGTTCGTTCCCAGCCCTCGGGTGACGATCATCAATATTTGGCGGATATGGACAAGCAGTTACCTTGAGGGAACGGGGAGAGATAATGTCGGCACTAGCCGAGGCGAGATTGAAGTGTGCGTGTACGGAGTACTCTGTACAAGAAGCTCTCGAGGTGGCTACGGCAAACCATGTTGTGCTTGCATGCTCCACGGAACTGGCAGCTGAGCCTGCACGGAACGAGCCGTTGAGTCTACACGAAGCTTTTCAGCTTAGCTCGAATGGTGTCTCTGGCGTATCCTCTGAAGAGGGCAGCGGCAGAGGCAGAGCGTTGAGCTGCAGTGGTGTCGTAGACAAAGACAGGTGCTGGGAACAAATCATCGTCTAGGCGTGGGCGCCTGGTGCGTTTCACACATGAGGCGCTGCACACGAATGCGAGGGGGAAAAAGAAACAAAGTCGTCCGATGTGTCGACTGCGAAATTGGCGTTCTTGAAGAGAGTTTCTACCCCACGAGCGTTTTGGTCTCGTCTTTCAGTAGTACATACATCTACACATGCGTGCAGATAGAGAGTGACTCAGGGTAAGTACACATCCAGGCCAGCGTCATTGTGTAGGTAGCTTATTAGTTGTGCCGTGCTGGCTTTCCACTGGTCTGGGTGACCCGATGGGTTTAAGGTTGGACAGGCGCTCCTCCAATTTCGAGAGTCAATGCTCGCTGGTCCCTCCATACTCCCAGGTATCTGAGCGGCGGCAGCCCGCAGGCCAGTGACATAATGATAGGTAGCCGTCTGCCCCCAGCATCCTCTGTAGTCATCTAACACATCAACGGCGCCATCCCCATAAGGGCACTAATCAACCACCTAACGAACCAACGGGCACTGCAGAACTGCAGCACAGCAGGGCAGCAGAGCGCCCAGCGCGCCAGCGAGCAGCCCGACAAGCCGGAGCCAGGGGGGTCGAGGAGGGTGGATATTGGGCCATTGGGCCATTGGGCCTTTGGGCCTTTGAGACCCTCCCTCCCACACGCCCCCCCGGTCCCCCATCTCCACACCCTGCACCCTTGGAGCTGCAATTGGAACGGCCTTCCTCATGTTGTGCCCAGACGAAGGCACGGATGGAGACCGTCGCTGACCCCTGAGATTTCCCTTCGTCGCGCTGTGCTCGGCCTGGTGTCATGAGAATTTCCGACCCTGCGCTGCCTGTCTGTTCTGCACTGCACCGCACCATTCTCTGTCCTATCGCGATTCCGGCATACGACCTTGTTTTGTTCCTTCTCCTGGTTCTGCTGGTGTTTCTCGCGGCTTGCAGAGATACCCTCGTTGGACCTCACGTTGTGGATTCGTCGGTTTGCTTCGTTTACACTCGTTTAATACAGCTTCCAGTTGGGAAGCGACAGCCTGCACGCCTCGCCAGCGACGGCACCAATACGACGTACGCACGCCTTTCGAATATTTGATACCCAAAAAAAAGTCACCAGCCGACCCCCACCTCCTGATCGCAACCGCCAGGGTTTGATTGACCTCGCTGATATTTCCACCCGGACCCGGACCATCGAGCCCGACTCTCGCGACTTCGTCTGCTCTGCTCCCCCATATAGACTTGGGGTTCGGCCCGCAAACTCAATTGCCCGCCATAGACCCTACTTGCGGCTTGTACCTTGCATGTCGTCGGCCATAACCCTCCTCTAGGATATTCGCGACGTCACGATGCCGAGCCTGTTCTCCCGCATCAGGGGCAAGGACGGCCAGGGCAAGCTCAAGTCCAAGAAGGGTGCTGGCCTCGGCGGTCTGGCCGATCAGCTGCCCGCGAAGCCGCGCTGGGATGATGCGTACACGCGCACGACTGTGGAGGCCGAAGAGATCGTTGAGTTGGTGCAGCGATGTTCAGCCGAGCTCAAGGCGCGAGGTACGTTATGGAAACTGCCCTTCTGTCCCATGCTGCCCGTGTTCCAGGCGGGCGCCGGTCCATGTGACGAATCCGAGGCTGATTGCTATGACCTTAGCCCTTGACCACCCGTTTTTGCTGCTGCCGTTCCGTCCGACCTCTGATCCGAGTGCCGTGCGCATCTTCATACGCCACTTTTTCGATGAGAACCACAGCCTCCACGGGGAGGCTCTCGCGCAGGAACTGCGCATGACCGAGCCCATGGTATGCAAAACAGTTGTCAGGAATACATGCTCTCGAGGCTAATATGCAGATAGGTTATCTCGGGTGTGTTGAAATGGTGCTGGAGTCGGTTGCAGGGTGGTGTGGTCGGTTGGGACGCCTACGAGCTGTTCAAAGTGGGAGAGCAAGATTCCAGCTTCGCACGCAACGCATTCACTACCTTCATTCCTCTGAGCGTCGAGAATGACGCGCGTACCAAGATCATCTTTTATTACTTCGACCTTCTGTCTGCCATCGCCGCCCACGGCAAGACGAACGGCTTTGGAGGCCGCAAGCTCTCGCGCATGGCGTCCTGGTGGGCCTTTGAGCACAAGGACACGGGTAATGGGTTCGAGGGTGGTTACAAATTCTGGCTCAGGTACGTGTCGTCGCTCCGCACCAGCCTTGGTCATCATGTACTAATTTGGACCAAAATAGCGCTGCTGATGCCACGAGCCATCTGTTCTTCGCCTATCTGAGGTCCTTGGCTCCCCAACCATCCGTTGGTGGTATTTCCATGCTTCCAATGTCCCTTCAGAAACTACTACAGGAAACTGAATACCCACCCCAAAATCCTTCGTTGATGCAGTCGTCTACCTACAGGGTTGTCATGGTCGTCGACACCGTATCGCCAACGCCGTTTGCGCTGCTGCGCCGGGCTAATCACTTCCAGTACCGCGAGGACGACAGGGCTCTATACGAGTTCTCCGAGTACGAAGACCCCGTCAGAGCGCTGACTGAGGAATGCCGAAGAGTCCTCAAGGCCATCTCACTCGCCAACCAATCGCAGGTCTCTAGTTCTAAGCACTCTACGGGACTCCGTGATGCCTCGTGGTCGCGCTTTGAGGATATTGGATTTGCAGGCACGTTGGAGGAAGAAGACGACGACGACGACATGGCCAGGGCAGGCTCACAGAACCCCCGGGGCCTGAGAACGACGCCTGCTTCGGGGACGAACTTGGGCCGGCCCACCACCCCTTCTTGGGCAGACTTCCTGTCGTCCGGCTTTGTGGATGACTCGCCTAACAGCCCGACCAACGTCTTGCTCCCCCCGGACAAGGTACTACCGCCCATCGATGCCAATGTTCGTCAACGTAGCTCTCAATCTCACCGCCCGCGACTGGAGAGCGTTCAGCATCTAGAACCTGGTGAGCTCGCAAATATTAACCGATTTGATCTCGATGATGCCTTTTGGTGGGTTTGGATGAGCAGTCTTGCCCCCGAGGAGACTGCCGAGCGAAAGTCAGCCTTTGGTCGATGTGCCGTTATTGAGACGGCGATCCGCTCTGGTCGATGGCTAGTAATGGAGGAGATGCTCAAGGGCGCGGCCCCTGAGCCTGCAGCAGGTGCATACATCGCGGAAAAGAAGGGCTTCTTCAGCTGGACGCGGCGCAACAAGGGAGTTTCGCGTAGTAAGTCTACAGGAAAGGGGACCCTTGACAAGGGCGACCGTCTGAAACCAGGTACCACCTTTGGCGCTGGACTCAGCAAGACCAGCATCGGTCCAGACCAGCAAGCCAAGATACAAGCAGCAGCACAGCAACTTCAAGCAAGCGAAGCTCAGGAACGTCTGTTGGCATCACCATTGCCAGAACGCCGTGGCCGCACAGATGCCGACTTGATGAAGGAGAAAACTAATAGCGTGCTCACCTTGCAGCCGGTCATCGTGAAGGAGGCTTCGCCAGCCATGAAATGGGCCAACAAGTACGACAAGGATGCTATCCGTGAAGCTTACCTGTCCAACACGAATGCCGGCCGTGGTCTAGGCCAGGCCACCATTCAACCCAATGGCCACACCGAGACGAATGGCTCCATGACAAATGGCAATCATTTGCCCGAAATACCGGAGAAGTCGCCTTCCACTGCCGCTCTGCCTTCACCAGCTGCACCACCACCGCCAACCGTTGTGGAGCCTCAGCCCGTTGCGCCAGCTCAGGAGCCTGTGCGGGAGCCCGAGAAGGCCTTGGAGGATGTCCACCCTGCCGAGAGACCTGCGCCTACTGGTCGCAACTCCCCACTGCCGCCGCCGCCACAAGGAGAGACTTCCATGGAGTCAGCTCGGGCCAATATGCTCTCACCTGAGCCACCCAGTCCCGAGAGCAAGAAGCCGAAGAAACTTCACAAAGAGGTTCACAAAGAGGAGAAGAAGACTGGTGGCTTCCGTAAGCTGTTTGGCCGCAAAAACAGAGTCTCCAAAGTCCCCGACAATGCGGCGACTGATGTCAACGCCTTCCTGGCCCAGCAACCTCAGGCCGCCGCGCCTGAGGCCACTCCTGAGAGACCTGAGCCTGTTACCTCAGAGTCTGCAGTCATGTCGCCAGGCGAATCCGCCTTTGCAACCCCCGCAGAGCAACCTGAAGACATTACCCCTACGCAAACCCCAGCAGCACCGGAGCCAACTTATGACGCTTCGGTTGACGAAAACTTGTCCCGGGTTGACACAGCCGATGTGAACGAAGCCAACCAGGAGTTCTCGCGTTTCGACCAAGGTCCTCTCTCTGACCAGCCTGCATTCGTCCCAGAAGACGAAGACAGCGACGATGATGCTACACCACCCCCTATTGCTCGGCACACGACGCTTCCGGCTGCGGTCCCTGAAGACGAACATGAAGACGATGACGAGGGAGCACCCTCGCCTGCTGTCCCCATGCAAGATCGCTGGGCGCAGATTAGGAAGAATGCAGCCGACAGAGCTCGCCAAAGCGAGGAACAGAGTCGGGGTGCACAGAGCAAGACCACGGACGACGATGACAATACAAGTGGCGAAGAGAGTGAGTAAGACCTGAGCTATAATCGTAATCTATGCTAACAACTGATAGCCATTGAATCCCGTGTCGCCCGTATTAAAGCTCGTGTTGCTGAGTTGACGGGCAATATGGAGACTACGACTGGACCTGGTAGTCGGACTCCTCCTTCTAGACGCTAGGGACGGATTTGGGAAGACGACGAATTCTGAGGTACCTGGACATCGACCTTTTCTAGGATCTTTACCGACTCTCCAACCAGCTACTTCGTTTCTTCTTTACGACCAAGCTTTTTCTATCTTCCATATTCGGCGAAGGCAACCCCTCGATACCTAATATGCTTGGCCTAATTCTCTTCTCCTTTTCTTTTTTCGATGATACCACTAGAAGAGTTTTTCGTTTCGCGTTTCAGCATATGCAAGCTTGTTCTAATTCTGTTTCTCACACCGGGCTCAGTCATCTACTGTTGTCCATCTTGTTACCATAGGATGAGGGCCAGCCACCCGAAATGGCGTTTCCTACCGCTTTTCCTGCACAGAGTTCGCGAGTTTGGATGGGCATCTAACATAAGGGTCAGATGTACCTTAGCTTAAGCCACTTCTGCAAATGTCTCAACCATTTTCTATCCACTTGAAACGTATTAATGGGCGACGAAACGATGTGAAGTGCGAGTACGTCGTGGCAAGGGAGTCGCTGGGGGGGTATTAATCACTTAAGATACCCTGGGGAGTGCGGTGGACTTGTTGTTTCTTCCGTAGCCGGCGCCCATGAACTGGCTTTCTTCAACTCAAATCGCAAACAATATGTACCGTAACGAGATCTGGAGCCCCTTGATATAGAGCACCGTCAAATTTTCGTGACTGTTGACGGAGCTTTTGGACTGACCCGGCACATTCTGTGGATGCTAGAGACCGTTGTTTTCACTTAAACGTAGCCTTTGTAAGTCGCAAAGTCCCGTCTCACGTGCTTTACTGTGTACCGTTTCACTTGCCGAAACTACCTTGACCGCCCGTGGCAAAGGAGTCCGACGTTGGATGGTCCAAGCCTGTGCGTATCTTCACCTGTATCCCAGAATTATGTTACCGTGAACCTCTGATTTGAGTGTGATCCCGGAAATGCCTTCGGGATGTGATTAAAACCTATGACAGTTGGAGTTTTGAGTTTACACCAGAGCATCTCGCTCTTGCCAGGAGAGGTTGAAGTAGTGCTGGCTGGTCCGTCAAGTCGAACATGATTTTTCTGCTCTTGATGTCAATGGGGCCGGTATAGTGTTGAGTAATGACAGGCGGACTCGACTGCAGCAAACAATCGCGATAGTAGATGATACAAGGGAGTCAATTAAGACAGCCACAGATCCATTTTGCTGCTCAGCAAGTACCTTTCCGCAAAGTGGTCTCGACTTCGACTTGGTTCTTTGTGCTTTACGGGGGACTAGTAAGAACGCAATGATTTGTTACAGAAATAGCAGTCGTCACTCATTGTAGTATTTTCACTACTATCCTTCTCATGGGGCGATACACAGCATATTTAGACCGCATATGGCCAGATAGTTCTGTCATCACAAGAAACCACAACTGCATTAGTCCTCAGCCAAACTTTCACATTAAAGCTCACCGCTTGATGCTACCTGCCCGCTGCCTGCGCACGCCGAATCTTTGTTCGCTCCTCCTCCTCTCCAGGCCCCAGTCCTCCTCCCTGGACTGTTCTGGGAGGGTCGGGGCACCGCCGAGACTGGCAAGCACAGCTTTATTCGTACACGTCAGGTCATCCAGAACCTGTAGCTCGTGTAAAGAGAACCACTTGGGCATCAGATACGTGCGCAGGGGAATCAGAAGGATGATTAGCACAGGGAATCCAACTGCGGCAATGGTCTGCGAGATCGCCACTGTTGCGGCCACGCCCAGCGCTTGCAGTCCTATGTACGCCCAGATCTTGCGTCGGCGAACTGTGAGCAAGGGCTCATCTCTCTGCAGGAAGCGTTCCTCCGAATTGAGGAAGACCAGTTTTTGGACAATGCCATTGCTTTCAATTGACCCCCACTATAATACAAACGTTAGTGATCCATGCAAAGCATGGCGTAACGTATGGAGAAATGTTGCAGATATTACTCACGCCGACAACAAAAAAGACACCAGCAAATACGGCTGCCGGCATCGTGTGCAGGACCACCAAAAGGGGACCAGTCATAGTGCCAATCAAGGCCAAGCCCATGAGGAAGTGTGAAACTCGCTGCTCAACTACAGCAGTAGCTTCCACGACGGGACGGCGAATATCCGTACCCTCGCCCTCTGCCGTGGCGATCACTTTCAATTTGGTCTCGTAGTTGGTAAGGGAGTCCGTATGCACTGGTGCTTGAGGGACTAGGCCGTTTGGTAGCGGCAGTCCAAGGATCCCCGAGACGAATGTAGTGCAGCCCAGCAGGAAGAAGTCCCAGTGAAAGCCACCGGGCTTCTTGAGTGGAAACTGGCGCGCCTGCGCTGTGATACTGCTCACATTCTGGCATTGACGAGTTAGTTGCGACCTTGCCTATCAGCATGGGACGGGCTTTTCACTTACATGATCGTAGTAGAAGAGCAGCATAACCAAGAAACCGAAGGGCATGGCCACGAACACCCACTTGACCTCGAGATTCCAGAAGTCGAGGAGCCAGCTTCGGGGTTGGGTGGGGCGGAAGGCATCGCTTACGGGCACTTTTGAAATGTGCGCATCTTTGAGCTGTCCAGGGATGTGCGAAAAGCCGACCCAGAAGAGTGTAGTGAACTGTGGGCTCGGTCAGATTTCCTGCTTAGGCGACATGAACTTGGACAACGGCAACGAACAACATAGGCATAGTCTGCAAGGATCCCCCTGAACCATGCTTTCCACACGGTACTCTGACCTAGTTTCTCGAGCCCGTAGACGGACCCGAAGTATAGGATTGCGATGAGACAGCTCAGGTAGCCCGAGGTAGCCCCTTCAATGGAAAACTCGTTCACAAGCTCTTCGACGCCCTTGACTGGAAAGATTTAGTATTCGTGGTAAGCGAACCAACGTAGCTCTGATACTTACTCATATAGATGATGCCGACGTACATCCCAAAGCTCTCGCTGGAAAAATCCGTCACGTAACGCATATAGTCACAAGCGTTGAAGATGGCCATGAGCCAATGAAAGATGGCACCCCAGATGCCAGTCCACGCCATAAAGCGAGGGTAGATGGACACATCATAAATGGCAATGATATCGTAGATGGTGTAATTAAACAAAGAAATGAGACCCGTGATGCCGACGATAGTCAGGGGCTGAGCTCCGAGGATGCTGAAGACCATGGCGGCGAGCGCCGACGCGAAGAGCGACTCGTTGACGCCGTAGAAGAAGCCGGTGCGTCGGTTCATGTCCAGGGTGTACGCCAAAGCTGGCAGGAGGCTGATTCAAAAACAAATATTAATAAGTCGACTGTGGCATGTGCTGCGGGGAGCGACCTACTTTACGAAATACATCCGGATGGTGCTGGCGGCGGTGCGATAGGTGAAGGCATCGGTGATGTCGCTAGGGTAATAGGGGAGTCGCCGCCGAACATCATGATACATGCCGCGGCAAGGTCTGAGTATTCTGAGCCCCCGCCATCCTTTGAGGTTTTCATAAGTATAGGACTTGGTTGTCTTCTCTCGTGTCAATTGAGGCTCGTGGGAGCCATTGGACTCGAGATTGGCGTTGTCTCGGTCGGACATGGCGGCGCAGGATGATCTTCTATCGTGAAGTTGACGAGGAATATAGTCATGGGAGACAGGAGGTGTCAGAGCCCGGCCATGGGTAAACAAGTATGATGTCAACCTATCAGATGCTTAGGGTCACGTTTGTGACTCTTATATAGCCTTGTAGAGTAGAAAAGCCGGGATTCGCTCTCGCCGCAGGGACTACGTGCCAAGTGCAGTGCCCTCACTAAATTGGGATAGGTTGCATCATCTACACAACCTTATAACCTTATACACCGGAACGGGGCGATGCGCTACCTTGGGAGCGATTGCCACACGAATTATACATATGGACAGCAGATGACTGAGCGGGGGGGAAACAGAAGTGCTTGGTTCAATATGAACTTTGAACTATACAATTACTCCTTGGCAAAATGTTCGAGCGCTTTTTCGCCTTTCTTCGAGCACACTTTGGCTCTATGAAATAGATCTCTTAGACAGGAGCGGCACCCGCACCTTGGCCCTTGGTGATGAGTGACTAGTCTATGATCCTATTGGATGCGACGATGCTTCTTGGACGCCGTTGAAAGCGCTGATTCGCGGAGAGTGCCGGGGTGGCTCCAGTCGAAGAAGTCATTTGGCTGCCCACCTACGCAATAGCTCTGCCCGCTCCGCAACACCTCAGGCCATCCGTGTTTGTCGGTTCGTGGCCGTCGTCGCCACAAAAATGTCTGCCCGGGAATCACACTGCCCCATCCTGTTTCGTCCCGCTATCTCGTCTTTTGGCTTGCTAGAGTCCGGACGATGAGCCCCCCGAATGAAGATCCCACAGAGCATTTGCGCCGGCGCGTAGCCGAGACCCTGGCAGACCAGCTGAACCACGCATCGTTTGACTGGTCCGCGCTGGCACGGCTCGATAGGCCGGTTTTGCGCATAGAGGCCTGCCTCGAAGAAGGTTCGCATGCTGCCAGGGAATCAACCCCGAAAAGCGCCGTGATTACTGTAAGGGTGATCTCACTGGCTGCCATGTATCTGGTGCTCACACTTCACTCTTACAGCAGCTTATTGATCTGTCTGATGTCGCATCGACATGTTCTTCCCCTCGCAAGGCTACGGCAGAACTGACAGATACGCCTCATAAGGCCATCCCATCCGGCGATACGGCCAGAGTTCCCATCTCAGCTCCGGCGGCTGGGCATATCAGTTCTCTCGCACCTCGCAAGGAGCTAAAGCCCAAGGGGAATGCCACCGCGGAGCCGTCTGAGCCTTCGCCAGACGAGAACAGTGACAATTCCGATCTGGACTCGCCCACGGAGGATCGAAGAAAAGAGCTTGGTGGGCTGCGGCCTGCACGTCAAGACTCCACGACACTGGAGACTGCTGACAGCCAAAGGCAGATCCACAGCGGCGACAAGTTCCCCAAGAGGCGGAAGCTAAAGCCGGTTGGCCATTTCCTGCAGCCCTCGACCCTGGACAAGCTCATCGGTGGGATATGGGAGCAGATTCATGGCAGCCTCAGTCTCGATCCACAGAGCCTCCTGGGTCAGTCACAGCTGAGGTCGCTTGGCGCCGAGGATGGCGCCGTCAATGCCATCGCAGCGCCGATGGCTCTCGCGCGTACTGGAGCAAAGGATCCCAATGGACGGACTCCACAATCCGACGAGGCCTTCAGCCGCAGCAACGTATTTTGTCGCCAGGTGACCCAAGCGAGCCGTGCATGCCGTTCTCTTGAGGTTATTGTGCAGGCCCGCTGGGTCGAGTACTTCGATTCGTACGTCGACAGTTGGGCCAACGCCAACCCCTTGGTCCCGCGTAGCAGATACAACAAGGCCGCGCTGATGGGCGCCTGTGCGGATTTTGGCTGGACCGAAAAGGAGCTTCGGAACAAGATGTACGTTTGGCGGGGTTATAAAGAGATTAAAGACGCCGGTGGGTGGGCATCGCTAGTCTTTGCCGGCATGGGCATATACCGCTTCTGCAAGTATCGTATAGGCTTCGATAAGGAGAGCATGCAGCGCCTACGGAACCTGCAGCCGGCCATCGAAGTCGCCGCCGATACACTTCACCCGCAATGGAGGCAGTTGTTGACAGTGATCGGGGAACCTTCACAGCGAGCCTTTGATGGCCACGCTCACGATTGGGTAGTCTTCCTCGACGGCAGCGACCCGATCCCCTTGCGAAACACGTACCTCCAATGGGACGCAGATTTTAGCTATCGCCAACTTGACGAATGCGTCGTAGACGAGCGCGTATGGGGGTGTGATGACCCTCGCTGGCAGCCCCCTACAGACGAGATTGTGCGGGCCACGGCAATGCCACTGTGCGAGACGTGTGGAAAGGAGCAGTCGGATGACCCCAAAGTAAACAACTGTTACTGCTTCCCTACCATCTTCGGCGGTGGTAAACTGAGCTCCAGCCCTGTCCTTGTATTTAGGACGGCCGACGGCAAAAATAACGGGCTTCTGGCCCTGTGTGCATTCGAAAGAGGTGCGCCGATTGGGGAGTTCGTGGGCGTCATCACAAAGGGCCTACAGAACGTCGATGTCATGGAGAGCTCGACGGCATCGACCAATTACCAGATATGGCAGGGCAGGCAAGGCAACTTCACGCGCTTCGTCAACCACAGCTGCAATGCCAACGCGCAGTACCAACGGTTCACGTGGCTGAACACGCAGAGAATTGTCCTGGTCAGCAAAGGCATCGACGCGGGCACCGAGATCACAGTGGACTACTCGGACAAGTACTGGAAAGGCCTGGATAAGAAGTGTCTCTGCGGTGAGACCTGTTGTCGGTATAAGAGAGACGAGACCAATACAGACAGCTGAGGTAACCAAGCCTCACGCAGATCTGTAGAGTATCTAGACTACTCTAATTGGTGGCAATCTGTGGTAATCGAAGTGTATTCATTTGGCCAGATCGCTGCCATATCGTCTTGACGGACTTCTCGTCATTCATCGCTGTAGCATTACTATATCCGTACATGCCATGCCAATAAGACACACCATTTTGGTCACTAGACATCTGTCGGTACATGGCCGGCTCCGACCCCCGTTTCCCGCCCCTAATGCGAACGGCTCCATGACTTCCCAGGAAGTCGCCCGGCACCTACAGAAGGAAGAGATTAGAAGAAAACTCCGACGCAGGTCCGCGGCAACGACAGTGCAGGCTTGGCAGGCCATGTGGGACAGTAAAAGGTGCACTGGCGTTGTTCCAGTTAAGCTCGTGTCGCCGGCTTGGGGCTGGGCCGGCCCGAGATGGTGCTGGGCTGTGCCAGTGGCATGGCACAGCACTGCCATGATCTACGCGCCCGGCTACCCAAGCGATCGCCCGAGCTGCCTGCACCCGACGAAATAGACGCGCTAGGTATCTATACAACGCATTTCAGTGAAGCCCTCAAATCATCTCTGCGACGGACGAGATGACTTTCCTGTAAGAGGCACTGTATACTCTTTGTAAGTGGATACATGGGGGTGGGACTTCACTGGTATGCGCTAGCGGAGTCGACTATACATCACGCTTGCCGTATAGACACAGTGCATGAAAGCAACGACGGTGGAGGAGGTCTTGGTATCTCACCCTTCCCCCACACTGCTCTTTCTTTTCACTCTCGAATTCCGACGACGCATTGCCAATCGCGGGCCTTTGAAGAAGGGGCAGGCTATGCTGTGGCATCGGCCAAATACATAGTACAGCCGCGGAGAGGGGGGGCTGCGCGCTACCGGGTGCCAAATTCTCCGCTGCAGGCTCTCACCGCGCGCCTGTGGCTGCGCCTGTTCCCGTTCAGCTTCTCCCACTGGCTGTCTCACAGAGCCACAAGCCTCGACGGCTGCTGTGTGCAATGTGGACGGGCTGCGTATCATCCCACTGCCATCGCCCGAGTCGGACGTTTGTCAGGGTCCAGGGGAGTAGACTCGCACTCCATTTCTCTCGCCCGACTGGCTGTGCTTCTCGGTGGTGTGTTCATCCTTCCAGAGCATGGCCCATTCAAGTTGTTTGAGTGGCCCGTATGGACGGTGGGATAGCGATCCGCCGACGAGTCTAGAGCACGCCCAAAGGAGCTCTCTTACGTGCTTCGGCTATCGGATAACCTCGTAGGATTTGTGGTACTCAACCGTCCGATGTGGGATGCAATGGTCGCTTATCGTCCAGCACAGCCCCCATAAGGCTGGCGCTTCTTGAAGCAATCCGGCTACGGGCAGGGGTGGGATGGGACGATGGTGGTGATGACATACGCGTCATTGTGGTGATCCTTCGACGTTTCACGTTGGTTAATTCAATTGGTTGGCCGAAAGGCCGACCCATCCACATGCGAGTCACTGCAAGGCAAAATAGGGACTCAGATCAGTCATGAATTGAACTCTTAGATATGCGCAGGCTATGGGATGTGTCCCTAAAGCCTATCCTAATGAACAACGCCGTGAACGCCTTCCATAGACCTCAGGAGAGAACCGCCCCCCCGTCTTTTTCCCCTGTAAAATGCAGCATACAATGCCCTGCTATCAGATTGCGAACCCATTAACTCGTGCCTCATGTCCATCTCTAAAACGAAGCAGCACGTGCTGGTATATGTGAAAAAGAGCTCGGGGATAACAACGACGAAGTAGTAGATGCCAAACGCCGTACCATGCTCAACAAAGATCGAAAGGTATCTGGCTGCCGTAGAGGAGCGTATCCAGCAGCGAAGTGATAAGAACGATTGAATCAACAACTAGTGGGATATCCATTGGGCTGTGAATAGAATGCGGCCAGCAAATCAAAGTTCAAGGAATGATGAATGGCACTGCAAAATAGAAGAAGAAAATCAATGAGAATGTTGTACAATCGCAAATGTGAATGCGAACTTGATCCCGAGTTGGAACAAGCCGGTGACCTTGCGTGCGTCGATCATAGGTAGGGTGCTTAGGAGTCTACCTTGACTCTTTTGGCCTCCATGCCCTCGGGTCCGTCGGAAGATGGTCCCGCAGTACTGATCTCGGGGCTCTTTCGCTTGTTAGAGTTCTCCTCTCTCAGAAAAGAGGGACCGGTCCCATGCACCGGTGTAGCGAAGTTCAGCGGGCTTGGCAGCGTGTTGCTATCATTGCGAGAATAGTTCCACTCGGGGTAAAAGCTGCTTGGGCTTGGCAGAAACTCGTTGTTGAGGAAGCGGGAGGGCAAGGCCGACACTGGAGTATCGATATTCATGTTACCGCCCTGTTGCTGTTGAGACTGGATTGGTCGGGCAAAGGGGTTCGGTGGCCCGGTAGCTCCAGCAGAGAGTAAAGCAGACGCAGACGGCGATGGAGGTGGCAGAACGACACCGGGCGCTTGAGCTTCGGCAGCATTACGTCGTGTGGATTGGGATGTTGTGTCTGACGTATTGCGCGGCGAAGTCGTAGACTCGGCCGCGTTACTGCTGGTCTCAGACTGCTCATCTGGAATCTGCACCTTGAGTTTGGGTCGAGGGCCACCGGGGACGCGCAGGCTATTCGACCTCGAAGGTGGAGTGAAAGTGGTCTCCGGGATGGTAGGGACAGAGTTTCTAGCTTTGCCCAGGTTCGAGGTGTTTGACCTTTGAGGCATAGGCGGAGAAGAGCCGGCATTGTTGCGCGAGACAGCGCCGACGTCCACGGACTGCGAGCGATTGCCATTCACGCCAACCTCGTCTTTCAGGCTCTGAGGTTCCGAGACAAAGGACGCAAGATGTTGAGAGAGGATCGAGCGATTCTCGTCGATAGGCGTGAAGATGCTGTGCTGCTTGCGCTGCGGCAGCTTCTTGATTGCAGAGTTCACATCGAGAAGAGGCTGACGAGGTTTCTCTGGGGATGGCTCGGGCTTGGGTTCCATGGGTGCCGGCGGCTGTTGAGGCTCCTGAGATCCTCGGTGATGCGGCTGAGGCACCTCTAGGTGTTGGTGTTGGGGCTGAGGGGGGGACATCTGAGGCATGGGCTGTTGTTGGTGGGGTAGCTGCTGAGGATGCGGTTGCGGTGGCGACGGTCGCTGCTGATTCTGCGGAGGCCCCTGAGGCGGGTAGCTGGGAGGAGGCACAGAGGAGCGCCGCTGGTCTTCCATGTATGGTTGCATCTGGGGATGGGGTTGATGCTGGGGTGGTGGATACGGGTATTGAGGTGGTGGTTGCGGCATGGGATGTTGCATGTTTGGCGGCATATTCTGGGTTTGGGGCTGGTAGATGCTTGGTTGGGGCATGTATGCGTAGCCGTTGGCCTGAGGCGGGCCAGGAGGACCGACGGGCTGGGGTATGCCGGAGCCCCTCCGGAAGTCGTTGCGGGATGACGGTCGAGAGCCCATCTGCGGCTGCGGGGTGTGTCCGCGGGGGGCAAAGGGTACGCTGTTGATGGGAGGCGAAGCCGAGGGCGTGTGCCCCCTCAGGTGAGAGAAGGACGCGTGGTGGTTCTGGAAATGCGGTGGGATCATCTGAGGTTCAACGGAGCCCTCGTGGCCGTGAGGAGGGGTGCCTTCGCCATCGTCATCCTCGTCGTCGTCTCCGCCGCCGTTGAAGTCAGCGGGACCTTTGTGCTCGTTGGGACCGCCATGCTGCAGAAGCCGTCCAGTCAGTACAATGCTCTTGCGCAGGCAAGGCGCGCGGGCGCAGACACGGTGTTACGCACATATGTGTATCTCGTGATGAGCTCTCTCATGTCCCCGGAAGAGTACTCATACAGCTTCTTGTTGTTGCCGAAGATGAAGACGGCAACGTCCACGGAGCAGAGGACGGACAGCTCATGCGCCTTCTTGAAAAGACCGCCCTTGCGTTTCAGAAAGGTCCTGCAAGTAAGGCGGTTAGTATATCCAGCACGCAGGGGATGTGACGAAGAAAACGACCGTCGTGCCGGCGTCGCGGTGAAGGGGAGCTGTGGTTGCTTACACTGAGCGATTCCTGTCATCCTTGATGGCCTTGATCTCAATCTTTCGCCGACCCATTTTGAAATTAGACTGCAATTAAGATAGTATACAGAAGAGGAATATTAGAGGCGCGTAGAATGACGGATGATCTGTTATAGCCGCTGGCGGGCGTGTGCTTCGCCTCAAGGCTACCGAAGAGTCGTCCGAAGAAGCTCAAGCTCAATGCGACGGGGTGGCGATGTCTTGCCTGTCAGACTGGCGGGGGGACAGACGGACGAGAGATTAGACTGGATTATGTCAATCCAGCTCGACGACCAAGTAAACTTCAAGCTAGCAGCTGGAATGGCGACCCAGAATGAAGGCCGTTGCAATAGTCGAATAAAAAGAATGTATGAAAGGGAATAAAAAAAGCCCGAGGCCCAGTTGCGGCGACCGTCTGTTGTTGGCTTCAGGTCACGGCGCTCGAGAGGGGACGATGGGTCAAAAAACTGAAACTGCTTCTGACGAGGCGCGGTGATGCGACAAGACAACGGTATTTGTACGGGCCCAGGCCTGGGACGCTGGGACGGGGTGCAATTCACGACGAAGCTCTTTGTGCGAGCCGATGCTGGTGTCGGGTCTGCGATAGAGGATACAAGATACCAGTTGATGCTACACTTGCAGATGGGGCTGAATCTGGCGTGGTTGATGCCAAAAATAGATGCGATCGTGGGAGACTCGACCCTTTAGACTTCTGGGAGAGAAAAGGACGGAGAGGGCAAGCAGAGACAAGACAGCGGGCGGCGGGCGGGAGGGTTTGTGTGCGTGTGGGTGCGAGTGGGTGCGTGTGTGAGAGGACTGCAGGTGGACTGTGTGTGTCGGCCGGGAGTGCGCTTGTGCTTTTTGGGCGGCCCACGGGTCATCCATGCCCATCTGGGTCAAAGGTGCTGTGGTCATGGTCATGGGCGTGGCATGGGGCATGGGTATGGGCCGACAGGGTTACCCCCCCCCGCTGCCCCCTCCCGCATGGGAGAAGCCCAAAGGTACTGCTTCGACATCGCCGGGCTTGCTGCGATGTGGGCAGCGCAACCTGCAAGCTTTGCAGACCGTTGTTCCGCGAACACTTCTCCACCGCCTCCTTGGACAGGTCGCGTCGCTACACAGTAGATGGATGGGCTTGCCTGGCTTGGCTCATTGCGACGCGTGAATTGGCTGCTTCAGGAAAGCCCTCGAGTCGTACACGGTCTGGATGTTGGTAGGACTTTGGAGGAGGGCCTCCAGTTGTTACTGCCTAGGTATGGACTACAGTCCATAGAGACAGAGAGCGAAGTGGGCCGTTCATCACAGTAGTGCTGTAGTTCACCTATCCAACCTACAGCAGGTGTCCATGGACACGGTACCATGGTATAGGTCCTAGTTAGTCCCGGAAAGCTTTGGACCAGTGGAGTCTCGGCACCACGGCTGTCAAAAGTCTCGCAAGCCTGAAACGGCTGTGACAGCTACTGTGCAGCATGGGGCGCCGAACAGCAGCCCTGGGTGCAGAAGTCCTAGGGCTGTACAGTGCGTGTGCAGCATGCAACTGTATTCAGGTACCCGGCACGTGTTATCGTCGTGGAATTTACCCGCGGCGCCGTCGAGAGCTGATTGTCGTCGCTTGTCCTTACTAACCGTCTCCATCACTGGCTCACTCTCACATCACATGCAGCCTTACCGTCCCTGCTCGAGGGACCATCCAACCTTCCAGAAGTACCTGCTGGCCCGCAGCAAAACCCGTCCAGTGCGACTGGGACCCTGGCTTGCCTGGTGGTATCTTCCATCTTTAGGGGACTGCACCCTACGTACAGGTGTGACGGCGAGTGGTCCCCTTTCCCACCCTGACTGCCCTGTCCTAGAGCCGCATGTTGCAGGCTGTCTCCAGAATAGAACATTCTTCTCGACTCGCCGTCTTCGGTAGCACAATGGCGTAGTTGGATCTCGTGTGTGAGCATGTTCACAGACTGCTAAGCACCTAGGACCAGGTCTATCTTTCTGTCCTGGCGTTGATCAATGTCCACCCCTTGCTCCCGGCTGGCTGGATAGGCGCCTGCTACATGCTCGCTCATCTTGGTGTTTCTCGATATAGAGTTCGCGATGCGTCGTTCCCCTGACTGATTGCATCCGAGCAGAGCTCAAGCCAGTGATCATCTGGCAAAGCTCTCTGGGGATGCCGCATCTGGATTCTGACATGCCTTGGGTTGAGTGCTCGTCGTCACCAGAATCCAACTTTAGAACCCCCCCCCGCGCCTAACGAGCTACACCTACCCTGTCCGGGTTCCATTATTGACATTCTTATCACAGCTTGATATGAAGCCATACTGGTGTTGCCGAACCAGGAACATGCTGACCAAGGTGGAATCCACCATTCACCATCGCTGCCGGCGGTCGACCTCAGCGAAGCGAGTTCTTGATGAATCGCGGAAGCACGCCCCGGGTCGCAACGAACCAATCTGCACCGAGACCCGACTATAGTCACTCCAATGCTCGCCAAGGCACGATGTCCTCACCGAATCAATCACAGAACGGGGATCTTTTTCTCATGTGCGCCCATGGCGTAGTTGGGACCATCGTCATCTGCGGCCTTGGTCAGATATCCCGCTGCTCCTAAGCGCCGGGCGTTGGGTCGACTAGACCAAACAGCTGCTAGTTCCTGTCCCGGATCCCAGCCAGCCATCGGCTCCGGCGCCGCTGATTGGGCGACGGCAGCAGTTCTATGTCGAGCTTTCTGCAAGCAATCTGGCAAGGCTGGTGGTTCACGTCCTCCCAGTCGCGAAAAAAAAAGTGGGAGGATCCCTGCTGAAGAGCCAAGCCCGTCTCCCCATTGTGGACCAACCCGAGCCGAAGAGTGCGGGCGTTGCTAAAAATAGCTATTAATAGTAACCATCCACCTGCATCTGCATTTTACCCTGGAACGAAACCGTGTTAATTTACCCTTGCTTATCCTTGCACACCCGAGTGCCCCATGTCACCGCAAGACGACGTACAGTAGATCGGTTGCAAAATGTTGCTCAGTACGGATGCCTCCGTAGATTAAGGCCGAGAGGAGCCTACTGAATGATGGTGATGCAGCTGGGCAACAGCCCGGCAAGTGAGGGGGGCAGTGGATCATCTCGATGCACTCTGCCGGATAAAGGATGAACACGATAGCAATCTATCTATCTTCCACTACACGAGCCGACCGTCCCCTACGTCGCTGGCCGGATGCGTTCACATCGTAGAGGGAGGTCTCAAGATACGGGGTATGCCATCACTAAAGACCCCAGGCAAACACATCCAACGTTAGCGGCTGCACGCGGTTGCGCTTACGACTGTTCATTGGCCTTGGTAGGGCGAGCAAGGGGGACGTATGCATGCTGACAATCTTCTTCAGAGTATGCTTGCAAGTCCTTTTTTCTCTCGTTCCTTGGATCGATGCAGTCATCAATATCCTTGGATATGGTGAGCATCTTCTCGCCCGTCGTTGCACATCTTCTTCTAACCGAGCCGGTAAACCCGATCGCAACTTTGGCGTCATCGTGTGACAATAATGCCGACCAAGAGCTCCAACTTCATTTTCATGCTTCGTTCCACTCCTGGCGGTCTTTCTAAGCCAACCTGTCGGTGGAGGACAATGTGCAGGCAAGTCATCGCGAGGGCAAACTCAAGGGCAAGGCTTGAATTAGCCGCATTAGACCATGAACGCCTACCAACGTGCTCATAATCGAATCCGAGTTGATCCAACTAGTAGAGAAGCCGACCTAATCGAAACGTAACTTTGCTTGGGCTTTTGATTGCTCCAAGTATGGAGCAGGGAGGCTGGTAGTAGGTGATTGCGTCCCATGGGGCGGTCCGTAGAGTATGTCCTTGAAGCTTGATTACAGAGTCGAGGGCACGGCCAGAACAGATGAACGAATGCAGCCTCGTACAAGCCGGTGGCGGTGAAGCAATCAGTCACCAGGCGAGACGTACTAACCGCATCATTGACGATGTGACTGGTGATTGGGATGACCCAGGGGATAGGATCCCTTGGAAGTTTGCGAGCAAACTTCTTCAACTACAGGCATCTGTGACGGCAGAGCCGTTTCGACAACAAAGAAATGGCGAGTGATGTTGGTGGGTTCAGGTGACTGATAGCAAGGTGGCATACGAGTTACATGCAGTAGCTTGCGTTGGGCAAAGCACCTCCCTCCGACGGGAGATATTGGGAGCACTTGGGATGCTCAGGACTGACTGTGTCGAGAAGTGGTCTCTGATTGAGGAGGATAAGTCTGCTCCAAAAGGCCGAGAAGAGGTACTCAGTTTAATAATTTGAAGCCAGGTGGTGAAATTGAACCC